ACATAAAAATTGGCTGTAGTTATTTGGCTTATTATTTATAAAATAATAATAATTTGAAGCATTTTGATAGTGTGCTTCTGCTAATCAAACAAGTCTAAGAGTACGCCTAATCGTAGCACTTTCATGTGAGTTGATGAATCACCTTTATAAAAAATATATTTCTATTAATTTAAAGAGTAATTTATGCTGCTACTCTCGAATCAGCTCTTTTATATATTCAGTATATAAGGACTCTCTCTATCTCTTACTAGGCTTATTTTATTTATTCTATATGTATCAAATAAATGTACTCTCAGCAATAGGCAGCACTATAGATTGTGTATTGAATAATGCAATTTATTCTTGTAATAAAAAGATATTTATATACACACCTTTAATAAGAATTTATATCATACACATAGTATAATAATATTATCCCAAATCTTCAAGTCTCTTATAACTTATAAAAATAAAATCTCAAGGCTAGTAATTTAACATACTATGCCTTTTACAAGTATAATTTTAAGCAGACACCCAAGTAGCTTTTATTTTGTACATGCATAAAAAGCAGGTGTCTATTTCTTATTTATTCTTTTTGAATGAAAACAGATTAGATATACAATTGAATAGTGCTTTTGTGAAAATACTTTATAATTTTGGCTAACAATATATGCTCATCAATACTACTAGCTGTATTTTACTTGAATGAAAAACATTGTGCCAATGAGTTTTAGTCTATTGTATTGCACGCTTGCAGACAATTCGGAATTATATTACAAAAACCATAAAATGAATAAAAAAAGGTGGGAACCTCGAAGTATCAACTTAACGTAGAAGCACAAAGGAAAATGCATTTGTTTATGTAGTTCTTATCTGTGAGTAGTGCGCATTGAAATGCAGTAAGCAAAACCAGTTTCCTGGCTTCTCTATATTTTCCAGTGGAACACAGAAGTAAAAGGTCAAATCAGAGTGAATTGAACAAAAAGCTGCTGTGGGTTGTTTCGAAATGGGCAGATAAAAAGTTGAGACAGCTATCTGGAGATGTGTATGACGTATACTGGGGGATTACATTGTTTTGTGATTACAAAAAGAGAGCAACTGAGTCTGGTATGTAAGTAAGCATAAATTTATAAAGTAATAATAGACGTCTTTACAGGTTACAGGGGAGGCAAAGATTAATAAATAGACACCGTGATGTACTTTATGACTTAAAAGTCAGTGTGAATTTTGGTGGTACTGATATAACCAGAAAATAAGATACGCCGATACACTTAAGGTTAAAAGCAATATAAGCAAGAAATACTAAATGTAGAGAAGCTCAGAATACGAGAAGAAAAATAGGATTCTCTGATAGAATACATATAAACATAGAATGATCTGAACTGACACGATCAAGAGCATTAAAGATTGGAGTAAAATCTATGGTAGAATGAGAGATAGAGGGCAAGCATAACGGCAAAGATAAGAGAGAAAATATATCAGATCTTTAGCGCTTACCGATTTGGGATTGGCATGGAAACAAAGAATTGCTTATTTGAAGATTTGAAGAATAAAAAATGCTGTAATAAAATACCGGAACAGGAGTGAAGAAATTGATAACGCCTTGGGAGATGGGACTTATAAATGACATGTTATTTCTTGTAGCCTAGACCGCAAAAAAGAATTGACCGGTTGTAAATGAGTATTGATTACTGTCGAATCTGAGATCAAGACGGAAACATAAATAATTTATTGTTAGCAATTCCAGTTTAATGAATCTGCCTTTACTCTATTAACTAATACATAAACTATTGACACGTAGTTTATTATTACTCTATATTCTTATCATAATATGACATTTACAATTATATATAGTATATATACAGTATATTCATAAATTATCTACATACTTATATTACTCTAGTAATATCTTATTTAGATACTACGCATTAGTATACCTATAATCCAAATACATCATCCGAGTATTTGAGTTGGAAAACTCAAAGACTACCAATAGTGTAGATATTCGTTCTTGTCTAAAATCTCTGACTGATATGACTGGATGACCGCCGTACGCACAGATATTTCCAGAAGAATAACACTTCTTAATCATGCTTCATAACATCAATTAATTGAGCACATACTAGAATATAATTTAGCAAACATATAAATACCAACAATAAATACTATTTCAAAAACAATTGAATTTTGTTACTTTTTTTTTTCTTTTGAAATAAAACATCATATATAAGCTATCATGAATTCTATTTTCAATATTCTATTTATTAATCTTGACACGTTGCGTGTATATTTACATTTTCGGCTGGCCCAAATATATCCCATATCTCTAAATCTTTTTGTATCGATTATGTAGACCAATTGGTTAAGTCATGATCTTGGGAAGAGCATGATTGTTACAACTGGTGCAGCAATCAATTGAAAATCATAAGTATTGTAACAATGAACCCCAAAAATAACTATCTATCTCTATTTCTCTCTATTATTTATTATTAATTATCCAAAGAAGCATAGTTTATCCCAGCATCTTAATAATAGCTTAGTAATATCTTACTAATTATATTATTTTATTTATTATCAAAATATCTATGTAAACATTGGAAGATAAAAGCAATAAACAATATCCTTACACATCACTTCTATTTTCTTTTTAGCTTTCTCAAGAGAACAAGCTGCCAATTGCCAATATTAGGGCCAAGGAGTTGTTAGAGGAGATTGATATATATTTCTTTTTTCTATTAATTATTTGGGTCACTTCTTTACACAAACCAACACAGCCCGTCTCAATATCAAAGCGGAAAATTTAAAAGTTTCTAGAATGAATAATATAGGCTTCATATATAGAATTTCCAAAAACAAAAACAAAAAAAAAAATTCAAGTGTAATTAATGTAAGCAGTATTCAGCCTAACAAAGGTGTACAGAGTTCAGAATAAAAGAAGGACTTTTATTGGTCAGAGCATATACAGAGTAGGTCGCGTCTGTAAAAGAGTACTATATTGGGCACTGTGGTATACACACCACAATTGAGTGAAGAATAGACCCCACAACCAAACACTGGTTCCTTCTTGCTAATGAACCTGGCAAGTTAACGATCTCCGGAACTGTTACACACCAGGCACACGTACACTACACACTCATACAGTGTAAACCAACCATTACACAACAGGGATTTGAATTACAGGGATTTGAATAGTAGCAGATATAAACAATATTATTTTGTCTCTTTAATAAAGAACACTCTCACAGTATCTACTTTTTCCATTATTGAGATACTAACCCATAAACAATCCCGAATACCTCAGGCACAACATGACATCCATAGACTTTTAAGAAGAAAAACAATTATAGAATGCTAAAAGAACTATAAGCTGAGCGGAATATTGCAAATCCACAAAAAAGAAGGATAGTATTCAACGAGAGACTTCATTTTATTTTCAAAAAGAGTGTTATTTATAAGATCAAATGACAAGCTAATAGACCAGTCAGGAAATCCATAAAAGAGAGTCAAAAATATGGATTTTTCACAAGTTGCTTGTAAATATTAGAACCTGCCATTGTCAAGTCTTTGTTTTTAGATAGCAGTTTAGCAAAAGAAGAACTCTGTAAGCTTTACACATTTGTCACTACAAGACGAATAAAATTAAAACAATTTCTATATAAGATTACAGCCAGAAAAGCAAAAGAAAAGATGATTAACTTCAAAACATAACCAGTAATTTTTCTCTATATATTAAAGACTTGCTTTAAAGTATTCGAATTAAAGCTGTAGATTGATAGTAATATAATTCCGAATTGTCTGCAAGCGTGCAATACAATAGACTAAAACTCATTGGCACAATGTTTTTCATTCAAGTAAAATACAGCTAGTAGTATTGATGAGCATATATTGTTAGCCAAAATTATAAAGTATTTTCACAAAAGCACTATTCAATTGTATATCTAATCTGTTTTCATTCAAAAAGAATAAATAAGAAATAGACACCTGCTTTTTATGCATGTACAAAATAAAAGCTACTTGGGTGTCTGCTTAAAATTATACTTGTAAAAGGCATAGTATGTTAAATTACTAGCCTTGAGATTTTATTTTTATAAGTTATAAGAGACTTGAAGATTTGGGATAATATTATTATACTATGTGTATGATATAAATTCTTATTAAAGGTGTGTATATAAATATCTTTTTATTACAAGAATAAATTGCATTATTCAATACACAATCTATAGTGCTGCCTATTGCTGAGAGTACATTTATTTGATACATATAGAATAAATAAAATAAGCCTAGTAAGAGATAGAGAGAGTCCTTATATACTGAATATATAAAAGAGCTGATTCGAGAGTAGCAGCATAAATTACTCTTTAAATTAATAGAAATATATTTTTTATAAAGGTGATTCATCAACTCACATGAAAGTGCTACGATTAGGCGTACTCTTAGACTTGTTTGATTAGCAGAAGCACACTATCAAAATGCTTCAAATTATTATTATTTTATAAATAATAAGCCAAATAACTACAGCCAATTTTTATGTCTTGTATGTTTTATATTCTTTACCAAGCACCTCTTGTCTTGGTGTGTTTGCTTTATTAACTCCATAAGTAACTTGGTAACCTTTGAAAGGAAGCAAAGAGAGTGAGAGAAAATATGAAACATGTGATACATACCTGTATAAATTTATATATATTTGATTTCCTTGTTTGGACTTATCCTGTTTATTTGCATGATTTCCCCCATATCTTTTATATCAGGACAGTTTTGATTTTTCCGAAAAACTCTTTCAAGACCTGGCCTTTATGAAACAGTAGATACATTTAAAGGATACTACAAAATAACACTGCAAAAAAATAAGCATATAGGTACTGAGTGTAAGAGTTGGAAAGCAAGACCAGTGCTATATTTTAAAAAGGCTTTCTGTTTTCATTTTTCAGTTTGTGTATATACAATATTATAATCAGGTACTTTCCCTGAAAAGTATTTGTAGTGACGAAAACAAATGATCAACGTGACCAACACCACACAGGATGCACCCATCCATCCATCCTCCTCCCCCTATCTCCCCCAAGCTTTTGATTGATGTATACTTTCGATGAATTTTATTGGACTAAAGTGAGGGAGGCGTCATCATCTCCCCATTTTTGTTTTTATAACTATAGAAAAATTTTCGCGTCCTTTGGTTTTCCTTTTTTTTCTCCTTTTTCTTTGTACTGACCGTGTCTACCGGTGGAGACGATGGAGAGCTTCTGGTAATATATGGGTTTATGTCCGGCCGGTCATCGTTTATACACAGAAGCCAAGAGGGTCTTCCGATAGCCATGCTTCTTTTCTTATGAACGGCTAGCCAGATCACTTTAAGATAAGTATATGATTTTTTACGTTATGTGCGATGCAACTTTGAATACTAATTAATCAAAGCCTGTGGAGTAGGCGACTGTAAGAGTTCAAAAGACGTTCATAAAGTCTTGGCAATATTATTTTGTTAAACTTTTTGAGCCGATTTTGGACTCTTGCGACCGACCGCTCTCTCTCTCTCTTTTTTTTTCTTTCTTTCAAAGGGGCCCGATGGAGTAGAGCCACGGGTCAAACATGGTCTATCGAGCAAGTCCACAAGCGCGCGTGTAGCGTGTGAGCCCGCTGTCCGTATTCCTGTGTATTACTGGTTGCTTTCTGTCGTCTCTTCTGGTGGGCGCGGCTGGTACCATCTTTTTTGGGTTAGTTCCCGTTGCTTGTTCCCTCCCGTTGCTTGTTCCTTTCCTATGCCTTCCACGGCGGTCCATGTTATTTGAAAGGTACTGTTGCTTGTTGCTTTTTTTGTTAGTCTGTTGCTTCCACCAGTGGGACATTTCTGCCAGTGGGTTTGTTGCTTCCCACTGGTAGGCCCTTTCCTCCTACCAGTGGACCTGTTATCTCTCGCCAGTGGACCTTTTTATATAGCCGCCGGTTGCCAGTTGCCAGTTGCCAGCCGCCCATTTTCCTTCCACTGGCGGGTCCATTTATCTTACTGGTAGGAGCCATTTATCCCACTGGTCGGACATTTGCTTCCTGTTGCTTCCTGTTGCTTCTGCCGGGGAACCCGATGGTTCCATTTCTGCCGCAAAATGGTCGGCTATGTCGTGTCCTCAAGACACCTTGTCAAAAGCCGATAAGGCTCACCAGAAGCCCAACATGGGCGCCTCGAAAAAGGCCACACCGGGCCATAAGAAAGGCCAAAGTATGCGCCAGAGCAAAGACCAATCCGGTCCACAAAACAGGCCAATGTAAGTGTCAGGAAAAGGACCAAACTATCTCAAGACATAATCTAATTGTTTTTTATTGTTGCAACGCAGGCTCCAAGTGCGCACCAGAGAAAGGGCAAGCCGGCCCACAAGAAAGGTCAAAGTAGGCGCCAGAGCAAACATCAATCCGGCCCACAAGAAAGGCTAATGTAAGTGTCGGGGAAAAGGGTGAAATATATCAAGACATAGACTAATTGTTTTTTGTATTTAAAATACAGGCTCCAAATTCGCGTCAGAGAAAAAAGGCTTTTCAGAGACCCTCAAGGTCACTGTCAAGATTCAAAGCCAAATCAAGATAGATAGTCAAAAAAGAAAAGAAGTACAAGAAAAAAAATATAAAAAAGAAATACAAAAAATATAAAAAGAAAATGAAAAGAAAAAAAAAGATACAAAAAAAGAAAAAGCAGAAAAAAAAAACAAACAGAACAATATTTACCAGAGAAAAAATCAGGCTTACAACTATCTCTCTATCTCGGATCAAACCCCATAGCCACTAGTACAATCTCCAAAATAGTCAAGCCAAGGTCCATTGCTATGTCCAAGTCAAAGTCCAAATCCAATTCCAAGTCTTGTCCAAGTCAAAGTCCAAATGTCCAAAAACTGTCCAAGTACTGTTCTAGTACTAGTCCTAGCACACAAACATATACAAACAAATAGAGAAGTACACAATTAGAGAAGTAGACAAATACATACACACACAAACACACACAATTTCTATTTTTCTATTTCTTTCTTATACACACACACACACACACACACACACACACACACACACACACACACACATACACATAGTCATATTCATAGTCATAGTCATAGTCATACAAACATACATATACACACTTATATACATACATACATGCATACAAAAGTAGAGGCGCAATTTCTATCAAAGTCCAAAATCTGGGTTGTACATCCAAGTCTCAAGGCCAAGTCGATTTCCAAGAAGGGGTCCAATGCAAAATTCCAAAAGCAAGTTCCAAAAGAAAAACCAAAAACCAAATCCGAGGCCTATACTAAGTCCTGTAAAAAAAACGGGCATATACTAAGTCCTCCTCTCCAAAAGGATCAAATCCAAAAACTGAGGCGTAGACCAAAACCTATCAGAAATGATCAGGCACATATTAAGTCCTCCACTCCAAAAGGATCAAAAGAAATCCGACCTTGAGGCCTATACTAAGTCCTGTCCAAAAATCACACAGGCATATACTAAGCCCTCCTCTCTCTCTAAAAAAAAGCAAAAAAAAAAACAAAAAAAAAACAAAAAAAAACAAAAAAAAAACAAAAAAAAACAAAAAAGCAAAAAAAAAACAAAAAAAAAACAAAAAAAAAAAACAAAAAAAAACAAAAAAGCAAAAAGATGAACAAACCGGAAGAACTCTGCATTGGAACCTGGACCTGGATTGAAGCAAAGCTGCGAACTGGAACAAGACTCTGGATTAGGACAAGGTATGAAATCCCTTTTTACACATATACATACAAAGCAAATGAAGTCTTTGATCAAAAACAAAAAACAAAAAAAATGCTCAAAAAAAGAAGCTCAAAAAAAACAGAAAGAGCAAAAAGAGCAATACCAAAACCCCCTTCTCTTATACTTTTCAATATCAAAACCCATCCTTTTATTACTATTCCATGAAATTGACTGGACAAAAAAAACCAAAAAAAAAAGAAGTAAAAAAAAATCAAAAAAAAAAATCAAAATCAAAAATCAAAATCAAAATCAAAAAGTCCAAATTATCCCCTTTACTATGTGTGCTGTGTTCGGACAAAAAAAAATTAAAAAAAAAATCAAAAAAAAAAATCAAAAAGTCCAAATTATCCCCTTTATTATGTGTGCTGTGTTTGGACAAAAAAAAAGCAAAAAAAAAAAAAAAAAAGTCCAAATTATCTTTTTTATTCTTTTCAATATCAAAATCATCCTCTTATTACTATTCTGTGAAATTGACTGGACAAAAAAAAAGAATCAAAAAAACAAGAAAAAAAAACAAAAAGTCCAAATTATCCCCTTTATTATTTTTCAATACCAAAATCCTCCTCCTCCTCCTATCACTCTTAGCTTATATTGACTGGACAAAAAAAAAGATCAAAAGAAAAATCAAATGGACCAAAAAAAAAACCGACTGGACTTGACTGGAACCGACTGGACTCGACTGGACTAGCATGGCCTGGAATATCTTAGTATACTTAATTTAATTTAACTTAACTTATATTCCCCTTATAAAAATTTGAACAATAAATTTTGATCTCATTTGACTTTGATATTATCTTTATGAATTTTGTCTCTTTTTGATTTTGGTTTTACATTTGTCTTTAAAAATGCTATTAATAATGTTTTTTGGTACTACTATATTACACTTGAGAGTTGTCCTATTATACTTGTGTTCCTTGGTAAGATAAACATGGTATACTTTCTAATGAGGCGTTCATTCAGTTTACTATGGCACAGCGGGGTTTGGTCGGTATCGCTCATTGAAATCAGCTTTGAAGTGGTAGTGGTGTGTCTAAAAATGACCCAAAGTAGTTTACTAGCTCTCTTTAATTTGTTCTTTCTTAAAATTGTTCTTCTACCGATATTCATTTTCTTGTCGCTGAACTTATAATTTCACTATATAGCCAACCCACAATGTGCCATTAAGTTTGTCTATAATAATAATACGGTTGGCTGTTGTTTTATTACTACCTTTTTCTATTGTCTTGATTTTGTTAAAAAGAGATTCACAGTGGAAGATAACGAGGAACGTACCCGAGCTATCAGACGAAAAAAAAAGTTAATACGATATCTACAAAATGGCATATGGTCCTAGGGGCGGCTAAGTAACGAAGATTGCAGCATGATAATTTGAAGCTTCTTTGGGGATGGAAGAGTTTTGAACCTTTTGTGGTCCAATCATTAGCCTTCTCAAAGCCTCCACTATGATTATAGAAAGTACCAGTCTGTGCAGAAATTAGGCACCCATTTGCCATTCATTTGCTCAGCAGTCGTTTTCTTTTTGGCTAGAAAATAATTTCGTTAACATTAATTCATAAAAGTTACATCGATCATTATTCTCTTTCTTTTTTTTTTAATATCTTTAAAAATATTTCACCTCTCAAGTCACTTGGCTTGACTCACTGCTACTGTCACCCATTTTTGGCGCTCTTTATGAACAGTTCTGAGTCAGAAGCCGAAGGAAAAGGCGAAATATGTGACAATTTTATAAGTAGAAATGTAAACAAGGAATCTCAAAATATTGAACGCATGTACGGGCCTGGGACTTTATGTCCAATATCTCCACCGTTCCCCGTTAGCCTTTACCATCTTTGCCCACCCGAGGTTGTGCCTATGAGAACAGACTTGGTCTGGTACCGTTGTATAGTCAGGTTCCATAAATGGATCGTCCGAGTTTCTAAACGAAATATCTCTTTGGAGTTCTTATCCCTGTTGAAATCCGTTCCCAATCCAGGTGTCTTCAGTACCCAGTTACTTATTCTTAATTCTTTCATGCCATTTATTTTTTCTTACATATTTATACCATCTGTGTTCTTACCAGTTGTATTATTTATCTTAATCTTAGACTTTTTCAAAGCTGTTTTCCTCGACTAGGGGTTTTTTCCGTGCTCTCTTACTTTTTCGCAGACTATTATCTTTCCTTTTTTTGCATGTTTTTCTTTCTTTCTTTCCTCTCATATTTAGGCGGTTACTGTTTTTCTTTTCAACTGATTCTTCAGCTCTTATTGGGCCACCCATATTCCTTAGTGAACAAGGCCTAGAAAGATCCGCAATAAAATATTTTCACCTGTACGGACATTAACTTTAAGTACGACTGGTGTTTTCTTTTGTACTCTTTTAAAATACTTACCTAATATGTTTATTGAAAAACTAGATAATAGAAATTCCAAAAATACTGCGATAAATATTCTCTGAAATAAAAAGAAAAAGGGTAAAATTACTACTGCAAAAAAAAAAGATTGGCCAATTTCTCATATGTAAAGTATGTACTTTAGCTCTAAGTGAGAAAAGATAAAAAATTTAGCTCAATTACTTTGCTTTTTGTGAGTAAAGCACCTTAATATTGTGTTAAGCGACTCTATTCGCTGCTAGAGCCTGTATAGCACTAGAAAACAACACCAGACTTCAAATAAAATACAATAAAATGCTGCCTTTAAAGCTCCTTCTCTTTATTAGATAACTTGCTAGCTAATCCGTTAAACCATCAACGTAGGTGTAAGCCGAGTGAATTACAAAATTAGCGAAAATATTCTAACCCTGTTGTTTCATTTCCACTTTAAAGCTGGGCCCTATCCTTTGGATTCTTGAAGACATATCTACCTGCTATTTTTCTTAGATCGTATAGCATAAATTTTATAAAACGGCTCTTGGCTAACATGTATTACAATCTCAACTAAACGTATAAATTTGTTCTTTGCAAAAGATCACTATATGTGACATGATATCAATTGTTATATTAGCATATCAAAAAGTTTAGTATAAATATGAGTATTTGTCTTGAGTTTTCTACTTTACTTTATTTTATTTCACATATTGCACTTTTATATACAAGAAAGTATGATCTTGACCACCCTCAAAGACACTTTCATAACTAGTAGAAAAAAGTTAATATTCAAAACTCACACTCCTTTGTCTCAAAAAGACAAGTAATCAACTGCGAAAAGGTTGCACGGCATAACATTAAAGCCAAAGAAAGAATGTAAAGAGTGAAATACCGAAAATAAGCTTGATCCAGTAAAAAAAAAAGTATTCAGATCTCTACACATCTGCTTGTCCAGAGTATCTGTCCCATAGGTTTAGGATACGATTAGCAAAAAGGGTAAAATCGTGTGTTAAACTGTGTCTACCATTTGGTTACATAATGTAAGATTCTCTCCATGTCTCTGCAAACTCTTACTTGCGACAAGGTTTTCATATATGTTTTCTTAAGCGCATTATTGAGGCGGTAAACATACTAAGTTGTTCTTTGGACATGCTTACTTTAATAGAATAAGCTCAAATTCAAGTAAATTATAATGTAAATCTTCTTTTATAACAGTAAAAACCTTGGAAACAAAACATTATATTTAGAAATAATATTAATATAGATATCTTACTGCCCAATTGTTAATAACAGCTGTTTCTCTCTCTCTCTCTCTCTCTCTCTCTCTATCCCTCTCATTATCATAACAATCGTCTCCCTATTCCAAGCAAGTGAATAAGTTAAACACATATACGACAAGGCTACTACTTTTGGTAAAGAGTAGTTAAAGTCATATAGCAAGTTATCTGATGTATCGTGTTACAAAAACGACTTTAAATTACCATGTATAGAATTAAAGCTTTCAATAAAAAAAAGGGTGCACCCTAAATCAACTTAGCAGGTTTAAAAAACTGTAATACGGAAAATGCAAACAAAGTTTTCTGAACCTAATTTTATGTAGTTGATACAAACAATCTTCTTGGCTGGTAGAGGCAGCGTATTCATTTTTCACCAATGGATCTGCACAGTAGACTGGAGCGGTATTAAAATACATAGATAAATATATGTGCTCTCAGTAGAAATGCTATTACTTGTATTGAGACCTATTTGAATAATGTGTGATATTCTTGGATTTTTATTCAACCGCAAACTAGAAGCCGCCACCATGTAGTATGCTCCAATTGAAACATCATGACATTGTCTTCTTGCGCTTGAACTCCACTAATCTAACCATATTTGCATTCTTTTTTTTGGGGGATATGAAGATAGATGCATTGCTGCTGAAAGTCTTCGATCGTAATGTGTATCAGTTCTCTTTAGACTGTCATACGATTCGACGAACTTTATAAGGATACACACCTGCCAGAGAAATCACTGTCAGATTTCTTGATTTCAAATCCCAAATCAATTACTAAATGTTAACTTCTTAGAGTGGGTTCAAATCCGGACTTTGGGATGTGCCAGTAGTTAAATAGCTGAATCTCCTATCGAGATTTTTTTTATCACATCGTGTATATAGCCCAGTATGGCAGCTAGTGCCAGCTTCTTTGACTTTGAACATGTTACCATGTCCGTAAATTAATTTTGTGTGCCAGAGGATTCTACAAAAGAAAGTAACAGGAAAAGGTGTGGTCAAAGGAAAGATCCATTTTCGGGGGAAAGCGGCGCTGTTTCATATTGCTGGAGTGTAGTATAAAAGCGTTTGATGGTTCTTGCATTGAGAGTCTTGATTCTTAGCGATGTTCTACAAGTTTATTTGATTGCCAATCGTACTGTTTCCGTGTGGTTTATCAACTTTTTTGTGTGGTCTTATATTCCATTAGTGCGTTCTTGCCGTTTTTAATTGGGTTGTTTTTGTGTTTACTCGCTTCTGCCAATGCGGTCTCAGTATCCCTCAAACGTCCAGCGTCAACCTTTCGTTGCCAGTAGGGCTCCTAACTGTTGTCATGTGATGAGCTTCCTTCACCAGATATTTGCATTTCTGCATCTTCTTTAAACGGGTGTGTTCTGTCGGTACAGAGCTGTGTTGCCGAGTTAGTGGGGCCATAGTTACTGTCAATGGCCGTTCCGTATATATCCCTCATGTGGACATCAATACTCTTTGGGTTTTCAGCAGCCAATTCGGTTGCTCGTCTGTCTTCCGCTTCTTTTGAGACTTGTTGGGCAAGAGCCTGTCTTACCTTTTCCATGGTAATCGCTGTATGCTTTTACAATAGTTCCTCTATGGTGTGCTCATTATATTAATTAGTGGTCTGTGCGTCAAAGTTGACACATATTGGGATTATCTTTAGCAATGTGGCCATTCTCGCCAAGGGTACCAGATAGGTAGATCTTCCATGCCAGCTGTTTGGGATCGGAAAATATAATGAGAGACTAGCAGGACTATGGCCTCTCCATAAAAAAGCTTGTTGATGATGTGGTACACCCGGATGCGGGCAACTTTACCAAAGTGACGAAAGGTCTTCATTATCAGTACCTGGAGTTCTGCGTTTGTAGGGCACAGGAGGGGATGTTATAGAGGTTAATTCGAATGAGAGGGCTATCTGTCAAAATCCCGGGTGGTGCTAATATTTTTTTCGCCTTTAACGATGATGCCTTCGGTTATAGTCTTGAGCTGATTCTACTTAGTGTCTAGAAGAACTTCTGCAAGAACTTCGATATTTTTTTTGAAATTTTTGGGATGAGGCCCATGGTGTCTGGGAATTGCGATGTCAACATCTCAATCTCCTAATCGTCAACAATCTTACGTAAGTTAAATACTACGCACTCCGGGTTGAGAAAGCATGCCCAAATAGTAGTAGCTTGGTCTTAGGTTGCGAGTCTTTCGAATTATGGTGCAGTGAAGAGTGTTATTGGGGCTATTTCTTTGGGTCGTAGTTTTCCCTTGACAGGTACATGTTTTACTTTTATCTGATTCCACTGATTCTCATTACATATTGGGTATGAGTTTCTGTTTGTAGTTGACCTTGTAAAATTCAGGGCAAATGTATCCTGTATATCTGTATTATAACCTTTGTATATTCTTTGTGAATAATTTGGTTGCGGAGAAAGGTGATTTTGGCAAAAGGTCTATGTAATGCATATGCCTATATGTGTACTATATTATTATTATTATTTACGCGACTGCGAAACATTTCAATTCACTCCTTTTCTCGTATACCATTTATTTTATTTTATTTTATTTTTGGTTCTTTGTGTCTTAATATATTCCTGCCTTACCGCCAACATTAAACAAAATGCCTACAATGAATGACCGGTCATTTAGTATAATTACTGGTCGTCTGAATCCACCTTACCTTGCACGACAAGATGCGTTTCAGGTAGATGAGCATGAGAATGTTGTTTGCGTAGCTCCTATTGAAAGACCAAGACGGAAAAAAATGCCTGTTCGGGTGGCTATGCTTGGTCTGTGCCTGTACCTGTTCCTGGTGTGGGATTTATGTAAATGTGTTGGAATGAAGAAACTTCCGGGTGAGCTTTTCCCACCCAATCAGCGGGGAGAGCGAGTGGAGTATTTGTGGATCCCGGTAATGCACACTACATACACACACACACACTACACACACAACCACGCATTTATATGAGTACATAGTTCTCATGCTTGAAGTTTTTTCGCTCTCTCTCTCTCTTTTTCTTTTTCTTTTATTTTCCCTCTCTTTCTCTTGCTCTCTCCTTCTTCTCTCTTGCTTTGATTTCGTTATGGTATCTTGTACCCATTGACTTGTGGGGGCTATGAGTAGACGACCGATAGGACTTGCTGGTCAAAGACTACGACATGGACAGTCTTGAGTTTGATTCTGTGGATTGGGTTGCTTGGCACTGTCGACTTTGCCTTGGCATGTACAAAAGAATGGTTGCACCGAAAATAAATGGCAAAAATAAGTGAGGGTAGCAAAAGGGTTGAGATGATGGGTATTGTGCTAGTCTTGCCTGTTGTGCCAAGTTCTGCCTTATTGTGTGTGTATGTGTGTCTATGTGTTGTGTGTTGTGTGCGGAAGTATGGCTAGTAACAGCAACGGGCCACGTGCGGGGGAATGATGTGAGATGAGGGCCATTTTCTGAGTAAGAAAAAACGAGTGCAACGTGGTGGTTGAAGGTGGGACCAATTCTGTTTGGGTATTACGGAGATGGCATGGATAGAATGGAATGCTTTGTCGGCCACTAGACTGAACTGTGTGACACTCATCAAAAGACAGAAAAATAAGCGCCCATTTTTATTTTATTTTACTTTATTTTACTTTATTTTACTTTATTTTATTTTCTGAATTCTTGCCTCTTCTTTTTTTTCTTCTCCTCATGGACTCTCAACAACGCCCCGCCCGGAAGCCTCGCCCGCTCTTCAACATCTTCCGCAAGAACAAGCCTGTTGATGTGCCTCCACCCATAACAACTCTTGGGTCAGGCACAACTGCTGTTCTGATGTCTTCTATCGTCACCTCGGATGATCCTTACGCTCCTCATCCTTCCATACGCTCGCCACGCTCACCCGATCCTCGCAACCGTTACCACCAAACGATAGCTAATATACAACCACAACCACAACCACAGCCACAACCACAAAAACAATCAGATATTCGTCAAGAGCGCTCAACTCCTAATGATAAACCAAGCGGCAGGCCCCGCTCAAAATCAGTTGGCAGAGAAGCTCAGCGTGCTCCCCCTCGTCTATGCCATCGAAGTCTAACCGCCCGCGAACAAACACTATACAAACTATGCCAAAATGAGCAGCCTACACCGGCCAGTCTAGCCAATACCCCCCTCTCGCCCTCTCCGTCTCCCTCTCCGTCCCCTTCTCGATCTGCAAAAAGACTACAAACGCCAGCAGCACCGCCAGTTCCTCCAATTCCAGCCCATCACCAGTCGCCTCTGATGACGCCAATGAGCCCTCTCAGTCCAAACTTTGCTGTCCCTATTAGCCCGATTCCTATGCCATCTCTTCGCAAAGCATCATCAGCCCGCGATCTGCGAAAGATCACTCGACATCAACAAGAGGCTCAACAGCCGGCTCTGCACACAATGCCCACACTTCCCCCGATCATAAACGCCAATATGAACCGATCAAAATCTCTCAATGCACCCAAAAAGACATCTAGACGGCCTAAAGCTAGCAATAATAGCAATAACGGCGATGATGATGATGACATGCCACTTGCATCAACTCTTCTTCGACAGGCAAAGGCTAATCGATCACTCTTAAATGACGAAGAAGAGGAGGATGACAAGGATTTGGTTCCTATAGCGACATTGTCTGACTGTAGCCCACACAGAAGTCCTCCGGTAGGACTAAAGTCTGCTGCAGCAAAGTACAAGGAAAAAGTGAAGGAAAGACTTCAATTGGATGATGATGACATGCCTATCCAGATCGCACGGATGAGATCGAGGAACCCATTGGGGGGAGGAGTAGGAGTAGGAGCCGGCGTGTCTGACCATCATAACCATCATCAATGGATGCCCCAGCCAGTAAAATAATTCCAATACAAATATTTGTTTTCTTCTTTCTTACTTGTCTATACACAAACGCCTTGTGGCATTGAATGTCCGTGAGCTTTTCCCGTTCAATTTATATTTATATATTGCTCAAATGAACCTAAACAATAAATCTTGGCTAGTCGTTTTTTGTCTTTTTATTTATTTATTTATTTGCTGAGTCAAAAGGGTTTAATGCCTACTATATAATTATCCTTTTGTATAATTTATTTGATTCATTTGAATTATATAATTCGATATATATATTCGTATTATTGCTTCAATTTATCTCATTTACCCGGTAATATTCTTATAGTAATAAGCCTTTTTTACTTATTTATTTATAACTGTAAACTAATACCATATATTCTATCTAGACCCTGGTAACCACCGTTAAAAGCAAGATAATTCTTTATTGATATATATATATCACATTCAACTTTATTCGATTCAACTACAAGATAATATATAATATATACAACAGCAACCAACCAACGGATCTTTGTAAATTTCTTTTTTTGGAAGTATACAACCAATAAGCATTGGAATATATACTGATACACAAGAAAATACAGCGCTTTGCGTTTGAAAATAGAATTTTTAGTATCACCAATTTTTTTTTAAAAAAAAAAAACTAAGAGGTTCTTGAGAATAATAGTATTTTTTTTTTGACAATCAATAAAGGTTGGTGGTCAATTGAATACCCTTTGCAAAAAAATACTCTTTTCTCCTTAAGCCAATTAAATTGATTTACCATTATCATTTCAAAACAGAACAGAACAAAAAAGAAAGGTACCTCTTCAAAAGAGTTTATATGTATTTATATATATTACTCTTTTAAAAAGGATATGATTTAATTTTGCGCAGTCTAAATATATCAGAAATGTGATGAAATATTCGCTCTATCTTGTATTCGATACACGCGCATATCAGAGCAATATTTCTTATTTTTCTTTTTCTTTTTGATTAAGAAGTTATTTATTCTTTTTTTTTTTTAAAAAAAAAAAAGAAAAGAAAAAGTATCTCAATCAGATATTTCTGTGATTAAAATATGCTCTGTATGTATCTCAGAAATCACAACTTTTACTTGGCGTTTCTTGAGTTTGTATTCTTCATGTTGTTTCTTATTCCTGGTGTAGTATATCTACACTTATAAACACCATAATGCACCTTCTATCTTAATGTTCGATCGAATTTATATCTCTTTAGCCTAATCGTAACCTACGGTTACTGTCAATAGAAACGTTGGCGGCACCAAATGAAAATATTTTCGAGATACGCTAAGCTAAATATCACATTTTATAGGATATTTTATCACGAATTTCTTTATTTTCATATGCCGTAAATATTTATGTTATTTTATTTATCAGATATGCTTTTCTTTACTAAACGTACGATTAAGTATACGTAGATCTAATTCAATTAAAAGCTTGCTGTTCTTTACTATAGAATAACCATATATTGTTATTTTAATATATTCTAAGAGTTTTTATTATATAATTACTGATGGTTCTCTAGTCTAGAAGAAGAAAAAGTATATTATAAGGTAATAGGTATATCTTTTATGGTTATTTCAAAACTTATATTTTCAAGCCTTATTAGATAGTTACTTTAGATATATAAAAGAAAAGAAAACTATTGGCTGACCAAATATTATACGATTAAAAAAAAATTAGAAAGAAAATATGTGATTATAAGACACGCTATTATTTTCTTAAATTGTATAATAGGCGCCTTAATATATTTTATATGGTGTTCAAAATGTATATTAAATAAAGCAAAATAAAGAACAATCAAAATACACAGGTTATTTAATTTAATTTATTTATTTATTTATTTTAAAGAAAAAAAGAATATTCTATTTCCTATTTACTTTGCTTGATTTTTATTTTATTTATTTTTCACGTGTATAGTATATGTCTGTTTGTATTTTCATTAATAGTCTTTAATTCATATTTTGACACTTCTTTACACGTTATTATCTAAACATGGTTAAGAGCATAAAGCGGTCTTGCGCGGTCTTTTCTTATTTTTATTTTTATTTTATTTTATTTTATTTTATTTTTTAAGTTGAAGCCGACGGGCCCATCCCTTTTTATATGTATATTTTGGTTTTTGTTCTATAAAAAGAAAAGGAAATGGCCAAAGAAAGGGATATTGAAATATATATAAATGTATATCTTCATAGTATATATTTGTTTGGCTTACAAAAATTGCAAAAAGGAGGCGTGCTGAGCAGCCTTTAAACTATCCTCAGCCAGTTAAATACTATAGTATTACTGTGATGAAGATGATGATATATATATACTTGTTTAATTTAATATGTTTTACTTTGTCGGTCTAAACATTTTACCCTATTGTCTATTCAGCATCTTGAAATAATGATAGGTCAAGTTTGAGGGAGAAGTTATTTATTTATATACACAATTAAAAGGGAGTGTATTGAAGGTGTATATATATATATATATAATATATCTAATAAATAAATAATGGATCCTGTATAAAATACTTTATTTCTTATTTGAATACTCCCATTTGTTGAAAGAGGATCGGGTCGGATTCAATTGTGTACGATGATCTTGCTCGTATCACTTGTGATACACTTCTTCTTTCTTGATTTCCTTTGAGACTTGCCGCTTTATTACTATTATTACTTTTATATAAAAGTTCCGCACAAAACGCCCGGTTTATTTTATGCTTTATTACCATTTTAACATAAAGAATATTCTACTGATGATGATAACAAAACCTTCTTGTATTTTTTATAGATATAAATAATAAGCCTGTATACATATATGTGTGTGTGTAAAGAGACAGGCTTCTAATAAGTACTCCAATATAAAAACTTTCTCCAATCATGCTTAAATATATATATATATATATATATATTAAAGTATATATTGGTCTGGGACCCCCTCCCTATCTTGATAACCAATCCAGAAAAGAGAAAAATTATTCCCTCTCCCAAAAAATATACATCTATACATGTACATATATTAAAAGAGAAAAACTGTCTGTGGGTCCGTTAAGATGAGGTGAGGTGAAATGAGTTAAAATATACATCTTTGAATATTTTACTCGCTCTCGTCATTGGACAATTATTGTATTGAAAGGAATTAATTCTTTGATTCAAGGTACTCTTTTTTTTTTCGAGTACACCCTTGAACAGATAAAGGAAGATAAATTATGTGTATAGAAATGTTTTCATATCATGAATAAGTACAATTACTTTATTATACATACAAGCAACATACGCTGGTGTTTAGACAATCTATAATGGGCGATTTCGATTCGATCTTCAAAGCTTACTTGGTTTTATGATAAGCCATTTGAAATGAATAACCAGGCACTATACTAAAATTTAAAGGCGCCATATTTGTTAGATATTCTTTCTTCTTCTCCAATCCATTCTATCGATTTAATACATGTATAATAGCCAAATTTATCTCATAGTCATGGTCCTTCTTTCTCAATTTATTGTGTTCAATTGTCGCAATTTTGAATAGCGAGATTTAGGAGGAGGATTCATCTATCTACTGAATTCCAAACCCACAGATCACCCCCAATTTGACTTATATATAATATTTATAAAGGGCTATTCAGATCCACATTAATATAAACAGACAATATTTATCAACTTTGAAAACAAACTCTAATCAAACATTTATTTTTAAAAGAATACTCAAAGGTTCGTTCAATAGCCAAAGAAAAAGAAGCGACCCAATGTTTGACAGTTTCTAATCACCATGACTATAAATTCCCCTTGTGTGTTTGATACCCATACTTAATTGTCTCCCCGGTTGGTACGGGTACTGTATTTGCTATTAAGCAAGAGTAGCAACCATCTTCCTTTTTCCTTTTTCTTTTTGGGCTCACAAATATACAGATGTATGTGTACGTATGTCAAATATCGCATGGTTTTTAGCATGTTGTGAAACAATGAGAAACTTGTACACTACCTCTTTTTTTTTTTGAAAGCATGATCGATCTAGAAATTTATTCTGACTGTACAAAAGCAAGCATTGTATTGAAAGCATAGAAATATAGTGTCAATATATAAGAAGAAGATGTATAATATCAAGCTTGCCTTCATTTACTACCAATATTATTGATATATTGCTCTGTTGGTCTTATCGCAGAATATAAAAAAGAAAAGAAGGTATTTGTATTCAAACAGGTGCGTGTCATTGTAGAGTACAAGGGCGGTGAAAACACTCTGGACAAGAAGAAGCTTTTTTAAACACGACGAGTGTGGTACATCCAATACTTCTTTCCGGATACCACGAAAGACACCACCCCGGAATTTTCTTTGAATACCCGCATTCTTGTTTTGTTTTTAGTTTCCTCTTTTCATCTACGCGGGCATCTTTGAATTAAGAGATCATGTACATAGTACTCTTGATAAAGGAATTATAGCTTATTTAAATGGGTATCAGCAACATTAACAGCATTTTCTTCGCCCTCTTCTTTTCTTGTGTTCCTTTTAATCTCCATTAGGATAGACTTGTCCTACTTCTTCGCTTGGTTCCTCTGATAAAGTAAGAAACAAAATCAATGCCGTAATTTGTGTACCTGTAGTTTTCTTCTTCTTCTTTCTTCTTTTGGGATTAGCGGATGAATCGATTCTCTTGTGTAATCTCGATCTCTCTCTCTCTCTTTTTATATTTTATTTTGAAAAAAAAGCGAATCAAACATAAGATCGGTATCAATATCCACTCAGATATATTAAGTCATGACGTTTAGCGTAAATATATTGTTTAGAATAATAAGAACAACATATTGCGATTGAATATTCTGTCTTGTAAATAACATCGAACAAACCAACTGTCAATTTCTCTTCACAGTTTAGCTAATACAGTCATTAATATGAAGTAATTACTCATGCTGTTACTGTGAATATAATTACATGCGCACACATATACATATATACATACATGCATGTATTTATTTATTTATAAAAGAGCATTGATAAGGATAGAACAAGTTCACAAACACAAAAGCAAAGGTATAAAATACGAGTATACATGAAAACCACTGTACACCTTCCTCGGTACCATTTTTCCAAAAACAAATACAATTTTAGAAAGATATATATACATAAGTATGTATGTATGTATGTATGTATGTAATTATTTGAAACAAATTAGAATGATTATTTTACCAAGAAGCTATCCGAAGAAAACAATTTCGATTTGTTCCCCCCAGATGTCCGTAGTTTCTGTCTATTTTATCCAATTACTTTGAACACATAGATTATTTTCCTTTCATATAAAACGCCCACTAACAGCTTGATATCTATACCAAGTAAACAAATGACTTGACACATGAATATTGGCAACTCACAAAGAAGTAAAAAAAAAAGCAACCTGTCAACAGCAACAATAAACAATGAGAATGTCACATATTACTCTCACTCTTCTTTTTCCTTCAAAGCAGTCTCATTTTTTTCTTGACAGTTTTAGGAGCTGCCTCTTACGACCAGACAAATAATTTTTATAAAAAAAAAGGCACACGCACATACAAGACTCATTATTTCAATCGGAATGACAGAGCCTTACTCTACAATGCAGACTAATTATGGTGTACCTCAAATTCCAACAAACCATCCTATACCTACCTACGCGCCTCCAGAGACTTCAGCCGAGAACGCGTTCGAGAAGGAATTTTGGCTCAAGACACTCTCATCAGTTCAACAGGACTCATTCGATTTTAAGGTTCATCAATTACCCTTGGCTCGCATCAAAAAAGTCATGAAGTCAGATGAGGATGTAAAGGTAGAATATACATGAGCTCTTATTTGATCATGTCTAACTGTGATGTGTCAATTCAAGATGATTAGTGCCGAGGTAAGAGACTTCAACTACACACATACGTTATAAAAATTAAAATAAACATTGCTCATCGTCTCGAAGGCACCAATCTTGTTTTCCAAGGGTTGCGATGTATTTATTGCTGAACTCACTCAGCGTGCCTGGTAAGTTAATATAAAGAAGAAAGATAATAATAGGATGAAGAAAATTGTGTGTATATATACATATATAATTAAATGAAAATAAATAAATAAATTAGGAAGCATGCAGTAGACAACAAACGAAGAACCCTGCAGCGCTCAGATATTGCTGCTGCAATCTCAAAATCAGACATGTTTGATTTTTTGATAGACATTGTACCTCGTGAAGAACAGATTAGACAGACAAAGCCTGAAAAGGTAATATTTTTTATATACACACATAATTTATTTATTTATTTATTTATATATAAAAGGTCCAACTTGGCTAATGATACTTATATATGTACTTACAATTATTATGATGAATACTAGCCTTCTCTCGAATACCGTGCTGGAACCCAACCCAATTATCCTAATTTTAACTATTGTATTCCTCAAGGACACTATGGACTGGTACGTAAAAGTGTGAAATTTAAATAACCTCCTCACCTACCAAAATTGTAATAACCGAAACAATTGAATAGAATGAGCAGGTATCCATGGACAATCTTCAACAAGCTCAATTGGCACTTCAACAACAACAACAACAGCAACAGCATATCAATCCTCACACCCATCAACCCATGTATATGCCACATCAATTACTGAATCACCCGATGTATCGTCAACCAGGTCAATCAGAACAACAACCAGAACATCAAAACTATGCTATCCAAAACCATAGCGCTCCCAATGGATCATCACAGCCATCTTGAATATCCCAAAAAAAATAGCACAAACGCAGGAACTCTCTTTTCTTTCTTCCTCTCTCTCTTTCTTTATTGTTTTATTACATAGAATGACACATTAATAATACTTATAGATTATAAACAACTTCCCTACTCTATTTTTTCTTAGAAGAAATATAATAAATTATTTAACAATTGCAGACAACCGAATCCCATAGAGTTTTCTTTACAACAAAACATTGCGGATAAATCATGTAAACAGGAGTAATAAGGCCAAGATCCAAGATTGCCTTGAACGGATCCGTAAACTAAATACTGTTATATAAGGTTTTACGAGGCAGACGAAGAGAAAGACTATAGTACATTGTGATGTCCCGTTGTGATATATCACATTCAACTCATCCATATCAGCCGTTTTACTTATACTTGGTTGTATTTAACAAAGGTACAAATATTGTGACTGACTTTTTTTGGCATGCCCTGCTCAATCTTATTACAGTATTTACCACTTTGCACACCTCTATTTACACTGCCTATTTTTGAAAGATATAGTTCAAAAAGATCTTTTTTAAAAAAAAGGCACACCATTTTGTGCTACTGCTTATACAAAGTTCCCCTAATAATCTACAGCCTAAACAAAATCCCTGCTTGGAATATTTAATCTCACTTATTAGACTTTAGTATATACCAAGATTTGCATTAACACTACGGGAAAAAAGGGGTGTTTTTTGTAATTGTGACTTCATTTTTGGCCTATAATAATTAAAAAATCACCAAAAAAATCAAAATGAAACAAAAAATTCCACCACCACAAAAATTGGAAGCCAAATATGGTAGGGTATGGTACCCAAACAATATTATTGGCCTAGAGAATTTTTCTTTCTATAATTTCGTGAGTTGAATATTTTTTCTTCCAAATAAAGGAGGAAAGAAGGTTTGGTCCTACTTCAAACTTTTTTGATCACAACAAAAAGCTGTTCAAGTAAGACAAAACATTGAATAAGGAAATGCGGAGGCTGTATTGTGTAATGAAAAAATAATTCTGTTAAAATTTGGTAAAGGCAACGATTTTCAGCATATAAAACGACTTTGTCAAAATTTCAAATAAGAAAAAATATACGATTTTTTTATTTCTTACATAATATTAGTAAAGAATGTCTAGCAAAGACAGCCTTCTAAGGCACGACTCAACCCAATGAAGATATAAATATATACACATATTTTTTTTAATAAGTTACAGCTGTAATTTCAATTGTTTGCTATTAGAACATACCTCTTTAACTTATAAAAATAAGGCAAACCGAGAGAGAATGACTTAGCGTTTTTTTTAAAAACATTTCTACGAGTTGCAATATTGATATTAAAAGCCAGTAGACCAATGAGAATTTTTTAAATCGATTTTGAACAAGTGTGGGATCACGTCCTTCGCGTTGTTTCTTACTCTACTTTACCGACAAAAGTTTGTTCATTACGTGTTTTTACATATAGTATATTATCGTTTTAGGAAACGTGTCTATATATTCTTGTTTTTGAGGTATGTATAATAAAAAAGCAATATTGTACTTTGTAATGCAGTTATTCATCTTGGGTCTCATTAGCTGACAATTAGCCTTTTCATCATCTGGTCAAAATGAGTTGAGGTAATACCTGCACACCTAGTTTACAAAGTAATTGAATACTAACCATCTTTTATTCATTTTTACTTGTAGAGATTCTAACTTTTATGAAATTCATCTCGGCAAACTCAAAGGTAAGCTTTCATTTGACTTATATTTTTAAACTGGAAATACTCATTCATATTTGTATTTTACTAGATTGCTCTTGTACTCCACTATTACGGGTGCTCTCAGGTGCTTTTGTCTTCAAGAATTATAAGGGATATAGACTCCATGACCCTATCTTTAGCTTAGAATAACTAGATTTAATTTATTATATATTTCTGCTCATAAATTATATGGTGTAGCTATAGCTTAGCATTTTTTTCTACTTTGAAACAAAAAATAAAAACCAATTTATTTGAAACACAATTTTTTTTGAACCATTTTTTTTGAAAGCGCATTTTTAAATCCGTGATTTATTTCGACCAGAATTTATCGCAGATAATTGTGTCTATATATGGGCATGTAAGGTACATCTATATTCCTACACAAGAAATTTCTCTGGCGGTTATTTGTTAAAGAGCGGAGTTATAAACTAATCCATAACAGGCAGGAGGTGAAAAAGTGGGTAGGCGAAAAACACCCACCTGGACGACCTCCTGAGCGGACCCCCAGTGAATCCCCGGAAGCACCTCTTTTTTTCCCGTAGTGTAAGCAAATTTTGCATTAAACAAGAAATAAAGATTTATATTTTTGTACTGTATCTAATTTGCAGTAGTGTAATATCCATTTTTGGGAAAATACACGAATTTGACTTTTTTTTTTTAAAGAAAAACAAAAGGCCACACTAATTTTCATTGAACGGGTGGGTTAGTCGACACTGCTTTAGGAATATAAATAGCCTCTTAACATTACCACAATGGATCCTCTTACTGCTGACGCAAGAGCCGATTTGGAGTCAATTCACTCTCTTGATCTCCTTCGCACAGCCTCTCCTGGAAGCAATGCACCTTCGATAAACGAACCTTTACGCTATGCAAATTCTGAGCCCATCTCCCCATCGCTGAGTCAAGATGATCCTCATCGACGAACCTCATCGAACCCAACTCCTCCTCAATTACCTGCGCGCTCGCGCTCTTTAATATCAGAACCAGCTACTCGTAAACGATTGTTGTCTTCAAATGATACTAACAGTGCAAGTGCGCTCTTGGGTCATTCTCTAACCAGCAACGCCCTGTTTTATGATATTCCTGTTGTACGCATACATACATTCGAACATATACATATAAATATATAGACATTTTGGAATTAATATTATTACTATTATCTGTGAGAGTGTATTGACTATTGTTCTCTTTGTTTTTTTTCTTTTTGTGTATGTGTACATATACGCATTCAGAGCGATGCTTTTTCTGAACTCCTAGAACGACATATTCCTCCAGAAGAACGCCCCCAAAGAGATAATGCTGTTGGCGTTGATGTAGAAAAACCAAAAGGGCCTGATGTTCTTGTAGGGTTAGTGGTAAGAAACGGGAAGAATTGAATTGAAATGAAATGAAATGAAAGAAAAACAAAGTATTTTAATTACTTGCTTACATCCACGTACAAATAACATGATATATAATAGATGAATAATATGTGGAGATCCGTTGCACGATACGCTCGCCAAAGACTTGTTCAAATAGATCCTTTAGACCTCGACACAATCCTTCACGCAAGTATTAACTCTACATAATAGCACAGCTTTAACTATTACTTTCTTTATATATATATGTGATCGAATCCATGACTAAGAAAAGACAGATTATGAAACACAAAATACACCCACACACAAAAACAAAAGTTGTGGTATATTCGACTCTTGGCTTTGACAAAATTAGGACTTCATCAACTTGCATCGGCTGAATTCGAGAAACTAGGAGATCTGAACCGGCCAGAATTCACAGCCGAATATCATTCTCAGCTTTATCCTGGTCGTACTGGTACACTGATACCATTTGAACTCTGGGTCTTGTGGGCATGTTTACCTGCATGGTTAAAATACCCATTGATGTCACTTGAACGTATTACTATGCTAGCGGTTTTCTGCAAGAAAGTGAGTAAAGAGAGTATATGTATGCAAAAAATGTCAAGATGGAAAATGCAGCAAAATAATAACGTAATCCACTATGCACGCAATTGTATATACTTAATACTTCTACTTAACCAGATGCAATTCAAAGATAAAGAAAAGGCTACCATGTGGAAAAAGAGAGAGATGCAGGTCTATCTTGTATTATCTACTCAATTGATGGAAATGAATGATTTCTCAACCGCAGCATCTACCATGGAAATGGTATTGAATAACTTTGCCACATCTGAGGATGGAAAGCAGAATATCGATATTCTTTCTGGATTAGGTAGACTTTACTTGCAGGTAATTATATACATATCTACACAGCTATTTAAGTATATCTAAATATTTCAATATGCACACGTGTGCATTTTAGCTTGGAGATTATTTTTCAGCCGAAAAACTTTATAAGCGTATCGAGGACCAAGAAAGTCAAGATAATGATCCATCAGTTAAAGAAGCTATCCTGACCAACAAGTGAGTCATTGTGAGTTATATTTCTTCAGTTTTTAATAATGCACTTTATTTTAATTTTTTATAGGGCATTTCTGTTTATGGCTGATGGTGAATGGAGCCAAGCTAAACGTTTACTTCAACAAGTATATGATGCTAATGCTGACAATCTACTGGTATGTTAACATTGTCTGATATACATGTATAGACACACAGGCACAATAACATCAAACCAATATATATATATGCCTCGCGCTTATCCTTATATATTGTGTAGGTTGTTAATAACTTGGCTGTATGCGAAGTCTATCTTGGTCAATTAAGTAATGCGATCGATCTTTTGGAGAGGCTCACAAAGGATAATCCAACATCTGCAGGAACTTGTGAGACTGTTCTGATGAACTTGTGTACGCTGTATGAGCTGCGTTACGATTCAGCTGTAGAAATGAAGATCGGTGTACTCAAACAAGTAGCCCGTTGGGTGGGAGATTCTTTCCACGCCGAATGTATTAAGCTTCAATAATTAGGCTATATATATAAGCTATACTTTCTTCTTACTATCTCCAAAAGTACATCCACGCTCAATACCACATGCTTCTTCTAGTCTCTTTTTAAGGTGGTTCCAGAAGCTTTCGAATAAATTTCTGTCTTCACCTGCCATCCAACTCATTTTTACTATTGTATCTAATTCTGTTCTGCTAGCATCACTATTATTATTTGGGATCAATTCACACCGAAAACCAAATAGGCCATCGCAGTCTCGAGGTGTGACACAATTCTTCTTGCGTCTGGCAGCTCTTGACCATGTGTTGGCTTTCGGAGAACCTTCCAAAATAATATGATGGCCATCCTCTTGATTGAATTTGATGGCAAGATCTTGCAATATATCAATTGTCTTTGAATGAACATGCGAAATATCCTTCGGTAGCTGAATAGTGAATTGAGACTTTGGTCGGTAGAAATCAAGACTTCTTGCATCCACCTTTTTTTTTGTTAGTGTATTAGTGTATTAGTTAGTTGAAATATTCAATAAATAATAATAATAATAATAATAATAATAATCTCGACAGGACAGAGGCTTTTGTTTCTCCTGACTTGTATTGTGTATTTAAAGCTTCTTACCGCTCGTTGTGTGTCAAATGACCACCCAATAGCCCATCTCTTCGTCTTTCCCTGATTGAATTCAGTCACCACATAATTGTTAATCTATGATATGCATATATGTAAAGAAGATTGGTTAGAAGGATTCCAATAAGATCTTCGTGAGTATTGCTACTTTACATTTAGATCCTTTAGAGTGTTTACAATTGGTTTGATGGTTTTCTTTTGTCCAATCATGCTGGTGTACCACCTAATAGATAGATATGATATATAGACAATTATAGGTCATTCCGCTTTCTATTATCAAGATTTCTTTCATATTCTTTTTCACAGCTGCGGTGAACCAACAGTTCCCGAGTATAATAATAGATGGAGCAGTAGTGATATACCAAAGAGAATGTATGATCCAATTGACCTTCTTATTTTCTTTGACAAATACTTACTTGATTCGGCCTTTGTGCAAGATACTTTCTTTAATCATACGCTCAATAAATCCGTATTCACCACCTTTTGTAATCATCTCTCCTTTTGTACCTGTGCATATCTTTATTTGTTCTTGTATTTAGATTCGATCAAGATATGTGCCTATAGTTTATTACATACTTACTGCAGATGGTTCTAATAACTTTGCTTGAGAATTATCTTTAATCTCATCTTCTGATTCATAGAATGGAGGATTGCACATACTAAATGCAAATCTAAACATAAAAATAAAACAGTCAATGTTTTGTATATATTATGTGATGTGATGTGATGTGATTTTACCTTGAATTTAAAGGTATCTTGTCCCACAAGAATATGAGGTTAGGATCCGTGTTGTGTATCAAGGTGATACGATCCTGTAATTGATTTCTTTCTACGTTCTTTTGCGCATATTCTATTGATACTTGGTCGATATCTTTTTACATATGTATATTGTAAAGCATATTACAGTTGTGAGCTTTATTGTATAATACACTACACTTATACTTTATACAGATGTAAACCTTTACAAAAGAAAATAAAAGGCTATAATTACCCGTTCCAATAAAGGACCATGTAGGATCACTGACGCAACCTAAAAGTGGATAAATACAAGAAGCACCAACGCCACTTATTTTTATATACATTTTTTTTTCATAAGTATCAAATTTAAGATTCATTATAAAAATCAATGGGATTATACAGATTGGATAAAATATTTACATATCCATGCCCAGAATGTGATCTGGTTTATCTTGCATGGTTTCTTTGAGTAAATCTTGTAACCAAAGGATGTAATTGAGTCTGTGCAGCAGTTAAATATAACATATATATATATATCAGAGCAACATTAATCAATAAATGAATAAATGAATAAAATACTCAATTAATCAACCAAGAATGTCAGGTTACAGTGTTTCTTTATTGGTACTGAAATATTATCTTGTACCTGTTGGGAACAGTGGGACAGAGCCTATCCAAGGGAAAATCAACTTGAAGACCAAAATCACGTTCAAGCAAGGCAATTGTCAAAGCTCTTTATTCCATTATTCAAAAAGAAAGATCAATAAATAAAATTTAAAGAAAACATCGTCCCTTTCATACCACTTGAAATATTTTGTGCCTTTACTATTCTTATTTTGAATATTCTAATTATTTACCGACTTGCTTCTGGATTTTTGAAGTCAATGTATGGATTTGATTCTAATCCACAAACACTAGAAAAGAAATCGCATCACAATGATAATTATTATATATTCATAATTATCTATTTATTTACAATGGCTGCAGTTCAGGACATTCTTTTGCAAGTTGTTTGAAATTGGGTGGGTTGTTCTTATACTGATTTCGCGGATGCATGCCGTGAATGGATCCACCCAAGTCATCCAACTTTGCAATGTCTGCAGTTCGTTTTGTCATTCAAAGATCGAAAAAGAAATGCAAATGAGAAAGAGACAGATAGAAGATGATGCTGAGATTGGATTGTGCAAATTATACGTTTATATTTTTATATATTAATATTAATATATATATATATATACAATTGACATTAGGGGATTGATGAGGCATTCAAAAGAATGGATTCTAAATTATTTGAGCATGAGTTTCATTCAGAGACGAATCAACTGCGTAAAGACAACAAGAACATGTTAGTTTCACTCCTACTACTTCTTCTTTTGAGCAATAGAAAATTACTACTGCTATTATCATTATGTTTGACTGACAAGATACAATATAGTTTCAATCGTCTAAAGTCAATCGAGGAAGATGCTTCATTTGTTAATGAGATCTTGGAAATGTTTCCTACATTGGCTGCAATTGGTTAGATCAATATTTAAATTAATGAAAAAAAAAGAAATGTTAGATCTTGTTCTAAAGGATACTGACAAACTCTGAAACGAAAACAAAACACAATGAAATGAAACGAAATGAAATGAAATGAAATGCGATTCAATACGATTTGATAAAATATAAAGCCAATGAACGTTGTGGATCGTGGTATATTGACCGTTCCAAGGTAGAATACTACTTCTTTTTAAAAATAAAAGATAAAATTGAATACAAAAAGAACAATACAACATAATATAAAATATCTTGTTGCTGTTGTTGTCTTTTTTTTTCTGTTATTTGATTGTTAGCTTACAAGTAGTGTACGTTAACACAAAGGTTTTGTGTAATTAGCGAAAAGTCTATTCAGCCTATTTCAAATCAACCGATGGACACACTGGTCAATGGGATTTTAACCTGAGAAGAAACAACCTTAGCTTAATCAGAACAATTGCTACCCATGGAGGGTAAATATTGATTTTAATATAAACACACACGCAGAAAGACAACAATCTAATAGTAATAAATTCTATTGTATCCCTTATTAAACAATACTATATATAAAAGGTGTGTGATTGTTGATTCTACTCGTCGTGGTAAGAGGATCCCAGATGCCTTGTCAAAGACCGTTCCTATATGGTGTGCTGTCATCAACCGAGCACTGGCCATCTATCGTTCTCGTGCTAGTCTTCCTACTCTAGACAACTGGGACACTAGTTTCTACTCCTTGCCATCAATTGTTTCCAGATCAGAGGATTCGCAGATTACATCTAAACTTGACATGTTTGCTGAACGTTTATTGGTATTAATATCACTATTATTATTAACATTACTGTGTTGATGATTATCACTTATAACCCTTATTAAATTTTAGAGCTCAGGTGTAGACATGCAACCCCTTGAGGGTCTTCTTCGAAAGCCGCTGAGACCACTTTGGTTCACTCCCCAATCCTCATTGTTTGCAAACGCACCTGATTACGGAGATGCAACATTCTGGCCTGTGATTTGCTTAAGTGCTTCGCAAGCAGTCGAGTCGGGATGCCAAGCAAGATCAGGTTATCTCTATGTTCAAGGTTCGGGTGACGACCAAGAAGCGTGGTGCTTGGTAAAAAAAAAGCAATCAATCAATCAATAGATGTAAATCAATATTTAAGGGTTTTTTTATAAAAAAATAATAACATCTAGGGACTCACACACAGCCTTTTCTGGAAAAATCGAGAGGACTTATTGGATGTCAGTAGTGCTGTAGAATGTGAAGACAAGGTGCGAGCCTTGGTAAAAAGCTCAAAAGGACATATTGAAGAGGATGAAGAAGGAGACCAAAAGTACCATTATATTTCAAACACTGGTATTGCAGTTGGTACTCGGACCAGTGGCAAACCTCCAATGTGCTGGAAAGAGTTTGACGTCGTAGTGAATTGTACAACTCTTGAATATAACGAAAACAAGCTTGAAGAACACAAACACCAATACATACAATTACCGATCCCGGAAGGAAAGAAAGGTCAACAGGCTTTGTTTGATCATATTGGGATTGCACTTGCATTTGTGCGGCAGCCATTGCTGGAGAAGCGCAGAGTTTTGGTGCATTGTGCAAAAGGTTGGTATTGACTTATTCTGATGGATCTTGACTCATTTTATTTTTCTTAGGACAAGACCGGTCAGTAGGGATTGCATTGGCTATTCTTGTAAAATATTTTGACCAGAAAGGTAATATATATATATATAAAGGTCTTTAAATCGTGCCTTTTATTTTATCTTGTTTAACAAGGAAAAACATATGTAATACATTTTAGGTGTATTCCAACCCGAGGGAGTCGGTCGTGGTAAGGAACCCTGTCATTTTCAAGGTTAATTTGATTTATTTATTTGTTAAATAATACTTTGCATATGTATATATATTAGTGGATAAACAAGTGATACAGCACCACCTACTTTCTATTATTTCTAGCCGTCCAAAGGTTCGTTTTAAATCTGGGTTACTCGAAAACTAATGATGATCATAGGCATCTCCTTCAAGAGCTACGCTGAAGAAGATCAATACTTATTTTATGAGCAGCTCTTCTACTGCACATGACTAAGCTCAGCCAGACAGCGCATTGACTTTGGAGAACAAGATTCACTAATCAAAATAATTATAATTATAATAGACTTTGTATACATTACAACAAACAAAAATATAGTTCCCAGGCTCCAAAAATTAAAAATAAAAATATAGCTGAATATTCAAAAATATACCATGGGGTCGAAAAACATAAAACAAAAGCCAAATCTCAAGATTCAACTATCATTATTATTATTATTTCCCCTACACACACACACAAACACACAAAGAACCCTTTGTCCCCCAAAAATCCCCTCTATCTTTATTTTTCCTTCCCCCCTTGCAAATACGTATATTATAAACTTGCTTTATAATGACAAATAGACAAGTATCTTATGTAGCCATTCAAATTTATGCTAAATCTTGTTGGTTGTCAGGGTCCTATTGGTTAGAAACTAATTCTCTGTCTGTCTGTGTGTATGTCTATGTTTTTTTGTTTTTTGTTTTGACATTTTCTTTATGCCGCTAATATATGTACATATATTTTATATATACAAGGTCAAGGTCAAGGTCAAGGTGAAATATATATATATATATATACCAAAAAACGTGCTCTAATCAGTAGAAGCATACGAAGAGAAAGACAACGACGACGGTGCCTAGTCTTGTTTGATTACACACGTGTGTAAAAGAGCTGGGCTGTTTGGAGTTAGTGATAAATTAACTTGACGGGTTACCATGAAATGAATCATTTATTATTATTTTTCGCGCCTAATTTTTTATATGTATAGTATCTATATATATACATTCAATAGTCTTTATGAAATAATTATCTTGTGCCGAAGTAACCCCCAAAGTCTCTTATCAAATGACTCGATCGTGATGTTACAAGAGCCTTTTTGTTATGTAAAGATGTGACCATGAAATCCCAGGATGAAGTAATGACTTCAACTCCATTAAATGCATGTCACATGGGTAGGACAATTAGAAGATAGATAAAGGCCAAAACCCTTTTTCTTAATTCGATTGCTCTTGGTTCCGTTGGCTAAGCACGGCCAAAAACAAATCCCCTTGCTTTAAAAAACCTCACTACACTACTTTACTTTGTTATATTCCGTTGGTTTTATTCCCAATCGACGACCTTATTCTCCTTTTTCAAAGAACACAATATCTCCAAACGAAAACCTTGATATCTTTTTTTTCTCAGAAAAAAAAAGATCAAGATACCCTATCTTTTCTCCCTCATCTTTTCTTTTTAATTCATATGCTAGACTGGCTCTCTACTTGGTTATCTCCTCAAGAGCAGAAGCAGCAGCAGCAAGAAACCTATCGCCATGGCCTTGATCAATATGAAGAAGACGGTGACTGGATTCAAGTATCCCCAGTGCCCAAAGAACCACAGCAATTACAGCCTGTCCCGAAAGAGGCCATCCTAGATGACATTCCAAAGGACCCAATTTCAATTAAAAGCCCAGGTCCTGAACCCTCAAATAAAAAAGAAACCTCGTCAGAGAACAATGATTCATCTTCTTCGGCCAAGCATCTCTCAAGACAAGAACGGCGCTATCAAGCCCGCATGGCACTCAAGGAAAAGAAACTTCAAACCCGGCCCACACCCTGCCGACCCAATGCCACAGTCAATCACTGTCTATCCTCCACCAGGACTATGTCCATCGAGTGTTAAATAATCTACTTCTTACACAAAAACAAACAAACATATATACACTCATAAAGGATGAATAAATATAGTTTCTTCCCTTTTTTCTTTAAAAAAAAACTGCAATCATTTCATGGAAAAGGAAGAATTTGGTAAAGGCAAATGTGGAGGGAATTTAGAAAGGTGAATTAATATAGATAGTGGAAAGGCAAACCATAATCATCCTTCAAAAAGGTTTCTGGGGAGAAAGGTGACTTGCTGTGTGTTGTGGGAATTAACAATAATAATTGTAGAGGAGGGGTTTTTTTTGTTTGTTTATAATTCCTTTGAAGATGTCATCATGAGAGGAGCATCATTACCACCAGCATCACCTAAAGGAAACTCTCAAATAGCATCCCTAGTTCGACAATGGTTACAAAAACCAGCTGGAAAAGTTGCAGTAACACCAGCACAATTAAAAAAGCATGAAAAACACCAGCCCGAGTCACTTGAAGCAAGAATGGTGGCTAGTCCATATGGTGAGAAAGTCAATACTCAATGAGTTGAAATCTCGGCCCATAAACTCTGAATTAACTTTGCTATTAATGTACAGCTGCCATCTTGGCATCACCTATAAGACAATGCCTTTTTTACAGACGTGCCTTTCCTTCAAGTAAATATATGCTTTTATTTTATTTTAAATAGACTGAAGTTTGTATTATAATATTGACACTATTTATCGTCTTATTCTTATGTGTTCCTGTGTGTAGAGCTTTTGATTAGATTTGGTGCTGGTTATCATCCCAAGACTAAACAAAATTGGGCATTTCCGACAGTTGGAAAGCCTCATGAGATGACTGGAAAAGGATATTATGTAAAGTTGTGTAAAAGAGTGCTTGAACTGTTTGGAGCTAAAGGTATTATAACTACTGCACATATGCACACACACACGCGTATATATATATATATATATATATATATACTCTATACACAATTCCTGCGTATCGGAGCTAATTGATACACGTAAGATAATAGGCCACGATGCTGCTTTCAGAGGTGAAGTGACGTATCCGCTTGGCATGGTACATCAGGTCGAAAAGACCATTAATCAGCAAGCCCTAGGCCTCTTTCGAGACCGATTTCTTTCGGTACCCCTGACGCTTGTTGCACCCCAGCGATGGGAAGTTGCAGAGAAGGACTACTCAAAAGTAGAAAGGGGTTTCCAATGCATTGTGGTCGTAAGAGGAGGTAGAAATGGAAGTGAAAGTGGAGATGAGAGCGGAGGAGAAGGGAAAGATCGCGGTGAGTCTTCTGGAGAGTGCTGTGAGCTGAATCACAAGGTTGTACTGGGGTCATCGGCTTCATCGGAAACCCCCCGCATTTTCCAGAATGTGCCCTGTTATGACTCACAGCGGTTCTGGTCAGAAGAAGAGAGAGATGTGATTTGTAAGGAGTTGGATATCACAGGAAAATATATGGTTGCCATTGGGATTCCAAAGCACTCTAACACTGTAGAATTGGCAGTGGCCCTGTGGCGTATTGGACTATTTCATAGCTAGACTCTTTCCTCTCTCTCTTTCATATTGCTATTATATATAGGTGAAAGATTATTATTATTATTACTATTATTATTATTAAATTAAGATAAAGGCAATTTAAATTCTGATTGATCCTCTTGTGCGTGGGTTACAGCAAGACCCAAGACCTTTACAGCAAACACCGAGTTCAAAGCAACCGGCCACTCGTATCTGCTTGCCAAAGTACAATTGAGCCAGTTCACACACAAATTCACCGTCACTTTGTGGATCCAATCCAAGATGCAACATGTCTTGAGGGTAAAGAATTGTATCCTCTAAACCATCCTCATTTGCCAATAGTATGGTATTAAGCATTAACAGCAACTGGGATGACAAAAGGTGAAAAAATCTAATTATTTTATAGTAGACACTGTTAACTTCAATTATATTTCGTTTAAACACACACACACACACATATATATATAAAAAGAAATAATGACTTACTCGACGAGCCCTCCGGCTATTTTCTCGTTTTCTCTTTCTTCTGTGGTAACCGATTGACCTTCTACCACACCTTGATTTTGGGTAGCAGGTGTATCCAATGACATACGAGCAGCAACTACATCGAAAAAATCGGCGTGAATGGCTTGGGCATCTTGTTCGTCATCCATAAGACTAGCACCATCTCTTCCCAAAAGCAATTCTTGCTGCTCAACAGAATCCATCGCGACCTCATTACGGAACAATTTGCCTTTACGGCTCCTTCTGCCATAGTCCTTGCGTGACCCTACTCCCCCAAAAACTTTCTGCCACGAGCTTCCCGTCTGGCCACACCCATCATCCGAGTGTGTACTACCCTTTGGTATATCACTTGAGGTGTTAATGGTAGCATTTTTATACCACCAAAGACAACCTTTCCACACTAAAGTGTCAAACCAATTCGTCACCGTTTGTTCTTGGCTAGCTAGGAGGGTTGTAAGGGCTGCCTGAGTTGCCATGCTCGAATCAGTAGACTGCCGTGCGCCTTCTGCTACCTGGAAGGCATGCCACAAGATGCAAAACCGAGTGTGATCTGCAGGATTGGAATGGGCGGGAATAAAGTTTCCTGTGACACGTATCTCGGGGTGGCTATTAAGATCAGCCAGAGCAAAACTCGAGGAGTGGCCTTGAGAGTTTGAGGCCGAATCGGTTTCATCTGATCTGCCGTTTATGTGTGAGGAGCTGGTAAAGGAAGGAGCCGGTAGAGTTACCAATACATCATAGAGATCTAATTTACTCTTAAAGATTGTATCTGATGTACCTAATAAATCCACAGTACAAATTATTATCATTATCATTATCATTATCATTATTGTTTTCAACTCACTCCCCCTCCCCCTCCCCCTCTCCCCTTTTTTCTCTTTCTTTCTCGTTTATTTTGTACTTACAAATCACATAATTTCCCTGGCTGTTTTCTAGATCTGTGATATCATTAACGCCTGAAGCAAACCTGGGGATAGGCCCTTGAAGCGAGTCTTCTTTGACAATGTTATCTGGCATGTGAGACAGACTTCCAAGCAAACATGTATTAAAGACTACATTATAACCAAGTAAGAATCCAAGAAAGAAAATAGCAGTGAGTTAATTACCCAATTGGCAGGCATGGCTCATTGGGGGATCTGTCATAAAGATAATTCTTTTTCGTAATAGCACGGCTTTCCAGAGGATAAATATGCTTGGCCCAAACTGCTTTACAAAAGCCGGGAATCCAAGGGCTGGATGCAATGTATCCTGTTCGTTAAAAACACAAGACAAGGTATCCGTTGCTACTGCCACATTATGTGCATAATTTTCTAGAATACTATTAAGGGACTCTGCACACATATCATCGTCCTTAAACTCGCCGGAAATGGACACTTTCTTGCTTGTGTTTAAAGAAGGCCAAGAGTAGTCTTGCGATGGATTTCTTGGCGGTCCTTCTGGATCACCTTGCTCAGTATTTGACTGATGGGAGTTGTAATATTCTTTCAGAGATTTATGCAGTCCTTCTTCATCCCCAGAACCATCCATGCAACGACTAAGATATGTTTAATATAAGAATAAAAAGACATACTGTAAATATATGTATATAGAATGTAAATCAACTTTTACCCCAAAATCATGACTTACTCCACCTGCTTCTGTAAGTATGGACTGTGGCGCCATACTTTCCCGCATGCATTCCCGTCTGGTTTCACGATAATTCCGACTGCCTTCATACATGCTCCTCTGTCACTTTCAATGGGTACCTTTTTAAATGCACTCAAACCAAAATACGGTGGCCGAGAAAATAAACTTCGTATGTGTATATACAGTGTATGAGTTTAATGAAGGAACTATGACTATCCTAACTCACCCTCACCCCTCACCCCTCACTTTCACCGAAACAAAAGAAAGTCCTACATCAGATCAGAGTCAACACGATGAAGCCCACTACAAATCGCCTGATATTCAACGTTGTTTAAATCGAATGCTAAAAGAAAAGGGTAATAATGTATGTATATATTGTGCCGTTTTAATGCCATGTATTTCGTATCCAAACATATTACTGTTTTTATTGGATTACTTGCTTTCTGGATATTGCCACTCAATGATATTGCCGTGATAGGCGTCAAACTTAACAATAAATACAGCCACAACATTTCCAGAGGACTTTCCATTTATTTGTTCATTACGATTCACATTGGATGGTCCGCCAATTGGTGATTCTGATTGACTTTTTTTTAAAGAAAAAAAAAAGAAAAAGAAATAGAATGAAATAAGAATGAATGGTGAATTTGATTTGTACTGCCATTAAATGCTTGTTGATCACCCCACCTTTTATCTTCTGGTAATATTTCAGTGTCGGTGGTTGTGCAGTCTGGACTTTGCAAGACATTCAAATCAACTGTAGAATCACCAATAATACTCATGTAAATTATGTTATTTTTATAATTAAAGAGATCTGCAGGTTTGTAATTATATGACTGTATGTGTATATAGGTGTTTTATTGTATCTTTGTGTGTGTGTGTGTGTGTGCTTATACGTATATAGCGTAGAGATAGGAAAAAAGAAAAGAAACACTGGCAATAAAATCGTATTCAAGCATATGCCGCGGAAACAAGTGATGTGACGGCACTAGTAAACTACCCTCTCCAATTCCATGCACTTTCGCCAACAGACAATAATTATACAGAAAGAGAATAATGTCTTGCTTCTAATTTGTTATTTCAAGTACATGCTCAAACAATGAAGAAGAAAGAGAGAGAGAATGCATATATATATATATATACGTATAGAAATATTGTCATATAACTAATGACTACAGTTCCTTTATTATGCATATAGACAATAAACTTTGGTACTAAGGCAATTTATGATATGCCCTTTCTATTTCATTTTCAAGGCTTACTTGTTTTTATTATATTTGAGGTGAGTAATCTAATATTTGACTACAATTTAAAGACGCTATATTTATTAGATATTATTTTCAATTCATTTCCTTGGCTTAATACATGTATAATACACTATAGAGAAAAAGGGCAATTTTAGTGAGATTTTTTCAAGTTTTCCGGGGTTAAAAGTGTGTTTTATAGACAATTTTAATTAAGCACTAAATTCTCTCTTTCTCTCTCTTTATTATTATTGTAGTTCAAAAGCAAGGCTACACTTTTAAAGATCTCACTTCTTCAACCCAGTACAGAAATAAATATAATAAAATTATTCAAATGTAATAGATTAACATTCGGTACCTTGGGTGAACCTTAGCGATATTAGAGTGGAATATTTGCTTTTTTTTTTTGAATTCTTGTCAGTCTTTGTCTCACACGACAACCCTCCTGGAGATCTTCTTCTGCCTGTCTTCTTGCACTTACAATTTTAATGGTACGGGTAAATATATTAGGGTGGGGCTATATTAGCGAGAGTTTTCGACTTGCTTGAAGGTTTAAAGGTAAAGCCGAGAGCACGAAAGATAGTGCTTGGAAATACCAAGTGTATCAAACAAACAAAGACCAGATTCATGCTTACAAAGTAGACATCTAATTAATGCACCATTGATTAATTCATATCTATGGTTGTGAGATACAAACCAGTTTTTTACCATCAATACAGAATACCAACCAAATTCAGAACTGATATTGCTTGCTAGACATTCTTTAGCTTTGGATTGGTTAATATAGAAGCAAAGGCAAAACGTGTGGAATAAATATTGATGGCTGGTTTGACTTTTGGTATTTGCGTAAAATAAGCAGCGTATAGAGATAATTACAGTAATATAGGCATAGTCGTGACAATAAATGAGCCGACAATTTCACCTTGTCCTTTCTGTTATATAGAATGCAGTGCCATGATCAAACAACAACAAAGAGACATCAAGAAAATAATATCTTACTTAATATACCCGTCAAGATTTAAGCGCGGGTTGCGTGATAACCTGGTAAGAAATATGTACCTGAGAAGTGCGTAGGTATGTACAGCGACTCTGTGGGCTTTGGTAACCAGGTCTTGTAGGGGCTCAAGGAGCTCTGTATTCTATCCGGTTTCTTGTATTGATGCCTTGAGAGTAAGGACTCAGAATGGGGTGGCTTCTTTAATTGTTTTTCAATACGCAAAGGACTAGATATACGAGGTTTGGATGGTGCTTTTGAAAGTCCCAATTGATAGGGATGAAATACTAAGAAATTGTGTAAGATTATATGATGTAGTCCAGTTAATTGAGTACTTGCAAGAGTAAAAGATAAAGGTGTGTAAAGCTTAAAATCCTTGCCCGTGAATAATACTGTATTTTGTAGACCTATTCTTTTATGTATCATACGTGGATTTGATACATGAGAATATAGTACGTAAATAACCAAATAAATATATTACTAGATAGATATAAATGAGAGCTACCTAGATATTAATCATTCGACTATTATACTATAGATACATCAAAATAACATTTAGCCTCCTTGTATTTGTTTATTGGTCTCAATTAAGTAACTAAAGATAAGAAAGGAATTACTTCATAATTTAATGTAGTTTCTTAATAATTATTTGCTTATCTTATTTTCGTCAAGGCCTCTAAAAAACATACTTAATAGCTATCAAAGCTATTATTGGTAAAATATAAATCAGTGAATCTAGCCATTAATAATTTTGAGCAGAAATGACAGAAAGAAAACTGTATGATGTACAGTCTGGTTGTCAAGATTACACGCATGCCCATTAGAAATAAAGGATTTAGAGAATCATAGAGAATCTGCCTTATAATTTCTCAAAATAGGAATCAAGCATACACATTTTGATAAGAAAAAGTCAATTAATATATGCGCTCATTAATAGTGAAGTGTTTAGAGAAGTGTTGTTGATTTTTAAATAGAAAGGGTAAAAAGTAGCATATAAGCATATATATTATAGAAAGCTTATAGTTTGAACATTACTAAATATAATATAAATCACCACTTCTTCTTCGCATACTTCTTTATATATATTATTTTGATCAATAAAAACCATAAAACTCGAATATAAAACATCATACATTTGTTGAATCGCTTATAAGAAGAATAAAGATACCTAAAAAAATATGCAGATATGCCGTATTTAGAATATTTGGTTGGAGTCAATCCAAAATAATTCAAAATCCCATCAATTGTATTTGCGAAAAAGTAAAAATAATAGACTAAAAGCTTGCATGCTATTTGTTATACACGTTATAGGCTCGTAACAAGTTACGAGTCAATTATAAATCATGTTATCTCCTATAGTAAATAATATGGGTACTCTAATCAGACGTATTTTACATAAGAATAATTACATCAGGAGAGAAAACATTCTAGCCAAGTGAAATTAATGGTACTCAATAGTCTTTTTCTGATATTGATTATTATTGTATGGTGTTTAAACCATCGCTGCATCCAACAGTCCAGCATTCAGAACTGGTGAAACCCCTTAATATGATAACATCTTGTTGGAATCGAAAGGTTTTTCAGTCAGGCACATAGTAAAAAAAAAGCGGCAATTGACAGATATCAGAGTTACTTTTAACCAATACTGAGAAGCCAAGAATTGCAAGGTACATAATATTGTCTTTGTAAATCTCTTTTTTTTTTACTTAAGATATTCGAGTAGCATGGGGCCCAATTCTATCTTGGAAATATCCCTTGAATACCGTAACGGACAACCTCTGTTGCTCACAAAAGAAGAATTGCTACTATTGGGGCAGAAATCATGTTCCTTTCATCAACCTAAAGTAATAACTGGATTACCATCAATAGTCAAAAATCAGAAGGAAGCGTCAACATTACTACTCGGACATCTTTTCAGCCATGACCATTCGGACGAAGTCGAGTTCGTAATATTTACGTACGCATATTTTATTGATTACATAATTCATTATAAGGAGCTGTTTAACGCTAGCAAGCCAAAAAACGAACAAGATTATACAGTAAATCTATGTTTTCAAGTATTAGAACGTCTTGTTCATAACATCGACTTGAGGCTAAAATGGTTGGTACATTCACTTTTTTTTCGTTTCGTGTAATTGGTGTATTTGTAAGAGGGAGAGCAGGCTTGCTCGTGTTGAATACGTCTCATATATAGCTGGTGTACGTGACTTGATGAATCAACCAACTGTCTACCATTGAATATTTATGAGCTAGACAGTACATTTAAACAGAGCGTTACAAATATGACAAACACTGATTTATAATCATTATAATTATTTTATACATAGCGTTGAGTACTTTTACTTACATATCAGCAGAGATGACTGTATTTATAGTACGTAAATGGCTTTAGTGAATCAGCCTTTTATTATTATATGTTAACAGAACTGCCTTATAATAAATAAGACCTGCCTATATTTTTGTTTTAAAAAGAATTGATAACTTGTAACACCAAATGCTTTTTCCCCACAACCCAATAGTGTAATACTATATTTTGAGTAACAGATTAAAGACGGGGGGGGGGGGTGAATGTGGTACAAAGTATTACAATTAGTAAACGTATATGTACAGTGCCCTATAGATGAAATAAACATTTATTATTATTATTATTATTATTATTATTCTCTTTATCTTTCTCTTTCCATTTCTTGTTCTGCTTTATTTTATTTGATATGCGGCCTATCAAATTTTATGATGTTACTCTTAAGGGACTTTCAAGAGTATCTTGGTCACCTAATACATGCAAGATTCGATATGCACTCAACTTAAAAGTAAGGTGAATTGAATACTAGATTCATATCCTATTAGTATTAACAAAAACAAAAACAAAATACAAATATAAATATATGTATTGCTGAAAAGAACATCCCGTATGAGACAGTATGGATTAGCCTCAGTCAGATCTTTTCTGAAATACCTAAAGTCACGTAAGTGGAAGACTCTTACTTTCAAGAAAGAAAGAAATAAACAATGGTACTAGGCTTGATATTTGTCTTTGTTTAATGTAGAAAATCTGCAGATGGACCCACAGCTCCAATAATCTTTGATGAAAATAACGATATTGCTGTGCAAGACTCATGGAAAATTATAAAATATCTGGAAACTACTTATCCTAACTCGCCAAAACTCTTGCATGGAAATGAAGGGTTGCACTACCTTTTTTATCAATACTGTGAAAACGAATTGTATGACCCTATTTTCCGACTCAATTGCCTTGATATATGGAGGAGAGCAGGAAGTAAAGGCGTTCAATCAGCCTTTAGAAGGATTAGAGAAGAGAAATACAATATGACCCTAGAGGATGTTTACGAAAGCTGGCCAGAGCATGTAAAGGAGGCTAATAAGGCTCTAGAGCCTATACGTAAAACCCTTTCAGAATATCCTTATTTGTCGGGGGATAAAGGTAAACGAGAAGTTTAGATATAGAAAATGAAACAGAGAATTAATTTCAAGTTGTGCACGTTTAGTGAGTTGGGCTGACATCGTCGTAGCTTCTTACCTCCACACAGCGGATGTGCTCCGAAATGATATATTCACAGCCCACATATTGAATGGCGTAAAAAATGATACGACCTTCAGTAATTGGTATATGAAAATGACTAAACATTTAAGATATGACGAATCCAAGCTCTAATAGAATGAATATTATTAATATATCTTTCATTTTTAAATATATGTGTATAAATTGCACATACTGTAAGCTATTGTAACTGTGTGCCCAATTTGAATAAACAGTAGAGAAGTAGGCAAAGTCAGGGACTAAATGTTATGAAGTAACATTAGGGCTTACAAAATTTAACCACTGACCAGCAGTGTAAACGGGTAGTGGATACTTACATGGATAAGAGTTTAAAAAGCATATAAGGAATTCCAGCAAGAGATACTAAAATAAATATATTAGTAGATGAGTATAAAAAGCATAAAATAAAGAAGAAAAAACTTACTCAATCATACTTGTGCTGTTATTGCTACTTTTTTTAAACTAAAACTTTCACTTTTTATATGGATCATTTTTTAGTATAAATCTTTTTCACTTCAAGAGAATAAAATATTTAGATAAACTTAGGCAAACAGGTTTTTCTTTCTTTGCAGGCCTGGTTATTTCTTCTTATAATATTCCCTATGCCGACGCCTGACTACCTCATATATATATATATATATATATAAAATAATATTTAACTTCAAAAACTTTTATTTATTTATTCAAAACACCAGGTCTTCTATAGAGTACTTCCAAATGTTATTTCACATTTTCTCTCTCTCTATTAACTATTGATGAAACTATGGTAACCTCGCTTGTTCATACTTTTTGTTTCTAAGAAACATTGTACTAGTACATTCTCAACATTTAATTGTATTATACACTATTTGTAGAGTCATACAGTTATTTTCAGAAATATTAGCAGGTAATCCATTTAGAATAACACCATATATTATTAGCTTTCTTTGAAAATGAGTTAGTTTTATTGTGTTTCCTAAAGGGTCTTGTGCTGACCTGATGAAGTATGATGAATTTTGGATAATAATAGTGGTAGTAATATGTAGAAAAGATGGAGAAAAAAGGTAAAATAAAGTTTTGATGGATTATTTTGGGACTTAGAGCTGTGATAACCATTGTCCTAGGTTTGTGTACATCAGTTATTCTTAAAACTTAGTAAAAGTACCTCCAAGTCATCGACAAATTGTCTATGTGCACGCTGCTCGGTGTTTCCGAACACAAAACCAACTATAAGCAATATCGGTGCAAGGGCTGCACAAAATAATAATCCACCGCCACAGAAAATAGGTACCAAAGTTGTTACCAGAAATATCTGGCTATAACCAACGGATAATCCGACCAAAAAACCATACATTACCAGACTTAAAATTACCATAGTAACAAAGACTATAAGTAAAATACGAACTGTTCTTTGTGTTTTGGCTTGTTGTTTGGTAAGCAAAGTAAGTATTTCGTGGATAGTAGTAGCGCTCAGTTTTGTTGTGCAAGGATGGGTGACCTTAATAGGCGACGAAGTCTCGGGAAGAATATGAAATGTTGAATGCACACCAAAATGGTCGGAATAGCTCGTGTTTGTTTTAGGAATATATTCTGTTACGGAAACTTGTGAATCAATACAAGCCAAACGAGACCCAGACAGGTAAAGAATGTAATCGAGTCGTTTCCCCATTATTTCGCCTGTATATGGCTTGTTGAAATTTCTTGACCAAGTATTGAAGGGCGAATTACAGGTGACGCCATCATTATATAGCCTAATGGTAGTGCTTGTACTGTTTGGATCTGGTGTATCAATTGGTGGCGCAGATGTTCGACTATAAGCCTCCTCCCAAGAGTCTGTCACGAATCCATGTTTTGTAATTATTTGATATACATAGCTTGTTGTTGTACTATTGAGGTCTCCTGCCTAGAAGTTTATGAAAAAGAAACATCTTGTTAGTGAGACCAGTAGTAATAATATTTTTATACCCGTACCAAAATTACTTGTCTTCTTTGAGAAGATGAGGCTCTTAGTAGTCTTGCCAGCTCCCATGCTTCTGATATAAGATGACTTTCATATTCTTGAGACGTTCCATACCTTGCATGGAGCTGTTTTTCATCGATACTGTTAATCATAATTCCGTGCATATTTGGTCCATGATTTATACTTACGTGTGTATTAAATATCTCTAATATGCCTATTTCTGGATGCTCAACACAAACTGATCCACATCCCTTTCCGACATAATAGTCACCATGTAAGATTTTTAGAGGACGTCCAGCGAGCTTGTAACATTGATAAGAAGACTCAATGATTGGGTATTTTGAAAGGGTTGCAAGCCCACTGCCAAGAGCACCACTAGTATACAAATTGATATAGTAAGACAAAACAATTTTCTCTAACATTTAATTAGCTACCTGTAGAAATATTTCGCAAAGGGTAATTTAATTGATGTCTTTGTTCGAATCATATCAAAGTCTTCTTGGAGCCAAACTTCTTGTAAAGCAACAATATCGTATTCTGAACTTTCTAGGAGTTCGGCAATAGCTTGCAGTCGGACTTTGCGCTTCGAGGCGATGAGGTATAGACCCCTGATGATGAGATGAGATCAAGATTTTTGGAATGTCTAGGCTAGCGACTTACCAGCAATTCAATGACAATACTGAGATTTCATTTTCCATCACAAGTTAAATGATGAGTATATATAACTGTTACAAGTATTTTCTCTTGAACCTAATTATAAAAAAATCGTTTTAACAGTCAAACTTTTAATATTGTCGAGCATGTGAGAATATACCATTTTCTCTTTTTCTATATATATATCTTTCCCAATCTCCCGCCAGTGTACAAGTTTATTAGATTATTTTATGAACAGACTCCATAATTGTAAGTGAAAGGATAAAGGAATATGCAAATGTACTTAAAATGACAGAATAGGGAACAGTACAATATTCTTAATAAACAGAACATCATTTGTTGATATAAATCCCTTATCAATCTATACAGGAAAGTGAATGTGGAATATTTGACGTGGATCTATAAATTGAAATTAATTTGATTGTAGCAAGAATTCATTGAAAGTGACGCATGATGTGTTAGGTTGTAAAATGTAACCAAATCAGTTGGCAATCAAGTGTAGTGGATATTACAGAAAATAAAGGAAAGAAAATAATGAAAAATGGAAAAGGATAAATTAAAATCGACAGAAAACACTCCAAGGGACAAGGACACTATGTAAGACTGAAGAGTCTCGAAATAAAATGCTAAAGAAAAATAGATCAAGGGTATAATGATTATGACTTTATTGATTTGATTTGAATTGTTTTAGAAATAAAAATAACGAATAAATTTACTAGTGAAAAAAATGCTAAATGTTACTGAAATTTGGCCCTGAATTTTTTCTGTTAAAACACCAGCGTAGCACACAAACATTTGAAAAAAGAAGAGCAAATTTAACTCCTGAATATTCTCAAGCCTTTAAATTATTTTTGGTTAATCATTTCAATTAAATATATACTGGATTTTTTAATTATTATTTTGTATTTAAAAAAAAGATAGATAAATGTAAAATTATGCATTAATTTTTTTATTTTCATTTTTTTATTTGATTGGGAGCCCCCCTCGGCGTCACATTGCAACAGTGTAAAGCAAAGGACACCTGTGGATTCTAGAGATGGCAAGCCAGAGCTCTAGATTCCGGGCGCAGAAAAATTAGATTAACAACAAATGGTACTATGTACCAAGTTATAGTTGTTAAACTATAAAGAACAGATACTACACTTGATCTTAGCCAAAAGGCCTGAGAGGATGCGGATTCATGAGTTCTCAAGATTGCTGCCTTTTTATACTTTTTCAAAAAATTGTTAATCTGAATTTCAAATAAAATATATCTAGTCACAAACTTTTGTGATTGGTCAACATATTTTTCTGAGTGTAGAAACCGTTTAGCAGTCATGAAGATTCCCATCTCTAAAAGGTGCTCTTCAGTGGTCTCGGTATGATTCAAAACCACGTGATAAGAGAAGGCTTTCCCTAAATATGGTAATTATATACCAAAAAATCATGAATAGGTCGCCACCACACGGAAAATTATCGACATCTCGAATATTCAAAAAGGAATATCACTTACTTTTTATTCTTGTCTCGTTTTAGAAGAGCACTGTAAAACACACCATACAAGGCGCATTTTTAGAGTCGCCAGCCGTTATGAATGGATATTCTTTTCAAATAAACAGTACAGAAAAATATTTTTAGGTTATTAAGGATTATAATAAACATTTTGACACTTTTTTATATTTAAACAAAAGGTTGAGCATACATTATATAAAAAATAAACTTTTGAAAACAAATTATCTCACAAATGCGCCTTGTACAGTGTGTTTTACTAAAGAGTAGTAAAACAAAATTGCACGAACCTTCCTATTATTAATCACCCTCAAAATCACCCTTTTCTTCCTCATAGTTTTAGTTAAGTGTAGAATAGAGAAACAAGAAACTTTATGTAAAAGACCACCAAATACTCTTTGCAGCAGTGAATTCAAATTATGACAGTTTTATCAATATGAACCAACCTAATTATTTATTTATGCATTTCTTCTCGTTATTCAAGGTTCTTGAATAAAGGTCTATACCCGAGGGATTTACTTTGACTAAATATACAATTTCATCTTTGATATTGTAAGCTTAATTATGAACATATTCATCCAAGCACTCTCACTCATACATATAATCTAATAAGGATATTGTCTACGAGGCAAATCTCAAAGATTATTGATTGCAAATCAAATGAAAGAAAAAAAGCAATTAGGAAACAAAGAAATATGCGAGGTCTTGTTCTACTCTGCAGGAGGGTCTTGGGGGGTTGTGTGTGTGTCACTATGTTCATTGGGCGTTGTGCCAGGTGGCAAATCAGAATCTTGCTGGTCTTCTGGTTGTGCTTGGTTAGGATCATAGGCACCGTATTGTCCTCCATAGTATTGCTGATACCATTGGTTGTATGCTTCTTGAGTCCATTGTTGTTGTGGCTGATCCTCTGTAGTGTCTCCTGAAGTAGGCTGAGCGGATGGATCACTCTCAGAAGATTCTGCTGGAGCGCTACCATCAGCGGCAGTATTTTTTTCTCCAGCAGCATCATTAGAGCCAGCAGGGTACTGGTTATAGCTGCCATAAGCATAAGGATAGGCCTGGTATCCTTCATAGCCTACCATCACGTATGTATATATTAACATCTGTCATTCTATTCATTATATTATACCACTTTTGAATTTTTCATTTTACCTGCAGTGGAAGAAGTGCCGGGGGCGGAAGTACTTTCTTGTCCAGAAGAAGAGGTTTGTTGGCCATAAGGTGCCTGGCTATATCCATACTGACCATAATATTGCTGATATTGTGAATAGTCATAACTACCGCTGTTCTCCCCACTTTGTTGATATTGAGAGTTATAGTTGCTATTGTATCGATCGTTGTTGTATCCTCCTCCACTGTAACTATTAAAGATAGCTTAATTAATATTAGCTAACTCAATACAAGTCAGTGCTTACCCTCCTCTGCGAGGATTGTCTCCTCCGTAGCGCCCACCCCCGCCACCAGGTCCACTGGGTCCACCATAATTGCCGCGGTTAACCTAGAGCAGAAAGTCAGTATCTCCATAAAAGTATTTCAATATTTCTCTCACTAACTCTCACTCTTTGTTCAGCACTTACACTTCCTTCAGCAACCTTCTCCATTACAAGCTGTTTAGCCAGTGCAATAGCATCAGGGCTGCCTACGATGAGTATATGCATTATTATCAGGAATATTTATGTATGTATGTATATATGTATATATTGATTATTTACCAAATATATTGATAGTACGCTCGTTGGCATCAATGTCGCCTGAAGAGTCAACCTTGATTCGTGCACCAGATTGGTCTTGTAAGCTTCGTACGGTCTCACCACCTGATGTTCAAAATTTCAGCAAATTCACCATAGTTAAATACAATAAGTTATAGTAACGGCATTACCTCTGCCAATGATAAATCCGACGGCATTTTTAGGGACTTGAACAGATTCACGATCATCTGTAAATCTGTTACGGAAGCCTCCTCCCCCTCCGCCACCCCCTCCTCCGCTACCTCCACCTCCGCTACCTCCACCTCCTCCACTACCACCATATCCACGGTCTTGGCCAGATGATGGTGGACCATAGCGATCAAAAGAGGCATTTGCACCAGTAGCAAATGCTGGGGGTTGATATGATGATATACTGCTTTGAGGCGCATCCTGCCGAGGACTATCGTTATCATCCTGCTCGTCCTGCTCATCTTGTTCATCCTCATCACGTCGTCCATTTCCAGGTTCACCGGCAGGGTAGTGTTGCTGACGGTAGGCTACCCAATCACGACTAGGTGTGACCTTTAAATGAATGTAAGATAGCTATAGATGCTCAATACCCACTTTTTCCAATATTTACCGATTTTAGAGAGTCTTCGCTCACAATATCATCAATTAGTGCTTTTGCTCGCTGTACTGAATTATCATCACCAATAAGGTTTACTGATCGTTGCGATGGTCTATCTGAAGATGGTTCCGGAGCAACAGTAATTTTTGCTCCACTACGTTCTTCCAAATCGCGAATAGTCTCACCACCTCGTCCAATAACAAGTCCAACCTTTTTCGAGGGAATAGTGATGACAAGATTACTACCACCACTATTAAAGCTGGTAGACATTCCAGCGCCTATCTCGGGAACTCCAGCAGGACGAGTGGTACCCATACGTGAAGCTTCACTAACATGAGCATCATCTACAACCTGCTGAATCATCTCACGTGCGAGCTTCGTTTGTTCTAGCTCTCCAACAATGTTGACGCGTCTTTCTGGATCACCATTGTCTACGAGTTACCCTACATGATCAGTCTTTTGTTTTGTCTGTGATTCCGAGCGTTAAGAATTACCGCCTGTGAATTGAACCTTGGCACCTGACATGCGTTCTATTTTCTTCAAATTGTCGCCACCTTTTCCAATGACTAATCCAACCATGTGGTTTGGAACCATGCATTCCTCTTGAATTACATCAGGACTTGCTGTAGGACCATATGATGACGAGGGCTTTCGTTCGTCTGAGCCAAGGCCGTAACGTGCAGGTTCGTTTCCAGAGCCGACTAAAAGGTATTAAATCGTGTAAGTCGATTAGCTTAGTTTTCGGTGATGACCTACAAGATGGTCGAGAGTAGCTGTCATAGGTGCTGCGTTTATTGTCGTGCTCGTCATGGTAGTTGTCTCCGCGAGAGTTGTAGGATCGTGACGAGCGATAATCGTTTCTGTCATCCTCATAAGAGTCTTCACGGTATCCTCTTTTAGAACCAGCTAGAGTAAAGAATTATAAAGATAAAAAGAGTGTTCCATGTTATTATTATTGAGATACATAAATAACCTATTCTTTGCTTGTACTATATTTACTCGAGGAATAAGAAGGTCCAGCAGCCGGGGGTGCAGGTGCAGCGGCGGCAGACTGTTGTTTTAACTTTTCTGCAATTGCTCTCGCTTTTGATAAGGCATCGTTGAAATCAACCGGCCCACCAGATGACGACAGTGAAGCTGGAGGTGGAACTGATGAGTATGCCTTGTTGTTGCCCTCCATTTGTAATGGCCGTTCCAAGACGTCTAACGCTGAAAGACAACCGTCCTGTTGCGAATTTTTTAAGGTGACACATATGTGACTGCATACGGTCTATCATTTTTAAAATCCCAGTAAGTGGGTCAACTCTTATTCATGGTTCTTCCTATCAAAATCTCATGCCAATTCCCCTATAGAGAAACCCGTTGATAGAAACCAAGATCTATATTTCATCGCCACAATAACAATTTTTTATTTTGTTTTTTTTAGAGAAAAAAAAACACATAATTACAACTACATATATATTCGAGAGTATCTCAACATAGAAAATAACACCAGCACGTTAATTAAATTTGGGAAGTACAATCACACGATAAAATAAATTATGGTGCACTCTTTAGAGCTTATAGCTCTAAAGATTTTGTGGTTACGCTCTAAAAATTCGCACTTGTAAAGTCTATAGATCTTGTTTTTCATGATGTCCGAATATATTATAATGAGTTTATTATAAGTGCTCCGAGGTAAAACCTGTAGCACCTTTATGAAAGAAGACGCTTTTAATTTTAATTTTATTTTATATTTGAATTACCAATCTTCTCGAATATGCTCTTGAAAGGTTTCAGAATAGTATAACACATACAAAGACCTAAAAGGAATGCAAATATATTTTGAGAATTAATTATTTCAAGGGTCTCGATATATGTACATATTCTAATAAAACACATAATGATAATAGCCAGTGAGTACACACATCCTACAAAGTCAATCACAGTTAATAGTATAGTTTGATGCCCAGTTGAGCCAGAATCCGGCTGTTGATTTTGTTTTACTGAAATACACGAGGTTGGACTATCAATTGCTTAAAACATCCGATGAATAAATATACATGTAAAGTTGCCTTTTAGTTAATAAAGTATAATAAATCGACTTGGATTTGTGGAATATTAGAATCGTCTACCAAGACCTAAGATTTTTGCTTTAAAGAGGTATAAAGAGAATTTCACTGAAAGCCCAATTTCCGAATATGTTGTCTTACAATGCATAAAAGATCAAGTAGCTCTTGAGAGAAGATAGCACTCATAATAGAACATGTTTTGAAAAAACACTAAACTATTATCCTTCATATAGAGCATATGATATAAACTTCTGATGGCTGTATCATGATTATCCATAAATTGTGTATACTGTATTGAACAGTTTCAAAACCTGACTTTAAATTGTTTTATCTGTTTATGAATAGCTCTCAAATTTGCCAGAAAAATATACATGTATATATAAAATGCTTGAGAATCCGACTCTTAACAAAAATGAGAGTGAACTTTTGTTCAATCTGAATGATGGTACTGAGTTCCTCCATAAGAGCAACGGAAATTCCATCTACTTCACCATGCCCTATATGCCTTCAAGTTCCAGATAACCAAACTTACCTGAAGCCATGCTACCATTCATTCTGTTTTTCATGCATCCTTAAATGGATTAACATTACACCTTGCTGTCCATTATGCAAGCAGCTCATCGACACTCTTGTGTACAATGTTGATGAAGACAAAGGCACTTTCCAAGAATATACACTTGTCGGAAAGGATTTGGATGGTCAACACAACCCACCTCTGAAACCTCCTTTGATAACATCAGAAGAAAGGCTTCATGCGCAGCGGAAGGAGATATATAATTCTTCAATACAGATCATTCACCCAAAGCCATTACAGAGATTCGCCAATATTTCTATCCTCGATCCACAGCACATACAAAGGGTAATATTTTCTAAAATATTAGTAATAGCTGTAGAAGAAAAAGGAAAAGAAGAATATTAACATATATTATTAGGCAAGGTTGTTTGTTCGCCGAGAACTGCCTATATTGGTAGGATCTTTATATGAGCCAATGGTAGAAGAGTATGTAGAAAGTCTCTTGTTGATTCCATACCAAAAAAAAGCATCAAAGCGCCATGACAGTAGTCCAGTAACTATGTATGAACCCTCTGTACTTGAACCTTTGTCAGAATGGATCGGAGACCTCCCTGGGGAAACAAGAATTGCTGAAAGGTTCATTAACGAATTGATGGGTTTTGTCAAGAGTGGGATGAACTATATTACTTTCGTTTCTCAATCCTCACGCGAAACTTTTGATTAGCTTAATATCGAAAAATTATCCAATTTCATCATGTATATATATTAGAATAGACACAAGGCTCTATCCCAGCTGCAATATAAAACTAAAGGGATTCATTTATTCTAAGCAAAAAAGTCTGTGACATACATAGAAATCGAGACATGAGAATTTTAATACAATATAAACAATCTAAAAAATGACTTTACGTTTCAAAGCTTTATTACACCTATTAACGTTTAAGGCTGAGAATACAGCAATGAGACTCTTAATATATTACCCTCCATTAAAAGGAGTATTTATAATAATACTTGCAGAATGGTTTCATAAAGATAATAGAAAAAAAAGAAGCTTTATTTAATTCAAACAATTGTGTCCTTGAACATAGGAACATCTTTCAAGCAAAAATTGCGTCACACCAAAGTTTAAAAAAAGGTGCACGTAGCATCTATGTCGGTTAATGAACCTTCACTTGACTAGAAAAGTGTATAAGCTGACAAGCAAGCACAAACCTTACTCATCTTACGTTTACCTATCCTCATGGCATCTAAAAGCACAACTTCCAAACAAAAAAAACCCTTGACAGAGCGCCAAAAACATGTTCGGTCGAGCGCACAGAAACGTCTAATGACCCAGGACCTTGTATTCAAATGGCAAGACAAGCTATTCTCAACACCGTGTTCAAACGAAGAAACACTTCAGAAAGCTGCAGCTGTATTACAACCTCAATCTTATGCTGAAGTTGTTGAAGAGAGATCAGTACAGGGCCAGTGTGGCTACCCACTCTGTGACCAACCTCCAAAGGCGCAGCAATCACGCTATCACATTTCACTGTCTCATCGAAAAGTTTATGATCTCTCAGATTTAGCTATGTTTTGCTCTGAAGATTGCCTTCAAAAGTCAAAATATTACTCACTTCAATTATCTGAAGAACCAGTTTGGGGACGTGATCTCTCTCAAGCGACAAATGTACATATTGTACTAAAAAACGAAAATCTCAAGTAAGCAAATAATGTTGCATCCATAAATAGATAAATACAAGATATGCTTACTGATACACTTATACTCTGTGGTACTTGATTGATCGCTTTTTTTTTCCAATTAGACAAGCACTCGAAAGAGAAAAGGAACGCGTGAAAACTCGTCGGACAGGGCCACAAATTCAAAAGGAATATGTAGCCATGTTGTTACATGGACTACCAGATCTGTCTGTGGGCGCTTTGGAGATCAAAGAAAAAGCTTCGAGTGATATCGAGCCGAGTTTACCAGAGCAAGGCATCCACGATTTTATCGAAGGCTTCAAGGTGGAAACCCGAAAAGATATACCTTCAACGATGACTTTAAAAAAACTAAAAGCACCATCAGTACGAGCATCCAACAAGTCAAATACAAGTGAGATAGCAATAAAACCCAAAACAACACAACCGATCGCAGAAAAATCAGCACCAAAAGAGGATATGGAATCAATCTTGAAAGACGTATTACAAGTGCCTGTGAAAGTCAAAGAAACTATTCCTCTTGAACCCAAGCCTGAACAAAAAGCAGTACCAAAAGCAGCACCAGCGCCAGTACCAGTTGAAGTAAAGCAAACAAACACTGCTAGTTCAAAGACAATCTCGACTGGTGTTAAAGAGACGATAGATACCACAGCAAAAACACCCCCCAAGAAAAAAGATACTCCAAAGTCAACATCTAAAGCTTCTGTTCAAGAAAACACAACAAATATAGTGGTTCCAACAGACAATATCATCAAGCCCAAAAAGTCAACTAAAAGAAATGCAAAACCCCAGATGTCACTTTTTGGAATTGTGTGGACAATGTTAGACTCCATGACTACACAAACTACAAGACTTTATTTCAAGCATTTGAGGGGAGAACAGGTCGACAATAATATTGTAGGAAGAGGTGTACCAAGAGATGCATCGAGTTTGTTAAGAGAGCAAATCTTTGCCGAAAAGATTCTGGAAACGTGAGTATTGTACACATACCTTAATAAATATCTCTAATATTTATTTTAATATTACACTACAGATATGCCGTTATACGCTCGCAGATTGGTCTGAGAGATGTAATTGAAAATGACATCGCCGATCTCATCAGGACTTTTAATCTCCCAAACGCTTCAAAGGTTGTATTGGAGCCTACCCAAGCTTACATGATTACTTTGGTTTTATTCAAGGCCATTGCTGATATTACAATCAAGGATAAGTCATGGCTGAAAAAATTTGAGGAATGCTGTGGCGCAATTGGGCAAACAAAAGATACTATTGATGCGTGTGCTCGTGTTCTGGTAGCATCAACCTCTTACAACTAAAATATACTTTCTTCGTATGAAAGGCTTATGAAACATATTTGTAATATTATATTAGTACATTCATAAAAAATAGATATCTATTAACTGCTTACTTTAAGACATGTATATTTTAACATCTTTAAATTTATATTATGCACAAATATTAGCGTACCACACTACCTTGAAGGCTATGTGGCGTAAATACAGTCAATGTATTGAGATTGTGGATATATTGTATATTCCGCGGATATTTTTTTAAAGAAAGAAAAACACGACTATTGACTATCACCACGAGAAACAAAAGAGGGGATTTAGAGAGTGATTCAAAGGGGGTTGAAAGAATGCGCTTACTTTTAAATTACAATAATAGAAGAGAATTAGGAGAAAACTATGTAACATATATTTAGACTTGTTTGATTATGCTAAATAATATCGTGTTGAACAAAAAAAAATGTGAGTTCTCTCAAACTCTCGTCAAGCTCTAGTATAGTGTGGTACTTAGTAGCCAGAGAATAAATACTAATGGATAAAGAATGTCATGGTTAAGAAACTAAAGCTCATTCTATAGCTATGTTGTATAAGTATTAAACCATCCTTCATACACTGTGGTGTTTGTATTCGACAAAGGCTCGACAATATTTTTCTTTTAGTATCTTTATATTAATATTTCTTGGATTGACTACTATTTAATAAAGGCGCTTATACAAGTAAGATGATTAAATGAATGGTAAAATTGATATGCCTGCATTGTTTGTTTGTTTTTAATCTATAATATTTATTTTTCTTCTTCTCATTATAAGGCTTCCTCCTCTTGTTCTTATTCTTCGATAGATTGATTATCTATCTCATTTTTCCCTTGCTTATTTTCATTATTATCGATTTTATATCGAGAAAATTGTAAATTACACCTAGTAAAATATTCGATATTAAAACGTATAATCTAAACACAAATAAAATAAGTATTTACATCCAGATACGAGCTTGGAACTTGGTGTATAGAAAAACAACAAGCTGCCTAAAGTCTACTCTAGTTTTTGCATTAAAAAAGAACGTAATCTTCTCTTGATCCCTGCACGCCATAAATTTGGATATCAAGTTAGTGCTTTATATAATACTAATAAATACTATTTATATTATGAGTTACCACTGATATTCGGCATTGACCAAATCAACTGGAAGCTTTTGTCTATCTATTTCTTTTTGACATATATTGACAGCTTGACTTGCCATAATAATGTTCTTCCAGTATCTCTTTATTTCTTTGCGTGTGGCAAGACGAAGTACTCGACGAAAAGACTTATATAAGGCTAGTGAGCATATTGTTACTCAATATATACACCTAAGCTTGATTTTTATACCTTTGGCCCTTTCTTATTTATCATCTTGGCTTTATTTTTTGATAAATCAAGTTCAATCACTCTTCCCAAATCAATACCTCGGTCTCCTTCTACTATTACATAATCTAGCTCCTTTATATTCGATAAAAGAGATGATTTAATGAACAATCCCTCTACTCTACCAGAACCGAATTCAACAGCACAGTACATCGAATCTTGAAAATTAACATTAGTACCATTAGTAGCTTCTAATGGCCTGACAAATACAAAGTTAGTGAAAGATAACTGTAAATATAAATATTATAGCCTACTTTTTACTACTAAGGAATTTATTTGCTGCTTCTGCTTTCTCTAGATCAAAGCACCCAATATCGAACCCTTTAGCATTAGATTCATGTGCTGCGAGTAGCTCAATTAAAGATGGTCCAAGGTATGGATATACGATCTTTTCTCGGTTCTCGGAGGGAACAGAATACTTTAACTAAACATCATATTTATACAAAGCTCTTATTTTATTCCGTAGCTGACGATCTCAAGTGATGACTAGATATAATTACCTGGTGTAAGATTGTCATTATTTTAAAGAAGTAAGAAGCAGTTGATTATCACGTATTTTCAGCAGATATAGAAAGTCGTTTGGGATAAAATGGTGAAAGACAAAAACAAGAAAGAAGTATCCCGTTTGTCTTTTATATACGCAAATTTATAAGAATATTGGGAATTAACTACTTTCCCTTTATAGAATTTATGCTTTTGACTCTATAACCACCTCTTCAAAGGGTGATTGTTCTTTTGGAGGCGAAATTTCTTTAGTAGGCATGTTGGATTTGTATGTGTCTAAACGCTTGAAATCTCTCTCTATTTTTGATATGATCCGTCTCTTCTTTTGTTTGATTTCAGCGATAATCTCCTTTTCATATTTTGTCGGCTCGCGGTCATCTTCGTCCATAATATCGGCCAAAGGACGAATTGCGTCAAGTCTCTCCATCAATCTCAGAAGCATCTCGTTTGACATGGACAGCTTGAACTCTATAGTTTTCCATTCTTTTTCAGGGACACTGGTTCCTGCCAGTTTCATGAGCTTGTAGTGCTCATCAATCTCTGCATGAAGCATTTTATGGTCGTTGTTGATTTCACGTAATAGGCTTGCAGCCTTTTTTTCTCGGGTCTTTGCTAAATTCCGTTTCTTTACTTGTTGATCTTCTTTCCACAAATAGTATGAAGCTCCTCCCAAAATTACAAGGGATAAAGTAGCAGCAGCACTCGTCCAGAGAGTCTTGGAATTTGCCATGATAGGATAAAGTGGACTATGAGTTCACACCCCAGTCATTAGCTCAAGTTATCAACCTGTCGCGGTGTTTTAATACATGTCATAAAAGCTCTTCCAGACTGAACAGCTTGATTATAGGTCTTTAGCCACCGTGAAGAAATGATTTTACATTTCTGGACATCTAGGTCACTGCTTCGTACGTGAATTTAAATTACAGAAAATTAACGATATTGATGTGATTTAGTGTAATTTAATGTGGACAATGGCAACTTATGCTGTTTGTTTCAGTAACATCAAAGCTGCTTTCTAAGTGTTTTTCTTTATTTTTGTTTTTTTATTTTGTTTCTAAAGGAATATTTAATTGTTATTGTTCATTTATCGATTAAAAAGATCCAAACAATATATTGCTGAGGTTAAAACAATGGAAGCTGTTGGCTATCATTCAAAATGAGATTTACGTTTCTTTTGTTTTCAAATACCATTTATATGTTTTGCACAAAGCCTCGCTTGCTGCAGAACACTACAAAGCAATTTCTAAGTAGACGATTCTCGGCTGCAGTCTCGAGGGCAGCTAGGTCTTCTATAAGGATACCTGGTTTGTCAACCGTTCATTCAGCAGTAGAATCCATCACAGATGTTGAAAAGGCTACTGATGTCATTACTGAACTGATTCAGGATACTCAAGGCAAGGTTGTTGTAATCACCGGGGCAGGTAAGTAATGGGACATAAGTTGGCCTATTCTAATAAATGATGCAGGTGTCTCAACTGATTCGGGGATTCCGGATTATAGAGGAGAACAGGTGCGAAGTCGTATTGTATTACTTACATATATGTATATACAATTTACTAGCTGATATGCTAATCATTTAATACCTTTTGTATTAAATCCTAAAAGGGAGTTTATAAACGCAATCCAAACCACAAGCCAATTCTCTATCCAGATTTCATTGCTTCCCAAGATTTCCGCCAAAGATACTGGATGCGTGGTTACCTTGGATGGTCCCAGATAACAAAGGCTAAACCAAACCCTACGCACTACCATTTGACGTGGTTGTTGGAACATAATTATTTGAATGGTCTAATAACCCAGAATGTTGACCATCTTCATCATGATGCAGGAGTACCGGACGAGTCTTTAATTGAACTACACGGAACGCTTCATCGAGTAGAGTGTCTTGATTGCAACACCAAAATGTTACGTGATTCATATCAACACCGTATACACGCACGCAATCCCGCTTGGGCAAATTATCAAAGAGCTTTGCGTAAATCAAACGAAGCACCAAAGATTAATCCGGATGGAGATGTCGACCTACCCTCTACTATGAGCTATCAAGACTTTGACATTCCTCCTTGTTTAGAGTGTTCTAGTCGACGAATGAAACCTCAGGTGGTGTTTTTTGGGGAGAATATCAGAAAAGACGTCTCAGAGGCAGCAGAAAACATGGTTAAGCAAGCGGGAGGACTTTTGGTAATCGGAAGTTCACTTGCAACGTATTCCTCTTTTCGACTGGCACGTCTTGCCAGTGAACACAAGCTCCCTGTTGTGATATTAAACAAAGGTCCCACAAGAGCTGACCCGCTCGGTACTCACAAAATAGAACTAGGGTGTACAGACGTATTGACGCGTGTACGAGAGCGTCTCGATCAATGAAACTTATGTTGAGGATGATGTCTTTTTTTTAATTTATATATAAAATTTTTTGCTTTTTTGCTATTTCTTATTTATAAGTAGTCATAACCAGCACCACTTCTGACTTTAACATGCTTCTTTCCCTTCTTGTGCTTCTTGCCTGCCAGACCAGCCTCCGCAAGATTTGCTTGGACCGCTGCAAGACGTGCCTTTCTTCCCTGTGCTTGAGGTAAAGGTGATCCATCCTCAGCCAACTGCAGTTGGTGAGGATACATATTGACTCGTGAAAAACCAGCATGCATTGATGCTGCTGCCTTTCCCTTTACACTGGGTGCGTTCATGTGTCTTTTGAAGAAAGCATTGTCAACTGCTTCTGTTTTAGAACCACGGGGTTTTGCTGTGGTTTCTGCGGGTGCTACATAGTTGAGAGCATTTGCGGGTACGCGAGTGGTGGGTGCCAGTTTTTTCTGGGTTTTGAGGGCAGCTTTGTTGTTCTCTTCATTGAATTTAGTGGAGTCTATGCCCGGTGGGGGGTGGCAGTAGAGGAGTTTACCCTTATGAAAAATAAGAAAAATAATACGTGCATCAGCTTTTCTGAAATAATAATAAAACTAAATAAAAGTTAAAAAAAAACTCTTACATTGACATAATCCTTCAAGATATATCTTGCAGCACGAGACTCATCTGGAGTACCCTGACTAGATCTGAAATAACCTCTGGCAACTATGGAGTATAACACTTGTAAGAAAAATGCTCTATTGTGATTATATTATACTTACTAGCATATGTTGCACAGAGCTCTGCATAAGTGGGAATACCACTACCACCATCTTCAATAGGTTGTGTTCTGATACGAATACCATAGATTGCCTCAATAGTAGCCTGAGGAATACGTTTGGCCACCAAGCCTGTGGGGCCAGTATGATCACGGAGCTGATCAATGGGTAACACGCCATTACAGACCTGATCAGCCTTTGTGGTAGAGAATGTAGGGAATACAAGACCAGGACAATCACAGAGTACAAGAGAGGGTGTCAAGTGAATGGTCTGGAAGTGCTTGGTCTTACCAGGTGTAGAAGATACCGACACACGCTTTTCGCCAATAATAGCGTTAATGGTACTGGACTTACCCACATTGGGGTAACCAACAAGACCAATAGTCACAGTAGGATCTACTTTACCATCCTCGCCAAGAATCTTGGGAGTCTCTTGAATTAACAAGTCGAGAAGATCAGTTGTAGTGCGAATGCGAACACGGTCATCTTCATTTTCAAGCTTCGAGTTTTCGAGATTTTTGGTGATATCTTTAATGTCTTCTTCTTTCTTTTCTTCTTTCTTTTCCACTTTCTCTTCTTCCTCTTCTTCTTCAGTTTCCTCTTCCTCAGTCTCCTCATCATCGGTTTCTTCATCCTCACTATCTTCATCCTCACTTTCGGTCTTCTTCTTTTTCTTCTGTTCCTCCAACATTCTCTCGTACTCCTCTCTTTCTTTCTCGGCCTTCTCCTTTTCTTGTGATTCAGTTGCCAGGACTGCAGAGAAGAAGGTGTATCGGATACCCTGAGAGTCAAAGTGATCTGCCCATTGTTTTCTATAAAAAAAAAAGAAATCTCAGTTTACGCTGGTTTAATATACACTAGAATTTTTGCCATACCTTTGTTGCTTAGTCAGAAAATCAGCTTTGTTAATAAGCAGCAAGTTCTGCTTCTCGGGATGAACTTCCTTAACATATTTCTCCAAATCTGCACTACGGAAAAGAAGAGGGTTTCTAGCATCCACAATCTGGACAACCAGCTGAGAGCGTTCAATGACACGCCACAGCTGACGCCAAACCTCAATATTCTTTTCAAAAGGTGTGAGTAGTAAACCCTCGTCTTCTTCAAGCCTAGAGATACACTTGTCAGATCATATAACTATTTTTTTTTGGTTGAGATCGTCTTACTGAGCCATACTGCGTCTCCATTCGAGGAAACTTTCACGTTCGTTACGCTGGACCTGCTCGGCTGTCATAGTCTTATCCCACTTGGGCTTTCTTGGTACACTCAATCTCTCTACGTTGGCATCCTGCTTTTCTAATCTTTGCTTTTCTTCTTCTTCTGCGAGCAAGAAGGGGTTCTGATAGGTATCTTGGACGACCTTGACATTCAATCTTTCTATTAAATCAAGCAATATGCATAAGATTTATAATCAGCCGCCGATTTTTTTTCTGGTTACAAATATATTAAAAATCTGACCTGCTGTGAATTCAGTTCCTGCCAATTCAGCTGTGCTCAAGAAGGCATCAAGATCATTTTCTTGGGTAATACTCTGCATCTTAACCCATCCAGGTTCGTCATCGGCATCGGTAGTGTGCTGCGGTCCGAGAATAAAGATAACTTGTTAAATAGTTTGACACTTTAATAGTAAGCAAGAAAGACTCTTTACCAATTTTCCTTCATCGAGTGCAATGGCCTTTTGGCCCTGGAATCGGGAACGAATGATTGCTCTACCGAGAGATCCGGATGCTTTCTTTCCTTTGGCGGGTGGCATGATTAATCTTAAATGAAGAAAGAAAGTAGAGGTAGTACTGGTAAAAAGCTTGAATTTTTCGGATCCTTGACTGAGTAAAAGCAGTCATTGCCTTACTCCAGCGTCCGCCACGCCCTTACTTTGATCAGACTTGTTTCTTGAACCTCTTTATCTGTTAGACTTATTCATTCTTTTTTATTTGTATTAAAACTAAAGAGAATAAAGTTATTGTATATTTAGTAAAGAAAGATTCTTGATTTACTAATATTTAGCTACTTGTTTTATTTTATTAAAATAAAATAGCAAATCAAAAATTCTAGAAATAAAGGATAAACAATCCTATTGTCAAAGAGCTATTTAAAGTGGTGAAAAGAAAAACCAACGGCCAAAACGAAAGCACTCTATGATTTATGCTACACATCATATATATATATATATATATATATATATATATATATATATTAAATATAAGAATATGACTATGTTCGCTTATCATTTTTGTACTATAGATGTGTCGATATAAATATATTCCCATATAAAAACAAATACAATCCATTTTTTTTTGGTATTGTAATCAAAATACTCGTTGTGGTTACTGAACAGGTTGGATTTATTTAAAGTGAAAGGAGCTTGTTTATGCCTTTGCCTCTACGGGTTTCTGTACATTATCATTGATAATGTTCAATCGGGGCAAGTTTGAGTCTGCAGCGGCACTGCTGGCCTTCTTGGCCTGCAAGCGCTTCTCAGCTTGCTTCAATTCCTCAGTCTTGATGCGAGTTGCACGAGCAAACTAAGCAATTATTTTTATAAGAAAGTATTAATATATATCTTTTAACTTTTATTCTTGGTTTTGCATTGACTTTAAATTTATGACATCTTAAGTACCTCCTTGGTGTGATGAAGACATTCGAGGTAATCGTCGCGCTGGGAAATACACTGTTGGGGGAAATCAGCATTGGCATAGCATTTGTTGAATTCCTGCCAGAACTGGAAGCAACGTCCACGGCCTGATTAAACATTTTATTATTTTTAGTCAAGTGAAAAACGCGTCGTTTGTGAGCACATGGTCGACACTTTACTGCCATCATAACCGAATCCAGAAGCCATTGTGCTATTAAACTGTGTCTTGAAGAGCTATACAAGTTTGTTGTTGTTTCTGTCTTGCTCCCCGCTAGGGAATGTGTGACGTGGAATTTTTGCCTGGTGGGATGTGTACCTCTTTGAGGTTTTGAGGATCCGTCTGTTTACTGTACGATAAAACTTGTTGAATAGAATATCATAAAGTAATTTTTATCTATAGATTAGAGATTTGATGTAAAAGTATATAGAAGTAAATACTACTGAAGATATACTAAACAATTGAATACGATTTATCAACAAATGTATTAAACTAAGCACATTATACACTCACACACAAGATAAATGAATCAATATCAGTAAGTATATCAAGACAATATTGTGTACTATTAGGCAGATATTCTCACAAAAACATTTTCTAAAGGATACCGTTTAATATATCTATGTGTGCATATAGTGCTTTATATGGGTTTTTATTAATTAAAGTAAAAAGAATATTTCATAAATGGCTGTTCTAAAAGCATTTGTGTGATGGTCTTTAGGTCTGCATAAAACTGAGTGGATGAGATTACAAATCAAACAACCCAAGAAGTTGTAGAAAGTCTCTAGATTTTATACACAACAATAATACACTAAAGAAGATAATACAGTCCATCAAGTCCAGCTTAAATAGAAGTAACATATTATTTCTTGGTAACTTTTGACTAATTCTTGTATCCCAAACATCATTTTCATTCAGGGCAAAACTGCTCGCACAATCGTTCTATTTCATTTTACACATTTCTTAATCAGGATCAAGTCTTTTTTTGTTTGTTTTGTTTGTTTTGTTTGAATTTGACAAGGTTTTTTTTATTGCTTGGTCAGAAAAAGAGTTTCTATTGCACAAATGGATGGGCAAGATAATCCTACAGTTTCTAATGACCGGCGTTGTACACGTCTATAGAAGAATTTAACGGTACTAAAGAAACAGCCCATCTGTAAGTTTTCTTTTGTTCAATCATCCTACCCATCAATCGTATTTTACCTTGTTGAAACCAATATCGCTAGCGTACTCGCGGAAGCACTGACGGCAGATGTTGATGTTGTACTTGCGGATCAAACCAGCACGGTGAGCGCAGACACGGCTAAGTAATAAAAAAAAGTATTTTATCAATGGGCATGTTCTTGCCTGACAAATCGTTCGAGATGACCCTTGATATTATTTTTTTCTTTCTCCCTCTCTCTTTTTTTTTCATCGTCTCATCAAAACAAGGTCATATTTTTCTTCTTCGTAATCGGATCGTTTCCGTTTTTTCAACATTTCTTTTTCTCAACGTACCACTGACGAGAGCCCTTGCCGTTCGAGCGGGGGTGAGCGTTCCAGACGTTTGCGTGAGCCATGATTTAAAACTCCTTTGGGTTTCGACACGAACGTAAAAGAGAAGAGAAGGAAAAAACCCAAGGTGTGCCAGATGAGGCAACAAAAAACAATCTTTCCGGTGCTCCCGCCACCAAAAAAAAATTTGCGGCTGATGTCACTATGTGACAGTGCGGAGATGTCTATTTACACCATCTGGTAGGTTTTAATTGACCTGGCATGTCTTATATTTTTAGTGACAGCTCTATCCGGGAACCAAAGGATGGAAAAAAAAGTTTATTAATACAACCATCGATTAATGGTTATTATTTTTATATACTTTAGATTGAAGCTGCCCTCTCTCGAAACTTGGTTATATTTTGCCTGAATTAAACTTCTGTAAAGAACATATATACATATATTTATATTTAAATGCATGTCTGCGTGTGTGTATTTTATTTTTCTTTGAAAATCTTTGACATAGTAAAAGTCCACTAAAATGGGATTAACAACATTTTAAACTTGAAAAAGAAAAATAATTTCTTTACTACCTTATGTACAAATAATGTATATAACTAAAAAACCAAAATATATACACAACCAAACGAATATATTCTTGGACCCTAAAAGTCTATTTTTTAAAATCAAATCAAAATAATAGTGATTTTTACTTTCTTTTTAGATAGATATGTGGGTTTATTGCGAGGCATTTGAATCCCGTAAATACTTGAAGTTAAAGTAAATACGTAATTCTAGCGCAAAATTTAACGTGGACATAATCGTCGCAGTATCTCTACCCGGATCTTTTGTTCCAGATTGAGGTCTTTTTGGTTAAAGCCCAAACTACATGTCTTTACGACATGAAGTTAACCAAAGCTATTCAACACCTTATATTCCCATACAATACTCGCATATGCTAGCCCTACGTTTTCTGTCAAGGCGTCCTTAACAAGTTGTTGTATTATTATCGGCTCTAGATGAAAAAAAAATTCTCTATTTCGAAAAAGACTTTTATACTTAGTCCTAAAAGATTAAATACACTTTAATATGCTTTTTACGCTTTGGATATTACTATACAATTCTTAGATACAGCTTAAATGTATGTGCATATATTTTCAAACCTTCCTATCCTTTAGATTTTGTAATCACAGCTGGGCTACCTTGTGTTTATTCAATTGAACCGATGTATTGAGACTTATTGGCCCGTAGTACTAATAGCAGAATATTACACTATTATAAATTTATCTTATCATTTACTATTAAACCAAATATTTGTATTTTTAGGGGATTTGGGTATGAAAAGAAACCCTCAAACAAACATGATTGTGGTTTGTAGAGTATTTCATACGTATGTATTAGAATATAAGATCTTTTTCTTCTTCTTATTTACTGTCATATATTCAGTCATTTATTCTTATATTCGCTTTTTGTGTTTGATATTTGAATACAAGGACTAAACTATAAAAGAAGATGTATGTATCTCTTCTCTTAAAAGGAAACCAGATATACATATATATACTGATATTGATATTGACCTCCCGGGATAACTTGTCTAATATCCAGCTTTTATACAAATTCTATGAAAATCAGCCGGCTTTGTAAAAGGAGAAATAGTAATGTTATATTTTTATAAAATTTTCTTTTTACTAGTATTCGAGAGTTTTATAAACACTTAATATATATATATATATTCCTATAATTCAAGCTACATTTTGTGACGAAATCCAACATCAACCATTGCCCCCTCATTTAATAATCTTTGAATCACTGTCTTGTCAAACTCAAACTGGGATAGAATTTCAACAGAGTGTTTTCCCACCGTCAGAAATGGGTCACCAGTTGGATCAGCTACATGAATTCCTGGAGTACGCGATAAAAGTGGGGCCGGCTGGGGAAACACAGCCTTACGGGGCCAGCGTTGACCAGTTTTAGGAGTATCACCGCCAGGCACACTATCTTCCATCGATAATACCGGTGTAGTACAAGCATCCAGATCGTCAAATATTCTAGTCCATTCAGATTGTGTCTTTGTCATGAATATTCCCGAAATCCTCTTCTTCATAGCAGGCCACTGTGCATTATCCAGTTGATCTGGCAAGATTTCCTTGGAAAGATTCAATCCAATAAGAAATTGCGCGTAAAATTGAGGTTCAAGGCAAGCTCTAGATTATTAATAAAATGTTGGAATAAAAAAAATATAGATAATACCAATCCATTCATATAAAACATACACTGCCATAAAACGATCATCTTTTGTTCTATATACTTCATAAAAATGGGCACCGCTATCCAAGGTGTTTGTACCTCTTTCACCTTCCCACAATAACTTATGTTGTCGCATCAGCATAGGGAAAGTTGCAAGATAAGATGTGCCAGATGTCTATTAATGCATAAATACAAGGTTCAGAATACTGGGAGTTTCCTTTTTTATAAAAAATCTTGTTCTTACTAAATTTGCATCAATAACTTGTCCTTTTCCAGAGCTAACTCTTTCAAAGAGAGCAATCATAATTCCCATGACACACATCATTCCCCCACCCGCAAAATCAGCTGGAAACTTGGTTAATATAAGTTTGCTATAGTATAACTACACTAATACCTAGAATATTAAGGGGAAAGTGGGGCACTTCTTTGTGTCGTCCCATCATCTATCCAATGTATTTATATTAAGATATATGTAGTATTATTATTTTGGATATTATTTTGTTGTTTCTTATACACCTTACCTCCAATGCTCCTGAGATTGCAAGATAGTTCAGGTCATGTCCTGCTTTTAAAGCTATAGGTCCTGTTTGACCAAATCCACTCAGACGTGCATAAATGAGCTTTTCGTTTACTGTTAAGAGTACATCTGGCCCAAGTCCTAGCTTTTCCATAACCCCAGGCCGAAATGGATCCAGAATAACATCAGCCTTTGATACTAGCCTCTTTATTGTTTCGATTGAAAGAGGATTCTTTAAATCTAACGCAATCGACCTCTTGTTTCTGAATGGTTAAATTTATAAATATTATTTGAGATGGGGTTTCTTTTACGCTTGTTACTAGCGTGTTTATACGCCGTTTTAGTATAATTATTAGTCCGTTTGTTTTCTGTACCTTGTCAATACATCCGTATTGGAGCCTTGTGTCCTATCTATGCGGATCACATCAGCTCCAAAGTCTGCCAATATCATACCAGCATAGGGAGCAGGAGCAAGTCCAGCAATTTCTAGCACGACAAGTTTAGAAAGTGGAAGAACCATGAGAAGATTTTTGAGCGGAACAACAGATGGCTAGATTTGAACAACCTAATTTATACTGGTTCAAAATTGTGTAACAATATTGCAACCAATCTTAAATATTCCATAATTGGTTTTTTATTGCAATTGTCCAGCTTCATTCAAACAACATGCGAGAGAAGCAATCAAAAGCAATGCAGGATCGCCATGAGCGTATCCTCGAAGAATTACTCAAAAAGGCAGGAAATGAGCGATGTGCAGATTGCCAATCAAGAAGTAGGGTCAATTACACTTTACTCATTCTTCGAAATCCACTTGTTATTAACATTGTTTCTCTATTTTTTATCTTCAAGATCCACGCTGGGCATCGTATTCTCTTAAAGTATTCCTTTGTATAAGGTGTGCAAGCCTTCACCGAAAAATGGGCACACATATATCAAAGGTTAAATCCGTCACTATGGACCAGTGGTCATTAGAACAAATTCAGGTCAATACAGTAACACTATATAAAGAATAAGAGTCGGTTGATATTAACATATACATGTGAATATTTAATAGACGATGAAAAGTGCAGGAAGCAACATGGAAGTTAATAGGATTATTAATCCTCACCCTGAAAACCACCCCTTACCAATTACCCAAGATGATGATTTGTATGCCATAAAACCCAAGTATTAAGGGCTGCACATGGCTAACTTTTAATTTGCTTGGTGCGCTTAGTGCATTAGAAAAGTATATTCGATTAAAGTGGGAAAAGAAAGCCTTCCAGGATGAAATACAACAAGTAAGTTGTGTGGATTACTAGACTTGGACAAGCGTATTGAACAGTTCAATTAGAGCGCAATAAATGCAGCTCCTCAAAAATCATTCTCTACCCCACTTGCAATAGCCGACCATGAGAAATACAATGGACCTATGGCACAGCTTGATGTACTGGGATTTAAAGATACACAGAGAAATATGAACGCACTATTCAAAACACATGGCAACCTCGTCATGGCCATTCGCATACTGTCCAACTCTTTGAATGCGCAAGCACCAGTACCTATCAGCCAAGACACAAATGTTACTGAACAGACAGAGCTAATATCAAGCCCTTCTGCAGTGAACGAAGTACAAGGTTATTCTTGGACACAATCACCAAAGTCTACTTTTGTTGGAAGTATAACAGATACTGCCAGCGTGTCAAGTATGCCTAGTACACCACGTATACCTCAGTCCACCAACCCATTTTACACCCAAGAAATAAAATCATACAGTACATCGACGAATCCATTTGAACGATCATCCTATGGTAAAAATTGCATGTTACAAATTTAATTATTAACACACTCAGTAGATATTCCCCAAGAATCCTCTTTGTTTCACGAATATACATTGCCAAGAAACACCCATCCTAATCCGTTCACTCGAGTCGATGGATCTGCTAGACCATTAAACCCATTTACTCAAATAGCCAATGTTGAGCCATTAATGCCGACTAACAGTCCTTATTCGCGGGCTTACACGACTCCAAATGCCTTCGGTAAATCTTTGGACTCACAGTCCCCATTTTTAAGTCAAACAATTCAACATCATACTTTTATTGGAAACCAACCGTTATCTGCTGTGGATACGAACCCATGGTCCACTCAAATGAATAATTAATAGACTCTTATTAGTAGTATCTATAAAATAAATTATTAGTTAATAAATAAATAAATAAATAAATAAAAGGTTTAAAAAAATGGTTTGTAGATAGATTATATGCACAAGAGAAAATAAGTTAAAGTAAATACTGTCATACAGATTGTATGCTAGACACCTTATAAAAATTATATTTATCCACGTAGAATAAATTAATTCATGCTTATTCCAAGCTGTAATGGGTATTAAAAAAAATACGGGTATTTGCCAGTAGAGAGTCTTTCCATTGGACTGAGTATCATAGTATATTGTACCTTTCTTACGCAGACGAAGAATTATTGACCCCGGCGCTTTTCTTCAAAAGTAAACAACTTTGTCAGAAATTACAAAAGCAAATAATTCCTTGCTCATTGTCATGGATAAAATGTTTCTTAATAAATCTGAGCGAGCAGTTTGTTAATATTCTCATTTCTGACAAAGTTATTTACTTTTGAAAAAGTGCGGTGTTTCCATTTAATAGCAGGGGAAGAAGAATATTGAGACTTGAGGTGCTCTCGGAATTGTTTTTCGATAAAGAATTTTTTATCAAAAAACAATATGTTCCTATTTTAGAAGTATCTTTTTTTCAAAAAAGGAACAATATTTTTAAAGACCGTACTTTTTATACCTGCTCTCTAGCAGGGATAAAATTTTTTTAATATCCAAATATAGAAGTATATTTTTACTACTATCAGAACATCATTTGACAATCGCTTTTATCTTACTGTTATATATTATTTTCAGGGTCTTATTTGCTATACAAACCGGTAATTTCTACTCAAAATAATATATGGTATGCTATCTTGCACCAAGTTCTTTGCTTGAAGACGAATATTACATGCTTCCTCATAGTGATAAAGCCACAAGAAAAAGTATTCCTTTAATATGCTTTCAAATAAGTTTATATCTTTGGAGTATAGTACTGACTATAACACCGACGTATTATTAATTACACAACATCTATATTTGGCACATATTAATCTTCTAAAAAAGGAACATTATTGTTTTTCGATAAAGAATTCTTTATCGAAAAACAATTCCGAGAGCACCTTTGATTTCTTTTCTCTGATAGCAGATGCAAAAATTAATGTCCTAAATTAGTAACTAGGTGTACGATTCTGAGTGTAAACCCCATTTTTGGATGTGACTTAGGTGTCTATTAAGACTGCCCTGAAAATACTTCTTTTACTTCTACCAAAACAAATTCTTAAAAATGGGTCGTAAAAATGCTCGCTCCGTCCTTACTTCTAAAATGCCACGAAGACAAGATGGAAAATTCTGTGCAAAGCCTCCAGTTATTGTCAATGATACAGAAAGTTCAGCTGCAGAAGAGGAACCTGTAGAAGAGAACGACTGGGAGCTCTTAGATTTAACTACGGATATGATGGTTGCTGGATATTATCGAGCCCTTGCAAGATTAGAAAAAGAAACAAAAGATGATCTTCGCGCGCTTAATAAAAGAGACTCTAGACCATCAAGCATACGCAACAAAAGAAAAGCGAAAGGAGAGCTTGAGGCAAACAAAGACAAGAAGGTCAGAACACTTGCTGACTTCGGTTTCTCAGTCCCTGTTAAGCAAGTCTCACCTACAACCACGACTTTGATTGTAGACAAGAAACCAAACGATAAGAAACTTGAAAAAATTCGTGGAGCATTTGAGATGATTAGCGACAAATTAAACCCACTACTTGGATCAGATAACCAGTTAATTAAGTCTGCCTTATTTGAAGATACCAAACAGATTGTTTTGAGGGACTATTTCAGGCGTCTCTTGGAGAATTCTGGAAAGATCGAAGCATCTGAAAGAGCAGCAGAGCTTATGTGGGACTCACCTTCCAAGTACTGCGGAGCAAAAGTCCGTGCCTGGGCAAAAGAATTTCTTGAGCTCGGAGGAATTCCCGGGCACCAGCAGGACAAACATGACAAGCGTTCTTCGATTGTTGACGATGAAGACTTGAAAAAGGAATAGTTTATGTGATGATCCAGACATACAATTTTTCATGCTTAACACATGTAAGAGCATCCTTATATTTTTATAGCTAAGTAGCTATCATCTTATCAATAGATAAATATTATGTATATATGTGTGTGTGTGTGTGGTAAAGCAATCAGAGAAATAATTATTACAGTCAGTGCTGTATAGATGGTATCTCAAAAAGTACCGATTCAATATTGTAGTACCTCTATTGAATTAAGCTATAAGTGTGGCAGTATCAGCTCTCTAATAACTAAATATGGTAAAGAAAGAGGACCCTGAGAAACTAAGATGTGTCCGACAGAACAGATTGTGTTTTTGTATAAAAAGGAGAACTTTTTATTCTTTAATAAAGAAAACCTATATACAGTCTCAAAGTATTCTTATATACATCCCTACCTTTTTATGTTTTGATTTTTTTATCTAAAGCACAGTTTGACCTCGTGCCCAAAAGCTGAAAGTCAAACTTTTGTTAAGCTCATGAAGTGCCTTAATGAAATCATTTTCCCATCATGACTAGGCGTAAAAGAAAACGTATCCACAAGCCTGACATGGGAATGCATGAGAGTCTGGGATATGTCCACCGTAAAAACACCCAGGACGTTTGTTTTGATGGACACGAGAGACCCAATGTTATGAAATATTGCCATCCATGGACAACAAGACTGATGGTATGTAAGCAGCATATGTCAGATTTTACCGATGAGAATGAAAAGATCGAGGTGTTTTTTACTCCTACGATGGAAAAGTGAATACTTGGCTTGAGGAAGGTGAAAGCCACATCCACAAAAATGGCCAGGGATGAGCTCTGGTGGTGAGCGAGTTCCAGTGCACTTACCATGCCACCATGCGGATGAAGTGATGTGTATCCCGCAAGTTCTTTAATACTGGGGCCTCATACGATGGCTACTGGACGAGGGATGTACTGATATATCCCTGTTCAACCAAAGCACCAACCACAAGACATAAACTCTAAATCCATTGGTTGCCAGTAAGATGGACTTAAAGCCAAAGATCGTTTCGAAAAATGAGAAGTTCTATTTTAAGTGTTCCAATCTCACTTTTTATTCCTATTTCTAAGACTCTGTACAAAGTTACTTTCAATAAATCTATCTATTCCTATAACAAAAAGGTACAAATTTCTTAAGGGATGGCAAATTCGTTCACCAATGGTTTTATGAGACAGTTTCGGAAACAGTCAGAAGAAAAGGGAAGGAGTTCATTATAGATAAGGAGCGGTCTATTGGAGTCCAGATGTTCCTACAAGAGTGTGGTGTTTGGATGGATCTCGATTCAAATAATCCTTTACTAAAGCTTCCTTTTTTACCATAGTGTAGCTTATCATTCTATAATATACTGATTATGAGAAATAAACCAACTTTCAAACTTTACTACAATAAATATCCACTTTGAAATATATATATATTTAAAAAAATGTATGTTGATATTAAAGGTTGACTTTGATTTTGTATGCGTTCTTCAGAGTCTTCCATCTTTCTCAGGAATATACCTCAGTCAGACTCAGCATGAATGTCTTTCAAGTAGATTTTGAGCTGTTCCTGATATGCACCAAGCTGTGCCGAAGTATAGTCTTAAAATGCTTTCTGATTTTCTCCATGAATGATTTCTCATCTCGGAAATCCCATTCAGGTAAAATTTTACTACCCAGAAAAAGATCTTTCAAAACATGATAGAGATAAACAGAACACCACAACTTTGGCAAGACCTCAAATTAACTAACCTGTTTGAAACTCTTGACGGAGCGATGAATTGTGTTCGGATGTGGACTTGGAACCAAAACCGTCAGTCCTGAATTTCCTACCGGTTATTGTGTAAATCCAGCACACCGTCAATCAATTGTTTCTGAAAAGGACAGTTGGTTACAGCCTGAAGGACCCTAATATATATAGAGTGGGCCGAATTATCCTGATTATATGTCTCAATAACTTACACAGCTATTTTCTCAATATATAATGGGTACTCGTTTCTCTAGATTATATACCTTTCCTTCAGATTTTTGAGCTACACGCTGCATTATTCTTTCTAGAAAAATTCTTGGTGAAGACAATATATATATATATATATATATACCTTGAGACCTGCTTATTTTAATCGGACTGTCTTTAACTTATCGTGCTCTTTCTATCATAAATTTCCCTTTTGTTAATGGCCTAACAATAATACCCTTTTCTTTTTAATAAATGTGCGTCCTTGTATCTAACAATACGCTTTCACAACAACTCTCTAATTAAATTTCTATGCACGTTTTTGTATGTATTTGAGAGCTAAATTATTTCTGTAAATTAACAAAGAATTTTTCTGGGAACTTATCTACTGATCTGTGAAAAAGAAACCAACAGTTTATGAAACATTAGCGAAAGCACAGTGTATAAAAACAATATTCTTTAAGAAACATTGGAATAACCTTTATTTTTTACTGTTATATAATAATCCAGCGTCACCAGATAACTCAATTGAATAAAGGTACGTTTCAGGAATACACGTTTGTCTCTTATATTCCACCATTGGATTAATGCTAGTGGAAAGTGCTCAGGAAGTGTGGTGAAACAAGAAAAAAAAAGCATTTAAAAAATAAATCCCATTTTTAGAAATATTATAAGTTCAAAAAGGGAACTTGTTTTAAAATCCCGAGACTTTTGCCTGTTGTCTTGGAGGGGCAAAATATTTTTCATGCCTAACCATGGCGATATTTTTTGTTGCTATCAGATCCGTCTGTGAGGCCCATTTTTTTTATTGCCCTGCCCTGCCTTGCCTTGCCTTGCCTTCACAGTATCTTGTTTACTTTATAAGCTACTCTTTATCTATTAAACATAATGTATCTAATACTATAGTTTTCTGAAAAAAGTATCCAAGAGTTATTTACTTTCTGCTTTTCTCTCTCTTAATAATTAAAGCTAAATAAAGTACTTTAGTTTATTATGCTTTCAAGGAAAGTTAAACCTCTGGAGCATATTATTTATTATATCATTGACATACCACTATGTTCACGATTATTATACTAGTCATTTTGTGCTACTTCTAAATATGGTCTATATTATGCGATCGATAGCACTTTTTCCATTCAATGTCACACTCGGTAAGTACCGAATATAAGCTAACCCGAGTTTAATGACTCTCTTTAATAGCATGATATTTAGTTCATCAAATAACCTCTTTAGTATAATTTGTGCTTTATTTACTCATCTCGAGACTTATTTCTCTAAGAGTAGTACTTAGTTGGCTCGTCAGAATGAGTTAAGATATAATAACTGCACTCTTAGTCTATAGAGTAATGGGACACTAACTATCTTTCATTTATTCTTATGTGTAGACACTTGGTATTTTATAAGATATATCTCAACAAAATAAAAAAGGTAGGGCCTTATTAAACCTATATTTTTTTAAGCTTTAGCATTTTCTTCTCTATTTTGAAATAGCTATATACAATTTATTATATGCTTTCATTTAATGTGTATGGAGTCTTTAAGTAAACACACTACATTTGTACATAGTGAATTACGTGGGGTATCTTGGCTTCCCTTTTAGATTACATATTATTTGAAACAGAACGTATTTTGAACTATTTTTGATATTTTGGAAAATGTATCTTTAACTAAAATTCAGCATCAAAAATAGGACTTCTATATAAGGCGATTACTCACACAGTAATACACCGATAACATTTTGGGAATATGGTTACACACACAATCTGTGGTGGTGATTGAGTATAGCCACCAAGTCGGTGTACAAATAATCTAGGAATAGGAATGTGAAGCGAGAAGCGAGAAGCGAGAAGCTGTAAGAGTTAGCAAAGGAGCAAGAGGGGTGATGATCGTTTCTAGTATTATGATGAAGGTTATACGTGTATATTTGTACATTTTATTTTGGCTTTAGGGAGAATGTTAATCTAGGTCAGATTTATGTGTTCAATTGGTTTTTTGACATCTTCTAAAGCACTCTCAATTATGTGAACATATTCTGACGCACGAATGAGAACAAGGCATGCAAGCATAAAAATATACATCGATTACTCGCCTTTCTTCTTCTTCTCTTTCTCTCTTTAATCCATCTTATTTTAGTGGCCAACAAAACAGGTATGGACCAACTCTAGCGATAAAAAGGTCCCGCTACAGATTAATATGTATTTATACACATGTATCTAATTTATCAATTCGCTCCGTTTTCCCGCAAATATATATATATATAAATATATAAATAAATAAAAACATATCCATTTCTCCACACTCTTCTACAACATAGGCATCAAGGCTTAATGTCAAACCCAGTAGCAGAAAATGCCAAGCTAAACGAGCAGAGAACACGAGCCATTAAGACTCCTGTTTCAGCATACCTCTCGATTGACCCTAGTCGTCGTAATACTCCAGCTAGTCCTTATGATGACACTATTCTCTCACCTGAATCTCCGGAAAATCGTCAATACCCATCTTTGATTCGACCAAATTCTTTTAATAGATTCAGGAATTCAACACCTGGAAACCAACCCGATGATGCATCGAATTTTCCTTCTCAATGGAAACGTGTATTAGACAAACTATCTTCGTTAGCACAAAGCGACAGTCAAAACGATCACGGAAGCATCGAGACACGTGATGAATCAAGTATGCAAGAAAGCACTGAAAATACCAATGAAGAATATGAATTGACTGCACCAAGTACACAAAAGTACTACCGAAACAAAAAGGGGAAAACATTCGAAAATCAAATTGAAGACGATGCTCTACCATCCGCATTTGACATTGAGGCACTCGAGAATTCAACGCATAATCGACCCGGAGAAGACCAGGAAAGCTACTTTGCCCATCCATTTTCATCAGACCGAGATCATCAAGAGGGATCAACCAGTGGACAGCCGATTATTCTACCCATTCAGGAAAATGAACTGCACCACCATAATCAAGTACATCCTCACTCTTCGGAGGTTACCATTCCAAATGAAGTTCATCAGATCAACCCAGCCGAAAGAGCCCATGCTAAGCAAAAATGGACAAAAACCCTCGAACGAGTGAAGCTTATCACTAACCTACCTAATCAACCTCACCGCCAACCAGAGATTCCTTTACAGTTAACCCAAACCATTGCTCCATGGTATCCACCTATTTTCGATCCACCATTTTTATCATTTATGACCGATGAACATCACCGAAAATTGGTAAACCGAAGAAAAAATAATAGGATGATCTTTACAATGTATTAATATATTGTTAAATTAATTGCCCAAACCTGATTTAGCCTCCAATTCTTTTACAATGCATGATAGTAAGGTTTTTCTATTTGCTTTTATTTTAGAGAAAAAATAAAGCAATTGGAGATATCTAATGCCTAACTCATAGGTATCTGTCACCGATTCAGAGCTTCAGACAAAGGGAATTAATCAGTGGATATTTCGGATGGAATTGCAATATGGAGATGTTAAATGGGTGATCAGGAAGACTATTACAGACTTTGTCAGTCTACATTACACTCTCAAGTTCAAATCAAACCTCTCTGACAATGTTCCTGCACCGCCTGACTTCCCAAATCAATTCAGAAACTGGCTCAGCTCTGCCAAGCATACAATTGGAATAGATCGGGATCATGAGCCAGAAAACGAAAATGAAAAAAAGGATATGGCTTTTAATCGACGACAAGCCCTCACAAAATATCTTCGTGAGCTACTAAAACGAGCCCACATGTTAGTGAGTTATGATATATGTGAGTTTCTTGAAATATCAGCTGCAAGTATCGTCCAAGACATGGGTTGGAAGGGTAAAGAGGGTTACCTTGAGAATCGAGTAAATTTCGTCACACCTCGAATATGCAGTAATATAATTCGTCCACACATTTGGTCAAAAGAATGGGTGATTGTGAGAGATTCGTGAGTGTCAAAATATTGTTAATCATATAATCTTACACACTTCTCAAATCACACAAGTATGGTTATTTACTACTGAAAGACATGTAGATATATCGCCTTTTTGGCCGACATTGCTTCCACTGTACCTACAGATGTGTTTCTACTCGACAAAAGCTTCTCAGTAACGAACCGTAAACGAGGAATCTTTGGAAGATACCACAACCATATTATCCTTGTCAACCGGTTTCGTAGAATTGAGATCAAAGGAAGTAAACGACAGATAGAAGAGTGGATGGAGAGTATTCAAAAGGTCTCTAAAAACAGTCCTTGGGTTACAAACCATCGTTTTGGCTCCTTTTCCCCTATTCGTCACAATGCAAAGGTTAAATGGTTCGTAGATGCTGAAGGTAATGTACAACTGGCTTAGGAATAATTATCACTGCTGCTCGTTTGTCTTTTCACTAGTACTGAATAATACATCAATCATAACAGATCATTTCAATGCTGTTGCAGAAGCTATTCTGGCTGCAAAGAAAGAGATTTATATTGCAGATTGGTGGCTGTCACCTGAACTTGTAAGAAGATAACAACAAATGTTCGAAGCTTTTTATCTATCTAACTATTTATTTATTTAACAATTTCTTACACAACAAGTACCTTCGAAGACCTCCAACAGAGAACGAAGAATTCAGAATTGATAGACTACTACAACGAAAAGCATCCGAGGGAGTCATGGTTTATATTGTGGTTTACAAGGAGATGACTGTTGCGTTAACAATTTTGTCTGCTCATACCAAACGTGCCCTACAAAATCTTCATCCAAATATTATTGGTAAAAACAGTCTTTTTTTTTTAAGAAAAAGAAGAAGATATTTTCTATTACTACTGCTGTTCATTTGTTCCTAACATATCAAAACTATCATTTAGTTCAAAGACATCCTGATCATCGTACAGTTGATAATAATATCTTGTTCTGGTCCCACCATGAGGTAGGTAGTGGGCATAATAAACACTATTGTTTTAACACTTAATTGCTTTTTTAGAAAATGGTTGTTGTTGACAATCGAATTGCTTTCATTGGTGGACTAGATTTGTGCTGGGGGTAAGACAACAAGAGAAAAGGTTAAAATATATATAGATATTAATTATATATACTTAAAAAAAAACAGACGATACGACTCCCATTCCCATCGATTGGCAGACTATCCAGCAAAAGGCCACTCCCATGAAATATTCCCTGGGCAAGATTATTCTGATCCTCGCGTAAAGGACTTTCTTGATGGTAAATACACATCGTAAAACACAAGCAGACTCTAAAACACTTTACTTATAGTGACTAATTTTGCAACAACGCTGGTTGACAGACGAGTAACTCCACGTATGCCATGGCACGATATGTCAATTGCTGTGGTGAGAAGCAACCCGAAAACAAAGTATCTCTGTACTAAGCAGTCTGAAAATTGTATTTCTTAGGTGGGCCCTATTGCGCGCGATGTCGCGCGCCATTTTATTCAAAGATGGAATTTTCTAAAATCAAGTAAAGGAAAACATCGACAGACTGTGCCATTTTTGATGCCCAAGGGTGAATTTGTTGCTGAAAGAGACGAAAGACGGTTTGAAGGCACATGCCGTGTACAATTGTTAAGAAGCTCTGCTGAATGGAGTTCCGGAATTGAGCGAGAGGTAGGTTTTTAATGCTTTAGATAATAACGATAATAATAAAAGGCATAAATGTTAATGAAAGATCAGCATTCCATCTACAATGCATACATGGAGTGCATTAGCAAAGCAAAACATTTTGTGTATATTGAAAACCAATTCTTTAGTAAGTTACATTTATATATTAGCCGTGTATTTCAACCATAATATTTATGAAGAAAGTTTATTTGTAGTTAGCGCAACTACCCAAGAGGGAATATTACGGAACAAGATTGCTCAAGCCATGGTAGAACGTATCAAGTTGGCACACAAGAAGAAAGAGAAATTCAAGATATTTATCATGATACCTTTGATTCCTGCCTTTGAAGGTGACCTGGCTTCAAAAGAGGCCAGTGCAGCTCGGCAAGTTTTTCTTATTGAATACTTTGTATTGGCTAAAGCCATTTGGTTTATTAATATTGCTCTTCTTTTATAGCAACGTTATGCATTTCCAGTACATATCTATTTCAAGAGGAGGGAACTCAATTATGGAGAAGTTGAGAGAGGTCGGTATAAATCCTGATGATTATATCGGATGGTACTGTCTTCGTAACTGGGATAAGATTACCTCGCGTGACCGAGACGACAAGAAGTCTTCATCCTCAGAGCCTACTGTATTATCAAATTCCACTGAAAATGGGTCCAAGTCAAACCAAACCCCAGAGAATAACCCACGTTTTTCTGTTTCTGGATCCTCGGAAGGCCGCAGTTTGATGGCTGAAGACGATGCAAGAGACTATGTCAGCGAGCTGGTCTACATCCATGACAAAATTATGATTGTTGACGACAGATTAGTATTAATAGGCTCTGGTATGTTAATTGCTAATTGGTATTACATTATATTAACACTGTTTATTTCTCTGCTCTTTAGCCAACATTAACGACAGGTAAATCACAAGGCTGTGCAAAACTTATATCTAACCCATCATAGATCACAACTAGGAAACCGTGATTCAGAAGTAGCTATGTTAATCGAAGATACTGCCATGGTACCTTCTTATATGAACGGTAAAGAGGTACAGTAATAATCAATTTGATGCAATTGAAACGTATAATTTATTCATTCCTACAGGTCAAGGCAGCCAAGTTTGCCCACAGTTTGCGAATGCAACTGTGGAAAGAGCATCTAGGCCTACTCGAGTTTGATGATTGGGGAGCATTGTGTAATAATCCAGATACGATTCACTGCAAACCAACTCCAAGACACACCCCCCCAAGCTCCCCTAATTTAAATGATCATATTTCAAATGAGGATATGATTAAGGATATTGAAAACAAAGATCCTGAAAACATCTTTGATTTTCCGCGAAAATCAGAGGGTTCAAAAAAGCCGCCGCCAAGCATCGATCAGTCGCGCGCGCTTGATCCTCTTTCGGATGAGTTTTACTATGGAATCTGGCGAAAGACTGCAAATCGCAATACAGGAATATACCGTGATTTGTTCCACTGTGTTCCGGACGATACTGTGCACACATTTGAGCAGCATCGACAATTCCTTCCAGACCCAACCAAGGTATCGCATGGACACGTTGCAAACCTAGAATTAAGTGGTCCAGAGATTCAACTTCAACTGGACCAAGTACGTGGCCACTTGGTCGAATTCCCCACAAACTACCTTAAAGACGAGAACATGCTAGGTTCTTATCTTCGAGAGGCCATTACACCAATGACCATATTTACTTAATTTTTATCACACAATTTAAACATGTATATCTATATACTCTTAAAACTTATTTAACAAACAAACAAACAAAAAGTCAACGATTTTATTATTTTCTTTTTCTTTGCGTTTTTAGTGATCCAAAATAGCTTCATATTTGATCTATGAAAGCTTTGGATCTTGTCTTATTTTCTTTTGATTGAAATTTAATCCCACGAAGAAGTAGGAGCAGCAGGGTTTACATCCTCAGCCCAGTCAGAAGTGGCAGCCTGGGTAGACCAATCGGCAGAAGCGGTTGCGTTGGCGGCGGCAGCAATGCCAGCGGGGCCATCGACGGCGCCCTCAATGGTCCAGTCGACCTCTTGGGCACCTCCCCATTCACCAGCCTCAAGGCCTCCTTCGGCGGCAGCGGCGATCTGCTCCTTCTCAGCCTCTTCGGGCTCGCGGTAGAAGAACATATCAACCATGACATCCCACTCGGAAGCGTAGTCAAGGGTGCCGCGGAGACGGAGGACGGTACGGGCAAGGAGGTAATATATAAGACCAAGAGCGTGCTTACCCTTGTTGTTGGTGGGAATGGCCACATCAATATACTGGAGGAAAGCATCGGTGTCAGCAAGAGAGATGACAGGGATGTTGACATATGAGGCTTCCTTGATGGCCTGGAAGTCAGAATGGGGATCAGTGCAGATGATCAGACGGGGCTCACGGAAAGTGCGGGTGATGTAGTTAGTGAAGGTACCGGGTGTGAAACGACCGACGATAGCCTCGGCACCAATGTACTTGGCGAACTTCAAGGCAGCACGGTGGCCATAAGGACGGGCAGAGATGACTACGATGTCCTTGGGGTCTTCAATAGCCACGATCACACGGGCAGCAAACACCAACTTCTCCCAAGTCTTGCCAAGGTTGATGATGTTGATACCTAAAAAGATGGGGATAGTTTTAGTAAGCGCAAACCCGTTTTGAACAGCGCTAGAAGAAGCCTACCATCAGCGCGGCGCTTGTAAACATAGGGAATCATGCGGGTGTTCACGTTCTTGTTGCCGAGGTGGCACTGGGCGGCCAGCAAGAGCTGGAGGTCCTTCTCGGTGGGGTTGAGGACTGGGGGTTGGGCGTGTAAGTAAACAGATGGATTTTATAAAGTAAAATAGACTTACTGGCTGGTACGTGAGACATTGTTTATTTCAATAGACGGCTATCGTTTGATTCTGGCAAGTTAAGGTGCAGAATACTTTTGGGTGAAGGCCAAGGTATGTCTAGGTGAAAGAAGGGGGATTTCTCATCGTTCAAAAACACGAAGCCTCCAAGAAAATTTTTTTCGAATTTTTTATTATAATCTCCGACCGTCCTTTACTCTCCGGACTGGTGGTAAGTGCGCTTAAGTCTACAATTCCGATACAGAGTCCAGAGTAAACTTGCTATACAATTTTCCTTCTAATCGCCCTTTTCTATTGGTTTTTAAGAAGTGTTGCACAGGATTTGCCTTCTTTCGCTTGAAGCCACTTTTTGGCTGCTCTTCATCTTCATCTTCAGACCTACACAATGTGGGGTCAGAGCTGGATTTTATGCTTTACCAGGCTAACAATATTTACCATTCAATATTCTTGGGTTCTTCGATTATAGTAGAGATCGTCTTCCAGCTAAACCGAATGATACTGGGATATCCAAAAAATCGATCTCCGTTCTTCTTCAACCACTTTACAGTGTTTGGATCTGTACGATAGGTAAATTCTTGCTGCTTAAAACACTAATTTCTGTGTGATCTCTATCTATCTATATATATTTTTCGTGTTTTACTTTACCTGAAGGATAGCCAGACCCAAAATTCTTAGGGATGTCTAAGCCTTCTTCTGTCCAAATCCAGTTCTGGACAATTTGATCACGTGTAACTTTAGCACAGATACTTGCTGCACTGACAATAGGATAGAGAGCATCTGCCTTTGGTTCAACTGTGATAGATATACCAGGAAAGTTACGAGAAAGCTTAACCTGATAGGATTGCGACGGACCAACAGGATCTACATATATCTTTGTGGATATAGACATCCATTTTTATTTTTATTTTAAAAAAAATAAGACTCAAAGATCAAAAGTTTCTACCATACCTCTGTCAAGTTAACTTTTTGCTCAAGAACACTACGGATCAACTTGATTGTTGCGTCGTGAGCCATTTCATTGAGATTAAATGGAGGTCTACACAGCGGCTTTTTTCTGTTTAACTAGAGCTTGACCACATTCGACTCTTTTTCTTTTGTATTGTTTCTTCTTTACCTAGCCAGCATATTGACAGATATATCTTGGGGGGAAATTACATACACAGCCCAGCCGACCCAATCCAAATTAGCCTCAATAATTTTGGCCAATGCGGTACGGCGGTCCTCCGTGAGTTTCTTGGAATCTAATATATTTATGCGTGTACACCATGTTTAATTCGATTCACCAAAAATCTATCACCTGGATTTATTTTCTAATTCTCTCTCTTTTTTTTACCATCAAAACCCATGGCTTTGAATTCCTGGTGACGAGAAACTGGACAATAGCTGACGGCATATACCATTGGTCCTATTAATAAACGGACCCACAGACGGACACATATAAATGTCAAAAAGAGAAATTTTCTTGATACTCTTAATTATACAAAGAGAGAGAAAGAAACCCTCCCATACCAAGGCATGGTCCTCTTCCTGCTTCATCTACACCTAGAACACATGGTTCATTAACCTTGTTTGGTAAATTCTCCACCAACAATGCAGGAACAGGACTAGAATAGGTGTATGACTTTTGGTGTGGAAGTTGTACAGAAGGCAATCTAAATCCAATGACCTCTGAAAGTTTATCAATAGTATCTGTTAAAGTCTCATTTCCCAACATTGTTGGATCGAGAATGAATCAAGTGGTTCTTTGGGATCGTGTCTGGAGAACAATGACTTGACAGCTACTTTCTCGGTCTTCTTGTTCAAGTGACTTCTTTTTTTATACTTCTCCTGGTGTTTTCATAATTATTGATTTTGTGTATTTTTATTGGTTGAACTTGGAATTGGGATTTGGTGATTTTACAAGCACAATATTAATTAGAGACAGAGACAGTATCTTTATCTTTAATTTGAAATATATATATAATGAGGAAAAGTAGTGCTTAGTTAAAGTTCAATTCTAAGCCTACCCTTAAAATATCGAAAAATCTCGCAAGAAATATTTTATTAAAGTCATTTTTTATACTATAGTGTAAATACATAACACAATAGTCAATGCAAGCTTATAGAGAGAGAAATACTAATTTTGTATGGTTTACTTTTATCTTAAATATATGATGATTGCCAGTATAAAATCTTACATAATTTAAGACCGCATTAATGAAAGTTTCAGATAGAGAATACACCCAACAGCTGATTGAAATATATATTATCTCTTCATAAAAATGTTTCATCATTATTATATAATAAAAAAAAACTAAAGTAAAACGGTTTTGCAGCAATGTGATGGCTCTGGATCATCAAGCTTCTTAACTGTAAAGATAATTTGATCTATTTGTTAGATGGTTAAGTTTTTTTTTTGAAATTGAGCCAGTAGTAAAGTAACAAGAACTTGCCCAGTGTTTTCAGTGTTGAATTTGCCGTAAAAACTGGCATGCTGTTTGGGATACTGTGTTTATACTTCAAAAATGAATATTATAAATGCCACTATAACTATGGATTTGTAATGAAAGACAGTTGGTCAAAGTATTATATTTTTCTTGTGTTGGCATTATTTAAATAAAATCGAATGAAAATAGGAAAAATACAGGCTGTGTTAAACCACATCTGTAGCACAGTATATATATATATATATAAATATTTGAATTTTAGTGTAGCTAATCTGATAGCTTCTTTATTTTCATTTTTAAAGGACTCTATATTACATGACAGAATTTGGAAAACACTGAAGAGCATTATAAGATCTTCTTTATAGAGCAAGAAAAAACTCGTATTATTTTTGCTAAAGGGTTTATGTATATAAAAATACAAAATGAGAGCTTGGCTAAAATATCAAATAAAGAAACCCTTGCACCCTCTCTAAAGATCAGAAGCTTCTTCCCAAACTTTGGTTTCTACTGTTTACTGCACAGACCATATAAATCCAAACAAAGTTTATCTGGCTTTAATTCACGATCATTTGTTTGTTTGTTCCTTTTAATCTTTCTTTGTCTTTATCTAACTAGGTTCTTTGTAAAAGATACCTTAACAGCTTTGTACAAGGTTTCATTTTTCTTCTTCTAGCATAATTGGTACCCTGACTGACTGCGGTCCATGCAGGACTAACATCGAGTAAAATATAGTCATCGAGCCAATAATTTGCCTTTGGTCAAGTGGCTTGTCATTGTGACTCACCTTTCAAATGGATATTAAAACCTCCACTTCGCGACCGTTGCTCCTCTTGTAGAAACAGTTCATATCATGTCTTTGGCTGACGGTAAAGCTCATCTACACAAATGAATAAAGCAACAACAAAAAAACAAACCTTTCTTACGTGTATTTTTTATGCATTTTTTTTCGCTCTTTCTCTTTCTACATTTTTTACTAAACTTCAGTTACTGGTCAATTTAAGTAAGTTTCGAACATAATGTCGAAAAAATAAAAAGGAAAAAAAAAGAAGAAGGAAAATGCAATGAGCAAGCATTATTATATACACGTATACATATAAATGTGCATATTTATCTAATAAATTAATTTAAACTAGCTTCCCTAAGGAAGAAGAAAAGATCCTCCAATTCTGGAAAGAAATTGATGCCTTCAACCGCTCTGTTGAGTTGAACAAGGACAAGGAGCCTTTTGCTTTCTTTGATGGCCCTCCTTTCGCCACTGGTCTTCCCCATTATGGTCATTTGCTTGCTGGTACTATCAAGGTAAAGTTATAAGAGAGTTTTTCTTGTGGGAGAGAAAGAAAGGAAAAGAAGAAACAACTATCTATTTGTTAGAAATTTTTATCAATAATAATATATTTCTTTCATATATATATATAGGATATTGTCACTCGTTATGCTCACAACACTGGTCACCATGTTGAGCGTCGTTTCGGTTGGGATACCCACGGTCTTCCCGTTGAGTATGAAGTTGACAAGAGCCTTGGTATCAAGGTATGTTGGTACAGATAAACAAACAAATAAAGGTGATTATTCATGCTATGTGATACATTACAGGGTAAGGATGATGTTATGAAGATGGGTATCGAAAAGTACAATGCCGAATGCAGATCTATTGTCATGCGTTACTCTGGCGAATGGAGAAAGACTGTTGAGCGTATGGCCCGCTGGATTGATTTCGACAACGATTACAAGACCTTGGATCCTACTTTCATGGAGAGTGTCTGGTGGGTTTTCAAGCAGCTCTTTGACAAGGGCCAGGTTTATCGTGGTCAGAAGGTCATGCCTTACTCTACTGCATGTACAACTCCTTTGTCAAACTTTGAATCATCCCAGAACTACAAGGATGTCAATGATCCCGCAAGTAAGAGCAAAATCTAATACATATACATATATACAAAAAAAAATATTCGGCTGGTATTTAAAACTAGGTTACTCATATTTTTATTATTGTTGTTGTTGGGTGATTGTTAGTTGTCGTTGGTTTCCCTCTCGTAAATGATCCCAAAACCCAGCTTTTGGCCTGGACCACAACCCCCTGGACATTGCCTTCCAACCTTGCTCTGTGTGTAAACCCCAACTTTGAGTACATCAAGATTAAGGATGAAATCACTGGCAACTTCTACGTTCTTATGGAGAAGCGTCTCAGCATCCTTTACAAGGATCCTAAGAAGGCCAAATTCACTATCATGGAGCGTTACAAGGGTACCGACATGAAGGGCTGGGAGTTCGAGCCAATGTTCAACTACTTTGAGAAAGAATTTAAGGGCGTTGCCTGGAAGGTTATCACTGACAACTATGTCACTGACGACTCTGGTACTGGTATTGTTCAGCAGGCTCCTGCTTATGGTGAAGACGATTACCGCATCTGTATTGAGCACGGTATCATCCGTCCCGACGGTCCTCTTCCCTGCCCCATTGACGAGAAGGGTTGTTTCACCTCTGAGGTTCCCGAATACCTTGGTATGCACGTCAAGGATGCTGACAAGCCTCTCCAAAAGGAGATGAAGCAGCGTGGGCGTTTGATTGTCCAGTCTCAGATTATGCACAGTTATCCTTTCTGCTGGAGATCTGATACTCCCTTGATTTACAAGGCTGTTCCTTCATGGTTCGTCCGTGTCTCTCCTGTCATTGACAAGATTTTGGCTTGCAACGACAAGATGCGCTGGTAAGTTTTAATTACAAAAAAAAGGTGTAATGAATTAATTGAGAGGTGTGATGTGTAATATGGGTAACTAATTTATTTACTTTGATATGTATATTGCGTGTGTATAGGGTTCCTGCCTTTGTCCAGGAGAAGCGTTTTGCCAACTGGATTGCCAACGCTCGTGACTGGAACATTTCCCGTAACCGTTACTGGGGTACTCCCATTCCTCTCTGGGTCAGTGATGACCTTACTGAGGTTGTTGCCATTGGTTCCATCAAGGAACTTGAGGATCTCAGCGGTGTTTCCCCTATCAAGGATCTCCACAGAGAGAAGTAAGTGATTATTTTGTGGTTTTTTGCTGTTGTAAATTTATATATATATATATATAATTGGGTATGTTTTTCTTACTAATATTTATTTATTTCTCTCTCTCTTTCTGTATTTGTGCAATTTATTCTTATTCTTATTCTTATTCAGCATTGACAAGATCACAATTCCTTCCAAGAAGGGCAATGGTGTTCTCCGTCGTATCGAAGAGGTGTTCGATTGTTGGTTTGAGTCTGGCTCTATGCCCTACGCTCAGAAGCATTATCCTTTTGAGAACGCCGATAAGTTCAAGAACACTTTCCCCGCTGACTTCATTAGTGAGGGTATTGATCAGACTCGTGGTTGGTTCTACACTCTCTTGGTTCTGTCTACCCATTTGTTCAACGAGCCTCCTGCCAAGAACGTTATCGTCAGTGGACTTGTCTTGGCTGCCGACGGCAAGAAGATGAGCAAGCGTCTCAAGAACTACCCCCAGCCCGACATTGTGATCGACAAGTTTGGTGCCGATGCTCTGCGTCTCTACCTCATCAACTCCCCTGTTGTGCGTGCCGAGACCTTGAAGTTCAGAGAGGAAGGTGTAAAGGAGGTTATTGCAAAGGTATTCTTGCCATGGTACAACGCCTTCAAGTTCTTTATTACCCAGACTGCCGTCTTGCAAAAAGAGTTTGGCTTTGAGTTCACCTACAACCACGAGATGAAGAAGTCTGACAATGTCATGGATCGCTGGGTGCTTGCCAGTTGCCAGTCGTTGATCAAGTTTGTCCGCGATGAGATGGATGCCTACAGACTCTACACTGTCGTACCCCGTTTGTTGCACTTGGTCGATGTGTTGACCAACTGGTATGTCCGCTTCAACCGTAAGAGACTGAAGGGTGAGAATGGTGTCGAGGATGCCAAGCAGGCCTTGAACACCCTCTTTGAGGTCCTGTTCACTCTCTGTCTTACCATGGCTCCCTTCACACCTTACCTGACCGAGAACATGTACCAGACTTTGAAGAAGTTTGTTCCCAAGAACAAGAACATTGTCGATGACCGCTCCGTCCACTTCCTCGACTTCCCCACCGTCCGTGAGGAGTACTTTGATCCCGAGATCGAGCGTGCAGTCGGCCGTATGCAGGCTGTCATTGAGTTGGGCCGTACTATTCGTGAGAAGAAGAACATCTCACTCAAGATTCCCCTCAAGGAGCTTGTTGTCATCCACCACGATCCCCAGTACCACGCCGATATCAAGGCTCTCGAGAACTACATCTTGGAGGAGCTCAACGTGCGTGACATCATTGTCACTTCTGAGGAAGAGAAGTTTGGCGTCAAGTACAAGGCTGATGCTGACTGGAAGGTCTTGGGCCAGAAGTTGAAGAAGGATGTTATGAAGGTCAAGAAGGGACTTCCTGATCTTACCAGCGACGACGTCAAGCTGTTCGTCAAGAACAAGGAGACCACTGTTGCAGGTATCAAGGTCACTCTTGAGGATCTCGTTGTTATCCGTTACTTTGATTCCGATGATGCCCACTATGAGACCGGTACTGACCAGGATGTTCTCATTCTTTTGGATACCAAGCTTTACCCCGAGCTCCAGCAGGAGGGTTTGGCTCGTGAGGTCATTAACCGTGTCCAGCGTTTGAGAAAGAAGGCCGGTTTGTTGCCTACTGATGATATCCAGATGTATTACCGTCTTGATAAATCTGGAAACCAGGAGATCCATGAGATCATCCAGTCCCAGGAAGCTGTTATCGTCAAGGTTCTCAAGAAGCCCTTGGCACCTGCCTCCACTATTAAGAAGGATGCTGTTGTTATTATTGAAGAAGAGCAGGAGGTCAATGGAACAACTTTCGATATTGTGTTTGTACAATAAGTTTGCCATGTATAATGAAATTAAATATTACATATTCAAAATAAATAAATATAATATAAATATAATATAAATATAATATAATACCACGGCTTGTTTTATTTAATTTTACTTTAAATACAAGACATTCACAAATAAGAAGAAGAAGAAGAAGAAGAGCTTGATGGTGCCAATTTAAGTCAAAATTTGTATATTAGTATCTATGGGTTAATGAGTATAAAAGATGTCTTTTACTTTTGAATTATAATAATAATAATAGTAAGAAATATTGAAATTGAAACATACATTTATTTATATGAAAAAAAAAGTGCTTCATCAAAATTCAACTTTAAAACAGCCCTTAAAACCTCCCTTTCCTCGTCTTCTGAAAGAGCTTGCAAAAAAAAATTGGAAACTGAAAGTGTAGCCTTTGTGACGTTTAATTTTAAGTGGCTCACAATTTTTTTTTTTTTTTCAAAAAAAAAAATTAAAAAAATTAAAAAGGGGGTCGGTGGGGGGAGGGGGGAACTTATTCGGCGCCAAATCTGCCTTTAATCTTTATTTTATTTATATATAATATATTTAATTTTTTATTTTATTTTATTTATTTAATTTTTTAATTTTTTTTTTTAAAAAAAAAACTTATCTTCTTTTACCTTGTAAACCATGAGCAACCTCGACATTGAACGCATCAAGGGCCTTCTTGGCACACACGAGAACTTCCCCAAGGAGGCAAGTATATTGAGAGTGTGGCCTTGCTACATATTATAATTCTCCAATTAATTATGAATATTAACAATTATTAAACGTATTCTGTCTTTTTAGGGTATTGTCTTCAAGGACATGTTCCCTGTCTTCCAGGACCCCACTGCTGTCGAGGCTCTTATCTGCAACATTGTCCACCACATTAACTCTACATATGCTGAGAAGATTGATGTTGTTGTTGGTAAGAAACACAACAAAATAATAATAATAATAATAATGATATTAGTAGTAGTAATTGAATATATATATATATGTGTGTGCGTGTATTTAATTGTATGATGTTGCTGTTGCTGTTTTCTGTAGGTCTTGATGCTCGTGGCTTCTTGTTCGGTCCTCTTGTTGCCCTTCGTCTTGGTGCCGCATTTGTTCCCGTTCGCAAGCAAGGAAAGTTGCCCGGTCAGTGTGTTAGCGCTGTGTACGAGAAGGAATATGGACAGGTAAAAAAAAAAGATATATGCAATGTGTATATTATTTATATAGAGAGATAGAGAGAGATAGAAAAGAGGGTATATTTTGTACAACGACAATAACTATGGCAGCCACAAAAATATATATGTATATTGATACTGATACTGATACTGATAAATTTATCTTGTTTTGATTTTTATCATTGCTATCCTTTATTAGGATGTATTTGAGATGCAGAAGGATGCTGTCAAGGAGGGTGCTCGTGTTATTGTCATTGACGATTTGATTGCCACTGGTGGCTCTGCTGGTGCTGCTGGTGAACTCATCAGAAAGTGCAATGCTGTCACTGTTGAGTATGTCTTTATCATGGAGCTTGATTTCCTTGAGGGATCCAAGAAGTTGGACGCACCTGTCTACTCTTTGATTCACCTTTAAATTAATAATTTAAATATAATAATAAAACAATAATAATAATAATGTCATTTGAATATGTGCATGTCTGTATATAAATATATATATATATAAAATCTTATTGCATTAAGAAAAGAAGAAGAAAAAAGAGATTAGATGAAAGTAGAGCGCACATTGAATAATACAATATTGTGTATATATTTAAGTTAAATTTAAAGTGTATATATATATATATAGGAAAAGAAAGAAAGGTTCAAACACAAGAAGGAAAGGCGTATGTAAGAAGTATGTATAGATCTTTATGTATATATATAGAAATAAAAGGAAGTAAAATATAAAGGGAGAAAATAGAAGCTCTGTCTTACAAGTTGAAATATAAAAATAATAATAGAAGGAAAGAAGTGGAATCATGAACAGAATATGTTTTAGAAGAAGAAGTAAAAGAAAAAGAAATAGTAGTAGTAATAGTAATAGTAGTAGTAGTAGTAATAGTAGTAGTAAGAAAAAGGCTATGTATGTTCCATGCCATGTGTACAGGATGATACAAAAATGGTATTTTGAGTACCAGTCGCTTTTGTTTTTGGGTTTTGGGTTTTGGGTTTTTTTTTGTGAGGGAGGGCTAGGATGTGTGTCTGTGTGTGTGTGTGTGTGTGTTTTCTTGGTCTCTTTTCTGTGTGTTTCTTTGCAGCAACGAATTACTGGTTGGGAAGAGGAGAGAGGGGAGGTGGAGGGGGGGGGGGGGATTTTTTCTCTTTTTTGTTAGCCAGGAAATATATATATAGAATGTAAAAGCAAAAAAAAAACAAAAAGCGACTGGAGCATATAAATAATTAGGACGAGGCATCTTGGGGCTCCTGAGCAACTACAGCCAAGGTCTCCACCACACCCTCAGCAGTAGTAGGAACTCCTCCATTGACTTCTTTTTCCAAGAGTAATTGTTTTTCAACTTCTACACAAGCTAAATCATATAGAAATAAGTGATGATTCCTGTCACAAATATAGAAACAAGCCGAAAATAATAACTAACAATAATCAAAAACCAACTTACTGTTGATCAAATGCTTTCCATAAGTGTACTTCTTGAGACCAGGCAAGTGAGGTTTGATCTTATTGACCAACAGTTCACGCTGCTCCCCATCAACAACATCGAGCATCTTTTGGACCACATAATTGGCGTACTACAAAGAATAAAGAGTTAATTATATGTAACTCTAAGCTTTTATTTGGCTTTCTTACCTGGTCCTTCATCATGGACATAAGAGGATATGTTCTGTACATAAATATAATATATCAATTAATAATCACACCATTTATTATAGATATATACACAGCTTACCCATCAGATCGTGTCAGGAGAACCTCTTCGATCAACAACTGTCGATCTTGCTTGCCACCAAAAGCAACGCATTTCTCGACCACGTTACTGGCAAACTTGTGCTTACTCAGCTGGAGAACATGTCCGCGAATCTTGCCGATTATTAAAGTCTTGTCGGCAGCCTTGCCATGTTCAAGAATATGTTGGATCACATAATTGCCGTATTGGTCTTGAACGAGCTGACTTGTATTACGGTGCAGTTCTTCCAATAGACGACTCTGTAGTACACACATACATATACAAAATATGTAAGTAAAAATAAATTAACACAAGCACGTACAAGCACTCGCACATATGTATATATTTATATATGCGTATTTCATTGTTATTATTATTATTTTTTTTTAAAAAAAAAAAAAAAAACTTACGGTTTGATCTTCTGGGCAGTGCTCAAACATGCGTTGAATCACCCTGCAGCCATAGGGGTGGGTAGCAAGGTGAAATACCTGACCGTGGAAAGTATCAATGATGAACTGAATGTGCTGGGCAGGTATGCGTTCAATTGCTTTTTGGACTACATGATTTCCATTCTGGTCCTTTACACACTTGAGGACCGTGCCCTCAAGCTCACGAATGAGAATGGCCTGCTGGTCATTCAAGACGTGCTCAAGAGCCTTTTGTACAACGCGGCAACCGTACATCTGCAGCGATAGCGAAAGGACATGTCCCTCCATCTGTTTGGCAAGAACCGATTTCTGTCCTTGGTTTCCATGCTCAAACAGCTTCTGGATCACATAGTTACCAAACACATCGGTCATCAACTGCAAACAATTAGGAAGTATTTCGTCAAACACCAACTGTTTATCGTCACTACTGGCCGTTTCGAGCTTTTGTTGAATAAACCGGGATCCATGCTGATCTCCACTAAACTCGACAACGTGATTGACAATATCCTATACAAAACCAATTATATATTTCAGCCAATGATACACAATAAACACATATATTGTAAATACTGAATAATCATCAATTCAAGAATAAACAAACAAACAAAAAGAGAGCTAATGAACGGGCCATCAACTCAACCCATCGTTCCTCTTCCAACTTCTTCTGATTTCTTTTATTCTGATGTATTAAAGAAAGTACATATTTATTTACCTTGAGCTCATACTTTTTGTTCTTGTTGCTCCGGAACTCTTCTAGTAAAGGACTTCTAATAATCGGTGCGACTTCGGCGGTGGGAGTGCTGTGTGACTCATGGAGCATAGAAACGTTACGACCGCGGGATCCACCGTTAGGATTATTGGGAATTGGGTTCATCATTACATTGTTGTTGTTATTGATGTTGCCGTGGAGGATGTTATTATTATTAGTATTATTATTATTATTATTATTATTATTATTGCTGTTGTTATGGTTGGTGATGTTGGTGTTGATAATGTTGTTGTTATTACTACTGCTATTAATATTGTTGTTGTTTGTGTTGACGTTGGTGAGGATGATGTTATTGTTGTTATTGTTGCTGGTGTTAGTATTATTGACATTGTTGGGGCCAGTGGGAAGTGCACCGGGTATACCATATGCTCCACGCATCAAAAGATCTTGCTGAGATTGCTGCTGTTGTCTAAGCATCTGTTCACGGATCAAAAGGATCTGCTCTTGTTGAATGAGGATCTGACGCTGACGAGTCTGGAGCTGTTGCATCATTCGGTCGTTCATTTTCATGTTCATGTAACTGTCAGGAGTGCTTGCGCGAACACTGGTGCCATCGTGGTAGCCCATCATGTTTTGTGTGCGGCCAGGAACCTGCGGAGAAGCAATAGGAGGAGAAGCAATACGATGGCTAGCTAAAGGAATCGTTGCTCCCGGTGTTCCTAGCTCTCCTCCTACACCGCCACCGCCACTGCCACCATTAACTCCTCCGCCACCGCCACCTATGTTGTCTAGCCACATATTATTGCTATTAGTCGTCTCGTGTTCAGGAACGTTGTCGGTACCATTGATGTTGTTGCTACTGCTGTTGTTATTACTGTTATTATTACCGTTATTGTTATTATTGCTATTGTTATTGCTGTTCATATGTATCGGCGAAAAGCCTGCGAATGAAGGTGTCGACGGATATTTTCCCATCGTCAGAGTTTGTCCGCCCGGCGTAGAGTAACCTGGGGTAGATCCAGAGAATTCCTCACGATCGTCCCAGGTAAAGGCTGTTTGTCCAGCACCATAAAGTGGTAATGAAAGTCCATTGTTTCTGGTTTCGTTTGTATTGAATGGACTGGGTGCTACTTGTATAAAAACAAGATTATATATAAGATGAGTGGGTGAATTTGTTTCAATTGTGATACATTAATCATTAATTTTTGGCAATATTTTGTAATTATATACACCATCAAATATATATTTAGCGCCCTTTGCCTCCCCCTTCTTTTTCTATTTCTTCTCCTGTACATACCATTCTGGGTGGCGTTGGTCCACGGCTGACCGTTGCCATTATCTTTGAGTACAGCATCAAGACTCTGCGAAACCTGCATGTTTCCGTGCTGATGTTGGCGAGCCCACTGCGCATATCGCTGCTGCATTGCCCGGTTCATTTTAGCATTCGTAAGATCGTCTGCCTAAATGATGATCGGTCTTCATAAGATAAAAAATATCCAATGCCTATTTTTGTTTATCCTATGTATGTATTTACACACACATATACATACATAATGTACCCCTCCCTTTCTATCCTCTCCTTTTGCTATCCCTTTTATCCCCCCCCCCTCTTTTATTATTATTATTATTATTATTATTCCTTTCTTTCTTTCTTTCTTTTTTTGGTAATTTGATTCTGTACAGAACACACAACGAAAGAAAGGAAGAAAGAAATAACGAAAGAAAGAGAAAGACTATGTATATATATATATGTGTGTGTGTGTGTGTGTGTGTGTGTGTGTGCATTACCTTTTCATTGAGACCAAGATTTGAAGTAGCGAATAACATGCTGTTGTAATCGTCCATTGAGGCGGCTGGTTGGCGACGGTCATTTATAAAGTTTGCTGGGGGTGTTGAATTTGGTCTCGGGGGAGGCGTCATTATGGCAAACTTGTTTCCGCTACGGGTTGAGGGCGACATTGGACGAGTGGCCTGGAATTGGGGGAAACGTTGCTCGTCCGTGGTGTCAAAGTGAGATGGGACTGCAGATCGATAGCCGACACCTCCTCCACCACCACCACCACCACTACCGATACCGCTGCCATCGTCATCGTATTGGCCATCGTTTGGTGTGGCGTTGAGGGAAAACTGGGCTTGGTAATCGTTGTTTCGGATTTGTGACCGAGGATCGAATTCGTTCACTCGACGCGAGGGTTGTGAAGGTGTGAATGGCGAAGTAGCTCGATCAAATCCCTAAAATTCACGCCAAAAATCAAATCAAATTAAAAATCATAAACCTTCTCGCTCTTACTCATTCATTCACACACACATATTTATATAAATAATGGCCTCACAAACAAAAAGCTAATAATAAAACTAATAATAGCTTTTGAATTTGATTTCCATTAAATAATAAATATGTGAATGTGAATGTGAATGTAATTGTGTGTATGATGTGAAAACTAAAAACTAAAAAAATAATAATAATACTTACTCCATGAATTCCTCCTCCGGGTGTCAAGACATCATGGACTGAAGAAATCGGGAGACCTGGGGATTGGCTCCAAACATTCGAGTCCATTGTGTTTGAACGACTTATGAGAGCCGGCTGAGATCCGCGGTCACCAAAATATCCATCATCATTATGAAGGCCTATTTAGGTAAGGGATTGAATAGTAGATAACATAGCAACAAAACCCCCAAAATAGACATCCACACACACACACACAAAGAAAGAAAGAAAGAAAGAAGGAAAGAAATGCAATATAAAATAGGGACCTGGCATTAGTTTTTTGTTTTTGTTTTTTCTTGCCACATGGTGAGGAGCTATAAAAAGCCTGTGATGCGGATGTGAAGTTTGTGTATGTGTGTTACCGTGATAATTATCCATCGATCTGTTTTCTCTCAAGAAGCCTGGACTGGCTACTCCCGGTGAATCAAAAGGCTTTTGCTGACCATTGCCGCTGCCATTGACTGCTGGTGACCACAATTGACGGGCAGAAGCAGTAGGATAGATCAACGGTGTCCCAATCTGAGAGCCTTTCCATTGCTGAGAATTCATTCGTCCGGGCATCTCAGGGTTGCGTCGTAAACCGTTGTCGCCATAGATCAATGGGTCTGGAGGTGCACTGCTTGATCGTTCATGGTCCAAAGGCATATCCAAATACAATTCGTTGTCACCGTCTCCTCTACCTCTCATAAGGGCAGCCAACTACTCGAAAACAACAATTTTTCTTTAAATTTCATCTTGTTTGGTACACAATTTTTAATTACTCATTTACCTGCCCTTGGGGTTGATTCATTGCTCTCGGTTGTTGGATATCTGGCTGTTGCCGAGTAGAATACTCGGACATAAAGGCATTTCGATGCATGTTCTTTCAAGACACAGTATATAATTATATAAAATAAGAAAGCAAAAGAATAGGAGAGGGAGATAAAGATGTATATATAATATATATAATATATATATTTATATTTATATCTATATATGTATATGTATATGTATAGAAAAAGCTGTGCGCGTTTTTAGCTTTCTAAGAAAAGAGCCGGGTAACTCCCTTTGCTGCGCTCAAAGGGAATCGAGAATAAAGGGGGTTGTTTTTTGTGTTTTTGGAAAGCAAAAAAAAAGCCTTGTTTGTGATATGTGTTTGTGTTTGTGCGTGTTTGTGTGTTTTTGTGTGTTTTTGTGTGTTTTTGTGTGTTTTTGTGTTTGTATAAAAAAAAAGAATTAAAGTAATTGTTAGGCTTTTTTTTTCTTTCCTCTCATTTATTCTTTACAAGCTTTCTGTTTACAAACCCACGCATACACACATACACACATCACACATACATACATACATACATACATACATACATACAAATTATATTATATTATATTATATTATATTATATTATATTATATTATATTATATTATAGTATTTTATAGTATAGTATACAATATTATAGTATTATAATATATTATTTTATATATACAACATGTAGTATTGTGTGTGTCTGTGTGTGTTTGTGTGTCTGTGTGTACGTGTATTTGTTTGAATAATTCTTTTGTTGGTTCTTACAGAAATCAGAATGTACAGCAGGGATGATGTAGCTGAAGGATGAAAGCAAACAGGACTGACTGGGAAGGTTGATTTTGAATGCAGATGATTAATAGAGAGTTAAAGGAAGAAAGAGAGAGAGAGAGAGAAAGCAAGAGAGAGAGAGAAGGAGGGAGAAAGAGAGAGAGGGAGAAAGAGAAAACGACCATCTGTCTGATGACAGTGAGTAAGAAATAAACACCGATCACCAAGATTCAAAGTAAATTGAGAGTAAATGAAAATTTACGTTTTGTCAAAATGATGTCGTAAAAAATAAAAATAAATAAAAAAAAATGGCGCACTTTTAAAAAAATAGAAAAAAAAAAGTGTGTCGCACAATTACGGGATTTTTTTTTCTACAAAAATCGCATACAACTGGCGGAATTGTAATATGTCAATATGAACTGTACATCATATATATGTATATATCTAAAAAAAAAAAAAAGTCTATTTGGCTAGTAGTAAACACATGCGCATTCTTTCTAATATAAGTACTGTCATTAAAATATACGAGTATCTCGGGAATGGAGTGAGAGAGGAGGCTGTTACTGTTATTAAACTCATTAATCCAATGTTCAACCCAAATGGTGTGGGCCATGACAAACTCAATCGCAGTTTGCGAAGAAAGAGAGAGAGAGAGAGTGCGTGTGTATGTGTGTGAAGGGTAAAAACGCGTGGTAAAAAGACGGTTTATGGGTGACGATACCGTATTCTATGGAATGTTTATAAGATGGTGCTCGAGCCATAAATTAAAGTTTCCTGAATATTGAAACAAATAATTATTCGTTAAATAATGATATTCATTTATCTGTGCGTATATGTAATAGAAGCTCAGTGAAGGAAACCTTGATCAATTCAGTCTATGACATATAATCTGTTGATTCTATGACTGGTCAGCAAAGCATTTGCGTCTATTACACTATGGTAAAAAAAAGGGGGCAATTTTAGTGAGATTTTTTCAAGTTTTCCGGGGTTAAAAGTGTGTTTTATAGACAATTTTAATTAAGCACTAAATTCTCTCTTTCTCTCTCTTTATTATTATTGTAGTTCAAAAGCAAGGCTACACTTTTAAAGATCTCACTTCTTCAACCCAGTACAGAAATAAATATAATAAAATTATTCAAATGTAATAGATTAACATTCGGTACCTTGGGTGAACCTTAGCGATATTAGAGTGGAATATTTGCTTTTTTTTTGAATTCTTGTCAGTCTTTGTCTCACACGACAACCCTCCTGGAGATCTTCTTCTGCTTGTCTTCTTGCACTTACAATTTTAATGGTACGGGTAAATATATTAGGGTGGGGCTATATTAGCGAGAGTTTTCGACTTGCTTGAAGGTTTAAAGGTAAAGCCGAGAGCACGAAAGATAGTGCTTGGAAATACTAAGTGTATCAAACAAACAAAGACCAGATTCATGCTTACAAAGTAGACATCTAATTAATGCACCATTGATTTTCATATCTATGGTTGTGAGATACAAACCAGTTTTTTACCATCAATACAGAATACCAACCAAATTCAGAACTGATATTGCTTGCTAGACATTCTTTAGCTTTGGATTGGTTAATATAGAAGCAAAGGCAAAACTTGTGGAATAAATATTGATGGCTGGTTTGACTTTTGGTATTTGCGTAAAATAAGCAGCGTATAGAGATAATTACAGTAATATAGGCATAGTCGTGACAATAAATGAGCCGACAATTTCACCTTGTCCTTTCTGTTATATAGAATGCAGTGCCATGATCAAACAACAACAAAGAGACATCAAGAAAATAATATCTTACTTAATATACCCGTCAAGATTTAAGCGCGGGTTGCGTGATAACCTGGTAAGAAATATGTACCTGAGAAGTGCGTAGGTATGTATAGCGACTCTGTGGGCTTTGGTAACCAGGTCTTGTAGGGGCTCAAGGAACTCTGTATTCTATCCGGTTTCTTGTATTGATGCCTTGAGAGTAAGGACTCAGAGTGGGGTGGCTTCTTTAATTGTTTTTCAATACGCAAAGGACTAGATATACGAGGTTTGGGTGGTGCTTGTGAAAGTCCCAATTGATAGGGATGAAATACTAAGAAATTGTGTAAGATTATATGATGTAGTCCAGTTAATTGAGTACTTGCAAGAGTAAAAGATAAAGGTGTGTAAAGCTTAAAATCCTTGCCCGTCAATAATACTGTATTTTGTAGACCTATTCTTTTATGTATCATACGTGGATTTGATACATGAGAATATAGTACGTAAATAACCAAATAAATATATTACTAGATAGATATAAATGAGAGCTACCTAGATAATAATCATTCGACTATTATACTATAGATACATCAAAATAACATTTAGCCTCCTTGTATTTGTTTATTGGTCTCAATTAAGTAACTAAAGATAAGAAAGGAATTACTTCATAATTTAATGTAGTTTCTTAATAATTATTTGCTTATCTTATTTTCGTCAAGGCCTCTAAAAAACATACTTAATAGCTATCAAAGCTATTATTGGTAAAATATAAATCAGTGAATCTAGCCATCAATAATTTTGAGCAGAAATGACAGAAAGAAAACTGTATGATGTACAGTCTGGTTGTCAAGATTACACGCATGCCCATTAGAAATAAAGGATTTAGAGAATCATAGAGAATCTGCCTTATAATTTCTCAAAATAGGAATCAAGCATACACGTTTTGATAAGAAAAAGTCAATTAATATATGCGCTCATTAATAGTAAAGTGTTTAGAGAAGTGTTGTTGATTTTTAAATAGAAAGGGTAAAAAGTAGCATATAAATATATATATTATAGAAAGCTTATAGTTTGAACATTACTAAATATAATATAAATCACCACTTCTTCTTCGCATACTTCTTTATATATATTATTTTGATCAATAAAAACCATAAAACTCGAATATAAAACATCATACATTTGTTGAATCGCTTATAAGAAGAATAAAGATACCTAAAAAAATATGCAGATATGCCGTATTTAGAATATTTGGTTGGAGTCAATCCAAAATAATTCAAAATCCCATCAATTGTATTTGCGAAAAAGTAAAAGTAATAGGTTAAAGTCTTGTATGTTATGGACTATAAAAGTTACGAGGACAGAACTTTAGATGCTGTCATTTCCAACAATGTTATTAGCAATTCTTTTCTATTTTTTTGTTTTTATATCAGCTTTATAATTAAAGTTCTATAATTTGTTTTTAGTCTACAATTAAAATAAAGGCTGATTATATAGTTTCTTTTAAAGGTAAGCAAGAGAGGAAGGAGTGTATTTATTCTTTCTATTATTAATGTCAAAGCAGTACTTTAAAAGTTCAGATGGACTGTGACTGCTGTTAGTTTGTAGTAATTAAAGGATTTTGACGCTATTTTTTCAAAACTTACAACACTTTTTTTTAAAATTTTTTTGTTTGTATGGAGCGAATGATATGCTCAGATTTATCTTTTTTTTTAAAAAAAAAAATGCGATATTTTATTTAATTATAGAGGGTGTCGAGTTGTGATAATTTCAAGACAGCTAAAAAATAATTATTTGTAAAACCCAATCAAAAATAAAAATAAAACTCAGACACAGCTGTGAGGATTTATAAGTTGAAAATATTAACACTGAAAAAAATATAAGGAAAATAGACCTTAATAAGATTGGCTTTCCGAGGCCTACTCTATTAATTAAATGTAAAGAAGAGACTCCTGGCTATCTTATGTTTTGTTTTGAAGGGAGAAAAATAAGCTCAAATGCTCACTAAATAGCCACCATGAAATTCGGCAAACAGACATTGGAATTTTATTCGCCGAGTAAAATACAAACTTGAAAACGTTTGCAATTCAGGCTTGAAGACACCTCTATTTTTTAGTTTCGTATATATCAACTAAACAGCGAGATTGCCTTTTTAGGACAATACCCACGTTGAAAATAAACCTTATTACAGAGCCATATGCCTCTCCCCCAAAAAAAAACAAAAGAGCGGCTTGTGTTTCGTACATTCGCTTTTGTCGTCATAAACGGAATTTTCTCAAGCAAATGGAAGAAGAGAAGAAAAACGCACTTCTACACCTTCCAAGGACAAACTATTTAATACACGCCTATATACAACACGCTATACACAGCATCTAGTACACAAGAGGTTTAGTAAAGTTTGAAATGCTTCTATATTACAACTCAAATGTTCTTTAAATTGCTATACAGTCAGGCTTATTGAATATGGCACTTTCTTAAAAATAGGGTTTTGCTATTCACCAGCGTACGAGGGAATTGAGCCACGCCATATAAGATTCCGCTTGTTATTAAGCATATGTTTTTTAATCATTTACTAAAATACCCTGTCCTTTTTTTATTTTTTGTCAATGATCTGTTTCATCTTGGCTATAGCAAATGAGCTTTATAAAGTATGGTCGTTTAGTATATATATTTTTCTTTTGTAACTAGAGTCCTTATTTTAGAAATTTTGTCAATTCCTTCGACAATTCCCTCGTACGCTGGTGAATAGCATGTACACACATATATTTATTTAAGTAATAGCAGCACTATTAATAACAATAATTGTATATTAAATTATTCAAATACTCTACTATGTAAAGACATATAGTGGTATCAAAAAAGAAATACACACAATTTTTCATCTCAACAATATGTGACTGTGTGACAGATCAAAAAATATACTTCTTTTTATATCTACAACTATATATTTTTCTTTGTAATCGCGTCACACTCGCTTAATTTTATGAGCAGCAATAAATAAATAAATAAATGAAAAGGAAGAAGAAAGAGAATTATGCTTCATTAGACATTTTGTCTGCATCATTATTGTTTTTTGCCCAACCGCTTGGAACACCGCATGCATGAATTCAATAAAAGAATACATGTGTGAATTGATGGGTGTATGTGTAGTTATTCCATATGTGCAATTATTAGTATTAGTATTATTATTATTATTATTATTATTATTGTTGTTGTTGTTGTTGTCATTATTTGTAAAGTAAATCAATTTATTTGATTCCACCACCCTGAACAGTAGCAACCTTGCACTTGACAGTCTCACCAGAGGCAGTCTTGATCAAGAAAGGCTTTCCTTGGAAGTAAGCCAAGGTATCATCCTCAGTTTTGAAGTCAGGCTGAACAGCTTCCCAGTACTTCTTCTTGGGAGGAAGAATCTTCTCGGGTTCACCTAAAGTAAATAAATAAAAAAGCATATTAGAGTGAGATAAAAAAAACAGGTAACTAAGTAATCTCTTTGCCAAGTAACCACGCAACCACGCAACCAATAAAAAATATTTTACTCTTGTATCTATATGTATAGTCTTATTACCTTCCATTCCCTCAAAGAATACTCTGTCACCGGGTTGGACCTTGCTAGTATCGACAGGAGCAAGCAATTCAACCTTGCTACCATCGTTGGCAGTGGCGCACAGTACCATGGCCTCAGACTTAATACCACGCATGCTAGCAGGCTTCAAGTTGGCCAAGCAGATAACCCAACGGTTCTAATACAATAAACAAATGCAATTTTTTTTTAAAAAAAATACACGTTACATTTTTATATTAGCAAGAAAATCATTCTGGTAAGGTAGGTGGTGGGTAGGTAGGTAGGTAGGTAGGTAGATATATTCAAATATATTCACTCGCTTTTAAATATGTATATATATATATGTGTGTGTGTGTTTATAAGCGTACCTGCATCTCCTCAATAGGGACCCAGCGGACCAAGCCAGAAACAACGGTGCGGTGAACACCGGCACCATCACCAAGGTCAATCTCCTCGACATAAAGAGAATCAGCATCAGGATGCTTCTTGCAAGAGTGGATGAAACCAACACGGATGTCCAATCTGGAGACAGGAGCCTGGTCAGACTCAACGGGGGCAGCAGCTATATGTTTTACATGTCATGTCAGATAAAAAGAAATACAAAAATATTCATCGATTGTTTTTCTTTAGCTATAATTCTATGTTTGTTTATATATATAACTTACCGGGCTTCTTTTCCTTCTTTTCCTTCTTTTCCTTCTTATCTTTCTTATCCTTCTTGTCACCCTTTTCCTCAGCCTTAGGTGCCTTCTCGTCAGCCTTGGCAGCCTTGGCATCGGCCTTAGGTGCCTTTTCATCAGACTTGGCAGCCTTGTCACCAGCAGCAGCAGCCTTCTTGTCCTTCTTCTAATCTCATATTGTGTATGTTTAGTAATCTCACTCTCTCTCTCTAATCCTTTGAAATACTTACGGCAACAGGTGCAGCAAAGACAGGTTCAGGAACATCCTTCAAGTTGATCTCAATGAGGTCAAAGTCCTTGATGTTGTTGTTCTTAACAGCAACATTCTGGATAAGATCGAACCATCTCAAGACGTTGGGCATGGTGGTGACCTTGATCTCTTTCTATTCACATACACAAGAATAAGAATGAATTCCAACGATATATACGCATTAAATTCCTCTTTTTCTTCTTGTTTCTTTTTCCTTTTTTTTGCTTTTTGCTTGTTTCGTAATGTATGTTATTCAATTGCGACTTACAGAGAACTTGTGCACGTTGGCAAAGATCAAGAGATCGGCAATGGTAAGACGGTTCAAGGCCACAAAGGTGCGGGTGCTGAGATGTGCGTCCAATTTCTAAGTAATGAAAATTGATGAATATAGATTCAAAAAATTACCAGCGCACACACACACATGTGCAGTATTCATGTATTTATGTATGTGCACACTAATAGTGTTTACCTTCAAGGTAGCAACAACTTGCTTTTTTTCAAGAGCTTTGAGGGCAATGACCCACGAGAGCCATTCTTCAACCTTTATTTTTTTTAGAATAATAATAATAGGGTAGAAGGGGTATTCAAAATATATGTTAGAAATCAATCAATATATGTGACGTAAGCCAAGCTACTGATACTACTGACTACTTCTTTAAATCCTTCTTTATTTCTCTTTTTTTTATTAAAAAAAAACCTCTTTTCCTTCTTTTGCCAAGGAAGCCAATAGCCCATATTTTTAATATTTATTTTATTTTTACCTCGACTTGCTCAGTCTTGGAAGAGCCGAGGAGTTCGGGCTGGTTCTTGGCAGCAAAGTACTTGGCAATGGTGACAGCACCTTCGACGACATCACCAGAAACCTACGCGTCCATAAGCAATACATATACATATATAAATACAAACAAAGTTTAGAGCTTTAATATTATTTTATTTTATTATTTCTTTCTTCCTTTAAAAGAGAAGCAAAAGAGAAAAATATATTTGTTTCGTGTGGTTCATAGTATAATATAAATTTGCGCACACAATATATATATATATGTGTGTGTGTGTGTGTGTGTGTGTGTGGGTATGTAGGTAGATATATAGGTAAATGTGTATACGTGTGTATATATATAATGAAATACTGCATTACTGCATTACCTCCAAGGACAGTTCAGTTGCAGACTCAACTTTAGCAACGTTTTGGGCCTTGACAAACTGATAGACCAAGGAAACGTCCTTTGCTGTGCTTTCAGGGAGGCGCAGAATTGCAGACATTGTAATGAATAGGGTCACTTTGTCTTTTTGAACGGGTAACCGCTATTTATTTACAGAAATGAGCGGGGTTTTCTTTTTTTGTATGTGGCGTGGCTTGGCCTTTAGCCTTTAACCTTTTGATCTTTGGCTTTTGGTTTCTAACTTTTTTTTCCTTCTACTTTCTCCAACACTCTCCTCTCCCCTAAACTACACCATATTATTTGTCTATTTTTTATTTTCTCTCATAAGCTAACAATCACTTGCTTGCAGAATAATAGAAATAATAATAGTAGTAGTAATAGTAGTAGTAGTAGCTCAGTGGCGTGTCATTAAATGAAAGGCTAATTGATAGTAATAACTGTATTTGCAGTTAAAGATTTTATTTTAATAAACTCTAGTAAGCTATATGTGAATATATAAAAAAATAAAAAAATAAAATATGTGAATAGCCTTGTCTTTGTATTTAACAATGCAGAGTTTGTATCTGTGCATACTTGAAATGGGATAGAAAATAGAAATAGAGTTTTGTTTTCTAGTTACAAGCTTAAAATCCTATGCATAAACACACACACACACATACACACATATATATATATATATGTAATAAAAGGCAGTAATAAGATCAAGATCAAGATCAAGAAAGAAAGGCATTAATCGAATTTAAATCATAAGAGGTTATTGATTATACATATAAAATTCATTTTTCTATCTATCTCTCTGACTTTTACATTAAGATTTATTTGTTTTATATGCATATGTTGGAAGACTTGAATTATTGTACGATTAATGTATTGTGTATGCTAAAAAACTTTTTGTAGAAGAAGTATATATATATTAGAAGTTGCAAAAAGACATAATAAAATAAAATAAAGACAAAACAAAAGGGCAATAGTTACACACTATACTACATAAATATATATATACACTCTATTGTCTTGAGCTTATCTAATCGATCCCGTGACTTCTCAGCTGTCTTACACAAATGGGGCGAGAGGGATGGAGATAGAAAGTGTGGGGGTAAAAAAAAAGTTGGCGGCGGCATAAAGTGGAGTGAGATGATTTTGTTTGTATTTGTAATCATCCTCTTCACAAGACAATCATGGAGTTTGATGAGGTTAATGAATACCTCAAGACTGGTGTTAGCAGAGATGCCTCTCTCTCTACAGTATCTTTCCAGCAACGCTTGAATAACGTCCATCTTGTTGAATCTCTCAATGACCAAACTTACCAATCCAAACCTATCGACACTCCTGCACCAGTTCAACAAAAACGCCCGTCCAAAGCTGGGATGTCTAGATTCGTTAGCAATGTTCGACATTTTAAACGTTCGAATGCATCAAAGATTGCCAAGGATTACTGGAAGCTTGCTTCAGCACCAACCCCTACATTTTATGCTGAATCCCATACTAGTGAGGATGACGACGATGCCGTTTTGCAAAGATATCAAACAGCTCTACAGGGTAATAAGAATAATAATGAAACTAATTTACTTTTGGTCACTTTAAAATAACATAAACAATATATTATATTATGTAATTATAATTCAATTCAATTCAATTCAATTTATTATTGTAGTTCTTCCTGAAAGACCCCCAAAAAGCAAAAAGTTCTTGTCAAGATTAAAGAAATCATCACGAAAAGAAAGGTCTCACAGCGTCTCAGGAAATGAGATTGACGTCGAAGCAGATATGTTCCTGACTGCAGACGAGTCTGGGACTGAACTACCAAAGAGACGACCCAGTATTATCAAGAAAGATACAAATCAATCACAACCAGCTTATAATGTATCTCATGTTTGGCAACCACGCCGAGAGAAACGAACAGCAAGTGTCCAAGGACTGACTGATGTTGAACCCATGTAAAATACTATTACATAAGATACATAATTCAATTCAACTCAACTCAACTCAACTCAATTTTTCTTTTATGGAAATGTAAATAATAGAACAGGAAACGTGCTGGTCGCGACATTGAAAGATAATATTGAGCAGCTCCAATACCTCTTGAAACTTGAAGAGCAAAAGATTGAATTCAACAAAAAAGAGATTATAGACTATGTGGAGAAGCTTAAACAACTTGATGATGATGTTGAAGTAAGTACTTGGTTTCAATCATAAAAATCAAAAATCAAAATCTGATTAATTATTATTATTTTTTTAGCTACTAGATAATGCTATTACTCAAAATCGATTGAACCGAGAGAATACTATGGAACACATATTGATGGAGGCAAACATACAGGGTGTTAATTTAAAGAATGCAAGAGCTAAACATAGGTCGATTATTGCTTCGATTGAAAAGTATAATAGAGGCGTTGATTCTACTAAACAACTTGACGAACTACAAACGAAGATTAAGGCTGCTCAAAGAAGAGATATTTCATGGGCATGGTTCAAACACTGGCTATTTCCAACAGGTAAGTCAATAAGACTATATATATATATACATACATATGTATATATGTATATATATATGTATACATTTTTAGTCAAGCATAAAAAGATAGATATATAAAATAGATATAGACTCATAGACAATAGATAGCATGCATTCTTATTTTGCTACAAAATATTGAGTAAAATTTTTTTCTCCCTATAAAAAAAACCTCCTATTTTTTTTCCAATAGAGATCATGTTAGTAGTAACTCTGATGGCTTTACTGCTGCTTTATTTGATACTTTAAAGTAATAATTACCATTGACGTTTCTTTGTACCTATTTTATTTTATTTTATTTTATTTTATTTTATTTTTTTCATTGTAATTTGTTGTAATTTGTAATTTGTAATTTGTAATTTGCTGTAATTTTATATTTCTGTTTGAGGAAATGATAATAATGATAATGGTAATTAAGAGATGTGATTTTCCAAGGCTGTAATAGTGTTTGTATTGGGATACAATAAAATGTCACCCTGTAGTCATTTTCTTCTTATTATCTTTTATAATAACCTTACTAATATATATGCATTTCTATCTGTATCTGTATTTAATCAAAGAAAAAGAGGGAAAAGATGTAACGATATTTTCCCAGTTATTCCTGATTTTCCTGGTTTTCCTGATTTTCCTGGCTTTCCCATTCCAGTTTCTTGGGATGACAGCCACTGCGCATCACATATTGTATGATTTTCTTTTATCTAGGCTTGACTTGAATTGTTCAAAAATAATAAGAATACATAAGCAAAAGATAAGGACCCTTGAAATTGAACGATTTTTTTTTTCCAATTTTCATTTTTGTATAAAGAAATAATTAAATTCAAAGCCAAAAAAAAGTAATAAAGAAAGAAAGATTGCCACAGGTGTTTGCTCCTACGAGGGGATAAATTTGATTATATGATAAAATATGCTTTGTTATTTATCCCAATGCAGCATCTCTTCCCTATCCCTCGCCTCCTTCCTCTTTATTCACATACAATTTAGGCGTGCAACTATAGTATAGTATAGTCACTTATACCAGATTAACGACTTTAGACAACAAGAGCAGCAGAAACATCAAGAAGTATTATTGGTAGGCATAATCATAATACAATTATATTTCTCTTTGTAAGCCCTTGAATTCAACTAGTTTCATTTGATTGTTTTTGTCAAGTGTTGACAAACTCTAACCCGCCAAATGTTGTAATTGAAGCAAGAAGTGCTAATGCTTGGTGTTCAAACCAAGGTCAATAAATGACACAACCATGCATACAAATATAATAAGGGCAAGGTTATAACTTTTATTTCTACACAAATCTGAATTGCTTGCACCTGCATATGACACATACATACATATGTGCATGTATGAATGTATAACTAATCTATCTGGAATTTCAGACAACTAATTATCTTTCTTGTGCTTTTTTAAAAAGTAATAATAATATTCTTTCATTTAAACTTGCAGGGTAATTAGCACTTTTATATAGTATACAACCAGAACAAATAGGTTTTTGATTTGAATTGAATTGAATTGAATTGAATTGAACAATCTTGCTGTTTTCCAAGCTGTAATAAACCATGTATAAGACAAGGTATATTTGACAGCATCTGCAGATTTTCCTATTATTTTCTACAAAAATATAACCAAGAGAAAAAAAAAGAAGAGATGATAATATTTACTTCTTTATTTAAATTGCCATAACATCCACCAATATATTCATGTATGTTATTTAGGGTTTGTTACTTTATTACTTATTCAAAGAAGAGTTATAATTTATCTGAAATTCAACCAGAAAATATTGTATGTGTAGTCAAGGTCTAAAGACAAAAGGTTTATCTCCGCGTTATTATATAAATGTACACACACAAATAAGAAATTACTGTCTTTATTCAGCAACCGGATTAAAATCATCAATAAATCAATAAATCAATAAATTTGTCTGTATAGTCTACCTTTTTTTTTCTATAAAAGATGTTTGTTTATTGGAGCGCACAGGTAGTTTGTTAATTGTGTAATTATTAGTAGAACTCATGTACCTTTATTACATAAATACGCCTCTATTATATCTATCTTTCTTCTTTGTTTTCTGGTTTTATTGGCGTCAGAAATCTACCAAGATGTATATATATATATGCATACAAATACATATGATCTTAGGTCTGTATCTATGTAGGTTTGTGTTTGTGTTTGTGTTTGTGTTTGTGTGTAATGTATAAGATTGATCACAAATTTCCATTTTTTCTTCTTCTTCTTTTCTTTTCTTTAAAGCAAACGAGTTGTTTTTGTGCCTTGTTTATTAATCGTTTGCCTGTCTGGTTGTCTGTCTTTTGCTCCCCTTTTATTTTATTTTGTAAAAAGACAATGTAATGAGTTTTATTAATAAAAATAATAAAAATAATAATAAAAATCCAATATAAATCTGATAAGACCGCTTAAACTCATAACCAGATTTATAAATACTTGTATAATTATTTATAAATATATACATATATGTATATATTTATATATATATATGTACCATTCGGAAGAATATTTCCTGATAGGGTGAAAAGTATGAGAAATATCAATGAAAACCTTAATCTTCCCACGCTGAAATCGGGTTCCTTGTTTACGGGTAAAAGGAATATTTGAAGTATATTATAGCAACAATCATAATAATAATAAAAGACGCAATTTATTATTGCCTAACGATTTTTTTATAGAACAATCAAGCCAAATTATTATAGGTGAATAAAAAGCAGAATAAAAAATACTAATTAAAATTGAAAAAGAAAGAGTAGCAAAGGGTAAAAGATATTTTAGTGTGAAATCTAAAATAGACAATATTTTTGGCCATGTAACATATTCAATCCCCTCTCTCTCTCTCTTCTCCCCCTCAAGGAGATATATATATAGCAATAGAGGCAAAGCAAAGAAAGGCAAAGAAAAAGTAATAAATAAATAATCTAACAATAGTATTATCTGCCAATTATACAATCTAATTTAATACAATACAATGCTGTTTTCTTTTTAATACGAAATACGAAATACAATAGTGTTATTCTTGACATTAGTCTCATTGGAATCTGCTTTGACCCTAGTCAAATAGTTAGATAGTCAGGTATCTATACCCCTTTTAAACTATATATTATTCTTTATTATTTTTACACTCTAATTTATTTTCTGGTTTCTTTATTTCTTTTCGTGTATCTTTTAAACAAGAGAAACGGTCAATATTACCATTCTCTAATTATAGACAAACACAGACACAGACAGAAAAAGCCTTTTAGATATTGAGAAATATACAAATACATATACATACACGTGTACATCATGAATAAAAGAAAATAAAGCCGAACAATGTCATGAAGAAGAACAAGAATATGAACAAGAATATGAACAAGAATATGAATATGAATAATATGTATTGATTGTAAGAATTTAATAAAAGAAAATGAGGATATTACAGGATAAAATGCTTGGTGATGATAGTTAATATATATATATATATATAATAGATTGTGCACTGGGCGCACTGAGTGGAGTATAATGTGTATTGTGTATTGTATGTATGTGTGTATGGAAAGGTCTCTCGTGTGTCGATCAATAAACCGCTTGTACATTTCATTTTAGGCCCAGTTCCAAACCAAGGACCTCCTGGCGCTTGTCTACAAAGTTGTAGAGGTCTACAATGTCGACATAAAGATCAAACTAACAAAAGCATCCCTCGATTTAGAAAAAGATGTTCTCTTTGTATTATTTTTGGTATTGCTATTGGTGTTGTATACACAACCAACTGGGTAGAATTATCGAGTCTTTTTTAGATATATTATTATCTATTGATCTATTTTACCTTTAGTACACCCAAAAAGCTGCGCTCCATAGCATTGAGTTCCTGAGGAATATAGAGTGGTGATACAATGCGATAAATTGATGGTGCATGAGTCACACAATCCTCAATGTATTTTGAAGACACCATTACAGACGCAAGAAAAAACTTGTAAGGAGTATCGTACTCTACAATTGTAAATAATTGTGAATAATTGATCAATTGTTATTCTCTATTTGCTCTTTCTTTTTACCTCCTCGCGCATTACTATGTAGATTCTTCTTTAATCGCAAGAGATAGATGAGAGCAATCACTAGTACAGTTGGCGTCAGACGACATTGACGATAGACATGCCGGATAAAGGTGTGAAGGTCAGGAAGAAGCATGTGTTGATATGATGCTTTTTGATTTGAGCATTGGATAAGCTGTCTGATAGTACAGACTGTGTACGAAATCAGTCGGTCGGTACTTCCACGCAACTTCAGAGACAGAGACAGAGAAGGGTGTTTGTCTAGTATGCTGGATAGCTGGTAGGCATTTTGGAATACGAGGGATGGACCAAGAGTTGTCATTGAAGAAAAGAAGAACAAAGATTAAGTTACACGTAGAAATGAAAATTTTAACATATAAAATAAAAAATCGATAAAAATGCCTTTTTATGGACATATTCCCCTCTATTCGTCATGAAACTGGTACCCCCGTGTTTTATTCTATTATTCTATTCTATTATTTTATTTTATTGCTGCTGTTTCTGTTGCTGTTTCTGCTATTTCTACTGCTTCCGTTGCTGCTTCTGCTGCTGTGGTAGCCACTTAATATTTTGCTCATATCTATTTCACCCAAAAAAAAATTTATTCGTGTAGCCCTTACTGAACCCTATGAGCCCTTTTAATTTTTCGTTTCTTTTCTGGTTCTCTTGAATATTCCCGCAATCAGTCCTTATCTCTATATCTCCATCTTTCTCTCTCTTTTTTTTTTTTTTTTTTTTTTTTTAGTTTTTTTGTCTTAGCCACCTGTTACTTTCCTAACCTAAAAAAAAGCTACAAATATATAATATATTCATATATGTGTGTTACGAATAATGATACTCCCCAGAAAAAAAAACTCACATTATTGTACTCTTTTGAACCAATAAAAAAATTACACTAAAAAAATAAAACTTGTACCATTTTATCTTTAATGTTTGTGAATGGTAATTTCATCTTTTATTTTATTTTATATATATTATATTTTGTACTCTGCTTTATCGAATAATTTTAGTTTATTTGCTCGAGAGTCTTTTTTTTTTGTATTTTAATTACTCGAAAGTCAAACTCCTATTTCTTTTACACTTCTTCTAGTCACCTACCAACTTCTTTAATATTAATTAGCATTAATAATAAAAGCCAATTAGTTCAAGGTGCCTTGTTAAAAACAAACTGATCGGAGTCAGGCTTGAGACTGTCTAGAATGTCCTCAAATCTATCGGGATGACTCAGGGCGATTAATCGACTTCAATCTATGAATAGTCGAGCAAAATATAAACTTTACCCTTTCCTTTTTCCCTTTTCCTTTTTGTCTTTCTCTCTTTAACCCACCCGTTTCTTTGACTTGCCTTGTCTTGCTCTGTTGATCACCCACACCACAGCAATGTCCCGTCTGTTAGATCAACTCAGTAACACACTCGAAAAGAGACGTGAGATTGCAAAGCTCCGAAGACTTGTCATCAATCCCCAAGACGCCATTGACTTTTCTTCGAATGACTTTCTCGGTCTTGCATACAGTGGTGCATTCCGAGACGCTTTCCTCAATGAGCTTCATTCGCTCGACAATATTCTCGGATCAACAGGATCTCGTCTTCTCGATGGAAATTCACTTTATGCTGAAGATCTCGAACGTACCCTGGCTCGTTTTCACCGGGCCGAGTCTGCCCTCTTATTTAATTCGGGATTCGATGCCAATGCAGGTCTCTTTAGCACCGTACCCCAAAAAGGCGATGTGATTGTATATGATGCTCTGGTTCACGCCAGCGTCCACGAAGGCATGCGTATCTCGAGAGCTGGTCTCCGTGTATCTTTTAGACATTCTGACGTGGATGATCTTATTCGCATCCTCAAAAATGTCCAACAAAGCCATCCAGATAAGAATGTATTTGTTGCAGTAGAAACTGTGTATTCTATGGATGGTGATATTGCACCTCTGAGAGAAATTGTTGCTGCTATTCGAGAATGCTGGCCCGCAAAAGATAATGGCTTTTTAATTGTTGACGAGGTAAAAACAAAAATCAAAAAGAAAGAAAGGAAAGAAGAAGAAGAAGAGAACACGATGAATCAAAATCTGGAGTTTTGTACCCCACAGGTTGATACAAACCAACTCCTGCCTTCTTTTTTTTCCTTGTTTTTTATCTATGTATATACATATGCATATACATACATGCATACACATAAATATCTATTAGGCCCACAGTACTGGTGTTTTTGGAAAGAATGGTCGAGGTGTAGTCGCAATGTATGGTTTAGAAGATGAAGTATTTGCTCGCCTACATACATTCAGCAAAGCATTAGCAAGCAATGGTGGTAATGAACTTTTTTTTTTTGGAAAAATGCTACTACTTCTATTAGTTATTATGTATATTATTTGTTCATTTATTCACACTATATTGCTTTAGCTGCCATTCTTGGGTCTCCAATACTTCGTAACTACTTGATAAACTATGCAAGGCCTTTGATTTACTCAACGTTTATGACCCACAGTAGTCTTGCCAGTATCAAATGTGCTTATTCTTTATTGGAAAGCGGGTCAACTATACAAGTGAGATTTATACAGATATACAGATATATATATATCTATATATGTATATGTGTATACTTAATTATGCTCGATTATTTTGGCTTGTAGATGCAAAAGCACGTTCATCTCTTGACCAAAAGATTCCGTCAGACAATTCGATTGCCCATAGGAACTCTCTTACCATCTCCTAGCCCTATTCAAGGAATCGTATTGAACGGAAATGCACCTGTTCGTGCCCTTGCTACCTATTTAAACAAAAAAGGTTTCACTGTAAAGCCAATTTGCTCTCCAACTGTCCCCAAAGGACACGAACGAGTTCGCATATGTCTTCACGGACACAATACTCTTGAGCAGGTTGATGCCCTGGTTGACGCTGTTCACTTATTCTTTGGCAGTCAGAAAGACACCGCAGCCAATGGCATACCTCTGGAGCAACCAAAGCTATGAGTATACACCTTTTTCTCCATTTCTCTCTTTCTTTCTCTTTCACTCTCTTTTATTTTATTTTATTATTTGCTTTTGTTAATTAAGTAATTAAAAAAGAAGAAGAAGAAAGAAGAAGAAAAAAAAATTATGACAGGATTTCCTGATAATAATGAGCTTTCAACTATTCTTGCTCCTTTTTTTCAAACATTCACTTTCTCTCAACTAGAGGCTATTCTCTATGCCTACCTCCCAACTCAACTCGAGTTTTATATTCAAAAGACTGGCATATATGCTGTCGATACTTTTCTTGTCACAGCAATAGTAACGCTCGTTCTAATTGGAGCCAAACTGTTTATCCATCTCATCGGGGTGATCTCTAATCTTCTTCTTCTTCACACGCAATCCTATCGAAGATCACGCAATGGAGAGATTACAGTTACTGTAGAACCAACAGCTTATGATGCTTACCACACCAGTAAGTCCACATTGTCCACATGGTCCCACAACACAAAGGCCAGATTATTGAGTCTCATCACTGCTCATCCCATTCACTCACACGACACCACTGCAGTCCCCAATGTTTTCCACCAGGCCCTCTCTCATCTCATCTCAAAACACACTCAGACAAACACAAAAGGTGGCTATACTCTTCGGCCCATGCTTCATGTCGATCATGATCCACTGGATCCACCTGCATTTCACATGGTACCACAGCCAGAACAAGGTAACCATTCCAAAACAATAGGAATTCATTTTTATAGCAAAAATAAATAGATAAATAAATAAATAATCTTGGAATAAGGCCAAAAAAAATATAAAAGAAAGAAAAAAGACTGATTCTAGCCAGTCCATCATCTTGTTCACCAGGGCTATCCAATTTGTCTCCAATTTGAGCCACAAAAGTCTCCAGTCTCGAACACCGGTGTTTCAGATATGATGATGACCGTAGACAAACAAAAAGAAGGACCCAACGACGGATCGATTCGAGTCTCTATCGCGCCTAATTTTTCGAAACCAGTCAATGTTGGTATCCTTGGGGCTTTTGTAGACAAGGCAGCTAAAGACTATCTGGTCCACCTCGAGTCTCTAAGAAAACTCACCCGGACCCGTTATGATTATTCAGCAACCGGCAAATGGGTCCGTATATGTTCTTTACATGAAGTGCAGGGACTAGCAACCGTTGCGCTTTGTCCATCGAATGAAAAACTTGTGAAACAAGACATTAGCTCGTTTGCTAGCAACCAGGCATTCTACCAACGTATCGGGTTCCCATATCGACGTGGTTACCTCTTGTATGGACAGCCAGGCACTGGAAAAACTAGCCTTGTGTTTGCAGTTGCGTAAGTAAATTGGCTGATATACAATATACACATGTACATATACTTGTATATCTACATAGATTCTAAACCCTTGATTGTTATTATTATAATTTAAACAGATCAGAGTTGAAAAGACATATGTACTTTATAAACCTAAGTTACGTTAAATCTGATTCAGATTTACATCAAGCATTTGCAAATGTACCCGCAAATTCTATTGTAGTGTTTGAAGATATTGACACCATGTCACCCGTAAGTTTTTAAGACATATTTCTCTTTTAACTATCGATATTGCTCCTAATCTATGTGAGGTATTTTCTCTCTCTCTCTCTTTATTTCTAAAATAAAATAAAGGTTTTACATAGACGCCAAGACAGAATTCAAAGGCAAACCACAGATGATGACTCAAAAGAATCAAGTTTCAATCTGAGTACATTTCTGTCGGTCTTAGATGGCCACACCTTGGAGCAAGGTATAATATTTATGATGACGACAAATCATAAAGATGTACTAGATCCTGCAATTGTACGCGCAGGTCGTATGGACATACACCTTGAATTGTCGTATGCAACACATCATCAGATGAGAAAAATATATCGAATGGTAATGGAAGATGATGATACAAGTCAACTAGATGACATATGTCCAGATCTAGAGAATATTCCAGAATTCTGCATCCCACCAAGTGAGATCATGCAGGTTATGGTACTTTTTAGACACCAAGTAGAGCTTATTCCCCTTCAGCTCAAAGAACTTGTCCGAAAATATAGCACTCCTTTAGTTTGTTAAAGGTCTGCATTTCTTAATCAATTTTAATGAAGTACTAGAAAAAAAATATTATAGAATGATAGACACACTCCTTTTTTTTCTTACCTTTTCTCTTGTTTGTTTAAAATACACTCTTTTGGAAAACAATTTATGCGTTGCTTTAAACTCATGAGTATATTTATCATGATGAGGATGAAAAGGATAGGATTAGAAGCATGTAGTGGACATTTAATTTAATATAACAATGTGCTTATTTATGATATCCATGCCTTGCTGACTCGATATACCTTATTTCGATCAACTTATCATTAAGACCTGTAATATAAGAAATCTCTGTACATATTTAGCAAGTTATTTCTATACAGGATATTGAAGTATGTATTTTGTAAATCATGAATACTTGTTCACTCTTCTTATTTAATTTCAAGTCATATTTTCCACTATGAATATAATCCGGTTTATGTGGACGTAATGACGAATGGAGGGTACCAAGCATTAATTGATATCCAAAGTACAAAAAGGCTTGTACTTAATTTGTTTCCTAAATACATCCATCTTGCCTTTTTTTTATGCACAGTCTATAAAATGCAATGAGGACATTACTTTGTTTAACTCGCCACGCATTTACTGTTGCTCTTTCAAACACACATTTTATTCCCTCTAATCTGTCATTTCTCATTTCGGATTTCTCTTTATTTTATTTTTATTTTCTTCTCTCTTCTTTCTCTCATTCCAATGCATGTTATTCACAATGTCCATCCTAATTAGAAAAATTCAGTAATATGCATTTCACACCATCAGCATTCTCAAGAATCATTCTGAATCTTCCTCATAGACAAAAACAGACTATACAATTGAACGCGGTGATCAACACAACAATAAGAACTTACATATTGATATATTATATGCTTTATTTTATATGTTTTTATATTTATTTGACCAATTAGTTTTTTCTTATAAATGAGCTTTCCTAATTACAACATTGACATCAATCAAGTAAAAAAAAAGTCTAAAAGCGTGTTTTTTTTTATTGGGAGCGATAATATTTAAAGCAGACTTTATTTATTTATTTATTTAAAGATATACACAAAAAAAAAACTATTCTATTTGATTGAATTTCACTTAATGTTCTTTTACATGAGTAAAAGAATAAAAAGCATGACACCAAGTTCTTTGTCCCCGCATTACGCGGCTCAATCTCCTTCAGGACGTAAACCTGACTTGGTAGCGAAGGAGGTGCTGGAATGGTGGCAAACCAACGGAAAGCACCCGTTCATCCAGCCCCACATCTCGTCACCGAGTAATGTGGGTGCGAACTCGCCAGAGAACTTACCACTAGGTGATAAGGTCCAGCTCATTCGACTACCAGTAGCTTCACCGTCAGCCGTTAAAGAGTTCAGTCAGGTTAGCAGTGAAGAGCCAGCATATCTCACCACAGGTTAGACCTCCCTCCCCCCAGCATCATGATTCCACATTGGCGATGCGATGTACACAGTAGTCCTTCCAAAAATGAAAAGAGACCATGCCCCACGACTTCTCAGAATTAACTGAGCTGGCGAGTAACAACTTTCACTTTCCGATGCTTGTAGCATGGAAGAATCTCCCTGCAACGGTCGCAAGAGACGCCTCACTATGAAACCGGGACTGTTGTTGCTCAAGGAGAAAACAAATGACGCGCGTTGGAGGAGGTCTATATGTAACAGAAAATTTTTCGTCTGCGATTAAAGTTTAGGACTGCGCTTTTTGTCAGTCTTACATACTCACCTCAGAGAAAACGTGACATGGCTGTATATTCTTTTTGCTGTGCTTGTGTAACTGTTATACATCAGGAGTAGAAGCTAATAATATTAAATCAAAGGACCGTGCAAAACTACTTTGCAAAGTAAAACAAAGAAGTAAATAATTAAAGAAGTAAAGAAGTAATGAAAGGTTTGGTTTTGATCGGTGTACCAATAAATCTAAAGGTGGAATACAAGCTTCTATAACGGCTATTTGTAGGTTACTCTAAGCTGGTTTGTGCATTTTTTGCTCAAGGGTACAAGAGAAAGTTCTTTCTTTTGCTTGCAAACGTAAACACGCAAAAGACCAAATAACCATTAGTAAATAACTCGTGTTTATTTCAAAACGATATCAAAGCAATAAATACACAGTAGAAAAGAACACAAAAAGTATACATGTACATTATCTGGATCTTATCACAATACAATAGGAGGTGTAATTTTGAATTCCAGGTTGAGTTTTATTGAAATAACTATTTCGTACTTAAAATCAAATATTTGATGCCAGGCAGAAGCAACGATATGTGGTCTGGTGAAATCAAACCGGTGTCTCCCATCTGAAAATGTCGTTTCCTTAGGATAAGTAGTAGTATGAAGTGGCCCTGGCATCAGCTCAATGTCCTGTGACTTTAATTACCCTATCATTATAATTTGATCATTTAATCATTTGACCATTTGATAATTTGATAAAATACACCTCTAAACAAGCATTTATTTTGTAGATAGTAGATAATACATAATACATAATACATAATACATAATAATACAAAGTAAATTTATTCTCTTTGTTACATTTAATTCGTTATTGTACTATTTCAGAGAGTTTCTGTACAGTGCTTCAGAATCAATTTTTTGCGTTGTAGAATTCAGTACAAAACGAGACAGGGATGCTTCGTCCACATATCCTGGTGCTACTCGGTGACTATGGTGGTCTGTAGAGGCCGTCCGCCGATGGGTCAGGGATGACGATGTGTTATGAGATTTGGTTGACTGACTGCGTTCTGGTGTATGTAGTAAGCGCTCATGGTGTTGATGTAACAAATTTCCATTTAGAGGCATGTTTACTCGAGACGAAAGGCGTTGTGAAAAGTAATCACTTGGTGATGGTGGCGGCTGAAAGAGAGCTTGAAGATTTGGAGAGTGAGACTCGTATGGGGTCTGGAATGTTGGAAGTGTGGCAGTGGCATCTGTTGTCTTTAAGTTCCCCAAGGCATTTCCTATCCGTGCCCTAGTAACTTCCGACTCTGCTGTGATACGATTGGTATATGACAGCGAGCTTGCTCGACTTCGAGGAGATAATGGAGCAAGCTGCATAGAAGTGCTGGTAGCAGCTCTTGCTCGATCGGTCAAATTTCCAAAAGCGTCTGTGGGGTACTTTGCGGCATTTTTTTCAAACTGAGAGTTGGATCGAATGAGATCCTTTTTTAACATTGCTTTCAAGAGACCTTCGTTCTCCTTTGCTACCTTCATCTTTTTGCGCTTATCCTTTTCACTTATTGGCTTGTTCAGACTAGTTTGCCCGTTATGATCCATCATCCAATCGTCCGCTTTTCCAATAGGGTCTTTCTTCCATCTACTGTCATTTGATTTATCCAGGATGGTTAAAAGAGACATGACAAGAACGTGTTCAAGTTCAGGATAATCCCATAGTCCACAGTGTCGTATATTTTGGTTAAGAATAGAAAGTAGCCCAAAATACTCATTCTTAAGCTCACGCGGAAGATAGTGTGCCACAAGAATCGAGCCTAGAATAAAAATAACAAAGCCCAGTTTGAGTTAAAGATAACTTTTTTTTTCTCTGTTATCTCTTGCTCAGCAATTTATAGTACTAATGCTTATTTAGCTGTTTGCTTCACCTGTCTGATGTACTACTCGACACTCCAATGATTTGCTCATTCTATTTTCACGCACCCTATTAAGAAAAATTAAGTGTTATTGAGGTGTTTGTTGCAACAGTGTTTACGGTATCTGCCATATACCAGCAAAACTTGGTATTTTCCCATTCAAACTGCCATTCGAACCCTAGACGAGATGAATCCCTGACAACTACTTCTTTATCAATATTTCCATGAATAGTCAATGGTCTTTTACGGACAGATGGATTCTGCAGTTGTGTTTCGGACTTGATCTTAAAGGTATCTATATAAAACAATTAACAATAAACGCTCGATGTTTTTAAGATATAAAATGAAAATAAATAGCAAGAGAAAGAGAGTAAGAGACCTGCACAAATAAGACTTATTGCATATAAATCCTCAATACGATGTCTGACTTTTATAAAACAGAGTTTCCCCGTATTTTTATTAAGAATATTCACAATTGCCCGATTGCGTGGGTGCAAAGCAAATGTATAATGAGTTACTGGTGGTTCTACCATAGTATAGAAAACGTAAAAGGAGACGAGGAAAATAAAAATAGAAATAAAGAATATAATAGAATAAGAAGATTAAAGAAAGAAGGAAAGAAAGAACGAACGAACGAACGAAAGCATCTAAAGTGGATGTGAAATATGGATTCTAGTGAACAAAGTAACGAGGCTCATCAAACACGTGGAATCGATGTCCACGAATGCCATTGCCACGGAAAATACTTGGGTAGCGCAATTCTGGTACAATAGTAGACTCGTCCAGACGTTCATAAGAAGCCTTCCAGTAATCCTTTGGATTATCTACAATCTGGAATTTACCAGACTGGATCTCTGTGTCGGTGATGTGTCCGTGACTGATGCGCGCATAACCTACACGACGAAGACCGCGATAACCAATGTATTGGCACCAGCGGTCCCAATCTGTGGGATCAATGTCATTCATGTCACCACCATCAAACAAGAGGTGATAGAGTGGCTGCTGGGGTTTAGTGACGACATAACCAAGGAACACGAATGGGTTAGGACTGGTGCGCATGATCCGTGCGAGTTCTGTGGTTTGCAAACGTCTGTCCTCGGGGTCTTCTTCTTGTCCATTGTGACTGACAATGAAATCAACGGGTTGACCATACACATCCAGCGTAGCATGAATAGCACAAGCCAATTCACCCACTGGAGAAGGCAAAAGATGATGGGAAGAGCGGAGGATTGGGAACTTGGAAAGCATCAGACAACCCCAGGTGTGCTCCATGGTGGACGGTCCCTACACACACAAGCACATATCATACGTATATGAGAAACTATGTCCAAAGAATATACCAACTAACCTATCCTCCATCCAAACACAGCCAAAATACTTACGTAGTCAATATAGTAACCAAGGTCTTCTGCAATGTACTGGGCCCAATCACGGTTACCCATAATAATACGCATAGTATCTGACTCCAAAAGACCAACGACATCCAGCTCCAAATCACGAATAGCATCTCTCATTCTCATCTCACTGGCCCACATATCATTGTCCAAAGCAAAATGAATAGTCCAAATACCGGCAGTAAAAGATTTTTGGGAAGTTGTGAAAGGTGCAGGAACGGCAGCGCGAATAAAGCGGTTGGTGGCAACCAATATCGACACAAGTACAACACTAACGAGAGAGAGACGAAGAAGAGAACGGGTATGCTTGAGGAAGTGGAACTGTGTAGACTTTCTGTAAGTGGGATCAAGTGCGTTATGCTGGTTGGAATGGAATACACCAAGACCAACAAGGATCATAGTAGCGGCCAAAACCAAGTCAGAACGTTCGCGAAGATAAACACCCCCTGGAACAAATGCGTAGGCAACCACCCACACATGTGCAAGGCATAGCAGGTTATAAATAAAGAAAGAAGTAAACAAGGTCTTGAAAGGAGGATGGACAGTGATTCCGCGTACAAGAGATGGCATAACACTCATTAAATAAAGACCTTGGAGAAGACCACCATAATATGCTGGCCAGCCCTGGAAAGCATAGAATGTAGCGCAACCGACACAGCCAATTATATACCACCACATACTAGTCATATAGCGATTGGAAGTAGATAACCAAAGACCGAGTGCAAGGGAAGCAATTGTGACAACACCCCAGGGTACTGGTTCCGGACCGTAACTAGGGTAACCACCAACAGACCAACGCATAATGGCAGAAGAATCTGTATACATTGAGTGGAGGGCGAAAAGAACAGCTCCAAATCCAGCCGAGGCAAAGTACCACCCCTTAATAACAGCTGGTGGGGCGCTAATTCCACGGGTTTCATTTACAGAATTTGTGGTAAAAAATGCAGCGATAAGACCAAGGACGATACCGGTAACATTATAACCGCCATTTGCTTCATTCATGATGGGCCAAATAGGGTTCTCTGTCCACCAGGCCATTTTTACTACATTGTGTACCAGTAATCCAACACCCCACAAGAGCACTGATCTTTCCAAAGTTCCATTCTGGTTACGCAGCTCAATCCAGGTAGCGGACCAGGTAGTCAGACTGATGCCCAATCCTGAGGCAGTCAAAATCAAACGCAAAGCGGGATCAACAGCCCAGAATGAAGCAACACCGATAAGAGATAATGCATGGAATACACCACGGTAGTTAAACACCAGTTCACGAAGGGGGCGGATTCCAAGAACAACAGGTGTGAGGGTGATGAATAAAAAGGCTTCGTAACCTGAGATTCCCATATGCCAGAGGGGGAAATACCAAATCAGGAGAGCAAGAGAGGTCAACATGGACCAGAACACAAATGCTATAATCCCGCGCGCGTACACACACACACACACACAAGGGATTAGGACATACTTGTGTTTTTATATTATCAAGACGTTATATTATATTTACCAAGGTATACTTCTGAGATAATACTCTTGAGATTACTCAAAGTACGGATATTAGGGAGAATTTGAGGAATACTAAGGAAGCAATTACGTCGAATAGTTCAAAATCACACACACGCACACACACATACACACACACACACAAAGCCCAGATGAGTTTCAACTTCTGGCTATTGTCACTATGTACTCTACACACCTTTCTTTTTTTGCAAACTTGGAAGACACTCTGGAATATATGGCACCATATGTAAGAAATATATATATTAAACAATTATAGTGAAACTAGACACGCTAGACATGTTCTCTAAATGCATACCCTTCCTTGCGTACAGGGGCTGCCTTTCCTGTGAGATCTACAATGGATAGCTCAAAGTTCTGGAAATCAATTGCTGACACGGCATCAAAGGCGACATCATAGATAATAAGAGACCACTCAAAAAAGGCGTATGTTGTATATGCTGTGGTATTCAAGTAAGTATAAATACATCGTAGTTTTTTGTTTGCACTTACCTCCGGGAATCTTGTGAACCTTGTGCTGGAGGAAGAAATAGATCATTGGGGGTATGGTCGCAAAGAATGCAAATGTCAACCAACGACGCCATTTGAGGGCAGTAGGGTTACGAGTACTTGTCTTGAGCACACCAAGTTGCCATGGAAGAGTGAGAAGTAGGTAGAGGATCATAGTGACGTCGTGTGTGAGGTGATCGTCGGTAGAAGTAATATAAACCCAACCGCCACAGGCCACGGTTCTAATGATACCGACTGCCAACAAGAACTTGCCAAAGCCTTCTGTGCTTGTTCTTACTGAGCGGGTAGTAAAAATGTACCACAGGAAGACCAGGGCAAACCGAGGACCGGAAGTCAAAGCAATGAATATTTGAAAGATCGCACGGGCCGGATAACGATCACCCGTTGTCGCACTCACACTAGGAAACCATTCCTGCCAAATATGTAATATACAAAGTCAGGACATAAAAGAAGGCCTGAAATGATTACCCTGGAAGCGCAGCCAGTCAAGGGTTTATATATATATATACTATTTTTACAGTTTCTTATTTTCATTTACCTGAGGATAACCAAAGTGTTCGTTTTGAACAATCTTGTAGTAATGTGTATAGCAACCTACAGCCAAAGCTATAAAGAAGGCGCCTATTTACACACACAAATAAGTTAGATATTATATAAATTAGAAAAATCGCTATTGTTATTTTGTCTTTCACTAGGGTTATGATTGCTGTTATTTTGCTTACTGTAGGCAAAAAGGGTGTGTGCGTAAGAGACATATTTGGCAGCCAACTGTGCATTAAACGCGAGTTAATTGCTGTGTATGAATAGGATATGTGTTAGAATTACTTTGACCGTAGTAGTTGGGGGTGGACTAGTACTAGCCGAAAATTCAGCCATAACTGCTCTTTATTCAGAAAGAAGAGAGAGGAAGAGGCATCAGAAGCGCCAACTCAAACCACGAACAATATAAACAGAAAATACAGGACTTCCCCTTGGGTCACACACCCACATAATTTGGTGCACCATCACGTGTCGGCCAGTAAAAAATAATAATAAGAAGCAAAAAAGGAAACGGTAGAATGCACGCCGAATAGTCGCGTCTACAATGAGACAAAGCTTCCAACCACAGGATGAACTTAATGACAACACACGTCAGGCAATGCCGATCACAAAGTCGAGAGCAACTCTTGTGAATGGAATCCCGGCAAATGGAGAAGATTACCTACTCCATGTGAGGTGTGTAACATGTTTAATCACGCAAGATTCTTATACTGTTCAACAGGCAACAAGCTAGTCGGTGTGCCCAGACAGTAGTTGCGCCTCATCCAAAACACCCTCAGAATATTAGTCTCCCATCGAAATACAGCTTTTCTTTTGATACAGTAACTACCCCTAGCCACCTCTTGCCGTCCAAAGAATGGCAAGACAGCTTTGGACGATCCTTCAAGTCTTTTCAGCAGGCAAGGCTTTCAAATATAAGTAGTGATAGCGATAACAATAGAAAATAATTTTTCTTTTGATTTGTTTTGCTTTTTTTTTCTTTAGTCAAAACAAAGCTGCAAACCACCACAAAAGGCACCGCCTATACCAATGTCTAACAAGAACGAGTGGTACACATTTTGCTATACGGGTGTACCATCTATTGTCCAGTTGAGTTGCGTAGAGCATATGTCACAGCGCCTTATTCTTAGGTTATTGTCCTACTTTAAAGAATGGCTTACCGACATGACCGAAAAAGAGGTAAGCACGGTAATTTGAATACTTTTTTGTTGAATATATCCAAAGTCTATATGGATCTTTACGCTCCTTGTCTACCTGGATCCCGTCATGTGTGCCGATAGCACATCCCTACTCAGAGAACTCTCTCGTAAATCAATAGAGATCCGTAACACCAAAACAGAGCAAGACGACAATCTGGTTAGACTTAACACGATCATAACTATAATTGCTAAAGCATTCGGTCAAGCAGACTTAATCTAGTAGACTTAAACCAGCACAAAAGCCATTAAACATATACATAAATATCATAACAAAAAAAAATCTTATTAAAACTCAAATTCATTTCTAAACTGCTGGATATTTGAACCGGCCACTGCTTTGTCTGCGAGGTCTTTGCGATCCTAGACAAAAAGGTTGAGTTTTAGCGGACTATTTTTTTGTAACATATCAAAATATTACCATCATCACAAATGTTTTGCGCAACATTTCCCATAAATTACTAGAAACATTTACACCTTCCTCTGCATCGTGTGGTCCACGTTTGTGCATCGACAGACCAGTCAACAGATGTTCGGCAGCTTCCTTGTAGCAACCGATATTAATACAGCTCACGCCAAGATTATAACGTGCGCGAACAAATGAAGGGCGTAGTTCAAGCGCTCTATGATATGCATCAATAGCTTCTTCTGAGCGGCCATTGTTGGCAAGAGTAGCACCCAAGCGATTCCACAACAAATAATCCTGTATTTATTGGTCAATAATTGTCTATTATTTTTGTTGTTATTATTGTCTTGCCACTTACATTAGGTCTTCCTTTGAGAGCAGCCACAAAACAGTCTACTGCCTTTTCCAAATCCCCACTGCCATAAAACAAGACTCCCAGACCAACCTGGACATCTGGATCCATCTGTTGGCCATCAGGAGCTTGTCTTGCAGCTGAAAGGAACATATCAGTAACTCTCGCGTGGAGTTCAAAAGGACTAGCGGGCGCTGGTAGAGATGCACCACCAATCTCTGGGTATCTCTCTGTGATCCAGCGCTCAAGGGTCTGATAGGATGCATGGTCGTAAGATTCGTTAGTGTAGCTTACAGCCAGAGACATGAGTGCAGATAGATTTCCAGGATCTACTTCAACTGCCTTCTCAAGAGCGCGAATCGCAGGCTCTTCCTTTTCATTCTGAGCTTGGATCATACCGAGTCTCATCCAGGCATCTGAATTGGATGGATCTCGTTGAACAGCTGCTTCAAAGGCCAGTGCAGTCTCACTCAGGCTCTGTCCTTGATCATGCAGGCGAATTGCTTCCGAGAGAGGATCAGGGTGTGTAAGGAAGGGATTGTCGATCTCGAATACATAATCACCCAGATCAGGTTTGTACACTGGACCATTGCTGTTGAACTGTCCAAACTCATCTTCCCAACTATTATCATCACCAAACTCTCCCTTGCCAGTCATCTGGTCTCTAATGTCCTGCCAGACAGACTCAAACTGATCAAACATGGCCGGGTCCTGTGCCGCAGCAGCCTCTTCAATCTTTCTTGCCATCTCCTCCTCAGTCTCGGCTTTGTCAAATGCTGCAAACTGGTCCTCCCAACTGGCATTGTTATCCAGCTCAACAATCCGCCCCTTTCCCTTGGAAGAATGCATGTCAAATTCACCAGCCCAATCAAAGTGTTTTTGAAAAGCATGCTCAAATTCAGAGAGCTGTTGAGGGTTCATTTGGCTCACTTCAGGGTGATTCATAAACTCGTTTCTCCAGACTGGAACATCGGGCACATGTTAAATGAGAGAAATGACAGCTTATATACTCATATTATCTGTGCGTGGATGTATGTGTTTGTGGGTCCTTACCTGAGATATCTTGACTAGGTCCTGCACGGGCCATACTCTCTTCAAATGCTTTCTCCATTGCAGCCTCCTGGTCTGCAGTGACCTCCCAGATTTTAGGTCCGTTACTGTGCATACCAAATTCGTTTGCCCATCCTCCTTGATCTTGTTGGCGAATACTTTCAAGTTCTCTAGAGAGTTCAGAAAACTGAAAGTTGTTTCCTATTTGCCCAGCCACATTCGGTCCAGCCGGTCTGTGTTGCTGCTGTTCCTGACCAAAGAACTCGTCGACCATGCCATCCCCTGATGCTGTCATTGGAGCTTGTCTCATTGTGCGCATCTTTAACATTGGTTAATTGCAATCATATTGTTTCAGATATACTTACCGAAGACGACCCGGAACCTCCTTGGGCTGGTACACCAAAACGATCCTATGTTTACAAGTCAGTCAAGGGCCAATGTTGCGGGGAAGCTTACTCTCTGTAATGACCGATCCTGATTGAATTGCTTAAGCATCTGTGCCATGGGATTAGATCCAGCCGAACAATCAGCACCACCGGCCATATTTGAGAACGACATAGTATTTTTAATTTAAAATAATAATGTAAAGCAAAATAAAGGGGGAGGGGTCGAGAGAAATAACAATCGTTTGGCTTATTTTTGGCTTCTTTTTCCCACTCACTCCACTCTAAAAAGAAATTCATCTCTTTTAGTCAGCGTTCTCTATTTGAAGTCCCGTTTCTACACCTTTTGAAATCTTGAAATCATGAATAGAGTTAAATCTGACACTGGTCTAATTAGTCTACTATTTATTTATGACCTGTCAGCACTTTCCAAAGTCATTTTTTTTAACAATAATAACAATAATAATAATAATAATAATAATTAATAATGCAACTTAGATTGGTAGGCTTTTTAAGCCAAAGTGACTTATTTAGAGACAGATTTTGTCAGCAAGCATATGATTCAGTTTGATCCAAATAAAATGTCTGCATAAATGTATTCGCATATATTGGACCTGTCAGCTCTCAAGGAGCTCATAGTATTATCTCATTATTATCACATAGCATAAGGCAATTATGCTCATAGCATTAACGAAAGATTCTTCACATCTTTTACAAAAGACGAGCTTTTATTTCCTCTCTCTTTAACTCTCGTCTTTTATCTGTACATATACTTTTACAAACTAAACTATTCAACCAAAACCCCATTTATTATTTACCTATGCCTCTTGATAATTATAAAAAGAGGAGTAATAGTCGAGGATCACCTGGAAGACAACTTAATGAAGCTGATTTGAGAGCTGATGATGAAGTTTACAGGCAAGTTGACCACAGAAGCACACATTTTTATATAAAAATCAACTTATTTAAATATATATTTGAGTATTAACTTTTTTTTTTGTCTACTTATACAGCCCTCAAGGTTCAGATGTTAGAAAGGCCCATGTGATTCAACATGATTATGGAAACCAACAGTCTTCCCACGAGAACAACTGGAAAACTCCATCTAATGCAGAGATGCAGCGATCTGTTGTAGGGAACACCCACGAAATCGGATTAGGCGAAGGTGTCCAAGAACATGCTCAAACTTCTGGTTTTACATACGGATCTGAAGATATCGGCTCCCGCGTCCGTCAAAAAACGCCTGTGTCTGGCCAGTATAACATCGTACCTCAGGATAACAATAAAGATGTCTTGAGTCATTCTACATGGTCCCCTCACCAACATGCAGAACACGATTATGCTAGTCTAGGAACTTATGCCTATGCAAAGGCAACTGAAGACCCTGCTAGAGACATTGTCGGAGATGGACTGAAAGACACTCTCCATGGGTCCCATTCGCCAACCATCCAATCAAAGTCCGCCATTAAACAAAATGCTGTGACTACAGATCACTTTGTACGTACCCCAGCCATAAATGAAGCATTTTCCATGGCCGTCAGGAGCAGTTTCTTGGATTTGGGACATATTGTTGATGTTATTAAGTCCTCGCATGGTATGTGAATACATTAGTTATGTATATTATGACAAAGGTTACTTACAATTCATGCAATTATAGCTCATGATTATACGTCAGATCAAGCCATGAAAGGTGTCGGATTTGATGTCGGGAAAAGACTTTCTGGAGCAGGTGCTGCGATTGGTGCTGCGATTGGTTCGGTCTTTCACAGCTCCCATCCTCACAACTCTCATCCACAGACCATAGAAGAGACTCCGGATGTGAAGATAGCTCGGAACCGTGAGGCATTCACTGGCCAACACCAATCGGTTGATAGCTATGACCACAATCAAGGATCTAGAGGTGGTATTAACAGGGCCAGCTTTGGTGCCAAATCTCCTGACTTGGATTCTTCCACTCAAAATGAAGAAATGCCCAGTACTTGGCCAGATTCCAGTGATCCTCAAAAAACATTTTCCCAGGAAACTCGTGGTATTTCTTCAGTAGTCAGTCCATCCATCAAATCTTCTATGGGTCTTGACCGAGGAGCCAATCTTGTTCGGGTCAACAAAGAACGCATCAAGGAGAAGAATTCAAGCCACCCTCCCGTGGCACATGTTCCAGATGTCTCGCGCAAGAATGCAGGAAAATCTGACATGTCTGAGAAGCCAATGGAAAGCCCCTCAAGCAGCTTTGTAGAAGATGAATATGGCGTTACAGCTAACGATGCCTATTATGATAAGCTGTCGACTTCCGCGGACGATTGGGAAGATAACCACACTAGTTCTGAGACCGGTGCTGATCCTTACAAGCCTACATCGCACTTGAAGCCTTCTCTTGAGCACGAGCGACACGTTGCTACCCCAGATATTCCTCCACTTAAAATGGGACGCCCTGCAGTAGGTTATGCAGGTGATGGTCTTAGTAACCAAACTTACTCTCATGGAAGAAACAATCTATCGGCCTCTTCTAATCGTAATGCCTTTGAAACCGACCATAATCAACAATCATATAAATACAGAGATATGAGCTCTCATCCTGTCTCGAGTAAATCTGGATTAGAGCATACTTCTATGCCGTACAATGACCGTGTTAATAGAGAGCAAAGTGCCCCCGGTATTATCCCTCAGTCAGCCGCAAACCATGGCTTAGGAAACAATAATATGTCTGATAGAAATGCTCAAGCCAAGTTTGATACTAGCCACAATATGTACTCAAACATTACGCAACAAAAGCAGCCCAGAAGATCAGATATGCTTTCTTCTGGTGTCCATTCTGATATGAGCCACAAGCCTAAAAATGAAATGCCAGGGATGAATAATAAACCCATCTCTTCGTCTTCTGTAAGCCAACCCCAAGACGGGCGCCAAGGGTCGTACAGCAATACTAAGGTTTCCCAGGCTACAGGAATGTCTTCTGCTACGGACGATAGACACGCTTCAGAAGGCACCATATCTGAGGCCGCAAATTATCTGACTAAGCTAGCCACCAGTGCAACTGCCGCAATTGACTCTGGTATCCAGGCAACCGAGTCTGCTGTCAAGTCGTTGATAAAAGACACCACAACTCAAGAAACCCATGATGGAACACGAGAAGCGACAAGCATGGATGACCAATCCAACGCTTACCATTATGGAACGAAGTCCGGTCATCAAAATCCGGGACCTCAAGAGCTTACTACTTCCTTTCACAATCCTAGGGATGTGAGCACATATGGTCGTACACACAATACTCTTCCTGAAGACAACACATTTTTGCCACTGACTAGTAAAGTGAACTCGAGAACAAAAGGGCCCAACTTCCCCAATGCTGACCAACTCGCTCCTACAGAATCTGAACGTAAACATTATCATGAGCAAGTTGATGTGAGAGGTTCTGAGCCCCAAAACAAAGGTCCACCTAAGAAAACGGTCAGACTTGTGTACTCGGAAGATACAGATAGCTATGTTCCAGCTTCTCCTGAAGGAAACGGCTCTCCTATTGCTGGCTCTACATATACTGGTGCTTCTTCTGTAAGACATTCTCATGTCGAGCCTAACGCTCAGGGTGGAAGAAATACAGGACTCTCTCACCCTTTGTCCGGTTTCGCTGACACATCAAAGAATTCCTCGTACGCAAATAATAATTCGTACAAGGATGGTACAACGCTTGGTAATTCGCAATCGAATTCTCTTTCTCACCGGAGTAACTCTAGCCATTTAGCCAAATTGGCTGCCGGCGGTGCTATGACTGATACCGGTATCGGAGCTTCAGCAACAAATGCACGTCCTTCTGCTCCTCCAACATCTGGTTACGAAGGTTACAATCCGGCTTTCTCTTCTAGCACTGGTGCTTTTAATAGCCATCGAAAGTCTCGAGGAAATTATGGAATCCCCAAGGATGATACACGTGGACTGTCAACCTCTGACTTTTATGAAAATGAGGAGCCAGGTTTTGATGAAGTTATGGATATATCTGATATTTCTGGTCAGGAAAGCCGTACAGGCATGTATCGTAATTATAACGACGATATTCTTTCTGAGCCCACCGAGAGCGGAGACAGCAACAACACACTTCCTCCATCTTCCCGTCATACGTCACCTTATGATCATGATATATTGGTAAACTCGAATCAGTCTGAAGGAGCCATTGTAGAAGATGATATTGGCGCTGATTTCAGAGTAAACCGTCTGGGTCAGTACGAGTATGAAACCTCTTCAGAAGATTATGAAGCTGAAGAAGGCTCTTTCTACGATGCCGATAATGACGAGAGTAACGACTATATGCCATATTATGGTGCCCGTAAACGAACATGGTCTCCTCGTCAAAGTCACCGTGATCAGTTCGTTATGGAAGATAGCTATAACAATCGAACACCTCTAAACGAGCGTGTGGGAGAGGCTGTGCGTCGTAATTCAGGATATGCTGGAAAGTCTTCAAGTTCATTCAATTCATCTCAGACAACTCCTCAAGTTTCTGATAACAAGCGTAATATGGAGTATATCGCAGCTGGTGTTGCAGGTGCAGGTTTTTCAGCTACTCTCAAACCTGGTGTCAAGCGTAACTTATACGAAACACGGCAGACCGTGCCATCCCATAATAAGACTACACCCAATACAGGCTGGCCTCAAGGATTCACTACCAAAAATGGTGTTAGAGACGGAAATATTCTCCAAAAGTCTGAAGCAATCGTACCAGCAAAATCAGGGGAGTCTAATGATCACTACCCACAGTTGCCATCCAGCTCGGTCCATCACAATGTACACAATGTAGAGGCTATCAAAGAGAAAATCATTAAGAATCCAGCTAACAACGATGATGTGAGACCATATGATCCTGGAAACAATGAGTCTAACGAGGATGTATCCTCAAACTCATTCGGAGCAGTCTTCCGCTCATTCTTCAGAAAGTCAACCGATCAAAACATGCCTGGTGAAACACAGCAGCCCCAGAAGCACACGTCTAATAACATTCGCGAAAAGGAAGGCGAGCTTAGCCATGATTCTAAGCGCCCGTTAGATGAAACGAATTCAGGCGAGCTTCCTCCATCTTACAAGGCGGCTACCAGGGGCCGTAGTACCAGTTATGATGCCGGTTTACCTTCCAGACTCCTTGAAGGTAGCGATTTGACTTCTGCTAATGAATTGGAGAACATGTCTCGCAACAGACATTCTATTCAAGAGATCGATGGTTGGAAACAAGACACTGAAAAGACCCTCAAGGCCACAGAAGCACAGCATAACCTTGATTGGAGAACAGTTGCTAACTTCCACGGTCCAGTCCCAGAAAGACATGATGCCACTGGATGGTTGGGTGCCTCCGAATCCTTAAAGGAAGATAGAGGTGTCCTTGGTGGCTGTAAGAAAGATTCTGTCTATAATAATCTCTTTGATGAAAAGATGGAAGACTCTGATCTCGCTAAAGGAATCAAGGAAAAATCTACCGATATGCAATCTAAAGAAAATGATACAAATGGTCTTGAACCTCCTGTTAACTCAAGACGCTCTACACTTGGTGCTACTGAATCTACACTTACATCCGTAGGTGCAACTATCGGAGCAGCGATTCGATCTGCGCTTGGTAGAGGCCCTCAAGAAGAGAAGGCTAAAGATATTGATGCCTATGGCGAGCCTTGTAATAAGTCTGAGTCAAACTCTTCTAATACACCTCCTAAGCTCTCTCAACATACAAACACTGCTTATGAATCCAACCAAAAAGATGATACAAGCGAGTTGCTCAAAAAGAGAGATGACGGAAAGTTCAACTTGGCCAACCAAGATGGTACACCCTTGGAAACTTACGATCCGGTTACTGGTATCACTCATAGTAACATGAGAGGAATGTCAACCCATGGTACATCCTCGACTGCCCCAAATATTGATATGAGAAAGAACAAGAACAATAACCAAAAGGAAGCCCGTATTACCGATCGTAAGGAAGGTCTTCTCACTGACCACAAGAAGGAAGGACTTATCACTGACCACAAAGAAGAAGGTCTTCTCACTGATCGCAAGAAGGAGGGACTTATCACTGACCGCAAGGAAGAAGGTCTTCTCACTGACCGCAAAGAAAGACTTATTACTGATCCTAAAGGGAAGGGTCCTATGGAAAACCACAATGATGGCATGAATGTTAATAAAGAGTTGCCTGATGTGAAAGATTCCAAGACTGATAAGATTTCTCGTAAGGCAGCTGGTGCTAGTGCTACTGTTGGTGCTGCTATTGGTGCTAGAGCCGCTTCATTGCGTTCCAATGTTAAAGATGCTGGTAACAAAGCTACAGACAAGATCAAACAGACCGTTCAGAACACTGAGAAAAAATTGCCTGGTATTTCGACCTCTGACAACGAGTCCAAGATGAATTCTAATGGTAAATCCAACTCGTCTGAGCATAACCCGGAACACTCTTTCCATTCCGCTAGAGCAGATGTTCCTCCTACACCGCCTGCCAAAGATGCAGAATCTGCTTATTTCGATTGCACTTCTCCAAAGCCTAATGATCACAAAAATGAAGAGAAGATTGGTTCTCAACAAAGAAAACCTATCGTAACCGAGCCCCTTGATCTGAAAGCCATGAGAGAGAAACATAAACGTGCTTCTATGTCCAAGAGAGTAGATAACTCGACCGACCAAACCAAAATAGCCAGCTCTATTGGAAAGACTCTTGGTGCTGTCGTTGCTGGTGCTGGTACTGCAAAGACTGTTAATGCAGCATTAGATAAAGGACATCTTAAGAGCCAAACAATTGCCACCAACAAGAATGAAATGGACGCCAGAAACCCTACAGATACTAGCACTGGCAAAAACGAGCGCAAACGCAGTGCATCTTGGAGAAAGTCGACTTATTATTCTGGATCCAAGTCTCCTGGGGCGTGTTCTGGACCAGGCCAAGGTGTATGGGTTAATCAGACCAAGAATCCCTTGACTTGTAAAAAACATATTCGATCTGCAAGTACCTCTTCTGTTCCCTCGGACACACACAGAACTGAGCGTGTAGGATCGTATGTTGGTGCTGGAACTGGTATTTGGGATAACCATGTAGACAATCCTCTAACATCTAAGAAGCACGAACTGGAAAAGAAAATGGAGACCAAGAAACATACAAAAAATAGAAGATCTTGCCAAAACTAATTTGTAATCTCAACACATAAATTCAATCTTACGTAAATAAATTAAAATAAAACTTCTGGTTTTTACAATTATCATATTAGTTGTATATAATAAAATTCGCTTACAACAAGTTCATTATGAAGTTTAAGTCATTTATTCAATATCAAATATTCCCACTCTGATTTCCTTTGATATTTGTCGATATTATAATGCTTAAAGAAGAGCTTTTAACACCAATATACACTTATAGTTTGCCACTTCTATTTTTTTTGATATTGCATACTAATGAGACTTTGAGCCTATACTGACTTGAAGGATTCCAGATGTTTTCAATTAGGCTGTGATCCGGATTTTTCTAGATTATCAAAAGTTATTGTAGTTACAGCTATTTCGTGTATGGTATAGTTTTGTAAGTTTAAGCATAGCATCTTAGAAAATAATTTTATGGCAAGGCAGAATACACAAAGACAGAGTGCTTATGCAAGACTTCAGCATACTTCTTTGCATTCATGTTATCCTCTAGTAAGACAGGGGGGTATAACGCATCCAGCACAGATAGACCCCCACACCATTTCAAATTCTCAATATCTTTTCGCTTTTTTTATTGGTGGCCAAAGTGGTACGTATTATATGGCTTTTTCCACACATTATTTCACACATTTTTTTTTTTAAAAAAAAAGACTAATATAAGATTTGTTAATAGATTATATCGTTTCTGTTATTAGTTTTAGTAGATCTATAGTCAACCGGACCTAGCTGTTCAGGTTTAAGATATGCGACTCTCTAGACACTGTTCTCTAAAATGAGAATGCCAGTGGTTATATCTTTTGAAAATTTCATATTTCTGCAAGTAATAAGCGTCGATCTTTTTGCACGAAATACACCTCTACGCACATCCTGGAGCACATTAAAAAAATAAAACCCCTAAATACGCATTTTTTTTCGGTAAAGTTAGTATAGGTACACTCGGCAGGAAAAGGCCATCAATCAACCTCTTGCTCATAATAATGTAGTAAATGAGATTCAATTGTGATTGCCAAGAAATTGACAAAAACATAAGCACCCTTGAATAAACCATCAAGAGAAGGATTTATACCAGTTAACTTTAATAGTTGAACATACGTTACATTAGAAATGACATTAAACAATTCACTGGTTCTAAATTGTACAAGTCTACAAAGCTACAATGGTAATAATATTGTTCCCCCTCTTTTATTTTTTACTTTTAGAACAATAAACGAATCGGCTACTATAACTAAAATATGCTTTTTGGAAAAGGTTGCTTCTCGAACTATTGTAGGTAAATCAAAAGAATTTTGCCTTCTTTTATATACATATATATATAAGCGGCCTTATTTTAGAATGATTGTTTTAGTAAAAGATAATAAATTGAGCAGGATTTATATATATATACATGTATAATGAACATCATGAATCGCTATTTGGTGTGCTTATTTGAATAGAACCATACTGATATTTTAGGCATAAAAGACATTAGTACGTGCCGCACGATCACAGAACTATGAAAATAAACAAGAAGATCGAATCTATTTTTGCTTAATGAACATAATAGAGTTGTTGTGTAGCATCCCTGAAATATTTTATTATTTTCTATGTAAAGAATATGAACTTCTGCCATAATCCCTTTGGTTTTCATTGCTTCTAGGGGATATATGCTAACACAAAATGAACCATTCTCCTGAATAATGTAGACCGATGACGCATACAAAAGTGCTATGAGAAAAGACTCCTTGAAGACTATAACACTCGATTTATTTACTCTTTCTTTTTACATCTTTTCTCTTAACACCTCAGTCGACCATGAAAATCCAAATCAGATCTCTTGTATTTGTATCAATTGCTCTCCTCTTGTCTGCTACCGTGGTCCATGCTCGTGAGAAAAAGGAAAAGGTGGCCTGTCATGCAAGCACCGAACCCCGGGCTCAAGCGGTCTGCCAGGACCATTGCGACGATCGTGGTTACAAAGTGGGCGAGTGTGGAAAGGAAGGAATATGTCTATGTTACAACTATTTCTAGAATCTCGCAAAGCGACATTTCCCATTAGCCTAATGTACACTCATTGATGTTGTATTTTCCTTAGCAAACCCCCATCCAATACATCCCTCTCTCTCTTTTTTTTTCAATACATTTTATTGTTGTAGTCCATCAAAAGAATGAACTAATGAACGAGTTAATTTGATACATTTAGAGGTGATGAAAAATGAATATGTTTATTATTGTACATGCAAATCGCGTACTATTTGCTTTAAAACCAGCCAGAGTCATCAGCATCTTCTGCTGCCTCCTCTGCTTCTTCGGCTGCTTCTTCTGCTTCTTCTGCGTACTCTTCTGCGTCTTCAGCAGCTTCCTCAGCGTCAGAGGCTGCTGAAGAAGCCTCTGAAGCAGCGTCTTCTGCATCTTCAGCAGCTTCCTCTGCGTCTTCAGCAGCTTCCTCTGCGTCCTCAGCAGCTTCCTCTGCGTCCTCAGCAGCTTCCTCTGCGTCCTCAGCAGCATCTTCTGCACGATCTGCTGCCTCTTCTGCACGTTTTGCTGCGTCCTCCATACGTCTGATCTGCTCTTCATTGTAGGAATCATCTCTAGATTCATAGGATTGATGAGGGGCATCAGAGTATTCACGCTGAGAGTACTCATTCTGGGAGCCATCGTGTTGATATTGAGCACGCTCAGCTTCCTTTTCACGGAGACGCTCTTCAACTTCTTCATCGACAGCCTCGTCGTAGTTCTCCTTGATCTCACCGGCAGCCCATGTACCGAGACCAACGGCAGCAGCACCAGCCAAAGCAGCACCACCATATTTCTATATATAAATGTACCTTTTTAGAAATCGTCTTTCTTTCCCAATATTGTTTTATTCGCTTACCATCCAATCAGGAATAGCTTTCTTTGCCGTTGTAGCTGCGACGGGGGTTCCGTCAGGATTTGTAGCACCGGCAACAGCAGGCTGACCGTAGGCTCCCTGAGCAGGAGGTTGACCGTAAGGGCTCTGTTGACCGTAGGCGGGCTGCTGACCGTAGGCTGGCTGCTGACCGTAGGCGGGCTGCTGTCCATATTCGGGTTGCTGACCGTATGAAGGAGGCTGGCCGTACTGTGGGGATTGGCCATAGTTCATGGATGATTGGGACTGCTGTCTTTCGGCGCCATATGGCTGCTGCTTTTCTTGAGGGTAGCTAGACTGTCCCTCATACGAGGGTGGGTGGTTCTGCGTACCGGCATATCCATATTCTGATTGGGCTGAACGCTCTGATGCACCTCCTTCACCCTAAATTTAATTACTCGGTTAAACTTTGTTTTGATTTTTCTTCTATAAAATAAATATTTGTACTTATACTTACAGTGAAGACAAGGTTAATGTAAAGATGGCCCAACTGTTCACCGTTGTGCGAGGCAATGTTGACCCATTGCTCAGCACGGCCTTGCTGGAAGACTTGGTTCAAGTCGACGGATCCACCACCGAGAACACCAGGACGGTTCTGGTCTTCGTTGACAACTTCGACATTGAGTGTAGATTTACCTTCGGAAACATTGCTAATAAATAAATCCCGAGTTAATAAATAAGACTATTATTGCCAGCTAGTTTATGCCCAGAACTGCTATTTACAAGGTGAGAGTCTGATTCCACTGGGGCTCAGGACCAGCAGCAGATTGAGTGCGTTGCTTCTCAGATGCGTCGACAAAGCATCCAACAAAAGGGCGAGACTCTGATGAAAATTTTGAATGTTAATACTGAAATCTAGTTAACAATTTTAAATCTGTACAATACCTGAAAGGCCATTTTCGGCGAGACCGCGCATGGTCACTAATTAAACAAAATAAGGGTGAGTTAAGTTGGCTAATAAATTAAACATTAATGACAGAAGATAGTTTTACCTGCAGTAACTTGAAGCTTTCCGGAAGGCATTGTATATAGATGTTGAGGAACGGAAGAAAAGGAGGAATACGTGTCTTGCGGCGAACCGCAGTGAAAGGTCTATATTTATAGCCTATAGTGGCCAATGGCAGCTGTAGGTGTAAAAGGCTGGTAAAGTGAGGGAGTACAAATAAGGAATACGGCGTGGCATATCAGGGCGATAAAATGGCAATGTCATTAGCCTACTTCAGAGTGGCACGTACATCCTTATATGCGACCGTGTACACCGCAAAATAATTAAGAAACCCTGCGGTGAAGATATATTCATCACGTGATATCTACCTTTTGGAAGAACAAGTGCTTGAGTACTGGCACACTGTTACCCAGCTCATTATTTCCCTTACTCGGAAATCAGCCATGTGTAACAGGGCATGAACTCCTCTTCAAGCCGAAGAATCCATTTTCAAAAGCATTGTGAATTTGCGTTTAGCCTATCGCTGCCAATAGCATACCAGATTCTTTGGGTTGCGATTCCACCAGGATGGAACGTGGCCATTATCCACATCTATTTAAAGGGCTTGAAACTAAGCCGCACTCTAAATATAAAACGTGGTATAAAGTCTTTACATTTTTATTTCATTTATCAAGATAATAAATACTCTAATAGCCAAAGTAGCCATTCAGCTATAAATACATATATACATTGGGGGATAATGCATGTATACATACCTTCCTCAATTGGGCATTTCTTAATATCAAAAACCAATTTCTACATGCTACTTGGCTTCTTTATAAACTATGATACCATAGCCAAAACAAGTCTTTTAAAACACCTTTAATATACCAATATCTGACTTTTTACGATAAATAATAGACACTTATTTATCTGATAGTGGGCTTTTATTTTATTTTTGCTTAGAAACATATTGATTCTTTCCATCGATTAAACCCGACCGTATAAATTGAAGCTTATTTACTGTTACACTGAGTTTCTCCGTCAATCTTAATTGCTTAATATTCACTTGGCTTTCGACTCTTCTTTTCTCTTCTTAAAGCATAGATGTAGTAATTATTTAGTTAAAAGATGTTTTTAACAGCCTTTATGTACCATTTATATTATAAAAAAAGTTCAAACTATGCGATATTTCCTTTTCGAATCAAAACAACTGGTGAACTTTTGAAATAGAGCGTACTTGATATTTTTGCGGCTGAAAGAGTAAGATAGCAATTGTATAACATCATGCTATTAATAGGTAGGGAGAAATTGGGATAGGGAGAAAGATAGAAAGGTTATATTTCTATTAGCAAATGGCCTTTAAATTCTTGAAGAAGATTCTGGCAAACGAATCCAAATTTGTGAAACTAACATAAATTCACACACGAAATAAAGTACCATCGCACCAAGCTTTTTACCATTTTCTGTGGCCTTTGGTTTATCTGACGCAATCAGAAAAATACAGTTTATTTTTCTACTTTAGATTCGGGCGATGTTAACTTTTTTTTTTGAGCGAATCAAAATTACTACTTTTCATATGTCTAGCTTACCTTTTTAGCTGAAACGAAAAATAAAATTCAGAAAGAAAAGAAATGAAAACTTAAGCCTTTGATGAATAAAGGTTAGTATTCATACTCTTCTTTTTTTTTTTATAAAAATCTTATGGCTAAAGTCAAGAAAAACTGTATATTAAATGAGACTATAGAATATAAAGTAAAAAGTCACATACAAGAATAACATCCCATAGCTATGTTCTGTATGTAATTTCAAATGTTAATTAAACCCAAAGCACACTAGCAGAAAGAAACCATTTGTGTTGAAAAGGTCCTGCTCTTAGATAAAGATGAGAAATTTAGTAGCTTTCTATCTTGAGGCTTACTCATCTCTGTAGCTGATGCTATCGTATAAGCAATGTTTAAAATAGTTGGACAAAAAGGTTTTCAAGAGTTATATATGAGTAGACAATTTTCTTAAAAAAAAAGTCCAATGTGTATGTATAGACTTAGAGACCAGAAGTCTCTGAGTATTTTAAATTTCATCAATGCTCTCGACGCACCATCCTTATGTTTTCCCTTATTTCTTCAATTTCTTATAAGCATAATCCCTTCAAATCCAAATAACAAAGACAAAAATCCTCGTAAAAGATGTTAAAAAAAAACAATGAGATATTAACTATGAATGGAATACATAAAGCTATATTACCGCTCGCCGGGATCTCTCAAAGTGAGAATATAGCTTAAGGAACTCCTGGCGGTATAAAAGAAATACTATAAAGCCGGCACTTTTGGAAGTCTAACTCGTTCAGGGAGGCCCACGCTTCTCACTTCCAGAGATAAACATTTTCTGAAAAGGATTTTCCAAAGAAATCGACTTCAAATATTAGATGACCTGAAAAGAAACATGGAAAAGTTATCAAGATAACAATCTCAAAAAATAAAATAAGCAAAAACTTGCATAGCATGGATTTCTACTCTTGTGTTACAGTAGCAAAGTCTCTCCTAACGTAGGCCAATATGCCTGCATACTGAAAATAGGCTCGCGCAAGAATGGGTTGGACAGACGAGTGGAAAACAGTTACTCGGAGTGATGAGTCTCTGTTTTCTTAAAAGCAAATGGCTGAACTTATGTGTAGAGAGAACCCTATGAGAAGTATTGTGCTAATTGTCTTCAGCCAAGAGTGACAGGAGATGGAGGATCAGTAATGGTATGATGGTGTATTTGGGTGGGGGTGAGGGACCCCTTGTTGCTCTCCAGGAAAATATGAATGCAAAGATGTATTCAGAAGACTTGTAAAAAGATTTCAAAACATACTAGGGTATGTTACCATGCAAGAACAGTATATCTTACAGATTCCAAGAAGATAATACAATGGTGCATAAAGCAGTACTGGCTGAAAATGCAAAAAGAATCTTGGTCTTGACGTTCTTTAGTGACCCACAAGAAGTACATATCTGAACCTCATTGAGAGCATATGGAAATATTTGGTCAACCTGGTGCGCACAAGGGTTGACCAACTTACAGTAATTGGTGAATAGGAAATAGTATCGAAATAGGAATGACGAGAGATTGGTGTTGATACTTGTTTAAAGTTTTGTACCAATATGCATCACAAACTAGTTGCTATAAAGAAGTACAAAGGTGGTGACATACCATATTAAATAAACCTTTTTTTTATCAATGAAAGTACATAGTCTACGCTTTGTTATATTTTTATTCTGTAACTTCTGGCCTTATACACAAAGTATACGAGGGATGTAAAGACAAAATGTTAACATTGCATGTATTTTTAGGGTTCAAAATTTTTGTGAACTCTTGGTTTTAGTTTGTATGTTCGGATTTTTATTTCTTTTTCTTTTTCTTCCATCTTGATACCTTTCAAGACCAGCAATTATTTGAACACAAAGCCTTCATTTTTCTGACACGATATTTCTGTAGAATACACCGTTTCATGTATATATATAGCCTCATTTGTTTTGACTATTTACTGGACTCATGAAAGGTGACTCATGGTCCGGTATCACACAACTCTATTGAGTACCCTCAAGAAAGAGAGTTAAATTATGAAAACAACATTTAAATACCTTTTTATAGAACTTTATTTTACTTTATATGCTCATCTTGTGAGAAATAGTCATCTATCAGATGGTGGGTTTGATAAACTTTTACAAAATTCTGACAATAGTTTGGAATTACCTCTTCTTTTAACCTATTAATTTGTGTTTGCTTTACGATATCTAATATTCTAAGGGTCGGCACCTTATCTTATAGCCATTTTTAGATATACAATTTTTATATATTTTATTTTTGATAATTATTGAAAAGTTAGAAGAGCATTTTCAGCGGTTATATTTCAAACAGTATTAAAAAAGTGTGGCTGAAATGTCAGCTATATTCAGTCGCATGTAAAGTAGAATGTAATCACTGCATAGACTATGGAAATATAATATTATTTTTCAAATAATAGACTAACAATAAGTAAGCGGATATAAGAAATAAATTGCTTCATACCTCTATACAATTTATTCACGGTTACTTGGTCTCTTATATGTCTATATTCCGGGTATCATCCTAGCCATGAGCGGAACTCTTTGAAAGCAAATAGTGTACCACAAGCTTTCATTATTCTTCAAAGAAAATAACTTTGTATTTACTCAATAGTATGGAGTCCAGGCGTTCATTTTAAGAGCTGATAATATCCTATAAGGATTTCAAAAATACAAATACTAGAGGTTTAACTAGTTGGAGTAAAATAGAATAATATATCTAAGATTGAAATATACATATATATACATAAATATCATTTAAACTAAATGGTGGGAAAAAATGGAGGTTTGGTAAAAAAAAATGCGCCGTAAAGCTGCCAGAAAAAAAAAAGAAATCTTCGTAGAAGGAAAGAAAAAAACCTCCATAAAAATATATTTTTCTTCTCGCGGCGTTAACTAAGTCAAAGTTTCTAACCCTAAGATTAACTCAAACCATTCGACATTACAAATTCTAAAATAACTATATGGTCTATAAAGCAACTTTATTCGATATAGGCAAAGAAGAACTTCGACTTGAGCCTGACTGAGAACTATCTTGAAGATTATTAGACAATCGTGTACACCAAAGCTTTTATTAGCCTATAAGGCTAAAGCAGCTGAATAAGGTTATGAAAGAGGGGTGGTTAGTGTTAAGTCCAAAAGTGTGTATGGACTGCTGCCATTATGTTATGTATAGTAGTTACGGTTAAAGGAAATATATGTGACCATATTTAATATTAAATTAAATACATAAATCGCGCATATTTTAAGCACAAAAAGTAAATAGCATAGACTTTATAGATTATCTTTGGTTTTTTTTTTGCTGAGATTATTTGTTGGGTATATGAAGAATAAGATAAATGTAGAAATTCATTTGATATATACATATTCACCGGAACTTAAAACCATCGTTTTTTTTTCTTACACTTTGTACCATGCTTCTTTTGTTTCTCATACGCCACAAGTTTATTTCGGAGAAAGGTGAAGGAAGAAACCAAGAGATATGAAAATTTTAATGAAAACAGGTCTACCCAAGGGTTGACAATCGACTGTTATTGATCAAAGACGGAATTGTCAATTATCTGGGCCTGGTGAACTATCTATTTAATGCAAGTATCTTTAAAACTTTGTTTTATTTGATAAGCTATAAAGAAGAAGCTCTTGTATTTTAGTGAAACAAATAATACCAAAACTAAAATACTACGGGGTTTTCTTAATAATAAGTTGAACATTGATCCCATTACATTCTTATTTTATCTGAATTGCTATGTTAATTGTATTTATTTGGCAGAAATTGAACTATATTGTTATACAAATCTCTATTCGAATATCAGGCTTGTTTCAAGTCAGGAAGAAAAGCCGGCAGACATTTACCACCATCTATAATACGATGTTACTGCTGAGTTTTTCTCTTCCTTTCTTTGCCTGTTTCTATTATAAAACAGTATATAAAATGGGCTACCTCTCTTCGTACACCTCTTTTTAATTTATTTTATATCTTCTTTTTAACATGTGATTCTTCTCTAAAAAAATTCACAGAAAATTACTATTTGAGTACATATTCTTTGACACAAATGTTGGGTTTATTGATATATTTTTATTACCAATTCGGTACCTTTATTACACACCTTTCTCTTCATAGCAATTTTATTATTACTACTACTATTAATATTATGGCTTTGATATCGATGAGCTCAATAAGAATTACAAAATATATATATTCAATAGAATGCACGATTAAGATAATTCTTCGGGTACTCTTTTGACTGCAAGTCATTATAGCTCATTGTATCTATACACTATAAGTAATGCACAATGATTATATCAAACATACCTATTGAGATATAATCTGTAGGCTATATTCAGTCGAATGGGATGCGTGGTAGAAGTGCTAGTCTGGTCCTTCTGCTGTATATACTGTGGTATCATGAGTCTGTACATGTTTTATGGAGTAACAACGTCTAAGTATGTCTTTAATAATAATAAAAAAACCTTTTATTTCTGAAAGAAAGAAATCTCTAAAGGAGAATATAGCACCTATATAAAATCTTGAACAAAAATTAAGTCAAATATTATATACTTTATATTTCGTCACTATTAGCGTTTTGCTGGAACGCCAAAATATAACCCACCATAGTGTGGTTGCCTAAACTAAGCCTTTCTTTTTCATTATATCTCTAGTCATTATATTAATACAGGTAAGGTATCTAAAATAAAGAAAATCAATAACCCTTTGCTTCTATTCGACTTTTATTTTTAGTTTGTTTATTCATTTACCAAAAAATTAAATTTAAATTTAATTTTAGTATAGAAATATTCTAACCTTTTCTCGATTTCAAGTTAAACTGTTGCAACCACTATGATACTCGCCTAATTTTCATGTAATACGCCAATATACTCAGGGTCTATCCAGATATATCCTAGATTATAGTGTAATCACACTTGTTTATCTTTGATATCTTTGGAATGACATGATTCAAAAAAAATAGTTGGAAAAAGCAGCTACATCCATACCCAAAGACTGTTGTTGACTTTGGTTCTTAATCATAAATATTCATATCATTTTTCATGTTGCTAGGTTGCTCATGTACTACACTAATAGTCCTTTAGCCATTTGATCTCAAAAGTAACATGCCTGTAGTACCAAAAACCCTTTTACAGCCGATACTAACTCCTCTTTACTCTGTGTCCTATAGTAACCGTGAGTATGAGTATAAATCAGAAATACTCTTTCAACTTGACACGTAACTAACCTTACTATAAATCTTCATATCATAGTCTGTCTTCTAGTAAAGCATATACATATATACATATGCATATATCTGTAAAAGAGTTGAAAGAATAAAAAAAAACGAGTAAAAATAAATTCACTTTTTAACTGTTTTTTTTTTGGCCAGCAAGTAGTGTGTCAAAAAAAATCGTTTTATTTTATTCTTTTCATGTTTCCCTTTTATCCGTAAGGTTTGGTCCAATGGACTGGTTGACAAAACAAGTAGTTTTGAATCTGGCATCATACACACACGCACACGCATATTTATAGACAATATTATATTGTAGTGCCAAAGCTATCATGTACAACCGCTTGTTGAAAAGAGAAAATAATTAGAGAAAAAAAAAAGAACCAGAGCTGGAAGGCTTTTAGGTATGGATTTTTCAGTAATACCAAAAGTCTCGAGTATGTAAGTTTCTGTAAAAAATGTTCTTTCTTGTAACAATATTTATTTCAACAAAGGAATACAAAACTAAAACTAAAACTAAAACTAAAGAAAAATGTCCCTTGTTGGTGCCGCCACTTGTACGCTCAAATATCTCGGCATAACATCTCGAAAAGTAACACAGCAGGCTTACCGACAACGGAGGAAGAGATGCCGTTGACAAATAGCCTGTAGCATAGTTACACGAATTATTAGCTAGAAATAAAGAAAAAATTGATACGTTTAGTATAAATACATTCAATCTTTTGAGTATTCCACTAGATTTTTCTCTCTTGATTCTGTATTCAAAAGTCATATATCACTATGGCTTTCTTCCAAACCATTTCTTCTACTGTCTCAGACAGCTTCAAGAGTATCTTTGGCAATAGCAACTGTGATGAAACCACCGCCATCGATGCTATCGCCGAAGAAGAAGAAAAGCGCGAGGCTGGATATGCCAGTGCTCACCACCGTAACGAATCATTTGCTCCAGTCCGCCATGATACTAGTGTCAAGTACTATGTTGATGGCCAAGATTACTGCTGGTAAAAACTACTGGAGCTTTGATACAGCATATACCACAGTTTATTAAATTATATATGTTTAGGGCTGTTTCCGAGGCCATCTCAAAGGCTAAGGAAGCAATTTTCATTGAAGATTGGTGGCTCGTAAGTCAATTTTAGAAAGTCTTTAACAGCGACAATATCTAATTATTCTTTCTTACTTGTACTCTAAATATGATCTCTTACGAGTAGACACCAGAACTGGTAAGGGTGTATATATTTTGTCTCGACCATCGACATTTTTATTTATTTATTTTCTTTTCTGATTCCGTTGTCTGCTTTTATTAGTATCTCCGCAGACCTCCTTCAAAATACCCCGAATACCGTGTCGACGCTCTCTTGAAGCGCAAGGCTGAAGAGGGTGTAAAGATTTATATCGTTATTTACAAGGTACATACATAAATATATGCCCACACATGCACATATATATATATATATATATAGATGCGAAGAAAAAATATGGCAGTGATCTAAACTCAAGATATTACAGGAAGTCGAATTGGCTCTCACTCTTGACAGTGAACACACCAAAAAGACTCTCCAAGCCCTCCATGAGAACATTGTTGGTAAGTTAAAAAAAATGCCTTTTAATCTCGTGATGTACATGATTCTGAGTATATATATATATATATCAAAATTACCTTCATATAGTACTTAGACATCCTGATCATGCTATTGGTGGCACCTTCTTCTGGTCCCATCACGAAAAGTTTGTGGTAGTTGATAACAGAATTGCTTTCTTGGGTGGCATTGATCTTTGCTTCGGGTAAATATGTATACATAGATGTGTACGCGTGTCTTGTATTGACACATGCGTTGTAAAATCATAGTCGTTGGGATACTCACACTCATCGCCTGGCTGATTTCCATGCCGAGGATAACGACCTCGAATTGTTCCCGGGTAAAATATGCCTATTCTTCACAATATGATCTTAAGCTAAACTAGATTTTCCTTGTAGGCCAGGATTACAGTGATGCTAGAGTTCGCGACTTTGAGAATGGTAAGATCAGACAGATGTAATAATATAGCTACCGTTGTAACTTACCACATGCTTTTACGTTCATTTCTAGTCAAAGAGTGGGACATGCGACTGATCGATAAGACTGTGGTTCCGAGAATGCCGTGGCACGATATGTCTTTGTGCGTCGTAAGTCTTCACCCACGCTTGCTCATATGTTGTATCTGTCCCACCTCACACAGAATTTTTCTGCTTTTTTTAGATGGGTGGTCCAGTTCTGGACGTTGTGCGCCACTTTTGTGAACGCTGGAACTTTATCAAACATGAAAAAGCTATGGACAAGGAACACGTACCATTCCTCCAGCCCCCTGTTGGTGGTTTTGGTAAAAACCAGCGTTTCTCTATTAACAATGACGACGAGTTGACTGCTAAGCAGAAGCGTCGCAAATACAAGCATCACACTCGTAATGTAACTGGTACCTGCCGTTCCCAGGTCTTGCGTAGTGCAGGTGAATGGAGTTTGGATATCGAGACAGAGGTAAGAATCAGATTGGGAGTTGGTAAAGTAATAAGGTCATATTTAATATTGACTTTGTTTTATTCTCCCTCCTACCTTTTTTTTTATCACACAGCATTCCATCCAGAATGCCTACATCAACTTGATCAAGGAAGCCAAGCATTTTGTCTACATTGAGAACCAGTTCTTTATTACTGCCACCGACGATGATAAGGATTATGTCCTCAAGAACCAGATTGGTACTGCCATTGTTAGCCGTATCATTCGTGCCCACGAAGAGCGCGAGAAGTTTAAGGTCATGGTTTTGATGCCTTTGATGCCTGCCTTCCCAGCCGATCTGGCTACAAAGGAAGCCGCCACTGCCAGGTACGAGATTTTTTTTTAAAAAAAAAAAAGAAAAAAGAAAAAAGAAAAGAAATTACATATATTTTGTGTTCTTATACGATTTTTTTACTTTTATAGATTGGTCATGCACTATCAGTATATTTCAATTTGCCGTGGTAACAAGAGTATCGTCGAGAGACTCAAGGCAGCTGGTATTGAGCCTGATGACTATATTCGCTTCTACAGTTTGAGAAGCTATGATCGCATCAACCGCAATAAATTGGAGGAGCTTTTGGCTGCTGCGGCTGGTGTGACTTCCGAAGAAAAGCAGTTGGCCAATGCTGCTGAAGGAGATGAACCCCAGAAAGTGCAGTTTATTAAGCACGCTGGTAACCCTGACTTCGCAGAGGGTACTGAAGGTGCCACAGATATTGAGGCTGAGGTTGACTATGCACGTGTTCCTGGAGAGGAAGAGGCCGAATCATTGCGTAACAAGTACCAGGAGGATATTGATGCCGTTCGTGCACGCTTGGAAGAGGAGGGCGAGTATGTTGCGGATGACTCTATTGCTCAGGACGCCATGAAAGGTGGTGATGATATCGAAGACGAACCCTGGGTTAATGACACCGAAGGGTCTGCTCCCAGAGACGAGGCTGCCGAGAAGCAGGAAGTTTCTGACTATGTTTCTGAAGAGCTTTATATCCATGCCAAGCTTCTCATCGTCGATGACATCACTGTTGTCATGGGCTCTTCTAATCTCAATGACCGTTCCCAGTGTGGTGAGCGTGATTCTGAGATTGCCTTGATGGTCGAGGACCAGGATATGATTCCCTCAAAGATGAACGGCGAAGATTACAAGGCCAGTCGATTTGCTGCCACACTCCGTCGTCAGTTGTGGAAGGAGCATTTGGGTCTCTTGCCCGACCGTCCCACAGATGAAGTTGTGCCTTCCATGTTGCCCCTTCCAGTTCCCCAGGAAGATGTCACTGAGTCTGAGGAGGATCTCCAGGTGATGGATCCCCTTGATGATGCTACTCTTTCTCTCTGGAACAGCACTGCAAAGATTAACACAGAGGCCTTCCGTGAGGTCTTCCACTGTGTTCCTGATGATAATGGTAAGAATATATTACTTGATTAAGAAAGTGTGTGTGTGTGTGTGTGTGTGTTTGTGGGTGTATATATATGTATTAATAAAAAATGTTTTATAGTCAAGACATGGGAGGAATACAAGGCATTCTACCCCGACCCAACCAAGATTGATATTGGCCACGTTTATGACCCTGATATGTCCGTAGACGAAGTTCGTGGTCAGCTCAGCAAGATTAACGGTCACTTGGTTGAGTTCCCTTACCACTTCCTTGAAGAAGTTGATCTCCAGGGAGAATCGATTCCATTTATCACTGAGGCCACTCAGGCACTCTATACCTAATAAGCCACCGCGGCTCACCAAAACCCAGTATGGGGAAACGGTGACGAGGTTGATCCGTTCCGAAACTTCAATTGATAACCACGCAACTTTTTTTTTGACATTTTATGATGCGATTCTATTTTTGGGGAATATTTTCACTTTGAAAAAAAGTATATAAAGACACTCTCTATTCTGCATAACCCACTTTTGAATTTTTAATGATTGAAAGGCGTCCTGAGCCAAATTTTGGAAGGAGTGCTATTTTGAGTTTAAGTGACTAAGCACCAGGATGATTCATCCGGGTAGAGACGGAATCGACGAAAATTTGGGTCCTGAATTATCTGCATTTTTTGTGAATTCAAATAAATTACAAGAATTTTCTTTTAAGGTCAACTTTATGATCCAAGCCCTTTCTCTCACTTACTCGCCTCTCTTTCCAATAATGCCAATAATCTGTGCAATGCCATTCTTTGGCTCTCTATTCTCTACCACCAAGCCTGATCGCATCCGAAAGAGCATTGGCCCTATTTCATCAGTCCTCAAACGACAGCAGCCATACAGCTCTCCTGCCAGACCTTTATCTCAACCAAAGGTCAATCCAGAGTCTGGAAAACCCGAAGTAGTGACCGAGAGTGCAATCCTCAGCAACTTCCCTCGGCCAAACCTGATGCCAACTCTCCATTTCTCTCTCTTTGGACTCCAAAACTCACCTCCCTCTGAAGATACTTTTCGAGCAAAAAAGTGTACCAACTGTGCTGGCCCTCACTCCACTGACTTTTGCCCCTGTTAATCATAAATAACCCCCTCCTATATTTATCACTCTCTATCTATTCCTTTATCTCCCTCCTTATCCATATATATCAACCTACTTACGCCTGTAACATACTCTCGACATGAACGAATTCTCATTGAATTGTCTTTATTGTTTCCTCTCAAACCCTCTTTCCCCTCGGTAGATTAACTATTTCATAGATGTTTTAATCCTTCTTTTTCGCTTCTTTATCTCGCTCTTCTTTTATTTCATTTGTCTACCTTTCTACATACAAATTTAGCTTCATTCTCATTATTATTCTGCAAAATAAACAACCTTCATGTCTGTGTCATGTTAAACTAATTATAACATATCCAATTGCCTAAAAAAATAACAATTCCTTTGTTCGGAAACAATAGGCGGAAAAATAATCTTCCTTTGTCCTAGCACGCGCATTTTCGATTGCTCGTGGAGAATAATTTGGATATTCAAACTCTTCAATCAATCCATTTCTCTTTATCAACATTTATAGACATAATAATTGTGAGGGTATTCAATTGACAGTTAACAATCAGCCCCATGGTAACAATGCCACGTATAACATTGCTCTTACTGCTTTGATACGTTACATACAACACATAGAACAGTCTAAAGATCAAAATATAGCCATTTCTCTTAGAAGCTATTTATACTTGCAATACATTTATAGATGTTTATTATTATCTAAAAGCTTTTTTTCTGGACACTAAACTCTTTGTCTGACTCTAAATATCCCATTGTTTCTCCTATCCTTCTGCACGTACCATTTGATTATTTTTTGTCTAGGCTGGACTGCTCCCCTTCTCTCATTTAATGTCGCCTTAGAGAGCGAGAGTGAGAGAAAGAGAGAATTCCAACACAGCACAACACAACACATTAGCATGAAAGCCCACACAGAAAGACAAAATTGGACAGAAAGCGGCGCAGCAGACAATATTCCTGTTATTTATCGACAAGATGCAAAAGAAGAACGAAAAATAGAAGCAAGTCTGACAAAAGAATATGAGGATGACAATGAAGACGATCATGATCTGAACGGATATCAAAAAATATGCAAAGTTGGCGAAGGCGTTTACGGTGTTGTCTTTAAGGCGTGGACAAACATTGGGCATGAGCTAGTTGCCATTAAACGCATCCGTCTTGGGTATAATCAAGGCCTTTCCACAACTACCCTACGTGAGATTGCAATCTTAAAGGAAATGAAGCATCCAAACATTGTAAAGTAAGCCAATGAGACACAAAAATTTCAGTAATAACCTCAATGTGTTTACTCACCCTCTAAATCTCTTAGATTGCTAAATCTTATACAAAAAGATAAGACGATTTATTTAGTCTTTGAATATTTCGACATTGTATGTGAATCACTTTAGGTCTTTGCAAGCAGATCATGGTGTATCAACTAACATAAAAAATATTATCTAGGATTTGCGAAAGTATATGACAGATGTAGGGCGAGCAGGTCTCTCCCTTGGACACATCAAATCGTTTACCCATCAACTTCTTTCTGGAATCAATTATTGTCATAGTCATCGTATGCTTCATCGAGACTTAAAACCCCAAAACATATTGATTGACATGACAGGAAGACTGACAATAGCAGACTTTGGGCTCTCTCGTCCGTTTGGAGTTCCTATGCGCGCTTATACACAACAGGTTTGAATACATACATACATACATATATATATATATATATATTCAACTATATTACTGCTATAGGTTATCACATTATGGTATAGGGCACCAGAGATATTGATGGCATGTGGACATTATTCAACGGCAGTGGATATGTGGAGTGTGGGATGCATATTTGCAGAAATGTTTACACTTTCACCATTATTTGCTGGTAAATATTGGTTTTATAATAGTTCAAACTTGGTTATATTTATTTTGTGTTCGTGTATAGGAGATTCACAAATTGATCAGCTTTTCCGTATATTCAAGTAAGTTATTAAAAAGGAACAACCAGCTCTTATATAAATAGAGGGAGTATATATATATATATCAGTTAAATCAACCTTCTTTTTAGAGTGCTTGGAACACCCAATGAAGAACTGTGGCCGGGTGTAAGTACACTTCCAACATACAAAGTAGCTTTTCCAGGTAAGCCTTTTTTTTAGTGTAAAGCTCATAGTTATTGTATCGCTAAACATATACATATATATGGGTATTTTAAGATTGGGAACCTATGGATCTCCAAAAAGTCATTAACAGTACTGAGGGTATGGTGCAAATGTCAGACCTTGCATATGATTTACTCAAGGTAAGGCATCGATCATGTACACAATACAATATTTATAAATATATTAAACCTCTTGTGGATAGACTTTACTGGCTTATAATCCTGCTGAGCGACTCTCGGCATTAAAGGTAACATATAATGTGAGTACAATGAGTACAAAATGTATTGATCGGTTACTTTATTAGGCCAAAGAACACCCTTTCTTCTATGATGATATCTCCCTGCTCAAACTATAAACCCTGCGTATAGTGGAGCTGATGAATACTTTCGCTTATTTCTAGAGAATTGTCCCATACCAAAAAAAAGGTTGCTTTTCTTTAAAAATTTGTTCGTTCAAAATTACATTTTGGTGGCATTAAAAAAAATAAAGACCACTTTTTATAAAACGAAAATCGTAAAAAATTCAATGTTGGACGTACTTTTATGAAACCTCACCAAAAAAAAAGCACAGTCTGCGAAAATAAAATCCTGGTCTGGGTCAATTAATAGAAATAACGAAACAACCAATTTTTTATAGACAGATGAAGGTGATCATACACAAATAATTGGCTATTTGCGTCGAATTTTCCAGGATGAGTTATGATTCTGATCCTGTAAGGTTGTAAATAATTGAGAAATTGGTAGGTTTGGAATGGTGTTTGTGCATTGATTGTTGAGAGCCGAGTAGGTAATTGGGACACATACACGATGAAATACATCAAGGACTTTAAATATTTTGGAAGTATCCAAGACAAGATTTGGTAATTCCTCCAAACAATTCGGAATCTTGAATTTGGTCAATTCAAGTATTGCGTGTAGCCTAGTTGTGGGTAGAACCAAGACATAGAATGTGATCAACCGGCATACTATTTGTATTTCCATGATGCCCTGCATGTCTTTGCTATCTAAACTATTCTTTCAGAGGATAGTGATACGCCATACATTCTTGTTAACGAGTTACATCTTTTCCTCTATCCTGGCCGACTTTTCCTTACCGAATCCACTGGCTTAATACCATCTACAGCCAAGAAACTTGGTTATACAGAGGTCCGGGCGCTTCACGGCTGTATCGGCGGATCATTTCTTAGCTTCAAGAGTTCTTGTATCCGTTTAGCGCAAATATTAACCCTAGCCATGATCGGTAAAGAGACCAGACAAGAACGGTCCAATGAATCGGGTGCAAAGTTCAGCTTCTTTTACATCCTCTCGGATACTAGATCTGGATAGTTTCTGAATCAGACCACAAAACTCCACACGTTATGTTGCGGGGTTTCCGGATCTCTGGCTGCAGATACGGTGTGGTAAGGTATATTCGTAAACAAGGATGAATTACATGTATAGTTGTGGGGATTTATTCGGAAAAATAATTATAGGGATCTCCATAATAAATTATCAAGGAACAGTATCTACTTTTCCCATTATTGAGACACTAACCCAAAATCAATCCCGAATACCTCAAGATTAACTGAAGAGCTACTGTCGAGTCTGAAAAGACCCCAAGCTACGAAGACTAAGCAGACACGGGAGTTTCTATCTTCCAAAGTTTCTCGATAGGCTTGCCGGTTTGTCGAAGAGCAAATAATGCTCCCCGTTATTTTAAGAGTTGCGACACTTAATTTTTTTTGGCGACATAATTTCGGCAAAGGGTGTATTTTGATAAAAGCATATCCAGCATTTAATATTCTACAATCTTCCCTTTATAAAATGCTACCTTTGGTTTTATAAAAAGCTACTTTTTGTGTGCGACCAATTTCTAGAACAAAGCGAGAATATTTATTGACATAATTATATTTACTTCTGTCTCTCTCAGCACCTTCTCCTACATTCTCCTACATTCCCCTCCTCCTCATCCTCCAACCCCTCTTTAAGACCTCCTTTGCACCTACTCACGTTGTATGTAAATTCATTACCTAAATGAAGAATAATAGATATCACAATCTACTAGAAAATAGAGTGCGGACCGGTGATGTGACAGTCATGCCGGAATAAGCCCCGCGTCGGGAGAGGTATATGCGCTTGCAAGGCCCGCGACCGTAGGCTTCCCTCTCTTTGAATTTTCTTTTTATTCAAACCTAAAGTTTTATGTGAGTAAAAAGAAAGATATGATTCAGAATCCCGCATGCCTTGTCATGCTATTTTGTCATCGACCAAAGACGGATGCATAGATAAAAGACACAGATGGATGGATTCGAATTCAAAAAGCAGATCATTAAACCCTACTACCTGCATTTTTAGCAAATGGCTGACACTGCACCGGCCGATAGTAAGTAATCTTCAAGTCCATCCCATACATGGCCCTCACACCATGTCCATTGAACAGGACGCGGAGGATTTGGACGTGGTGGCGCTCGTGGACGTGGTGGTCGCGGCGGTGCCCGTGGACGTGGTGGTCGTCGTGGCGATGAGAAGACCGAGTGGTATGTACCTACAAAAAAAAAGAAAAGTCATATAAGGGTACTGACTTTAATTTAGGGTCCCCGTTACCAAGCTTGGTCGTCTTGTCAAAGCTGGCAAGATCAAGTCCATCGAGGAGATCTACCTTTTCTCCCTCCCCATCAAGGAGTACCAAATTGTTGATTTCTTCCTTAGCAACTTGAAGGATGAGGTCATGAAGATCATGCCTGTTCAGAAGCAGACCCGCGCTGGTCAGCGTACCCGCTTCAAGGCTTTTGTTGTCATTGGTGATCACGATGGCCATGTTGGTCTTGGTGTCAAGTGCTCCAAGGAAGTTGCCACCTCTATCCGTGGTGCCATCATCCTTGCCAAGCTCTCCATCATCCCTGTCCGTCGTGGTTACTGGGGTTCTGCCCTCGGTGAACCTCACACCGTTCCCTGCAAGGTTACCGGTAAGTGTGGTTCCGCCTTGTGCCGCCTTGTCCCTGCCCCTCGTGGTACTGGTATCGTTGCTGCTCCTACCCCCAAGAAGGTTCTCCAGTTGGCTGGTATCACCGATTGCTATACTACTTCTCGTGGCTCTACCCGTACTCTCGGTAACTTTGTCAAGGCTACCTTTGCTGCTATTGGTAACACCTACGGTTTCTTGACTCCCGACCTTTGGGAAGAAACCGAGTTCTCCAAGGTTCCTTACCAGGAGTTCACTGATTTCTTGTCCCAGAAGCAGAGAAAGTAAATGGGAACTTTGCGACTTTCAAATTCTTTTATATTTTGTTTTAAATAAAAAGCACAATAAATCGTATTTCTCCACATTGTAATTAGTATGTTTCATTGAAAGTGATGTTGTATCAAAGTAAATAACGTACGTTTTAAACATCCATCGTACATGCTGTCATTGCCAAAACCTATGCTAGCGATTTGCTTAAAATATATATAAAAATATATATATATAAAAAAAGACAAGTCAACGGCCTTTGAATAGATTTCCTATCTGATACGTTCAACAGCTTTAACTGTACGTCACTTTGAAATTTTCATTTCTTATTCTTATAACCCTCACTCACTCTTACTTGTACTCTTTTTCTATAACCATGTCTCCCAATAAAACACCAACCCCCCTCAATTCTGAAGAGCTCTCTGCTCTCAAGCAAGGTATGTACTTCACTCATGTACTTGCTGAACATTGAACTGATTTGACTTCATTAGCCTTCAGCCTTTACGACCGTAACAATGACGGTGCCATTGCTAGCGAAGAGTTTGCCGAGATCTTGAAGAGTCTCGGTATTGCGAGTCAAAAGGACCAAATTCAATCCATTATCTTGGCTGTTGATAGTAATAAAGATGGTTTGATTGATTTTGATGAATTTGTGGTTGCCATGACACGTCATATGCCTCCTGAAGAAGTCAAGGGTGGTCCATTAAGCAGGTCTATCGCTAATAGCCGGTCCTCTACTATGCGTGAGCCCAGCTTCCACGAAGAAGACGAATTGAAAGAGGTATTCAAGGCATTCGATAAAAACCAGGATGGTATGATCAGCTATGACGAATTGGAGGAAGTTATGACAAAGCTTGGAGAGAAATTATCGGCTTCTGATATCAAGAACATGATGGACGACGCAGACATAAACAAGGATGGGTTTATTGACTTTGAGGAGTTCAAGAATATGATGCCCAAGGATGAAGCACAATAAGAACGAGATTCTTTTTTTTTAATATCATTATAATTATTTACTTTGCACTGGTATTACTATAAAATAGATTTCTTTTTTTGAATCGGTAATATTAAACGTGAAGTGCTTCCTAGTCAAGAATTATTGAACGGTAAAATGATCATACCCGTAGCGTGTATATAATGAAGGGACGGCGTAGATCACTATAACATGGCCCTTGTGTACCTGATAAAATACATTAGTTTTTTATTTTTTAAAATGGAGCAAAAATAATAGTATTATTACTAGCAAATGTGCGCTGTTTTTGTTGTTGGGTAAATTTGTGTAAATAAATATTAATGAAATCTTACTCTGGTTTAAATCGTTTCTTTTACCTCTTAATCTAATGACTACATATCAAAACTCTTATGGCGCCTTCTTTTACAAAACCGTATTCCCTACTGCTCGTATAGTTATTGTGCTGCTAACAGCAGTAGCCTTAATACTGGGAAGTTGGGCAGAGACATCCTCAACAGATAATTGTTCTCTCCACACAAACATGGCCTTTTTCGAGGTGGCTTTATCACGAAATATATCTTTACTTGATGCCACTCCAGACAAGATTAGTCTTGGCCTGTGGAGACAATGCCTTATTTACGCCCGCAACTGTACATGTACTCCTGTTCGACTGAACTATGAGCTTGGTAAATATCAATAGATATCAATTAATCATTATTATTTTTATAGACTTTGTTATATATTATTGAATGGTTCGCTAAATATCCTAACTTCACAGATGCTCTAAAGATGATTTCGCTGGCGAATCAAAATAATACCTATGCAGTCGATTTATTGGCTATCGACCGTCAAGATACCCACCCATCTACGTCCTATGTCCGGGTCGTTCCACTCATTATGGGAGCCATTATCATCATTGCCTCTTTCACTCTTGGAGTGTGGTCCTACCGACGTTCCACCAGTCGCCTAATTCCGTTTATTATTGCAGGTCTAGCCTTTGTGAGTGTAATTCTAGTGGCCATACCGTTTGGGACTACATACACTGGCTGGACCAAGAAGATCATCCAGGGCTGCACTATTCTCTATGAGTCAGAAGACACTGACCTTAGATGCAATAGTTATTCAATTAAATTTGAAGTTATTTTATTTGCTGTCGCAATCGCATTAGGGTTCCTATCTTCTTTATTCTGGGCTCTATCTGCAATTAGAGCCAATGCAAAGAAGGATCATATGGATTCTTTGTCCGAGAAATTAACACAAGATAATCCTGTGTATCACAAACCAACGGTACACAAGCGGGCAGCTGCTAATTCACCATCGACTAGTAAACCTCGCCAGACGGTGCACCGTCCAGATCATGACGTATTGGATGTGTGGAGAGATGTTACAAGACTAGAAAAATTAGAGTCGCCTAGACGTGATTATACAAGAGATGCCAGAGCATATTATGAGCATGACCAGCCAGAACTTCATTATGAATACCCAAATAACCCAACGTTACGGCCTCCGCCCCCAGTTGCCCAATACACGCCAAGCGGCGATCCCTCTTATAAACACCAAAGCGCCCGTTCAAACGAGTCTTTTCAACGCAACCAGTACGCAGCAGGTAGTTCCAGTGCAACTGCTAACCGGAGACCCACATCGGCAAACAAATACTCTCCCGATCTCGCACCAAAACAGCGGGCCCAGAACCTGTCATCGACACGTTACGATACATCCCACACACTCGAGGATGACGAAGACCTCGTCCCACCCGACCGTCCCTTTGCGCGTTCGCGGCAGACCCGGAAAGAACCAAGACCACCGAGTCGTGCGTCAAATAATACCTTTGGCGCTAATGATCCCTTGCGGACCTCACGTAATTCTTCATTTTTTACATCCGAAGATACCCTGCACCAAGCTCAACGTACCATCTCTGATTCATCGTTTATTACTTCGGGTCTAAAAAACAAATCTCGTCGACAAGACAGCAAGGACTCTTCTAATTCCTCAGCATACTATACACCAGGCCGGTCTGTCTACAGTTCTGGTCTTGCAGAATCGCCAGCAATAAGCAATAGTAGCGGCCTAATTAATTCAGGGATGATTTCTGGACATCAGAGAAGACGCAGTGATAGCTTAGAGCTGACAGCCCATGAGGAGGCTTCAGTAGAAAGCACATTTAATGGAAGCAAGACCAGTACAAATACAACCAGATCAACCAATGAGGATATCCATTCACCATCATCAGAACATCCTTACCTTCATCCCTTGAACAACAAGGTTATTGTAGACCAGAGAATTGGTGCTTACCTGAAGAATGGGTAGTTCTATGAATAGACTTTTCAAGATGTGTTTACTAGTGGCGATTATAATATTTAAGTAAATATATGGGGCAGGAAACACAAGAAAAAAATCTTTAAATATTGGAGGTCTATTGTTGTTTCAATTATATATATATATATATATATTCTAAAGATACTGTACTTCCACTATCAATTTACCATATGTTTGAAGATTCTTCCCACTTCTTTTGTATGATTTTGGATAGTTGTGTCAGGGTAAGTTTTCCAGAAAAAGGAGACTGACTTGGTCACATGTTTGAAGCTAATTAGCCCAGTTGCTTGGAAATAAATTATCCAGTAATTTGATCAGTTTCTTGTCAAAATGATTCTAGCTAAGTTAGATTCAATATGACTCTACATATAAAGCTTATATATGGACTTTATATTTATTTCAAGAAGACATTGGAGCGATGATAAGTCCATATTTAACTATTACTAATGATGAGGGAAAGGGCTTTGTAGATTATGATTTAATTTAAATTAAGGGCATGATTAATCAGGGCTTCCTTCCATGAAAGTATATTTGGTATTTCATTTATATAGGCGATTATTTTTCTCAGCTTAGTTGGGATTTCTACAACTACATCAACTGTCCTATACATTACACCATCATAATGAACAAGCTTCTCAAAGTAAAGGTTATGTCCTATTGTATTGTAAAAAAGGAGATTTAGTTTTAGGTATCATTAAATAAGAAATGTTCTTACCAAAACACCTAATACAAAACATTTTATCAGTTTTAATATCTTCCATAACTTTCACCATATTAGTGTACAACTTCTCGATATCTTTTGCGTTAATTTGAGAAGAGGTCTTATCATTAATGACTCCAGAGAATTCCACTAGTCCCGGAGCAATCGATTTGTCACCAACTTTGAAAATGATTCCGTCGAATTTGGTTCTGTCGGTAGAAAAAAATTCTCTCTCTAACCAGCCAAGTTCTATTACATCGTTGTCCGAGATGAACAACATGTTTACAATAAATATGATTAGGTAGGCTGCTGCTGCTCTCTCCAGCATAATTTTATTCAAAGGACTATTCGGTGAGTTCATAAAATCCAGGCTATAAATGTGTGGATTGGCAATATGTCAATATAAATAATAAGCCAATTAAAGGTTTCTTTTTGTGTTACTTACAAGTGTTTGACTGTAACTACTAAAAAAAACAAATATCATGTTTTGTGATTAAATCAAAGTTGTCATGAAATCTGTGATGATAAAGTGCTTTTCTTAATGCCTGTAAGAACAGAGGTGTATCATTGAGTTCTTTAATAAGAGTATTTGCTTGAATGGACATTGGATTTAGATCAATTTTTGTTGTTTTCATTATTGACTCAAATTGAACAGCAGAAGTCTCCGCTTTTAAAGTTTCCTAGCTATTTGTAATCATTAATTTTAGGGAGACGACATTTCTTGGTGGGGGGGGGGGACATTTTGATTCTACCGGACCACAAATCTTGACCTTTTTGCCAGCATGGAATAACTCTATCTGGTCCCTAAGGATCCATTCTTATTATAATAATTAACACCAGCCAGGGTATAAAATACTCATAAAGATTTTCTTTTGTGCTTTGCAAAAAAAAGTGGATGAGGATTACTTACCAGTCTGTACTGTCAGACTCTGGGAATATAATTTGGTGAAAGAGAAAAACATGATACGCGTAAGAAGGATAATAGATAGTAATATATCCAACAAAATTGCAGTACAAAGTGTATAATGACAACAACTCTTTATTATCTTCTGCATAACTGGCTATTGATATAGTGTAATTGGGACTAATTGTTATTTCTTTATTGTCAAGTCTAAATTTAGGACGCAAACTGCTATTAATTGAATATACAGGATTTGTTTTTCGTATGAGACAGTATTTTATAATTAAGTTGCCCAAACACAGACTGTGGATCTTAAAATAATGAGTGTTAGGTTCCTGGAGATATATATAAACACGAAGTAGTAAAGCCAATGCATACAATGAATATATTGTGGTTTTTCAGGACACACCATTTTGCCCTGAAGGATTAGAGAAAGACACCGGACCCCGGACATGTAGCCACGATTGATTAATTCGGTTATATATAAATGTCGTCCCCCCACCAGGAAACGTCGTTCTCGTAAGATTGTTACAAAGTCTGACCCACAACCCAAAAAAAATACGTGTAACCATAAAATACTAATAATGAGTGACGTTGCATACGTTCAGACTGTCCAGGCTGTCCATAAGGTTTCCCTATATTTAATATTCATGTACATACTATAGTTGATACAAAGCATAAGAGACCTACAGAATATGAAAAGAAGGAGACAAAAGAAGCAAAATCTTGATGCAAAACGAAAGGGTATCGAGGGTCGACAATCAGAGAGTAGAGTTGTATGCTCCAGTTGCTACCAGAATGGTTATAAAACCTCACGATCAAAAGAGTGTTTCAGTCATAACCCAAGAAAGCAGGAGAAAGTGCAAGCACTGCTGGGAAATCATACCACCATAACAAGAAAGATAAAGTTGGAAACAATCTTAAAGCCCCAATATCGAACGCTCATCAAAGAAAAGGTGCAACTGGTATCCGATCAAGTTCGAAAAGAAATTATACCAAAAGGACATATTCCAAGTTGCAAAACCTTGGGTCGCTTTTTTCAATATCCTGGGACTAATTTGTTGTCTAGATTTATAGCCTTCAGAGTTTTTTTTTTTAAAAAAAAATCTCTTATGTATTAAGCTGTTTAAGCAAATTTTTGAGCTAATAGGCTCTTTTTCAAAAATTAATGAACCCATACACAAGCATCTAATAAGTCTTATAGACTTTGTTTTCAAGAATAAGGATATTCCTAAATTCACCAAATAAAATATTGAAAACTGCCATTATTTCTACCTTACTTATAATAGAGAGCGGGTTTAGAAGATATGAAAATAAAAAGAAATGGTGAAATAGATGGTGAATTGTGAAAGGTTATGACTAGCAATATGAAAATAAGGATTGAAGGTATACTTCTTTTTCTGATGAAGTAAAGCGAACAGTCTGAAATGACGTCGCGGTTTTGGTTACGAGAATAATTTTTTGTTTGTATGGAGCTGTGACAGGCTCAGATTTATTAAAGTTCTCTGAATGAGTAGGGCAAAAGAGAAAATTACAACATTTGTTTTGAGGGGGTTACGAGAATAAAGACAAATCTCCGATAAGCTCTTTCTTTCGTTTTTAGTTGCGTTTTGACTGATACATTATAACGATGGCGGGCTTAAAAAGTAAGAATGATAGTGATGGACAGCAAGCATTGGAGAAAGACTGTATAATTATGAGAGGATGAGAGAAGAATGGAATTTTATTGTAAAAGTATACTTTATGAAGGCTGACGTTTGCTTTCATTTGTTCTCTAGCGTAAGTAGCGAATAAAACACATCATTAAATGCATTTGTTAAGAGCATTAAACTGATTGAGTAAACACATGAATACTATTTTTTTTTCTCCTTCAGCATTATCGGTCTTGCTTTTGTTCTTGCTATAGGATTCCTTTTTGTTATTCTGTCATGTGCACTTTATAAGTAAGCTTCTCGATAAACTGGTTAAAATGTTAGTAAAATTACTGAAATTTAACTTTTTTTTTTAGTAATTGGTGGCCTTTGCTTGTTGGTAAGTCTTAATTTATAGTGTTATGTGTATTGCTTTGTACTGACCATCATGAATAGTGGCTACTTATGTACTTGCACCACTTCCCAACGAGATATTTGGAAGGTGCTCAGAAGAGCATGGTTCAGAACTGTGGAATGACGAGTATGCTATATATATATCCTTGGAGTATCTACTTCAGTTATTAATTAACTTTGATAATAGTGATAACAGCTCTAGCTTTACAGACGCTGGCCGCTTCATTACCGGAATACTGATTGTTACTGGATTTTGTAAATATTAGAAAGCTCATATTCTTAAAGCATTGACCATGTCAAATTTCTAATTTTGTTTTTTCTTTCTTTTTAGGTCTTCCGTTCGTTCTGGCTCACGCCGAAGTGGTAAGGCTTATTGTACTTTAATTTGTATAGAAGAAATTATACTCATCAATAAGCCACATATGTGTAGATTACTGTACCTGCTATGATTATGAGTATTATTGGAGGCGTGCTGGTATATGGCACAAGTAAGTGATCAGCAATTGTCATATCAAATGTGATACTCATAATAGTCATTTTTTTTAGTTATTGCATACACACATTTTTTTAGTAGGGAGCAGGATATTTCCGTTTAATGAAGCTGCATTTATTACTGGCGATTGTATAGCAAGACTATCTTGATTTTTGGATAGGGCGATTCTTTATCTTTTTAACGTCAATACTAAGATGTACCTTATGTTTCTGTTTTTAGTTTTCTTTAAACGCATAAATAAATACATAAACATATATATATATAATATAGTTTAAGAATGTTGTGAGTTTTGCTTTCTTTTTTCATATCGATTGATATAGCAGTAACAACTTTTATCTTCTAATATATATATATATTAACAAAAATTGGCATTTATAAAAGACTCTAATTTATTGGAACAATATACTTATTGTTAGATATAAGTTATTATTAGAGTATTTTGAAATTGTACTTCTTTTTGTTTGTTAATATTACTCTACTGGTTGTTTCAAACTGAAAAAAAAACAAAGGTTTAATTAAATAATGTGCAAAATAAAGTAGTGTAATATAATGTCAAATAATAAAATAAAATAAAATAAAATTAATTTCAAGTGATGGGAAGAAAAAGGGTATGGTTTTACATTTAGCTTTTTTCTTCAACTATAACCACTTTTTCTTTTGCCGGGACAACATTGATACCAAAGTACCGCTGTAGTTTCATGATATTCCAGTAATACTGCCAGCCAATGGAGATCAACGTAAACACGATGATAAAGGATAACATAACATATAGAGGAACCTTCATGATATAGGCATTGTTGTGGTGGGAATTTCCGTCGAATATGAGCAGCCAGGAGTTGACAAATCCAGTGTGTATAAAGAGGTCGAGACCAAGCATTAAAAGGTAACCACCTATAAACGCTGTACAGAAAATGATGGTGTAACTCTCTATCATGAATACCAGAATAGCCATGACCACACCAAGGCCAACAATAAAGCAAATGCGTGCTACTTCCTATATAGCATAAAATTGGAGTATTAGGAATAATAGTAGAAAATTTTCAGTGAGTATAAAAATTACTTACAATTTGAATAACGAGAGATGATTTCCAGCTAAGGATGAATACTGCAAGGAAATACCCTCCAAGCCCTATCGACAAGAAAATATGGCATTAGGCTGTGTATATAAAAGGCGTTTATGACTTACCACCGACAAAGTAGATTGCTATTGGGTAGACAAAGATAAACAGAATAGCACCAACGATACCAAGGCCTACTGGGACACAGACGTATACAATTTCGTTATGCGTATAGCCAAAAGGAGGCTCATTATTAACCAGGCCGATCCAAGTCATGGCGGCTATGTATTATATATATAGAAAAGTTATTATTATGTGTTTAACTTATAATATTCTATGTATCTTACTTACCAAAGAAAACAAAGCCAACTAATCCTAGTGTGGAGCGGAAGAAGCGATAGCCAAAAAGTAAGAAATATATACCAAGCAACATCAATACAGTTCCAGTAAAGCCTTGGGCAGCGCTGACACCATATCCATAGGTATCTAAAAACGTTTACATAGTTAGCATAATATAATAATATACTTAAAAAAATACGTACGCCATAAATAATCACTCCAGCATGTATCGTCACAAGTAAAGGATCCATTTCCGCTTGGTACAGCGGTGGCCGAAGGTTTTGCTGAGGTTGTGATCGTTGTAGTAACTGTCTTTACATGTCCATTACCGCAGTATACTGTAGATGTTACGGTTTGCCAAAGTTTGCGGACCTCGGGATCATCAACACCTCGCATACGTATATCCTGAAGCTTATCATTGATTTCCTTATCGTTATTGGAATTACACACTTTGGCCCAATTTTGATAGAGGCTCAAAGTATCGTCAAGATCACGTTTTGAACCTGCTCGATGCCCTAATTGTGGTGGATCTGTGGGTTTTGCCAATGCAGTGCCATGTTTCAATATATAGCCATCCGTGCTTGGGGTTGGAGTTGGTCTAATAGCATATGCTTTGATCTGAATAATTAGACAGGCGAAAAGCAAGACAGTCGCTTGGAGTGTCTTGTACGAGCGCATGGCTATGTATTTATTATAAATATTGGTTTGAATAAAGAAAGGGAGAGAAGTTCGAGTAATTTATGGAAGAAGTTAAAGATATAAGCTTTCAAGATATATAAACTAGCTAATGTATAACATTGTTTTCAACTTTCCATTATTACACATCTGAGAGCCTTTTCAGTGCTAATCAACAGCTTGAAAAGTTATTTATGGGTAGAATATAATATACTAGTTAGATATCTTTAGGCATTTCCATTTATAGACGTTGTTTTTGCCTTTTGTTGGGTGCATAGTCAGATCAAGCTGAACAAATTACAAAGTGTTGGACACAAGATCGCCACTAGATATAAAAATAGGCAATTAACTGTATGGAAAACATTGATCCAGCACTATTCTGAAATGATCAGTTTAACAGGTCTTTTTTAACAGTTCCGCAACACTGAATTAGGAGAGATATTTATATCACCCACTATAAAGGGCTTGTGGTGTCCATGTTAACACTTATGAAATGATAATCTGTTGTTATTGTGGCACATGCTGAATTTGTACATTTTCTTAAAAGCAGCTAAAAAAATGGCTCTCTTGTGTAGCCTTACTTGCCTCGATCACTCTTAAACACGCATTGGCTAATAAACAACAATTGTTAATGGACAAAAGTATGATATATAATATAGAAAATGGAGATTGGGCTATGCAGATCATTATTTATCTTTTTCGTCTATCCTCATCATCACTACCGTCATCTTCTCGTGCTCTCTTTCCCTTCTTGGCCTTGTTCAAGAAAGTATCCAAACCAAACACATCCTTGTCTGCATCCTTGGCCTTTTGTCGTCCTCCAATTGTCTCCTTTTCAAATTCGACCGGGCCACTAGAGCCTTCACCGCCTTCAGCTCCTTGGAATCCCTTTCTACCAATTCCAAACTTGTCTTGTTTGATAGATTGCTCAATGTCGTCTGCATCTGTGCTTCCTAGTACATCAGAGTTGCCCTTTCCCTTGAACTTATAAATCGAAGAAGCTTGTTGAGCAAAGAGAGGCTTGTCGTACAAGCTATAGGCTACAAGAAGGAAGGAAGGAAAAAACAAAATGACAAACATTTTATACGTCAATCGTAATTCTTTTTATATATTTAAAGTATAATATTAATTGCTTACATTCATCGTCTTTAAATCCTGAATTGATACCCTCAGATTGGTTGAATAAACGTGCATCATACATGCTCTCTTTACTAAGAGTAGGCTTAGCCAAACCGAGTGCAATCTTTTCGGATATATCACGGCCTTGCTCACTATAATTTAATATAAGTACTTGTTCATCGTCGCATTCAGATAACACGATCACTTACCGTGCGATATGTTTTGCCTTTGCTTCTGTGCCCATCTTGTTCATACGTAATTCACGCTCTCTTTGCTTCTGTCTTTCACGTCTCAGTTGATCACGCTCTCTAGCCTTTGCCTCGTCCGAGTCGCGACGACCACGAGCACGTCTGTTTGAATCGCTATCATGACTGCTCTCATCATCCGATCTGTCAGATCCAGACTCATCAGAAGAGTCATAATCTGGCATCAGTGAAGCTGCTGTAGGACGGTTGGATGGCACAGGTAAATCAGCCGAAGCACCTGCCGATGATGCTGGCTTCAATCCAGATCTATATAGATTTTAGATTATTATTATATTGTTCTCCGTATACGCACATACACATATAGATATATACAACAAACTCACTATTACCTTTCTTCGCGTGCTTTTTGAGCCAAGTTTCGTAATTTCTCTTCTTCGGTTTCCTTTTGTTTCTGTGCAAGTTTTTGTTGCATCAAGTTTCTCTGTCTAACTTCCTCTCTTGCATGACGATCGGCGGCATACAAAGCTTCCGAGAATTTAGCAAAGTTATCATTGATTGTCAATTCTTGTAAACCACGACCATCTGCTGCTAATCGTTTATCTAATGGGATTGTATAACCCTTTGTATTTTTCCAATTTGAGATACAGGGTGGAATGACCCATTCAGCCTGTTCTTTAGCTGTCAATTTCTTAGGAGGTGAGTGCATTACAGGTGCGGGCGGTGAAGGAGGACCGCGAGGTACTTTCTTGTGTAAGAAGCTAGGAGGTGCCATAGGATCTGTAGGTGCATCTACCATACGAATAATTCGCTGTTTAGCACCCGAATTGAATGTATCGCTACTTTGACTTTGTGCTGGTGTGTATCGAATATAGGTTGGGTCTTTGTTGGTTCCACCAGATGTTTTTACGACGTTTTTTGGTTGGGCAGCAGCAATCTTTCCGTTTACAATCTTTTCAAGCGCTGCTCGGGTTTTTTCAGCTACACTTTGTACTTCTTCTTCGCTGGGTCGATCCATTGTCAGCTTTTCAACATCAACATCTTTGCGCTCGATTATTGGGACAACATCTTTAAGTGAGGTGTGAACGATACGATTGTCATTGTGGCCTTGACGTGCAATTGCATCGTATTTGACATTTCCATCAGCATCTACCTGCAGTGTCAATGCACCACCGCTTGTCTCAGTTGCTCTACCGCCTTTGTTGCGACCCATATCAAGTGGGTACTGAGCAATGTGAATTTCGGGAAATGCACCGCCATTTCCATAATCTTCAGGGTAGCGTGGACGGAATGATTTACGTTGACCGTAGGGTGGGATCCGATTGGCGTTGCGTGTGGAGACAAGTTGATTGATCTGCTTCTCGTAATTTGGTGTTGTCTCGGTTGTTGATTCAACCGGTTGACGAGGTTTGGGCAAAATACTAAAAGATGGGTAAGATTAACCCTAGATCCATGGTTTAATTTTCTCTACCTTGAAAGAGTTGCCATGGCCGTTCAATGATTTGCTGTCTTTGGATGAACAGAGAGATTATTAAAGTGGTCCACACCACATACAGCAACTTTATTAATGACGTAGACTATAATTGTCATGTGTACCGGACTGCTAACACTGTAGAAAATTACTGTTTTCGTACCCCGTAAAATTCAATTTTGTTTCATTTTGGTCACATTAGGGGGTTTCAAATCTTGATCTTGAAGAATTTAACGTTCATGTATTTCCTCTTTCGGAGAAAAGTACATCCCAAAGATTACTTCTGAATTTTGAAGTCTTGAAGCTTTTCAGCTTAGATATTTTTTCCAGACATAATTATCTTTTTAGATTTACAGTGTCCGAAAGAAACGTTTCGCACCTTTAAACTTCCGCTATGAATGATAAAGAAGGTATCACAACTTCAAATTCATTTCTAAAAATGCGCAATGCTTATTGTAATATAATGCTTGGAAGAATAAAGGTTCAAGCCACATATATTAATAATGTAAAGACATAAGATACAGCTTTAAGAGCGAATTTGTCTAAATTTCTTTCTCTTAAGTAAGGCTAACCGATTTGGCATATTCAAGCAGCATTTTCTACAAGTATCAACTGATATTTCTTTCCATTCTTCCAATAGAGCTGCCTTCAACTCATTCATAGACTTTGGTCTGGGGCGGATTTCTCTAATTTTGCTATCAAAAATTCTCCAGATATTCTCGACGGGGATAAGGTCAGGGCTGCTGGGTGGCTATTGCGAAACATCAAAACCTTGTTCTTTCTTGAACCTTCCTGCAACTCTTGATGTATGGGCCCTGGTATTATATTTCTGGAACGTTTAGCCACCGCTGCTAGCTGCAGAAAGAGTATGCAAAAACGAAAGGAAATGGTCTCGAAGAACTTCTACATATCTTGGACCATCCATGTTTTCATCTACGAAAACAAGTGGACTAAGTCCTCCTGACCAGATACACCCCCAGACCATAACCGATCCACCGTTTCATTGCACATTAGGGACAAAATGATCCATGTTTAACCTCTCACCAGTTTTGCGCCAGAGCTTGCTATTTGTATTCTTCTTGTAAAGCACGAATGACGACTTATCACTCCAATAACAGTTTTCTACTATTTATCCTAGTTTTTCACGGTTTTGTACCAAGCACGCCGTTTGGTGATATGTGCCTTGGTAACCAAAAAATGTAACCACGGGGTAATAAAAGTCCATGCTATGTAAAGTTTTGTGCATAGTAGATTTGCTGACATTCTTTTTCATGCCGACATCGGCTTCATCAACAATGACATCCAAAGTTTGCCACTTGTCTTTGTTGGGGTTCAAAGCTATATGTCTTTTATTTCTGGATGTGAGAACCTGTGGCTGTTTAAAAATTGTTGTTATCAATAGTTTTTCTTTTACTTTTTATATATCTCTTAGAAAAATATCTAATTTGTGATTCTGATACATTCAGTTTGTCAGAAATTCTGGGAGCCTTATTTCCATCAAGTTCAAGACCAAGGATTTTTACCTTTTATCTCATCTAAAAGCACATTGTAAAGACCACGTAAGCTATTGTTTTGTACGTTTTGAATTATTGTAGAGTTGTGAATTGGTTCTTTAAGGTGAAATATATAAAATATAGGTATTAAAGAAAAGGCATAAATAGCATGAAAGGGTGCGAAACATTTCTTCTAAAGTCTGTAAATTCGTACTCTTGCATTTTGGAGTCTTCAATCATGAAGCATTATTATTGATTATTGAAAGGTTTTGAAAGGTGTTTACTTTTTGATTGAGTACCCATTTTAATATTATTATTTTTATGTAATTTCATAAAACCAGAGTAAGATTTTAACTTGCTACAAGATTTTCTGATTGTATTTATGATACTTTAGATTCTAGTTTAACACATACATTGGTTAAGAATATTTTGTGGGCAAAATATTTGAAAAAGGGTTTGGATGATTATAAAATTTCTCTAAAAGCAATCTATGATTCCACGTTTGATTCATAAGAATATCTTTGACATGTGCATCACATTTATTCATTCATCAATACTCGGTAAAGAGGACTCTAGTAATGTCTGTCTTAAAAATATCGTTAAATATTGCTATCTACAAACACACCTTTATTTCTAGACTTGTTTTTCTTTTATTTCGATAACAGTATATCAATTCCCGCGCTTCTTCTTGTTGTTCTCTAAAATGAATTTATTAATACACACGGTTCAAGGAAGTTAAAATGCTCAATGACCTACTTTCGCTAGTTTCTTCATTATCCTGCCCGCCCTTTCGCTTATTACGAGCACCCTTCTTGTTTCCTGCATCCTTGGATGGAGGGTGGCAGACATCACAGTACCATTCACCTTCAGGAATTTCGTCGAGAGGAGGTACAGCACAGTAAGTATGTACAGATGCATCACACTTGTCGCACAGTAAGAGTTTCTCTTCGTTGTCCTGTTTGTGACAATGCATACAATTCTCGTCAACCTAGAAAGATGGCAATAAAGAAAGGTGGCAATAAAGAAAGGTGTTTAATAATTATATTTTGTATATGTATGTGCGTGTGTTTTACCTCTGGACCTGCTGGCCATTTAGGAAGCTCAGGTACAATTTTGTCATCTGGCTTCACAAGGAAAAGGGTGTGGCCTACACCAGCAGATACACTAAAGAAATAGATTTTAGACTTTGTTAACTATTATTTGTTTTTACATACCTAATTGTCTCAACGCCCTCTAAAGGCTCGACTTTCTGAGGCTTTGTAGAGGATAGTGGTCCTCCATCCTCACCGAAACCTAATTCAGCATTCTGGACTTGACCCCATGCAATGGTTGTTTTTTCTTTTCTTGCAACTGCAAACAAACTCTGGTTTCCTGCTGAAATATCATGAATATCCCATCCGTTGAGGTCATGCAAGTATCGAGGATGCTGTATAGATAGATGTATTAGAAGGAAGTTTAATTTTTTGGTTAATAAGTACAACATACCATCCATGGCTGTCCTGAGCTACCGTCACCAGTATTTTTCCACTTTCCCCAAAGCAAGAGCTGCTTTACGCCGTCTACTGCCATGGAGCATGTTGCACCGCAAGTAATGGCGGTTGCTCTGGTTGTTCTCACGTGGCCTGCAAAGGCAGAAATCGCAGTAGGGACATAGAGATCCTTTTGTTCACTATGACCCAAGCGACCATAGCCACCAAAACCCCAAGAATAAACAAATCCTTCGTCGTCCAATGCCAAACTATGGTTTGTACCCGATGCAATTGATACAACTTTGATTTTTTTGATGTGCTGAATTGGAGCTACATAATATCTCATTTAATACAATACAATATAATATAATATACAATATACAATATATAGATAATGTGTGTGTATATTAATAACAGTTGCTTACATGGATATGGCTGGGGTTGAGACATAAGTCTACCTGCAGACTTGAGATACTCTCCTGTCACACCGTTTCCAAGCTAAAATAAAATTACCCGGTATTTTTTTTATGATTAATAACTTTTGTACTTGATTCTTATACCAATGTTGGTCCTTGTAACATTCTTTGTCTTTCTTCCTCACCTGTCCATATTCTTGAGAGCCGAACGAGTATACAAGGCCACTCTCTGTTGATTTACACACCATTAGATATACGGACTCGTTTTTAACACTACTACCATTTGTTTATCTAATGACATACCAGTGAGTAACAAGGTAAACTCTGCGCCACAAGCGGCCTGAATAACTTTTTCTTTTCCCAGTCCAGGGACCTTTAAGAAATTCGTGTAGTTCTTAAACTCTGGAACACCAAGCTGGCCACACTTATTGTCTCCGGCGGCATAGACATTGCCGGATTCTTGTACACAGATACAATTTTTTTGGGTAAGTATACTTTCTCTCTTTCTTCTTCTATTCTTTCTTTCTTTTCTTCTTTTGAATATGTATATATTGTTCTTGTCTTACCTGCCACTAGCATAGTGTGATTTCTACCAACAGCTGCAGTGATAAACTTTTCGTCACCAAATAGATTTTCATTATTTTTGTTGGTTCTAACATTGATTGGGTAGTCCTGAGCTAAAATATCTCCCAAGCCTAATTGTCCTTTTTCGTTTCTTCCAAACACCCATGTCTCTCCATCTTGACTGATTATAACTGAATGGCATGCATTTGGGCCTGTGATTGCTTGAGTTACTCTAGTAATCATCAGCTATATATAAGCATCTCAATCGTACTAGTTGACTATGTAGGTATTGTACTTTATATCAATAAGTTCACGAACAAGGTTAGGTCCGAGCAATTTAGGACTAGGAAACACGCACACGCAAAAAAAAGATTGTTTAGTTTATTTGGTCATCCTTAATCAGTATATATATATATATATATATATAAGACGATCTTACATTTCTTCACCAGAATCGGTCTTTGTCTTTCGTTTGATGTTGTCCCAGGAAGTGTTTCCGCAAATAAGAACCTTTCCTAGAAACAAAAAAAAAGACGAACAAAAAAATAAGATAAAAAATGAAACAATTAATTAAAAGTACATTAGAATACACCCTTGTATTAGATCATAGATCCACAGGTTTGTAAAATAAGATCTACAAGTAATCTAGATTGATGGTAGGGATTGCTTCTCCTTCTCCTCGTCATCCTCCCCCTGTACGCAAACTTTGGAAGAATGGAATATAGTTTGTGGAGATAAAGATAACATTATCTCACCCCATTGAATATCTTCGTTAACTGATGTCATGATGAGACGCGTGCTGATGAGCTTAATTAGCAGGAATTCACAAGTTTGTGTATGCGTGTATGTGTGTATATATTATTTTTTTCCGGTTGGACAAGATACCCCTTTCAATTTTATTTTCTTTCTTTCAACTATGAAAATTTGGCGACGTCAATCTTTCTACAGTTATTTTGAGCAATTGATTTTCAGGCTTGTTGATTTCCCCCCTTCTTTTTTTTGTTTTTTTTTTAAATAAAAAAGGCAATATCTTTTTAGGAGTACCATTACTCTTGTTTGGCTACGTAAGGAGGAATAAAGTCAAAGGCTTTATCTATTTTATTTATTTTACATATACTATACCACGATGATATGCACAAGTATATATGTGAGTGTATGGCTATAGTCTGATAGACAATTAATTACTAGCGTTATCCAGCATATTCACTGGATCATGTCATAAAAAAATTGTAGAGTTTTATATTTTTATTATTAGTATTAGTATTGAGTTGAATTGAATCAATTCCTTGACAATTAGTGTCAAAGAGTACCTGGAATATAATGAATTACTTTTCAATATGATTTTGAGTGCTTTTTGACTGTTTCCATTCAATTCGGACAGTATTGTGTACATAATTTATCGGTAAAAATTGATCACAAAATCTTAATAAAATCTTATTAATATTTATTTAAAGGCACTGCTCCTTGGTTCCACGACCAATGCACCTTTAGTAAAACAAACTCAATTTAACGTATCTTTCGTTTTACTACTATGTTTCTCTTTCTCACTCGTTCGTATTAAAACATTCGATCCTGGTAATCAACACTACTGGTGTATCTTTCAATTTCTGCTGTATGCACATACATAGATACACGATCTCTCTTTTTCGTCTCTGTATATAGTCAATATAGTCATTATATACATATATACATATATCAAATATTGTATTATATTATCATTAATACTATTAGTATTACATGTGTCTATTTATTTGTTTGATGAGTTCAGAAATACACCGGCGATAATAGTTGTGTCAGTGGCTTCGTCAGACACAAACCGATCCAATAAGAGGAATATATGACAACCTCTTCCGACAGATTCATTATTTCCTTTATTTCCAATTAAATAATAATAAAAATAATAATTGACTTTGCGACTTTAATAAAGCCTTTTTGTTATAATATCATCACAAAGGTTTTCCTTGAGAATCACAGAGGTTAGTTTCAACATTTTACTACAGCAACAGTCAAAAAATGAAATATGTTGGTTATCTTCTTGTCTCGAAAAGCATTAAGGAACTTTCTCTTTTCTGGCCTACATCAAATTAAAATTAAATATAAAACCAAAAAAAAAACTAAAACTAAAACTAAAACACAATGATTCCATTACAAGTAGAAAAATAAGAAAAGTATAATGTCAAACAATGACCAGCAAAATCGAGTGCGTGGGCCTACTTCAGCTCTAAGTAGTTTTTTAAGAGTAAGTTTAATGGATATATGTGTGTGTGTTTGCCCATTGATCATCTTTCGACGATTAACATTGGGATCTTCTCTTAGGAGCACGGCATTCGAGTAGAGAATCGTAGTAGAAGAGAAAGAAGAGAAGATCTAGCAAGACAACAAGCTGAGGAAGCGTCTAATGAAGAGACACCAGACACTGTACAAGATACAGTCACGACTACTGTAGACACACCTTCGACTACTGTGGAGGCACCCCACCAGGAAGAAGAGACTACCGCAGTACTCTATGCACCCAGAACACGTCGGACACTAGCTGCGGCCAATAGAGCATTGGTTGAAGCGGCAAATGAAAAAGCGAATAATGGGAAGAAGAAGCCGGAGGATGATAAACCGGATCCTGGGATTGGGTCGTCCTTTAGAGCACCCAAAGGTCGAACTCGAATTTTCTTTTGTTCAAAATGCAACAAGAGATTTGCTCGTATCGCCAGCCTTGTTGATGTCGGAGACGAAAACATATGTCCCTCGTGTCTAGATAACAATGGACCAAAGGAGCCTCCGAAACCCAAGAAACGAAAAATAGGATCCAAACGTCAATCTCAAAATAAAGCGGGCTTTAATGATGTACCCAGTCTACAAGACATTTGTACCGATGTGAGTAATAATAGCATTATTACTATTGGATCCCAAAACATGTACTGACTATTTGCATTATATGTTTGTGTATGCGTATCCTTATTGCTTTTACTACTACCGCTATATGTATATAAAAGACTATTGCAGAACACATAGACTGTGTAGAAGCTTTGGGTGATATCAGTACGATCAATATGGACAAAATTGCTACAATTATTTCCCGTAATCGAAAGATGGACACCCGCACGGCGCAACTCTTTATGAATCCGCTCCGCCGCGAATTGACTCTGACAGACTGTACAGGTAAGAGTTCATGATAGCACTCTCTAAGATGAAATGGTACTAAAAAAATATTCCAAACACACACACATATATATATACATAAAGCCATCGACAAGAATGGATTGATTAATATTGCACAGTTCTGTCCTCACTTGGAGAAACTGACTTTGACTTACTGTGGCAGAATGACGGATGAGGTCATTAATGCTTATGCAACACGCTTGAAAAATCTCAAATCTATCGAACTTTCTGGCCCGTATTTGGTCACTGATAAAGGCTGGGAATCCTTTTTCGGTGCCATTGGTTCTCAATTGAATACGTTTGCCATTCGACACTCCATGCGATTCACCCAGGCATCAATGAAAGCTCTTGTTGGGGCAGCGAAGAACCTCAAACACCTTCGCCTTTCCCGTCTCTCTCGTCTTGATGACGATGGAGTCGAATTAATATGCCGCCTAAAACCTCTTGAGACATTAGAAATATCTTGGCCTGGATGTAAAATATCGTCGTCTATCTTGGCCAAAATCTTGGAACATCACACCACCTTGAAGGAACTGTGTCTGGACGGATGTACCAGTGTAGATGACACAGTTGTAGAGGCGATTCAGCTTTACTGCCCTCACCTCGAAAAGCTTTCTTTGTCAGAGTGCAACGAGATAACTTCAGAGGCTATTCAAACACTGTTTGAGGAGTGGAAGACACCGTACCCAGGAAGAGGACTGACTTATCTAAACATCTCTCGGTGTTTGTCTACCCAAGACGAAGCTCTTATTGCGATCATAAACCACTCGAAAAACACTCTTAAACACCTCAATATCCACAGCCTGGATGATCTGACTCCACTTGTGCTGGAGCGCCTAGGCGTGTGTAAAGAACTCACGACACTTGATTGTGGGTTTGTGCGGTCTATGGATGATTGTGTAATGGGTTGCCTAGCAATTGAATGCCCAAAGCTGAAAGATATTGAAGTCTGGGGATGCCATCAGATAACAAGTACAATGTCTTGATTTCCTTATATATATATATCGAAGCTTCACGATGAATAAATTCTTTATTCAAGACAGCATGCGCAGACATACATATATATATGTATATATATTCTTTGTCTTATTTTTCACGAATACATTTTAGCTTGTTTCATTTAAAGATAATAAATCACCTGAGAATATCTTTACAACATATGTATGTATGTATGTATGTATGTATATTGGATTACAACCATTCTGACCTTTGTTCTGATAAAAATGGAGTGATAATATTATGTAAATAAGTACAAAAGTGTGTCCACTACAAAACATCACTAGAATACGCGTTTTATTTGAATGATTCACAGCGGGTTTAAAGGTGTGGAGGGGAAGGTTTTTTTGTTATTGTTGTCGTTATTGTTATTGTTGTTGTTGTTGTTCATAAATGAATTACGCGTGAATGAGTTTCTCGGTATGTTTGGTGTTTTTATTTTCTGTGAGTGTATTGGTGAGTGTATTGGTGAGTGTTGGTGGATGGGTGGATGTGTAAGTTTATTTTTTCTTCTTCCAAGAAAAAAATGCTAGATGAGGTAGTAACACTTGATCCAATCGCGTGCGAATATGCTGGCTTTCATCAGTCGTTTCGAAGACCACTTTCTAAAGAGACCTTCGTATTTTGAATTATGAGAAAGGAAGTCGAGCATCAACTCGACTGTTGGCTTAATTTCAGGAACTTGGTAGCCAGCCAACCGTGACATTTCTGGCGTCTAATAATGTATGCATTATTGTACGTGTGGGTATATGTGTTGGTGTGCGTGTACGTATACGTGTAGATGTGGATGTGGATGTGGATGTGGATTTGGACGTACACGTATGTATATATTTTTAATGCATGAGTCACACTATACTGATACAAATTGGCCTAGTATATAGAGAGCATAAACTTACCCAAATGCCTTTAGAAAGCATCTTTTGTGATAGCCAAAGCGCGGCTGCGGCAATCAAAGATGGCTTTGTGTTGAGGAATCGGTGGTCTACGCATGTAATCTCCATAAAATATTTTGCCAACATGCGAGTATGAACATCATAGCTGTCACCCATAGAGGTACGGCGCATAAAACTAAGGGGGTTAGAATAACAGAGTTTGAAATCAAGGACCTGTAGAATGAATCTCTCGGCTTTCAAAAGATCTTCTACTTGGATAGATTGATCTGTCATGAAGAGAAAGTCTTCCATCACTGGGGCAGTAACTTCTTCGAACTTTGTTGCGATGTAGAGTGAAGTTATTCCGACCAGTTGCAGTTTACTCAACACTACAGCACGTCTAGAGAGAAATCGATCGATTAAATTGACTGTAAGGAAGAGGGTCTCTGGAAGGAGTTCGAATAGGTGATGTATCTCGACTACCCAGTCAATAAGTACACCTCGCATACGCCAGGTAACTTCGTGTTGTTGAGAGCTAACATATGTCGGATCTGCCATTGTATCTACCTTTTTTAGAGAATGAATACATACATACATATACATACATATACACCCACACCAATATCCATGTCCATACCTACACATACACATATACCCACACATACACTCACTCACTCACTCGTATATATATATATATATGTATGTATAAAAGAAAATAAAGAAAAAGGAAAGCGACTATTAACAATCACAAATCTCACCTCGCTTTCCCGAAGAATCTTAAAGATATCCTCTGCATATTCGGCTACAAGCATCGGATCATTCCAGTTCTCGTCTTTTAATGTTTGGGATGATTGGAGTGCAGCCTGTTTAGCACGCGTTTCCTGCAACCTGTCATATTCTTCTGCCTCTTTAAGGGTTTCTGCTTCGATTTCTAATCCTTTTGTCGTATTTGCGTTAGAAAATATATCTGAACGAGAACCAGTTGAATCTTCTGTGGGGATGTGTCTCAGTCTTTTCTGTGGGTCTCTGGCATGTGGTTCAGCGATACGCTTTTCTGATTTCTTAAAGACGATGTCCTTTAGGTGTTCTGGCACAATAATTGGAAGAATTGGAACTGGCTCGATTTCTGGATTATCTTTTTGTTTATATCGTTCAGCATTATCATCAAAGAAATCTTGCATCTCTTGATTTATTGGATTTTCATTATCTATATGGGTTTTGGGTTGTTGTGTGTCGTTTGTAACAGATGGTTCTTTTTTTCGCTCGTTAGTCTGTTTTGTTTCTTCTTCGCCTTCCTCGTCTTCTTCTTCTTCTTTTGCGTCATGTTCTACTGCTACTTTTACTGTTGATTCTGATGTTTGTTTTGTTGGTTGTGATGATATTATGGTTTGTTGTGATTTAGTTTGTGTTCGTTCTGTCGTAGGTTTCTGATTGAGGTCTGTGAATGCTCCTTTGGCCTTCCCTTTTCCCACAGGCTTTCCCACACCCTAAGTAATATACCAATGTTAGAATATCATTAATATTTGTTGTGGTTGTTGTTGTTATTTGTACAATACAAGGAAGGACGAGAAGACAGCAAACGCACCTTGTTAGGTTTGACATTGCTTTTATCAAAAAGTGCACTGCGTTGGTTAAGATTGGCGGTTAATCCCATCGGTTTTGTTAATCTTTCGGTGTTGGCATGTTTTGGAAGATTGCCGGCCACGCCGGCCAAAGCGTTCTCATTCGTTTCAGTGCCACTCGCAGCCGATCTTCTTGAATTCAACTTTATAAGAAGGGTGCGATGGTGAGTCAGAGAGCGAGAATGAATAGGTTTCAACTAAGCTTTCAGTTTGTTTTTTTATAAACATACACATGCACAAGTATATTGGTGTGTATGTGAATGTTCATTAACAATAATATACAAAGAAAAAGAAGAAGAAAAAGATATACACTTATACACTTATACACTTTTACATATTACATTTACACTTAGATATGTGTATATGTATGTATATGTATGTATGTATGTGTGTATATGTATATATATATATATGTATGTATGTATATAGATATATATATAGACAGATATATATAATCCGTTTATATTACATTTTTATATATATATATATATATATATATCTTTTTTTCTCTCTCTGTTATTATTATTATTTTCGTCAACGCGCTGACAATAGAAATCATAAAATTCTACCATGGCGCGTTTACTATGGTCAGCTTAATGACATGGCAACAAACTTACACGCTGAGCCTCGCCGTACATCCTGGGCAGCAAGTAAGTGGAAGAAACGTAGGACAAAGGCTATCGCTTTAGGGAGCTTGCAAATTTGTATTTATACCAAGTTCCAGATAAGCCGCGACAGCCCACGTCATGAGATTATTTTTTTATAAAAAAAAAAAAAAAAGAAAAAGAAAAAGAATAGAATAGAAAAATAATAATAATAATAATAATAATAATAATGTAAAGATAGAAAATAATAATATACGCTCTTTTCATAAACAAATTCTCTTGTAGTTTATCATCAACAACAACAACAACAATATCAACAACATCATCATCAACATAGACAGTCTTTTGTGTTTATATATATGTTTTATCTTTATTACATTGACATTCCAATCGTACTTGTTTTTCTTCTTCTTTAGTAAACATGACAATAATTGAACGAATTCATGTTGTTTGTTTGTTGGTTGGTTAATTTTTTGGTTGTTTGGTTAACAGGTACCCAGGACAGATCATTGCAGATAATTTTTCTTGATGTTGACGATGCGATTAGTCTTTGTTGATCATCTACATGAATACTGGTTCGATTTGGGCGATCTTTCGATATATCAAAGCCGATGACCTTGATTATTAGTAGTGAGCATAGATCGTCCTTTCCTTTTCTCTAATCGTTCCTCGTACTTGATCGCATTTCGAGATGATTTTATTAAACCTTCACTGCACTTTTTACACCATCGTTACCAGCTTACCAGAACTAACTATATTATCTCAATTGATGTATGAATGTATATATAAGTGATCTCGTCTTTCTTAATATATATTAATTTTGGTAACAGTATAAAAAAGTGAAACGTCTTCTATATATACATATTGTTTTAGGCTGAGGTGACTAAGAGATATCAAAAACAATCAATATAAAATTAAACGCAGATATATATGTATCTCTCTCTGTGTGTGTATAGTGGGTTGAGGTAAAATGGATAAGGATTTTAAGGTGAGGCTCATTGTGTATATTGTTAATTATTTTCGAATAAGTTCCATTTGCTTTAAATCAAAGTATAAAGTATAACAAACACAAAAGATCTATTGTAGAGTGCACGGACACATCATCTTTATTTATTTATTTATTTACTAATTAATTAATTAATTAATTTCTTTATTTATTTAATCATCTCTGTTTTGAAGAGATGGAAACCAATACATATAAATGTTGATCTTTAATGTGGAATCTCTTGGGCTTAAACCTTTTCTATCATACCTTTTAATATATTGTTTTCTACAATAGTTTCTGCTATTATTAGAATATGAACTACTCCTGTTATTGTGCTGCTATTGTTGTTGGTGTTGGTGTTTTGGGTACAATGATTATTATTATTATCGAGTTTATTTTGCTAATTGAAATTTTATGGAAAGAATATAAAATAAGTATTTCTATGCATTCAAAATGAGGATCTTTCATTTTGCTCTGATAAAACAATGGGGGATTTAATAGACACACACACACATATATATATATATATATGTATATATGTATATAGCAACCAAGAATCAACTGTGTCTCTTTTCTATGTACACGCTCAAAACTAAAGCTAGAAAAGAAATGAAAATTGGGCAAGAAATTAAATCAAATCAAATCAAATATAAATAAATAAATAAAAACAATAAGAAGGAATAAAAGAAAAGAAATATATAGTCTACTTAACAAGTCAGGGCTGGTTTTATAGCCATTGATTGGCACTAATGAATCTTGTCACTAATAATAAAAATAATATATATAATTATATAGTTATCTTATATATAAGCATAAAAGCTTATAGTACTCGATTTCATTGATGGTAATGCAGCACAAAGTGATTGGAATGTACTACACGTGCCTGTGTTCCAAATCAAGGCACAGACGCCACAAGAACGCGTCTACATCAATATAATTTATGTGGGTACATTCAACGGACGTGTTCAAAATACATTATTTAATACAAGGCGTTCACATAGTTGCGGTCGACCGATTTTTTTCGTCGGTCGACCGGTTTTTTTTCCCAATTTTAGGCAAAAAAATTATTCCAAAAATGGGCAACAAATTTAAGTGCATCCCCAGCAAAAGACAGGGGATGCACTAAAAATCGCTCCTTTTATAGAATATTTAATCGACGACATCTTTTTAAGCTGACGAGTCTTTGTCTACTTTTTTGCTGAAGTCTTAGAGCACTTAATTATTTACATCATCTGCATATTGCTCTTATTTTTTAGGCATCTCTGATAAAGAAAAGGTTGTTATTAAAAAAATCAGTAAAGTTCATTTTTTGAAGCCTTTGAACTGACTATTATTACTGTTATTCATGTTTGTAAATAGATAGAAAAATAAAAGTTTATTAGGGGGTATTTTAGTAAAATACAAATATTATGTGAAACTAACCTCGAGTGACTCTTGTTTTCAATTTCAGAAGCTACTATAAACAGTAAAGAAAATTAAGGCAGTCGACCATTAAAAATCGGTCGACCACAACTGTGAACGCCTACAGTGTTTTTTTACTTGAGATTGAGACAAATTAGGAATTTTCCTAGACGAATTAAATTTATTTTTGAGAAAAATTTGGACGAAATCATATTACCAATTGAGACAGTTGTACTTTGTATAATAAATTGCTTCAATCTAACTTCTTTATTATACTTCAATACAATAAGGTTCTGAATGTTTTATTCCACATATAGCTCAGCTTTTTAAGTAAGTTACAATCAATAGTTGCCAAAGCTGGATTAAAACAACTTGGTTTACAAAGTACAATTTTCTCAATTAATATTGTGATTTCGTTTATGCCATTCACCAGCGTACGAGGGAATTGAGCTACGTCATATAAGATTCCTATTGTTATTCAGCATCTGTTTTTTTTTAATTATTTACTAAAATACCCTGCCTATTTTTATTTTATTTTGTTAATGATTTGCTTCATTTTAGCTATAGAAAATGAGCTTTTTAAAGTATGTTCGTTTAATATATTCCTTTTTGTAACTAGTGTTCTTTTTTTTTATAAATTGACAAATATATCTATTCGGAATTGAATAAATTACTATGAAAAGTAATTTTTCTTTCAACTCCCTCGTACGCTGGTGAATGGCATTGTGGAAAATGTAAGTGGAAAATTAGGAAATTCGTAATTTTCTACTCACATTTTCCATTAAACATTTCCTCAAAATCAAGCTTATTCTCTCGCTCTCAAATCAAGGGATAGGGTAGCCAGGAGTGTCTATTGTATATGTAATTAATTAATTTGATCTTTAAAGGTCGAATTTATTTAAAAAAGAAAAAGATTAAAATTTATGAAGATTTATTTTTCTTATATTCGACACAGCATGATGTTCTCATCAATTGATAAGTTTCCACAACTGCTGTCGGAGTGCTTTGTTTTTTACTGGGTTTGTCCAATCTATTTTTAGCAGTCGCGTTTTTCCATTAAATAACACCTCTACTTACAAACATACTTTCAAAATTAATATTGATATTTCACTTAACTATTCTCCCGAGAATGAATCAATTGACAGTTTAATCGATCAGTCATTTTTTGAAGAACAACCAAGTGAAAGCAAAGACTTTTATTCGACTACAGTGCTTGAAAATTTGGACGATTCTGACGATGCGTCTACCGATGGTGGATCTGCCAATCGTGAGTTCATTGCTGCAGACAATAACAGTAGCGATGATATGGAAAGCATGGATGCTGTATCTGTACAGGCTGAATCCCAGAGCGACTTCAGTGATGATACAGGTTCTATGTCTGGTAAGAAATAGCTAAAAGAACATTATAATACTAGTATTAAATATAATTATTTTAACGTAGATATGGAAGATGATGGCCAAGGGTACTCGCGCATCCGCAATCTTGACAACTCGGATAATGTAACAGCTGAATACGATGCCGAATACGAGCAAAACATTCCTTTGTATGAGCCAAACAGCCGTGCCGAGGCCGCTAGTTTGAAGCTGTTCTCAATGTTTTTTGAGAACAATGTTTCCAGAGATGTATTTGACAAGTCCGTCAAAATATTTAACGAATACATGAAAGAATGTGGATCACGTAAGTGCATTAATAATATTCATTTTTTTTATATTACATAAACTTACTACTATATTAGCCGACACCGATTCACTTTTGTCCTACTACAAGGTGAACACCTTGCTCAAGGAGGAGTATCCTGTAAAGGCCACCGCATATGACATGTGCGTAAAAGGATGCTGTCGGTTCCCTACAGTTGTAGAAAGTATCGACATTGATGAGGATGAGACGTGTCCCCTGTGCGGAGAAGCTCGGTACAAGCTTAGAGGAAATAGAATAATACCTGCACAGACATACCAGGTCGTGCCTCTTTCAGAGCAATTGAGATTTAAGCTTGGGCACCCGAAGAACGTGCCAAGATGGCTTATGGTGCTAGGCGTTTGGCTGGCGGACGTGAAGATGTACGTGAAGACATCTTCGATGGAGACGCAGTCGGACGGTTACTTGATCGTGGAGTGGTTGGTCAGGATGACATTTTGGTGTCCATGTTTGTTGACCAGTTCAACCCATTTAAAAATGCCAAAATGTCATCCTCTGTTATTCATGTTATTAACCTGAATATCGATCCTAAAGAAAGGTATTTAAAAAAAATTAATTTAGATAAAGTTACTAATACGAACTACTTAGATACAAGGCAGGTAACATGATGCAGTTGGCTATCATACCAGGACCTAACCATCCGAAAGATATCGCTTCGATTTTGGAGCCGGTTCTCGATGACCTGAGAAACTTGGGGGCAAATGGCCTGCAGTTTCAGACTGATTCTGGACTGGTGATTGCCAAGGTTCATCTTGTCATGACGACTGGAGATACTCCAGCCGTCTCTGACTTGATGAACCTGGCACATCACAATGCCCATCACGGATGCAGAGCTTGCATCTCGTATGGTGCAAGAGATTCAAGCACGACTTGTATTGTGGAAAGAGACGGACCGTCACTGTTGAGAACAGAAGAGAGTTTGCACCAGTCCGTTGGAGGCGTAAGTTGTAAACTGTTAAACAAAATAAATATTAATACCGTTTTAGATGTACAGCGTCAAAGGGCCCAACTTCTTCAAAGACTTGCCCACAATGACCAGTACTGCTTTCTTCGGACTGGATGAGATGCACCTTCTAAGTCACGGTACAGGCCAGCAGCTGTACGTTGCACTTGGAGGAAAATTCTGCCCCACGATCAATGACGGTGGAAGAAATGCACATGGCATTCACTTGCAAGACCGGTTGAAACACCACAGATACCCGTTTGCCCTGGATGTCAGTCTGGAAGATATCGACAAAGCAATTTGCGCATCCAGGGCCGATATACCAGCCGATTTCACGGGAACGTGGAGATCCTTGAAGGAATCCAACGGCAAGAGGAAGGCTGTCGATTGGATAGACTTCCTCTTGTTCGTTGTTCCAACGATTGTCATCTATCATTTCGTTTTTGATCGTACGAAAGCAGCAGTGATGAAACTTGTTACTGCATGCAGAATTGCCCAGCAGTGGAGGATCACTGCTGCCAATATCCAAGAAGCAGAGGAGTAAGTCAATCGGATATATGCTGATCAGTGTTTTAATCATCTTTACAGGGCCATTGGTCGCTGGCATGCCTTCCTCCGTTGTGAGATCGAAGAAAAGAGGCTGAAGCCTACGGTTTTCGTGATGAACCAGCATATGCTGGTTCATCTCGGCTATATGATGCGGGAGATGGGCCCTCTGCGGGCATACAGTTGTAGGCCAATCTAAAGGACAATCGGTGTCTACGGCGCGGCAATCAAGTCGAGAAAGAAACCAGGAAAGAACATGGAGAATCTCTTGCTCAGAAAGGCAGCAATCAATCACTGTCTTGGTTGCCGACCTGTCATTTGTGCCACAAATGACAAAAGGACCAGCAACTTCGAGGTTGCAAGTAACGATGTTGCTGGTCCTCAACTTTGGTCCAGGCCAACTCGAAGCTCTCTGGTTGAGTTGGCTGCCGCCATTGGCATAGAGTGCCAGGACTTGGTCCGCAGTTTGGTGCCTTTCTGGGCAAGAGAAGGCATTGTTTCCTTTGAGGAAAACGATGAAGTGGTTTGCGCCAACAAGATGTGAAAAGACTCGGTGGTCTATAGAGTCCGGTCCTCTGTTGACAGCAGGCATGGTCGAGCAAGCAATCTTGCTGTGCTCGACGACGCCAGGGAGTAAGTAGCACTAGTTGTATTCTACATTGTTAAATTTTATTAATCATAACTCATTTATATTTTTTGAAAGGTATGGATTTATTCTTAAATTCTTCTCCCAAACTGTCAACAGAGTGACCAGACTCTTTGCGGCCATCGACTGTCTTTCCGATGTTCAACGCGTGAACCAGGATCTTTTCCCTGTGTGGGATAGCCTGGCACCTGGTGTGGTGAAGGTGGTGGACGTGAAGTCTATCAAGGGGATCGCTGGCCTCGTCCACGACCCGAACGACGAGGCCATTCGGCACATTATCTGGCCTTCGCCAAAATACAACCAATAGGTTTTTTTTTCTTTGTTTTTTTTTCCCTATTCTTTTAATACATATATAAACATTTAATTTCTTTAAAAAAAATCACCCAAAACATTAGCAAAATATGTTGCTATTACCATTTGATTTAAAAATTTTCAACGCCAGAAAAACCGAATTTATGGTATATCTAATTGATTGGCTGTGTTCTTGACTTTGATCAAACTTGCAAACAAAAAACAACAGTCCTCTTTCTTTTCTCATTTAAAACGGCTGTCTGAGTTAAACAACCAAAAAAATTATGATTACCGGCACAGAGCTTCTAAAAAGGGTTTAAATTGCTCTAAATTTAGAAAGGCTAATAGGTGTTTTAAATATGTGCAAAGATTTTGCAGATGTGCAGTTTTTTTTTTGTTGGAAATCCTTGCACATTATTTTCTACAGTGTACTACTATTATGATCATAGAATTAAAGTCTAGGCCAATAAAGACATTCTATATTACAAAGTTAAGGTTCATAATAGAAAGCTTAAAGTCTTTCACTACTTTGAATTGTTGCAAATTTCGTCTTTTTCTTTATGCTTTTAATTCTTTGTTCTCAATATAAAGCGCTAAAAATGGCTCGCGATATATATATATATATACGAGGTAGACCAGAGTCCCCAGAGGAACTGCATTAAGAAGAAGTAAGCACACTCTACAAAGAAAGAATAACAGATTTGCCTATATCATGTAAATTAAAATGCTATATTCTGGGACATTTGATCTCTAACTTTACCTACTTCTCTATTGTTTATCTCAATTGGCTACATACTTACCATCATGTACAATTTGTAGAAGATTCAAAGATTTCCTTCACAATTAAATGTTTACTTGTAACTTACTTTTATTTTTAAATAGAGGGAGTTGTCTTATTCCAACTGACATAGAAGACAAAGGTTGCCAGCTACAAAACTTGTTAATCTAAAAAAAAAAGTACAGAGGATTTGGCGTGAAGGCGCCCTCTATACTTTTGAAATACATCATTATTTTTTTTAAAAGACACGATTTCCTTCCCAACATGTGTCCTGTTAACATTTGGCTATATACTAAATTTCCAAAGGGTTATGGTATAAAAATTAAAACCTCCAGTTTGTCCTCATTTTTCTTATCTAATAGTGACATTAATCATTACAGAAGTATATCTTTTGTCCTTTGTATTATCCGCATACTGTTTAATCTCTTTGTATATTTGTTGTGCCAAACAAATAAAATATTTCTGTATTATCTATCTATCTGTAAACTTGATTATACTTTTATTATTAATGACCCAAGATTACAAAATTAATGTCAAACATAGGTGAACCCGAATAAGTCTGTATATATATATATGATTTGTTTTGTTTTGTTAATTTGGATTGCCACTATACCCTTTGCTTTACTCTCTTTTAAATATGTTGCTTTAATGTATACAAAAGGCTTTATAAGCTTGAAATCTCTTATTCATCTACCATCTACTGAGGAAGAACACGAGTATTTGTTCACAATATGGACTAATAAGAAATGCGCACATTTTTCAAGTATCAATGAGATAAACCATCGGTTTTTTTTTCTACCTAAACATTTTCTTTTATATATTTATGTATATTGACAGATTTCCGAAACTAGTATGTTGCAGGATGACCAGTATAAAGTCAACACTACTCAAGCATACCGCTCAAGGCTCTTATGAAAATACAACCCCATCTGTAGTCCACAGAATATATGAGAAAAAAGGACCGTGTGTCATTCGATTAACAATCGAGATAAATAATAATTTTTTTTAAAAAAAAGTTCTTCCGAGAGAATATTTAAAGTATCTAGCAGATCGATGCCATAAAACCTACGCTGAGATTCTGAAATTTTGAAAAAATGGAAATATTCAATACTAGAACCAGGATCGCGACCAGGACCATCATCAGTACGAGAACCACCAAGCATGGATGATCCACTCATAAAAATGACAATTGTTGATTTGATATTGAGGGCTAAATCAACAAATGGCTCTGTTCAAGAGAAAGGCGCCAAAGATCAAGAATTAATTACAAGCACTGAAGAGAAAGACACAGCTTCAACAAGCCTTGTATTTCTACATTAACTAGAAAATACACATGAGGCTGATATCTTAACCAAGCAACGCAGTGATTACTTAAGAAGAAAAAGAAGATATATTGATTAAAGCTTAATTTAAGTTTAAACACTTTCCTCTCATCTGTAATATATTCTTATGCTGAGAAAGGTACTCGAATATGACTATTATTATTATCATTCAATAAAACGCTGATTAATTAATGGTTTTCAAATATTTGAATTTCCAAAAAAAAAAAGGGAAGGCGTTTAATTAAGGAGGGATTGAGAGGAAGCAGGAATTGCTGAAACTGGCGTGGCCATAAGAACCTGAAACCCACTAGTCAAATCGATGATGGGACTCAAGGTTGATACCAATATGAAAATTGTAGGCTAGAGTTGGAGAAAATCAAACCAGTCATGAGCATGTAATAACACAAAATTCTCTCTTTCTCTTCACGTATGGCGAGATATTAAGAAGATATTAGTAATTCCGAGACACTTTCTAAATCAAGTTTCAAAGCAGATTTGCGAGTGATACGAGATATTATATCAAGAGGTAAAGAATAGGAAAAATCACAAGGAAAAAGAAGCCTTAAATGCCAAAATAGTTAGACTTGATCCATTGAAAGGTTCTGATGGTGAAGTATTGCACTGTTTTAGAAGAGTAAAGTAAAAAAAAAAAGTAAATTGGACTGTCTGGTAACCACGTCAGTTAATACCATATTACACTTTTTGTTTGCTTACTGCAGCTTTGCATATAACAAGATAGATAGATAGATAAATAAATAGCTAAATAGCTAAATAGCTAAATACAAGAAACAACCTGACGAGAGATTTTCTAACATATCAATGCTTAAAGTTAGTGGACCATACGTAACATTAAAGTACTCAGTAGTCACAATAATCAATAAGCGAACCCATTTTGAAAGACTTGAGAAATGAAATGAAATGAAAAGTTCAAAAAGGCTTTATCAATTATTTCTGTTTGGAAGTAGTTCAATAAAAATACATAATACATGCAAGAATATGTCATTGAACCATAACCAGTTGGTGTAATTCTAACCTGCCAGGGAATTTTCTTCTTGTTATCGAATTACTAGCTACACCTATATATTCTATTCTGTTAGCTGCAAAACTGCAGCAAGTAAACAAAAAAGATATAACGTGGTATTAACTGACGTGGTTGCTAGGCATTCCAATGTAGATTTCGTTACTTTACTCTTCTAAAACAGATTGCAATACTTCGCCATCAGAATCTTTTGCTGCATCAAGTCTAACTATTTTGGCATTTAAGGCTTCTTCCTCCTTGTGATTTATTATTATTATTATTATTTGTCTTTTGATGCAACATCATGGATAGTGTGTTCCCAGCACGGCTTACTCTCTCCCTTTTTGTACACCAAAACTTCAGGGGGCGAAAATGTCTAGCTCTTTGTAGACAGTGGTGGTGTTACTGCAAAGACGGATTTTTGATTCTCCGGATTCTCGGATCGTTGCAGATCCGACACATGTCCACGAGATTAGCGAACAATTCCGGCAGCTTATAGCTAAGATACGCACACAACCAACAAACCAAAAGACGCCTCTTTATTCTTTGGTTCAAAAGTACTTCCCTCTCATGGAATTTTTTTTTGGTTATGCTCTTCTTCTTTGCTTTGATTTAGCTGAAATAATGACAGCGAATTAGTTTATCAATCTTTGCAAGTATTTTTTTTAAAAGAAAGAAAGTATATTGAGGTTTCAAATTATTCTTACAAAATATGGTCCGTGAGTCGATCGTTAGCTTCATGAACGTACGCATGTCCGTATGTATATGTATCTGTGCTCTTATGATACCTTATTTCACACTTAACTATAATTCTTTGATTGGACTGGACTGGATTTGATAACAGTGTGTAGAGGTAGTATGCACAGATTTTTGACAGCTTCCATCTCTTTATCTCTGCCCGGATTCTTTAGTCACTTCTTGGCTTGTGAACAAGTTGATCAACATTCAAAAAGTCTACATACATATTAGAAATAACTACTTTTACATTACATTATACTTTAATTTCTGCTGTCAACAAACTATCCAGGTTATATACTACAAAGAAGAAGAGCTATGAAGAGTATCGACCATTCTATCGTTCTTCTTTCTTTTCTTATTTATTTACATAATCTTTTAGAAATACAATATAGTTAGATATAGATTTCAAATACAAAGAAAATCCAGTGTACTTGATGACCAGACAAGCAAACAAGTAGTATTACTATTAGAGTATTTCTGCATATCTTAAAACAGAATCCTAATTTGGTATGAATAATTTTTGGGTTTTGGTTATCAGGAGATATATTAGATTATATCAATAGTAATAACGATAATAATAATAATAAAAAAAAAAAAAAAAAAAGTAGTAACATTATTTATAACAGTAGCACAACATGGCACAAAAGTACAAGCATGTACAGGTAAGTAAAATCACAGCCAATACTTTTTCTGCTTTAAAAAAAATACTCCTTTGTGACTGTCCAACCCCACTTCTTGTCGGGATTGCTTTTGGTTCAATTGTCGGCACCGGAAACACATCGATAACACCTTCTAATTAGCTCAGGGACCTTTTGTAATTTAAATAAATATATATTTATATATATACTAGTTTGTATAATATTCATTAAATAAGAAATTCCCGAGTGATAAGCATCCCGACTGATATTTTGAAAGGACTAGCAAATAAAGAAAGTCATGGCAACAGTAACAGTAATAATGAATATGATGATGACTTGGTTTTATTATAAGTGTATATAATATATATATAATATATATATATTTATGCCCTTCTTTTAAAACAAGAGAGAAAGGTCTTTTGTAGTGTGAAATATAGTTGTGACGTACAAGATGATCCTGTTGATCGATACATGTAAAACCTGACCTTTTTTTTTATCTTATTTTTTATAAAATATGTATCATTCTCTATCTATCTATCTATCTATCTATCTATCTATCTCTCAGTAAATGTGTGTATATGATTTTTGGCCCTGAATTCATATTATTAATTAGTGTGAGTTGATGAGTGAATTAATGTGTTTTAGCATTTAGCATTTAGCATTTGGTGCTTGGTGCTTGGTGCTTGGTGCTTGGTGCTTGGTGCTTGGTATTTAGTGTTTAAATGTTTAGCGTTTAATATGTGTCGTTATGTGTATATATTGTATTGTATATGATCTCTATCTTTTTATAAAGTAAAAAGAAAAAATTATATACATGAAATAGCAGCTGGTTTTTATTTTATTTTATTTTTTATTTCTGCTTTGTGTTGTTTGTTGAAGCTCCATCAAGATAAAACCAAGACTAAAACGGATGATGTTGGCTTATTACCCAGCTCAGACACAGCGTCATATCACGTGCTATAAATCCTGGGGGTTGAGCGTGTAAAGAGGGATTGTACGTTTCTATGGCTACACAAGACAGAGAATAGATTAGAGAGGTAGAAATAAACAAGCGAGATATATAAAAGGCCAAATTAATAAACAGGTCTTTCTGGTCATGTGTAGAACTCTCTATGAAAGATATTGATATATTTTGATAAAGATTTTCAAGACATGTGTGATAATTTATTTTTTTGGTATTTTGGTATTTTGCTGCTGTTTTGAAATCGATGGATAAAAGCTATCTCCATATCAATATCTATTTCTGTCTCTCTGCCACTCTGCAGCTTCCTTTTCCCTATATTTTGTTTGTTGTTTGCTATCAAATCAGATCCTAATCGACAAGGCTGAAAATACACACTTGCACAATCGGGAAGTTTATTGCCTCCCTCATGTCCTCCCTATCCTTAATTTAATTCATTCATTCATACTTTAAAATACTTGTCATATAAACCATGGTGATAAAATTTGATATTTGATCTTTTGCCTTTTTATTAATAATGAAAACGTATAATCTACAATAGCTCCAATGTCCATTATATATACATATTTTCTGTTTTACAGAAATCATTTCTAAGTTCTAGTTATCGATCTCTTGAGGTCATTACAAAAGAAAGAAAGGGCAAACTACACACACACATATATATATATATATATACGTTGATATAGACGTAAATATTCAAGTCAACATGTGCTTGAGCTTGAGTTTGTGTCTGTGCTAGTATAGTGCTAGTGTTAGTGTATAAACATTTTATATTTATACCTCATAGTCATTTATTCAGTCAGTCAGTCAGTCAGTCAGTGCGTGTATTATTATAATAATAATTATATTTATTTTCTTTATCACCAACTATTGCCAATTGCCGATTGCCTATTGCCTACTGCTATAGCCATTAGTATTATCGATTCTGCTCATCGGTCTTGGAACATTCGGAGGCACAGCGTCAGGTTAGTTTTATTGAGCCGTACGTAATTTAGCCTTATCTTGTCACATCTGTCCAAAGAAGTCCTTTCGGAGATTATAACCCAGGCAAAATAACACCAGGACCACCACGATTGTTTTAAATTATATAAATTACATTACATATTTTATTTATTTATATTTGCAAGACAGCGCAAAGAAGTATATATATATATATATATAAATTAATTAATTGATTCATTTTTTAAATAATATCTAAAATATTCAAAGAATAAATATTTATTTATATTATACTATATCTTATTTTAAATAATAATAATATTAATAATAATAATAATATTAATAATAAAAGCTTGTATGTTTTTAGCATTTTTCTTATTATTATTTTAGTGGCCTTGCTAATGATTAATAACAAAAAATATATATATAAAACACAATATAATATAATATAAATAAAAAAAAAACTTCTTTTTGGGTTTCAAAAATATAAATTCAATCACAATTTCATTTTCAAAAATATTTAAATCTTTAAACCTCTTTCTTTTAAAAAGAATCATAAACTCATCTTTCAATATATTCACTTCTTCTTCTTCTTTTATATAATTATTTAAGAAGCAAAATTTAAAGTTTAACATACCATCAATACAACCAAGCCAAACCACATCAAACCACATCAAACCAAACCAACGACCAAACGATCAACACTTAATTTCAACATGGATATGATTAGCAAAGGTGTCGAATTGCTAAGACTCGGTTCATTCTCAAAGAGTAGCCGCCGTGACCGCAGAAAATCAACCGAAAGAGGAGGAGCAGTATCTACCCCAGATTCATCCAAACCACCAAGTATCTGTAGTAGCTACAGTGCAGAATCACGCTCTTCATCACAAGGTAATTACATACATATAAATGCATTGATTAAAGAGAGATATTTATCCATATTTGTATAAATACATTTTTAGGCACAGAATCTGGTACACATCTTCGTACTCCAAGCAACGGCTCTGCTTTTGCGGCCTCATTTTCGATAACTCCCATAGAAGACTCACAATTAAACAAGTACAAAAAAGGTAATAATCAGTTGGTTTAATTAAATAATTGAATATCTTTATTAACAAATCCTATCTCTTAAAAAGACAAAAAAATCATAGATACTCCACCATCACCGGCAGAGTCGGATCATGAACGCCTATCCCCACCACCACCAAATCGATTCAACACCTTTAACCCTCCTCCATCTCCAACCCATGCCTCTCCTCTTTCCCCACTTCCTCGTCCTATCCAAGAAAAGTCAGAATCTTACTTTGACCAACCCACAACCGCCCACGACAACCATAATAAATCCATTGACCATTCTCAACATATTAACAATAATAGCATTCATCATAGCCATCATCTTAACCATCATCCTGTACCATCCAAACACACCCATGCCATCTTCACTCCAAGCAGCAATAACAACAACAGCAACAATACTGGCGGTGGCCGCCGCCGTCGCAAACACCGCAAACTGCAATTGAATGATTTCATACTCAAAGAAACACTGGGCACTGGTTCGTTTGGCCGAGTTCACCTGGCGCAGAGTAAAATCAACGGCAAGCATTATGCTGTCAAGGCACTGAATAAGCATGACGTTGTGCGTCTCAAACAGGTTGAGCACATCAACAACGAGCCAACCATCCTCCGCGACGTTGCCCACCCATTCCTCGTCACTCTCTGGGATACCTTCCAGGACGATTCCCATCTGTTCATGGTGATGGACTATGTACCCGGAGGAGAACTGTTCCGCATCCTGCGCAAGCAAAAGAAGTTCAGCGAGAGTGCGGCCCGTTTCTATGCCGCCGAGGTCATTTTGGCACTCGAATACCTCCACGAGCGAGACATCATCTACCGCGATCTCAAGCCAGAGAACATCTTGCTTGATGCCAAGGGACATGTCAAGCTCACCGACTTTGGGTTTGCCAAACGAGTACCCGATATTACCTGGACAGTATGCGGAACACCAGACTACCTTGGTAAGGCTTCCTTATAAATTAAATATAAAAATATCAAAAGGTATTAATTTTTGTTTTCTATTTCAGCCCCAGAAATCATTCGTTCAAAGGGCTATAGCAAGGCTGTTGACTGGTGGAGTTTGGGCGTGCTGATTTATGAAATGTTGGTCGGAGAACCACCGTTCGTGGACAAGAATCCTGTTGGTCTGTACGAAAAGATCCTCGACTGCCGTATTCCATGGCCCAAGGACTTTAGCCCTGTGGCCAAGGATCTGCTGCTCGGTTTACTGACACCTGATCTGTCTCGTCGTTATGGCAACCTCAAGAACGGCAGTGCAGATATCAAGATGCACCCTTGGTTTGCTGATGTCGATTGGGAGCTCGTTGCCCGCCGCCAAGCAAAGCCACCATTTGTGCCCGACATTGAAGGTGATGGAGACTCCAACTGCTTTGCCCAATACAAAGAACCAAATGTTTCATACGGTCGTCAACTCAATGATGATCCCCACCGAGCCAAATTCCCAGCCTTTTAAAGCCGCCACCTCTACCAACTACCAACCACCAACCACCGCCACACTCGCCACACCACCAAAAGAAAAAAAATCTAAAACAATAACATACATGTTATGTAATTCTTATATAATTATCTTCTCCGTATCTTCCTCTTCCTCTTCCTATTTCTTTTTTTTTGTTTTGTTTTTTGTTTCATCCTCTTTGTAAATACGCCTTTCGTTATCTCTTCTATTTTTTTGCTCTTTTTCTTTTCGTTATTCTGTATGTACTGTACATAGAAAAAAATATATATATAATGCTATTACTATTAATCATTACTATAACTATAACTATTACTTCTACTATTACTATTATTTATATATATATATATATTATATATAAAAACATTTAATTAAAATTCTTCATTTTTTTTTTATAAAATAAATAAATAAATAAATAAATAAATAAAAATAAAAATTAAAATTAAAATTAAAATTATTAAAGACTATTAAGGATTATCAAGAAGTGTTAATAATTATTAAAGAAAATTATTATTATTAAAACTAGTTTCACTCCCCCCTCAATATCCCTCCCCCATTTTTATTTTTTATTTTTCTCCCTTCCTATTCCCATTCCCATTCCTTTTTCTCTTTCCTTTTTCCCTTTCCCTTTCTTTTGCCTCACCACCTTTCCACCACAACACCAATAATAATAATAATAATAATAATAATAATAATAAAAATAATAAATTAAAAAAAATTAAATATTGAAACAATATTTAACCAAATATAATAAAATCATATAAAGTGAAATTGAAAGTGAAAGAAAGATAGAAAAAAAAAGAATGAATGAAAGGGTAAAAGGGTAAAATGGTAAAATGGTAAAAAAAAAAAATGGTTACGTTTTTTAATTTGCATTTTGGATTAAGGGAAGAGAAAGAAGAGGAAGAAGAAGAGAATAATAGAAAATAGAAAAAAAAAATTAGAAAAAATAATTGGAATATTTGAGGGAGAAAATGGGGAACTCAAGAAAAGAAATTTTTCCAGCCCACGTTTTCTGTTTCAAAGCATATAATTTTTTTTTAAGTATTCCATGGAGTTCGCGGGATAGGTTTACATAAGCTATTTAGTCCATTTTACTCCTTCATTTAGGAGAATTATTTACAACACTATCATCATCATCTTCTTCTTCAACACCAGTCAATATTGCCCCCATCTCAAAAGGCGCTTATTTTTATATATATTGAATTTTGGCTGTAAAATATATATATATAAGAAAGAGAATAAAACAAAAAAAGTGCTAAGGACAGTCAGGGAAAATCAAATGAAAATCAAATAAAATTTTACTCCATTTCAAAAAAAAATAATTTATTTTTGGTTGTTCTTTAAATGTACTGCAAGGTACAGCGGCTATTGGACATATCACTAAGTTATATATAAATATTCTATTTGTCCCTTCTATAACAATTTTTTTGCACTTGTCTATATATATATATATATATATATATATATATGTAAAGTTGTATAGTCTGTGTATTGTGTATTGTGTACTGTGAGTCTATGGCGTGTATTTTGTACAGATTTACCTTTTAACCCCATTAGGTGAGTGATTAAAAGGAATAATAAAAAGAAAGAAAAGAAAAGAAAAGAACCAGGTAGTAGAGATAGAATATAATTGGGTTGTTCAAATATCATTCGTTTCTTGTCCATAATCTATCTAACTATCTTTTATTGAATTCAATTCAGTTTTATATCAACTTTTCTACTATACCTGTCTATGCTAAACTTGTCATTTTTTTATTTGTTAAACATAACACCAATCAAATCTTTTATTTTTTATATCTAATAGTCATTTATACAATATTAAGAGAGAAACGATATAGAGAGATTCATTACACAGACTATTTTTCTGTGTCTGTCTTTTGGCTGTCTTTAACTGTCTTTAACTGCCTGTATCTTTATCCCAGTCACAGGCTCAGGTACAATAATATCATCATAATAGCAGGGTCCTTTATTATTATAATATTATTAAGAAAATAAAAAAAAATTGAGTGCTTTCAAAGATGGGGTGACCCTGGTGTCAAATAATAATAATAACAATATTTGTTTTTTTTTTGGGCGGGATTGCCCGTTAACTATAAATCAAAAAATGAACTCAGAAAGAGGCTGGAAAAGCTGGGGAAACCAAATTGGTAAAAAAATCGGGTTTTTTATTTTTTAATTTTTTGGTTTTTTTAATTTCCAGCCTCAAACCAACCAACACGCTATTAAATAAATCTATACTGCGCTATTAAAAATTTGTCTTGGCCAGAAAAATTAGGATCCCAATCCCAATAATATTATTTTTTTTTGGTGTGGGTGTATGAGTGTATCTCTGTACTTCTTCCAATCGCTCTAAAGTTCCCTTTTTATTCCCTGACTTCAATCGGTGGAGAATACGGGCCGAAAAGCAAATTTATTTGGTATCTTTTATAATTTCTTTTTTTCCATTTATTCTTTATGTTTTACCAGGGAGGGGGAATCACCAGTTCTATGCTTTCATTGATTATTATTCTGTAACTCATTACCATTCATTATCATCCTTTTACTTCTATTACCCGTTATACCGCGATTTAATAGTAAAAACCAGAATATGTATATGAATTGACAAGTTAAGGTAACAGAACTTTGACAGATTTGTTCTTCTTTGGTACTTCTTATTCTTACGTTATCTTGCTCTTACATAATACCAAGATAAAACAAACCAAATAAAAATAAAAATAAAAGCAAGTAGTTTTATTGGTGATGATAATATGTTGGTTTTTTTTTGTTGGTTTTGTAAGCTCCACGAGCATCTATTTAGCCTATTGGCCCACATTTTTCATAATCTATAATTATATATGTTTATAATACAAATGTAAAGACAAAAAGAGAGAGAGAGGTGGGGGGGGAGATGATCGGGAATATCACCTATGGAAACACAGAGAAATGGAGAAGGAAAGAAGGAAAGTAAGAAGAAATGGAGGAGTATATAGAATGACATTGAGTCCTTTTAAGTTTTGGGTATATACATATAAAGAACATTTTCTTTTGAACAAAGGAAAATAAGCATTCCACTTTACTTGAATACCAGCTAAATTATTTATAAGCATATAATGCTAATAGTTTCTGGGAAAAACTAGGTATCTGATCCATTTCTAATAAACAATTGTATGGTACTGTACCTACATCATATCAACGAATATATATTGTTTTTTATGTGGCCCTTGTAAATAATAACTATAGTTGTTGGATCTCTTACCTTTAATTATTTTATTTTTATTTTTATTATTTTTTTATAATACCTGTCCCGCATTTACTCCATTATTCCCGCTCCATACTTTTTGTTACACATACCCCTCATAAACATACCACTCCGCAAAATACCAGATCATACATCTTTGTGCTACCATTCTGGGAGTGATGTGTTCTGATGGGAAGTTGAAGAATAAATTTCTTTTTTTTTTTTAAAAAAAAAAATTCGGAAACCCAATGAACGAATGATTGAATTACTGAATGAAAAATATTGAGGATACAAACCCGTCAATTTCAAGAGAACCCTTAATTTTTTTTTATTAGCACAAGATGATGTAGTTGAAGCCAATTCAATAAATATTTTATTGTTGCTGTTACATGATGCATATAAAAATAAATATAATTCAATTCAATTCATAAAGATGTGTGTGTGTAGAGATAGAGAGATCGAGATCAAGATATTACATTATATTATATTATATTATATTATATTACCAGGTATAGTGTAATATACTCGGTGAATTAACTCTAATATCACTATCACTATAGATATTGTTGTTTCTATGGAAACATGTAGGCATGGGGATATGTAGATATGTAAGTCTTGTATCCATGGATACAAAATGTACCATACTTTTTTTTAAAATTAAAAAAATTAATAAAAAAAATCACAACACTTTACACAAAATCATAATATAATATTATTGCCATGGTATTATATTTTGGGGGAGGCCAAGATGGAGGAGGAAGAAGTTGGTTGGTTGTATGGGGACCCTGATCATTCACCAAAATAAGAAAAAAATAAAAAAAAACAGGCTCGGAAAAGTAAAAAAAAGAAAAAATTAACCCAACCAGTAGTATCGTTGACCAGACAACCAATCAACCAATGATATTACATATAATCTAAGCATAAAAAGAAAAATAAAAAGAAACTCAGAACCAAAAGACCAAAAAAAAAAAAAAGACAAGAATCGGAACTTTGAATTGTCAGATTTATTTTTGATATTTTTTTTTGATATTTGTTTATTTTATTTAAATAGCCCATACTTTTGTGCTTGAAAGAAAGGAAAAAAATTATAACATTTATATCAGAAACATATCTTCTTCCTCTTCTTACTTTTATTATTATTTAAATATTCCCCCTCTCATAATCCTTTTTTTTTATCCTTTTTTGTTTCCATAACAACAAACTTAAAAAAAAGTATATATTAATTATATAAAGTACCTTACCACAACAACACAACATCCAAAAAGAAAATAATAATATCAAACATGGATTCACGGACAAGTGGTGTTCGATTCTTTGTCTATTTCTGCGTCATGGTCGCAAGTCTTGGTGCACTCAACTCTGGTTTCAATACCAGTTCTCTTAACATTCCCGGAAATTCAGTCAGATACTGTCCTGGTGTCCCAGCTGGAGAAGTTACTTACTATGCCACATCTTCCCTTCCCCAGTGTCTTCCCATGGGTGACTGGATTTGGTAAGTCAATTATAACTTGTCAATAGCTTAATACGATCTATATATATATTATAACATTTTAGAAATTAAATTAAATGAAAAACATATATATATATATATATATATATATAATATGTCAATTTTATATATTTTATAATAATATAATATTCTAATTAACTAATTAAATATTATGTCATCTTTAGGGGTGTTGCTACTGGTATGTTCGCTGTCGGTGGTCTCGTAGGTGCTCTTCTTGCCAACCCTATGGCAAATCACTTTGGCCGTCGTGACGCTATGATCATCATCAACGTTGCTTTCTTCATCGGTGCCGTCTTGCTCTCGACCTCGACCTCTAGTGCCCAATTCGCAATCGGCCGTATCTTTGTCGGTATCGGATCAGGTTTCATGACCGTAGTCATTTCCATGTATATCGCCGAGTGCGCTCCTCCATCCGCCCGTGGTGCCCTCGGATCGTTCTTGCAGCTCTTCATGACCATCGGTATCCTCATCATCGAGTGTATCGGTCTCGGTCTTACATCTGCCATCGGATGGCGTGTCGTAGTCGTCATTACCGTTGCTCCCGCAATTGCCCAGATGGTCCTTTTGCCCTTCTGTGCCCGTTCCCCCCGCTGGCTCATTACCCAGAACCGCATTGACGAAGCTCGCGCGGAACTTCTGCGTCTGCGCAACGGTGACATCGAAGAAGAATTTGCCGACATCATGCTCGGTCTCTCTAAGGGTGGCGGTGCCGAAAAGAAGGCTGCTCCCACTAATGCTGCTGGTCCTACTGCCACTGATGCCTCTTCTCCCCATATTGAAGACGACGGTTTCAACCACAATGGCATCGACCGTGACTCTGCTATTGATCGTGAAGCTGCTGGTGCTGCCGAACCCTACGAAAGTGAAGTCAACCTGACCTTCCTGCAGGTCATGTCTATCCCTGTTTTGGCCTGGTTGACCTTCAAGATGATGATTGTCCACGCTAGCTCCCAGCTCACCGGTATCAATGCTATCATGTACTACTCCACCTCTATCTTCGAAGAATCCTTTGGCGACTCTGCCCGCTATGTTACCATCGGTGTCGGTGCTCTCAACATGGGCATGACTTTTATTGCCCTGGGTCTCATCGATCGTCTTGGTCGCAAAATGCTTCTCATGATCTCTGCTGCCGGCATGTGCATCTTTGCTGTCCTGATGACCATCGGTCTCCGTTTCGACATCTCTCCCCTTCAGGTTGTCTGCATCATGCTGTTCGTCGCCTCGTTCGCAGTCGGTCTGGGCATGATTCCGTTTGTCCTGACTGCCGAAGTCTATCCTACCTACGCTGTCGGTGCTGCATCCTCATCTGCCCTGGTCGTCAACTGGCTCTGCAACTTCATCATCGGTCTCATTTTCCCCACCCTCCAGAAGGCATGCGGTCCCTATGTCTTCTTGATCTTTGCCGGTCTCTCGTTCGCAGCCTTCTTCTTCATCATGTTCTTCATTCTTGAGACCAAGCGCAAGTCTATCGAAGAAGTCGGTCGTCATCTCGGATGGTACGGTATCAGCCCAGAAATCATCATGAAGAAGGCCGAGAAGTCCATCATCTAAACAACAATAGCAGCATTTTCATTATTTTCTAATTATTATTATTATTATTATCACCCATACTATTTCTCTCTTACTCTTATATTACAACCCTTACAACATTATATTCTCTCACTTCTTTAATTAGAAGAAGAAACCAAACAAAAAAAAACAACCACAATTTCCCTTTTTTTTTTTTACTACCAAATATCTCTTACTATCCTCTTTAACCCCGCAAACACTACTCATTGTACAGGATTCTTCATATTATTGGATCAACCACCCACCAAATGTCTTAATTATTATTATTACTATTATCCTTCATATTCCTATTTTTTTTATATATTTTATTATTAATAATAAATCAAATCAAATTGAATAAACGAATGAATGAATAAACTTCAAATATTTATATCTACTTATTGGTATATTGGTATACAATTTTTTTTTTTAAAAAAAGGTCTCTTTTGTATGAAAATAATAGTAATAATATCCTAATCATCTCATCATCAATAACAATTATATATTATTATAATGTATCTATTGATTTTCTTGTTTGAAATTACAAACAACACCAAGAAGAATGTCTGGATCTTAGTATTATCCAGTCAAAGAATCTTGAAGTTTGATTGTCATCCAAGGATGAGAAAATAAATTATCATTATTCTTTCTATATATATATATAAAGATACATAGTATTCAGTGTTGTAGAGCCCACAGACTACACAGACTACACACACGTATTATATGCTACCATTACAACTTACAATTCACAAATGTCAATCTATAATTCCTTACCAAAGCACTGACTTCATTTTCATTTTTTTTAAAGATAATAGTAATAATAATAATAACAATCTAGAATTCTTCTATAAACCAATCCAAGTCTACCATTAAAAATATATATAGATGTGTACACACTTCACACACTAATCAAATTACACAGACTAATCAAATTACACAAGTGTATCTTTATATTACCGATCTACAAAGAATAAGAAGAAGAAGATGATGATGAAATTTCGTATCGAACAAATCAAATCTCTATATGAATACGTTGGGTGGAATTGAACAAGAAGTCTATTGTACTGTATCGTTCTATATACAAACAAGTATCTTGATTTCTTTTGGTTTGGGGTTTCATGTTTAATCTACAGCAGTTTACAAAATATCCTTTGAACAAATATAGATTTGCATACATGTACATCATACATGCATACATAAAATACACACCAAGTCTACAACAGGAATAATTATATATATTATATATTTATATATTTAAAATAAATGGTGATTGTGATAATAGATAAATATGGCTAACTCAACAAAGATCATATAAATCAATTCTTATTGGTGTGGCAATTTGTGTAGTGCAAGTGTGTAAAGTGTTTATCCACGGAAGGTGTAAGTTGCCGTGGATCCTCAGCATTTTGATTTTTCGGATTGACACACCATCTTTTTCACAACTTTTAAGTTTGGGTTTTATTTTTATATAGACATAGATATATCTGTATGTCAATAAGATTTCTTAATATGTTTCATCCCACATGCTTGGACCTTTTTATTATTATTATTATTATTATTCTTATTCTTGCTTTCTTAATCCTATAAATCATTTTCTGGACACACTTGTTTATATATATGTATATATAGAAAAAAAGATGACGATAAGCATAACAATACGAAGAAGAAGAAGACGGAGAAGACGGAGAAGGGTCTTATTTTTCTTTGTTTTGTCTCAAAAATCAATATAATACATTGATATGTTGCTATGCTGATATGTTGCTATGCTGATAGGTTGCTATGCTGATATATTGATAGTTTTGTATACAGTCACACATACATCTTACATATCTATTTGTCCTCGGTCCAAAATAGATAGTTTGTAGATGATATAAAAGCAAAGCCTGTGCACTACATAAAATAAAACAATAATAAAAACCTCCTATTCATCTTCTTTATTATTGTCATCATCTTAATTTGTTTGCTTCGGCTAAAACAAATATTCAATTTTTTTTTCTTTTTCATTAGGCTATATTGGATTGACTTTTAACCAAAATAATAACAGTAACAACAACAACAACGACAACGACAATGACAATGATAACTGTAAAAAAAATTACCATAAATGTAAGAATGGTGTATTGTCACAAATACCGAGATAAAAAAAATAGAAAATATACTATATATGTACATATTTCGTTTGAATGCCCTTTATTATTATTTTTTGAAACATTTAATTTAATTTTCTTTTAAAATACTCTACTATCCTTTTCTTGGTATTTATTTTTGGAGCAAGAAGAAGAAGAAGGGGTAGTGGTGGTGATGAGAGTTTTTTTTTTTTTGGGTTTCATTGCCAAGCCCTTGACCTTGATGCAGGTTGACCTATAAGGTTGTTACATATGTATATGTGTATATAGTCTTTATTGAAATATTTGAAGATATACTCTCACACATAATATCCATTTGGTTCCTTTAAATGTTTCTTTATTTTATTTTATTTAGTATCGAGATAAGTGTCAAGATTGAATGAATCATATTTGTGTAGTTTTCTTTTGAAGTCAACCAAACCAAACTTACTGACTTGCCTACCTTTCTTTAATAATAATATTATGATTATCAGTAGTAAATCCTTTCAATAAAATCAAATGGTTTATCATTATTATCGTCATAGTCACAAGATACAAGATACAAGATTATGGCTTGAATACTAGAAAGTATTAAATGTTTAATAGAGTGTATATATATATATATATATGAAAGTAGTGTGTGGGGTGTATGCTTTACATGACTCCTGTCTATATACACGTACAAAAATGATCGTCCCCCTTTACAAAAGCCAAGGAACAATAAGAGAAATGACACGCCCCATGGTCATTCATCAGCAACTATCACACTAACGTTGTATTGAATCCGTCAATATTCGCTGTATTCAATTTCCTCTTTTGGAAGCAACTGATTTGTAGACCGGATTTCATACCCAAAAAAATAAAATAATAATCCTACTTTGTCATGTCCTTGCTGTCTTGAGCTTAAGCTTGAGCTTGTCCGACTCTTACTCATCATACTCCTCCTGATCATTTTTTTTTAAAAATAATAATAATAATCTATTGAATATAAAAGTAGTGATTTTTTGTGTTATTTAGTGTATATATATAATATAGATATAGATAGATAGTTAATAAGATAATGCATGTAAGGGTGTAGAGAATACTAGTAAAATAAATAGATAAAGGAAGAAAGGAAGAAAAGAAGTGTTGTGGGACCATTGCTTCCTTGGCAGGAGCTGGATCAATGTCATTGGAGTAAAATAAGGAACGCCAAGACTTCCCCTAAAATATGCCAAGACCTGAACGTAATCCCTGCTGTCGATCTGTTGTAGAATAATAATTACATTATCATTTTCAACTTCAGATTCAGTTCAACACCCCATGTGGGTAACCAAACTAAACCAATTCATTCATCAAAATTTTACTTTTTATTTTTTTCCCATTCATTTAATTCACCAAATTCACCATATTCACCAAATTCTATTCTTATAATTCTTATTTGTTATTTGTTATAATAGTTACGGCTATTATTTTTTTCTAACATTGAAGAGCTGGCTGCTTGTCATGCCATTTATCGTATACTGTCTAATCTCATCAATTTTTATATATATATTTTTTTTAGAGTCTGCCAAGCTGCCAAGAGTCAATAAAAAAAAATAAAAAAATAAATAAATATATATATATATATATATATATATATAAATAATAAATAGATAATAGGTACTAAATACTAATATCAATACTCATAAAAAAATCCCTCATATTTTATATTTCTTTATTTCTTTCTTTATTTATTTATTCATCTTCTTTCTCTCTCTCTCTCTCTTACTTCTTTACTTCTTTAAATCATTCTATATATTTTATATAACTGTATTAAAAAGCAACAATAATGCATCCTCTGCCTCTCAACACATCTTTCCAGTCCTGCTTACCTTCACCTCCAACATCACCAGACGGTCGAAACTCCTCGAGCACACTCACACTTTCAATCTCCACAAAAAGAAGTCATTCTTCATTGGATACCACAACTAACAACGACAGAGATTATAAAGACATACGAACATCATCTTCAGTCGAACCAAAGACTAAACACCCTAGATTCGGCCTGTCTCTTCTAGAATCCTATTTGGAACACGGTGGATCACCAAACGTTCGTGGTACACAACACGCTCTTAGCATGCTCTGCTGGGCATGTCACAGTCGGTCAGTCGTCGCTCTCCGCGTCCTTTTGGACCACAAAGAATTGGACCCCGGATTTGCCCATGGAACTGCAGACCGTGCTACTGCGCTCCACATTGCTGCCAGCATCGGTTTCACACAGGGGGTCAAGCTTCTTTTGGAACACCCAAAGGTTATCCAGGACACCCTGGACATAAATGGCCAGACTGCGCTTCACAAAGCCGTCATCTCAAACCACCCAACCATCCTCAAACTACTCCTGGACAACGGTTCGCGTCTCGACCTCAAAGACAACAATGGCCGTCTACCACTCCACCTCGCTGTCCTGCACCGCAGTATTGCCTGTCTCTCACTCCTATTAAACTACCAGTACCGCACCGTCAACAACCCAACCAACCTCGATACTCTCTGGACAACCACTTCACCAACAACAAGATCTAACTTGCTTAACAGTCGGACAGTCGTACAAGAAGCCATCGTCACAAACCAGCCCACTCTTTTGCTACGGATCTTCCAAGACAAAGCTTGGCGCGCAGGATCCCCAATCAAGCAACACTTGGTTATGGAAGCCGTGATGTGGAACCGGATATCTTGCCTTGATGTCCTTATCACGGTCGGTGGCTGTGACATCAATTGCGCACCATCTTCAACATTATTATCACCGACGGCACACAGTGATTCGCTAGATACCCCACTTTACCGAGCTGTGCAACAACGCAAATTGGATATCGTCCAGAGACTGCGCCAGGCTGGTGCAGATCCTTGCGACCAATTCGGTCACAATCAGAGTTTTATCTATGCCGCAATCCATGGTTTTGTCGACATGGCTGCCCTGCTCATCACCCCTCGTACCTCAAGAGACTCAATTTCCCAAGCCCTATTGATGTCAGAGTCTGCAGGCTGCAGAGCACGGTTACAATCTATTATCGATGGTTCTGGCTGTCAAAAAAACCCCAACTAAACAAGAAAGGTTCTCTTCACCCCCCCCTTTGTTTATCCTACACTACATTAAACTAACCCTACACATTCACTCACATTCACACCCTCTTTCAAAACTATTCTAAATTCATTTAATATTTCCTTTGTATACCATCTTTCTTTCTTTTGTTCTTTTCTCTTGTTAAATCCTGTGGTATTTTGCCTTTTTTTTTTAATTTATTTATTAATTTATTTTACGCTTGCTATTTTTCCTGCTCCTGGTCTTGCTCTTGCTCTTGTTCTTGCTCTTGCCTTTATTTTCTTGTGCTTACAAAAAAACCAAAGAAGAAAAAGAATCCTTGTCTTTCTTTCTTTTTTTTTTTACCCTGTAATCTTTATTTGCTCAAAAAAAATATTAAACAAACTAATACATAGACATAAATACATACACACTCGCATAAGACGCGAAAAGTATGACTTGTATATCTATAGTTATTGACAGTCTTCTTTTTTGTTTGTTTGTTTGTTCATAATTTGTATTTGTTCTTGTTCTTGTTGTTGGGGATTTTTTTGGTATCAATAAAAAGAAAGAAGTGTTAGGGGTGACTAAAGAAAGAAAGGAAGGATAAGTAGAAGAAGTAGAAGGAAAGGGCAAGGGAAAGATATGAATGTAATGAACCATATACTTGTACATATACATATAAAGTCTTGGAAAAAAATTGTCAGTTATCAGGCAGTATACTTTCAACCAAAAAGTCAAGTTGTATTTTCTTTTTCTTTTTTCCTTTTAGACGCCTTCTCCTCCTTCTTCTGGTCCTGATACTAATCCTCTGCAGGTCGAAAATGCTAATGATACCAAAAGAAATTACAAAAAGAACAAAAAAAATAAGCATTTATATCAGCAACTAGCTTTATAATAATAACAACAATTGTATATCATCCACTTACTAGGGAATCCACAAATAGAGGCAGCAATGAAATAGGCAATCAACTATTTATATCATACAATATAATATGTACATGCAAAAAACATTTCATTAGTTATTTAATATTTTGCATTTTGACAATACGCATTTATCTACCTATCTATCTATCTATCTATCTATCTATCTATTTATTTGCATATATGCATGTGTTTATATCTGCTTGAGTTCAAAACATAATAATATTGATCAACTTACGAAACAAGCCAAGGCAATCATAGCCATAAGCTTTGTATTCTTCCACCACATAGCACGCTAAACAAAACAAAGCATAATAGTATTATTAATCCTTTCTTTTTCTTATGCGCCTCCTTTTACCTTGAGGTGAGTGCTACGCTTCTTGAATGCAAATGCTTGCTGGTTCAAATTGTCTGTCTTGTCAACCAACAATTCAATTCTTTCGCCACGTTCCAATACACGCTCTAAAGGCCAATATTCGGACGTACACACACACAGAATACAGTTGTTGAGTTTCTTGGCAAAAGCACACAAACACACCCATTTCTCCTCATTTCTTCCCCAAAATGATCATAGCAATAATACCAAAAACAGAGCCTTACCAATATTGTGTACCATGACATCCTTGACTTGTTCAATTTCACCATGAACCTGCTTTAATCTATCTGAACTGGGGTTGGTAGAGAAATAGTCCTAAAGAAGTTGGTTGATGTATTGTAAATAAGGAGATAATATGTATAGTTATAGTTATTGTATGAGTGTACATATATATGTATATGATTATTGAAAGTAATTTTTGTCTTTTGGGAGGGGGTTTTTTTTTACCATTTGCTTGGCAATAACACGAGAGAATTCATTGAGTCCATAAGGAGGAGCCTGGAGTGCTCTTTCTCTTCCATAGGTAGTCAGAAATTTTTCTTTGAGATCCTGCAGGAATGCAAAGGGAATTCGACGACCAAACGAGTCATCGGCCATGCACATATATGTCACACCATCCTCACAGATGTAGTGAAAAAGATAACTAAAAAAATGAAGAAATAAAAGGCCTACTGTGAGTTTACAAGCAGACTTTGAATATACTTCTCAAGCATTCATACCGATCGTAGACATAGGTCAGCTTTGAGTTATTGGGAGGGATTTTCTCGAGAATAGCCTGGGTCACTTTATAATTAATATAAATATATTATATTATATATATATATATAGTGTACGTGTGTATATGTTTGTTTGTTTTAATATAAAGAAAGACAGAAAACGTTATTATTGTTATGATTATGATTATTGTTGTCAAAGAATGTACGTATATAGATAAAAAGAAGTAGATGAAAAGACACAACAATATAAGTGTATATATGTCTTTATCTTTTTGTCCTTTTCTTTTTTGGGGGTTTCATTCTCATTCTCATTCTCATTCTAATTCTCATTTTTGATTCATTTTCGATTCAATCTAATTTATTTATTTTTTCATTTTTTTAAGATATTTTATACTAGTAATTGTTACCAGTAGCAAAGTTTCCAGAGCTATTGGTGTGCTCCGCCAGGATAGTAGAGCCATGGGCAACGAGACCGTAGATGAGAGACATTTTGAAGAAGAAACAAACAAGGGAAAAAAAGCCGTAGTTGGAGTTGGAGTTGGAGTTGGAGCTGGAGTTTGTGCTGCAGGTTTGTACAGTATCGTAACTTGAAATTTAGACGATTTTCAAAAAAAAATTAGACAAATAAAAAACTAATTTTGGATGATTTATGATGTTTCTTTGGACGATTTCGCCCAGCCTAATTTAGACGAATGTGATTATTTTTTAGATGAGTGTGATATTATTTCAGATGCATTTTATAGGGACCTTGGACACATCATATAATGGTTTTCTCCAGCATACGGGCCAAATTATTTAAGAATGGAAAAAAGTGAATAATTGCAAATTTAGCTATTAAATTACTTTATGTAGTAGGTTTTATGATATAATTTTCACTTTGTTCTAAAAACGTAATTTGGCTCTGAACATTCGCCGGCCTCAAAAGGGCTTGCTAAATAAAATCCAAATGTCCCAAAGAAGATTTGCCGTTATTTTAGAGATACTTTCAACATCAGATGCAGTCTACTAAAGACCTTATTTCAATTCTTTCAATTCTTTCAATAATATAACCGCCTTTACGCATTATCTTATATCTGTAGAATTTATAAAATGTAACTTTTACAGGACAGTTTAGTAGTAACCTTTGCTTTTTACATTTTGGAAAAAATGGCTGCTTTCTGGGTTTATACTTCTATATTTGGATTGAAAAGCCAATCTACTTGGGATAATTTGGCTCGTATGCTGGAGAAGACCATAAATGTGTTTATGAGTTATCATTATGTTTATAATAATTTATTGATGTCTCCCATATTATGGTAATATCATCATATGAAATATAAGCACTATCATGCATGATAAACCTGTGTGTTAAATAATAAAGTAATCGGTAGACACCTTTGACTGGAATAGCAGAGGCCTTATATTATTTCCTTCAGACTTATTCTCAATTACAGCAGTAGTCAATACTCATTTACAACACTGGCCATCTGTTGCAATAGCCGAATACGAGATTCATCGTTTTCATTTGTTCGAGATTTTCTTGCATAGCCTACAATGTTGTATCTTTCCTTCTTGAGATTTTGAATAAACAACTGATAGTGAGGCAAGTAATCCAGTACTTTTTTTGCTATATCATCTGAAAATCAGATTAACACAGATAAATAATATCCAAAAAATTATTTTACCAATATACTGTAGCCTGTTTATATTAGAACCCAGTCATATCTGCGTGTTTGCGTGTGTGTGTAGTCATTCAATCAGTCAGCCAGTTGGTCTTGCTTAAACTAAACCACATTGAGCCGAATGTGTATATATTTTTATATATATATGAATATTATAATATAATAAATAAAAATGTTAAAGTCCTTTAAACTGCTCAACAATGGTAGTAAGCGTTGTCAATCAAATTATACATATATACATATATATATATATATATATTGAGGGAGAAAAGACAAATAGGAGTCGAATGGCAACATAAAACAAGTTATGCAAACACAAAAAAAACGTGCCGGACTAGCACAAGGCTGATCCCGAACCGATACCGGACATTTACAGTCCAGTACAACAATCATGGTAATAATCTAGTAATTGTGTAGGTTATTAGGGGGTGTAGAAGGAATGGAAGGAGTAAAAGGTAGTTTGGTGGGTAGAGCGCAAAGGAATTGGGTATCAAAAAGGTAAGAGATATTAACTAGGTTTAAAGGTGCCAATAAAGCTTTACACTCATCTTGTACGCACACAAGCATATAAACACGCCTTTCATATTCTTTCTTACGCTATCTACTCTGTGTTGCATGTCAAATTATGTCACATATGCATGCATAATTACACGATAAAAAAAATATAGCCACTTTCCAGCCCTCTTCCTTCTCTCAATTGCCAGTCTTTCAACATTATTCAAATATACATGTGATCATGATTGATTAATATAAAAGCAACACATCTTTATATTTTATTCGATTTTTTTTTGGTTTGTTCGTTAAGATTAAATAGACATTTTAACGGGTCTTGAAGTCTAGAAAATAGAATATCATCAACATTAGTATAATATACTTTACTTAACTCACAGTAGTAATAGTGATAGTAATCATCAACTCATAAAAATGAATATCACTTACAATCCAAGAGGACGTTCATGGCCTCGGATTCCTCTCCAAAGTCAGTGACGACAACGCAGGAGCAGCCAACAACCTTGCGGGCGTTACCCTCACGATCGATCTTGCAGAGACCAGCCCATTCACCGAGCTTCTTGGCATCAGAAACCTTGATGAGGTTGATGTTGTGCTCAGCACAGAGAGCCTCGACAAGCTTGAGGTACTCGGCCTCAGTGCAGGACTCGCAGAGAACAGCCAAATGGGCCTGACGTCTGATGATTGTTGTCATTGTTGTTAGTATTATTGTTATATATATATATATATATATTACCTGTCAAGGGCCTTGACGGACTCCTTCAAACCACGGACAAGACCATCGTGAACGAGAGCACGACGGAGGACATCCTGGAGGGCTTCCTCAACGGACATCTGTCCCTTGCTGACTTCAGCGGCAACTTCGACTTCCTGGGTGTCCATGATGACTTCTTCGGCAGACATACTAAAAACAATCATTGCGGATAAGTTTCCATCCATCCACTCTGCTTTAGTCTGCTGCTTTCAGATGCTATGATCGACATACTTTGCGATGTGTATAATGCAAAAAAGAGGAAGATCACAGCCTTGTCCCCCATGAGACTACCTCTTCTATTTGCCCAATCCTTTCCTCCCCCCTCTCCCCCCGCCTCACACACACTCGCACACTCACTCCCTCACTCCCTCACGCACTCGCACTCACACTCGCACCCTCCTACTTTCCACCTGTCCGGTACACTTGTCACATACATCCCCGGAATATATTCCGGGCCGTCACGTGAAAGATCTACAATACTCACTTATACACACAATAAGTGTGTGTGTCTGTGTGTATATGAGTGTCTATCTAGACGAATGAATTATTCAAAAGAAACCAATGGTCTTTTCATTAAATTAATAACTAGTACTTATATCTTAACCTCTCCAAGTTTCTGGGATATTTAATATTCTATGAATATGTTCTTTTCCTTAATTAAAAATAATAATACGTGGTTGAACAAGTTGATCCCGTGACTGCGATATATAATGAGAAAGAAGACGAAGACGGCTACGATGACTACGACGACTACGACAAAGCTTAAAGTGTCAGACCAAGTTCGATCACCTTTTCAACTCTTTTTTCTTTCTTTATTATTATCACTAAAATACAACAATTATGACCGAAGAAGTTGAACCACGCTTTCTCATTCACCAAGCAACCCATCTGTTTGTAACTGAGCCAGTGTTTTTTCAACTGGTTCAAATGAACAATTCCATGCTTGTCTGGGCTGGCAAAAAGAGTGGAAAACTAAATGACCTATCAGTAGCCGTTCCTTCATTTGGCAACCACGTAAAGACCTTCTTTCACAATATATACACATTTATGTATTTATTTTATTTTATTTTATTTTACAAACGCGACTCAATAATTATGTTTATTAGTATTATTATTATTATTATTATTATTATTTACTTACATAATAATCTAAATATTAAATATTGAATATTTTACGCTGTTATACTCTTTTGTGCAATACACAACCTATATACAGACTTCTCCTTCTGCAACAACTATCTTGGGTCAAGACGTCTCTGAATCTGGTAGAAACATGGCTCGTCGTTTAGGTAAGCCAAATAAGAATAAGAATAAAAATAAAAATAAAAATAAAAAAGAGCGCAAAGAGACAATGATAACATCAGTAATAACAACAGCAACAACAATGATAATAAATGCAAATGCAAATATTATTCACACATGTACATACATACATACATATATCTGTTTATGTGCGGGTGATTTTCTAATGGTACCTGTTGTTGTAGCTTTGAAATACAAACAGCAATTCTACGTGAGTCTGGATACTGGAAGCCAAGATCCAATGATGAATGTGTTTATAGAAAAGAAATTGACAGAAATGATCAAAATGGTTTTGACCTGAACCTTTGAGTTTATTTACACACAGGAATATATATATATATATTCTTCAAAGAGAAAATTAATAGCAATAATATTCAATGTAAATATATATTTTATATATCTATATCAATATCAATATCAATATAACGATGGTAGAAAGATTGGGTGTATTTTGTAATCTTGATTCTTTGTTTTTTTCTATTGTTTTTTTGTAGGCATTGATTTCACCAGATTTACTATTTCAAATCCAATTATTAAATGATTATGTATATGTATATGTATGAAGCTGTAGCTGTAGCTGTAGCTGTAGCTGTAGATGTATGTTTAAATTTTAAAGAAAAAAGAAGCAAAAAAGAGAGGAATATCTTGATCTCTTGTCTTGTAAGCATAATGATGTGTGTGTATTTTGGTTTTAAAATGAGTTTCTTTTTCTTTCTTTCTCTTTAATCGTCTGTGTCGAACACAATCTTCTTGTTTGAAGAGCCCTCTCCACTGAGAGCCTTTGACATCATCTCTTGCTGTAAACGCTTTGCCTGCCATGAAGGATGCATTTCATCATCTTCCAAGAAACCAGAATCCTTGGGCTTCGAAGCAGGTGCAGAAATACTTGGTTTTGCGCCTGCCTTTGGCTTTCCACCTTTTTGGTTGTCTTTCCGTTTGCCAGCCAAATGTTTTGCTGTCTTTCCATACATTTGTTCCCACACACTATTTTCAACAACAACAAAAAGGAAGAGAAATGAATACATGAATATTTTTTATATAATAATTATAGATATTTATCCAACTTACATTCTTCTTTGCCGTTGTCCAGGTCTGTTCTTCTTCTCTTCGTTTTCATAATATTTGTTAAAGTCAGTGTCAACCCAGTCTTTGCCCTTTAGAGACTTTTTGTCCTTGGACTTTGATTTTGCCTTGTTGTCTTTATCTTCATCATCACTTTCGTCATCGTCATCCTCACTATCTTCTTTCAATGTCTCGACAAATAGAGATGATCCATCTGACACAGAGCTCTTTTGTTTCTTGGTTTTCTTGGTTTCTGAATCAAGGTGTTCGTTTTCAGCAAATCTCTTGCCATTTGTTGCTGTTGATGATGATGGTTTTCCAGGCTTTAGTTGGGATGGTGTTCCAATAACGATCAGCTCGATTTCAACCATCAGTTTAGTGAGCTCATCTTTGGCGACTTTGTTGGAAAGCACGCGAGTCTCGATGTCTTGAGTCAATTTGACGGAAACTGGATCCTCTGGAGTTTCGGTCGGTGGTTTGTATTCCTCGTATGAGTTAACGACAGAAACCAACAATTCGGATTGCTTCAGCTTGGAATGTTTCAAAAGCTTATTTCGAAGTGTCTTTTCTGCCAATGTATCGACATCCAAGTTCTGTGTACACATTAAATTATCCAAATACATACATACATATATCAGATTATTATTTTCCACTATATATATATATATTCTTCTTTCTTCTTTCTTCTTTTTGTATTAAAACGAACAAAGACACATCCAAACTGGTCACAGTTTTACCTTTACAATCTCTAATTCTTTTTCCATTTTTGCAATCAGCTCTGGGGTAACCACTCTTCCTTTCTTTGGTTTCACTTCAGATTTGGTCTCTTCAGACTTGGTTTCTTCGGACTTGACTTCCTCAGATTGAGCCTCATCAGACTTGGTTTCAGCATTGGACTCTTGAGTCTTGCTATAATATATCAAAAGTAAAAATAATGAGCCAATTGCTTCCTACGGCCCAAGAGAGAGCATCATTCACATTCTTCTCACACTCTCACTCACACATGCCATATATATATATATACTAAAATTAAATTACCTAGCGTCAGCAACGAGTTTACGACTATCACGTAGTTTCTTGAGCTGCTTCTGGGTTTCTACAACCTTGCTTTTTTTTAAAGCAGAGCGCAATTCCTTTTGTGCCTGAAACTAATATACAAATAAATCAATTCAGTAAAAATAAATCATAAAGCAACAATTGTTCTTTATTTTGCTCTTTCTTCTTCTTCTTCTCCTACTACTAGACATACCACACCACAAACTACAAACTACAAACTACAAACCCACACACCCACACACCCACACACCCACATGCTAATCCAGCTTTACCAATTTCAATTCCAACTTTTTGCCTCTTGCTTCATCCAACATGTGTCTCAAGGTCACTTTATTGTTCTCGCTGTTATATGAAGGATATCCCTGACTAGCAGCCCATTGTTGTTGATGTTGAAGTTTGACAGTTGCTGCTTTTTTTGCTGACTTTAGTCTAGAATCTTCTCCAATCTAGATCAACAAAAACAAATATATATATAGAAATATTTCATGAATGTTGTATACATTGATAAATTTAAAGGACACTTAAGTATGTAAAATATATTAGCTTTATGTGCATTGAATTATTTACCTGGACAGCCAAATAATTGATCTTCCAATTAAGATTCTCTTTGGAAGAGCTTTTCTTTTGATTAGGTTGTTGTGAATTTGAATTATTTTTCTACATTTTATTATAAATCATCATTCAGAGAAGTAATTAGAATGAATATTAAACAATGCGATGCTTTTGGGGAGGCATTTTTTTCTTTCTTTTTTGGTTCTCACCATTCTTATCGTATGGTCATGTAATGTACAAAAATTTAGACTGCTTCAAAGTCTCCACAATTCACTAAAACGCAGTAAGCCACCCAAATATTCGAAGCTTCGTTCTTTGAATTTTGAAATAAAATAGCAAAATTCAAAGAAAGAGAAAAGATTTGCGTGCCTTTTGTTTTTTACGATAGATTAGTTTACCACTCTATCCATCAAATACTCTAGATATGTATACGTATCTTATTCAATCGAATGCTACGAGCTGTAATATTAATAGTAATAGAGAGGATTTTGTGCTGTGGCAAAATCAAATCAAATTGCCATACTTCCAAATAAGGAAGTCGGTTGTTTAAAGTTTAAGGTATTTAAAACACCGTAAAATTGGAGGGGAGTTGTGACAATTTGGGGTCATTCTGCCATAGAATTATGGCAAATTCAATTCAAATTGCCATAGATTTTGAAACAGTTCAGTAGAATTCTGTGGCAATTTCAAAATAAAGAGCAAATCTTTTGAGATACAAATATTTAAACTAAGCGATACAAATTCGACAAATATAGAAGTGGGTATTTTGACATAATTCAAACATCTACCCTATTAACAAGGTATCTAAATTATTATTTTTTTACGCTTTTTTGACATATTTTAGACGTTTGTACATATCGTTAGTATTATTTTTAAGAGCTTATTTATATAAAGGCATAACTGTAAATCTTAATACATAATCTACAGTAAATATTCTACATTTTATTATTATTTTTCGTATCTTTTGATATTCAATGTTTTGCATTAATATCGTTGCTATTATTATTTTAGCAAAAATCTAGTCGTGTGTGATTGGAATATGCTGCAAACAAAACAGAACAAAAACCAAAATAAAGAAAAAGGGTTTATGGAATACAACATAACAGTGCATAAAAGCAGTGCATGAAACATAGTACTCGTATGATCTTGTTTTGTTTTAGATGCATGAGCCATTTGGTTCATGCCTCCTGTAATCATATAAGCTAATAAAGTCAAAGGGCTGTAAAATAAAATAAAATCTGCAGTTTACCACACAAGTAAATAAATGAATGATATATAAATAAATAATAATATTAAAACCCTGATGTTTCAAAAATAAAAGTATATTTTGAACGAACAGTGATGACTAACTGCCTGACTAACTGCCTGACTGACTTGGAGATAAGAATTTGTTTATTCTAGAAGTCTTTTAAAATAATGCAAGGAAACTCACAACTGCTTTACAACTAAGGAACTAAGCAACTAAGCAAGCAAGCAACAAAACGTATAGATTGATTGTTGATTCAATATTTTTATTTATTTATTTCTTATATAAATATAAATATATGGATGTATAAATAGCTGAAAGTATATAAAGATACGGGGTGGGGGATACAATACTGAGGGGAAGGACCTTTTTTCTTCTTCTTCTTTTAAAACCCCTAGTTTTTCTCTTTTCTTCTTGTTCGTACAGATTCCTTTAATGAGTATATGGTTATGTATGTATGTGTGTAGGTGTAGGGGTGATTCCCTTCTTTTTTTTTTAGGTTTTTACTTTCCAGAGATAAGATGCTTTATAGAGTTAATGTAGTTATGATGTGTCTTGGACTTGTAGAGTGCCAGCTGTTCTGGTTCAATAAATTGTTCGAATTGACCATCCTTGTAAAGAGCTGCGAGACCCTTTGGTGAGAACATGGAAGGGTCAATGACGCGATCCTCTCTAGAGACAATCTGATAGATAAGAGAGCTTTCATAACTGTCCTGGTAGTAGAAACCACCCTCATTACAGATCTCATCAATTGTACGCCTATCAAAGGAAAGAAAAAGTAAAGTAAAGAAGATCACGAGGTCCAAACAAAATTAGTACTTATTATGCTTGCAATGTATATATAATCAAGCAACTTACGTAAATTTCAGTCCACGGTCTGCAGCCTTGGTCATCATCCATCTCAATGACTGGTTGGGAAGTAGACGGGAACCTTCTGCTTGGCCACCAATGTCACTGTGCATGCCTGGGAACCAGATCTGCTCCAATTCCTGATCTTCTCTTTGCTTGAGGCCAAAATCCATCAGAGCAGGTGTGAACCAGGCGCGCTGTTCATGGATTGACAGAGCGTGGAAGGCAGATTTGACTTTCGGAGAGATACGAATGTCATGGAAACTGTTGCGTTCGTGGAATAATGTCCAGACTTGAAAAAATACATATATATATATATATAAATTTATTCATGAGAAACTCCCATTCTTTTTTTTTGTATTTTATATATATATATTTCCTAAAATAATATAAAATAAAACACTATTATACTTACAGGTTGATCCACCAAGGTACCAGGGTAGTTGTGGAACACCAAGAGCACCAACTGTATCAAAACAGCCCAAGAATCTAATTTCGGGTTCCATGCATTGATACTGAGTGCGGAAATTGACGGCGACCTCTTTCTTTGGATGCTTTGCTTCATCTCTGCTGCAGTACAGTTTGTATGCTTCTGGTGCCTGGGTTTCTATATGCTCATCTGGCAAGAGTCCGACATTGTAAATCATTCCGGCCAGACTTCTTGCGGCATAAGCTAATGAGTAGAGTAAGTATTACTGAATACACACACCCACAGTAATATTATATATATATATGCGTGTTAATTACCTCCTCTGCTAAAGCCAAAAATCCAAATCTCATCATCTTCGTTCTCATAATGTCTGCTGATGAATTCATACGCCTTCATGATCTGGTTGCTTAGACCAAGTCCAAATAGACCACCAAGATACTTATTTTGGGTTGTTCCGACGCCTTCAAAGTAACCTGCCACCTGTCTCCATTGATCCTGTTCTGGGTCCTCCTTTTTGTCACCCTTTCCAAGTTTGCCTTCTGGCATGTTTAGGTGAAGGTAAAGATAGTACACGTTTGTTCTCTCTATTGTTTGTTTGTTTGTTTTATTTTTTATTTGATACTCTGTTAGTTATATGTATTATATATTTCACATTTATTCGATTATAAAAAGGTCTGTTTGGTGGTCTAACCTGATGGTGTGTCCCATGTACCGTCCATGCAGACAATTACTCTGTTGCGAACGCGAGGGATGTTGGTGTTTGTTGTGATGGTAACCTGAGAGTCCATTTCGAATATTCCAGATATACAAAAGAAGAAAAAGAAAAAGAGAAAGAAAAAGAAGAAGAAGGGACGTGGGAATGGATATCAAGAAGTGATGCAGCTAAAGAATAGTGTTTATATATACGTATTTTTTTTTTTGAAAAAAAGAAGATTTTTTTTTAGTAACAAAAAAAAAGAAAACTATGATTAGTATTGGGATTACCATTACCACCACCATTACTACTACTACTACTACTACTACTACTACTACTACTACTACTACTACTATTAGGTTTATAATTAGTATTATAGTTATTGTCAAGATGTGATATATATATAATATGTACTTTAAAAAAAAGTATTGCCCATGTGTGGAAGTATTATATGTATTATGCACCAGATAAGCATGAGTGATTGTAACCAAAGATGGCTTGGGAATTGAATTGGATTGAATTGAGTTCTGTAAGAGGTTGGTTAACACAATAGCCATTTGAATTTGTTCTTTCTTTATTTCTTCCTCTCTATTAAAAGAAGATGGAAGTCCATTGGATATTCTAGACAATATATACATATCCACATGCGAGTGCGCTTGTGTATGCTTGTGTGCTTGTGGGACATCTTGTACTTGTAGGACACCGTTCTTCTTCTTGCTTTTTTTTGCATGAGTATAAAAGTTTAAATCAATGCAATATTTGGCGGTTGCCGCCAGACACGATCAAACTTTGCTGTTGTACCTTTTGTATATATTTCTTTCTTTATTTATTTTTATTTTTATTTGGAACTCACAGGGTTTCCTTTTCTATGCACAAAACCTAAAATATTTTATTTTTACTACAGAAACCCCCCCCCCCCCTTTTTTTTTATTTTTTTGTCGTTAATATTAATATTAATTTAGCTATTTTTTTACAGCACCACAGGTATAATTCCTTACTTATTCTCAAGCAGTGAAAATAATTATACTAGTAATTTCAAGTCAAATGCAAGCTACACATATATAAGATATATACATACATATAGTCAATACGTAAAGATACATATACATATATACATATATATAGTTTTATTAGTATTCCTTCCCCACACACTCGACTACAATAAGGAGGTCGTATCGACTATACTGTTGTCTCGAGTCATTTTGGACACCTTGTTTTCTTGTGTTGTTCTTGTGAGACGTTAACACAAAAAAAGAGAGCATTAAATATTAAATAAAGAATAATAATGATAATAATAAGAGTTTCCTCAATAGACATGGTGTGTTGTATATATTCTTTCTTCTTTAAATATTCAAGAAGAATTCCAGGCAGAAAAGGTTAATATATGATGTCTGATTATACTAATCACAGAAAACTTGCCATTTAAAGTGTATATTTTAGACCCTGTAGTATATTCTACTTTCAAGCCAATAACCTATGTATTTGTCTTTATTCTTATTTAATAATCAGAATGACAGTTGTACACTGTCTTTAATACATTAGATTCTGTTTGTTAAATGATGGCGATTCAAATAAGAAAAATACTATAAAAAAAAGGCATTCACTGGCTTAATTATATATCCAGATGAGCAAAAGTATATTTTCCTTCTTTGCTTTTCCTTTCTTTCTTTTTTTATACACCAGATATAAATATAACTATGGCAACGAACAAAGAGAGAAATATAATTCAATTACGAAAAAAAAGACATTACTATAAAAGCTGTTGAACAGATTCAAATCTTAACAAAGCCTCTAGGGCTCACCATAAAAAGACAGCAAAGGGAAAGCTCGGCAATGTAGATCATATATTAAGATCAATTTGTTTTTGTAAACTGTAACATTAATTCCTTTTTTACTGACAATCCCGATAGAAATAATTAAAGACAGAAACAAAACATAAAAATAAAATAAAATAAAAGCTTTTATTTTATTTTTACAGAAGAATCTAGAATTGACAAGGAAATGTACTTTCAAGTAGCTAGACTCAAACGGACAAGTCAAATAGTTTAAAGATTTTTTTATCAAGGTGGAGCTCATGCTGCTAGTCTATCTATTCCACGGTAAAATAGAACATTTAAAAAATAAAAATAAGAGTGTAGCATTTTCCTGTTACATATTACTCCTTTTCTGTACAACCTTGCACTACAGCAAGAAGACCAATATAAATATATACATATATGTATGTATGTAGGGAAAAAAAAAAGAAGCGCCGTTCAAGCGTTTGAATCAATTGGGTATTTACCAAAGTCTCTTCTTTCTTTCTTTCTTTTCAAATCGTTGTACGCCTACATACTAGGCCGTGTTTCAATCATAAAGCCTTTCTTTTTTATCTGAGATTTTGGTCACTTAAAAATGACCTTTTCTGGCAGTCAAATCGAGCCCAATACTTTGCGAATAAATAGAAAGAAGGGAACAAAGAAAAAAGCAGGGGCACCCCGCTTGTTCTCTCTCTCTCTCTCTCTCTCTCTCTCTCTCTCTGTCATTTTATGCGTGAGTGCGTATGAGTGTGCGTGTGAGTGTAAAACATAGGCATGTATTATACATGCTCTACATGCTGTATAGACATGTGGCTGCCACACTTGTCTTGAGAAGTCGGTTGATTTGCTCTTTTGCAAAAGAGTTAGTGAATATTCTGAATAATATCAGTCATATATGGTGTAGTGTGATTGATACTGAGCCAATATGTGCTATTCACACAGTAAGCTATCCTCCCTTACTTAATCTCCTGCCTTTTTATTTTTCTTTCAACTGAAATATTCCGGTAACAGTGACTTAAAGAATCTATTACCATTATTCACTTTTTCTCTCACTTTTTCTCTCTTGCTTGGGTAAGACCTAGGTATATAATATAGTGAAATATAGAGAGAGATAGAGAGAGATAGAGAAATGAAGAGAGAGAAAAATAAAATAAAGGAAAAATGGAAAGAGAAAGAGCAAAAAAAAAAGCAAGATAGATAGAAAGTACATCAAATAATTGAATTATTTACCTCACTGCAGTACAGGTGGTTCAAGCACAGTGAGAAAAAAGGAAATCTCTTACAACTAAAGGATCATTTGTATAATGCATGTTTTGAAATTTGTTTCATCAGTTGCATCGCATGTTATTTAATGATTTTCATTGGTAGCACCTAAATGTATAAAACATATACGCACACACAAACGCACATTTATATTTAATTTTGTAGATATACATTTCACTCTATCTGAAAATACACTCTGAAGTACAAGACCAAAAGAGAGTACCGTGTATCATTCTCTCTTATTTTATTCTTCTAGTCTATTGAAAACTCTCGATAACAGTAATAGTTAATACATCTGTAGATATCAAAGCTCCACGGACACAATACTAAATAAATAGAAATAGGATAAAAGAAGTATGTATTTACTATACACAAAAATTCGTTTAGTTTGTATCATTTTCTTCGTATTCGAATATTTATATTATATTTATTAACAGAATAATAATAAACTGAAAATTTCATCAAATAAGCATTGAACTGACTCGAAGATCATTAGAATAACTCATTATTATTATCATTTTAAAATTTTAAAATTTTCTACCGTCGGGTGTGTGGGGTGAGGAAGTATTTGTACCATATCTTCCTGTAGGACTGTGTCCAGGTACGTTCCCATACGTTGCGTACTGGGGTTGTCTTTCATTGGCATCCGATGCCATCATTACCACATTATCCTCAGTAGCAACTTGTGGATGGTAATCTTGGTCTCGATAGACAAAAGCAGGCGGGACAACTCCTGGGGAGTTTTGGTAATGTTGCTGTTGTTGCTGTTGTTGCTGCTGTTGTTGGTGTATAGGTATTACAGGTGGAACTCCAGCTGGTTGGGAACCAACAGGTACATTAGTAGATGCACCATAGCCTTCATAGTAACCATCGTACGCAGAGTAACTATAATATCCGTAGTTGGGATCGCCTTGATTATTGTCCACACTCGGATAAGGATGAACAACAGACTTTGGTCGATAAGAAGTGGTTGCAGTTCGAGCCACGGGTTGAATATCACGGAATCCAGAATCAAGCTTGACTGGAGCAGAGGCCTTAGCCATGGGGACATCGGACTTGAAGTCGTAGGGATCGTAGTTCTCACAATAGATATCTGATTTTTTCTGAGCAACAGTGTAAATAAATAGGATGATCCAAAGAGCGGCAGAAATAATACTACCCAGCCAGGTACCATTGACGAGCCCTATTAAACCGATCAACCGATTAATTGGATGGTTGGTTGGTTGTGAGTAAGTGAGGGATATTATATTATTATTAAAAAAAAAGTGCTATTATTCTTTGGTGGTACTCTTTGGAAATCTTTACCCAAATATAAATTATGATTTTCTACTTACAGCATCGGTAAAACGTGGTCTGATCCTTACTATAGGTATCGCAGTAGCTTGCAAAGCCATACGGAGTCGATGAAGGTTCAGTAACCTGTCCGTTTGTCCAAGGAATGGTACCTGATTTCATGGTACTATAAATTATGACGGCTATAAGAAGCGCGATATTGAAGCCTGAGAGGATTCTGTCGTGTCGAATTGCTTGGATCGTCCAGGTCGAGATAACGAGCGTGAGGGCACATATCACAGAGAATCCTGGTCCAACAAAGTACAGAATATACTAAATTAGAAATAATGAGTTTGAGTACATACACACACACATATATATATATATAAGAATATATACGCGCGCACAGATGTATAAAACAAATTGATCTATTGATCTACATGACTTACAGGAACCATTGATGGCCACCAAGACCCAACGTTTTTGTTCTGACTACTGTAGTTCTCCAAAAGGACAATCTGGGCTAAGTAAGAATAATAATAATGATAATTGTTCAATTCGATTCAATTCAATTCAATTCAATTCGATTTAAATTTGATTTAATTTTTTGGTTTTTTTTTATTAGTCAAAATGTATAATGGCTTATTTATGCATATATTTATTATCAAGTAATATATATATCTTACCAACATGACATCCTAAAGCTCCTGCACTGATAATCAAAATAAGGAATCTCAAGAAGATCAGTCCACACTTTCTCATTGACATTGCTTTTTTTTTAGGTTTGAAATTCAAATACAATAATTTTTGAAATGAGGGAGAGAAGAAAAAAAAGGAGATGGAATGGACTCAATGAGCAATGAAGGACAGGTGAAGGAAAGTGAAGATAAGAAGGAGAGAGAAAGAGAAAGAGCAAAACCTAGCTCGGTTTGCTTAAGAGTAAGTATTGTATTTGAGCCAAAGGTTACATCTGATCTTAGAGGGTATAGTATGGGAGGACAAGACAAAGAGCTCATTTAAATGGGTCCATGTTACAATACAAGCTTTACTCATTTTACCTTTCTTATTTACAGCCATTGAATTAACAAATATATATATATATATATATATATCTAAATGAATTCAATGTACTTTTTTTTTATTGTTTTTAATATTATTATTATATATATATATTAACCGTATTCTAGTGTTTATTGATATCTGATAGCCAGCTATAATATCATTGAACTGATCGCTCTCCGGGTTACACTAATGGAACTAAGAATGGCACACAAGCCAATAATTCATCGTCCTTTGATGGGTTCATAAAAAATATATTTTATACGATAAAATTTGTATGATATTTCCAAGTTTGTGGGTAGGTGTGAAAAATCCCCTCCTTCCCAATTGCTTTGAATACAAAGCGTATAGCTATTCACATTCATATACAACCATAATAGCAGTACAAGCTAATACTTTTTGTTAATATTTAATATAACGTTTGACAGCTTGAGAAAATATTTTATGTACAATCAATACAATTTTTTTGTATTCAAAAATAAAGATGCGACCTCGTATGTGTATGTATGTATGTGTGTGTGTGTGTGTGTGTGGTGTGTGTATAGTATAGTGTAGTGTATATAATGTATAGTGTAGTTTCTAGGCCTTATTTTCACTTGCCCACAAGGAATCAAGTACGCGCATGAGCTGGGGTTCTGGTACAGACAAAATGACTGGCTGCAGTCTAGTCGAAAGATCTTCCTTGGAGACATCTGCACTCTCTGACAAACTCTTGATCAAATCCAACATTGTCCGGACAGTGCTTCCGAGTGTGGCCGTCTCTCCAACCCACTCCAACACTTCACACAACCTGTCTAGCTTGTTCAATTGTACTTTGGCAAAAAGTAGTCGCTCTGATGGCAAACCAATAGAAGATGTTCTAGCCCAGTCTGCAAACACATCCTTGACCGTTCGAGGCTAAATTGATTCAAAGAATAGAATCTTTAATATCATTTCAAATGATTCCAGCCCATAATCGACCTCTTCAAATCCCCAGTATTCACGGTCATCATCATCAACAACAAAAAACAAGAGACATAATCTTACCTCATCTGCATCCTTGACATCAAGTATTTGTCTAAACCGGGAACTATTGTTGGTCCAGTCATCAATATTATCTTTTGTCCACTTTGGCTGAGTGATTGGATTGCGTAAATCCACTACACATGAAATTTCCTTCACTATTTCTAGTTGACCGTTTGATGGATCTTCTCCACCCTCCACAAAATTGGCGTTTTCAAGTTTCTCTACCTAATTAAACCATCATACATATATACATATATACGCACCAACACAAACCCACAAATTTACAAATACAAGGTTAACATTTTTAGTTCATACCCATACACACACACACATATATATATATATGTTGTGCATAAACCTAAAATAATAGGAAATAAAAATAAAATAGACCTTGTACTGGCCATTGATTTTGATATTAAATATTCCAGCCTTGTGAGTCAATGAGATGGATTCAATGTTTTCTGCGAGGATCACGAAGCGAATCAAACCATCCTGTACAATAATCGCAATCGAGTCTGGTTTGGACTCGGGATCGGCTTCATTGTTGAGGTAAAATCGTAATCTACTTTCTCCCTTGTTGACATCACTTTCTAGAGATTTCAGTCATCCACACAGTTACACGGATCAGTCGAAACCTCTCATTGTATTGTATTGTATTGAATTGAATTGTATCGTATTGATTATATATATATATTGGTATCCAATAGATAAATTGAATATGTACATAAAACAATAAAAATAATATATATATATATTATGTAAAAATTAAGTCTCACCTGCAACATAGTCTCCCATTACCATCTTTTCAAGACGGAATTCAAAGAAACCTTTTCTTGCAGGCTTGGGAGTTACTACAGGGTGGGGTCTAGGTGCATATGTGGTTGGGTAAGGTTTGTAGCGACGGTCGTAACCATAAGGAGGGTGACGCGGTTCTCTTCCAGGATAGTGTTGTGTCCGTGGTGGCGGCGGCGGTGGTGGTCGTGCTCCATATCGTCTCATTATGCAAGTATAGGAATATTATAAATTATATGTATGTATGTATGTATGTATGTATGCTTATATCTATTTAATGAAAGCGTCTTTGATTTTTTTTTTGGAAATAATAATAATAAAGGATTAATATATATATAATAAAAATGGCGGCCCTTTGATTGTCAAAGACCACAGTCACTTGGATTCTCATTGCCACAGACTTAACTCGACTTGGATGATATTCTTAAAGCCATTGCTATGAAAAATGTAGGTTCAACTATTGTAATTCAAAATCTCTACACGAGAAATTAATTGAAACACCCAAGAATCAAGAGAGAGATAGGGAGGGAGAAAGCAGTAAATGCTTAAAGCAACAAGAGCAACAGCAACACTCTAGAAAATTGTGGCCACTACAGAAATTCTAATTACTGGCTGTTTTTTAAAGCTTAAATTTCTCAATAGAAATCTCAATACAGCTTGCATTACTTGCCTACAATAAAACACGCACACACACACATATATATATGTATATTTAAAGTATTGATGCTATCAAAGGTTCTGTTTTTACGTCAACTTTCTTCTTTTTATCTTGACTGTTTTACTAGCGTTGTGTGTCCTGTTTAAATCATTCGAATATTGCTAGGTTAAATATGTATTTTTTTCTCATAAATTCATTATTTGGGCACATTTCTAGAATTCTATAATATGAAATATACACATTTGTGCTAATTTATTGCCCCGGATAATTTGTGAAAATAAATGCACAAAGAGTATCTTTATTTTTGATTATTTTTGGTTTTATTTGGCTTGCCATGGAGTTAACATTAAATTGAAACAAATAGAAAAATAATGATAGTAAAAGCTACATATTTAAATGTACAAAGACGAGAGAAAGAGAGTTGAAAAACTCACAGTTCAAATCAAATAAATTAGCCTTTAAGTGTCCATATTCTGTGTGATCAATACAAAGGAAAAGGAAACTCCTCCCTAATATTATATAATATAAAAAAAAGAAAAAATATGCTGAAAATTAATCATCATAGTTTGGCGGGAAAAAAATACTCATCTAAAATACAAGGTGAGCATATTTAATATTATACGTATAAAAAAGCCAAAAAAAAAAAAGACACACAAAGAGATACAAAGTTGTAATGAAATATACATAAAATACACCCACGAACACAAAACATAAACAAACAAAAAAGTGACGCAAAACCTCCCTCTCTCCCTCTCTCCCTCTCCCTCTCTCTCTCTCTTTTGGTTTCTTAACCCCACACTTTTTTTGTTACCCTAGTCATCCTCTCTCCGCACACACCACTATTAGTAATATACTTTCTTCATGCCATTCTTTACATCCATCAAAGACTATGCAAAAAGACACCGAAAAGGATTGTTGATTACAGCATCTCTTGCAGGAGGAGGATACTTGGCAGGTCGTTTTGCTGCCTCTAAGATCAGAGACATGCAAGAGAAAACAACTTCTGACAGAATGGCCAGAGAAAAGTAACTTGACTCTTTATATATATATATAGCTCTAATTCATGTTATTAACCCTGTCTATCTCTTGTTTTAGTCTCAAGCGCCGTTTCCAACAAAACCAAAACGATTGTGTATTCACTGTCATGTCATTGCTTCCTACCCTTGGAGATCAGATCTTGAATGAAATGAACATTGAGGCACAATGGGCCAAACTACAAGAATCTCGTAAATTGGAGCGCAGTGAAGACAAGGCACGCCTGAACAGAGACGCTGCCAAAAATACCCAGACCGAGCAAGAGGGTGGAATAAAACCAGAAGAGCACCCAACCGAATCACAGGATCTATCGGCGTCGTCTGTCAAGATTGATCTGATAAAGGTTGAAAACGCTCAAGACACCACTGGATCACAGGCTACATTGGAAAACTCTGTCGATAGTCTTTCTGAGGCAGTTGATCCAGAAGCACCAGCAGTTCCTCGAGTGGTTCCTGAAGGTGTTTTGGATAGAAAGGCCAAGCAATTGGTGTGGGAAGAGATTAAACGATCAAGTAAGAATATATCAAGAGAAAAGAAAAAAGAAGAAGAAGAAGAAGAAGAAGAAGAAATATGTATAGATATATGTGTATATACAAGTAGTATTGGTAGTAGAATAAAGAAAAATAGTTGAAATTTAACATATATATATTTAATTTTAATTTTAATTTTTTAGGTTTTACTCGTACACTGACATCTATTTATTCAATCACTCTGCTCACTATGCTGACCCATGTTCAGCTTAATCTTCTGGGACGATTTACCTACGTCTGGTCTGTTTCTGCATTGAGTCGTAGCGAACCTAGCATTAAAATACAACAAGAGGAGGGTGGCGATGCTGGATTTTTGGATCCTCAAACAGAGAGAATGTTCCTCAGTGCTTCATGGTGGTTACTTCATCGTGGATGGAGAAAATGTTCTAAGCGTATACAGGAAGCTGTGGACGATATTGTTGGCAGGTAAGTAAAAGAAGAAAAATAAAATCAAAAATTGATTCCTGTGGGATTTGTAGTATACCTCTTCGAAGCACTATTAGCTATGAAAAAGCAGAAGATATTCTTTACAAACTGAGAAGAAGAATCGAATTTGAGGATGATGGAAAGACACCTTTTAGGTATGTTACGAGAGTTATGATTTATATAAAACCAGTTTAACCTTTTTGTGTGTAATATATACATATCACATTTCAGTTTCCGTTCATGGATGCTGCCAGACACACCAGAAGAAGAAGCTGAATTCCTTAGAGAGACAGGATTTTCAGAGGTTTCAGATGAATTTTCCACCAATAAATCTAGTGTGACATTCCGACGATTAATAGATGAGACCAAGGATTTCATTGATAGGTAAGTATAGAATTGTGCGATTAAACAAAAAAAAACACATACACACACACACACATACACACACCAAGGAGATAGAAAGAGACAGAGAAAAGAAAGATATTTGTATTGGTTCTTATTTATTGTTTGGTGTATTGACTTGACCAATTGATAATTATATTATATAGCCCTGATTTCTCTTCGGTGCTTACATCTTGTTTGGATGAGATTTTTGGGATATTTGATGCCCAGGCATTTGGAAAATCGCTCTTACCACAGGATGATTTTGAGACCGGAGAGCGGATTCGTGAAGTGACAGAGGCTGATCTGGTCAACATGAAACCCAAGACATCGACGCTTGCTAAACTGTTACCAGTAATCAGTCGACAGGCACATTTGGTTATTGCAGGCAATGAGTACTTGAATGTAAGTAAACATTTCACAAATCAAGGAAAGAAAAAAAAATATTTTCTTTTTAGCCGAAGAGAGAGAGAAAAGAGTGTGGTTTGAATACTATGATCGACATTCTTCCTGACGGGTGGTTCTTGTATTTTGTTTTCTCCTTCAATTGTTATATTTGTGTCTATTTTGACTTGTCAATTCATTGATTGATTTGCTTATTTATATGTATTTGTGCCTGGTACTTGTACTTGTGTCTGTGCCTGTGCCTGTGCCTGTGCCTGTACCTGTGCCTGTACCCGTACCCGTACCCGTAACTGTATATTTTCTTTCTTTCATTTGTACTTTACTAACAATATTATCCAATATACTGGAATTATAGGCATTTGCTTATATTAAGGAACTTCAAGCATTTTCTGCAATGGTTTATACACAATATGAAGATGAAGTCGTTTGATCTTGATCCCTCACACATCAAATATATATAATGTCTTTAAATAATAATCATAATCATCATATTAATAATAATAAAATAATAAAAAAAAAACAAAAAACAAAAAACAAAAAACAAAGTAATTTATACATATAATGTATATTCCGAATATGGTTTGAATTAAGACTAGGAAAGTAAGCCAAGTTATGAGCATCAATAGTATTAGTATTAGCATTAGTACTAGTACCAGTACTAGAACTAATTTCTATTACAGATAAAGAATACTATACATATACACAATATATACAGCATACACACCATATACAATATATTATTATTTTTGACAAGCAGGTCAATCTACTTGTTTGATGTGCGTAAGGTTGTGAGGAAAGTAGGGGGCGTTCTTTCGTTTGGATGATGGGCCATTCCATCGATATTCGGCTATATAAGAACTCGAATCATTGGATCAGTGTAGACATCCCAGCTACCTTTTTCTTTTTCGTTTTCTACCGTCAAATGAAGTTTCTTGCCGTTGTCTCTAGCCTTGCCGCCATCATTGCCTTGGCCACTGCCCAGGGCACCGTGACCACATATACCGAAGAAGGTGTTATTGGTGGCACGACTTATGATGTTGTTGTACTAGGTGTCCAGGAAACTGTCACTGAAACCGTCCTATCCACCATTACCACCACCATTACCACTACAGCCTTCTCAGCTGTCTGTAAGTTTTTTTTTAAAAAAAAAAAGAAAAGAAAAGAAAAGAAAAGGAGTACTATATTGCTCTTGCTATTATATAATTACAATTACATGTTCTATAAAGACAAATAAGCAATCGGTTAATTTACTGATTTAATTGCTACAACTACTATATGTATTAGATAACCATGAGACCCCACTGAATGATTTCCTTGCTGACAGCTCTTTGATCAACGCTCTCACTGCCGATCCTTCAGTCTATCGCGTAGTCACAGCACTCAACCCTCACCTTGCAACCCTTCTTTAAACGAAAAAGAAGAGAAGATAGAAAGAAAGAAAGAAAAAATACCTTTCTCAGATCCACATTATATCTATACCAAATTATACGTATTGCAATCATAGTACCAAACAAATCAAGCCTTTTGTTTTCCAGTTTTTTCTCTTATGGTTGTAATAGCTATTACAATTATTATTATTTTTAACTTTAGAACATAAAATTTGCCTTTATGACTGTAATCAATACCCACAAAAAAAATGAAAGAAAAAAAGAAGGAAAGGAATCGAAGCTGAATGAGTCCTGCTTCTTTTTTTTTGTATTCCATTTAGTAATAAATCACTACCAATACTTGTTAATAATAATAATATATAAATATTTTATATCTACATGTATAAAGAAATTGGTTTATCAATATATTACCAAAGTGTATATATAGTATTTCCATCTCAATTTTGTCCCACACATAAGTTAATTCTTAGTCCTACGTTTCATGGACAATATTTGGATTATATGTTTATTGAGAGAGAGAAAGTAAGGTATTGAATAACGATATTCTATTCTCTTTTTTTTGCATGTGTGCATTCCCACCCTTTTAATATTCTCTGTACTTTGTGCTCATTTTGTTCTTTAAAAAGAAAAATATCAGATAGACAAGACAACTACTTTAGCATTCCAACTCATTTTTTTTCTCTCTTAAAGAGCACACATTATATAGTTGGATTTAAAAGCGATCCAAAAGATATATATATAAAAGAAAGAAACAAAAGAGGTAGATAGCTAGAGAGAGAGAGAGAGCTTTTAGGGATAGTATGTAATAAATGCATTTGACAATACTTTATCGAAAATAACCATTATTCATTTCAAACAAAAAAGCAACCATGTTCTGTATAGTAACAGGTGTGGCTCATTTTGTGCACAAAATTTCTCCAGCCAAGATCATATTTTTTTTTCTTTCTCTCTCTCTCTCTCTCTCTCTCTCTCTCTGTCCCTCACACATAGACACACTTAATATCTTTCTCATTTGTGTGTGCCTGTGTGTGAGTGAGTCATTTAATATCCCAATTAATAATTTATTCTGCTCTGTTTTTTGAAAGGTCTAAAGATGCATTGATATTAGTATCAGATACTATTGTATCATATTATATTATTTCATAAAACAGCGTAACATAAGATAATATAATTAGACATATATTTATATATTTATATCGCCTTGGGTTGTTCTGTCCTGTCTTGTAAGGATGGGCGTCCCTGGAATGCCCGACCTGCGGACACAAATAACATACGTCACGGCTGAATAGGTGGTGCAGATAGTTGTATCCAATCAGAATTGAGGGTGTAAATAGTCTCCCAAATGATGGTCATTCAGCGTTTAGTGTTCAGACCGTTGCCTCCTTTTTCTACCAAACTTCTTTCAACTCCACTCTTAAAGGTAAATAAATAAAAAATAATAAAAAATAAATACAATAGGATAAATAAGACAACTATACATAAAATGTATAAAAGACGCACATAAGACATATACACACCCAGAGAGAAAGAGAGAGAAAAAAAAAGAGAGAGAGAGACACACACATATATATATATATGTATGTGTATATAAAATATATATATATATATATTAATACAGAGATGATATATACATATACATATACACATACATATATATATATATATATACATACATCAAATACAAATGCAAATAAATAAATAAATAAATAAATAAAAAAAAACAATACAAATAAATAAGCAATCTCAATTACAAGTCAACCTGGTCAACTTTAAAGAAGAAGGAAAAAATAAAAATAAAATAAAAAGGCTTGACTTCATTGACCAAGATTGCTCTTGCGGTTGCTCATTCAAAGGAGATGATGACTCATCTAAACTCATCCTGCCCCCTTTCTTCTTTTTCTTCCTCTATTCTTTGCAGATGACCGAACTCAGACGGAAGCTCGTTATTGTTGGTGATGGTGCATGCGGCAAAACCTGTCTCTTGATTGTCTTTTCCAAAGGAACTTTCCCCGAAGTAAGTTACAAGAAAGCTAATGCCAGTAAACAACAACAACAACAACAACAATAGTAATAGTAGTAGTAATAATAATATAACTATCATTTTCTCTCTATAATATTTATTTACTTGTTTGAAATACTAATATGTTTATAATCATCATTTCTAATGATTTGTTTCAATATTAGTTCTATGTTCCCACTGTCTTTGAGAATTATGTCGCCGACGTCGAAGTTGATGGCAAACACGTGGAATTGGCCTTGTGGGATACTGCCGGTAAGGCTTGGGAATTCAAATAAAAGTATAAATAACAATAATAACAATAATATATTTATGTACATATAATTAACAATCAAACAAACAAACTATCAAAAAAAATATTATTACTATTAGGTCAAGAGGATTATGATCGTCTTCGTCCTCTTTCATATCCTGACTCGCACGTCATCTTGATATGTTTTGCTGTGGACTCGCCTGATTCACTTGAGAACGTTCAAGAAAAGGCAAGTGGTTTTCATTTTGTGTGCTTAGTACCTTTTTTTTTGTTGTTGTGTAAGTTTTGTTATCTAACTTATATATATATATTTTATAATATTATAGTGGATTTCCGAGGTTCTTCACTTCTGCCAGGGTCTTCCCATTCTCTTGGTTGGTTGCAAAAAGGATTTGAGAAATGACCCAGCTACTATTGAAGAGTTGAGAAAGAACTCCCAAAGACCTGTTGGTCATGATGAGGTAAAAAAATTATTATTATTATTATTATTATAAATTTATATATTTAAAATTTTGATTTAAAACACAAACTCACACTCTCTTATATATATTCTGTTGTTATTGCTGTTTTGTTCTATTAGGGTGTCAGTGTTGCACAGAGAATCAGTGCCTACAAGTACCTCGAGTGCTCTGCCAAGACTGGCGAAGGTGTCCGTGAAGTGTTTGAGCATGCCACCAGAGCTGCTTTGATGAGCAAGAAGAAGAGATCCAAGGGTTGCACTGTATTGTAAAAAAAATATAATATAGATGCACAGCTTGAATTTATTTTTTTAGTGTTAATGCCACGGCCAACAAATATGCCTTCTTCTTTTTTTTTGCCGTTGGATTTTTGTACCTTTTCTCTCTCTCTCTTTCTCTCTCTTTATCTAACTCTATCTTCTTCTTCTTCTTCTTCTTCTTCTTCTTCTTTTTATAATCCCTCTTTATCTTTCCTCTTCTTTTCCTTCCTCTTTCTGTTTGTGAATATAGAAAGGGAATCTCAAATCTTTTTTCATTATTTCGTCTGCTAAATAACCCCACAAATTTCCACAATCCCCTCTTTTCTTGCTGGTCCATTTATATGTGTGTGTATGTTTTATGTGCTTTACTCACATCCTATACAGGTTTCCCACCCCCTCTCTTTTTTTTCAACTCTCCCTCCTATTGGATAAGGATCGTAGCTACGGTTAAATTTCAGTAACGAATTTGCAGCTATGTAATAATAGAGGGTAGGAATATAGTGCAAATTTTTAAAAAAGAAAAAGAAAATCGACCAAATCTCAAATGGGGTTTGAATTTGTTTCAGTCTATACGTTCCATTTTTTTGAAAAGGAAAAGAAAAAATGAGGGGGTTTTTTTTTCTTGCTCAAAGATACGTTAAAATTAACGTAAAAAGTGGTATTTTTAAACTCATATTTAAACAGCCTAAAAGTGCTACTACGTATATTTAGGCAGTGTTTGTATTATATAATGATTCTATATTTGCATTTGTTGAATTTAAAGTTTTTGACATAGGAGTTTCGGTATATAAAAATGTTAGACACAGATCCGCTATCCATTAAATATGGAAATATGTGTAAATTTACACAATTCTCCGAATTTTTATTTACGGGGTTAAAAGCCAGATGCGCTTTTTTGGACTTGTGAGATTTCTAAATATGGAACTTGTTTTTATTTTTGCTAACAATATCGTTTTCTCTTTGACATTGAAGCCGCAGTTCGTAAGTACTAATCATATGGTACTCCCTAGCTATAATCACTTAAATTGTATCTATATGCTACAATTCTGACTTTGCTTTCTAAGAATAAATACAGAAAATGCGTATTTAGGGGTGTAATTTGTAAAAGAAAATTCCTACTAAACTCTTCTTCTTTTTTTCTTCTTACCATAGTGTACCAAAACAATGATACTTTTCTACGTTGTCTATCTACTTTTGAAATAAATTACGATTCTTATTTATTGGTATTATTAAATATAGATGCTGTAAGCTGTGATAAAAGAAAGAATAAATAAAATGAGAAAATGATGCATAAATCTGAACTTAAAATCTGAACTGAAAGAGCCATTAACAAAACTCACTTGCTTCCAGTGAAGAAGAAAAAATAATAAGGGGAAGAGCAATAAGAATAAGGCCCATTGAAAACAAATACTCATTTCAATCCAATACTATAGCTGCGACATTTAAAAACTACACCATAATAAGTGTCTAATCTTAATCTATCCGTTTACCAGAACACTAAAGGAACATTATAGGCAGATGGGCCTATAAAATAAATCTTCCCTTAACATGTCATAAGCTTTATTTAGTGCCTCAGACACTTCCAAGATTTCAACCGAGAAATTCCATTAGTAAAACATTGGGATATCATGTCACAACATAAAAAATATTTTAAAAGATTCTTTGCTCTCTTTATTTTAATGAGTCTTTTTTTTTGTATCTTGCGATTTTCCAAAAGAGAAACAATTGTCCAATAGAATATACTATAAAGTACTTAATTGCAAAGGTTTGCGCTTATGTGACAAGTTTGCGCTATCGCCAGCTATCGTATTTACCTTTAGAAAATACAAAACTCTCAGAAACATTATATAACAAATAAGTTCCAAAACAAAAGCCCTGACATCCTCTTTTGTTTCGCAGCAATAGAGGTTCACCAACCCCCTTTAGTACAAAGCTCCCTACAAACAAAAACTGTCGTATTTACCATGAAATAGTAATCTATTTATTTCTTACAAATATTTGTTTCTATTTTTTTGTGTAAAAAGCTTATCTAAAATCTTTCTTAAATCTTAATAATTGTTTCATGTCTTTTTAATAGGCAAAAAAAAAGCAATTGGACCTTTAAGAGATATTCAATAAATTAATATACAAACAATTCATTTCCTTCACATCTTTTTTGTTTGTTTGTATGGAGCTGTGACAGGCTCAGATCCTTCACATCTTTTGTCGAGCCTTCTTGTAAAGATTTGGTGCGACACTAGTATCTCAGCCGCAGCGGAGCCATACCACAGTGGCTTGTGCGAGTCTTTTATGCGAACAACCACCACCAACATACCCTATCTCTTTCTCTCTTTCCAATTTCTAATTTATACTTTAAATGGAAAACGAAAGAAAGCGCGCTTTTCCAGAAACCACCGAAGTATCACAATCAAAGCGCCCTCATGTGGAAATTCCACGAGAACCTTCGATATTTAACATTAGACCAGTGGATGATATCACTCGTTACATTGGAGATTTCCTTTGGGATTACTGTAGCCAAGAAAATGTAGAAGTAAGCAAGTAACACATCAAATCTGATGGAGAAAATGAAAATAAAGCGAGAATGAACAAAATTTAATACATTGCAGATTGAAGCAAAGATGGGTGTATTTATTGACAGGCATACTAATAGCCGCCTTAACATCGGTGCTCTTACAGAGACAGGTAAAAAACAAGATTTTTTTGAAGTAAAATAAAAGCGTAAACAAAGTATACGTATGCTGTAGTCTGATCTCGACTGATCTAAAATCAAACAATAGTTTTGAATCCAAATCATAATTATTCATTCAAATTCGAATCTGACATGCCACTCGAACAACATAAGCATTTTAATCAACTTTTGAACGATCGAACCAACAAGTCCCAAGTAAAAGATTATAAAGTAAGTGCTTATCCGGTCCCAAAACAATGATGATAATAAAAAAGAATACTGGTAATAAGTGTATAAAACCTTACTAACGCTCAATTATCATTTAAACAGGGAGAACGAATAGCCTACAAACACACTAGGGAAACAGATCGTTTCTTCCCTTTACCTCAATCACGAAATAATATTAGAGTAACAACAGATCAACAGACAGGAAAGGTAATGAATAAGTATACATATAATAATATAACGACGCGACATGGGATAACATTGAATAGCATTGGATAGCATGATTTTATTTTATTTTATATTATATTTACATATGTATATATTGGAACATAATGGATTATAACACAATATGAAGTTTAAATACTAATGTGTATACACTTATGAAAATGACGATATTTATGGTTATTATTCGTTAGGTTGTACCCAATGGAATTATAGAAAAGAAACGCCTGGCTGATCTTAATATACACTCGCCAGCCAACGCCCTTGACTATAGGATATCTGTGAACCTTGAAATTCCACGCAAGTATTCTCTAATTTATAGATATCCAATTAAAAATCCCAATACTAAATACGTGATTGTTCACAACTATTCTAGGCAAAAAACCCGAAACCGAGCTCTCTCATGAACGCCACAAAGATAGACTTTCCTACACTCACGGAGGATTTACCTTTGATCTCACTCAAGTCAAAGGAGCACCCGTGAGTTACCACGATAATAAAGATCGTTATTTATTTTTTATTATTATTATTATTATGATTAACTAATTTGTATAAACTCAATAGGAAAAGAATGAAGAAATGCGTCATGAACTTGAAATTGAGTTTGTGGATGCCAATTTACTTGCTGAAAAGAAGAAAGAAGGAAATAAGCCTCGATCGGGTTATGTACAAATGATAGAAAGGTTTGTCAATAACATTCGCCTTTTGAGCCAGAGTGCTCGAAGGCTTTAAAAAGAACAAAGAAAGAAAGAAAGAAAGAAAAGGGGAAGAAGGAAAGAAGAAGAAGAAAAACTAGTATAAAGAGGTTTGTAAAAATTATTTTTGGGGAGAGCTGTTAAGATGTACTCGATGAGGCTCTAATGAAGGTGCTTTAAATGGTTCCTTTTTGGCCATCCAATCATACCACCCATTCAACGTACGTTTGCGCAAGAAACCCACAATTATTACTGTCATATTATCACATCCAATACCAGTATTGGTAACCTCATCTGCGAGGCAGTTGTCTAAAAGTGCCTCACAAATATCCTTGATTTTCATTCGATCTCTGAGGTGTTGTCGTACAAAGTCAACCACTTCTTGACTTGTCATGCAATCCCAGATACCATCGCATGCAATTACCATAAACTCGTCATAATCTGTGAGTTCATGCTCAGTAATATCGGGGTCAGCTAGATTTTTTTTAAAAGACAAAAAGATTACAGAATTAGGGTCATTCAGAAAATTGATAGCCAGTCAAAAACGACCAATTTTTTTTCTTACCTGTTACAGCTTGCTTTTCAGGTGGAAGCTGTGAGTTTTTCTTGAATTCAAAATCACCCAAGGCTCTTGATAATGCTAGACTTCCTGATAATTTTTTTTTAAAAAAAATTTCCCGGTTAATTATATTTGCTTCCATTATATACAACTTTGTCCTATTTAATTACCCTCTTACCATTCACTCGACCAAATTCAACATAGTCGCCTGCCTGTGTTATTCTAAAATGCTCTTGCTTAAGGGTTGGTTTATGATCGTGCGATAATGGAATAGCCTTTCCCTTGGTTGTGCTGATAATAGCCCGTGAATCTCCCGCATTAGCCTAATTACAGAACCTGTGTTCATTGCTAACCACAAATACATCGGTTTTCTCATACCACAAACAACACGTTATCCTCAGTTAACAGGGCAGAAACGGCCGTACATCCAGACAGATCGTTGGCAAACAATGGATCTACATAATCTTATTAATACAAATTACATTGTCGAAGAATGTATTCAATTCTTCCCTTTATTTCCTTTATTTATTACCTCGTCGCATTTGTTCATCAATCGTAAAATAACTTCTTTTTAATGCATCCCGGTAATTATGTCGCCTAAAGGCCTGGGACCGAAATAGGATCTCGTGTAGATGCTCTCCGCTGTATTTTGCCGCTAAATCGCCTCCGTGTCCATCATACACAGCAAAGAAACTTGCGTGTGTGTCTTTGTATGTTGGGATAATTGTATGAGAATCCTCCATAGCTATATTTTTGTTTCATTTTTGGAAATAATTAGTTTAATAAAACTACAAAGCCATATAGTATGGTAATAAAATAAAATAGAACAAAAAATCCTCTTTGTTTGTGACACGGTCTTACTCATTCTCCAGCCCTGCATAGAGGATACAGCGTACGTGAGCCGTTTATCGCTGCCTTCATCAGAGGTCTTTATCGTAATAGGTTCTGAAAGTGTTTGGCCCATAAGTCTCAAAAAAATAGCAGAAAACAAAGCTGAAAAGATTGAAACTTTTAGGCCATCGATCTAAAAAGAGTGCCCGTCTTTTCTGCTGGGTTACATCACACATCCTAGTCTGGCCTCAATCCTAGTCACGACCGACGATCATGATTGGTCGGACTTCCTATTGTCCTCTTTTAGGCTACTTTTTCATATGGTGTCCGCCCTATTTCTCTCCCCCCTCCCTTTACAACTTTTTATTTTATTTTATTTTATTTTATTTTATTTTATTTTATTTCTATTTTTCTGCTTTGATTAATATAATATACAGACCCATATCAGTACTGAATAAAATTTTAAGATTCCGCCAAATCAAGGCGTCAACTTCTTTAACATTCTTACACTAGTTTGTATATATTAATCAAACATGTTTCGGTACCAGACACTCGTCACACATCCCGCCCGACGTCAACTTTCTACGCTTGCCAAGGCTGCCTTGATTGTTACAGGAGTCCCACTAGGCTTGTATGCCTACAAAGTAAGCCAACTCTTTATATTGTTTTATTATTATTTGGTGTTAATAACAGCTCATTTTTAGTGTCTTGTGATGGTGGCGTTTCAGAACAAGCTCATCTACATGGGCTACATTCCGTACGGCTCTCGACACCAACCATATGTTCCCGTAATCTCACAAAACTTTCATGTACGCGAACAAGAAATTGTAACACCAGACAAGAAGAAATTAAGAGGGTTTATTGTCCAAAGAACACCACACGCCAAAGGGCCCGTGTTGGTATATTTCCAGGGCAATGCCGGCAATATGATCGACCGCTTTGATTTATTTAAAGTCATTCTTGACGCTGTTCCTGACTTGACCATTGTAGGGATATCCTATCGAGGATTTGGGAGCAGTGAAGGGTCAGCTACTGAAAAAGGTTTAATGATTGATAGCAAAGCTATTCTCGATCACACACTTTCTCTTTTTCCAGACCAGTCTGTTTACCTTTACGGACACAGTCTAGGAGGCAGTGTAGCTATTGGCCTCGCTGCTCAAATTGAGAAGACCGCAACACAATCATCGTCACATTCACATGTTTGCGGGCTAATCATCGAAAATACTTACACAAGTATCAAGGACATGGTCCAAGCACTCTATCCGCGCTACTCACCATACCCTTACCTAGCCAAAAAGTTCCTGTGGAATCATTGGCCTAGTAAAGATACCATCCGAGACATCAAATCACCCATACTTTTTCTATCGTCAGACAACGATGAAATTGTCCCAGTCGAACACATGCACGCGTTGGCTAAAGAAGCGACTGCACCATCTACTTTTCTACGTTTCAAGAGAGCACTTCATATGGACATATATAGTACTGAGCCGGCTGCTTACAAAGCAGCACTGAGAGATTTTATTGCTACTAATGATATCTATAAAGACGAGCCAATTCAAATAAAACGGTGAGTACAAACATGACTTATTAGAAACATTATGGATAAGTTTCTTTTTTCTTGGGGGTCTTTTAGCCTAATGTTGTGCTGGGTTGAATGCTTTGTTTTCATTTCATTTCATTTCATTTGTTTTTTTTTTATTACAATTAAAAAAATCCTTTTAAAGAATTCTTGTGTGATTCTAAAGTATTCAATCAATGTCAAGTACATAAATTGCACAAAACGATTGGAAAATTTATATTGTTTCGTAAAAAGAAAAAATCAGAGTATTCTTTAGATGGCTTATTAAACTATTTACTCAATGTACCTCTCCTTTGTTCAGTCTACAAGCACCTCTTTTTCTTTTATTAAAGATTTTTTATTTTTAATAATTTTACAAAATATTTAAAGTTTATTTATTTTAGAAAGGTAGAGAGCGAAAATAAATTGTCTAAAGATGAGCTCTCAATTGTGGCAAAAGTCCCCCTAGACGTAACGCATCCTCAATCTCTACCAAGGTAGTTTCGTCTTCAATAGTTGCCGGGATCTTGACTTCCTTTCCTTCAACCATGTCTCTTACAGAACGACGTAATACTTTACCACTTCTTGTTTTGGGAAGTCTCCGGACGATTACTGCATGTTCAAAACATGCAATCGCTCCAAGATCTCGTCTGGTAGCTGCAATTAACTCTTGAATAATTTTTTCCGTGTCTTCAGTTTCATTCTCAAACTGTAAGACTAAAATACCGAGCGGAATGTGTCCCTTAAGCTTGTCGGGCATAGGAACCACGCAACATTCGGCAACCTTTGGATGAGAAGCTAAGATCTCTTCAATCGTACCTATTTGTAAACACACACACGCGCGCGCGCGTATTAATATATATATATATATATATATTGCATTATATTGTAAAAAGGTATTATGTATCAAAAGCAAAAAATTACCAGTAGAAAGACGATGCCCTGATATCATAAGATAATTATATATAAAATTAATTAATAAACCATTCAATGTTTGTAAAATGTATGCTTACCTGCTACATTAATAATATCATCTGTTCTGGACATAATGTACACATAGCCGTCCTCATCAATCATACCGGCATCACCAGTATCAAAGTATCCGGGATATTTTGTAAAATAACTGTCCCTGTAGCCATCCTCATTCTCCCAGAGAGTAGAGAATGCAGAAGGGGAAAGAGGCAGCTTGAGGACAATGTTTCCGAATTGATTGGGTTTCGTGGACTCTTTGTTGGTGCCTTCCATCAAGATACGAATGTCTGAGCCAGCCACTTTTTTTCCTGCTGATCCAATACGGACCGGAAGTAAAGGAAGTTCGCCTTCATACAAAGCAGTGACAGGAGAGCCCACTTATCACAATAATATACATATGTTAATATCATAAAACCAAAGTTATTATAAACACTTGAAATAAAACAAAATGGTTTAAACATTACATTCAGTACTCCAGTAGTTGTCGATCACTCGACAGTTGTCTCCAACAATTGCCTGGCACCAATGAAGAGTCTCTGGATCACTACGCTCACCGGCCAGGAAAAGAGTCTTGAGACTACTGATATCATAATGCTTGGCAAGATCTCCGTGTAAATCGGCACGGCGAATAGCGCGGGCTGCTGTAGGTGCAGTGAACATAGTCTTGACCTTGTATTCGGCAACCAGACGCCAGAACGCAGCAGCATCGGGAGTTTGAATGGGTTTACCTTCGTACAGCAGTGTGGTCGCACCTGCCAATAGAGGACCATAAATAGTGTAACTGCATTTTTTTTTGAAAGAAAACAAAACCAAAGCAAACCCCCAAGAATGTTGGTCAGCATCATCACCAAAAAAAAAACCTACGTACATATCAAGCTACATAGTTCATGTCCTCTCCATTATATTATTTATTTACCTGTGGCTAACAGCCCATCTGATAATACACATACACATACACACTTTGTAAGTATTAAATACATTTTTTTTTGGGTACATCATAGTTTTATTTACCCAATGTCACTGGCGGTAAAGATCGTTTCGCCTTTTTTGACTGCGAATATACTACTCATAGTCCAACGTAAAGCAACCGCATGCCCACCATTAGAGCGGACAACACCCTATCGATAAATCAAAGTTTAATATAAATATAAATAATGAAGCCATATATATATCGAGCTTTACTCAAATAGATTATAGCCTTGCGTTATTTGTTTGTTTGCCTAAATATATACCTATCACTCAAATCTTACCTTTGGCTGTCCGGTTGTACCACTTGTGTAAAGAATATATAGAGGATCCTCACTATCAACTTCCTCGCATTGTTTCACATGTCTTCCTTCAGCCCGTACAGCCTTCATTGCTTTTTCATAATCACGATCTCCAGCGTCATAGCTCATCTCTGCCTGAACTTGCCCTGGGCGCTGAAGAACGATTTTGATAGGTACTCTATGGTTGGACATTGCCAAGGCACTTTCGAGTAAGGCTACAAAAATAGAAAGCGCGTTACCTAATTAGTCCCGTACCACAATGGATGAAAAAGGATGATTCTCCTTATTTGTCATTTATTTTGTTTTGGTGATAAATACGTTTGTATGGAATTGAACGTTTAGGTTCAATACCACAGCTGGCTGTCAAGATAATTTTCGGGGCGCATGCATCGATACGTTTTGCTAGCTCCTTGGGAGCAAAACCACCTAGCAGGAAGAAGAAGGAGAAAAAAAAAAAGAAAAAGATGTACGAATGTATTAGTTCTTCGTTTCACTTTGTATTTAAAATAAATTTGCCTCGATTTACCAAATACTACACAATGAACAACTCCAAGGCGTGCGCATGCGAGGATGGCAAAAACAGCTTCTGGAACCATAGGCATATAAATCAAGGCAGTGTCGCCTTTTTTGAGCCCGTACTCGCGCAATACCCCGGCCATGCAAGACACTTGTTCAAGCAATTGTATAAAAGTATATACACGTTTTGAATTGGAGACGGGAGAGTCCCAGATAAGTGCGGGTTGATTAGGTTGAGTCAGAGCATGTCGGTCAACGGTGTTGTAGCACGTATTGAGCTTGCCGCCTGGGAACCAAACGTAGGGATTGGAACCTTTGCCAGTGTTTGATATGACGGCAGAAGGAGGAACAAACCAGTCGATCTCACGAGCAGCTTTTTTCCAAAGAGCAAAATCAACAGTGTTCATAAAGTATTATGAAGAGAGAGAGAGAGAGAAAGGTAAAAGAAAAAGATAGTAAAGATACAGGAGTAATTATATCTTCTTTCTATTTGTTGATTCTGGCCCCCCTTTGCCACACTGATTGAATATATATATATACATAAGGTATTTGTGTTGAACTTTTGTCGAGCGTGAGAACCTAATTTAGTTGGTCAGTAATCTAGAGTTAGTTCATTCAACCGCAAGTGTAACCGACTTGGCATAAGAGTATGCGTTTAATGAGTGAAATGGTTAATAGAGGTTCGCTTCTATTGAATTATACGCCCACGCACAGAGACACACGGAAGAATTATCATCTCTTTTACAGCCTCATTAGTTATCTTTTCAATAAAAATTAGTGGGGTAAGGTAGTACACAGAGCAGAGGCATACTATCTCCATTAGAGTACAATGGCTCAACCGTGAGAATCAAGTATGGGGAAATTGATATCAGGATTATCTAAGAGCGTATCGATGGGAAAATCCCTTTTGGAATATTGATAGAATCCAACCATAAAGATGACCACTTTATATATATATATATCTTTGCTAAAATCTTATCGTAAATAAGCTCCTACACATCGATAAATATTAGAGCAAAAAATACATTAAAAGAAAATAGGGGTAGACAGATGAAAATATTTTATTTCGGGGTCTTCTAGGCCTGGCGCACTGTGGCATATAGATGACCCTATAGAATTGAAGAGTGATTGAAAAAGATAAAATTAACCGCCTAAATATGAGGGGAAAGAGAGGTATAGAAAGGGAAGATAATGAAGGAAAAAAGTGTTGGGCAAGAGATGACAGAAGATGGTAGCCAGTGAAAAGTAAGAAAGCATAGAAAAAATAGGAGTGGACAATACGAACTTTTTTTTTGAAAAAATAATAATGAAAACAGCGAGTTCTCTTAAAAAAAATCCAATTTTTTTGTCTTATTTTTTAGCCAATGAAATAACTTGAATATTTTTTGTAATGTCTACCCCCAATATCTAAAGGTGGTGTCAATATGTTATGCGCAAACGAGTCTTCACCTCCTCGATGAAAACAACCACTAATTTTTAATAATGGAAGACTAAAGAAAACAAAGCATGTTTTTTTTTGTATTTCTTAATTTCGGTGGCAATTCGCCTCATTCAATCTACACTAAGACTTTTACTCATTGAATCCTCCTTACTTACATTCGATGAAGTAGATTTGCAACAATAATATCCAAATAATTTTTTGGTTGCAATGCATTATTTAAAAGCTTAATTGCTATAGCTTGTAGCTTGCGCCAATTATTATAAGAGCACTGCGAAAGGCATATATATCATATCAAGTAAAATTAATAAGCATATTTCATGCGCAAAAAAAAGCACATGCTCCTTTCTCATTCTTGGGGTTAATTTTTTGCTTACAGAAGTACACTGTGCACACCATTCATATACATTTGAGCTGTATGCAGGTAATCTATCAAAGGCCTGCAAACTATGGATGATTACATGGTGGCTATCAACACAATCAAGGTGTCGGGTAATCGATAATGACAGTGGATCGGTAAAAACATGTATATAATTTATTACTGCCACTATTTTTTTTTATCTTTGACTTTACTTTCAGTAAACTAACATCATCAAGTTCGTGTGGTTTGTATTTGATAAGACAGTCTTCTGTGTACTGATTGTACTAGCTCAATACATTGACCTATTCAACTATCCATAACGTAACCAGATTGCAATTGGTATCTTAATACTTATATGCATATTCTTCTGATCCTTTGCTGAAGTAGTATTCCCTTTTTTTTAGAGGATAATGATCTACCGAGATGTCAGATTTGGGATCTTTTATGACATCTTCCCATTGTTTTTCGAACTTCTCTACTTTATGTTCCTCCGCATTATTATCGCTAGCAAGACTTGATGATGCTTGTGCTGAGATCTATAAAGATCATAAATAATTAACGCTCTTGATAAACCGGCTAAGAATAGCTTTTCATTTGACTTTGCAATGTGGCTAGGCTTGAAATGTTTGTCTGGCTCTCTATTGTGAAATTTTACGCTAATCCTAGGGAGACGACATTTTGATTCTACCAGACCACAAGCTGTCTCGATTCTGCTATGACCTTTGCCTGGGAAGGCATGGTATGGCTCAATATCTTTGTTGGGTAGATCAAACAACCTTGCTTCTGGCATTCTTCAATGAAAAGGCTTGTGTTGCTTTCTGGTAAAATAGATACAATAGGCGAAAGAAAGAGAAAGACACGATACGCGTAAGAAAGTTAATGCACAGTAAAATATCCAACGATATTGCGTCACAAGGTGTGTAAAGACAACGGCTCCTTATAATATTTTGGATAACTGGATATTGATATAGTGTATTTGTGCCTAATTATCATGTTTTATGGCCACGTCTAAATTTAGGGGTACTAATTGAATATATTGTATGTATTTCAGGACACGCCATTTTACCTTGAAAAATTTTTTTAAAAAAAAAGACACTGGGCCCCAGGCAGGTAGTTCCAATTAATTAGCTGATTAGATGGAAATGTTGTGCTCCACCAGAAAATGTCGGCCCTGAAGGATTGCTAATTTTTGGGTGCTCAACTATTCTTAGCAACTTCCAAACCGAATAATTCTTTTCTTTTTTTCGTTGTGTGACTTTAATTATACTTAATGACATTTGACCTGTCTTAAAGAGCTCCAAGCCAAAAAAGTATCTAAATTAAATGGACCCCTCGTAAAGAAGTGAAATGTACAGTTACAATTTGAATGAGAGTAAGTCGAATAGATATTATCAATTGTTGGCTAATTTTGGACAATTTTCCACAGTCTCTTCCATCTCAGAATCTAACACCTCTTATACTGGATTTTACGCCTTGAATTTGTATTTCACTGTAAAGACTTGAGTGGGCTGGCGTTTTCAAATGGTAGGGATGTACTGCATCTCTTTCACCTCCTTGGCATCACACCCTAGCTCATCAGTGATCTTCCAATTATCATTCTCATAAAAATCCTATACTCATTTGTTTAGACAATACCATAATACAATAAAGCGACATCCCTAGCCCCTCTTCAGAGCATGCAAACCCGGACATTTGGACTCAAAAAACCGCTTTTTTTTTGAAGAAGAAAACAATAGTCACCCTTTGGCGTTTGAACAATAGTTGTATTTATATTTCTGCTATTGGTCATAGATTATGAACTTTACTAGGCTACAGATAGGTGGGATAAAGCAGTCTATTGATAATTTTCAAAAACGTAAAAATAAATGTATTAGCCTCTAATAAAATGTACTGATGTATTTCATCATCTCCTTTAACTGAATTCCTCTATTATCTAAATTAGGTAATCATTGCTGAGAGTCTCATATTTAAGAATTTCCAACTTTATTTCCATTTCTTTCATAAAACCGATAATAGTTAAATTAATACCTGGTACTTTCCTTTTCATTATCTATTGAATTGAGCCCTATATATATGATCAAAAACTTTTACTAGATTTACAAAATTCAAATGAATTCAAATATTTCCAAAGAGCAAAATAAACAGTATTCATAAAGTATTATGAAGAGAGAAAGGTACAAAAAAGATAGTAAAGATACAGGAGTAATTATATCTTCTTTCTATTTGTTGATTCTGGCCCCCCTTTGCCACACTGATTGAATATATATATATATACATAAGGTATTTATGTTGAACCTTTGTCGAGCATGAGAACCTAATGTAACTGGCAAGTAATCTAGAGTTAGTTCATTCAACCGTAAGTGTAACCGACTTGGCATAAGAGTATGCGTTTAATGAGTGAAATGGTTAATAGAGGTTCGCTTCTATTGAATTATACGCCCACGCACAGAGACACACGGAAGAATTATCATCTCTTTTACAGCCTCATTAGTTATCTTTTCAATAAAAATTAGTGGGGTAAGGTAGTACACAGAGCAGAGGCATACTATCTCCATTAGAGTACAATGGCTCAACCGTGAGAATCAAGTATGGGGAAATTGATATCAGGATTATCTAAGAGCGTATCGATGGGAAAATCCCTTTTGGAATATTGATAGAATCCAACCACAAAGATGACCACTTTATATATATATCTTTGCTAAAAACCTAATGTAAATAAATAAGCTTCAACACATCGATGAATGTTAAAACAAGAAAATGTATTCAAAGACAATATCGTTTTAACATGCTCCCTACGCTTAATCTGGAAAGTTAAAGCCTTTTTTTTCTCTACCTCTACCTCTACTTCTACATCTACCCAAGAAGAAACTTGTTCTTGATGTACCTTTATGTATAAAGGATAAAATACAGAAAATAACGCTATATATTACAACGCATTAGTTGTATGCATAGACTCAGCTACACTTCAATTTTAAACCAGTCCATCACGCCTTTTGTTATCCCTACTTATTTACTATTTATACACCCATCGTATCATTCTCAGCCATCTGAACCTACTGCCCTAATATTTATATATATATAAACATCCGTCATTCAAGACAATTGAGCTGATTTCTTTAGATTTGCCACAAAGAAGGGGAGGTAGATCATTTAATAGTAATAATGTAGATTAACAACAGTTATATTGACCCTGTTTTCTCACAAGCTCAGCTGTCACTCGCACTTGCGCTTGCAATTTCACTCATACTTGCTTTTGCTCTTGCACTTGCACTTGCACTTGCACTCGCACTCACGCTCTCAGTACTCCTTTATTTCTAATCCCTGCCTATATCTCCTTGATACATACGGTACTCTTACTATAGTACTAGTATACTATTATAGTATTTATTGGTATTTGAATTTAGTATAGTATTTTTGTTTGTTTGTTTGTTTTTGGCAAGTTCCTATAGTATTTAGGACGGGTATTAGGCTCTATAGTGCGTAAACCCTTTGTTATCATGACAATGCTACAAAGATATTCGCAGGAAACAAATAGGTTATGGATGCGTGGTATTTTAGATACTAAAAAAACATATATATATATATATATATTAGTATATGTATGTATATATGTATGTATGCATGTATATATATTTTAAAAAAAGGTATCGCACTGTATTACATTCATGAGCCATCCTATATATATATATGCCATCTTACCTTGCTGGCCTCTCTTCGATGCTCTGGGCCATGGATGAAATAGATTGAGTGGACCAAGGACGAGTTACAAAACAACGCTTTGTCTTTTGAAATAAAGGAGCCCACGGTAGACGAGAGCGCTGTGACTGTGGTCGAGCGTAGGCAGATAGGTCCATGGGTTCTTTTTGCGTTTGTTGATGGAGCCAGTTTCCGAGACCACTGTCAGCTTTAACCAAAGCCCAGTAAGCGGTGTCTAAAATATCCCAAAAAGCAAAATAATTAGCTATCATACACAGGCATTTATTTATACGAAGCTGCGTTCCTCTCTATAATTTATATACCATAAATATTTCTTCTTTCTTCCTGACTTGCGGTCGTCTCTGGTCTGAGACACACTGAAATAGCAGGCATTGATTGACTTGTCATGGTCCCGATTCTTGGTTTCTGCTGCTCTTTGCCTTCAAGCCCTTCCAATAATTGATGGGCAGCCAATAGAGAGTCAAAGAGATCGCCTGTTGGGACTTCTGGAACATTTTCACTAATTCGACGAGGTACACAAAGCTTGATAGGAGCCTGAGGCAGCGCGACATTGAGACGATAAATACTTTCATGAGGTGCATACATTGGCCGAGGCATATATTTCTCATAAGATGCCATACAAGGAATCTTTCGGCTTGTTTGGATAGATGCGCATGAAGATATTGGGTTAGATAGTGTCAATGAAGTAGTTGAGGAAGAAAGGCTTGGAAGTTCACTTGTAGGAGCAACCGTTGGCTCACTCTTTCGTCTCTGATGGCCAAAACTCCCAATGGAAGTACTTGCCCAGCCTACAAAATGTGGTGGTATTGGATTGGACTGGACTGAACTATACTGGACTTATTTTGCCCTTTGGTTTAATATAAACTAATTACAAATGTACCTTGTTTGATGTGTAGAGTAGTCATGATGGAGGAAGAGCGAAAGAGATAAAGGATATAGAGACTACTACCGAAAAGACTAAATACCTTTCCCTTGCCTTCAAAAAGGAAGTACTCCCCTTTTTTTTATTGATAGGATTCTTGATTTATTATAATATATATTTTCATAAACTCACACACTCATTCACTCGCACGCACACACTCACGCACTCATTCACTCTCTCACTCTCTCTTTTTTACACACACACATTCACTGCTTGCCCTTTTTGAAGTCAGCTACTGCAGACTTGAGGACGGCACTGTCCAGGAGTACATCAGCGGCTGCGCGAGCAAGACAGCGAGAGGCAAGGAGGGCATCATAATGTGCCTGCTCGGTACCTGCTGCCTCTGCAAATTCATAGGTGTGGTTGGTGGCGGTGGTGTGGATACCAAAACTGTAAAAAAAAAACATATTACAAAAAAAAAGAGAAAAGAAAAGATTAAATCATCAGCCTCAAAATGTGTCAAGCCATAAGCAAAACAATAAGAATTAAAAAATCAGGGTGTTTCCTCTAAGCCTGTATTAAGCATCAATATATATATATATACATATATATATCTTTCCATCTTACCAAGGGTGAGTGGCAGGGATAACATGTGTGATGTTACCCATGTCTGTGCTACCGCTGACGATCTGTTCTTCTTCAACGCGTGTAGCAAATTTAATGCCTTCTTCTTCCATGTATTCCCGGTAGGCACTAGTCAATGTATCGTTCTGGAAGACATCTGCATAAAGAAAATAAGTAAGTAAATGAGAAATATACTGTACCGTAAATCAATCCACAAAACTAATAAGAAAAAAAAAAACAATCTATCGAATTTCTATTTGATTTTATATTTATTTAAAATAATGATAATAGTAGCAATGACAATGTCAATATATACGATTATTTATTCTCATACCTTCAATTGGTCCAGAAGCAGCCCAGGTGAGCTTAACCTCGCAGCCAGTAGAGATAGCAGCAGCCTTGAAGCAGTTTTCCAACTTGACCTTGAGTTCAACCAATTGGTCGCGAGTCAGGGAACGTGCATAGAATGCAGCAGAGGCATAATCGGGAATAACATTGGCCTAAATAGAAACATGATATGTAAAGCAAAGTATCCGTAAAATATATATATTAATATTCGTTTTGGCTATTTATATATAATAAACAGGGTAATTATGTATATATGTAGAAGATATCGTTTACTTACAGATTTACCACCATCAGTGATGATGCCATGGATACTGTAGAAAGAGAAGAGGAGTCGAGGCCCCCATTGGAGTTTAAATGAGATGAAGAAGCCAGAAAGGTGGGAGATCATTTCCCCTTACCGGTTGCTAGACAACGTCTGTTGACGCATCATTGACATATTATCCCAACCCTGCATCAAGGCATCGACTGCGTTGATGCCATTCCAGGGTGCCATACCTGCATGAGATGCACGACCAAAGAATTCGACCTTGAGAGAGTCCAAGGCAAGGAAGCGGGCATAAAGGCTATCAGTGGCCATAGGGTGCTAAGGACATTCAAATAATCGAATTAAATCTAATTGAGTAACCTTGTTCTTTTCTGTTTTGTTTCTTTTGTTGGAATATTCCGATTGATAGATTGATAGATTGATAGCTTAATGCATTAACTCACCAACATCAACGCAGCATCAACACGGCTCTGGACTTCATTGTTCAATACGTAAGTGATCTTTCCACTTGTAGATTCCTCGGCTGGTGTTCCAAACAACACGACGGTACCCTTGGTAATTTTATGATCAAACAAGGCCTTGATGGCAAGAGCACATGCCAAACCAGTAATTGCAATCAAGTTGTGGCCACAACCATGACCGACACTAATTACCGAAAAGTAATAATAATAATAATAACAATAATAATATTAATGATAATAAGTAAGAAAATAAAGTTCAGTTTGTCTTTTTCTTTTCTTTATCGACTAGACAATTCTAATTTTCAGAGCTCTTTGCAGAAAGTCTAACTTACCCGGGCAAAGCATCATACTCGGAACAAAAACCGACGCGACGTCCCTTGTCGCTGTTGGAGTACTCGGCAATGAAGCCAGTTTCAAGACCAGCGACACCACGGGTAACCTTGAAGCCCTTGGTCTCGAGGTAGTCGGTCAAAAGGCGAAAGGCATCGAATTCACGGTTACCGAGCTCGGGATTATCGTGAATCTACATTCATCATGAGCATGTCAATTTTTTTTAAAAAAAAAAGAATAAGCCTGGGTCTGTTGTTTACCTTGATGCTAATGGCACGAAGTTCTTCGTTGTGCTGTTCGATAGTGTTGGCAATGATCTTTTTGACGGATGACTTCATGATAAGAAACTTGGAAGAGAAAAAGAGTAAAGAATAGTCTATTTTTTTATTATATTTTTTTTTGGTTGTCAGACTTTGTGCTTTCGCTTTATTTTTCCTCGAGACCTACACTGTATCGCATTTTAGTATCAGAAAGGTTGCTCAAAACCCAGCTTTGACTTTTTTCTTGTTCCTTTTGGTCCTCGTCCTACCACTACTTCCCCGAGAGCCCGGTGGACAGCAAGAAAATCAAATATTTCAGTAAAAGGATTTGGGCTCTATCTTGATGACGTGAACGTAAGATATCAGGAAAGAAACCCACGACCTCATTTACAATTGCCCGTTATCATTTTGGTTTTTCAATCTTTCTAATCAGTGAATTCCAGGTAGTTATCTAAAGAAACCTTTTTCTTATGCTTGGTCTTTAAGATCGAGCACCATTAAATATATATATATATATTATATATATATGCACCAGGAAATTAAGTGCAGCCTCGTCTCTTCTTTCAGAAAAAACTGAAGAGCAAATATATAAAAGATTAAATCCAGTTTTCTACATACAAGTCCGAGAATATTTATACGCATGCGTATATTGTATCATATGTGGGACGAGCCTGTCTCACCATCGAATGAGTTCCTGGCTGAACATCGTTAACTCACCAGATGAAGACAAGTCACATTCGGGAGTGAATTCGACTTGATAGACTAATCTCTAAAAATATATTAGACGAATGAGATATTTTCTTTTAGACACTCCAGAATTGGATGTGTTTTTCTTTAAAGACGCCTCTACTATCTTTTTATTAGGCAAACAGTAATAAAGTATAGAATGTCTTGTATTAATAGATAACTATTGTCCTATCGATTTGATTAACCTTTTTTGACAGTGAAAATAATTGACTTTTTGGCTATTTCTTTTAATAAATCAAATTGGAATTTGGTAAATCCCACGATACATCAAGATCACCTATACACCCAAATAAATAAAAAAGTGCATAATATTTCAACAAGTCAATGATTTGCTAAGAAGCCATACTTTAGTAGCGAGAACAAATAAAACTTGAAACAGTCCTGAGGTCTGAATACTGTACACAGCTGTCAAATAATATTGTCGAGATGTTTAGCAAAATATGGAATATTATTATTCGTTTACATTTTTTTTGTATACAGCATATGTTTCCACACTAATTGGTCAGTAAACAGCGAGATATACACTTTGAATTTCTAGTATTCTTTATAGCGCCTCTATGCATGTGTATTCACTACAGAAAAAAAAAGTAGTGATTGTCAACCGAACACACACCCTAACACCATTCTTTCATCAATATAGTCAGGAAAGGTGTATGTACATAAAGTAGCAGAGCAATACATCTACTAGCTTATCTGCGGTGGTACAGTTGTACGAATCATAGATATAATATTATAACACCTGTTTCGAATGATCAAAAGTCTGCTATGAGCGCATTATTGCCAGAATGATTTCTGATTTATATTCATAAACCAGCCACAGCGGTTCTTTCATCTGCTTGATCATGCTGTTTAAATACCGATGCTCAGAAATATTTTATTAAGACATGAGCAACTTCACCAAGCTCGCCAACAAACTTAATCCTTATCCCAGTAAGCTCAAAGAAAATATCAACAGGAATCTCGGGAAGAATTTTTTTTTTCATTTATTCTTGTTGTTTCTGATATCTTGGTTAAAGTCGAGAATTTATAATAGCAGATTCATCTAACCTTACGTTGATATTTGGTTTACGAAGAAGAGACCCTTACGAGAATTATTTAGATTTATTTAATGTAGTATTTAACTTCAAAACGCTCAAGGTAAATATGTATATCGGAGAATCTTTAGTTAAATATAAGCTATAGCCTGGAAAACTTTCAAAATTCAAACAGAAAAGAAAAGAAAAACCAGAATCAGACTTTCTAATTTCCTAAGAAGTGATGTCTTTATGGCGGATGTAATCATCTATAAAAAAGATATAAATCAAGGCACACCAGATGTTGAATTTACTGTTGAGATGAAGAATTGTTTACTAAAAAAAAGGATCATTTTGATCAAAATGACAAGTTAAATACAGAAAATCAGCTATATATCCACATACGTCAAGTAGAAAACTTTTATGTATATAAGTAACCTAGTAAAGCGCATCAAGATCCACCATTTAAACGTTGTTTCATATTAATTGCTTAAATATTGATTACATTATCCCATTTTTTCACTCTAAAAAACCATTTACTAATAGAAATATCGATATTTACACCACATAACGATGTTTGATCCAAAAGTTCCCTCAGGGTGGACACCTAAAAAAAAATCGAAAATTTGTTCTTTTTTTTACTAAGTAAAGTTGCTTACCAAATTGATCTATGATGTTCAGTGCTTGTCTGACCAACAACGGCCAAATATTCACGGAGATATCGAGAGATTAAAAAACGACAATATCGATATTTACACCATATAAAGACGTTATCTGAATGCCCGACTGTAAAAGTGTGTGTCCCAACCGATTAATCTCACTGTGCGATGACAGGTTTTGTAATAAGTATCACATAGTTTTGTCTAATAAACAACAATTCTGAAAAGAAGGGTATTGACACTTGGCTATAGATATTATGATATATGGTCGCTGTATTATTATTTTTATTGTTGTCACTAATTGAAAGAATAGTAATAGATAGTTACCAAAGAACGAACCAAAAAGTTCAAAAAGAATATCACTATATCGAGCTTCGAATGTACCTTCTTTGTTTCCAAAGAAACCCTTTATGAAGCTATATATACAAAATAGGGTTTAAAAATACTCTTATTAAAAGAAAGGAGAAATCCCATATTTTCAGTTATTTACTCAACCTAATAATGCTTCTTAGCACAATTACTCGTAGCCATAATTGTATTGTACGCGTTTATGTATTGGACCATCATTACGCCAGAAGTTTATCTTATCTCACTCAAACAATTAATACAAGCTTTATTGCTGAATATGAAACAAAAATGATTGCAGCCAAATTTAGATTAGCTGTATTAATCAAAGACTTCTTCTAATTTGACTTCTTCTAGTCAAAGAAGTCTTTCTACTCTTGGAAACACTAATATGTTTATTATCAGGGAATTATTTTTCTGCCCTTATTTTTTGCGTATTTAAACTAATAATAATAATTAGAATTAAAATATTGAATTGACATGATGTGCTTGAGGTTAATCATAGTACCTTCAGAACCCCCCCTTTATTTTGGACTTGTTAAATGTTTGAATTATACAACTAGTATGATAAGCAGAATTATTGGGGACTAAGACTGGTATTAATTTCATATGTCTAAAGCTAAGCTCTTTGCTTTGCCCTCATAGATACGTGTAAAGCGATAAGTAGCCAAGGTAAGTTAAATTAATATTATTTTGTGTGGACAGACTAAAAGGGTAAAATCAACTGAAATTCTCGCCTAATTATATGACTTAAGTTTTTGATCTTTTTTTTTGCCTTTTTAGTCTGTCCACACTAATTGATTGCTTTTTACGACCTTGACTAATGTATAAAGCTGAGTATCCAAGTCGACTTTCCTAATATTACATCTGTATCTCGAATTTGGATCTAATCTAAAAAGATAGCAAATAATAATAATATTCCCACTCTGATGATAGTGATAAAGAATTTCCTTCTGAAGGTGAAAATAATAACTGTCAGTAGTTTATACTTGATAACCAAAGTCAAAGATATTGTTGTGTACCTATATTGGAGCTAAAGACAAAAGCTTATTATTGCGGGAAAGTTATTACGCACTCGTTATCTATTTATGGTGTGCAATATTTCTTATATATATATATATATTACCTTTATAAAACCCAATTGGTTCAAGATCAATGATATTACATGTCAAATGAGCCCAAATGTATATAGAAGAAGAAGAGAATAGATAATATTGACAGGACATGTGTCGGTTGGATTGTATACCATTAGCCAAGTACCTTTGGGTATTTCTTGATTATAAAGCTTATGTGACTTTTGGGATCTTAAAAATTCAAACAAGTTGTAAAAATAATAATAATAAAAATAATATCGGCGTGCTAAACATTGTCACCCAAAGACCGTTGAGTTGTGTATAAAGGTATCAGACCCGATATTTGCATATTTGTATTACATGTATGAGATTGGGGTTTTTTTTTATATTGTTTATACCCGCTCACTATTCTGAGATGAGAGCATTGTGAGTGCGACCTTGAAAATAAACGTCGAATCTGTAGCACCATGAGAAAAAAAAACATATAGTTTATTGTAAATTATACCGGAGAGTCCCGGAAAGGATTCGGAACACTACGATGATTGTATCGTTATAGATCAGGAAACCAAATGACAAATTATTTGATTGCTCCTTTATTGATAAGTCTTGATTTGAGATCAAGGGTAATATAGCCTTGAGGATATTTAAATGAAGGAATTGATAATTCTAATAAATATATTATTTACTGCAAAACCAAGAAAATAAAAAACCAAATTGAATGATAATGAAACTCTTTGGTTGAACATTACATCACTCGAAAAACTAGATACTTGAGGCTCGTGTATTTTCTATATTTCGTGTGGAATCGTAATAGGGACCTATTTTGTGTTCATATACCTGGGAAAGGATGTGTGTGTGTGTGTGTTTGGGTGGGTGGGGGAATGATTAAGAGTAGATTATTAAATCCCAAGTAAGGGATATTTCTGTCTTCTTTTTCTGTTCTTGTGCTATTGTCTAAATAAGCTTATTTCTATATATATATTGATTGATTGGTTGCAGTGACATTAACAATCGTAATTGACAGCCTTCAAGAGAAACCTCCTCATTCTCCTCCAAATTAAGTATATTGTTTCCAATATATAATAGACAAGTGCAGAGTGGCTTGGAGGACAATAGGAGAAAATAAGGTACGGGACGCATTGAATAGATTGAGAATAAAGGGAGAATTTTATTGAATTAAATTGACATCTGGTAATAAAACTATATTCAACCCCACAAAATAGCCTAGCAAAGCTTAGGTAATATATATATATATATGTATATATATCTTGTTGAACATTGCGGGTCGGTCATATAAAGAACATCAGCAAAATGGAAAGCGCCATTTTTTTTATCTATTTATTTTAAAAATAAATGCATGCTCACCGGGTGGACCGTGTCCTGTTTGATCTATCTCTTGATAGTAAATGAGTTAGGGAAAACTTTGTCATGTATGATATTCACAAATGGTCTCGACTCTTGCAATTAGTGGGATTATTTCTTGAAGATCAGGCGAATGCAAGTACTTCTTTAGAGCTATATCACTTTGTTAAATATTTTATAGGATTAGGATCGATATTGTAAATACTTTTATTATGCAGACCTTGTTTTTCATTTTATTTCATTATATAATATTTAATATAAAATATATACAAATGCACTAGCAATGAACAATGCATTATCTATTCGGAACAAGTAGTGTTACGAGCCAAAGGATACTGCGGGAAACGATAGTTTGATCTGGGATACCTGTACGCATTTGATTTTTCTGGGGTAACCAAGCCATTACGATGATCGGGTACTACACAGAGACGAGGTCTTGGGCTGAGCAGAAATCTATTTTATCTGGATAATCTTTAGGAAAACTTTATTGTATCGCAAGGGAAAGAAAAGAAATAAGATGTAAAAAAAAGATGGGGATTGCTAGTCAGCTATATAGTCAGATATCCAGTCAGCTTGGCTACTTGAGAAGAGTAGATCAAGTCAGTTTAACGTTTTATTTTAACAGGTTACAATTCTTTGGTTGATTTTCTGGTAAGATAAACGGCTTTTTAATGAAAGCAAATTGAATTGCCAATTAAGCCATGGTCTTGTCTTGACGTGGGATCTATGGAACAAACATATAAGTCTTTTGGATCTTTTGCATTGTGTGCTTAATTGGACGATGGTGTAAACCATAATGTTGAAGATCCGACATCTTCCTTTTTGTCCGTTTTGTTTCTGTGGAGAAGGGGCCCCACACCCGCATTGATAACAGAACTATTACAATAGTTTTGTGGCAAAAGTCGTTCAATTGATGTTCACCTAAAAGATCTTTTATGATAAGAATCTTTACTGCATGAAAATGCCATGATTCTTTGGTAATTCAAACTATTGTAAACCTTTATCTTTTTTTACTGTATAAATCAAGTGTATATATTTTATTTTATAAAAAAAAATAATCTCAACCTTTTGTGGTATATGGTTTGGTAATGCCTATCTAATCCTACGGATCTTCTAGTAGCATAATCTCTCTCTATACATCCCAATAAAATAAAAGATAATTTCTCATGATGCCCAAGATGTCCCGGTGAACCTGATCATCGATTGGGTCCCCGAATGAACCTTTTTTTTTGTCTTTTTCTTAATACGTGCTGGTCGACCATAAAAAGACAGTCCGTACACACACACCCTTGTCATGGATGGGAAGGTATTGTTGGAAAAGACGGAACGGCAAAAGGATGAAGCACTTTTGCTGACGTAGTGAGAGGACAAACTCGGCTGTTCGCAGTCCGATTCGTCAAATTTTTTTTCCAGGGATTGCCCCTGCTTGGCTGGGATTCACCCTTTGAAAACATTTTTTTCATTCCAGCTCTACCCGCACCTGCCTTTCTCTTGTTTATATTAACCGCCATGCTTCTCAAAGCCTTTGCCCGTCCTGCTGTCTTGAACAACGTTGCCAGTAACATGGTATGGCTATAAACGCAAAACAAACCTTCGTTACAAGCATTTCATCTCATATTCTCTTCAATTTTATTTTATTTCTCCTTTCTTTTTCTATACACCTTCCAGGTCTCCCGCTCTTTCGCTTCCCAGGTCAGCTCTATCCCCACCCCTGCCCCCGTTGAGCAGACTACCGTAAGTATTAAACTAAAGCAAAGAGGCCATCCTTACTTTTCTCGAGAGAGACCCAAAAAGAAAGAAAGAGACCAAGAACACCAAACTGCAGAGAATACAGTATTGTACTTTGGATTATAAACCTCGAGCAACAGCCTGCACACCTCTATCTTCATCAACAACCAAAGCAGCGCAGCGAAACCCGACCCAACGCAACCCAACGCAACACAAACCAGCATTAGTCCACACTAGTTCATTCAATCAAATCCAATCCAATCCAATTCAACTCAATTCATGTATGATTCGATTTTTAGATCTTCCCCAAGAAGTACGGAGGCAAATACACTGTCACCTTGATTCCTGGTGATGGTATCGGTCAGGAAATCGCTGCCTCCTTGAAGGATGTCTTCAAGGCTGCAAACGTCCCTGTCGAGTTTGAGCAGTATGATGTCTCTGGTTTGACCTCTTCCGATGAGGCTCTCTTCCAGGAATCTCTTGCATCCCTCCGTCGCAACAAGATTGGTATCAAGGGTGTCATGTTCACTCCCACATCCATGCTCGGTCACAAATCCTTCAACGTCACCATGCGCAAGGATCTCGACATGTACGCCTCTCTTTCTCTCTGCAAGAACGTCCCCGGCGTTCCTTCCCGTCTCAGCAACGTTGATATTGCTATCATCCGTGAGAACACTGAGGGTGAATACTCTGGTCTTGAGCACCAGGTAAATAATAATCATAAGTGGGATTGGAATATTAGTAGGAAATATCGCTTTAGCATGATTTGTGGGATTTTGGTAGTGAATGGTTTGGCCTGGAGCTTTTTTTTTTCTAAAAAAAACCCCCCCATTTATATTATTGTTATAATTTGGTATAAAGTCCGTCCCCGGTGTCGTCGAGTCCTTGAAGATTATTACCCGCACCAAGACTGAGCGCATTGCCCGTTTTGCCTTTGATTTCGCTTTGAAGAACAACCGCAAGAAGGTCACCATCGTCCACAAGGCTAACATCATGTGAGTTAAATTGCCTCGTACTACTCGAAATTATTTTACTTATATTTTTGTGAAACTTGATATTTTTTAGGAAGCTTGCTGACGGTCTTTTCTTGCGTACCTGTCGCGAGGTCGCTGAAGAATACAAGCACCACGGTATTGCATACAACGACATGATTGTCGATAACACTGCCATGCAGCTTGTATCTCGTCCCCAGCAGTTCGATGTTATGGTCATGCCCAACTTGTACGGTAACATTGTCTCTAACGTCGTAAGTAACACATATAATTTTGTATATACAGTGAAAGTGTACTTTAAGAATATATGTGCAATATCTCTAATATGTATTATTAGGGTGCTGGTTTGATTGGTAGCCCCGGTCTTATTCCCGGTTGCAACATTGGCCGTGAATACGCTATTTTCGAGCCCGTAAGTTCCACTGAAGAAGAGAGAAGAGGGGGTTGGATCAGCCCCAGTGTGTGTATACTTATGGGAAATTGAGCTTTAACACTATTGGGATTCTTTTTTTAGGGATGTCGCCACGTTGGCCTCGACTTGCAGGACAAGAACGCTGCTAACCCCACTGCCATGCTCTTGTCTTCCGTCATGATGCTCAGACACTTGAACTTGCACGAGCATGCCAACCGCATCTCCAACGCTGTCTATGAGACTATCGAGTCTGGCGCGGTAAGAAACAATTCTTTTATACATAAATTTGTAAAAAATAAAATAAAAAATTACCACACAAATAAGTGTGGTTGGAATAGGAATAAGAATAGGAATTGACTTTACATATAAAAAAATATTCATTTATTGATTGACTGATTTATTTATTCATTTATATATTATATTAGGCCCGTACTGCTGACATTGGCGGTACCCAGACCACCAAGGAGTTCACTGCTGCTGTCATCACCAAGCTGTAAATTGAGTGACACCTCATGAATTCTCTTTTCATCAACTTGCATTTTCAAGCGAAACATAAACGCTCTCTACTCTTGTTAGAAAATAAGAAAAACAACCATTCAATAGATATTTTTTTTTCAACCAAATTTTCTTCAGCTTCTAACAGACGGGAAAAAAAAAGATAAAGAAAGATAAAAAGAGAGAGAGAGAGAGAAAATATCAAGAGGACCATGCTGTGTTGACAGTTGTGGGAGGGCTGTCCAGCAACCATTCATCTTCTGCCTCGTTTTCATTTGTCTCCTTGAATTCTGGAAAGGACACATAGCTTTTTTGGAACTCTGAGTGAACGTCGAGTGAAATAGACGGTGGATCTTGCTTGTGGAGGAGGACCTTGACAAATTCGAATAGACCAGACCACCGTTGACCTTTCCGGAGAGCAGGCAAAGACATTTGTTGCTGTTTCTTTATTGTCGTCGTTTTCGTTATTATTATTATTAAGGATTTGATGAGAAATAGATAGAAGAAAGAAAAAAAGAAGAGAAGAGAAAGAGAAAGAAATAGAGAGCTAAAAGACATGTTTCATGGACAAGTTAATGGGACCCCCTTCCCTTTTACTCCCCTTGGGGAATGCGCTCAACTAAAAGTAGATCCCTACAACATGCTTTGAGTCAATCGAATGAATGAACAAAACGAATGATAAAAAGTGAGATGTGGGATACAAGGTTATCCCAAAATAATAAAATAAAATAAAATACAAAATAGAATAAAAAATAGAACAAGGGGAATTACCCTCTCATTATCCCATCATTTCTCTCATTCTCGTGCTTAGCCCTTTTTTCTTTTTCTTTTTACCATGAATAGCAAACCCGCTTTTCCTCCCTTATCATGTCTTACCACAAGAGAAGCCTCACACCCCCTTCTTTTCTCGAAAATATCCATGTATGTCTATATCTGTGTATAATATCCTACACTGCACTGTACTGTACTGTACTGTACTGTACTGCACTACCCTACACACTACACTACACTACACTACACTACACTACACTACACTACACACTACACTACAGTCCCAAAAATATCTTTCTATTTCTCCCCTTTGTATATATATATATATACAGATACAGATACACTTATACGTATGTAATTGTGAATGTGTAAATTTGTGTGCATATACACACTAACAAAATAGACCTTTTTTTTGGTTGTTGCATTTTTCGTCTTCATACATGATCCCTACAAGGCATTCTTTTTATTGTTCAGGATCTGCCTTCATAGAACTTCTCCAAGAATGTAGTTGCCTTGGGGGCAGCCTCCTCTGAGGCAAAGTAGCTCATAATGTGGTTATGCTGCTTCCAGACGTTGATAGTCTCCTGGAACTCCATGTGTCCTCTAGCCAACAGAATATCGCGAACGGGCAACTCCTCCACATAACGGTTCTTCTCAAAGTTCTCGCGAATCTTGGCACGAACCTGGGAAGTGGGCATGTTGATCTCATGGATCTTCATAATCTCAGGTACCTACAAACAAACAAACACACACACACACAGAGAATACATAACATGTACACACAATCAACAAAAAAATTCTCTCCTTCAGTTCCACAATTCTTCTTTTTTTTCTTTCATTCTTCTTTTGTTGCCGTTGATTTTTTTCCCGTTTGTTTGTATATAATATATTGTATTGTATTGTATTGTATTGTATATAAACGCTCGAATCCAATATAATCCAAAGTACGCACCGACTTTTGCCAGAGACGGTAAAGAGAAATGGCACGCTGTGTAGCCTCTGAGCTCGACTTGGAGACGGCGGTAGTGGTAGCAAAGTTGGAAACACAAAATGCAGCAGCAGACATGATAATAATTGAGAGGAGAGACACTACTCTTTTTTGTTGTGAATAGACTATCACATCTGAAGCGCCAAAAACACAAGCAAGGGGAGTGACGTAGCCTCTAGTTAATCTCCGATATACTTGTACAATCGCACTTTTTTTTTTAGTTTTGTGGACAGAAATGTTCAATTAATTATTATTATTTTTGTATGATAAATATATGTATGTGTATATATATATATATTGAAATATGTATAGGTGTCTAAAGGAAAGGTTGATTGCTTGATCGATAGGTATTTTAATGCTACATAACTGTTCATCCTTTTCTCCCCTATGGGTTGTGATTTTTTTCTTTTTGATTTTGATTCTTTTTACTCAAGTTGACCTTGGTAGACATAGTAACTGTAGTAAAGACCAAAGATGATAAAAAGTACTGATCCAGCAAATGTGACTATGAAATGGAATAAACGAAATTCAAGCGATTATTGTAAGCCTTGATGTTAAACACACACACACACACACACGTACGCGCGCGATTTATTATTACTATTATTACCTGTTCTGACCGAGATTTTAGAAGCCAACATACGACCACCCATAACAGCCATAGCTGAACAGAGTGTATGGCCAATAATAACGCCAGCTCCAACCCAATATACATTCTACATAACAAAAGTTGATGGCATTAGTATCATTATGAGGATAAATATAATATAATATTATTTTTTTCATTATATGTTATATTCTCTAAAACTCACATTGGCAGCAGCTAAAGCAATAGTAGAGATCTGCGAGCGATCGCCCCACTCTCCAAGGAAGGTCAAGACAAATGTTTGAACGAATACAGGAGAAAATACTAGCTGCATAAGGTTCATCAAACCATCTTTAATCTGCTCTGTCTTGGGCTTTTGCTCAACAGTCTGTTCCATGCCACCAACTTCCATTGCTTCAAGGTTGGCGGTCTTGTCTCGGTTTTCGACTTCCTTTAGCTCTTGTTCAACTTCTGACATTTCATCCTGTCCTTCTTGGCCATCCATGTAATAGCCTTCGTACATCATACGGATACCAAAACCCAGGAACAATAAAGCGGCCAGTACATCAGTGTACTGCTTAGGAATCAAGTTGGGTAAAACATGACCCAATAGAGCAGAAAGAACGGACATCAAAGCGAGAGAACAGAAGGCAGCTGCAAATACAACAATACGAGGATGCTTCATGGCCATGATGGCAGCAATGAGAAACGTCTTGTCTCCAATCTCAGAAACGATGATCATCAACAGAGAAATAAAGAAAGATTGTTCTCCTGTACGTTCTTGATCTTCTGAATCGATAGAGAGTAAGCCTCCATCGAGAGGTGTCTTTGGTGCAGTCTCGTCTGGAGGAGATAAGGCAGCGGCATCAGCCCACTAACAAATGATGATTCGATTGTGTGAGCGAAATGATCTATGAGCATCTATACTTCTATTATTATTATTACTGTACTGTTTGCGTAATAGATCTATTGTTATCTCTATAATATAAATATTTTCTATATTTTCTTCAATAATAAAAAAAAATGATAATGATAATGATAATGATAATGATAATGCTATAAAGGGAAATAGAGATAATAAGCTGACACGGCTGTAGGTCGTCTACCTGTTCTATAGGATCGTCGATTTGAGCATAAACAACGGTACTAAATACTAGCAAGGTAGCTAGACAAGCGAGCCTTGTTAGTGAAATGCCGATCATAGTGCAAGTGGAGGAAAGAGCAATAAAAGGGTTGAACAGTTCAAAAAAATTATTTTTATTTTATTGGTGTTGGACCTTGCTGGCACCCAAAAAATAATAATAAAAAATAATAATAAAACGCTTGGGTTCTAACCCCAATATATTTGTCGATCTATCTATACATCTTTACCCTTTTAAAGCTTAAATTATGTTGAGTTTGGCAACATATTTTTAATGGTCTATCAGTAGCAGTACTAGTCAGATCAACGGCTATGGAAATCCCCTCTTTTCCTTCTCTAGTAAGAATAAAAAGAAAAATACAAAGACAAATCACACCCGGCACGTATATCGGATGAGCGGATCTGAGCGTATAATCCAAGCGTTTCCCTGTATTTTTCTCCCCCCTCCCCCCCCCCCCCTTTTTTTTTATATATCTTCCCATTTTCCAAACCGGGCTTAATTTCCCGATTTCTTCGCCTTTGTCAAATACTAAAAATAATGATTTTCATGACTTCAAATATTATATATTGAAAATAAAGCATTCGATGGTCATAGTATAGTTGGATAAAAAAACACACACACAAGAACGACCAAACGACCAAACGATAATAATTATCCTTAAAATTGGTTATATATCTTATATATTTATAAAGAAGACGTAAAGTTGAAACTTACCAAAGCCCCACGCACGAACAATACATACACTACTGGGATAGGGGCTAAGTGATGCTTACAGCCAAAGTGTAATTAAACTCTCCTTTGAAATAAACTATATCTGAACGGAAAACACTTAAAAGACTCATTTGTGTAAAACGGGCGCATATGACATCTTATCTCCAAGGTAAATTCTACTTTTTAACTGAAAAAAAAAACCATAGACTATCAACTCTGGGGCCAAGAATTTCAATTGGAGTTTATCTTGATCAATGTAGTACAGTGGCTGCTTGAAGTGGGCGATTATCCGACAATAACAGCAGTAACAATAACAACAACGAAAATGGATATTCTCAACATATTTATATCACAGCGTTGAATACAGCGCATCTATATATATATATATATAATAAGCTAGTATTCAAGAAGATCTCGATGTGTATTATTAATTACTTTGTTTTTTTTTGAAATTAGGGTTTATTTAAACCCAAGTATATGTATTCTACACCAACACGGCATTAAAGAAAGGCTGATATATTGTGAGCGTATCTGATCACATAAACCAGATGTATAACTGTTTAAGACGAGTCACTGTAACTTCTTGTAGATCAGCCAAGGAAGGGAATAACATAAATAGGTATAATTCAGAATATCGAATGATGCTTGACTGATAGTGCTTATATATATTCACTTCTTGCGATGGCTATAGACTTACCTTAACGCTTATCCAAAAACGAGTTAAATTTCGATCTAATTGAATATCTCAAGAGCATCAAAATTATTGAAGAAAATGTTATTAGCCAATCTATAGAGTCATATTTTATAGCTATAACGGATGTCTGGTCTTACATTTCCAACTGCTTCTTCAAGGAGTGTTTATTTGTATGTTTGCATGGGAGAAAATTTTATAAAACAAAGCAACTCGTTAATTGGTTTCTTGTTCAACATTATTTCTATATGTTAAGGATACTTTTTGACCTATATTTATCCATATTAAAATGTGGAAAAAACATTTGGTACCTGCCTTCAAGTATTCGGTATTCTGGAATAATTTAAGTTTGACCACTTCTCTTAGCGATAGTTTTAATATTTTGTTTTCCCTGAGTTATCTCTAATCCCAACTCTCATTAACACCATAATCGGATTTATCAAATATACTTCACAATGTATATATATATTCAAAATACTCGTCTTGACTTTATACTCTGTCTCTGACTCTATAGTTCAATAACTTAGATTGTAGTAATAGTATTAGAGAAGTTAGTGAAATCAAATTCTCATAATTGTATAAGGCACAAAACCAAACAGTGTAATTCTTTTTGAATATTTCATTTTTTTTCAATGCTTTTATAAAAGGATTGTTCATTACTTTATTTATAAATTCGATACTATTTTCTACTAAACTTCGAAATAGACACACCATTACTTCAACTAAAAAGTTTGTTTGTTTTGACGATAACATAGTTATATATTAAATATCTTGATAGAAGCCGTATCTTCAGCTTTTATATACGAGTTCTGCTTAGTATATATATATATATATATTTGAATAGCTATGTATAACGAAACTTTGTTTGTATCATTGTAGGCTCACATTCGAAGCTTTACATTGCTTTCTATATCCTCACTATTTCTTATAGCGTCAGTTTAGAATAAAAACCAGAAGAACATTATTGGCTGCTACTTTGTGTTAGGTCACAATATTATCTTGTTTAAGTGGCTAGGTTTGTTTTTTAAAAGAAGTTATTCCACGAACTTCACTATCTTAACAAGTAACTTGTCTAGTTTAAACATTCCTCATTATCAAAGCAAAGAACTTATTAATATAACTATATAGAATCAGTATAAATAATACTTACGTGTATACCAATATCAGTACTATACTTAAGAATAGTTTCATTGCAAGAATGGTACCAAGTGTGTTTTTAGCGATCTATATGAATTTTTTTTATGATTATTGACTACTGACTTGAAAATATACTTTTATATGTATGTATATATACCCAAAGAAAAGTGTAAGCATCTTAAATTGAAAACGTAATTAAATAACTCTTTTACTTTTCATGCAATGTTAGCCTCTCCTACTTCCTACATAAGTAATATATTAAACAGTCATTCTTCATACTAAATAGTCTTTTTCTTTATCTTCTTTCGTACCTTATAAAATAAACAGCCACCAATAAGTTAACGTTGAAAATTTACACGTATAATTTACATTTATCCGAGAAGTTGATAGAGAAACATCAAAGGAAGGCAACCTAAACTTCCCACATCACTTGTCACACCTCAAATGCAAATCATAAACAGAACAGTCCCAGTAAAATGTTTATATTAAAATAAAATAAATTAAATACATATACCCATACCTATACCTATACTTGTGCATTACTATCAAAATAATAATATAATAGTAAGAATGAGCGATTCAGATGACCCTGATGTACCCATCGATTTCTCAACCTTACTTTCTTCACGGTAAAAAACGAGAATCTTTTTATTAAAACAATAAACAAACCAAAAATACAAAAAAAGATTGATTTATCATACATAATATATCAAGACAGCGTGGAAAACAAGCACCAAAACGAGGCTCCAAAGAATCAGAACCAAATGAATCTCTAGCTCAAAAGAATGAATTAGAGAGTTCTAGAGATGCACTTTTCATGTTGATTGGAGAGAAACCAAAAGGAGGCCAAAAAAGTATGAGTCATGGACACTGGAGTCAATTGACACATCTTACTACGATCACCTCAACAAAAGGAAACCATGTTCATACTATGGGGCATACTATCCAAGGCCATATTGCCCTTTATCTTGAAGAAGCAGCTTGGCTGATAAGCAGAAATGCTCTTGAAGTGACAGAGAATGATAATCCAAAATTATTCGAAGATTTTTGTCTTCAAATGTTTAAAGGTGCTGATGGTTGGATAACCTATGAAAAATACCAGGTTTGTTTTCCTTTATATTTTGGCTCCAAGTAATAATATATATATATTATTACTTGGATCTAGGTATTAATAACCTAAATAAATGTAAACCAAGAAGCGTAAATATTCAATGTTCATTGCAGGTGTATGTTTATTTGAAACGGCTGGGTTACATCGTACAACGATCCAACTCTTGCGCAATTCAGTCAAAGGCCAAACTTGTAGTTCCTAACAAGACTTGGTCGTACTATTTTTTCAAAATTATTTCCAAGGGCAATAGATTGTGTTATAACGTCGTGAATTCATTTACATCATTCCTACAGCGTTTAGGTGTAATAGCAACAAGCATTAAACCACTTGTGTGGGATAAAACATGCAGTAGTTATGGTAACCATTCTTCTTAAAAAATTAAACACAAAAACACAAACACATGTATACAACTTGATTCATTTGTCTGAACAAATCATTGTATATGTGTATTCAGCGGATGTTTACTCTACTCTTCAAATTATTCCTTCTTCTCCATGGTACAAACCTTTTCAGCAAAGGTCACATCTCTTTGAGAAATCCGTTAAAGAAAACAATATTGCATTTGATTGGGATGTTTATCGGCCCAACCCAAAATGGAAAAAGCGAGACGCTGGCGTACCTGATTTTCGTGTGTTTGTACAAAGGCAATTTTACTAAAGGTTGTAATATTAAATAAGCACATCTAATATACCTTATATTGAACATCAATAGTATGGATACACCAATACCACCCTGTGAACAATTCAATGGTCTGTTTTCTCACTTAGAGCAAGATTTGTGCTCTTTACCGCACGCAAAACATCTACAAATTCGCAATACGCAGTCTCCACAGTCAGCCCCAGCTTTTCTTATGGGTCTTGTGGACGATTCGGAGGGCGTAACATTCTTGAGATTTACAGGGGATGGTTTAGCAGATGTCAGTGCTGTCAGTGCCGTCAGCATTACCAAGCCTATATTCCAAAATAAATAACTTTATTCTATAGTCAATGGGCTAAAGCCTTTTTTTCTTTAAGAAAATTAAATATATATATATATATATATATGTTTATTTGCGAGATTAAGATAGGCGCAACAATAAAGAGGTTGTGATAAAAAAGAATGGACCATAAAATTCAAGCAGTTTGAATAAAAGGTCACATAGTTTGTTCGTTTGTTCGTTATTGATCTTTCTCGGTTAAGAGCTTAAGAGTAGAGTCTTTGGCACTGGGCATAATATGCTTTTTGTTTGTTAACGTCTTCATGTAGTGAAGCAACGCGAGTTGCTAGAGCAAGGAAGGCCTCTTTCTGGGATTTGATGATTCGTGCAATATCCTGCGGTGATTTTGCTTTGTTTTCCGCCCATGATCCAGTAGTTCTCTCGATTTCCAAAATACATCTCTTGTATTCTTCGAACCTCTCATTCAAATGCTTGGACAAAGTAACAAAGTAATCGTTCTCCGGACTATATCCAAAAAGCCATCTAGCATTGCTTCCTGGGTTTTTGTATGCTTCAATAATAGCCCGACCATCAGCTGCATGGCGAAGTTGCTCTTTGGCTGTTTCAAATAAGCTCTCGGCAGTTGCTAATTGTCCCTTGAGTCCAATAGACATTGCATCCAATTGTTGGCTAAGAGAGTTAATGTTTGCCTTTGTGATCTCCATCATCTTGGCATGCTGAGGTCCACTATGGTTCATCAGGTAGTCGCATCGCTGGCTTTCCCCGCGTACATACTTTTCCAATTCTTCAAGTTCTCTTTGAGCTGCGTCCGGGAGTTCAGAGAATCGAGTGGAGGGTTTAATATTATCGATACGGAAATTTGTGTGAATAGTAACCTGGCCTTGTCTAATAACAAAAATAAAAGAATAAATTATTAATAATAGCAACTATAAGCGCCCAAATATTTATTCAATATCTACCTTTGGCCATTAGGCAAATGAGGTACCAATGATACATGATAATGACTTGGTACAGCCATTGCAGCCTTGTTAATATCATCAAGAATTGCAGAAAATGAAAATGGATTTGGCTTGCGAGGGCCAGCCGGAACAGCTGGTGCTGAAATTGTAGTAGTGGATGCTGTAGATGTTGTCAAAGAAGGTGTTGTGTTGACTGGTGTGGTAGCAGATGTTGTTGAATTGGAACCAAATCCAAATGAGAAAGTCGACCCAGCTGTTGTGACAGGTGTTGCCGATGATGTAGAAGAAGTGGTAGTTAAATTTGATGTAGCGTTGTTCTTATCACCAAATGTGAATGAAGGGATGGGAGTAGTTGCAGTAGGTGCTGATGCTGATGCAGTTGACGATGTTGATGCCGTTGACGATGCTGGTGGTTCAGCTGTTGTTGTCGCTGTTGTGGTTCCTGGATTAATTCCTGCTTTTGTACCAGAGGAAAATAAAGTGAGAGGGGATGAGGTTGTCGAAGTGGTGGGTACACTTCTATCTCCAAATGAAAAAGATGGTGTACTGGCTGTAGATACCGGTGTGGTCGCTACGGTTGAGGTCTGTGCTCCTGACTTGCTTCCAAACATAAAAGTATTTGCAGGTGTTGATGGTGTTGATGGTGTTGAAGATGTTGAAGATGTTGAAGGTGTAACGGCTGGTTCGGTCTTTCCAAATGAAAATGTTGAAGGGCTATTTCCTGAAACAGAAGTCTGCTCTCCAGACTTGGGCGTTTCAATGTTCGACTTGCTAGTTTGACCTGATGAAGTCGGAGGTGCACCAAAAGAGAAGGCGTTTACATCAAACTATCAAATTATGTTCCGTGTGATATAAAAAGCAATTAATAACTTGGTTGATTTGTCACTTTCGATTAATAGATGAGTAATATTCTTACCGCAGCCTTGGTAGCTGAAGGAGGTGTAGATGGCTTGGGTGCATTAAAAGAGAATTGTGCTGGCTTGCTTCTACCTTCTTCAGAACTTTCGTTTGATCGTTTGCTTCCCAGTGTAAAAGATGGAGCCTTATCACCAGATGGAGGAGCAGAAGAAAAGCTAGTAGATGGGGTCGGTGTATTACCAAAGGTAAAAGAAGGTACGCTGGTAGAAGCGGTAGTGGAAGTATTTTTCGGCAAGTTTGACTTTGAGCCAAAATCAAACTTAGGTATGCTGGGAGTAGCAGTAGGTGGTGGGCTCTTTGGTGAGCTAGGACTTGCTCCAAAAGAAAAACTAGATGTACTTGGAGTTTTTCCAAACGTGAAAGACGGTACGCTAGGAGTAACAGTAGCGGAAGAAGTGGTTTTTGGCGAACTAGGCTTTGTACCAAAGGAAAATGTGGGTGTGCTAGGGGTGTCGGCAGCGGATGCACTCTTGGATGAAGCGGGGTTAGTACCGAAATTAAATACGGGTGATCCGGGAGTAGCAGTAGCGGATGTAATTTTGGGCGAAGCAGGCTTAATACCAAAAGAAAATACGGGTGTGCTTTGAGCAGTCGTAGACGAAGTGCTGCTGGAGGTATTAGATTTGTCGCCAAGGGTCGGTGAGCCAGGAGCAGTTGCTGACCTTTTCTGGATTGGCGCTGTGAGACTGGGAAGAGCGTTGGGTGTTGTAGTAGCTGTAGTTAATTGAGCTTCTTTGGTATCTGTCACAGACTTTGCGGTAATCTTTGGAGGATTAGATTGACCAAAAGTGAAAGTGGGTGTAGTAGCAACAGAAGTAGATGTGGTAGTACTAGATGTACTGCTTTTAGTAAAGAAAGTAGATGCAGTAGTAACACTATCTTTTGGTGAGCTAGGTTCATTAATATCCGTGGCGGTAGCGGAAGATGGCGGTGCATTATCTTTTGGGGTTACTGGCATGACTTTAGACTCAGGTAAAGATGATGATTTCTCTTTTTTGCCACTTGTTCCTTCAGTAGAAGAGGCCCCTTCTTTCGATATCTCTGGTTTTGTCGAAGTAGGAATCTTCTCTGTCGTGCTCGATTCAGTGGAAGAATCATTTTCGTTCGATCCTTTTTCCTTGCTTTCTGCTGTAAGCGCGGACTTTACGTCTCCTTTAGTAATTGGAGATTCTGTGGTAGTTTTTGGCCCAGAAAAAATAGAGTTGTCTGATATCTTTGCCATACTTCCAAAACTAAAGATATGCTCTTTTTTAGATTCTTGAGATGATGCGTCACTGGTGGACTTTGCAGAAGGTGCAGTACTGTCGTCAGTTTTCTTGGCTGGTTTTTCAAAGGTAAAAGTGGGTGTTGCCTCGGATTTTTTAAATAAAGAAGAATATTTTTCTTTTGTTAAGTTGGCTGAAGGAGAAGATACTAGTGGCGCGGGAGAGTCGTTTGATCCTGCCACACTGCTTCCAAACTTGTTGCTATGAGTTGCAAGAATAGGAGGAGATTTGGTAGTAGACGAAGCACGAGGAATATTGCTTTCATTAGATTTAGGAACCATGCTACCGAATGTAAACCCGCCAGAAGGTAGATTAGAAGGTGTACCAGGAGATTCAGACATAGAGATTGTTGGTGTTTTGTTAGCCTTGTTCAAGGTAAAGGCTTCTCCAGATGAACTGGGTCCAATATTAGGAGAATTTGATTTTGATCCAAAAGAGAGGTTTGGCTCAGGTGCATTATTTTTTTTCTGTCCCCCAAACATAAATCCTCCTAAATAAATAATAAGTATACTTTGGCCAATTATATGTCGTATTCGCCCTTACCGCTAATAGATGCTGATCCAAACTGGTTAGTTGCAGGTGCTGTAGTGGGAGAATGTTTAGAATGAAAAGGAACGCCACCTATGAGCATAATGGTTCTTACATTTCTAATATATAATAAAACAAGCCACTTACCATGTGCTGCCGTTGTTCCAAATGGAGATATTTTGGGTGAAGAAGCAGGAACATTGTCTGATGCTTTGGTATATGTTAATCCAGCTGAAGAACTTGTTAAGCTAGTGCCAAACGAAAATGGGGTTTCCTGCGTACCTGGCGCGGAATTGTTAAATGTAGCATTTGATACTGAGGGTGCTAATGCAGGGCTACCAAAGGTAAAATCATTCTGATTGTTCAAAGCTGGACTTTTTCCAAAGTTAAATCCACTTCCAGTCGTAGGTGGTGGAGTAGTCACACTTCCATGACTAAAGCCAGGACCAGATGTATTTGGCATTGCAAATAAAGATCCACTTTGGGTAGGTGGGCTTGTTCCACTACCGGATGTTTCCATATCGTCAGGCCCTAAAGATTGTTGATGTTGATGTTGATGCTGCTTTTGTTGCTGTTGTCCAAAGCCATTGAAAGATGTCAAAGGTGATGAGATACTGAACTGACTGGGATTGCTGTCTGTGTGGCCAAATCCTTGAGGTTGAGAAAATGAAAAGGAGGGAGCTGCTCTTGATGGAGACTCAGACCCAAACATAGTATTTTCAGTCTCAGGGAGACCAGGAATGTCTGATATACCACGTCCAAAAGACGATGGCGTACTAGCAACAGAGTGGTTAGATGAATATTGGGGGAATTGTGCGCCATGACCGAAAGGTGATGTTGGAGTGGTTGCATTAGACAATCCGACAACACCAGAGGTATTTGGAGAGCCAAATACAAATGTTTCGGTACGTCTAACAGGTGACATTGCTGGCGATTGATGAGGAGAGGCAGTGGGTGTCACATTAGCCGATCCAAACTGATTGGAAATTGAAGATTGCGAATTAAAGCCAAAAGGCGAAGAAGCCCCACTTGGGGTTCCACTCATGTTAAAAGGATTTGGAGATAAGGCACCAGTTTGTGGAGCACTAGGAGCTGCTTGGTTTCCCATCGTGAACACGAAGTTTATGTCGCTGCCACCACTTTTCTTCCCGCGAGAAGATTTTCTGTGACTAAAGATCATAATGTTAATATTATAGAATGACCACAATCTTCAAGTCTTTTTTTTTACCTCATGATGGTTTATTCAGAGTGTTTTTATTTTTTATTTATTCTCGTTGTTTGAAGAAGAGTGTAGATTTTATTCGCTGTTGAACAAGACGCGCTTTTGCGTAAACAGCCGGTTCTCGGCAGTCACACATTGGCGTTTTAGACCTCTTCACATAAAATGAATTGGGTTTTATCTTATTAAAGAAAGTCAGACAAACAGAGAGAGAGAGAGGTTTTACGGAAGAAGTAGATGGAAAAATTGAGATATCATAAAGGATTGTGTAGACCGACAAACCGTATCAATATTTCCCCTCCCCCCTTATTGGTGCTGCCGTTATTAATATTTTCTTTCTTTTTTATTTTATTTATTATAGTCTGGTCTAATCGCACAGCCAGTCCCTTGCCCGCTTCATTTTCTTTTCCATCTTTGCTTTCTTGAAGCGATCAAGGTCCTTCTTAGTTAATGGACGTTTTTGGCCAGCACCAGCTGCTCTCTCTCTGTTTCGCTCATCCATATATGCATCTACGTCAAAATAGTATTGCATCTGTCTCTTTGCACGACTTTCGATTGTCATCCTGTCGGGGTGGAGACGTTCAACTTCTTCTGACGTTTGAAACTTGCCGGTTTTTGCATTAAAAACAGCCTGGAACTTATATTGATCCTCTGTCCCGAAATACGATGAATAAGGTGTCTGAGTTTTCTCAGCTGGTGATTGTTCGACTGTATCATCAAATGTGCTTCGAACCTGCGTGTCAATCTTGTCCAGCAAGGAGTCGAGCGGGTTGTCTGAAACATGGTCTGGGCGCGTAGCAGTCTGAGAGGACTCTACAGCTGGATATCCATAGTAATACAATGAATAATCTTCTGTCTGCTCAGAATCTGCCTTGCTGCCATCTCCCAATGGATTTTCCCATGTTGTCTCGTACGTTAACGTATTCCACCAGTAGTATGATTGGGAGTTCTGATCCCATGCAGCCGTCCAGGCCTTTGCAATATCAGCCTTACTAGGATGAATCTTCTTTTCGGCTTTGTCAGTCCCTTTTCCTTTTGTCTCCTTTTTTTCTTGTTTAATTTCGTGCTTTGCTGGTTCATCTGTCTTTGAGTCGTCTAATGATGTGTTTGCGTCTGTTTCAGTCGTCTTGTTCGTTTTTTCTACGACAGAATCTTCTGATCCATTGTCATTGGGTACTTCATCTACGTGAGTTTCTGCCTGGGATGTAACCTGTTCTGAATCACTGGCACTCATGACTATACAATGTTGACTAGATCCAGCAAGAAGTCCTCCAGACGGGTATCTTAAATCTACGTCACAAAGGGATTGTGACGTAATCTTTGGATTTCCTAAAGAACTCCCCGTACAAAAAAATCCATAAGCAAAAGCGTAACCTCTCTCAAGGTGGTTTAATGCGATGGATGAACCAAAGATGCCAGAGACTGTCGATACAGAGCTGCTTCAGCTCAACATCAGTGAAGAAATGAGAGGAATTTCAGCATTCATGAAGGTTATGGCCACACTTTTTCATTACGGTAATCAACCGATGAACGCAGCTCAGCTTGTTGGTGCCGTGAGAGCTTTGGATCTACTTCCACTAAGGTGATTACCTACGTTCCACAGAAGCATGCATAGTAGCCTAGGAATGATTACTGCATTCAATGATACTGCTTAGTCTGTCGAATGGATGAACAGACAGACAAAGACATTTCTCTAGCATGACATGCTTCTTTTTTGTACAGATTGTACTGATCCGTGTCCATGTCTGTTGTTTAGAGGAGAGACGCCCAAAAGTACTATCCAGGGTATTATATCGACGGCGCGAAAGGCTGCACGCGGATTAAAGCAACCTGATCCATTCGATATTGCTAAGGATGGTGCCGGTCGCCAAACAAAGTATTCGATTGCAGACTTTGTGTTGAATGGAGTACAATTGCCCCCCATTCAGGAGATCCCGGATGAGCCGATGCACATTAAACCAGTAGAAAACTCATCTTCATCTTATTCTTATTCGAGTCATCTTGGGAAGCAGCAGCGTAAGCCATCTTCTGATCGTAATGGAAGCAGACGTCGGCGAACCAACTCATCCAAGCTCAAGAGAAAACGCACAAGTGGTTACGATACCGATTCGGATGGAAATGGCTTTGACGTTGATGTGGACATGGACGATGAGTACGCTTGCCCAATCTCACTACCAACCAACTCAATGCTTTGCTATGTAGGTCCATGTCGATAGACTCAGGTGCAGACGAGGCTAATATAGCCCAATCAGAAGAAGATACTATATTCGACTATTCGCTTCTATATGCACCACCACCTGCGGATATGAATTACCTCGATCCTATCAACTTTGTCGACTACCCTATTGCTGCCAATTTTGCAGCTGTACAACAAAAGGGCTATTCATACCCTCGGTTCCGATCACATGAGAAGATTAAAATTCCTAAAATACATTGCGAGGATCGATTCCGCGTTGCAGATATTCATGATACAACAGGAAAAAAAGTGGTTGGGCGTGTATTTATTCTGGCAGATGGTCATGGTGGAAGAGGTTGCTCAGAATACTTTGTTCGCAAAACACCACGAGCTTTAGAGAAGGTGTGTGCGGAATATAATCCACAACAATTGGATAATAAGGAAGTCCAAGAACGCTTTGAGCATGATATCAAACTCATGGTCGAGTCCTTGGATGAAGACTATTTGACCATCAAACGAGCCCAATTATCTGGAAAATCGGATAGCTGCTTTCCTGGGAAGAATGGTAACCTTAGTACTGAAATGGGGGATGCTGTTGATGGGCATCTAGAATCTGAGAAGACCGACAATGACGGTTGCACTCTTATTCTTAACGTGTTCTTTGGTGACTGGCTGGTGAATGTCAATGTGGGTGATTCTCGGACTATTTTGATTTCTGCTCCTGAGCCAAGCTCAGCACCCGTAACTATGGACTATCCTCTCACCGGAGGCGTAGATAAGGACTATCTTATGGAAGTTGTATTCGCATCCCAAGATCACAAACCTTACCTGGAACATCTGGCGAGAGAAATTCTTGAGAATGGCGGTGAATTTGTAGACTCTGTTCAGAACAGAATTATCAAAGTCGAATTGGACAAACTTAGAGAGGATGGTAATCGACAGGCTAAAAGAATCGCTCTCAAGAATGCACGTATTCGACCCAAGGATTACCAGGTTACGCATGATCAGGCAAACGGCGACACATCAGTCCAAGGATGGGCGACTCAAAGTGCAGTTCGTACTACAGCCAACAATGTTCCTGCATGGCGCGCCCGTGAAGATCGCATTCCATCCCTAAACGTTGCACGGTCCTGCGGTGACTTGGATTTCAAGTTGAACCCAAAACAAAAAATTATCTCTTGCGAGCCCGACGTTACTTTTATTCGGATATCTGATGGAACCCCAGAAAAGGATCCAAACAATAATAGTGAAGATTCTTCAAAAGAAATACCCCCGCGCACCATGGTAACCTCGTCTGCGCACAAAGAAAAGCGGAGGCACTTTTTGTTTATGAGCACAGATGGAACATTTGATTATATGTATGAAGAAGCGCCAGATAAGCAGAACCGTGTGATTGCAAAGGCAATAGGTGCTATGGTTGAAGATGGAGAAAAAGCTGGACGGTATATTCTAGAACAAGAAGAGCATAATGAAGGACAAACAATTGAACACACGTCATCTTCAATTGAGGGTGTAGTCAAAGATAATGAAACAGCCAACCATTCAAAGTCACAGGCAACACTCCCAACAACAGATAATGTAGAATCTGTTCAGAAAGGTTCTGAGATTAAGAACACTGAACAGTTGTTGCCAACAGTATTAAAGCAACCAGAATCAGTACCAGAAGCAAAAGCAGGATCAGCACCACCAAATGAGGATATGTCGGTAGAGGCAACTGAAAAGGAGCCTACGGCGGAAAGCGATGCAGCATTGTTGAACCAACAAGAGCCTCGCAAACCTCTTTTATTCCGTGAATTAACAAAACAAGAAGAAAAGATCCGGAAACTCAAAGAGAGGACGCTTACAATGGCCGCGCGATACTTTGCGAATAGAGAAGGGGCGCATGGCTTTTTTGCTTCGAAGCTGCAAGATTATGATGACTGCACCGTAATGCTTATTGAGATCTGACAGAATGTATTACTGAGTGAACAGGAAGCCCTCAATAAAGCATGTGTATATATCATTCTCCTTCGTTGTCAGAAAAAATTGTTTAACTTCCAAAACGACATGTCTTTCTGGTAAAGAAGAATCCAAAGTGGGTCTTTCTTTTATAAATTTATTTATGTGTCTAGGCCATTGTCTGTGCCCTTTTTACTGATGACAATATGAAGAAAATTGTCTGCAAAACATAGATTGTCAGAGGCCCATCCTAGAGGTGTGTCCAAAGGCAAAGGTACACCATGAATTACAGGTATCGCGTCACACTCTTCTTGGTCATCCGAAGGAAACAAGTCCGGTAAGATGCGTGTCATGGCATCTCCTATAAGAAGCGGGTGCTCTAAAGAAACCAGAATATATCAGGATTTTGAGTTGGCTCTTAGTCTTTCAATTCCACACCTTCTGTGTTTCCTGGGACTAGTTCTTGAATGGGTGGACATTTGTATGGCATATAAAGACGCAAAGGAATGTGTCGTGCTAATTGGCCGTTTTCGAGCAAATGCTTATTCACGCTCCAATATTCAGAGTACTTTCCTATTTAATCTAATGGTCAGAGATTTATATATATATCTTATTTTTGCTTTTTTCTTTTAAAAAAAACGCTGTTTTGGTACCTTGTACCAGAGACTGCCACAGCTGCGTTTGATCGCGTTTAGACATATTCATAACCCTTTTTGTGGTTCCGTGACGGAGAAAGTCTGCCTTTACTTCAAGTTATCAAAATTCATGCACATCATTTTTATACTGGTCTGTATATGTCTTTCAAAGTAATTACCTCCTTGAGCATCGACATGAACATGTCTTGGGTTGTATCCAGTGTAGGATTGCGCAGTATTTTATCAATAGGAAATTCATCGAAATGAATATTGATACGCCATGGAAGACTAGCCTTTTCACCAAAGGTCGGTACTTGTGAGATTGGGAAATTGTATAGATCGTATAAGAGGCCGATAGGAAAGTGCCTTATTGTAACCCATACATAAGTTTATATTTTCGTAAAGATAAAGTATGTTTCTGATATGATATGGCTACTTACCATTTGAGAGGTTCTCCATTGTAATCATACCATACATTCTCTGGTTGGGTTTGAATACCAAGTCCGGTGTAGATGGAATGAAGCTGATGGGTCAAAAGAGAAAGGTAGGAAAGACGAGCTACTTCTATCTGTAGGTTGGGAATAAAACGCCTGTCTCTTTATTGCGATGACGATGACGTACATATATTGGATCTGGTGTTCGAGCGGATGAAATGGATTCTGTTGGATGAAAGGTTACTTGGAGAGGAAGTTTACCATCCCAGATCGTTTCTGAGATGGCGATATCAAAGGCAGACATGTTGAGAAAAAAAGAAAGGAGGAAGAGTAGGACGAGTTGGACGAGTCACAGGATTTTAGGTTTTCCTCATTTTTAAGCATGAAAAAAAAATGCTTGCAATATCTTCATCTCTCTTTCAGGCTTACTGATAATCAATCTATTTCAATTTAAAGAACCTCTGAAGAGTAAATATTACTAAAAAAATCTTGTAGGCTAGTATCTCTTAACCAGTCATAATGGTCCAAGACAACCTGAAAATAAACGGCCGTTTCCCAAGGAAAGACAAATAAAGCAACAGTATATGTATGCTAGTGACGATAGTAAAGCACTGTAGGAAATGGCAGGATTTATACCTCCGACCTCGTACCGAGTTACGCACTCGTAACTTTTCTGCTCTTTAAAAGTCAGCTTTTACAATACCGACTTCGTAACGAGTTACGAACTCGTAACTTTTATAGCCAATAGCATGCCTGTTTTAGCCTATTAGTTTTACTTTTTGTCAAATACAATTTATGGGATCTTATATTATTTTGCATCTAATCCAATAAAATATTCTAAATATGGCAGATCTATACCTTTTTTAGGTATTTGCATTCTCTTTATGATTGGCTCAACAAATACACGGTCTTGTATTGGAATTTTATAGTTTTTATAGATCAAAATAATAGAAGTTGAATATAAAGAAGTATGGAAAGAAGAAGTACTAATTTTTATGATATTTAATAGCAGTTTAAGCTATAATTTACTAAATAACTTACATATATCTATTTCTATGTGATATTTTTTAATTTTTTTTATCTAAAGAAAACGGTTATTCTCTAAACACTATAATATTGATGTAGGTATATATATATTGCCTAATTGATTCTTTTTATCAAAGAGTATAAACCTGCTTTGTGTTAACATTGTCATGCCTGATTCCTACTTTGAGAAACCAGAAGACAGATTCCCTGTGATTCTCTAAATCTACCGAGATCTCTAATGAGCATGCGAGCAATCAACAACCAAACTGTACATGATGTAGATGTTTTTCTGTCAATTCTTCTCAGATTGCTTTCTTTTGTCAATTTTGCTGATTCGTATTTTATTAATATTAGCCTTCATAGTTATTAAGTGTGTTCCTTTTAGAGACTTTTAATAATTTTAGACCTTGTGAAAAAAATAGAAACAAGTCCTTTTTAGATGTACCAATCTAAATTGTTAGGAGAACATGGACGGGTCAGAGGTTATGCATCGTTTGTGGAATCGGGATCTTGCTGCCGTCCTGAACTTCCGACATATACTTAACAATTTGAGATATGATGGGATTATACCTGTAAGGTTCACCCGCGTTATTCGGATTGGACGTATCAGAAGACAAGCAGAAGAAAATCTCCAGGAGGGTCGTCGTTTGAGACAAAGACTGACTAGAATTCAAAGAAGATGAAAAAATTCCGTCCTGGTTACCGCTTAGGACCCACCCAATCTACCGCTGGTAAGCCATTAGATTTGAATAACTTGGTATTTAGTTTTGTAATGGGTTGAAAAAGCTAAGAAAAAGATGTTTTGCTTTGACTGCAAAAAACATGGTGGGGTAAAAAAAAAGTAGAATATAAAAGAGAGCGAGAGAGAAATTGGTGCTTAATTAAAACTCAACATAAGACACTTTAAACCCCGGAAAACTTGCAACAATTCACTAAAATCGCCTATTTTTTTTCTATAGGGTATCCACTTCATGCCTATTTTTATATATTTTTTAAAAAAGAAAGTATTGATCGATGTTATTTTAACTCCCATATTAGAGCCTTAAGTGCAAAGACAATCATTTAATTCATTGTGATAAATTATATATTTTTCTGTCTGATTTCATGTTAGACAATATAAATACAAATTATTTAAAGACATCATCTCCAAATAGTACCCGTCTAGAACCTATGAAAAGAAGATATATATGTATATAATATCATCTACACAGAGGTCTAGAGATATATAAAACAATACTTTGAAAAGATAGAGTATTCTATAAAACTTACACTCCAACAAGACGCTTTATTCCAAAATATTCATTAAATAAGTAAAACATTTGCGTCACAGTACAGTGACGTATAGATTTCCGTGACTCGGTTTTATCTTTATCATGTCAAGGTGCAGAGAACGCTTGTTCTCGCGTACCATCAGACACCTTTCAAAAGTACCCATGGCAGAGAGCATTCTAGATTTTTCTAAAGAGTTGGATGTAGCCAAACTCGACCAAGTGGTCCTTACATTCTATACTGGAAGTGGCTCTGAGGTAAACAATATGCTGTGATCTTCAACCTCTAGTTTCAATTTCTCATTTTATAATCGAAATATGACAGCAACAAATGGCCCAGAAGCTGTTGACGGAATTCCAAGACCACGAAGAAGCATGGACACGTGTAGACGGCATTCTTGAACGCTCCACTGTTTCTCATACAAAGGTATGATATCTAATTACTCGACGAGCGCTGGAATTTACACCACTTGTGATTAGTTCATCGCGCTACAGATTCTTGAGAAGTTTATTCAAACGAGATGGAATACATTGCCTCCAGATAGTCGCAATGGTGAGATTTGTATAATTTGACATTTAATCTCTTATTTTGCTCAATTATTTTTTATGCGTTGTACAGCAATTCGCTACTTCATCGTCAATGTGATTGTAAAGGTCTCAGCTGATGAGAATACAATGGTCCGTGAACGTACCTATCTTAACAAACTAAACATGGTTCTGGTTCAAGTAAGTGTAAACGTATTGTATGATCTATTCGGGGAATACTTATGCAAATTCGATTCAAAGGTTCTCAAGCAAGAATGGCCCCGTAATTGGCCCTCTTTCATCCCCGAAATTGTCGAATCGAGCAAGACTAACTTGTCCTTGTGTGAGAACAACATGGCAATTCTTAAGCTTCTCAGGTATGTTCTGATCTATATTTTGGTGTAGTGTGTATTAAATTTTATTTGCTTATACATAATTATTTCAGTGAAGAAATCTTTGATTACTCAGCAGAACAAATGACCCAGTTAAAGACATCAAACTTGAGAAGTCAGATGTGTGGTGAATTTGCTGGAATTTTTCAATTGTGCAAGGAGGTCCTTGACAAAGCCAACAAGCCCAGTTTGATCCTTGCTACTCTGGAAACTCTCTTGAGATTCCTCAGTTGGATTCCTTTAGGCTATGCATTTGAAACTACTCTGATTGATACTTTATGCAACAGAGTAAGCATAAATAGTCATTATTACTTTAGTTAAAATCTGGTCTTGTGTGACCTTTTTTGATTTTTTTATTAACTTCTCTGGTAGTTCTTGACAGAGAGAGAGACCCGCAACGTTACATTACAATGTTTGACTGAGATCGGTGGTCTGAATGTGGAAAACAGTTATCATGACAAGCTCGTGGCATTGTTCACTAGCGTCATGACTTCTGTAAATGTGATGGTTCCTCCTAGTACTGACTTGGCTGAAGTTTATGAGAACAGCGCAGATGATGACCAAGAATTTGTACAGAACCTTGCCTTGTTCTTGACAGGATTCTTGTCCTCTCACTTGAGGGTAATATTTGCATAACTAAATCAGACACATATAATATATATACTCACTTTGATCTTTCTTGTATTACAGATTCTTGAACAATCATCAGACACTACCGACTTGTTGGTCAATGCTCATTTCTATTTGATTAAGATTTCGCGTGTTGATGATAGAGAAATCTTCAAAATCTGTCTTGAGTATTGGGCTCAACTGGTATGCCAATTAAGTTTTATCATACTAAAAACGTTGTCTCACATTTTATATTCTTCTTTTTCCCTAGGTACAAGAGTTGTTTGAGGAAGTCCGTAACTTGGGTAATTCAGATGTACCCCCAATTAGTATGTCTTTATTGGATCTTGGTGCTGGTGGTAACCAGATGGGCAATTCTGGATACCGTCCTCGCAAAATGCTTTACCTGGATGTTCTCTCTAATTTGAGAGTGGTAATGATTGAACGCATGGTGAAGCCCGAAGAGGTAAGATACGATACATGGATTTTAACATTGGATCTAATCATTTGTACGATGTGCATGTGTATAAAAAAAGGTGCTTGTCGTTGAAAACGACGAAGGAGAAATTGTGCGTGAATTTGTTAAGGAGAGTGACACAATTGTTCTTTACAAGAGTATGAAAGAAGTATTGGTTTACTTGACCAATTTGGATGTATCAGATACTGAAGAAATCATGTCTACAAAACTTCAGAAGCAGGTAAGCAGGTTAAGAATGATGAATATGATCATTCTTATATGGGAGATAAATTGTTACTAATAATAAGAGGGAAAAAATAGATGGATGGTAGGGAATGGTCCTGGCAAAATCTCAACAAGCTTTGTTGGGCTATTGGTTCAATCTCTGGTGCTATGAGTGAGGAAACTGAGAAGCGATTCTTGGTCACTGTTATCAAGGAGTTGCTTAGCCTTTGTGAAATGAAACGTGGCAAGGACAACAAAGCTGTTGTTGCATCTAACATTATGTACACTGTTGGTCAATACCCTCGCTTCCTCAAGGCACATTGGAAGTTCCTCAAGACTGTGGTGAACAAGCTTTTTGAGTTCATGCATGAGTCGCACGAAGGTGTTCAAGATATGGCCTGCGATACATTCATTAAAATTGCCCAAAAGTGCAAGCGTCACTTTGTACTTCAGCAATCCGGTGAATTACGGCCTTTTATTGATGAGATCTTGGAGAGTATTACCGGGATCACATCAGAACTCCAACCACAACAGGTTAGGAATATGAAGATTCTATTTGAATTTGGACCCTTCATAAATCACTCGTAACTGACTAATTATTTTTAAAAAAAAAATAGATCCATACATTCTACGAAGCTGTGGGATATATGATTTCTGCACAACACAACAAACCTGCACAAGAGCGCCTCATGGTGAACTTTATGGAGCTTCCTAATAGAGCGGTATGTACAAACAGATCTTTTGTTAAAGAGAAAAATTGGAAAGAAGAAAGGCACTAATTGTGTTGGAAAATGCAGTGGAATGAGGTTATGACACAAGCCAAGCAGAACATAAATATCTTGGCAGATCCTGCTCAAATTAAATTTGTCACTAATGTGCTCAAGACAAACGTCTCGGCGTGCAGTGCAGTGGGATCTCCATTTATTATCCAGCTTAGCAAGATATACATGGATTTACTTACATTATACAGCTCTGTTGGAAAAATGATTTCTCAAAATATTGCAGAGCAAGGCCCCATCGCAACAAAAACCCCCAGAGTCCGTGGTTTGAGAATGATTAAGAGAGATATTCTTAAATTGGTCGATACCTACGTTGATGCAGCAGACGACAACTATGCGGTGAATGATAACATGGTTGGACCTTTCTTTGATGCCGTCCTTTCGGATTACTGTCTTGGTGCTGATGTCTCAAGGGACGCCGAGGTTCTGGAAGCGCTCGCGACTATGGTGAATAAATTGAAAGTAAGTATTGCTTTACCAAATAATAAGGCAAAGCAACATCTAATGCGTTCTTATTTTTTAGGAGTTGATGACACCACGTATACCTGCAGTATTGGAAGCTACATTTGAGCCTACATTGAACATGATTACAAAAGATTTCGCAGAGTATCCTGAACATCGTACTGGATTCTACAACTTGCTGCGTGCGATCAACCAATACTGCTTCCCAGGTTAGTAAAGAAGAAGAAGAAACAGTTGGTGTTATTGTAAAAATGCTTACAATCTTCATTTATTTATTTGTACATATAGCTTTGCTAGAGCTTGCTCCCGCCCAGTTTAAGCTTCTTATTGATAGTATTGTTTGGGGTTTCAAGCATACAATGAGAGATATTGCAGATGTCAGTCTTCAGATCTGTGGAGAATTAATTAGCAACTTCAGTCGTACAGACCCCAACATTGCTGGTGTATTCTACCAGACCTACTACTTGAGTATTCTCCAAGATATATTCTTTGTTTTGACTGATAGAGACCATAAGAGTGGCAAGTATTTTGACTTTAATGTCTTTAGAAGCATTACTAAATGACCTATAATTTCTCTAGGTTTCAAGGGCCAAACCGAAGTTCTCGCACAGCTTTTCGGTCTTGTTACAAACCACTCTATTCAGGTACCTTTGTATGATCCAAGCCAAGTTGAAGATCCTACCATGAGCAATGCTCAGTTCCTTGAAGGATATGTGACTGCACTTCTCCGGAATGCATTCCCTCACTTGCAAAGGTAATTTTGACTTTGTTTTCTGTTTGTTTTGCTGTTGTTACTTTTCAGGTCGCTCACATTTGATTTGTCTTATAGTGGTCAAATTAAGGTGTTTGTTATGGCTATGTTTGAATACAATGGCAACCCTCCAAAGTTCAAGCTGGAAGTACGTGACTTCCTTATCCAACTTAAAGAGTTTGCTGGCGAAAATGCCGAGCTCTATCTCGAAGAGAAAGAAGCCAAGCTTGAATCTACACGAAGAGCAGAGTTAGAGAAAGCACTTAGTATCCCCGGTATGGTTAAGCCTTCTGAGCTGCCAGGAATGGACGAAGACGAGGCTCTTTAGGGTATTATTTGCTCACAGGATAATGAAATTGCTTTAATAAATGCTTGAACGTAAAGAAAAGAGAAACAATAGTTCAATATGTGTATACTGTAACGAGACACGATTAATTGGTTTTGCATATAAAAAGCAAAAATGTCCATAGTAATTCTGTTACAAACAATTACTATAAATCGATGTAATACAATGTAAATGATGTACAAGAAAAATCCGGGTGTACACCGAGAACTTGGCTTTTGATATTATATGATATTATATGATATGATATATTATACATATAAGTCGTCCTTTAGAAGTCAGAATTATAATGATGATAACCTTTACTGGAAAATACACTTTATGCATTGCTAATGTATACATATATATATTTGCATGCGTGTGTGCTTTTTATGACTCAATAGAATTTCATTTGAATATACATATATTTAAGAAAAAAAAGGTATCCTGAGCTCAGGTTGATTGATAAACTTTGAAATTTAGAAATTGAAAGAGTAATCAGCATGTTTTTGTGGGTCTTTTAGCTATAAGAGAGGATCGAAGTATAGTTATCCTTATATACGGCTACTAGACTTGGAATAGCTTTTAGCAGCACGAAAAAAGATAAAAATAAAAGTCGCCTGAAGAATTTTCACTCAATGCAATTGCCAAATTGTGACAAGCGTGTATCAAAACACATCAGGGGCTGGGACGTGAGGATTCACAAGAATGGGATGAAAGTGTGGCTGTCAGGGATTAGAGAGTGAGGGAAAAAAAAGGAGCGTACCAGAGTTCAAGCTATGACTCAGTTCAAACGGGATATGTTTTTCCTTGAAAAATTCAATTCTCATGTAGGACGAACATTTATTCAAAATACAGCACAAAAGGCCTTTTTGATTATTATTTGTTTTTCATAAACCTGGACCCAGTTCTGCTGGTATTTGCCTTGTAAATGAATATACCCTAGATTTTATATTCTTCTTTCTTTTGAAATGCGTTTATTGAGTATAGTATACCTTTGAGGTGGCCCCATCTTTACTGTACTTTCACTTCAAATATATATACTGGCGCCCGGTACTGGTACAGACAGCTGTGTCTAGCCTTTGGTTCTCTCAATAGAAGCCCTTGGGACTGTAAGACCGTCTTGTATTCTCATGTTCGATTGGATAATGTGCATATCGTACTACATTCAAGAGAACAAGTAAGAAGCTTTTTTGTTGTTGTTAGAAAATACTCCGAGGATTACGGATCTTCTTATTCGATCTCCTAGTAAAAAAAATAAAAAAAAAAGTATTCATTGAATTGGTTCCCATTTCTCCATTTATTTCCTCACATCAATTTTTACGCGTTAAATATGTTACAACTCATTCAAAGAACACGAGTTTTATATATTTCAGTACATGGTATGCTTTCCATAGAAACAACTAGTGCTGCTGAATAATAAATAGGTTTACACAAAGATAGGATTATCTTGGGATGAGTAACAAAAGAGCCAAGCAAACATTACTCTGATTTGTACCTTTTCTGTCCAACTCTGATTTTTCTTTTTTTTCTAAAGTTTGACACATCGGGGAAATGCAGCATTTGACTTTGAATAGGACATTTTTAGCTCTTTGACCTTTTGGACACTTCACATTGCAGTGTTTCTCACTAAAAGAAGAAAAAAATTGGGACTGAGCGGGGTTCCTAGAATCAATAGGGAGCCCACATCTGAATCCCGTGACTTGGTTTCTGACTGTTATTCATTTTTTATTTTGATTTAATTTTAGTTTTCAGGCACAAGTAACTATGGATTAAATTCGATTTCTTTGTAGAAGGAAATAAAAGAGCTTTTTTACTTTTGTTCGTTTAGAAGAACTATCGGGGTCTTAAAAAAACAACCAATAGATTTACTTTCTTACTTACATATATGCTTTTTATGTTAATAAGCAAGTTTGTTAACACATGGGTATATCTTTACATTTGAAGAATAATGAATGATTTTGCTTGGAAAAACAATATATCTTTATTTAGACACTTTCTTGGCAAAGCATGATCAACAGTCAATGGACTTACAGATTTATTATGAGAAATATACTTGGCTTGAATTGAAACTGCAGAATGACGGTTTGATAATATCTAGCATATTTCTATATCTAGTTATCAATCTACAGCTTCACCACTGGGTACTCTCTTTGTGTAATGGAAACTCTCTGATTTTATTTGAAAAGAAAATTAGTGCCTATAAAATTTTATCTAGTGAGAAGTCTATACAAAGTAATAATTATATTTGGAGATATGAAAATTGGCAGTGGGCATCTTTTCCTCTTTCTTTCTTTTGTTACAATTTACTTTTTTTTTTATCATTGCTCATAACTAGTCGCCATATGTTATTTCCTCATTCTCCCTCAATCTACACACCTTTAACTTTTAATACTGTAGATAACTATCCCTATATCGTACCTTCCTTGTTATCCTCGATTGTATATACAAAAACAAAATCATCATTCTACATAATGCCGCATTTACTGATAATCTTGATCGTATATATATATATATCAATCTAGATCATTTTATAACCGTCTTTCTTTCACTCTTGAATAATTCAGTATAGTTTTAGATAAATGCAAAATATTAATTGGTCTAAGCAAGAGCCAATTGATAGTCCACATCAAGACCGGCCAAACAAATATATAGTGCGACTACAATAAACAAAAGTTGGTTGAAAGGTAATTCTTCATCTAAGGGATATCTTTGCTTGCTTTACTAGATAGAGCTAAAGATTACATATATCCTATGTTTCAATATTGCAAAAAAAAATTGAAAACCTATTCTTCAGTCTACAGATTATTTTGATCTATCTTTGAATTGATGATTTATTTTTAATCAGAGCTCAATATTATATATATATATATATATCATATAATATAAAAGGTGAGCTAATGCACTCTCATACAAGAAAAACCTATTTTTAATTCCAGGATTACACAAAAAAAAATCTGTGGCATTGGATTGTTGTACTAGGTTTCTCAAAAAATGAGCCTATTTCTTCTTTTTGCTTCCAAAATAAAGTTCCTCCCACAAATTTCAAAAGGACTACTTATACACTCATGAATGAATTTCCCATTCAAGAAAGCAAAGGACAAATAAATAGAATAAATACTTGCTCATAAAAGAAAGTATCTTACTCGCTTGATATAGTCACAAGTCATCTTATTAAAAAATAAATAGCAATGAGCATAAATATCATGATTAATTTATAGGCCTAATCTAGCGTGATCCACAGAATAATTCTGTCCGCAGAAGAAGAACGTTAAATATTTAAGCTATAACCACAACACGCTCAATTGAATATCGAATATATTGGCAAAGCCTTTAATTACTATACTCCAGCAATTTAAACTTAACTGGCACAGGCACCTCAAATGGCTCAAAGTCTTGTGATAAATTGATCTGTACTCTATAATTCTATTAGAGCTATTTGTGCCTTGGCAATGAAAAAACTCAAAATACTATAATAAATAATGGCGACGTCTTCCAAAAAAAAGAGGATCAATTGCATAAGTAGAAACCAAATTCTGGCATATTTTTGTGTATTTGATTAGAAATATTCAATAAACACCTCAATGGGAGTAATGGCTCGCTATACAACCACTACTTCCCTTTTTTAAAAGAAAACAATGTCGAGTTTTGGCAAGAAAATAAGAGATAATAAAAGCGTAATTTAGACTACTAAAGCCTTTTGTTCGAATAATAATAGATATCTACTGATTGCATGTCAAGTAATTAATGTTGGTGGGCAAGGAACTCCTGCCGGCTTCTTCCTTCATATTTTATTCAAGGAAAATATTCTTCAATTGCAGACCTGGAAAGTAATCAAATTGATTTATTATAAAAAGAAAAAAGGATATATAAGAGCAAGGTATAGTACCACTTTATAAAACTAGGGATAGAAATCCGTGGCTAATTACAAGCTATATAGAAGAAGAAATATGCAACAAAAGACACAAAGAGAAAAAAAAGAAACATTTAGGTAAATATTGAGGTCCCATTTCAAAATGTGATGGGAAACCCAATAAAGATTCAAATTAAGCAGCCACGATGCGGAAAAAAAAATCTAGCAAAAAGTTTTTTTTATTGATATCTAGCTATAAAAGCAGTTGCCTAAGCCAATAGTAAAAATGTTCCTTTGCACATCCTTGCTTCCTTTTCTTTTTTCCTTTTCCCCTCCCTCAAGGGACTCTTCTATCTATAAAGGTGTTTGTCTATTGATACCTTTTTTTGCTTCATTTTGATCCTATCAAACGTACACAAAAGGCTCCTATTTACCCGTCGCTTCGTCGGCAAACCACTTTAAAACTCACAGTGAACCCCTTTCATGCTTCTAAACGCTTCAGTTCTTGAAAAACACCTTAGTTCTCTTTTTGTCAGCGTACCCTTCCGGCTTCACTGCGACTACTGGTCCTGACATCGTCAATTCTTATTATATTTAAACTACACAACCCACCTTTTATTTATTTATTAATTCATACCTTAAAATACAATGGTCTTTGATCAACTTCCTTTACCATCTGCTCCACCTCCTAGCGGCACCAATTACTCTGCAGAACACGGCTGTTTTGAAGGCCCAGAAAAATTACTCGAGATCTGGTTCTCTCCCCAAGATAACTCCAGCCCTATTGATACCGACTCTGATCTCTCAGATGTCTCGAACCCAACAACTCCCAAAGACTCATACTCTTTTGTGTTCCCAAAGGATCTCCGTACTGTAGAGAAGCCCGTATGGGACTCTATGTTGGCTACTGTCAAGTGCACTGTCCTTAGTGTGGTTAGCAACGCATACTCGGATGCCTATCTCCTAAGGTAAGAAATCACAAGAAAGTAAAACAAAGATCATCCTGCTTATTAAACCGCTATCCAATGGGAAATCATTTTTAGTGAGTCATCCATGTTTGTTTACTCTCATAAGCTTGTCTTAAAGACATGCGGTACAACCACTCTTCTCAAGGCCCTTCCCTATATTCTCGAAATCGCTCGCACTCGATGTGGCTACGAGTCTGTCTATCGCCTTTTCTACTCCCGCAAATCGTTCATATTCCCTGAGAAGCAACCTGGTCCCCATCGTAGCTGGGAAGAAGAAGTCAACTATCTAGATGACCATTTCGGTAAATAATTCTTTTTTGATATTTTTTGACACTTCCCCTTTTTACTACTACTACTACTACTACTACTATTACTATTATTATTATTATTATCTGTTGTATCCATGATTTTGAAACTAACACATAATATTCGTAATAGACAATGGCGCTGCTTACGTGATTGGTGATACTAATGAAGACGAGTGGTATCTTTACCTAACTTCACCCATCGATATTGCTCATCAAGAAGAAGCAGCTATCGACATGGATCAACTTATGTCTGAAACAGATGGTTTGTCCTGGATGTCACCTAAGAAATGCCCATGGACAAAGGTGACCAGACCAAGTTTGGCTCTTGTGGACAGATTCCATGGCGTACATCGTCCCGCAGGCGCTGATCAGACTGTCGAGATCTTGATGACACGGTTAGACCGCAATGCCATGCGTGCCTTCTATCACAGAAACAACGAACCAGCGGGTTTAGTAGGTGGTGTACGCGTCGACCGTGAGACTGGTCTCGACAAGATTTATCCTGATGCCAAGGTGGATTCATTCCTGTTTGAGCCATGCGGTTATTCGGCTAACGGTCTGCTCGACAAGGGTTACTATACCATTCACGTTACTCCTGAACCCCAATGCTCATACGCCTCTTTTGAAACCACTATCCCAGCCTCTGTTACTCATCCTGTTGGTAACCTTGGCAAGCACAATGGTCAAGAAGCTTCAGTGCGTCTACTGATCCGCCAAGTTCTGGATATATTCAAACCCGGGGCCTTTACTGTGACTTATTTCTCCTCTGTATCACATGAAGATGATGAGAGTGAAAACATAAGCAAGCTCATGCGCACCGTAGGAAAATTCGGTGGCTACAGGCGCAAAGACAGAATCATCCATGCATTTGAAGGATATGATCTCGTCTTTGGTCATTACAAAAAAATTTAGAAACAACATTATTCTTCATTCAATCTTTGTCATAAAAGATCTCTCACACCCCTATTAATAAAATCAACCTATTTTCATTCCCTGATATCATGACAGCATACCTTTGGCTTGGTCTCTGTTTTAGTCTGACATTTTTGGGTCTATAAAACCACTAATCCCTATATCCAAAATCGTAGATTTTTAATATTGTATTTTTTTTTATAGTTATAAAATGTATGATTGTCTTTTCAACTTAACACTGTCCAAAGCTTAATATATTAATCAAAGAAAACTCGAACCTCTCTAGTTGTAGAGCAATTCGCTTTTATTTTGTGATTTCATTTATCGATATTCACTTTAAGGCACACTAATTTACTGTCATTCACCTCAGGTGAAATGTATATATATATTATTACTTTTATAATTCATATTCAGTGCTACGTGTGCCGTCAGTGTATGTGAAGACCCCACAATGAGTCACTTGTCTTCTGACTAGACAAAGAACGCGTCATATATATTGTTTCTAAAAGCCTGACCTCAATTATTCAACAAAAACGTCCTTTTTTTATTCTTTTAAAACCATTTACTTCTCATGGGATTGCCAGAAATACCTTTCGAAATACTTTTTAACATTGCATACTTTCTCACAGCTAAAGACAAATTGTCTTGCATGACTGTATGTTCCGTTTGGAAAGAACCATTCTGTGAATCTCTATGGAAGACAATCCATATAAACGATCAGAGAAGCCTCATTCCGATATGCAATTCAGTAGATGAAGAGAAGAGCACCTTTAAAGAAAATGGAGATCGCGTACGATCACTATTTCTGTCTCGATGGCTCAGTACAAAAGCAGAACAACTACAGGCCCTTCAAAAACACTTCCAAAAGATTCAACTTCTACATGCTCCACACGGCAGCATTCGAGCAACCGATCATGTAAAACTAACAGACTGGAGGCTATGGAATTCGTTAATACATTTGGAAATATGTGTATCAGGCCTTAGCCTACAGGATGAAGTCCAAGGATTACTTGATATTCTTTCCGGATTACCCAATCTTGAACGCCTTGAATATATATGGACTGCCTGGGGAACATCCGATTTTTACCGTCTCCAGGATATTGAAGCCCTTCACAAATACTTACCGCGACTAAAGTACTTATCATTGAGTATATCTCTGGCTAACCTTGATCCTGACGAATTGGACAAGATTGAATTGGTAGAACCTGCAGAAAACCTGAGAGTATTAAAGACACGTATAAATAATATGGATCTTCGCTGGCTAGCATATTTTGCCCGTAAATATACGAAAATACATACCCTCGAATGGACTGACCGTACCGATCTCCCTGCCTCTGAGCTATTTCAAGAAGAAGCTTTTGAAATGTTCACTAAACTTCATTCGGCATTCAAACAGCTGAATAAAGTTGTTGTTAACGGTGTGTCGCAAACAAACTCAACCCATATTGCATTTTGGAATCTATTTGGTCGGTTTGGGGTACCTCTCAAAAGTCTAGAATACAATCTAGGAACATGCTTTGAAAATTCAGAAATTTTGGAAAAAACCATTACTGCTTGTTTACAATCTTGTTCAAGCACACTTGAAACGCTTTTAATCAATGGCTCCACTGGAATATCTAATCCAACCAACATTCCAGTATCTATCGGTGTCTGCCCAAACTTAGTGTCTCTAGATATAAATGTATTCCCAAGTTCGATAGCAATTAATATAATCCTGGATAATTGTATTGCACTCAGGAAGTTAAAGCTGGAAGCCAAGAGAGTATTTATTGATTCAAATATACAATCTGATATCCAAAAGCACGATCTGCAGTTAATACATATCATTAAATCAAGAGCCAATTCGGCTCTATTCAAGTATATTTCAGAGCGTTGCAGACGGCTTCGGTATATGCGCCTGGTTGATGTGGCAGTAGTTGGTCCTCTTTCTCAAGATACCGGCACAATATTTATCGACATGTCTTATACTTGTTTGGCCTTACTGAAACTGAATCACGTATCTTTTTATGGATCACAAGACGACATCTGCAATAATGAAAGCGCTGTTAACCTCATACGTTTTTCTACTGTTAATTCACCTCTACTATATGATAACACGACGAAAAACCGATCGATTATCATTCCTAACTCAAGTCTTCCTGAAACTAGTGCAGAAACTGTATGGTTTCATACCTATTGGGATGGTGAAGAAGTTTCGTATGACTGGAGAAATGAATGCAAGATAGGGTACATGCGAGTGCTAAGCAGTGAAGAAAAAGATCGGGCCCAAGAATATTTCAAGTCATTTCAGTTTCAATCCAATCAATCTCTCGATCAAGTACAAGTAAACCGCTCTAAAGAAGGGCTAGTTGTTAGAAATGATTGGGAATACGATCTTCCTCGGGGTCAAGCCACGCTCTTATTCGCTCAAGTTAACAAATATGTTATAAATGCGAAAGCTGTCCGTAAAGACAATGTATGGAGTAGGATATATGCCAAAAAACTTTGACAACAAATACATGTCTTCGAAGCCAAATTTAAAGCGAGATATGTAAATAGCTAACGGAGGAAATACACTGTTGTACCTGAGTCTTGGCTTGATATTCGCTTTGAGTTATGTGATAGAAATAACCAGGTTATATACTAGCTGCAGAAAAACGTAGTTAAATACAGTACATTGGAGACTTAAACTTGTATCCCTGAACTTTTGGGCTCTTCTTTTACTGATACTACGCTCGTGGACAATGATTATGTGTCAGTTACAATTGAGTTGAGATTGAAATGTCTCTATGATAATAAAAAGCTGTGAGCCCAGTTAATATTCTCTCAAAGCTTTGGATTAAGACTAAAACTACACTCTAAAACAATGTTGAATAGACAATGTGCTAGTAAATTTAGCCTCACACTTAAAGTAGCATTTAAGATAAAGGGATTTCTTTTACAGACAAGGGCTTACTTGATTTGGGGCTATCAATACGTAATTTGTCTCTATAAAATTTCATGTTTTCATAGTATCCTTTGTAACCGTCCCAATTTAAACTGTGAATTCACCACGCCGTGTATAGGTATTACTTTTGCCGCAGCTATATTTATGCTCATATAAAATTTCGACTGACGATGCAAAGGCTTGTTTATGCTGTTACTCGACCAACATGTCGCTCATCTCTTAACTTCTCTCTGCATCGTACTCGTCTTACCTCATCCATATGCCCAAATGTGACCCGAAACAAAACAATCTCTCAGTCGACATTGTTTACTTCATGCCATAAAGTACACATTTCGTTCAGAGCAACGCATTCTTTACCAATTCTCGGAAGAAAATATCACCATTCCAACATTCTTTGTACAGTAGGTATTGTTCCTACAATACCTCTCTCCCATTTACACAACAAACCAAGCTCTGTTCGTGCAACACCCTCTGAGATAGAGGCAGCTGGAAAGGAGCCTTCAAGCCATCACTTAGTAAGGCTATGTAGCCGTATATTTGCACTGTTGGACCATTGGATATTTGAGCCACTGTTGACTTTGCGACGATTCACTCATATTCTGTTGCTGTTTGTACCCGTTGCATTATCGGCACCGGTGGTTTTTCTGGGAAAGCGCACCAAGGATGGAAATCGTTCAGGAACTCTGTGGTGGTATGATTTCGTGGCAATGGAGATGGAAAGAGCAGGACCTACGTTTATCAAGGTCAGCACCTGGACGCATAAATAACAATTATATAAAGAAAATATGTCTTGAGTAGGAGTGTGGATGGTATAAGTTGTATATAAGAAACTATAGACTATAACTATCGATGGCCTTTCTGTTTCTTTTCTTTTTTTAGCTTGCACAATGGATTGCTTCTCGCACAGACCTTTTCCCATCCGCTCTCTGTACTCGACTTTCACGGTTACATTCTCAAGTGGACCCACATCAGTTCTCACACACCAAGCGGGTTATAGAAGCTGCATTCGGTCAAAGCATGGAGAGTGTGTTTAGCTCATTCGATCCTACTCCTTTGGGTGTAGGTGCAATTGCGCAAGTTTACAAGGCAACATTATATCCAGAAATCCTCAATGGTCACCCTGATGATCAGAGCTCACTTATAAACGATAATATGTCTAAAGATACGGTCATTATAACGGATAAAAATGGAGAACAGCGCACGATGCATACAACAGTGGCCATAAAGGTCATACATCCAAAAGCCTATAATATTGTCAATCGTGATCTCAAAATTATGAACTTTTTTGCACAAGTTCTCACATTTATTCCCACTTTCCACTGGCTATCTTTACCAGACGAAGTGCGAGTGTTTGGAGCAATGATGAAGGACCAACTGGATCTGCGAATAGAAGGGCGTAACTTGGAACGATTCAACGAGCTTTTTTGTAATTCTCTCCGGGTTGAATTTCCGAAGCCTCTTTTAGGCTTCACAACAAAAGATATGCTAATTGAGGAATATGAGAATGGAATACCATTGAGTATGTTTCTTGAAAATGCAGCGTATGCGAAAAAAATGGGTGAACAAGTGGGAATATATGACCATAAATTGGCAGATATTGGTAAGATGTTTTGTGTAGATATTTCTGTATACCTCATTTACTGATTGAGCGATATTCTTATGTTGAATTTTTAGGACTTGATGTGTTTCTAGTAAGATATAAGCATATTCCTATTGTACACATACTTATACAAAGTACTTGCTTAGCATATGCTCATTTTCCACAACTTTGTCCACGCGGATCTGCATCCCGGAAACATCATGGTTAAGTTTTATAAGCCATCGGCATATCATCCTCTCCGGAAGGCATGGTCAAATATTACAGGAAAAGAGCTTAAAGATGACGGAGACAAAGCAGTAGACAAGATTATGGCATTACGACATGACCCTGAGGCAGTAAGAAAAGAGCTCGACAGCCTTGAGAGTGAAGGTTATGCTCCTCGTTTAGTCTTTATTGACACCGGTCTTGTTAATGAGCTGGATGATGTCAATCGAAGAAACTTTCTTGATTTGTTTCAAGCAATTGCTCAGTTTGACGGATATAAGGCTGGTGAACTTATGATCGAACGCTGTCGAAGTCCAGAGCTGGTTATCAATTCTGATATCTTTGCTTTACGCATGCAAAATTTGATTATTGGACTGAAACAGAATACCTTTAAACTTGGTGCAGTGAGGATTGGTGGTCTTTTAAACGAAACAATGAATATGGTGCGGTCTCATCACGTAAAACTAGAGGGAGACTTTGTAAATGTGATTGTCAGCATTATGCTTCTTGAAGGTATTGGTCGCCAGCTAGACCCAGGACTAGACCTCTTCAAAATGGCATTACCTGTTCTTCGTGAATACAGTATCAAGGATCATGGACAAGCTACTATTGAAGGCATGAAGGATGTCAAGCAAAGTCCGTTTTCGCCCCATTGGATCAAGGTTTGGATCTTCCTTGAACTCAGAAACTGGCTTGGTGAGAATAAACGCGATGAAGAGTGGCTTTCTATTTGGTAAGTGAAAAAAAAAAAGAAAAGTTGTGATATATATGACAAAAATTGAGTTTATTGTTTAATTTTTATACAGTGATTTTAAATGCTTTGATTTCTGAATAAATTTCATAATTTTTATATTAGTTTTATTATTACTTATTACTTATCTTATTAATTGGAGATTGATTATATTGTTGTGGTTTATTATGAATATTCTTGTACGTACATGTGTGTGTGTGTGATTCGTCAATAGCCACAGATTTTTAATTGTCTAGTAGTATTTAAATAATGTCAATTTCTGTTAAAACATGATAAGAAATTCTTCATGATTCCGCATTCAAGACTTGATCTTATGGCCAGATATTGGTTTACTGAGTGCCATGTTAAATAATGTAGTATACATATGCTAATAAATACAACGAATATAAAAGACATAAAGGGATGTACGATATTAGGAAAAGTTTGAGGCTTTGGCATATTGGTTTTCAGGGACACGGAATATAACTTATATTGATACATAGTACAATGAAACCTCTTAGTTCTGGAAGGTCGTTTTTTTTTCAGTATCTAAAATTCTAAGAAAACATATAAAGTCCTTTATCCTATAAATAAACATTGAAGAACAATATTTTAATTAAAAGGCAACACTATACAAAGAGGGTAATAACCACAGTATTTTGGCTTATATTTAATACCGGATATTCCAGATATATATTTGTATCATATTTGTATCTCATATTATCTATTAAAGACAGCATATCAAACAGATAAGAAATAATATTAGTGTGGTTGTACTTTAGTAAATATTAAAGTATACAAAAAATTGATACTTAAATGTGCGTGTGTATATTTTCTTCTTTTATCTTTGAGCAACAAGTAACATATTCTCCAAGAATAATATACAAATGTGGATATCTAGCATAGCAAGTTTTTACAGTCTCAATATTTAGCCCCTGCCTTAATTGTGCTCATGTAAATCCCTTCTTAAAACGAGTATCTTACTTAACAGTATGAGTGGTAAAGAAAGGAGAGATATGCGTATATGTGAATGTAAATGCAAATGCAAATGATTCGCATACAGTTATATGCCTACTTTCTACTCATCTCAAAGTGTATACTCTTAAGTTGTCTAATGAATTAAATAGGTGTAAGCTTGATTGTAGGGCTGTTATTTTTGCGCTTTATTTTTTTATGTTTTGAAGATCACTGATATATCTCAGGATTAATGAATTACTACCGTTTCATTTCATTTCATTTCAATCAAAATATAATATACTATCAATAACACAGTCTTTTGATATTGATGGTATCATCAATAGATTCTAGATATATTAGTTTACAGTCACTTTTCATGTTCTTCATAATCCCAGGGTATTTATACGTTTTTCTCTTTATTTTTAAGATTCAAACATTTGATCCACAAAGCTGCGCTTTATATAAACGTTATATATCCTTGTGTGTTTATAATTGTGAAAATACAGTAGGTTAACCTAACCTGTGGATTATTATTATTATTATTATTATTATTACTACTTTTTTTATATTCCAGATAGAGTAACACTAAGATTTCTGTATTTGAGACTATCCGCATTTTCCCTCCAAATAAAGAGATATGAGCAATAGATAGAGCGGGCATCATTGAAAAGATTGGTACTCTCACAGTAGCCTTCTAAACCTTGAGCTAAACAGCGACTTAGCCCTAAGAGTCGGTTGTAAACATGCTGAAACACGTTGGATGTGTACAGTTTTCTCTTCATATCTCCTGAATTCATCCCTTGCCAGTCTTCCCCCTCATCCCCCTTTGTACCTACTCTTATTTACTTGTTACTTTTCTTTACCAAAGAATACAACTCTAGTGAAATCTTATTAATTAGACTTTGTATTACACAAAGAGCTTTGGAATGACTGAGGTTATACCTATTGTACAGATTGCAAGTGATGTTGTGGCTCAGGATGGCCGCCTACTTAGTATTATTGAAAGACAGCGACTTGTCATTAAGAAACTCGAAAAGGATTTGGCCGCGATGACCGCCGATCGTGATGACCTTTTGAATAGAAATCGAAAATGGGAAAAGGAATGCTCTAGTCTTAAGGAATTTCTAAGACAAGAAAGCACATCGCCATTGCCAGAATTGCCGATTCAGCCTTCCAAGAGTGTTCCTCATCGGCTTGTGTTTGTACAGCCCACGCTGAACATCGATAAACCAGACCCACCCACCAGTCCCGTACCTCCTCCCCGCTCACCTTTCCGCCAGAACTTAAGAGACGCTGTAGCCAAACAAGCAATATTATCTCATCATAGCGAGCCAATAACATATGGTATATCACATGAATATAGTTGCCCAATAGATCAAAATACACCCTGATCTAGTGTTTAATTGTCCTTGATTTCTCGTCTAGGCCCTCTTTGTACAAGCAAGAGCCATGAAGCAAGACCATTGACAGCACCTCAGCCTGGAATCACGCCTATTTCTACAGTGCCAATCGGTATTATCCCAGAAAATAAGTCTCCGACATCTCCGGGTATCTTACTTGACAGTCTATACAAACGCACGAGCACTATTTGCAGTCAAGCACCTACTTACAATCGCTCGAATGCACCTGAAGTTCCTAAACAAACCCGACGAAGCATCTCTCGAAATTCAGTGTCGTCGAGAAACATGTTTTTATTAGGTGATCCAACAGAAAACGAGAAATTTTCGTCGCTTGTGGCACACAATAAGTCTGCCGAATATGAGAATGTAAGCAGCCGAAGCACCGGCCAATATGTTTCAGTAAGTAGCTAATTTATAATATACTCACGCTTATATGCTTCTTATCATTTTTGCCGATATTATTTTTGTCTACATATTTAAAGTGTCTTCGAAAATACTCTTTGACAGAAGACCATACTGATCCTGGAAAAGGCCTTCGGCGAGTTCTTTCCCAGCCTCAGCTTGCAACTACAATGACCTATGATACAAAAGAAAATGATTTTCGTGCAGCAAGTTCTGATGAAGAAACATTATCATCCAAAAATACGGAACCTAGTCTACGTGTGTTTGTCGTTGGGTCTAATATCATAACAAACGAGCGTGGAAAAAAACTCGTTTCTTTTATAATATCTGTGGGACAATCAAAAGAAGTATCTAGAGAAATAACAGAGCTCTGGAAAATTGAAAAGCTCTATTCAGACTTCCTGGCTTTAGATGCACAGGTAAAGGCTATTCAGACGCTTTAAAGAATATAGATTAATAGAATTGTTGGAAAACAATAATAACGGTAGCTGCGAGGGCAAGGACGTGGAAGAAACGGAAAGATAGGTAAACTACCCGAAAAGGGTCTCTTTACAACTCATGCACCTAGTAAAGTAGACAAGAGAAAGGTAAGGATATTAAACATATATATATATATATAATTATATACATTGATATTTGATTTTATGTATTTTTAGATTGCTGTAGAAAAATATCTACAAAATGCTATCAATATGATGCTGCCTGAGAGTACAGAACTTCGCTTGTTTCTTAACTCCAATATTGTAAGCATTGATAAGCAAACAGCGCAAGTAAGCAAAAGAAAACTTGAAAAACATATAGATAAATTGACTCACCAAAATTCCACAAGCTGCCTGGCTGTAAACAAGGTTATCTCACCAAACGCGGGAAGAATTTCGGTGGATGGAAGACAAGATACTTTATATTGAATGGCTCAGAACTTCGGTATTTTGAGAACGTATGTTTTATTAATATATTATATGGCTGTATCTCATATATTAATGTTTTTAAGCTTTGATTTGTACAGAATGGGGGACCCTTACTTGGCATTATTCATGTTGCAGATATATTAGTTGAAAGTCAGAGCTCCAAGCTTTCAATTGATACAAGCGACTACAATATGTTTAGACATTGTTTTGTACTTCTCGAGAGACGAAAGACATCTTCCAATGGAGTACATCGCCACATACTGTGCGCTGAGTCGGATACCGAGCGCGACGAATGGCTAAAGGCTTTAAGCCAGAATGAAAACTACAGTCATACATACAATGCCGAATGTGATACCAACGTAATAGCCAATACTCAACACTTGCCAAGGAGATCAGAACAGATATACGTTCAAAGAGATGGGGTAGATTTTATTGGTCCAGACGTAAAAGAGCCAATGATCGAACCTGAAAATAATCACCATAAAAGCTTTGTTGGAAGTGAACAAACTTATTCTGCTGCCCATCGTCCATTTCGCTCAAATTCGGATATGTCATTTGTTCTCGGTGAATTAGCGCAGACCAATCTTCTGTCAACACACTCCCACAATTCTTTTGGAAACACTGTTGTTGGAAACCCTATATTGCTACAACGGTCAAGCTTGGACCAGGCTAATATTCATTGTAAAGACAACGCACATTACCAAGATTATGCTTCTATTCGTCAAACAAGCACGGAATCGTTTTTTGGTCCGGGGACATACACTAGCCAAAGAAAGACATCCACCGAGCAATACTGTTATGATATTGATGGAAAGAAGATAAAGCAAAAGACAAACAGACGAACCTTTTGGGCCAAAAAGATTTTTGCCAGCTCCACAGACACACAGGCCAAATCAGGGACGAGTGCTCCTTCATCAACACCTTTAATCAATGGTCAGATAGCTTTCCGTGCTTTCTTATCTCGAAATGTTCCAGAAGCAACCGAAGGTTCGAATGGCGAGCTTGTGCTTAAGCAAGTTGGACGCCACCAAAGCAAGATACCTTTAGAAAATACGTCTAAACAAGTGTTTGGAGTTCCTCTTCTAAATGCGGTAGAAATATCTAAAGTATCAAACACATACAGGCTTCCACTTATAGTGTATCGATGCATTGATTACCTTGAAACGCAAAAGGCAATATATGAAGAAGGAATTTATCGGTTGAGTGGGAGTGCTGTCAAGATAAAAGCACTAAGGAGCAGATTTAATGAAAGTAAGTGAAGTATAATAAGGAGTATATGTTTTTGGTATTGCTTTTTTTTTAAATTTGGAGATAAATGTTTTGAAGAGGGCGATATAGACTTTATTGGGTTAAATGAATTTCACGATATTCATGGGATTGCCGGACTACTCAAGTTATGGCTTCGTGAACTCCCATGTCATGTATTTACCGATGAGCTATTACCCAAGTTCATGTCTGTTATTGGTATGTGTTATTGACAAAACAATAGGATAATATTTATACAATGTTTACGATAGATCTTGTTGATCGTGCAGAACGTGTAAATGAGCTTCAAAGGCTAGTCTCTATTCTTCCTATAGAAAACTACACATTACTACGAGCACTGACTGCCCATTTGATCCGGGTTGTCCAGAATTCTGATGTAAACAGAATGACGCTTCATAACATTGGCATAGTATTCTCTCCAACTCTAAAGATTCCTGTTGGGATATTCTTTTTATTCATATATGAATTTGATGCGATATTCTCTACAAGCAAAAGTACAAAACCTGATATTGAAGCCACTAGTAATCTTCCTCAATATCTTAGTATTATGAACCCTACTCAGAACAACAGCTTTGATTTTCCGGTCTCTAAAAGTGACCCAATTATTAAAAGCCAAGATAATAGCTTTACATGTGAGGAACATAAGTTGCTCCATCGAAACAGTATGGCCTATATGGACAGTGCTCCTTCTTCCATTATGGGATTAGAGGAACACACAGATGGTAAGTCTCATTCTGCTACAATGTATTTAGGTAACTTATGCTGTTATACATTTAGTCTCTGTGTCAATTGGGGACGGTGAAGAAGAAGAAGATGGTGATCTTTGCATACGTAATGAATACGAGGATTATAGTGATACAGATGAAGATGAATATCATACTCCAATTTCTGCATTCGCTAAATAGACCTTTTTTTTTGTCTATATTGTATACCTTTAATTTTTTTTTCATAGCTTTGATACTGTATTTTCTCCGCATTTTTAGCATATTATTCTCATTTACCTTTTATTCAGAAACTGCCTTTAAGATAAAATATAAGTTATTATAAAGGTTATTGATGAGAGTATCCATTTCTTTTCAGAAAATAGGAATACCAGTTGAAATTATATTTATATTATTAAAGAAAGTAAGATCAGAATCATCTGTTTAGCAAACAGAAAATACAGTACCGGAAAGAAATGTTTCGCCAATTTTAACATCCACTATGAATAGTAAAGAAGATACCACAACTTCAAATTCACTTCTAAAGATGCACAATACGCATTGAAATATAATACTTGGAAGAATAAAAGTGAAAAACATATATATTAATAATGTAAGAAAAATATGTAGCTTTAGCAGCTAATTTGTTTAAATTTCTTTTTCTTAAGTAAGGCCAATCGATTTGGTATATTCAAGCAGCATCTCCTACAAGTTATTGCTGATATTTTGTTCCACTCTTCCAACAAAGCAGCCTTAAGCTCATTCAGAGAATTTGGCCTGGGGCGTCTTGCTCTGACTCTGTTATCAATGATTCCCCGTATATTCTCGATGGGGCTAAGGTTAAGGCTGTTGGATGGCCATTCCAAAACATCAATACCATGTTCTTTCTTGAGCTTTCCTGCAACTTTTGATTTATGAGCCCTGAAATAATCTTTCTGGAAGTTGTAGCCACCGCTGCTAGGTACAAGAAGAGCATGCAAAAATGAAAGAAAGTGGTCTCGAAGAACTTCTACATATCTTGGACCATCCATGTTTTCATCTGCAAAAATAAGTGGACTAAGTTCTCCTGACCAGATACACCCCCAGACCATAACCAATCAACCATTTCCTTGCACCTTCGGAACAAAGTGATTCGTATCAAACCTCTCACCAGCTTGGCCCCAGAGCTTTCTGTTTGAGTTCTTCTTATATAGCACAAATGTTGACTTGTCACTCCAGATAACAGTTTCCCACTGTCTATTCCAGCCTTGCACAGTTTTGTATCAAGCTCGACGTTTGGCAATGTGTGCCTTAGTAAGAAACGGTTCTGATACAGGTTTACGGCAAATAAAAATCCATGCTGTGTAAAGCTTTACGCACGGTAACCTTGTTGACATTCTTTCCCGTGTCAGCACTAGCATCATCAACAAGATCATCCAAAGTTGACCACCTGTCTTTTTTGATATTCGAAACAATACGTCTTTTATCTCTAGGTGTGAGAAGCTGTGGTTTTCCAGAAGACTTTCTGTTATCAGCAGTTCCTCTTTCTTTATATCTCTTTAAAAAACATTGAACTGTTGACTTGGGTACATTCAGCTTGGCTGAAATTCTGGCAGCATTATTTCCATCAAGTTAAAGACCAAGAATCTTTCCTTTCGTCGAATCTTAAAGCATGTTATAGGGACCATGAGAGTTGTTCTTTTATGTATTTGGAATTATGGTAGATATGTTAATTAGTTTTTTAAGATGTTGAGAAATATAAAATATAGGTTATAAAGCAAATGTCCAAACAGCGCGCTAGGGTGCGAAACGTTTCTTTCTCAGACTGTATATATATATTGAGGTACTGACATTATCATATATGTGCAGGACAGCTTTGTAATATCTCTGGGAATATTAGATATTAATTGTCTCTAGCTGCCACACACAAGTTCTTTTTGATTCGTTTATTTTATACAGACCCAAGCGATACGAGTTTGATCAATTATTCTGTTTTTAGTGATTTTGATCCAATAGACTAATACCTGCACGATCAATATGTTCAATGATATGATGTCTGATGCAATCAGCTCTCGATATAGTCATATTTCTGAAAACATTAATATTACTCTCACTATATAAAAAAATAGGACTAATTAGCAGGAAGTAGACGAAATAGCTAAAAGGATAACAATAAGAATAATTGATTTATGAATACAATGGGAATATTACTTGCGTATTCAATATATATCTCCCGCTCATTTCTCTCTTTTAAACACACACACAAAAGATATTTTATTTTATCTTATATTTATTTTTTAAAAGAATAATAGCACCTGATTCTTTGTACCTGCATTATATGGCTCGATCTTCTTCAGGATATAAACCTGACTTGATACAAATGAAGTGTGAAAATGGTGGTAAGATATATGACACCCGTTATATTCTCCCCACTCACAAATCACATCGGTGAATAATGGAAGGTGCAAACTTGCCAACGATAATTTACTATAAAGTAACAAGGGTCAGCTTACTCGGCTACGAAAGCGTCCACTGCCAGTCATCAAAAACTCTATACATGTTAGCAATAAATAGTCAGTAGAATTTATTGCAGGTTAGTTCCTCTATCTCCTATAACATCACTATGTTACGATTGGCTGATACGCTTTACACAGCAGTCCGTCCAACAACAAAAAAATTGCCTGGGCCTAATATTAAACTGTAGTACTACGGTTGGGGTTTATAAGTGGTCTGGCATTTTGTTAACAAGAAAAAATTCTCATGAGCTGCTAATATTTATATGTGGATTGAAGATAACAAAGAAGAGGGAAAACATCCGATAGTCAATATGATTTTTTACTACTTTGGTACATGTTTTCTCTTTCTATTGGTTATAATTTATATTAACCTGTAATCGTGTAACTGTTATACAACGGAAGGGACAGCCAATAAGAAACAGTCATTAGATAACAAAAACCAACTTTCTTGTAAAGTAAATCAAAAGAAAATGAAGCAAAGTAAAGAAGTAAAGAAGTAAAGAAAGACTTGACTTTGATCAGTTGTAGTAACAACTCTAAAGACAGAGTACAAGCTTCAATAACGGCAATTTTCAGGTTACTCTAAGTTGGTCTGTGCACTTCTTGTTCCAGCAGAAGAAAATTTTCATTTTATTTTTTCGGGGGTTTAATCAACACAATATAAATAAAATAAAGTAAAATGGAATAGAATAAAATAGAATAAAATAGCATATTCAAAAAGAACGTATCAAACATATAATGAAGCCCTTTTACAATAGTAAAGTACAGACCTCTTGATACTTGGACTTGGTGTTGATACAAATGTACAAGAACTTACCACAGTGTAGAAGCGTTAAATATACATGAACCGGTTGGTTGTTCTTTTTGTGTGTGTGGTAATCCTCAGAGGGCGTGCGGTACCTGTATTAATCATCATGTGAAAATATATAGGTTGCTTGGTAGTTGTTTGGGGGAGACAATTCTTATCTACCCATACCTATGTGTGTCAAGTTGATAAAGGCGTATAAACAAATATATTGGTAGCTTAGAGTGTGATGTCAGCGCGACTACCATCAAAAAACAAAAAACATATATATACCTCAGTTATTCCCACCTCCCCTGTTTTTCTTTCCTTCGCACTTTGTTTAAACATCATTTATCTCAATGAATTCCAAAGTTTATAACGCTCTCTGCGCAGCCTTTGCGCTCGCATACCTACTTGCCCCAGCTCTCATATTCATCCCTGTGATGTTATGGGAAGCTTCTCCAATGCCCTCTGCCTTTTGCATGGCCAAACCTGCGAGAAAAAGACGCCCCTCCATGGCGGGAGTGGGTGCAACCCCATTTGTTGACGCGAGACCGAATGGCGAAAATCGAGTCGAAGCTCACGATAATGTGATGCGCCAGACAATCCTTGGCCTTGTGTCAAACTGGGTAGGCTCTTTGTGGTCTACTGGTTCACGAACAACGGGAGAACCCTCAGGTGGCTTGTTGAGTGAGCGCCAAGGAGGTATCCTAGGGCATATGTCTGTTGATGAGTCCTCTTCGGAGGAGGAAGACGTTGTTTGTGTAGGAGAGTCGAACGTGTTCTTTGGAGTAGGGCTTCGGGAATATATCCCACACCTCCTTCCCTTGGATAAGTTGGAGCGTGGCATTGATACAATGGTGTCCCCAGTTGACGGCGTAGCTGGTACCTGTGGGGAAACCCATGCAGACCTCGACGAGGGTGTGTCGAGTGAGCTTGTAGACATATGCGATGAAGCTGAGATCAGCGTACGACTCAGATTCATCTGTGAAGAATTTTTCTCAGGGGGTTTTGCAAACCCAAGACTCCCTGCAAGATTTTTTGACACGATGTTGGAAGAGGAGCTCAACGCCTCTGAAAACAAAGGTCATTGCGACTCATTGACTGAAGTCGCTGAACCAGAGTGCGGTTTGGTTTCTAAGCCAGTTGAGGAGACTTTTGTCTTTGGACAAGAGTCCGTTCAGACCCCATCGGGTTTGAACAATGCTGGCTTGAATGATCCCAAGCCAAAGTTTGGTACAGTGCAAGGTCTAGATGAGGCGTTCGCTTTATCTTCTTGGCAGTCAGTGAATGGCTTTTTTTGGGAATGTCTCTCCACAGGACTTCCCACACCGATGGAGATTGACGACGACCTGGCTTGGAGTGAAGTCATGGAAGTTGAAAGTCCCATGGAGATTGATGATGATGTCGAGGTAGTGGCGCCTGATGCTGATTGTGGCGAAAAGCTCGTGGCCCACACCTGCAATCCAACGGATGACGATTTACAGTACGTCTCCCAGTCTGTAAAGAAGGATTGCGATACGAACAAGATCCCAGCCTGTGTCCCGCAACAGGTTGTAGACGACAAGGTGGAGCACGGCGTGATGCGATTGGATGCGCCTATCGCTGTTACTGCGCTGAAGCCTCAGAGTCACAGTGCCAACAAGTCAGGTGAACAGAAAAAGGGCGGAGAGTCACTTCCTGCGTCAGTGTCTGGTCTGCTCGCCGACGGGGCAAAGAAGGTCGGAGAGTGTGCTCCTGCGGTCTTAGGACCAATCGACCATTCAAAGACTGTTAAGCCTGGCAGTCAGAGCGGAAAGAAGGCTAAGGACATCAAGGTTGTAGCAAAGACCGAGACAGCCTCTGCCTCTCGCGAGCAGCAACCAGAGGAGACCAAGGCTGCGCCCAAGGTCTCTATGCCTGGAATTCCAAGAGTGCTGGCTTCCCGCGCTGCTAAGGAACAGGCAAAGGATTCCAAGGGCAAGGCCAAGGAATCCAAGGTTGCGGCAAAGACCGAGTTGACCTCTGGCTCTCGTGAGAAGCAGCCAGATCATTCCAAAGCCGAGACCAAGGCTCCAATGGCTGTGACGTTGAAAGCGCTGGCTTCCGGCGCTTATATGGAGCAGTCAAAGGACCCCAAGGTCGAGTCTTCCGCCAGCGTCGGGAGACCCAAACGTTCTCTTGTCAAGGGCAAGAAACCAGCGAAGTCATTCGATGCGCCAACAAACAACGGTTTGTCGGCCGCCGAATTCCAGGCAAAGGGTTTCTAAGATGCCAAAGATTCGGTGCCAGTGAAGCTTACTCCTCGTGCTACATCCAGTAGCAAGAAGAGAAAGCCTAATTGTGCTTAGCTTTTGGGTTCCATAGGTTGACTTTGGACCTAATTGTGAACGAATGTTGGTTAAGAAACAAAAATTTGCTTTGGCTTGGTTCCTAAAGCCTGGTGCTGTATCCAGCAGTAAAAAGGTGGTGGAAACAAGAATATGGCTTCCAGGAAATCCCCAGACAGATAACTCAAGAATGACAATGGCTGTAGTCACCCCCTTTGACTCGTAAGCTTTTCTGCATTGGTGCCGCTGACTCAGGGAAGGGTTGGGTAGGCAAAGAGGAACAAGCAAAGTACGCCACAGCGTAATTCAAGTCACGAACCGGCTCAAAGGTCCGCACATTAAGATGCGATCTGTACGCTTCACCAAGCGGACATCTTGTCGGTCGGTTGGCCCTGGAGCCAAGCCGATGCGGTCGGAACCAAAGGTCGATCCTGAAGCTTCTGGTAAGTTTTATGGTGACACTGGAATTCCCAGACCTTTCACAGTACTTTTCCTTTGGACTATCGGCGTGGTGATTCACGTTGGGTTTTTTGGTTAAACTGTAAGGGTAGCCTCTTTTACGTTCGGTTCCTACTGCTTTCAGATTCAAAGGACTGGATTATCGTTTCCCTCTGGGATCGACACCATGCTCCGCCTGTTAGCTTGGTTCTGAGTCTTGGCTTGGCATAGACAGTATAAAGAGAAGGTAGATTGTGGAGGTCTACATATGAGTGTAACCTGTGGTGGTACTAGACTGGTTTTCAATCCTGTTTGCCTCTGGTATTTGCCGTTTGTATACATTCGAGGGTGGTGCTTGCACTGCTGTAGGGTTGGCTGGAACCTTTTGTTCGTAGGGTTCTTGTTGACTTCCTCACAGGTCTGAGGCCGAGATCTGTGAGTGGTGGTTTCTGTACGAGTAGGGCTTCCGGAGTCCTTGATTCTGGGTCGTTTTTGGGCCACGGTGGTCCTGTTGGCTTGTCTGGTCTGGTTGGCTAGATTTCCGGTATCATTCTGGTATCATTCTGGAGATCGTTGTTGGCTAGGTCGCTGGCCTGTTCTGTACCTGGGTTCTGGGTCTTTGTAGCTTGAGTTTTGTGCTTAAGCCAGGGAGGATGAATACTGTGGGGCACGGTGTTCATTATGTAGTCATGTCTGGCCGAATGGGTTTTGCTTCCTTGCCGGATTCTTTCTTGGGGTCCTTGGAAGGCTATCGTCAGTCCCCCCTTCTTTTTTTTTCTGGTGAATACCTGAAGATTCACTGGTAAGCTCGAATAGGTCCTTTTGGACTTTGAGTTGACTATACTGTAGATTGTGGAAAATCTATTGCTGGGGGGTAGACAGTCCCAAGAGGTTTCGGGAACACGAGCCAAGAACACCTAGTTCTCACGCAAGATTGGCGAGGTTTTCCCTCACAGACATGATGATATATCAGTCATTATGATTGCTACCAGTCCTTGTGTCCGGACTCAAATGATGCATACACATGCATTTCCAGACATCTGCAGCTATTTTGAGATGGCAAAACCAAAGTTCATCTGCACAAAAGGATATGTTTCAATGACTGATTAATTGGGTATCAGTGACTTTGTCAGTTGAATCAAGATAATCTGACTATACAAAAAAATGTCACTGAAGAGATAGCGTGGAATTCGCCGATGATTTCAAGCATCACGCAAAACCTGTGGTTAGAGTCCTAGCCACCCTCATTTGAGGAGGACTCTGATTAATATGGTCTGGTAAATGAACCAGACCAAGCAGGGTGAACTAGAAATTGTCACCAAAAAAAAGCAGGTTACAGTTAGCAGCTGGAAATGCGTATAATCAAGAAACCAAGACCCGAGTCCAAGGTTATTTATGCACACTTTCAGTTGTGAAGGAGAAGCAAGATTACTTTCAAGAAACCTATCCAACTCAGGTCGAGACAAGTGCTTACAAGCCGTATTTATGGAAACTCGCAGAGAATTCAGTCCAGTATCAAAACAAAACTCTCGAAACCAAATCAGAAAAGCAAAGCTGAACATGGAAATCAGAACAAACAGCACAAAGCAACATGGAAAAAATGGAATCAAGCCTTCAAGTACAAAAGGTTAAAATCAAGTATGCTGACCCAGAGTCTCGCCATCTCGCTGGGTTGGCCAAAAAGCACATGAAGAGTCTCGACTAGGATATGGTTACAACAAGAATAAATTCCTCGTCATCATTCAAGACTATTGGCTCAGGACTGCAAAAAGGTATTTGAGATGACCGGGTTTATATTATGGACCGAGAACACCAGCAGGAACAATTAGAGGCCGGCAGTAGTAAACAACAGGGCTCAAGGCAGAAACAATGTGAACCACAAAGCAAGCGATAAGGCAATTTTTCAAGGGTTTTTTCTGTCTCTAGACTTCTTTGTCAGAGACAATACCAACCATTGGTCCGTCTATCCAGAAGATAAGTACTATTTATACACAATATGTCTCGGTACTAATTATATGATATTTTTCTCTTCTTTTTCTTCTCAAGGTCGCCCTGTGACAGGGCTCACAATATTACAACCCTTTAGAGGATACCAGAGAGAGTTTGTGAGCGTTAGACTTTACCAAAAAGGTAAAGCTGCTCGGCACGCTAGTCGTACCTTTTCTCTCCTCAAAATATTGTACATTGCATTGTATGCCTGTATATATTTAGGGTTCTTGGTGTGGTAAGCCAAGATCTGGTAGCTCCTCTGCCATTTGGTGGTCAAATCCTTTTGTGGTTGACCCCATCGCTGCAAGTTGGCACATTGTTTCTGCTGGAAGTTTGGCTGTTTACTGTTGGTGGTCTCGTATACCTCCTGCTGGTGGTCAAGGTCCAATCCGCCCGGTCATCGAAGAACATTTTGCAGTCCCGAGCCTGAATCCTGTGCAAGAATGACAGCAGCAAGAACCAAGTCAAGCAAGAAGAATACAAAAAGAAAAAGATACAAAAAAAAGATACAAAAAAAAAGATACAAAAAAGAAGCAAAAAAAAATTATATTCACAATTATCTCTCTATCTCAAGTGGAAACTTATAGACTAGCAGAATCCCTGAAATGGTCAAGCCACGGTTTGCTTTTATGTCCAAGTCCAATTCTAAGTTTTGTCCAAGTCAAAGTCAAAGTCCAAATGACCAAACACTGTCCAAGTACTGGTATAGTACTAGTCCTAGCACACAGATAAATACAAACAAATAGAGAAGTACACAGTTAGAGAAGTAGACAAATACATTCACACACAAACACACACAATTTCTATTTTTCTATTTCTTTCTTATATACACACACACACACACACACACATACACACAAACACACAAGCACACAAACACATAGTCATATTCATAGTCATAGTCATAGTCATAGTCATACAAACATACATATACACACTTATATACATACATACATGCATACAAAAGTAGAGGCGCAATTTCTATCAAAGTCCAAAATCTGGGTTGTACATCCAAGTCTCAAGGCCAAGTCGATTTCCAAGAAGGGGTCCAATGCAAAATTCCAAAAGCAAGTTCCAAAAGAAAAACCAAAAACCAAATCCGAGGCCTATACTAAGTCCTCCTCTCCAAAAGGATCAAAAGAAATCCGAACTCGAGGCATATACTAAGTCCTCCAATCCAAAAGGATCAAATCCAAAAACCGAGGCGTAGACCAAAACCTATCAGAAATGATCAGGCACATTAAGTCCTCCACTCCAAAAGGATCAAAAGAAATCCGACCCTGAGGCCTATACTAAGTCCTGTCCAAAGATTACACAGGCATATACTAAGCCCTCCTCTCTCTCTAAAAAAAAACAAAAAAAAACAAAAAAAAAACAAAAAAAAAACAAAAAAAAACAAAAAAGAACAAAAAAAAAAGAACAAAAAACAAAACAAAAAAAAGATGAACAAACCGAAAGAACTCTGCATTGGAACCTGGACCTGGATTGAAGCAAAGCTGCGAACTGGAACAAGACTTTGGATTAGGACAAGGTATGAAATCCTTTTTTACATATATACATACAAAGCAAATGAAGTCTTTGAACAAAAACAAAAAACAAAAAAATGCTCAAAAAAAGAAGCTCAAAAAAACAAAAGAGCAAAAAGAGCAATACCAAAACCCCCTTCTCTTATTACTATTATGTGAAATTGACTGGACAAAAAAAAGAAGTAAAAAAAAATCAAAAAAAAATCAAAATCAAAAAGTCCAAATTATCCCCTTTACTATGTGTGCTGTGTTCGGACAAAAAAAAAGAATCAAAAAGAATCAAAAAAAAAATCAAAATCAAAAAGTCCAAATTATCTTTTTATTCTTTTCAATATCAAAACCATTTCATTATTACTATTCTGTGAAATTGACTGGACAAAAAAAAAAGAATCAAAAAAGAATCAAAAAAACAAGAAAAAAAAACAAAAAGTCCAAATTATCCCCCTTATTATTTTGCAATACCAAAATCCTCCTCCTCCTCCTATCACTCTTAGCTTATATTGACTGGACAAAAAAAGAGAAAAAAAAACGGACAAAAAAAAAAGATCAAAAGAAATCAACTGTACAAAAAAATCAACTGGACTTGACTGGAATCGACTGGACTGGACTGAAGTAGCATGAACTTGACCATCTTATACTATATTTAATTTAACTTATATTTACTTTATAAAAATCTTTGAATAATAAAATTTCCCTCATATGTCTTTGATATAGAATACACTATCTAAATAACCATGAGCCCAAATTAAGAATATTTATTAAATATTTTGCTCCATATTAACACATCTACTGTGAAACAAGATGCTGTGTTTCACTAAACCTTCATAATACTGCATGTGTATCTTACATTATATCAATATTTCAATTGTTTTTTATTATTTTAAACTAATGATAATAATATAACCATCGCCCAGTGCTATATCATAATTTGCATTCACGGCTATTTCGATACGAATATTATGTATCATTATTTGCCTAATTTATCAAGAGATTATTCTCAATCACATATAAAAAAAAATAGGGAAAAATCAAACAGTATTCACATTTGACTTTTAAAAAGTCCGCATGACACTTCCCATGAGTGAACATCCCATCTTCTCTCCTAACACTACAAATATGATATACCACAAAAAGTCAGCCTCATGCACTGCAATTCCTAGCTACACAGAATTGCATTCAAGGACTACATCGATGACTAGCATGTCTGGCAGCGGTGCTGTCTCATCCGAGATCACACAACGTCCTCCTAAGCTTGAACACCATCCCAATCAAAACTTAAGCACAAGTACCAGCAGCTCACAAACCCCCAGGAACAACGCATCATCACAGAGTACATCTGCTGAGCAGAATAGTAGTTTTTCTAAAGATGTAGTAAAAAGTGAATTGTCTTCTATGCTCATTCAGAGTAACATGTTCTCCCTACCAACTGTCTGCATCTTCTCACAGAGCGCATTAGCCAATGAATATTCAAATGAAACCGAGATTGCTCCATTTGTTTACCCAGTTACAACATCTCTGGAACATATAACAATGCTTATTGGTATGCTTCAATCACTGCTGAGAGTGGTTGATGAGACATCTACGGGGGAAGAGGAAGAAGAGGACGAGGAAGAAGAGGACCAGGATGATGAAGGAAGTGGGGAGTGGGATAGTGAGGATACTATGCTGGATGAAAAAAGTGAGGATAATGTATCAGATACAGGCAATTTTGCCATCCTTGGGTTAGGCGCATTCAAGGTTTCATTGTGGAATAAGATGTGCGACCACATTCTAGATGGAATAGTTTATAAAGATGATCTGTGCTTGGTAAATATGTGAATATGTCTATCTGTTAGGGGGCTACTTTGATTTAATCTTGGGTTACTTTTACACCATACCTATATATCCATATATCGATATATCTATATATCTATTTATCTATCTATCTATCTCTTTAGGTCATCATAATGTCCCCACGATTTTCAGATCGAATGATCACAAAACATATGCAGCTTTTAAAAAAATCTTTGTCCGAATCACAGCTTATAAAACGGGTAAGGCCTTTTCTTTCCAAGAACAAACAAAGAGCATATTTGATGTGAACAAGAATGCTGCTACTTATTTAGAGCTTTTCTACGGATAAAGTTGGCGAGCATTTGGTATCGTTGGCCCATTATTGGTTTGATCAGCCAGATGATGATGATAAGGACATTTGATTATATTCATCCCAAAATCAAAGGCATAAGCCATCATTCAAGTAAACCTTTTTTTTAATGTATTTAATGACACAAAGAAGTTGAATTGTGAATAATCATAAAAATCATAGTAAATATCATTAAAAAAGATATATATATATATTTTTAAAAAAAAGGAAAAGGGCTAAATATACAATATAAATATAAATTTTAATTTGAATCAATAAAGAGCCGCGTACTTGGCCAGCAAAAAAATAAAGATAAAAAAATACGGCTTTTGTTGTTGTTGTTTGTAAGTCCTATATTTACAAGAAGTGAATTGAAAGAAAGAAAGAGTAAGGTGTGTGTGTGTGCGTGTTTATAGAAAGGGATAGAAATGCTGCTATATATATCCTGCATTTTCCCGTGGTGGAACTGCAGGTGGAAATGAACGGACGAGATTGTCACAGGATGCCTCACGCCTGTGTCTAATTGCAGAGGATGCAGCTGGCAAAGCAGGGCGTGAAGTTGGAAGAGGTGTAGAGCGGTTTGACTGGAGTGCGTCTGGAGTGGGTTCTGTAAAGAGGGTATCGATGTTGTTGAGAATAAACTCAATTGATCCAATTTTGTGATTCATCTCAACCAAATCACGCTTTTCATCTTCATGGCGCATTAATGTTGGTCCAAATATGACAGCGAGGTTCTTTGATGTCATGAGATTTTCACTGCTTCTCTTGCGTACACTGTCAAGTCAGAAATAATAATAATAATAATAATATAAATATAAATACGTGATTTGATGTGCTATATTGACGTGTAAACTTACTTGCTCAAATGCAGCATTAAGCATTTAAGTGTATTGTAATGCTCTATGGGTAGAGACTGGATAGCCTTTCCAAACATTTTTATCTGTTCCGCTGCATCAGAAAGCACTATTGAAAATAAATAAATGTAAGAAATAGAAATAACAATAGCTTTCTAATATGAAGAAATTACTTACTAATGGCCTCCATGAATTTGGTGTGTCCATCAAAGGTGAATAATGGATTTGGAAGCTCTCTAAAGTACTGCTTCAGCACACTTGTCACGGCACATATATCATTCCATCGTTCTTCATCTAGCAGATTAGGAACATCGTTTTGTTCAAACGCTTGCATGATCAAACGCATCTGTCCAGCCCCACCAGATTTTCGATATATTCCTTCATAATCCATCCCTACAATAGTCATAACATATATAAGGCTGTTAACTCTTTTCTTTTAAAATACAAGATTCATTTTAACACCATTACTGGTATTAGCTTAGTATCTCATACCTCGCATTTCTACTGCAGCAATACACTTTAATACGACCAATGGTACAGTGGCTTTTTCGAATTGAACCTGTTTGATTAAATCGGTACCAAAGATAACAACTAAGCAAAAGAAAAAAAAAAGAAACATTGGCATTAGAGATTATCACCCTATGAATATTGTGTATATATCTAACCAGTAGCTATCGACAACCACAATTTTTATATTCCGTACTCAATTTTTACCTTTTTGTGAATTATCGCCGTCATTCTTTGAATCTGAACTCGTTTTTCGGCTACAGGCCAGGTTCACATTGTAAACGCATTTTGAATGGGTTATTACACCACAGTCTGTTATATAATAGCAACAATAAAGTTAACCATTTTGCTTGTCATCTGTCTGTCTATTTAGTTACCTTGGCACTTTAGCTCACTCACGCGCCACATCTTTTCATTGCAGGCTTCACATTTTACTGGTCGCATAAATTTTGTCTGTAAGAAATTGTGCCCACCCACTCGATGATAAACCACCTCAGAAGAATCTTTGGAAGATTGCTGCTGCTGTTGATTTTGTTGTTGATTTTGTTGCTGATTTTGATTTTGATTTTGATTTTGGTTCTGGATGTGGGTGTGATTTTTTAAACTTTCTGTTATGGTTTCCATGGGACGGCCTGGGTTGGGATCATAAGGTATGCTAATTAAAGCATCTTTTTCCTTGGATTTGTTCTTATTGCCTTTGTTACGTCTGAATTTGAACAGCCTTGGAGCCTCAGTTGCGCTAAAGCTATCTCTTTGAGCCATTTGTCTACTTGTTGTTGATGATGATGATGCTGTGGTGGTGGTAGTGTTTTCTGGAGCTGTCTTATCCACTTCATTTGACGACGACGATGATGATGATACTTTGGATTTCTTATTATCCTTATCCGCATTTGGGTCTGTAGTCAGGAAACTTGTACCAGCCATGATTGCTACAGCTTCGCGTTCTCGTTCGGTCACACGTCGAGAGAGATCGTTGTTCAGTGAGGTTAACTCAGCATTTTTTGTATTGAGCATGATCATCTCAGTAATTATGTCGTTGCGTGCCTTAACGAGTTTCCCATAACCAGATCGCATATTGTCAATGTCTTTACGAATAGAACCGAGTTGCTGCTGATAAGAGTTCTGTAGGCGATCCTTTTGACTTTCTACAGTTTGACTAAGTACATGATATATACATTAACAAAAAAAAGTATAAGCTTTCTCTCTCTCTCTTTCTAAACATCTTGTGCGTGTGTGCGTACCCATGCACGTATAATTTACCTTGCTGAATTTTCCTGGATAGTTTGTGACATTGTATCTAACTCTGCCAAAAATTGAGTACGTTGATTTCGTAAATCCTCACACGCTTGTTCTAGTTGGATTTTAGACTGCGTCAACTGCCCGACTTCTTCTTTTGAGAGATCCATAAATTGGCCAGTTCCCATAGCATTAGCCTGTTGGTAAAACGACAGTTCACGCTGTAGCTTGAGGACAAGCTCTTCGGCTTCTTTCCGTGCCACAACTTCAGCTGCAAATCCTTCTTTGACAGCATTAAATTCACCAAGCGCTTTTCTACTGATTGTCTAATTATTTTATTTTTAATTTATGTATTAATACATTATCTATATATATATATATATGTGTGTGTGTGTGTGTATGTGATTTTTTCCCTCCTTTTCTCTCTCTTCCTCTGATTTTCAATATTAAATATATAAATGTGTATATTACCTTTACGTTTGCGAATTTGCTTTCAACATCCTTTAGACGAGCTTTTGTTGCTTCTAATTCTTGTCTAATTGCCTCAACTTCCCTAGTTCCGTATTCTCTTTTGGGAGGCATATTGAGGGCAGGGGTTTGTAATGCCATGAGATCACCATCTGTATTAGGTGCATCTGCTTGGTTTGGTTGGTTGCGTGTACCAAGTGGTATTGTGGAGCGTGTCTGTGGAGGACTTGGTGTGGTGTCCATTGAGCGTCTCTCTGGTGGGCAATCTTCTCCAATTCCAGAATCCAAAACTTTACTAAGCATATTATTGAGGTCTGCCAGCTCCTGAAAGGCTTTGTAATAATAATATTAATAGTAGTATTAATAAACAAATCCTGTATTCATTTCTGTGCATGTGTTGAAGAATAATTGTCTGTTTTGTATACATCATCTTACTTAATATTGATGGTGCAGCATTCTTTGATCCGACCTGGGATTCGCTGTTTTTGGGGATTGAATTGGACATGTTTGTGGTCTGTTGGGGGGATTTTACTCTTCTGCCTTCAGATTCAAGTGATGTGTTTCGACTAAGACTGTGATTTCTGTGAAGCCGCTCCTCTTTCCGTTTCTGTCGTAATTGTTTGCGTATCTCGTGGCAAGATGTACAAAAGATACCCTGGAATTATATAGTGTTTGGTTGGCCTCTCTTGTTTCTATGTCTCTCTTTGCCTCTTTCCTTCCTTCTATTCTTATTGGCGTAGACCGATTGTTGTTATTGTTTACCTTACTAGTCTGAGTAAATATGAGGTCCTCAATCTTTACATGGCATTGAACACATCGAAAACACTCGGCATGATAAGCCTCCTCCCCTAGACAAAATTAAATAAGCATACATACAAATATATAAGAAGACATATTTAACAGAGTTGCATTGAATTGAATTAAATTGGGCTGAGCCAAACTGAATTGATAATTATAATAATTATAATAATAATAGTATAATGATGATGATGACAATGGTTACTGGATTATTATTATTTTGCTGTACCTGTCATGATAGCTTCGTCCTTGATTGTTTTGTGACATGAGTGGCAGCTGTATGAGCAATCCTCACACACGGGACTTCCATCACGAAGAAGTAAATGGTTGCTGTAGCATTCAACTAATTTTCGGCATTTCGCACAACGGAAACTAAATGGGTTGCATCGTGAATGCATTACAAGATTGCCGAACAGGAAAGAGGGGGAGGGGGAGGGAGGGAGGGGCGAGGAAAGAATGGGAAGAGAAAATGATGATGATTAATAATGATAATGATAATGATAATAACAATAATAAATTTCAAGGGAAAATCATTAGGGGTTGAGGTTTAGATAAAAGAAGGAATAAAGGAAGTAAAGGGGGGATTAGAGGATAGGAGATATAGATATAGATTTATATGTATATGTATATGTATATGTATATGTATATGTATATAAAGATAGAGTATGTGTGTCTGTGTGTGTTTGAGGGGAAGGGTTGAATCTACATACCATTCGAAATGCCAGATTCCTTCTCCAAACTGAACAACTGAACCATCTTCAATAGGCTGAAGACAACCATTGCAGTGAGGGTCCTCATATTCTTCTGAAGAATCTACCAAGGTTTCCTCGTAATAAGGATCCATAGAATATAAAGTGATGTTTTTGTGTTGTATATAATATAAATGTAGATAATGTATGTATGTATGTATAAATATGTATATATTTAAGGTAGCTTTTAAAGAATGTTATAAAGGAAGGAAGGAAGGAAGGAATAAAGAAAGTAAGTAGCCAAGTAAAGAGGTACAAAGCAAAAGAGAGAGAGAGAGAGAGAGAGAGAGAGAGAGAAAGAGCCGAAATGTATTCTGTGTATTCTGTGTGTGTGTGTGTTTCTGTACAATTATGGGCAGGTTGTCTAATATAATAATTGAGGGAATATATTGAAGCGAGAGAATCGATTCCATTCCACTCTATTAGTTTATTTTATTTTATTTTTGTTTAATTTTCTGACTTTATAAAGTTTTAATTTCTTTATTAGGACAAAAGGGTTCAACATTCGCTGTTTGTAAGTTAAATATTACAATTGTATTTTTATTATTATTACTGTAAACTGTAGATGTAAGAATATATATATATATATATACTAAGGAAGGGACCCGCGCCAACGACAGCTGATAGCGTATACAAAAGTGGCTGGACTGATACAGAAAGTGGCTGATGTTGGTCTTTTTGATATTCGTATAAAACTGTGGCTAAAAGCAAAAAGTAAGATAAAAAATAAAATAAAATAAAAAAAAGGCAAAAATGAGTACCCCTCCTTTATTACATCCTATCATTCTTAATATAATTGTAATTAAATTTTAGATTAAAGTAGCTCATATATAAGAATATATATATATATTATTTGCTGACAAGAGAATAAAAGTAAGAACCTCTCTTGTTCAATTAAATGTTCTATATAAATAAAAAAGAGCTTCTTTGTAGGAGTTCGAACCGAAAAATAAAATATATATTGAAATGAAATGAAACAAATTGAAATATAAAATATATGATATTAATATTAATATTAGTAAATAAATAAGGAACCTATCTTCCCTTGGATATTTTATTCATCTTATAATAAAAGATGTGCGCATGCATACAATAGGTAACGCAGTCGTTCGCACAAAGAGGTTATTTATGGCTATTAACAAGGTTGGGCAGAATTTTTTCTTTCTTTATATATATATGTGTGTGTGTGTGGTAGTTGCTTTAGATATTTAGCTTATCTTGAACTATAAAGTAATTAAATGTATTACTATAGGTTCAATTGAGGATCATGCCTTGTTGAGGTCCAGCTGAAACCGGGTATTTCACTTTATACAAGTATTTCATAAGTCTATTGTTGGTGGACAATAGAAGAAGAAGAAGGTATATATATATATATATATTGTGTACCAGATCAAAGCATTTATTCTATTAATTAAAAGATCAAGGAATTAAATAAATTAAAGAAATTAAAGAAAACCTCCTGATAGTTTTTGGTTTAAAGATGGTATCTTGTTCTTGTTCTTACTTTAAAAGATAATTGCAAAAAAAAGAAGGAGAGTATGTGGTCTATTTAAATGATGTGATCTGACCATTATGTCCAACATAAAACAACAGAAAAAAAAGCTTAAAGGGATATATATATATATGTATGTGAGAATGTGGTGTATATAACACAACAGGAGCCAAATACTTTTTTGACATGGTTTATTTATTTATTTTATTAAAATGAGGTAGAATATATAGATATTAATGTGGCGAGTAGGCTTTGTGTGTGGGCGTGTATTTGATCTGACCAAAAAAAAAAGGAAGGAAGGAAATGACAGTTTGATGTGTGTAATATATTGTAGCCTAAGATGGTCTAGAATACATGGGATATTAATCTCGAGTCAAATTTAATCCGAATTAATGGTTCTGGATTCAAAGTCTTTGAAAAGACCCGATTTTCTTTTGAAATACATCTTAGTAATATTGATATTGATAACAGGCTGTTTCTACCTTGACTTGTAAGCAAACAAGTAAATTCAAAACATAATATACCTGTTATTATTTCTATATTTATGTGTTTGTGAGTAACACGTAGTTACTGACTCCTTGGTCCCTTGTAAAGCATACCTATATATCTATATATCTATATCTATATTAGGTTGAACCAACCCTGTTATAGATTACCCTTTTTTTTCTAGTTTTTTTTTATAGTCTAATTACCAAGAATTCTTTTTTTTTGTGCCAAGATGTTGAGCTCTGTATGGTTTGAATTATAAATCTATTGACTTCACAAGATTGTTTTCAGAAAATAGTCAACGGTCAACGGTCAACGGTCAATGGTCAATGGTCAATAGTCAATAGTCCAATAAACACGAGAGAATTTATCTTTAGAGTTTTGATTCTGATATATTTATAAGAGCAATTATTGTATATTAATAAATATCTTATTTGGGCTCAATTCAGGTAATGAAACTGTTTCAAAATTAGTAGCCATTTCTTTGTATATATAGATTTTTTCTAATTAATTAATTAATTAATTACTTAATTATAAGCTTTATAATAATTATGCTACACACATATTATTATCATTACATACTAATAATAATAATAATAATGAATGGCTATAAAGAAATATAACTCTTTCTCTCTGTGTGTGTGTTTGTGTTTGGAATGGAGAGATCATTGGAACTGAAGAACAGAATAAACCAGAGTACAGGCTGGAAATCGAGACTTTTATTTTTGACATTTTGGGAACAAAATAGATCAGGAAGTCAATCTATATAACCTATTCTCGACTATGATATCTTAAACAAAATATGGCCAATCTAATGAATATATAATGGCAGTTGAGGCTTTTCGGCCTATGATAGGCTTTATACAACTCTTCTCTATTGTTAAAATTGTATAGCACACGATTACCAGGTAATCTAAGCTTTGTATTTCATTTTAGTGGAAAAGGGCGAATAAATTAGAAAACACGCAATGATAACTATAAGTCGTATATCAGATCATCTGAAATTTTATCCTGTCTTTCTAATTAGATGATTATGAAAAAAAAAGTCTTTAAGCCCTCGCTTAAAGTATTTTTTTTCATATAGGATTCTATGCTTTTAGCTTATTTAGACCAGCTTTACCTATACTTTAAACCCAAAAATATAAGTCTAGAAGGTCTATTAGGCTGTTTAACCTCCCTACTACTAATATTAAAAGGTAGTTTACAAAGAAGAATAAGAAGAATATGTTATATTTATGATAGCGAGATTTATACTTATTATGCTCATTTCCAGAATATGCATATATTTATGTATGTATTTTTTTTTACAACAATTGAATAACAATTGATTCTATTTTAATTAATGTATATTATTATTAATATCACTTTTGTTTTTTAGCTAGACTATTGGCAATGGAAAGCAAGAAACCGTCATGTCCATATTGCGCCATCAGCTGCAGCCCTATAGGGTATCCATCAACAGCAGATTTTCCAAACGGAACAGTGATAGCAGGTAAGCCTGCAAGGCTTGCAGGCACAGTCATGACATCGTTCATGTAAGCATCCACAGCCTTGACATCATTAGAAGATTCATGTCTTTCGAGGACGTCCGTCATTCTTGGGGCAGAGGAGATAGCACTAGGTGTAAGAATAACATGCACCTTGGTACTTTCTTGACCTTCTTGCTCAACAGAAGATTCGTAAAGCGCATTGTGCTGATAGAAAACTTGATCAAAATCTGCTTGGATTAGTCTTCTTGCCTTTTGAGCTGGCAAAAATAAAGTATCAAATGTTCTACACAGATAAAATATAATAATTAGTTGAGGAATCTCATCTTGAATAGTCTTATGCGGCTTCAAGCTTTAGAGAATGTAGCCCTACCCTGCTGTCAGGACATGAGTACCGAGCAATATACGTCTTTGAACTTCTGCTCCAAACCCCTCTGCTCTTGTGTCTGCATACAGCATCATGTCACCTGATACCTTTGCATTGCTTCTGTGACCTTTTTTGAGACATCAGTATGTTTGTCTTTCTCTCTCTGTGTAGGTCTACATTTTGTGTATATATATATACATTTCTCTTTCTTTCTTATAAAAGTAAAGCACACTCCCCTTCATTCCACTCCACTCCACTACACTACACTACACTACACACCATCCCTCTCCTTGCCCCTTCAGTTTACCAAATCTAACACCGTCGTATCTTGCTAAATTCGAGCTTGCTTCTGCCAAAGCAATAATGTAATAGGCTGGAAGAGCAAGATGAGTGTGTGGTAGCGATATAGATTGGATCGTGGCTCCTTGCTCCTTTAGAAACTGGATACCACTGCGCCAGACATCCACAACATCATCCGACATTGGATCCACATAATATTCCTGAGGAATACCCACAACTAGACCCTTTAGATTGCCCTTTGTCCATTGAGAACGCAGAATACTATCGCTTTCGTCAAGCTTTGATCGAAGTTTATCTGGCATAGAAGATGGATCCTTGGGATCGTGTTTAGAGATAGCATCTACAAAAATGCAACCAAAAATATATAAAGTTAAAACCCCTGTGTGTATATGTGCGTATATTTCTGTATGTACAGTTTAGGTATATTAATGTCAGAATTTACCATACACCACTGAAGCCTGTTTTACAGTGCCTGACAATATTCCAACAGTATCAAGGGAGTTAGCATAAGCGACCAGACCATTACGAGAGCATCGCCCATAGGATGGTTTAAATCCTACCACGCCACAATAAGAGGCTGGTAGTCGTACAGATCCACCCGTGTCAGATCCAAGAGCACTACCATACCCGGGTTTCTGTCAGTTAGCAACTGTAAAAAAAATTCGATGATACTTGTTTTTCAAAGAAAAAAATGGTTTTTTTTTCTTTATAAAAAAAAACTTACGCTGTACACATCTTCATGCCAACGGCAGCGGCACTACCTCCTGAGCTTCCTCCTGCCACTCTACGATCTTCTTCTTTGACATCTTTTTCACAAGTAAAAGGATGTTGAACAACACCAGAATCACTGTAGACATTTGCCGATCTATAAAATTATACAAATATGTATTTGTACAAACGAAAATCAATACATTTATGACAAGTATTCCTTGTTGTTGGATTTGCATTTTTAAAATAATAATAATAAAAAGCTGTATACATAATATATTTAAACAAAGACAAAATTACCCCATGCCAAACTCATCCATGTTAGTTTTTCCTATTAAAATAGCACCAGAAGCCTCAAGAAGCTTTACAACCGTAGCATCATAAGGGGAGGTGAATCCTAATTAATCGAGTATCAGTAACGAATCTAATATACACACATATATACACATGTATGTATCCCAATTGACTGTACAGATAACAATATCTTACCTTTGAGCATAACAGATCCACATGTAGTTGGGAGTGTAGAAGTACAAAAATTGTCTTTTATACCCATGAGCATTCCGTCTAGAGGACCCATGTTGGTACCTGATAATTCGATTTTTTTTTAAAAAAAAATTAGATTATTGATTCTTTGCATCAATACAGAAAACAAAAAATGACAAAAAGACAGAATAAATGAATGTCTTGCCTTTTTCTTTACGTTCTTTCGACTGGGTTTCTAGATTCTCTACAACATTTCGATCTTGAACTGAAACGAAAGCATTGAGTGTGCTGTTATGCTTAGTAATTGTGTCGAGACATTGCTTCAAAGATAAGCTAGATTCTGTGCGTTTCCACTGTTTAGTTTGTACGCACACACAGGTATATATATATATGTGTGTGTGTGTGTGTGTGCGTGTGTGTTTATTTGTATGTATGTATAATTATGAAATAATTTTAGTACATGTATTACAAAAAAAACCTCTAAAAATCAAAAGGTGCAGCGCAATCAAACACTTGCTTGGTAATTAACTGACACCCAAAGGCGATTTGTGCGTGCCGATCGGGAAAGCATGCAGTCAAATGAAGAAGTAAAAGAAGAAGTGGAAAAAGCCTAAAGTCTGTGACCGGTGCCTGTCTCTTGAAGTTATCTCAAAGTAATAGACCAAGTATGTAGTCTGTAGTATGTGTTGCTACAAGCCCATGTTAAAACACAAAAAATAAAGACCAATAAGCAACAAATAAATAAACGTGTGTAATTATTGGTCACTCTGTTATTGCTACTTGTAAGCAAAAATAAATAAATAAATATCATGGCAAGGTATGGCACACAAGTCAATATACGTATCCTTTCGTTGATTTAATAGCAATATCTACCAGCAAATCCCACTTTTGTTCCTTGTCATATGCGTATACCATTCTTAAAATATATTGGACTAAAATATGGGCAAATGCGTATGTGCCTTTATGTTCGCATTACATTGTATTCAAATCAAGCTGTACATAGCCCATTAGTATTCATTTTAAACCTCTTTTTTTTAAAAAAAAAAAAAATCTCTTGTATTTTTGTGAGCCAAAAACAATTGTAGCTCTTTTCCCTAAAACAATACACAAAGTACTTTCAATTTAATTTAATCTCATTTCAGTTTGTTCTTTACTGATGAAGTTATATATTAATAAAGTATTTTGAATATTCGTAACTTTTTCTTTTCATTTATTTCATTTTATCTTATTAAAAACTTATTAGACTTTAAAATGTTCAACAATTGTTTCAATTTCTTGACATTTTGACTTTGGCTTTAAAATATATATATATATAAATTCACAAGATTTCCATCAAAAAATAATAATTTCTTAGTATCTCTCCAACCCCTCCCTTAACTTTCTTTTCCTTAAATAAAATCCTATTTCCTGCTGCTTGTTAGGTTTTCATTTGTACTATGCAAAAAATAAAAATTGAAATAAAGAAATAAAGAAACAAAGAAAGAAGACGTACATTACATAGTTTGTAAAAGACATGATGCTTCTATTAAAAACGAGTACGTCACAGTTCAAGTGACGCAACACAGCAAGGTGTATGTTTTTGTAAAGCTTGAATAAAGCATTTGTGGTGCAAATAGATCATATCAGTGACTTGCCCTAGAAATAAACACCTTGGTATTATACCAAAGACAACTTCATCTTTCACTTAAAGTTCAAAGGTCAGCATAAAGTGCAAGACACAATGGAATTACCACACCTATTTAATGAATGCTGAAACTAAAATGACAATTGTACTTCACAATTTTTTTTTTGCTTTTCTATTTTTCTATTTATTTCTTTGCTATTATCACTGTTATTATTGCCATGCTCTTCTACTTAATTCAACAACAACAAAAAAATACATGCATACATATATACAAACAAACATATACAAAAATGCGCGCCCATAAACGTACACGTACAAACAAACATTCGTATAAACGTACATGAACACAAACACACAGGGTATTCTACCTTATCTCTCCCCACTCTAGAAATAAAGAAGAAGAAAAATGTCGACCCTCGGACGTACATTGAAGAACTTAATCAAGATTGGCCCTGCCAATTACCTCAAGCAAATGAACACAATTGGTGACACCAAGTGGGGTCGTCTTGTGGGTACTGATGTTAACGGCAACAAGTACTTTGAGAATCTCGATGAAGTTTCTGGTTAGTTATAAATGTACATCATCTATGCAACGATGAGATTTTAATAGTATTTTATATTTTTATTTTATTTTTGTTGTATATTTAATTTCTCCCTTTTTCTTTTTCTTTTTTTTTTGCTTAGGTCGTGAACGTTGGGTTGAATATGCTAGTGATCAACCTGATCCCGAAGATATCACTCCCGAATGGTAAGTCTTGTAAAATAGTAATACAGTCAAAAGAAGAGCTAATATAATATATTCTTATCTAACATTTTTAATATTATTTTATATATATACATATATATATTATTGACTATCCTTATTTCTGTTTTTGTTTTTTATATGTGTATTTGTGTGTGGGGGTTTTAATGATTTATTTAATTATCAATTTTAGGCACGGCTGGTTGACTCGCGCTTTCCAGGAACCTCCTACTGAGTGGAATGTTCAGCCCAAGAAGTTCTGGGGAGAGCCAATTCCCAACTTCACTGGTACTCCCAAGGCCTACAAAGTCTACAACACCACTGTTTCTAAACTCCACGCATGGGAGCCTGTGACCAAGCAGAGAGTTTAAACAATTGATATTTAAAAGAAAAAATATAAAATAAAAATAAAAGGAAACAAACTGGAAGATATAATATAATATATTATACTATACTATACTCTATTTAAAACGCTCGTTAACATGAACATTACCAACCCACCAACAAATCAATCACCAACCAACCAACCAAACAACAACGAAAATAACAATATTAACAGCAACAGCAACAGTAACAGTAACAGTAACAGTAACAGTAACAGTAACAGTAACAGTAACAGTAACAGTAACAGTAACAGTAACAGTAACAGCAACAGTAACAGCAGAAAAATGAGTTCAAGCGAGACATATTTTTTTTTGTTAAAAATCGATGCATGCAAATCCAACAAAACAAACAAAGCAAACAAACAACAGAAAAATAGTGTATGAAAGTCATAGTAGCATTATTCTCTTGTTTGTTTGTTTTTCTTTTTGTTTTCTTTTTTTTTCTGGTTTATTGCTATTAAGTGAAACATTTGGGTGGACAAGTGAATGGGAGAGGTGGGTGATATTGAAGAGAGATTTAGCAAGCGCATCCGGGATCATTGTTCTGGTGTCCATTAGGTATATTGATCGTATCAGGGAAATCACTAGAGAAATAGAATAGAAGGTCAGGAAAACAATGACGGCAATAAAAACAATAGAAGCAAAAATAGGCTTTTTCTCCTTTAAAGAAATGCTCTCCCTTTTCCTATCTCTCTCTCTATCTTTTATTTTTATGCGTCTTACATGTCCACGTCTGTTTCTTGTGCCAGTGCGTTCCGTGCAATCGTTTGGAATGCCTGCTCGACGTTAATGGCTTCCTTGGCAGATGTCTCAAAGTAACTGTGTTGCAAAGTGGGATTTAATGGAATGGAATTGAGTTGAGTGAGTGAAGTGGGGCGAATGAGTTAGTGATGATACTTATATATATATTTGGGTAAAATATGTTCTGGTATAATTATGTGCGTATATCTGTATATGTATATGTATAATACTTACGGGACATTGTCCTTGGACTGACACCAAGCCATAGCTCTCTTTTGAGATACCTAATAATTATACATATTATAGATTAAAATATTATCATAATTTTCCTTTTCTTCTTATCACAAATTGCTTATGCCATACCATTCTCTTTGCCTCTTCTACATCAATCTTGTTGCCTAAAAGAACAAAGGGGAATCTATCGGGATCTCTGGGAGATGCCTGGATAAGGAATTCATCACGCCATTGGTCTAAAGGTATACACACACACACGTATATATATGGAAAGATAGAGATATATTAAAAATATAATAAGAGTAAAAAGGTTAGGAAGTAAGTCCTTGAATTGCATTTCAATTATACTCCGTCGAGTATGATATTTATTTATGGTTTTCTTACCCAACGATTCGAAACTCTTGCTGTTATTCACATCGCACACCAAGACGCAGCAGTCAGCACCACGATAAAAGGCAACACCCAAAGATTGGAATCGTTCCTGACCAGCTGTATCCCAAATCTATTTTATTTTTTTGGTTTTTTTAGGCAACACAATCAAGAAAAAGTCACTGGGCAAGCTCTGACCATGTTCTATATATACTAATTTAACCTTATTCTCACCTGCATAGTTACTAGGCGGTCGTCTACAAGTACTTCCTTTGTCAAGAAATCGGCACCAATAGTAGCCTTGTACTGGCTCGAGAACTTCTTATTGACGTACTGGTTCATCAGCGAAGTCTTTCCGACTCTATTGGGTTTGGAGAATAGGGGATTTTTTTTTTTAGTTTTTTAGTTTATTAAAAAAAAACCTGATACTTTTCGGGATTTTTTATACTCTTTTTCTCTATCTTACATTATTATTATTATTTTAAAAAAAAAAGAATATTAAATAAAATAGTAAAGTAAAATAAAAAGGTAGAGAAAGGGAGAAAGGGAGAAAGAGTTAGTTAATAGGTGGAATCTTACCCACTGTCGCCAAGAATGATGACCTGATAATATTAGGAAGAATAACAATAGGAATAGTAGTAGTAGTAGTGGTAGCAGCAGTAGTAGTAGTAGTAATAGCACCAAAGGGAAATGAGACAGGATGAGATTGCGATCGAGAGGTCAAGGCTGTTTGGTTTTATATTTTCTTTACCTTTAAGAGAACCTTTTTCCGGTTCGTAGACATGATGAATGGTGTTGAAGAGAGTTGTAACAAAGAAGGTATCGATTTTTTTTGCCCTCTATTTTGTGTGGTTGCTGACGTCTGTGACACACTGGCTGATCATGTGCTTTCTCACCATCAAGACCAAAAATAATAATGAGCCGTTTGCTCTACCTGCACCATGTATGCAGACACACACACTTTTTTTTTAATTGTATGACGTAGTAATAGAAAAGGATCAAATATAAAAAAAAATGAAATAGAAAGATAGAGGCAAAATCAAGGTTCAAAATTTTGTTCACTTATTGCTTTGTCTTGACTTGTAGTTTTCTTTATATATTTTCTATTGCTGGCTGTTGTTGCCTGAAACTATAATGTACAAACTTTACGGGGCTATTTATATTGTGCTCAGGGTTACTCTAAAAAGCAAATGTTGTACTGAAACGCCTTTACGGACCATGAAGTCAAGAAGAACAATGGGTCCCTCTGATCAAAATATAACATAATAAAATATAATAAAAAAATGAAGGGTTTACAATGGCAATTTTACTTTTACTTTTACTTTTACTTTTACTTTTACTTTTACTTGATATTTTTTTACACATATCACAATAAGTTTATTTGTTCTGTTCTGTTCTGTTCTGTTCTATTATGTTGTGTTGTATTTTATTGTATTATATTTGTAAATTTATGTATGTATGTATTATATATATATATCTTTTTTGATCGTCTTATTTGTACAAGCTTAGTATAGTTAATGTTCACCTCTACCACGACGACCGCGAGGTGCACGGGAAGGTCCACGGCCTCGCTCACTACCCCGTCCACGGCCTCTAGCTCCTCCTCTAGCTCGGCCTCCTCTACTCCCTCCACTAGCTCCTCTTCCTCCTCTTCCTCTTCCTCCTCGTGTGGGTGTTTCGTTTGAAGGTCTCTGAAAGGCTCTTGATCGCTGAATCTCTGCACCAGGGGGAGGTGTCTCATTGGGATTAAAGTTTACAGTTATCGAATGTGTCATTGTAGAAAATTCTCTCAATAATTTGACAAACATATCTGTGTATCGCTCAAGACTGGTTTGAAGAACCTCAGTTTTCTCTTTTCTCCCCTCGCATATACTCTTAAGATCTGCTTCCATCTTTTTATACAGAAAGCAAAAAAAAAAGTTTGATCGCTTAGTTGTTGTTGGATAAAGATGAGGTATTTACTTACCTCTCGCCTTAAATGTGGTTTGCTCAAGCTAGATTCGAATCCAATAGCATCATAGCCTAACACAAGTGATATTCCCAAGCTTGATGGACGGAAGTATTGGTTGACTTTGAAAGCATATTCTCTATCAAGGATCTTTTGAATATGCTCAGCAATGGTAGCATCTGTTCCGATTTCATGCTTTTCCATTAATGAAATAAGATCATACTCTGTCAATAAATTAGGTGCTTCTGTGGTGCCATCTCTGAGGTCAAGTACAGTGGGTGTGAAGCGCTCATGAAGGTCATATCGAGCCAATATATTACCACTCCATTTGTCATAAGTGTAAACATCCAGATAATTACGTTCAAGAATCATTAAACCTAAATAGAATGGAATCGATAGATGTTGATGTGTTTCAGAATACAAAACACTTAAACACACACACAAATAGTACAACAAAAACTAAAATTAAAACTAAAACTAAAACCAAATCTTGATTTGATTCTTTACCTTTTGCCCCAAACTCTTCGGTTTCAATAGATACTGTTATATTTGTCTCACTTCCCTGAGCGTCTCTCCAACAACAGCCCAAGAACCGGCGAACGATAAATTCATAAACCTTTTTGTGATCTCCACTAAGAGTGTTTGTGTAGGCTGTGGGGTGGATAGGTGGATGAGCCTTGTCGTTGTTAGACCCATTTCTCGGTCTTTCAAAGCTTTGTCCCATCAAACTGGATAAACAGATAAGCTTAAAAAGTAAATAAATGAATAAAATACAATAGAAGCTATCAAGTGGATAGGTACATAGGATAATAATATAGAAAATCGAATAAAACTATGGAAACCCAGAATTACTTACAGTCTCGCATATTGTCCCCATTGAGAGTCTTCGGTGTGTTGTTCAATAATGGGTTGGAATTCGAAAGTGGAATCGTACTGGTCGGTCTCTGTTCTCGGATAACTGATGTGGCCGGCCGTATAGAGTTCTTCTGCGATCTAGATTGATACCATCAATATATACACACACATATATATATATATATATACTTTAATATATCAACCGAGGCTTTACCTTCATGATGTGCTCACCAGACATACGAAGTATTTTACAAAGTGTTTTCTGCATTTCTACAGTCGTCAGAGGCAATGGTTTCCTAATAGGTATAACATACTTAGTTCTGCTTGGTGTGCAATATTTATTCTTACCGTTTAGAGACGTTTCTGGTGTCTAGTTTTGTGACCACTGCTACCGGATTGATAATACATCGTTCGTATATCGCATATGTCGCATGTCTATCAAACAAACGGTTTCTCTTCCAGTTGAATTGGGTCGTTTGTTCTTGCCCATTAGTTCCCTTGGTGTGTTGCATGTGAATTTTCCAAAAAATCTCTGGTATAAATCCCTGGATATCTAAATATCGATCAACCACAAATCCAAGCGTTGGGAATTGACAGCCACCTTAAATTACAATTTATAGGTATGTGCAAATATAGATATCAGATGATTATTTTTCCCTTTTACTATTATTATTATTATTATTATTATTATTATTTCAACCTACCAAAGCTCAATACTTTTCTATCGCCAACCATATGTCGCAATCTCATGGTCTGAATACGCGTAAAGGCAGCACCAATTCGTAGATCCAGTTCTGACCTCACGTTTACAGCATCAACTTGGCGCTGGTCAATCCTTGCAGGATTTTGTGCTGCACGTTGAATAGCTCTTTTTTATATGTATTTGATTTGATTTAATTTATTTTACACCAAATTTATTGTTGATATACTAAGTAAAGAAATAAAGAAAGAAAAAACAGTTCCAAACCAAACAAATAATCCTCACTTACGCTGGTTGCATAGCAGAAAAACGTGCTCTCCAGATCTCCAGGTGTGAATTGACTGACAAACACACATCCGCAACTTCTCCTCCAATAGCTTCTCCCTCTCTATCACAATCTGTCCAAATATACACTACGCTTGCCGAGCGAGCAAGTATCTTAAGATTCTTCTCGATTCCAGAATAGTCCTAATGATAATACCAGCAACAACAACAACAAGTTGTAAAGATGTTTATTATTATTATCATCTATAAAGGTTATAGCTTTTTAAATAATAAAATATTACTGCGCTCAGTAATAAATAAAATAATAGACTACCTCTGCTACATTCTGGCTAATTGGATATTTAAATAGTGCGATTGGCTCACAGGAATACCATTCCTTATTGGCTTTACCCGCAAAGGCAAACTCTGATAGATGACCTCTGACCGAAGTCATGATCACTTTGGCTGGACGATTGTCAAAGCTATATTCAAATTCATAATTCTTCACATAACGATCATCGGTTGGGCTCTAACGCTGATCATTAGTTCTTTTTGTTATATTATAATTCAGGTACTGAACTTTCAGTACATAATTTTACACACCGTTCGAAAGTTATTGTTTGACAGAATGCCAGCAATGGCCTTTGCAGCACTTGGTTTTTCTGCCACACAAATGATCTTTCTCATCGTCCAAAAAAATAAATAGTGGGTAATATATATATATATATATGGTAAAATAAAATAAAAACGTATCAAGTTGAGTAGAAAGTGACGTTTTGATTTCAGGACCAGCTTAACTTTTATACACCCTTAACCTGTCTTCTCAAAAGGCAAGTTCCCTGACCTTTCTTTCTTTCTTTTTAATTTTTTGCATCTCTTTTTCCCTTATTCATTCATTCATTCATTCATTGAACTTCTAAATGGCACGCGATGAAGGCATACCGATGGGCCGCAGGGATGAGGACAGCAAGGCTTTCCTTCCCGGTCCTGCCACACAGCGCAAAAACGACAAGAATCACCCAGTGTCTTTGATCATCGCCGTAGTATCTTTTTACTTTGTGATTTCGCTCTCGGTTGTCTTCCTCAATAAGATCATCATGACCGGTTCAGACTTTCCTTACGCACTCTTTGTCACATGGTACCAGCTGGTAGTTGCCCTGGTTTTGCTTCTCATTTGGGCTCATCTCGGTAAAAGGTAAAGTTTTATTGAATCGAGTATATATATATATGTGTGTGTGTGACAAAGAGAAAGAGAGAGATAATTATTTGGTGGCTGATAATATTTATCCCAAATAGCCACAAGGCCTTTAGCATCATTCCTCCTTATGAATTCGATCTCGGTATTGCCAAAAAAGTGGCTCCCCTGACCTTTGTTTACGTTATGATGCTTGCCCTTAACAATCTCTGTCTCCGATACGTTGAGGTTACCTTTTATCAGGTATGCAGGTGGCTCACGCTGTCTAGTAATCTTCTTAGTGAGAACGCGGAGATGGGACTGACTGACTGACTGACTGACTGACTGGCTGGCTGATGTGTTTAAAATTCTGTTATTTTAAGGTTGCACGTTCATTGTCGATCAATTTTACCATTATCTTTACCTATCTTATTTTGCGTAAAGCAACCTCTTTCCCTGCCTTAGTGGCTTGTGGTATCGTATTCATGGGATTTGCCATTGGCTCATATGGAGAGATTAACTTCTCGTGGGCTGGTATCTTTTACGGTGTTGGATCCTCAGCCTTTGTGGCACTCTATGGAATTTATGTCCAAAAGACATTGGCCGCTGTAGACAACAACCAATGGTAAGTAAAGGCTGTAATATTATCTACTATTCGCTTTTCTTTTAAGAAAAATATAATTACAAAGGGCTAAGATTATACTGTTTATATATGTGTGTGCGTTTTTTTTAGGAAATTGCTTCATTACAATACAACCCTCGCCATCCTCTTCCTTTTCCCTCTCGTTTTATTCTCGGGTGAATTGGCGGAGATCTTGAGTAGCTCGGAGGCGATCTACAGCACCAATTTCTGGATTCTTATGGTAATTATTATTGACGTTTGACGGAGATAATGAATACAACCATATATATACACATATACATATATATAACTCACACGCACACTTGTAACTATATTCAAATAGACAATTACAGGCGTTACTGGTTTTGGTATCAATATCGCTATGTTCTTGCAGGTCAAGTACACATCTGCTCTTACCAATACAATCTGTGGCACAGCAAAGGCTTGTGTCCAGACTGTTCTCGCTGCCATGATTTTCAAGAATGAGGTTTCGAGCTTGGTAAGTTATATATATTTGGTTAAATTGGATTGGATTGAATTGGCTTTGAGCTGTATTAGACTGGCTGAATGTGTGTATATCTAATTTTTTGGAGACGGTTCGGGAACTAACTCATTTAACTTGTCCTACTAGAACGCTCTTGGTATCGCACTCGCCCTGTTCGGCTCCGGCTATTACGGCTGGGTCCGATACAAGGAAAGACAGGCTAAATAAGAAGTATTCCACCCACACACATTCTTCTTTTATACTATTATCATATTTTTTTTCTTTTATTATAGAATTTTTTTTTATTACTATTTTTTAAATGCGTTTGTCTATTATTTGTATTATAAAAATATTTAACTCAAAAGGATTATGTCTTATTATTTTTTTGGTTTATTATTATCATTATTATCATCATATATCTATAGAAAATATAGAGAAGTTTTGGCTTGACTGTAATCAAGACACCTGTTTATTGATACCTGTTTGATACCTTATTGTATTTAGTTTTATTGACTCAATTGAGTTTTAGTAAAATGATCAAAACTGAACTTGTGAAAGATGAATATAATGTCTATGTGCGTGTGTTTGCGCGCGAATGAATCGTAGAAGTAGAAAGAAATATTTACTGGAGCTTCTTTCTAAAAAAATTGTATAGCTTGAGTTTTCTACAGATGACTCGTATATTAGCTGAGAACAATAAATGTTGAATGTGTTGAAATTTACTAATTGATGTATTATAAAGATTTATAGTCTTATTTTAATCTCTAGTAAAAATACGCTGGCCAGAGTGCCTGAGTGAACATTGACATCTTCGGCTCTTGTGCTTTCCAATTCAAACGATTCTTTAGGAATTAATTGGCACTGAAGTGACCATTTATCTAACAGATACTGTATACTACGCTTTGCGCTACAGTGCAATCACAACACAACACGATATAGTAAAGCACAGTAAAAGTACATTAGAATGCCTATCGATAACGCTGAGCAGACTCACAAATATATTACCTTCGTTCCTGATACGCAGTAATGAACACACAATTCTTATTGTGTCGATGAATTACATGAGACACCAACATAATCAATTTTTCAAAATCTAGATTTCATCCTCTAAGTAAGTAACACACCCCAACTTTTCTTTCTCATTTTTATTTTAGATTGTATATGTATATATTTAACATTACCTGCAGGATCATAGAAAGTATCACTACCAAGTATATAATCAATGGTATCCCAGGAACAGCTTACTTCTTCGGTCAACTGATCTATTCCATTCAATCCAAGTTCTCCCCAGACCAAAGGACGCACCCAGAGTTGATCTTCAGATGGTTTTATTTTGTTCAAAGCAAGACAATCTTGAATAACTGGCAAGAGTTCAGGAAGATCCGAAAGTATTAAACGAGGAGGCGAGGTTATCTTGGCCAAAATAAGTGAAGGCAAAGATGTACCAGCCCCGACCTAACATACAACAAAAGAAGAACAAAAGTCTTGTGAATATGATTGTAGACTCATATATAGCTTTAACTACAAAAAGCTTCACCTCTAATACAGTGCGATTAGCAAATTTATGACGCTGATTCCACACATAATCTCCCATTATAATCGCTGATGGCCACACATAACAACCATAAGCTGGATCCAGTACCTTGTTAAAACGATCCATGTCAGTAAATCAACTACGAATGACTTTTTTCTTCTTCTTTTTTTTGGGTACGTATACCTCTTGAATGAAAACTGTCATGACATCCTTTCCCTTATCCTTGTATGTGACTCTCTTGATGCTAATTGTCATTAGCCTCAACTCATTTATTCTAATTACTACCTCTTCTTCTTATCCTTATTCTCATCCATCAGTTATCCAACAAACAGTGGCTTTTTTTGTTTTTGTTTTGGGATTTGGTTTATTTTTTTTATAGTTTTTATTATTATAAAGAATTTCGATAAGAAACTGAAACTGAAACTCAATGGCCATTGCATTACCAGATGATGCTCAGAGACCTTGACATTTTTATATTTACACTTAAGCTGGTTCATAATCTTATTTTCGGTTTTTCGTTTTTGTTTACTTCTTGTCGTGTTCGTGGAAGACATCGTTTGATTTACCAAACATAAAGACTGGGTCACAGGTGCGTACGCGGTTCTTGCGACCGATATCGGTGATCTTTTCGATATCTTCGGGATCCATCTTAAAGTACTCGAGGTTGGCCTGGATGCGCTCAGGAGTTACAGACTTGGGGATGACTGCGTAGCCACGGTTAACGCCCCAGTTGATCATGACCTGCACAGGAGACTTGTTGTACTTCTTGGCGATTTCCAAAATAACTGGCTCTTCGAGGGTCTTGATCTGACCACCCTGAGGGAATCCAGGGCTACCCAGAGGAGAAAAGGCTGTGACGAGAATGTTCTTGGACTTGCAGTAAGCAAGCATCTCTTCCTGTGGCATGTTGGGGTGGACTTCAACCTGGTTGATGGCAGGAGGAATCTCACACTTGCTCAAGAGATCCTCGAGCATGGGGATTGTGAAGTTGGACACACCAATCGAACGCACCAAACCATCCTTTACCAACTTTTCCATCTCGCGCCAGGTGTCGATAACTGGTACGTCGATACACTTGATGTCGTTGCTTTCATCACGGACCTTGATCGACTTGAAATCGTAGCCCTTGAACTCCCAAGCCATAGGCCAGTGCATCATATAGACATCGAGGTATTTAAAGTCGAGGTACTTGAGTGAGAGCTCGCAGGCAGGTCGTACATGCTTGGGCTCGTGGAATGTCTGCCACAACTTTGTGGTCATGAAGATCTCCTCACGGGGAACACCGCTCTCTTTGACAGCCTTGCCCAAAGCCTCTTCGGTTTCGTCTATAGTGATTTATTATCATTATCATTATTAGTAAAAGAAAATCTCTATTTTTGTTTTACTAAATTGTGTTGGGAATGTTGGGTGGCTTACAGTAGAATGCGGTGTCAATGTGGCGGTATCCAACCTTCAATGCAACCTTTGTAGCCTTGTACACGGCATCGGGTGCATCTGCACCACCAAAGGTGCCAAAGCCAATGAGAGGGATTGTGTAGCCGCTGTTAAGCTATTATTGATGGGTGAGTATTGATTGTATTATGTGTATGCTGCCTAGTAAATGCGCACCTTGTATGTAGGGACGGGAGGAGTCATTTATTGTGTATGTTGTGTATTGAGAATACTTTTTGAGTGAAAAAGATTAATTTCGGATCTTTGCAGCTGTTATATATATGTCCTTGTCGCATGAATAAAAAGACCCGTTGTACAATCATCTATGACGTATTGAATGCGGACTCGGGCCTCTTTAACTATCGACTAAAGTCCGCGGCCAACTCGCCAGAAATATTTTGATTTATTGATTGTTGACTAGATAGATATTAGATGCTATAAAAGAAAAAATATACATGCCATTTAGACTGTTATTTGGATACTGAATATTGATATTCTTCTTCTTCTTCTTGTAAGTTACCTGTCTGGCTTGTTCCATATATCATGAAATTTACTAATAACATTACTATTACTATTATTATTATTATTATTATTTAATAATAGAATAAAACAGAATAATTAAAAGAAATATTGATAACATGTGTATCTTGATAGATCGATATCCGGTTTTGTTTGCCTACTTCTGTATGTCTGTGTCTGTGTCTGTGTCTGTGTCTGTGTCTGTGTCTGTGTCTGTCTGTGTTCTTCATTTAAAGCAGTCTAAATCGATAACCACTGTAAAGATGATGGTTGATAAGGTCGCCGATTCAAATGACGTGTGGGTAACTCTTTTGATCGATGGAAAGGAGGTCAATGAATCATTGGGTTGCAAAAAAAAGAATCCCAAACCATGGCACAAAATTAAGTCTAATTCAGGAAACCATCGTTCAAAGCCATAAATCAATTCAATCAATCGATCAATATGTACGTATGAATTTAAAAGTATTGGTGTGCCTAGGTATTAAGTTGTAAGTACAGGCACAAACACAACAATGACATATCAAATCAAGGGACCAAGCAAAGTTTATCTGGATCATGATATGCTTTATTGTTGGAGATGGTCTTGATATGGGCTAGTTTGAGCCTAGTTGCCAAATAGACGAATTTCATCATAGACTAAGCTTGAAACATCAAATGAGGATGATCAGTCTTTCATCAGTCTTAATTCTCTTGAATTTTTTCCTCTTATCTTATTATCTTATTATCTTATTATCAGTTAAATAAGGTAGAATTTCAATGGGATATTTTGCAGAAAATTCAGGTCAAACAAGAAAAAAAAAGTGGCTGATGAAATCTTAATACAGTGTTTCTACTTGACCCATTTGCTTTAATTTACACACTTTCACTATTACTCGATCCTGTGTATTATATTTGAACTTGTCCTACTTGTAATAAATTGATATCTAATTACTGTAGATATGCACTACATGCTAAAAATAAGAAGAAGAAGAAAACGAAAGCAATGGTATCTACTGCAGTCTATCCTCAGTAAAATATATCAATGCAAAAAGAAATGGCTTTTAAACATATACCCTTATGAAAATCCTACATATCTATCTATATTGATTAAATAAATTAATGAATCTCAAAGTAGAATCTTGAAGATATATGAGTATGTCTGTATTTGACCTGCTTTATATTATTAAACCTTTTTCTTCCTCAAGAACATATATATATATATATTATAATTAAGCACAAAATTTGCTTTATCTAGCACAAAATGAGCTTATATGATTACTATTATTGTTGTTATTTTAATAGAGTCTTCATTTGATATAAGTGTAAAAGAGTCTTTCCTTTTGATTTACACACAAGCGCGTGCGTTATTCTTATTCTTATTTCAAGTCGCGCCAAGCTTGTATATATTCAACCATCGATCGTACCACAATAATTCACGATTACTTGATTATCTGTCTACACTTTTATTTTTTCAATATAGCCAGGCTTAACCAAGAGTCGTTATTAACAATTACTATTAAGCAGTTTCAAGTCACATGCTTTATGACTACTCTCTTGTGCACCAAAAAAATGAAGAAGTAAGTAAGTTTTGTACATGCGTAGTAATAAAATACAAAAGACGTGGGTAAAATAAATAAATAGACAGGGAAAAAAGAAAGGGAAAAAAGATGAAAAATGACAACTCAATTGTGTGACTTAATAATTCTCAGTCTTGAATACCAACGGGCCCAAAAGGCGGCATAACCTACAACGCGTTATTTCAACTACACTCGCCCTATCTCACACACTCATATTCACAAAAAAAAGTACTCAAACTCATGACTGTATCTGCCAGCAAGGATGTTATACGCTGCGCAAAGCAGATATATAACCATCTAGGGTTGCGCCACCGTATCAGTCTTCTCTCAAACCAAGACTCCCAACCACAAGAAGTCATTCAGCTGGAGACCCTGCATTCAATAGATCAACAAAGCTTAAATAGCGTTGTCAAGGCATTCTTACAATGGTCCCCTCCAGAAGGTGTAAAGAAGACAATTCAGGATCTCATTGCTAGAGTTGAAGACGCAATTGTGGAATTATGTGGTGGTAAAGGTGTCTGCATCCTTTTATTAGGTTGATAGCTTTGACGTTTTTGCTTTTTTTGTAGCACCGGACGATGAACTTTTAAGCGATGATCCTTTAGACCATGACATACAACAAGACGATGACATACTATTAGACGATGACATGCTACTAGACGATGCCATGCTACTGGACGATGAAATACTATTAGACGATGCTCTAATAGAAGATGAGCCTCTAGAAGATGATCTATTTGATGGTCTCTTTGGCAAAATCGAATTTGATAGTATTTTTGACGACGAATTTGATATGCCAACCACGCCATCCCAGCAAGCTCAGTGTACTGTTAAAAGAGCTCTCCCGGATAAAAAGATCCCTGAAGCCAAGAAGAGCCGAAAGGAGTCAGCATTCCATCCCCATCCTCCCCCTTCCCCCCCACGACTATTTCACGACGAAGACGATATGCAATCACCTCCAGAATCTACACCACCACTTTCACCTTTTAGTGATGCATGCAGCCTAGAGACCAACACGGCAGAAAATACAATATGTAGCTTAAGCAACAGTTCAAGATGCTTTGATAACGTTCCATGGCTCATCCAGTTCGAGATTGCTCGTTTCCTCTACCAATACCGCTTGAAGATGAAAGATTTGACATTTGAAGCCCTCCAAAAGTTCTTTGCTGTAATCAAGGTCGATCCACGTCAACTCTATCAAGTCATGCTGTCGTGGTATAATACCAAGCAAGGCAAATCACCAACAGACCACTCCTCGTATGCCCTGATGGAGAGTTGCTCTGATCAGGTGTGGAATCATCTGGAGAGTAATACAAAGAACAGAATGATACATTACGGTGCTATTGTAAAGCTCTCGACCACCGAACCCCCAAAGATGCTCCTCAGAGCACCGACCGTTGGTGCTTCTAACCGATTCTTTCGTAAATATGGCCAAGATCGCTTTTTGGAAATGAAATTGAGCAAACATTCCGATCCATCCCTCATTCAGCAGCAAAAGGAGTTTTTCCTAAAGCCGTTTATAGTAATGGGCCGTACATTTGAGTTCCTGTTTATCAAAGACAATACATTGATTCTGTTTGCTACCAAAGGTCCAAAGCTTGAGGAAATACCTATCTTCCAAGTCATCCGATGGCATATTCCAATAGAGGAGAACTACAAAATGCCACTAAACAAATTCGCTAGTCGTATGACACTTGGATACAGTAATAGTATCCCGACCCTTTTGTTCTCCAAAGAAAGTATTCGCTACGTGGATGACATATATTCTGATAAAAATGGTGAAGAGGAAACTTGTATGACAGACGGCTGTGGTATTATCTCATGTGCAGCTATGCGGAAAATCATGCAACTAGAAGGCAAAGACGACGTTCCGTGCGCGATCCAAGGTCGTATTGCAGGTGCAAAGGGCATTTGGATCTTATCTCCTGAGCTAGACTTTACTTCTGGTGAATGGATCGAAATCAGAAAGTCTCAAAATAAATTTAAAACCGGCGTGCTTCAAAAGGACGCCAGCATTGACCCCTTGCACTATACCTTTGATCTGGTCAAACGTTCTGTTTGCGTTTATCCCGCCAGTCTGAACACCCAGTTTATCCAGTGTCTTTCTTCAGGTGGCGTACCCACCGAGGTTTTTGTTGTCTTACTCCAAGATTACCTGCATCGCCTTTCGTCCGTAATTACAGGCAGCAAGGATATCAAATTACTTCGTGATTGGGTTGTCAAGGAGGGAAATCTGATGAGAACTCGACTTGATGCAGATATCGTGGAAAAGGGGTTGTGGGTTGAAAGGGCAAAAGAAGAAGATACATATGTTGAATGGGACACAGAAGATACAGATGACGTTGTAAATATCAGCCCCCTCGAAACACAATGGAGAATAAACAAATACTCTGGATTTCCAGCCATGTCGCACGAAGCAATCGTACGTCTTATTGACTCTGGATTCGACTTGACAAACAAATTCGTGGCCGGAAGGGTAACTCAAGTCTTCCGTGATGCCATGCGAAACTTGACAACGAAATACAAAATTGAAATCCAGCAATCATGTATGGCAACCTGTATTCCTGATCCCAGTGGGACTCTAAAAGAAGGCGAAATATTTATACAGCTGTCTAGTCGACGCGTTGAGGAACTGACGGGTATCAAGGCAGGAGTTATTACCGGAGATGTGGTCGTGACCCGCAATCCATGTGGTCTTCAAAGTGATGTACAAAAGGTTGTTGCTGTTGACTGTCCGGCCTTGCAGATATATACAGATTTAATTGTATTTTCTATTAAAGGAGAAAGATCGTTAGCAAGTATGCTAGGTGGTGGCGACTATGATGGTGATATTGTAAGTGAATAATTTAAATTAAATTTATAAATTTATAAGTTAGAATTTTATTATTACTATTGTCCTTTTAAAGTCTGGCTTTTCTATATATGAACTATAATAATAAAATACAATATTCGGATAGGTATTTTGTTGTTGGGATCAACGTGTGGTTGAGCCGTTTAAATCTTCTCCTGTGCCTCCTATACCTATCAGAATGAAGGGTACCTTTGTTCAAAACAACACACCCGTAAGAGCACTCTTGAGTCACACGAGAGATCCTGTAAAACATGGAACCATATTTCAAAAGCACTTCATATCCATTTCTTCCCCTGATTCTATTCTCGGTACCTATGAGAACTGGCGAACAGTAATGGCAGAAGTAAAATCTCTCGAGGATAAGAATGTAATCTACCTAGCCCTCATGTGTGCCAAACTTGTGGATGCGTCTAAGCAAGGTCTTACCATCAAAGACGAGGTACTGAAACGCGATCAAATTGAATTCCAAAGTTTAAAGAAGCCACGGTGGTTTCTCGACAAACGAAATAAGATGAGGTACAAGGATTTTGTGGTGGGAGAATCAGAAGGCACGGGAAAAGGCCAGCATAGACCACAGACAACTATGGACCACTTGTTTGTCACCTTACTCAAAGAAACTGATACGTTTGAGAAGCACACCAAAGGCTTGACGACGAACAATAAGTCTTCTTTGATTGACTCTGACTTGGCTGAATATTGGACAAATATGTATAATACGGCCAAGAAAAATGATGACACCAATCTTCTGGAGGATCTTGAGTTTATCAAGAAGAAAATTGATGAGTGTGTGGACGCGTATAACAAACACTGTAAGCAAATACGAGTGAGACGATATGGAAGAGTAAAAAAGTCTGCGCCTGTGAATGATGAAGAAAAGTTCAGTACGACTTTTGACTTGGAGGAACATTTTTCCAGTATATACCATGGAATCACGTCAACAAAGTCTCAAGTCTTAAGATACGATGCTAGATTCAATGGTGGGCAGATTATGGGGGCGATTAAGGCTAGCTATGCTTACATCTGTACAATCGATAATGGCAAATTCTCAAACTACTGTTATGTGGTCGCATTTGATGAAATCCGTCGACTGAAGGCAGACGCATCAACAAGACCTTTCAAGGAAAACGGTCTTTCCGAAAGTATGTCTCCTGAACTGTACATAGCTATGAACGTAGATCGTTCATGGATGAGACGCCTTAATGCAAGCATTATGGCTAAAGAAATGGAAAAGGCAAAAAATAATAAGTCGAAAGCATTAGATACGTCGTCTAAACTTGGCGCAAGAGCATGATCTAGCAATTAGTATTAGTGCTAGTGTTAAAATTAAGGATAGTGATAGCAATCATAAGTATAATAAGATGGTTACCTTTAAATATCTCAAAAGAAACAAAATATCCATGCAGAATACAAAGAATGTCTTGTTATCAAGTATGTTACTATGCAGTTATAAATAATTAATAAATGATACGAGCGCAGTAAAAAATAAAATAAAATATATTAAAAATAACGAAATTCTAGTTGTCATATTAACAAGAATTATATGGAAATCTTTCTGGAATTCTATATTAAAGAATACGGATACTTGGATTTCTAGTAATTTCAAAGCAGCTTTTGATAAAGGTGTATATATAACACGTAACTTTTATGTTTATTATAAAAGTGATTTGGCTTGATTTAATTCCACTAGATCTTTATGAGTTATTAATACAGTGCATATTATCCTTTATCATTTTAAGTCTGATTTAAAAAATATGCTTAAAGTTTTCTTTTGTTCCATTTACACTGCAGCTTTTTATAATACATCAATATGCATTTATAAATGTCATATCAGGACCTAAGACTTGGTTCTCATTTTTATTTTTTATTTACTGTTACTGCTAGTAGTGGTATATTGGAATACTTCAAGGTACTATAATTACTCCAGATTGAGTAAGAAGCAGAAAGGATAGAGATAAACACGTCTTATGTAAATACTATTGAATTTCTTTATCTTTTTAACAAAAAAAGAAGAGCAAATGCCTAAAAAGGTGCACATTTGTAAATTTTTACACTCTAAATTTTATTATAAGCTACCTCGACCAAAATAATCGGTCACTAGTATTTTCCAGTGAAGCAACAGAGCTCTTAGAGCTGATACTTTATCTCTTACACGTATCCTACGCGTCACGACCGCAGCCAAGTAGACGCCTAATTGATAAACGCATACTTTTAGAAATCTTCAGGAGCGACGTATGGCGCGGTTTTAACTTGGAAATATTTTTGATACTTATTGGTTAAAATCTGCAAATTAAATCAAGTGAAAAAAAAAGGAAAAGCAATTTGATTCGCTGATAAAAAAATAAAAAAAAATATTGTGAAACACAAGCTGTATTTCTATTTTGTATACTTGTACAACTTTCTGTGACGTGCTTATCATACAGCAGTCATAGAAGTGACTTGTATCGCTTGTTAATTTTTTTGGGATTTTGAGAGAGTGAAAAGGTATAAATAGAGGTTCTTCCCATGTCCCTCCTTTTTCCACATTCTTGTGCTAGGGCATAACCACGCGCGTGAGGTTTCTACCGATGCTGGTTTATTGCTGGTTGAAAACTACAACCAATACCCGTCTGCGGTACCTTCGGGTGCAGCAGCAATTTTTGGCAGTCTCGTGAGAGACTCTATCCCACAATCAAAAAACAAAAATGAAAATAATAAATGCTTATGATAAATATAGTGTTTAAGTAATTTTTTTCTGGCAATTAATAATGCAAAAATTAAAATTGATTTTGTACAAAAATCGTATGCACTAAATGCACCAAAAAAGGGAAATTAAGCATAGAAATGGTAGAAATTTGCACCAAATTTTACATTTATTTTTGTACCAACAATTTTCGGAAAAGAGTACACCTTTCATATTTTTTTTTAAGAAATACGTTTTAAAAGTGTCTGACTTCTGTACACGTTTGTATGTTGTGCATTATAAAACTCTAAATATTTGGTGTGGACAGACTAAAAGTTCAAAAAAAGGGCAAGAAAAGGGTAAAACAAGTCCATCTTGAACTTAGCCAATCAGCTTTAATTATGATTGTCCACACCTTTTTTTTTAAAAAAGTTCAAAATTAGTTCAAAATACATATTAGGTAATGCTATGCTCATAATGCTGTCACTGTCAGTAAGCATAGTCAATGCTTCATATTCAAATATATCAACATAAAGAAGTCTGTTTTGTTGTGGATAAAGACGAATTTGTTTATATTATCCAATTACAACTCTTCAGAATCTTTCACTGCTTGAATCTGTATCTGCATATCGTCAAAGCATACGTATGCAAACGATATCCCCTGTCTCTAAAAGTCCTCCCCATCAATACAAGAACTCTTAACAATTCTCATCAATAAAAATCATTCTTCTTGAGCTCAAACCTCTCTCCATCTCATAATCTAATTATCTACACCACTTTTTTTACAAATCCATTTATTACAGGTATAACATTTTAGCCAAAATAGCTTGTCAGTATATATTACTCATAAAGTTATAAATAATAATCAATACTCATCTACCTTCATTTTAACTCCATCCTTTTCGTCTTTTTTTTTTATAAAAAAAATTATCTTCTTGTATCGCCTGTACCTTACATTAAACTATTGTAATAAAAGTATGTCCACCCCCAGCGCTATTGAGTTCGTTTCTCATCAGGAAGATGACAATCAGTCACATTCCTGGATGAAGCCAGATGGTGGTAAAGATGGGTTGTCATCGATTGATCGGCTGCAGTACTTTCTGCTGAAAGACGACGCAGACAATCTGAGGAAGTACCTTGGTGGCTTCAAGAACGGGAAGAAGGTCAAGGTCAGCAAGACCAGAGTGATCAACGACTGCTGCCAGTATTTTGACAAGCAGGGTGTGAAGCGCACCAGCTCTCAAATAAAAAGCAAGCTGACGTATTTGATAACCAAGCAATATCCTATTGCATTCAAAGCCTGGGAAGACAGCACAATGAGAATTAGCGAAGAAGAAATGTCTCAACGTGAAAAAGATGAGCTTGAAGGTATGAATATTGTTACGTATAAGTTAAAACAAACATCTAAACAATTTAAATTATTTTTTATAAGTATATCTTAATGATATATGCCCAAACTTCACGCAGATGAGAAAAGTACTTGGTGAAAGTAAGGCAAAGTCACCTGCTGTATGTAATACAACAACGCCCTTGGACTTAAACAAAGCCCAAGACATGAGCAAGGATGAAGACGGTGAAGACGGTGAAAATGATGGAGGTGACGAAGCCAGTGAGAGCAGCAAAAGCTGCAAAGACCAAGAAGAACAGGGAGCTGATGTCAGCAATGAGATCAGTTCTCAGAGAGAGGCCATTGTCCAAAGCAATAGTGAAAGCAGCACCTCCGAGCACTCTGACGCCAGTGCGTACAGTGGCAAAAGACGCCCTAAATTCTTTGGCAAGATTGTGAAGAACACGGCAAAAAGATCAGTCAAGAGCATAGAGGATATTGGGCATGGTATAAAAGAGTTCAATGATGCCCGGATATCGCTCTTAGAATCAAAGTACGAGGAAGAGCTCAAGAACCAGAAGGAGAAGCTGCAAAAAGAGCTTCAATGCGAGCAGCGGGTAAAAGGAGTGATCCTTATGGCAAAAACATTTGACTGGTCTGAGGAGAAGACTAAGAATGAATTAGAAGAGGTGTATAATCAATACCTTAATTAATAAATTGTATTTCTTCTATTTATACTATGCGTTTAATTTATATATATATTTATATACAAATTCTCAGAACTAATGTTATTTTATTTAAAAAAATGTAAAGGCATGTAGACTATATAAAAATACTATCATTAAAGCAGGCAAAATTGATCTTCTACTTACGTCTTCAAAATAGTTTGATAATAAAATATTAAAGAAAGAGAAGAACATAAATAATGACAAAATATCTATTTAATTACAGCTGTCAAATGCCGAAAAGTGAGATCTATCTAATAGATATAAAAGCTAATACTTCTGTTTTTTTTAATGTATTTAGAATGATCAAAGTTTATTTTCTTTATTCAAGAAGATTTATTCTTCTCTTTTGACATAACAACACGTTGTGTCTGGATCCACCTTGTATTTCCGTCTATATTCTGGGATCCATCTACTACACCAGACTCCTCTGAATATCCTGTCTTCCGCAGGCGTTCAACTTCAGCTTTCTCTCTATCTTCCCATCGACGCTTGGCTTCCTGAGACCATTTGTCGTCATCTTGACACATCAGGAAATTGTTCAAGGCTACGCAAACCCGAATCCATGCGTTAACCTTTACAACGTCTTCCTTTCTTTTTATCCTTACAGGGATTGATTTGAGAGAGTAGAATCTCTCTTTTAAGATTCCAAATGCATGCTCAATTTTTACTCGCATGCTCGAGATCTTGGTGTTGAACTCTTGGTCTGCTAACGAGAGTTCACTGTTTCTTGGCTTCTTTTTGATTGGAACAATATAGTTCGTAGCCTTGTACCCCGCGTCTGCCAACACATACTCGTCATCAGAAAAGAATCGCTCTGGGAATTTTCCAAGCTCACACTCAGACAAAGTACGCATATCATGCGAACTTCCAAAGAAACCGGTTGACATGTATCGGATTATGCGTCTATGATCACACACTGCGACACTGTTTACACAGTAAGCGGATCTGCGACCGAAAAACTGCTCTGGCTTCCACGATGGTGCTTTTGCCAGCTTAAATAAGCATCCATCAAGAAATCCAACAAGGTTTGGAAATCCTAATGAATATTCATTTGCTCGTTTTATCTCTGCTTTCTCAGATTCGGTTGGCCAATAAACGAACTTGTGCTCTAAAGAGAGAATTACTTTGAAGAATCTGGTTGTTATATTCTCGATAGAGCCCTCTATTTGTTTTTATTGTAGGAAACAGGTGAATAAATTTGCTTTTGTATATGTGGGTAAACAGTCGTAGACTATTATCCTGAGTTACTTACTTCCTATTCCAGAACGTCTTGCCAAATGGCCACTTGACGAAGAATTACCATTTGATCCTAATCGGTCAAGAACAATGGAAATCTGTAGTCTAACATCGATCGAGTAAAATCCTGACAATTGTTGGTAAAGCTCGTGGTTTTTTACAAGATCATACAGCTTATAAAAAGAGCTCTTGCTCATTCGAAACTCTTCCAGGAAGCCGCTTTCATCCAAGGCAAGCAGAAAATTCAATCTTTCTTTTTGAGTTACAAGTTTCTTGGTCTTGTTTTGCCCTTTGAAAAAATAGCGTCCTTTGCTGATTTTGTCTTGGACCTTCGTAACCATCAATTTCTCCTGTTGTAGCTTTAATTTGCATATGCTTGCAAAATCTTTGTACGTGTCATGATCTTCCTCACAAGCAATGACATTAGAGTCGGACAACATCTTGATCATCTTCTTCAACGTGTGTTGAGTGATAGCTGCAGATGCATCCAAAGTTGATTTTGCGAGTATATTTATTGGAGTATGCGGCATTTTTTTAAGATAATAAGTAAAAGAGTAATATATTTCTCACTTTTATACACGCTAGTATTTAATTATAGTAAGTATATATGCTTTAAATTGTCGTTTGCTATTTAAGTGTAATGCAACTAGAAGGGATGCATGATATTATCATGCAAGTAGTATCAGACGAAAACTGGCCAATCATAGCCGTTGATTAATTTTGCCCTTTTTTTGCCCTTTTTTTGAACCTTCAAAAAAAAGGGCAAAAAAAGGGCAAAATTAATTAAAACTCTCATCCAATAAAATGGCCTAAATTTTTGCCCTTTTTTTGCCCTTTTTTTGAACTTTTAGTCTGTCCACACCAATTGTGTGCTAAATGTTTATATGTATGAAGAAAGGTGAAGATGTGTAAGAAAAAGTCATAAATAAACTTAAAGTACGAGACAAATTGCAGTTTCCAAATCATAAATAGTGTTTTAAATGCACACAGGCTTTTGTAGTTTTATTATTATTATTATTATTAATTTTTTCTTTTCTTTTTTTTTTTAAAAAATTATTATTTTTATTACTCAAGCAGAGTCGTTGTGAGAAGCATTGTGTTTACTCATCTCTGCTAAATGTGCCTCTTTTAATGCCAACTCCTTTTTCAAGCTCTCAATTGATGTCTCAAATCGTTTCTAAAAGCAAACACATAGATTTATTTTATAAGTTTAATTACTTTTAGCCATCGAATAGTAATTACCTTGAGCATGGCGTTTGGTGCTGTTAGCAGATCTCTCATCTTTCGTTGAATTGCCTGCTTAATTTCGGCAATCTCTTGTCGTTTTTGTTCTACGATGGATATGTGTGAGTATATAATCCAAACACGCACATTTATTATTACTATTATTACAAAAGATACTAATGTACGTACCAATCTCTCCTGTCTTGCCTCCCTCATCTTCGTCTTCCTCTTCACTATCCTCCTCCTCATCGTCGTCATTGTCCTCATCGTCATCGTCATCGTCATCGTTATCTTCTTCTTCTAATTCCTCCAACCCTCTGTCGATAGCCGCTGCAAGATCCTCATCGCTCTCACTCTCGGCATCGCTCATATCAATATCAATATCTTGAGTGCCTGCATCAGATTCCAATTCCATTTCCATCTCACGGTTATCGACCACCTCTATTAGAAGATATATCCATAAAGATAAAAACAAAATGAGATTAATAGTATTTAGGATTTTTGATAAGATCTTACCATACTGAACATCTTCTGCAGTGGCATCTACTTCGAGCAATCTTTCTACTTCTCGTTCTACTTCTTCAATGGCCTAAATATACGCACATATATACACATAGAAACCCATACACATATATAAAGACAAAAATAAACACACACACACACACACACACACACATTCATTCTGTTCGTGTTATTTCTCATTTTAATTGCTTCAAATAAACGCCAGTAATTATGCATCACAAGACAACTTGCCCGTTTAGAAAGTTTCTTTCTGAAACGTCTCTTCCGGACATGTTTTAAGGGAGGTGCAAGACCGTGTGGATATGAATAAGGGTCTGTGCTGTGCCTTCCATTGTTGGGTGGCATAAAGGCATCATCTTTGGAAGGACCATCCACAACAAGCATCTGAAATCCAGGTTTATTTATTTATTTATTTATTTGTTTTTTTTTAAAGTAGATATATATGAATATATGAATATATATGCATATGCACACACGCCTATTTATCTTATTTTATTTTATTTTACATTTAATTCCTGTATTTTTTGAGATCAAACCTACCTGGGAGATATCGGCAATCTTATAGAATTGTTTTTTGTCTAGTGTCTTTTGAGATTCTATTATAGTAGGTAAATCGACAAGAGTGGTGTCGTATTTTCGTCCATCCAAATAAAAATATCCTCGTCGATTGTCTGTAATATGTATGTATGTATGTATGTATGTATGTGATTGAGTAAGTGAGTGAGTGATATATATATATATATATATATATATATTATAGACGCCTACCTTTAAAGTGTAGCCTCACATCCTCTGGTATTTCTCGTTTACGTACACACTCATGTAAACGATCACTCATACTTCCAGCAGGTAACCGTAAAATCAGATGTTCTTCAATTGTTGCTTCTGGCTCATCTTCATCGTCTGATCCACTGTGTGCAGCTTCTTTTGTAGTCAGTTTAATCTTGATGAGCTTGTCTTGAAGCGAATTAGATTTGTTGGAGGACGACTTTACGCGCTTTATTTTAACTTTTGTTTCCTTTTTGTGTTCCATTAGATTGATGAGGTAAAATAAAGAAAAATAAAAATGTGAGAAAGACAAATGAAGTTTGAGTGGTAAAGAGGAAAAAGAAGAAGCGCAGGAAGAGGAAAGAGAGTTGTCAGTCGGCGTGACAGCGTTTGAATACACTTTTTTTTTTTTTTTCAAAAAATTGGTTGACAAACTTTCAGCATAGTCATTAAATGACCTAAGAAAAACGACATTTTCTCTCCCTTTATCTCCCTCTCTTTCTCTATAATACACACAGGCGGTATAATGTGGCTGTCAAACCAGCTGCAATCACTAATTGCAAAGGCAGCCAATGACTTTGATGAGACAGTAGCTACGGAGCCCATTGTACAAAGTGAAGATGACGGCACAGCTCGAGGAATGCTACTTGACAGTATACTTGCTTCTCAGAAATCTCAAAGAGATATACTTTGGAAAAGGCTTCATCAGGTTTGGATATACTTTTACTACTGCTATCCAATTTATTTATTTTTAACTATTGCATTTCTCCATTTTTTCTTTATTTTATTATTACTATTAGTTAGAAGATCAGTACGAGGAAGCTGGTCTACAGCGAGTATACGGAGACATCGAAGATTCCGATGAAAAAGTATATACATTATTTATTATGAATTATTTATGATTTTATTTAATTCATGCACGCGTGGTTTTTATATCAAATAACGCTCTTATTGCTTGTGTACTTCATTGATCCAGTTATTATCGGTATACATGTATGAGGAACGAGAATTGATAAAAGAAGAAGGGGTCCAACGAAAAGGTTATATATGAAGATTCAATTGTGCAAAAAAAAACTGTCAAATGTTAAATATGTAATCTACATTTGTGTATATGTATGTGTGGGGTTTAAATAGCCGCCTTTCAAATCGAAAGTCCACCGGAAGAAGATGTACTCAATCTTCAGCTCAAGGAGCAACTCGAAAAAACTGTTAATCAACTCAAGGTAGCAGTGGATCATATAAAAAACGAGCTGAAAAGAGCAAGATCTGCACTTTCCAGGTAATTTATAACAGCCAGGACTTAAAAGTCCAATAGATCATTAGATCTTACTTTGAAAATTAATTGACTGATTAACTTGTAAATGCATATATGCATATACACTTTTAGTGAAAATACTATATTAGAAGAATGCAAGACAATCAAGACTGGTTTCGCAAAAAAGCTTGCAGAAGCGCAAGAGTCTGGAAATTCTCAGCGTTTACCAAAGTAAAGTTAAATAAATATCCCCCCTAAATCACAGTTTTTTTTTGCATTGATAAAGATAGAGGAGAAAACTAATTTTTACAAATCTTTTTTTTATAGTAAATTCACCGAGAAGTCTAGAAGACTAAGAGCAGAGATACGATATACTTCTGGTGAGCTTATCAAGTTTGCAGACACATATTTCCCGTCTCATGCAGTCGATGTAAGTAAAAAAAAAAGGGTTGAAAAAAAGAAAGGAAAAAAACTAAAAAAGAAATGTAGGGAGAAGAAGGCAATGAAGATGCAGCCCAATGTGAACTCAAGTACATCATCGAGGTTAAAGATTATTTCTTGTTGTTCCTGATCTTGCTATTGTTCTTGAAACTAAAACTAAAACGATCGTTCGATAGGATCTGATGAACAAAGGAAGTAATACTGCCGACCTCGACCCTTTTATTGAACTGCAACCAGGCGAATACTGGACTCCATACATTGAGACCTTGGTCAAGGCAGGAATTGCTGTATATCATCCCCAGGATGCCAGGAAGATATGCCTGGCGGATTTCCGCCTCTAGTTTTTTTTCTATCTTGTTATCTAGCCATGTTTATTCTCTCTCTCTCTCTCTCTCTTATATATATATATAGTGTTGTGATGTGATATGGTGTGATGTGATGTGGTGTGTAGTGTAGTGTAGTGTAGTGTAGTATAGTGTGATGTGGTGTAGTGTTGTATAGTGTAATGTAATATAGTGTGTAATGTAATGTAGTTGTACTTGGTCGATGGGGAGAGGGATATGTAAGAGGGAGAGGGAGATTCGGAAGGCTTCTACTAGCATAATTAATGCTCGCATTACCTCTTTTAATCATCGTCATCATCAAAATCAAAATCCATGGAAGCAGAGACCTTTGACAATAGGTCTTCATACCCAGATTTTGTTGATGTTGCCTTTCCAACCTCTACTGCCTCTTTGCTTACTGCCTTTGGCATCATAAGTGACTGCCCATTAGTACTTGCAGGCGTGGTTGCTGTTGGTGAAGCATTATTTCTGTGTATACACACACACGCATATAGATATATATTAGTTACAAAAGAAAAAGAAAAATAGTTGACAGCTCATATAAGAATAACTTATAAGAATAAAAACTTACGCTGACTCAAGCTGCTTCTTTCTCGCATTTTGGGTGCTTGCTATAAATGCTCTTCGTCGTTCTTCACTCTGACGCATCTCTGCTTCGTGGACTTCAATGCGATCTCTTTCACGATTGCGCTTATTGAGATCAGCCCAAATATGTTGCCTTCCATCACCAGCATTATTATAGCTTGCATTCTCATCCAACTGCTGCAACATCTTTGTGATCTGGGTAATCTTGTCTACATCATTGTTGCTCTTGGCATCTCCAAGACGGGCCAGCAATTCAGCCTTTTCCATTGCACCGTTACCAGAAGATCCATTGACAGCTCTCTTTCTGGCAATCATGTCAGCTACTTCCTTGTCATTCAATACATAATCAAGCGCGTGTTTCACATCCTTGGCTTTTCTTTGGACGTACTCGATTGTAGGTCCAGGAAGTTTCTCTGTTTCAAGAGTTGTGCAAAGTCGCGAGTATTCATGCTTAATATATAAAGTTAATATATAATTTCAACAGCAATAGCAAAAAAAAAAGATTTTTCTGTTTGTTTGTTTCTCCATTTCCATGTATATACCTGTTCGGGCAACGAGTTTGAAACAATGTCCATGGGGAACACTCGCTCAGCATTTCCATGTTTGGCTTTGATAGCTTTGTTGGAAAAGATATCAGGTGCCACTTTGTATACTTTGTGATATGGTACAATATCTGAAGATGTTGTGCTGTCAGAGCCTGCGAAATATTTTGTGAGTCGATCAGAGGAGACCCACCTTGAATTTGGCACAGTCTGTACACCAACTTCTTTGTCTGCGGATCCGGTCCAATAAGCAAGCGTACAAAGCACCCTTTTTTTAAAAAATAAATAAATACATACATACATACATAAAAGCATATGCAGATATAAGTGAGCAAGGTGGTCTCTTGGATTATCGTTTTTTTTACAAGTATTTTAAATTTTGTTTTTGCTAATTACCAATTGCTGTTTTCTCAAAAAATGGTGTGTGGAGCCATCTCTCAATCATCTCTCTTTTCAAGCAAATTGCGTGCAATTCTTTCAAAGTAGGCTCTCTCTAATCAAATATATTATCAATGTTAGTAGTCAATAAACATGGACATAATATGCATTATCTTTTTTTTATTTAAAAAAATAGTATTAATTAGAAATAATCACTAACCTTTCGGCTCTCATCTCCAGAATCATCCCTTTCATTATCACTATTTTCATATTCGCTTCCTTCACTGTAGTGACTGCGTCTACGCTTTCTTCTATCTGGACTAGGCGAGTCTTTGCGATGACGCTTTGTGTGTCCTCTACTTTTTTCTTCTCTTTTTCTGGTCAATTCAGAAAGTGCACGGGAAGTAGTCGTCTCTTTGACTCTTGTAGATCCTGCAATACTTTGTCAATATACTGCAAGCCCCCTTTTTTACCTACTTTATCTTTTTATTTTTTTACGTTTATTGCACTTACTTCTTGTGATATCGTCTCTTCTACCATCTTTTAGAAGCTTTCTAACCTCGAGTCTCTCGAGATTACGCTGGCGTTCTTCAGACCGTTCACTCAAAATACGTTCTCTCTCTACTTCTGGAAGAGCAGATAGTCTATTACATTGATATATAGATGTATATAAAAGTATTAGCGTACAAAAAGGAGAGGGTGAATGGGGGGTAATTAATTATGATCCTGAATAACTGTTGTTTTTTGATGTATGTATATGTATATACTTTTTTCTTTCTTTACCTTTTCTTGTCTTCTTCATCCCTATAGAGATCAGGCCCATATTCATCTACACCCCCATTTCCTTCATCGTCGGAACTTTTGTGATTATTCTCATCATCGGAATAAACATTATCGTCGTCGTCTGATTCTGATGCACTAAAAATAATAGTTTATAATAATCATGTAAGCGTATGTTCATTAAACCTTTATATCCCTCGTATTCTTTATATAGTATTACTATTTTTTGGACTTTTTCCCAGATTTCTTGCCACTAAGGGGCATTTCGTCTGCGAGTTCAGCACTTGATGATGATTCATGGATATCTTCTGCTGGAACATATCCTGCATCACCTGGTTTAGCAAGCGAGAGAATAAGATCGTCAATGTGATCCATTAAAAAACAAAACTATCGAGAAAGAAGAAGAACGAGTAGAATAATCCAAAAATCCGCAAATAAAAACAATAAAAAAAATAGGTAAAGAGAGAAGACGCGAGCGGAAGATAGAAAAAAAAAGAAAAAGAAATAAGAAAGGCGGAAATTCTGAGTACTTCCAGACGTCACCAACCAAATACTTTATACATATAAATATATTTAGCGAAAGGAGCAATGGCTAGACGCACTTTATTCAATCCCCCCCTTGTGAGCCTATTTTTGTTTTTGTTTTTCTTGGGGATTGTTTGATGAGATTATCTAGAATTTTATGAATTGAATTGATTTGATTTGATTTTATTTTTGCCCTCTTTTTAGTACAATATTATAGACAGTTGAATGATGATGAATTGTATTACAAAATAGAATTGCTATCATTACCTTTCAGTGACTGTTATTCGATCACAATAATGCCATAGAGAGAAGAACGAAAAGCAAGTACAAGTAAAATATGTGTCGATTTTATTCTTCTCATTTGTTTACAGATTTTTATATATATTAATGAATTAATTAATTGATAGGAATATCATATTGTTCAATACAAATCACACTTGCTGCCCTCGTATATACGTTTCTTCTTTTTATCACAATTTGTATGTAATATTTTTTTTACTCTACAGGTATTGTGATATATTCAATAAGTCAAGGAACAATGAGTTATATTGAAAGATAATAATAATAATAATAATTCAAGATCACTTTGGTGTTCAGCCTTTATCGTTGTGCCATTACCTTTAACTATACATCATTGCCGCTAATTCAACAATTACACTACAAACATACATGGGATGTACATCAAACTTAAAATATCAAATGTATTTCATATAGAAATACCCGTCTTTCTCATCTATTCATCAGATTAGAATACCTTTTTTTTTATGCAGTCTGCCAAGTTAATTCATCATTATTTTATTTATTTATTTTATCAAAAATCAGCATTTTTTTTCTTGAACACACTTCTTTTTGTCGTATTATTTGGAGAGTCATTTTTTGTTTTGTCTTGTGCTTTCAAGACAAACGCTAATAGGTATAAATAAAATAAAAGCGAGGCCGAGAATCCGGGGGACCAGAGAAAAACAAAAACCAAAAAAAAAGAAAGAAAGAAAGACTCAACGTCCCGAAAGTTAGAGGACTTTTTCTAAGTATGATACGAAACCCTTTTAAAAGTTATGCATATCATCAAAGAAATCTGACGCACATTCGTTTTATTTATTAAGATGCATACATTTATCAGGCATCTTTGGTATTGAAAGTAGAGTGTGAAAGGATAGAATGGTCAATTGAGCTCAACCTCATAGTAAAGATCAATAATACTGATTAAAATGCGCCTTGCGAGCATTGAGAGAAACCCTACAAAATTACAAAAGGAAAAATGATTACAACAGATACACATACATATATGGAAAGGCTTATGTGATGGCGTAAGTTTGTTTCTGTACTGGCAGTCTTGGACTATTATCATTTATTGAAGGGCCTGCAAATAAAGACACACATGCCAATTGCTTTATTTAAGCACCCTAATATTTAGTATTAAAAACTTTATGAGACTTATGACACCATATTTACGTTCCAAAAAAATGGTATTCGTTACCACACTGGATCCTGCATGACATGATGAAAGACCTGGTGGAAAATCCAATACTTTAACGAATATTCGTTGTACATCCCGGATCCCATTCCGATAGAGCACATTTGACACAAATTGATACCCAAGCATTCAAGCCAGAGAAAAAAAGCAGGGGGCTTTAAAAAAACTCCCAATGATATTAAGGTCTTCCTTCTTCAGGAGTTGAACCAGATCGATCCAAAAATCTTCTAGAGTTTCGTATCAAATATGTCTGATAAAGCAAGAGCCGTGATTAATACTTATAGTGACTTAAATATATATCAGTTTTTATTCATTTAGGTTAGTTTAATTTAGAGTATCTTTTTGCTTTACTGCAGAAAGTTTAAATTGATTTGGCTGACTTTCTCAGACGATACATTACAAAGAACCTAACGCGTATTTTATTGCGAACTAAAAGTGATATCAGCAATCATACGGGGACGATGTTTCCATCTAACTGGGCTAATTAATTCTGACAACCTCTCCGGGATCCGGTGCGTTTTTCTAATCCTTTAAGACAAATGGTGTGTCCTAAAAAATAAATCGTGTATATTCGATTAATAGCTGTTTGGGCTCTAAATCTAGACTTGGCCATACAAAATATACTATATCAATAGCCAGTTATGCAGAAGATTATCATGAGTTGCTGTCATTAGATTGTGACGCAATCTTGTTGAATATTTTACTATTTATTGGCCCTTCTTACACGTATCGTGTCTTTTTATTTCGTCTATTGTATCTATATTACCAGAAAGTAACCCAAGATCTGCCACTGAAAAAAAGCCAGAAGCAAGGTTTTTTGATCTATCCTCCAAAGGTATTGAGCCATGCCATGCCTTCCCAGGCAAAGCTTGTAGCGGAATTGGCACAACTCGTAAGTAATCCTCGTCTACCTTTTTTTAAAAAAAAATTACAAAAGAAAATCCTCATACGAATATTCTGTATCCCGGCTTGTATTAACTGTTATAGTAAAAACGAATCCTTAAGGACCAGATATAATCAAAACGTCGTCTCCCTAGGATTAGTGTTTATTCAGTACTCAACACTCACGAAATGGAAACTCATTTATTCACAGTCACAACGCGACATCCAAAGATTATTTTGTATTAAAAGTAATACATGCATACACATATAGTAAGTATATTTATTTCTGCTTTATACAAAACACAGTAGACTTTCTCTATTAAACTTTTAGCAAACATATATTTTAATTGCACGACTTTTATTTGCTTTGGTGCAAACTACTCAGGCAAACATGGCTTCATCAGCACCTCTTGTTATACTTGAACAAATTGTCAACCAAATCTCATGGAGAGACAAAATGACATGTCTATTGGTGTGCAAAGGTTGGAGATCGTCTCTACTGTCTCTATTTGATACGCATGTGGATATAAAAAGTGTAGAAAAGTGGAAGATCTTCTACACATCTTGCTGTGATACTCTTCAAGACGACTATCCAATCGGACAAAGTATAAGATCTATTGCTATTCGTTGTATCGTGCCAAATGAAGAGCTTTTTCACATCTTGAAATTGTGCCCACGTCTGCAGTCTCTACTAATAAATCCATCTGAACCATTACATATCATACTTTCTGAAGATAGACTGGTAAGAATACAATGTACACGTACTTTTTCTTCATAAATTATTCCAGTACACTTTTGAAATCATATAAAGCAAAATATACAAAATTGTGACAAGCTACTGTCTGGTTTATTTACATATATATCTGTACACAATTACTCTCCAAATGTTTTTTTTTCTCCTTCAAAAGGAATATATATATATATATATAAGTCAACAACAATGTATGTATTTTATTTATCCATGTAGTCTCTAAATCCGAACCCTATACTACCTACTCTCAAAACTCTTTACATACGTACAGAAATCAAATTCTTGGACAATCAGGATCTTGAATTGATTCAGCGACAATGTCCTTGTCTTCGTGCATTAACTTTTGTTGCTCCACGCATGTATTTCGACCCTATTTCACAAACAAATTCACTCGAATCAGTCAAGAAGTACGACTCGGTCGAATATCTGCGTTTCATTATCGAGGAAGACACAATGGAAGATGTGGCCCAGTGGCTGAAGTATATTGGTCACAAATATCCATCAATTAGAACACTTGGTATCGAGAATAGTTCTTGTGCTGACCATCGTAGTTACCCTGAAGGGTGTGAAGAAGCTGCGGAATTATTATTCCAGCAATGTCGCCTCTTGACAACTCTAGAGCTCAAGAATATCAACTGGGGAGACATAATGACGCGACAGATGGATAGATCCAAAAGCGGAATCAGGTCTATAAAACTTGATCATCGTGACCCAGCAATGGCGATGATTAACGCCGGCAGCCTCATGTCCTGTCAATTTCGCAATCTGTCGACCGTCTCACTCTCTATTCCGTTCAGAGCTTACAGTCATGACGGTGCTCACTGGTGTTTTCGTGAACTCAAGCTATCACATCTGAGCCTAAAGGGATACCGAGAGACAAGTACAGACAGAATACCTGATATTTCTTTGAGCGACATGCCAAAACTAGAGAGTCTGACAATAGAGGATGCGATGCTGGTAGACCGTAGCTTCATACACGATGATTATGCAGAAAACTCTATAAAGAAACTGACGCTACGAAACTTGGTGTTTGAGCGTCTTGCGCTGGAAAGTCTATCGAGATTGGCTCAAGGTTTAACGCATCTGACGATGGATCGATGCCAGCTTCTCCCAGAAACAGGAGAATATGAAGACGACAGTGATGATTATGTGTGGGATAATGGACAGATAAAGGTCGACCTGAGATCTCAGTCTCTTTTCTCAATCGACATTCGGAACCTGTCATCTTGGTACAGTCCAACCAAGAGATATGCAAAACAAGCCGAGAATACTACGATATTTCAAATTATTCAAATGTCCAAGCAAGCGGCTAATTCGGCATCCTTATTCCGGATTAGAGCAGATGGGCCGTGGTACCAGAAAAGAAATAAGAGATATGTGTGCTTGAATGAAGATGAAGTTTGTGCAGTAAAAGATAGATTGATTCCGCCAAGACGTCGCCGGCCTGCGGCAGACCCTGAATTTGATTATCTAAATGATATTCAAAAAGGATTTATTACTATTTATTGTAAGTCAGTCTATTATCTTTATATTGACAGCCAGTGGATACTTTAGAAATACACGTTTCTTCAAGGTGATACACAATAAAACACTAGTACTATGTACCTTTTTTTTACCTTTCATTATTATTCATTACCGATATTAATATTAATAAAACTAAAACTAAAGCAAAAGCAAAAGCACAACTCAATCATGTACTTAACATACATATTAAGTATAAGACTTGGATACCTCTTTTCTTCTCTTAATTATATATTTCTTCTGATAAAGTAACCTTGCGCATACACACACAAATACACACGCATGGATATAGATATAGGTATATTATTTGTCAGCCCAGTAATGAATATATATTCATTTTATTGCTATGAAGCTTGATAAACTTGATAGCTTGGTAGAATGTGTTTTGTGAGTGTGGGTGTGTGCGTGTGGTGGTACAATACTATTTAGTGCATGCCGGTTCAGCCTCTTCGTGAACTAATTTTGTATAGCTTGATATATTGATTTGAAAAGATGATTGTTTGTGCGTACTCTGAGGATTTCGATCCACAAAAGGAATATATATGTATTTATACCTTTCAGAAACATTAAATTCAGATTGGTCAATGCTCGCGTAATAAGCACTCTTTTGGTACTTTGTGATTCTGCAGTAACAAAACCGATAGTTGATGGTAATAATAGTAAAAAGAATATGATAAAATAAGTTAAAAATGGTACCACTTGTCTCCATTTGAATCTTCCATGTTTTCAATTTAACAACTCAGCCTAAAGACGCCTCGAATGATTTGAAAACGATACATACTTACATACACAGATATATACACATACACACGCGCGGAAAAGAAGTATTTTACAAAAGGTTATATAAAGGCAATGTATTAATATTGTAGGCAATTGATTTTGTTTTTATTATACAAATATATTTAATAGCCTTTAGAGTATTTTTACATAGTATACTTATATATATATATCCTTCTTGCGCGCGGAAGATTCATGGTTGTACTGGCTACTTAAAAAGGCTCTCGGCCTCACCTTGTAATATCGTTTAAGCTCAAGCTACACATTCAAAATGTCCCTATTTTGAGACCTCATTTCTAACAACAGATAGATCAATTAACTATCCTCTTTATTTTATATTATCAACATATTCTAACGAGAACACAATGTCATTTTAGCTCCCTCCTCTTTTCCACTCTATACGCCCTTTCTGCCTTGTGCTTCAAAATACAATGGATTAGTAAATTTTCCTGTGTACAATTATTTAAACATATATATTTTCTTTTAATTAATCAAATCAAATCAAGACAAACCAAGCCAACCAGCTAACCAACCAGCCAGCTAAGAAAGAATAGAAAAATAAGATCATAATAATAATAATAATCATTATTCTTATTATTAGTTTATTGGCTTTACCTCTCTTTTCTATCTTCAACTCTTTCTCTCTTCCTATCTTCACTCCTTTACTCTCTATATTCCCTTCCTCCCTTCCTCTTTCCCTCCTCCGCCCCCTTTATATATATATATATATATTCTTCAATTTTCTCCCAGCTGTTGTTTACATTTCGACATTGACATTTGGGACAATGTTCAAGAAGCTTCATTTTAATCACAATGAATCGCCAAAATCAGAATCATTGAGCTCATTCAGCAGTGCGACACCAAACTCTAGGTAAAATAATAATAATTTTTATTTATGGCCGAGCAAAAGGGAGAGGGTAATCAAATGTCGTACTTAAAATTAGTGTGTAGAATGATACCTTTACCACCAGCAGTCTACGATGCGGTATACGATGGACAAAATGTAAGGCTCATTGTTTATTTTACCTTGCTTTCATCAGTAACTGTTCTAGTAGAAAATATATATATATATATATAGGAAATAGTTAATTGATTAAATTTAATATTTGAAAGGGAATCAACCGTCCTCAATGGCAAACGGTAAAAAGAGCGTATATATATATATATATATTATACAGACACAGATACATATCTATATCAATATATCAATATATCTATACCTATACTAATATAAAAATATAAAAATGTATCTATATCTTCCTACAGCCAAAAGAGCAACAATATAATTATAACGAACGCAACAGTGATTGTTTCAAATACGAAACATTTGGTGGTCGTGAATCGCTTGTAGATCCTATTACTGCCTATCGCCCTTCAGATCTGCCTAGAGAAACATTTATTAAACCTATCAAATCAAGAGTTGTAGTCCACACCAACCTAACCTCTCCAGAATCCCATGTTACTACTACATCTGAATCTGCATCTTTAACTGCAACTGCAACTGCGACCAACAAACCTCACAAAATGAAAATTGTCACGACTGCATTGCCAAATCCAAAAACTGCCTTTTTCGCTGGTGACACAACCGTCCCTGACCCAGAAATCAGAACAATGGAGCCTCCTACACCAGTCAGGTCGCGTGTGCATCTTGCAGAGCTTCCGGATGTAATGCAGCAGGCATTTGTGGAACTACCACAGCATGCAGTCTACAGCAGCACTTCTGAGCCGCCAACTAAAAACATCAAACAACAACAACAGCAACAACAGCAACCGCGACAATATCAACCTCAACAACCTCAACAACCTCAACAACAACAATATCAGCAGCAGCAAGAACACCAACAGCAGCAACAATATCAGCCACAGCAACAATATCAGCCACAGCAACAATACCAACATTACCAACAACAGCAAGAACAACAATCTAGAAGCGAAGTATTTTCTCTTCAACCTGCACCAATGACAAGCAGACAGACTGGAACTACAACCAAATCTTCGCTTTCATCTTACACCCGCCAGCACCCACAACCTTTGCCTCCACTAGTCATTCCACCCACTCCCAACCGCTCGGTCTCGTCTCCAAGCCAACACATGGTTGTGCCTAACCAACGCACGTCTTCAATTCAAGACTCGCCTTGGCAGATTACTCCAGGATCGCTCACACCAGGATCTTCGCACGGAGGCTCATCTCCAATTGGATCTACTTCGTCTCCTCTCTCTGCATCACCGCACACGCCAATCGGGCATAGTCTTTTGCATACCCAGATGCCTTCTCCATCTTCTTCTTTTTCTCATTCTAATTCTCATTCTAATGCTTCGTCTCCTTCGCTCTCACCTTCTGGACAACCTTCGGAATCGAAATGGAAGAACATTGGCAAGAAAACTCAAGAGACGGCCATGTCAGGTCTTAGACCTGGATCTGAGTCTGGGACTGAGTCTGGCGTTGAGCAATTGGTGCACAACGGAATCAAGTTCCATGAAGCCGGTCAGTTTGAAAAGGCTACCGAGTTATTTAGACAGGCTGCCGCTCTAGACTTCCCGATCGCCATGTTTCTTTATGGTGTGTCACTTCGTCATGGATGGGTAAAGAATAATAAATTATAAAAACTAATTTTTTTTTGCGTCTGTGTGTGAGAGTATATATACGTATAAATAATAATAGTAATAATTAACTAACTTGTTGCGTCTAGGGCTGTAAAAAAAACGAACACCTGGCATTCCAGTACCTTCAAAAGGCAGCTGAGCATGCCGTATTGGATATCAATAGTCTTTCGAGCACAGTAAATACCTCTGCTTCAAAGGGTGAGCTTATTATGGCCATCTATGAACTAGGTGTTTCATTCCGACACGGATGGGGTGTAAGTGATATATATTATGCACTTATTTATTTTGCTAATGATAACAATGATAATAGTGCAAGAAAAACAAGGAGACAGCCGTCTACTTTTTCAAAATTGCTGCAGATCTTGGAGATGCTGATGCCCAGAACGATTTAGGACACTGTTATTACAATGGCCATGGTACTAAAAAGGACCTTTACATGGCAGCTAAATACTATCGAATGGCCGACAAGCAGGGGCAGGGTATCATGGGAAATTCCTGGATTCACAAGGCCAAGTACGACAAGGCCAAGTAATGATAATAATGATCATAATGATCATAATAAAAAAAATAAGTCTGGCCTTTTGTCTATTATAACTATCTTTACATAATTTATCTTTTATATATATATAAGAAGTAATTAAATTATAAGGCAAAGACTTCGAATACGTAAAATTTGCATAAATTTTGAATCGAATGAAAGTTTATTAGGCCACAAGTGGTTCTTGCGTGGTTTTGTAATATGGTGTGGTTTAAGTATGAGTTGAAATAGAGTGGCATGGTGTATTATATACCGCTTAGTTTAGTTTGGCTTGGCTTGGCTTATCTTAGCCTAGGCTAGGCTAGATTTTCTGTGTGTGTGTGTGTGTGTGTGCTTCTAGGCATTTAATAAAAGAAGGGTATAGAAATTTTCCTTTTTGTGCGTAGTCCAATATAATAAAACAAAGACAGAAAGAGGGAATTCTATTGACTAGCTTTCTTTAGTCTAGTTGGTTATGTTTTGCGTCGTCTTTCTTTTCTCATTTGTCTCATATGTTTAGTTCATAGCACCGATCCACCAATGGTAAGATCCAAAATTGATTATCATTGATAAACTAAGCCTAAAATACCATCTCGATCATCACGGCATTTTGGACCTTTATTTTTATTTTTATTCCATCGACATCTAAAAAGTCCCATTTTTCTTTAAAGTTCTATTTCCTTGTTTCCTTTTTTTTTCCCTTTTTTTCGATGCTATTCTATACTATATTATAGAACAGCTTTTATATATATATTATAATTATGTATATGTATATGTATATGTAACTTTACTATTATATTTTACTGTTTTGCAGGAGAACCCATAAAATGCCCGTGTACTCTCCGTTTCATGCAACATGGTACACAACATGGTACACAACATGGGGAAAAAAGAGACAAAGAATAATTAATTTTTAATGTTTTATTATGTTTTATTATGAATTATTTCTTTATTATAAAATGTGTATGTATAAATGTATTTATGTGTATATATTGTATGATATATGACATGCTATGACATTATAGGATGTTGTAGAGTAGGACAGGATAGGGTAGAATAAGGCAAGGTAAGATAAAGAAAGGCAGGCTGGAGATGAGCTGTGTTGGGTTGGTTGTATTGGATTCAATTGTGTGAAATGAAATGAAGATAGCATAGACATGAATGTGCTTGTGTATTTACATATATGTGTATGTACAAGTAAGAATGAATGAATGAATAAAATGAGATAAATGAAATGAAATGAAATGAAATGAAATAAAATGAATGAAATTATATGATTTGGATGTGCTTTTTTTTCGCTGTTTGAATGAATGAAAATTTGTTTTTGCTGCTGCTGTTGCTGCTGCTGTTGCTTGCTTGTTTGTTTGTTTGTTTGTTTAAAGAAACCAATGGACTTGACTTGGGGTTTCATTTGATTAGCCGGATATGACTATGAGTTGTGTCTGCACCAAAATTCATGACAAAATCGGGTGACATCAACGCCACAACATTGGCAAAAGGTAGAAGGAATAGTGAGCAGGTATTCTGATCGAGTCTGGGTGTGCTTGTGGTTGCGGGGGACAGAGGTGGTTGAGGTCTTGATGATTTTTGATTCCATTGTGTTGAGTTGAACTGAATTGGATTGTAAGGTATTAATTTTGGCTCTTTGTGGTTTTTTGGTGTTGTAGCTTGTGTTTGGGTGAGAGAGCAATAAAGAAATTGAATAGGAAAGTAAAGAGAGAAGTTTGAGAGGAGAAATCTGGGGCTATTTATTTAAAAAATAATAAAAAAATTCTAGCGTGTCCAGAATAGGAAACATCGTATTCTTCATATGTCCCGTAGCCTGAATCGAGAATTCTCTCATCTAAACTAGATGTCGATCAAGTAATACTAGTTATTCAAAGTCACAGAGCCTTACAACGATTTGCCGCTAGCTCACGATCTATTAAGTCAAGCCGCGATTTTGTAGCAGAAAAGAAAAAGTTAAATAAAAATATATATAAAAAGATAAAATAACAAAATTTCCCATTGTTCTGTATTTGAAAGATTGTATATTTGACCCGACCTTAGGGATGGATATTCCTTATTTGGGTTACCCGTTAAACACAACAAGCTCCCCTTTTTATTTTATTTTTATTTCCCTATTCTTGTATTTTTATTATATATATCTTTACTTATCTTACAATACTATTACATGAACCGAGTCTTTTTTTTTTAAGTTTTTTTTGTCATAGGGTATCCGCGCAATTAGACACTAAATGCCTAATCTCGATTCCTTCAAATAAAAATAAAAACAAGGACAAAATTAAAGCGACCACCAGAAAGACGCACACACACACAAAAAGAGAAAAGGGAAAGGAGGAGGTTGAGAGGGGGGGAAATCTTTATACCTCTTTATTCCTCTGCATAATAATTTCTATTATAATATAAATTATTGAAAAAAATAAAACTATAAATCCTGTAGCTTAAATTTAAATTTAAAAATTACAGAATTATACTTGAAATTATACAGAAATCTTTATTCACAATTGTATTTGTATTTGTATTGTTGAAATTTGCCTTTCATTCTTCTTTTATAAAAAAAACAAATCATCTATATAAATTATCATGTATCAAAATCTAGTCTACATCACTACTTGTCATTGCTGTAATGTGCGACACTGTGAGACAGATATTTTGTTATTAATGTGTCATCAATGTATACAACAAGAGAAAATTATCACACAGCCCATGTATTGCCAAGAATTCTAGGTATATATTTTTAGAAATTAACAGCTTAAATTTGCAATGCCAAGTTTTTGTGAGTTAATCTATAATAATTATCATCATTTATTCCGGCTTTCCTTTCAATATATCTATTTATTTATCTATCTATATATATATATATTTCTTATTTTTGGACTCTGACTTGAGCACCCACATGGCGTTTCAAGTTAAATAAGTCAAACACAACACAACAATCCTAAAAGAATAATAATATGTATATATTTGAATCTATCGTACAAGGAAAAACTCGGCTGAATGTAGCACAATCAGGCAAGGAGTCTATTCTTCCCGACCGGGCAAGCTTACACAGCCATATTATTTCAAACAAGCCGCCTTTCTCTCTCTCTCTCTCTCTCTGTCTGTCTGTACTACTAGACCAAAGGTTTGGTAAGCATTAAAGCAAGTCCCATTACAATTACAATTATCTATTAATATTGATATTCAAATGTTCATTAACATTATCATTAACATTATCATCACCATTATAAATGCCATGGTTATTAACTTCTTACATTGTTACTATCGATATCATTGCTTATATTACTATTTTACGTTGGTGATTGTCACGTATTGAGTAAAAAATCAGACTTTATAAGAATTGAATCAATATACATATAAAATAATATTAATCTTTTGAATATATCGTATCACATAAACCTTCTTAGTTGTCTATCTAAAAGGCCAAATATCTCTTTAAAAAGTAATTTAAATACAAAAAAACTGATTTGAGATATGGGAACAAGCGCAAAAGAACATCCACGCGGTGAATTAATTAAAGTAATAGTACGATGTGCCTTGTATTGCTCTTCGTTTATCACTGTTATTATTATGTAAAAGACCTTGTAGAACAGACTCTACTACATATTTATCATTACTACTATGCTTATTTTTGGTAAATGGCAATAGTAGTACATGCTTTTATTGACCTTTTGGTCACTTCTTGTACTCTTTTACGTCACTTTCGATCATTCTGTGAGAGTGTGTATAAAATTTTCCGCTTGAATGCTTTGCCAATGGGTAAAGAGACTCATAAGCACAAACACAAACACAAACACAAACACAGTCATAACCATAATCATAACCACAAACAAATCCTTGTATATATTTTGTTTTATTTTAGAATATTGTTCATTCCAAAAAAAAATGTATTACTTGAATTGCCACGTTGTATTCAACAAAGAACATCGCACGTTTTTCTTTCTATGTTATTATTATTAATTATATTATTATTTTTTGAAACTGTGTACTGTTTCAAATGTAATACTAATATTCCTATTCTTTTCCCAGGCAACCGGGTCAAAGATAAAACTATTAATTTTACAACTAATATGAAAATAATAATAATGAACGTATAGACAGTAGATAATAGACAATACAAGCTTTCATATTTCATCAGCTTCTTAGCTGTAATCATTGATGATTATAATTGACTTTAATGATAGATCATAGAGATTCTCAATACAACAATTGCAATTGCAATTCTTACTTTTATTTTGATTACGAATAAGAACTAAGCAATTTTTTTCAAGTGGTGTGGTTACCTCAGAGTAATCAGAGTAATCTTGTATAACTTTGTCTAAACATATAAATATATTGGATAAATATCTAAACATATCGCAAATATGCCCCTCATTTGATTATTGCAGTCAAAAAGACAGTAAAATAGCTTGTACTCTTCTTACCAAGTTGGTTGTAATGAGTAACATTTACCCATGTTACCTCAAGTCAAAAAAAAAACTTAAAAATAAAAGATTATTGTTGATAAAGATGTTGTGATTGTTTCTATCTTTACCGACATTTCAATTGACAGTCAGAATTAAAGTGATTTAATGTAATGTCATGTAATGTCATGTAATGTATTATATTGTTTTGCATTGTCATATAATAAAACAGTCGTGTACTTTGTAGATATTAGAATCTCCTGTAAGTATAAGAATGATTAAAAATGTTGTTTGTGCTCATTGCCCTGAATGTCATCATAACTATAAAAATAAATATAGAAAAGGGCTATATATTAGGGCCAGGAAAATTTAGTCTTAAACTATTAGCACTGTAGACACACACACACACACATATATATATATATATATATATTAGCAAAAATATTTGTGGCTTAATACATGCTTAGCAGTTATTATTCTAGACACCTTTTATGTAAGCAAACTATAAATACCAACACGGATACAAGCATACACATATATATATACACAGACAGACGCCCACACAGACACCCACAGACACAAAATGTTATGTTTCTACTGTGTAAGCGCTAAAGTATTGTATCCTTTATGTCCTTGATAAATCATTCACTCTCTCCTTTACTTTTCTAAAGGTACATATATATATGTGTGTGTGTATAGGAGAAAAAAGAAGAAATTTTTGTTGACAAGGTCTTTATCTCTTCTCCTCCCTTCCTTTTTCTTTAAATATTTCTGTCTTACTTGTTACCTATATAATTTTACAGCTATATTTGTAAATAAACATACCAAAAAAAAAGGATCCAATAATTTTAATGAATTTTATCCAAATACTTTTTTTCTTTTCTTTTTTAATTTACTTTCATAAAAAGGAAACAATACTCAATCACTGTTTTTCAAAATGTTAATTATAAGAATATAATGTATATATATATATATATATATTCTGAACCACCTCCTTCACATATAATATTAGTGTAGTGGTGAAATAAAAGGAAAAAGACAAACCAAAAAAAAATGCCGCTTTAATAGGCACAGTAATAATTAACGTAAATTCGTTTGATTTGTTTGTTTATGAAAGAAACAATAAAATAAAATATAGCAGAAAATTTATTCAATTATTCTATTAAAACACTACAAAAGTCTTTTTCCTAATGACTGATCATTCAACCCGGATGAAAATGGGAGAGGGGGAATCAAAAAGTATATATATATATATAAATATATATATATATATATTGCACGAGGCTGGCTTAAGCTTTCTATCATTAGATGCCCTTGATACGATCGATCCTGCTGTAGACAATGCGTTTTGATAAAACATATTCATTTTCTAAAAACTAACAAAAAAAACAACTTTTCCTTTCTTTCTATAATAGTATAAATTACACACAAACACACAAACACACGCATGCACGCACGCACGCCCTTTCCAGAATATATATAAAATAAAACCAATGACAAAAAGGTATTATATCCCAACAGAACCTTTTTTCTTTAAAAAAAAAAACAATATTGATAAACTAGCTACTGTTACTACTACTGTTACTTGTGTGTGTGTAATATTCTTTTGTGCAAAAAACTATTGCTTAATAGATAGCTTGTTAATAGAGTCGAACTTCTTCTTGCCAAAATTAGCATTCGTTTATTTTCGCCGCTGGAATTATTTCATCGACTTAGGACTAGGGTATGATTGTGGCAATTATTTGTCCACTTTTTTCATAAATTATTTGGATATTATTAGAAATTTATATTGAAAATATACATTAATTTGTCAGATTAATGTCAGAAGATTTATAAAGAAGTATAAGTGTTCTCTGTTGTTATTGAGCTTTTCCGCGCTCTTTTTGAGTGTATTTATGAATTATATCTACAGTAAAGTGGTTAATTTTATTAGAGCTGCCTTATGCGTATTTCAATACCATCAATAATATATAAAGTAGATTAAACATCGATTTTATGTCTTTTTGAATTTTATTTTACCTTTAAAAATTACACTATAACCTTTTTAACTAAGTATGATCCTCTTGAAGTAGTACTAGTTTTTTTGTAGTATGTTAAGCTACCTAGAGAACCCGACGAGCTGACCGTAGGAACAAATTTCTCACCTTCTTGATCTTTTGTACTTGGAGGTGACGGTATGTACTGGTGAATGACCAAGTTCTTTCTGTTTCTTCTTGTAGTTTTGTTTGATTTATTTGGTACCATAGTTGGTTAGATATTTATAAATGTATGACAGTAATAAAGATTGTGAATTGTAAAAAAAAAGTTGATGTATGCAATAGAAAAAAGTTGATTTATTATGAGTTTTATACCCAAGACTTGGAGTTATGTTATTATTTTATTACATGACAAACATAATGACTTTTAGAGAGAATTAATTGATATTTCACCCTGATATTTTAGTATATTTTAGCTAAGAGTCTTATAATTGATTTTATGCAAGGAGTATTGAAAATTAATTATTGTATATGTTTTCATGAATTTGTAGGATAAGGTTCTCGCTATTCGACTAAATTAAGTCGAAGTAGAGAACTTAGGCTTATCAAAAATGGAACTTGTAGTCGGTATAAGAAAATATATACTCCGATAAGCCTAAGTCGAAGTATAAGCTTAATCGACTCTGTTAACAAGCTCTCTAATAATACAATATATACACTAACCAAAATATCTTCAAGCACAAACCAGAGTTGAGGCACTCAAGCTGAAAGAAAAAAATCTCTGTATATACGACTTATCAATATTTATTCTTATTATTGATCAATAATTAAAGGCAAAATTAAATGTTATTGAAACCCCCTTTTTATCTCGAGAAATTATTATATTGAAAAATTGAAGAATTGAAAAATTGAAAAATTGAAAAATTAAAAAATTGAAAAGTTAAAAAGTTAAAAAGTTAAAAAGTTATAAAAACTGACCTTTTTTCCTTATTTTATTTTATGTCAGTGTTTAAGTGGAGCCTGAAATTGTAATTTTCGGCTTGTGTATGTTTTTTTATATAGGCATATATTTAACTCAAGCCAATAAATAGCGACCTTAGTGCATTCGGACTTTTCAAATATTTTTTCAAATATCGGGTACTACAGTGTCTTTGTCGCACCAGATTGAATTGATCAAATTTTCAAATCTGCCTATATATATCATCGGACATGTAATATGACTAAAATTACAAGCGGTAATATTAAATAATTTCATTTCCTTCTACTAATACTTTTTAAAGGCAGTTTAGTACAAAAATTAAAAGAATATAATTGGTTGCAAATTTGAAAAAACACACTTCTTAGGGAGGTTTGTGCAATTTTCTTAACAAAATTAAAAAGGAAATTGCCCGCCTAAAAAGGAATAGTTTGTCTCATACTTCCAAAAAAGATTTTGTCAAAAGGGCACCTTTTCCAAAAATTTTGTAAGCCCAATTTGGGCTTTACAAAGTGTCTTCAGCCAATAATTGAAGGTTATTTTTAACTGCTAAACTAACGATATATTCAAAGGAAGAAGAAGTAAAATATGTTAAAAAATATACTTTTAACAATGTAGATATTATATTAACATGACTTCTTTTATGTCATTCTTTAAAAACTATATATTTGGATTATATATATTACGCACTCTATTACCGATTCTGGAATTAACAATATAGTTTATGTCAATTGATTGACCAAGCATTACCAGACTATCAACTTAACCGTTAATACAAGTTAATGTTCGTTAGTTTAGCTGCATTCTATTTCCCGACCGTGACGTGGACCTCAATATGGAAATGAAACTTCAGAAAATTGGTAAGACATTTCTGTCCATATTAGTACATTGGAAAAGAGATTGGTAAAACAAAATTGCACAAACCTCCCTCTTAGCAAGCAAAATTTGAAAAATAAGAGACCCCTTTTTTCAAATTTCTCTTGTCTGGTTACACTTGATTTAAGGTTATAATTTGAAAAAATAGCTTAAATTTCCTTATAAAGCAATTTATTTGGTTTTTTCAAAAATGCACTAAGGTCGCTAATATAAGATATCAGATTTCCAATTTCCAGATTTTCAGAAGTTAATGATCACAAAAAAAAGGCACCGTAACCTCTAGTCCCAAACCTATGTGTTTATTTTTGTGGCCGTATATTTTTCTGTGTCTGTTCCTGTGTCTGTTTATATGTCTGATGGTATTTCTGAACTGATTGGTAATTGAAATTCTCCCTTTTTTTCTCAATTAAAATAAATAAAATACCAATTAAAGAGAAATTCATACTGTCAATTCTCTGGCTTAAACTAGTTGACTTTATCTCTCTTTCTACGCCAACAGAGCCCTGATACATTAACTACAAACTAGAACTTCTATACATTAAGAACGTAAGAAAATAATCAAAATAAAATATTCAAGTCTTCTTTTTTGAAATGTTTAAACCACTAGTAAGCTTTTATAATACTATGTGTACAAGAGATAATCGAAAGATTTATCGTATTTTTATTTTTTACTGATCTCTATTGAAAATCTCCATTAGAAGGTTCTAGCATAATTAAACCTAGTAAGTATCAGTCTCCAAAAAAAAAGTTCTGTACAACAGTCTATCACACAATGCCAATGCTTATACAATATGCCAACTGATTAGATTTAAAGTGTGAATTCATGTTGTTCAAAAACAAAGAAGAACAAGACATATCATGGCTCAAATTATAGATCCTACGATTAATACACTCCAAAGTGGTTTCTGATTGTAAATTCAATACAATTATTACTGATCTGCAGTAGACATCTGTAATCCTTGATGTTACATAATCGGTTTATAACTAATTAAAGTGTATGTATTTATGTGTGTGTGTGTGTAAAGAGTCCCATTTAAGTAGCACTTTTTTTTTGGTATATGAACAGACCAGACTGTCTTAATATATGTTCCAACTTTTTAAAGATATAGATATACGATTAAGTAATAAGACGTGGTTCGACTCAAACGGTCAATGTTAATTCTGAGATCAACAAAAGGTTTGGTACTGGACACTAAAATACAGTTCAAGCAGCTTAAAAAGGAAGTAAATTCAATATAAAAACTATCAGGTGTGTCAAAATAAAGTGTATATATATATATATATATATTGCAGATCAGAATAATATATATGTATTCAAGGAAAAAAGCAGAAAGGCAGATAGTAAAGATTAGCTCTAATATTGTAGATGGTCCATTGGTTTATAGAAAAAACAGATGAGAATCACGAGACAAAAAAAAAAGGTGCAATTCAGCTAGAGTTGTACAGATGCCTATGGATCCTGGTCTTTATTGGGGCAATCTCAAGTCTTACGTTGCACAGGTCCCCTGTGGTTTGTGCGGAACAAGACCATCAGGATATTAGGTGTAGTTTTTTTTTATCTTCTTTATTTCGATTATTCCTTAAACATCTACAAAAATATATATATATATATAATGCAAAAGAAATATATTATTTGGTCGAGATAATTAATTAATAAGACAAGGAACAGTAATCATTTAGGAAGCCTTAAAGAAGAGAGCCAAAAAAAAGAACGTAACAGCAGACGAAAATTGGGAAGTCATAATATTGGAGTTTCATTTCTCCTTACCCACAAGAAGAAAAATCCAAGTGATAAGCGGTGTTTAGTAATTTGGCAACCAAAATACTACATATGGAAGTTTAGTCCATTTATGTAGTTTTCATCTGGATTCTGTATAAAGTCAATAATTCATCTGTCCTTAACAAGGCCTTTACAATTTTTTTCCTTCTTCTTCTTCTACTACTACTCCTTATATTCTTCTTACATTTCAAGGAATAATAATACCAATATTAAAATGGGAAGTGCAGTATCAATCTTGTCCGCAACAGCCTTCAGTTGGCTCATATCCCAGCTAATGACCGGTGTACTTTGGGATGGCAAGAACCAAGACGGAACCCCGAAAAACCCCTGGGCACCAAGCCCTTCTAATCAGCCTTACATCTGGAATGCCTATGATGAAGTAGCTGAAAGACAGTACCGAGCATTTACCGATTGGGCAAAGGAACTTGGAGCCTTGATCTCGGTCAAGATCGGTCAGAAGCGTATGGTTGTACTCAACAGTGGCAGTCTGGTCCAAGAATCATTCGTGAGACTCGAACAGAATAACTCTGCCCGTTCTATCAGAGATGGTGTTGAGGTACTCATGACCGACTCTGGTAAGTAATATATATATATACATGTGTGTGTGTGTGTACCTAAATCATGAAAGCCACAACTAATATCAAAACTCACAGGCAAGACCGTCTTTGCTGCACCTTTTGAGATTTACTGGGTCCGTATTCGCCGTGCAATCGCTATTATTATTGGAGCAGCCTACATCGCCAAATTCGATGGACTTTTCTCTGCCCAAGCAGCAAAGCTCTCTCAGGGAATTCAGTTTGAAAAATCTAGCAAGAATGGCAAGCCGATCGATGCTGAACATCTGCGCCAATTAGTGAACTTGATTGCAATGGACACCTCATTGGCCATTGTCGTTGGTCAAACTAACACTGATCCTGCCACAATGTTGCTCATTTCAGAAAAGTGCAGGGAGATTGAGGCTATCCAGGCCAACAAGTGGTATCAGTACGGTCACTTTATCAATATCATCCAGAGCACCTACAGTTTCTTGGCTTTGATGAGAAAAAGCTTGACTGCCATTGCTCAGCGTAATGATCTGCTTGAGGTGTTTTTAGAGTGGACCAGCCCTTTTATTGCTAACCGTGGCGACCAGACAGTAGAAGTTAGAACCATTGCAGAGAGTCTGTTGACCATTCTTCCTTCCAAGAACGACCCTGAGCCAGCCCAACTCACGGCAGATCAAGTGATCGTCAACCTTATACACATCACCCTTCACAGTTACAAGAACCTGTCTTCGGCACTATTCACTTTGATTCAGCGTCTTGCCAGCTTACCAGAATTGCAGGAGCGCATCTATGCGGAAGTTTTGAGTGTGAAGGACAAGGAGGGTACTCTGGATGACTGGCCGTTGATCGGAGCTCTTATTAATGAGTCGATGCGCTTTGAGCCTCCTATGCGTATGTATTCCCATACATCTAGAGTTGAGCACGATATTCTTGATGGAGAGGACAAACCTTTCCGTATTGACGATGGTACAGAAATTATTGCCAATCTGGATGCAATTCACTTTGACGAACAATACTATGCTGAGCCACACACATTCAACCCTGACCGATTTTTGGTGAAAGAAAAGAAGTCGGTGTCTATCTTGGATAAGAGAACAGAAAGAAATGATGATAACAAAAAGTCAAAGAACAAGTTTATGCCTGCTCGAGATCATTTGGCATTTGGTGCTGGTCGCCGCAAGTGCCAGGGTGCGAAGGCAAGTGAACGTATGTTGGCTGCCACAGTTGCTCGCCTAGTGAAGAGTTACAAGCTGGAGGGCGGTGATGCCAATGTCAAGGTAGACTATCATAGCAATATTTGGTCATGGACTGGAAGAACCGAGACAAAGGGAGACGAAATCAAGTTCATTAGTCGATAAATGTCGGTAGAAACGACATTGCCCTTAATTTATATTCTTCTACGAACAATCTTTCTTTTATACCTATCTACCTACATGTCTAATATTTTACTTTTAATGCTATTAATTATTACTTCTTCTATTTCTCTCTTAATACTGTCTGTGGCTCTTAATAAAAGCAGCCTTTTATCTGCTTTTTTTCTCCTTTTGCTTTATTTTATCTTGGTCCAGAAATAAATAAATAAACTTGGATAATATAAAATAAAACTTGGTCATTTACAATACATACATACACAATAGGCTTCAATTACTTTTTTATTACCAAAAATTATCCTTAAAATACTTCTTTGATCTTTAGTTCAGCCCAAGAAACTATATAAATACTTTCTGCTTTATACATATTAGAGCATCCACAGCGGTCTGTGTAAATTTAACAATATTTTAAATGTAGATAAAAAAAATTAGAATGTTTTATCCCCAGCAGATTGCTTAACTAAATGTTTTAACTGATCATCTCTCAATAATAATTACCGGCTTTTTAAATTGAACAATTCACAAAAACATCCAGGGCTTTTTTTTATACACTGCTAATTTTACCCAGACCGCTGTGGATGCTCTTAATTATACACCTTTTTTTTATAGTAGCTGCTTTTTTAGTTAACAGGATATAAAAGAAAAAGAATCAATGTTACAATTACAAGTGTAGCAATATTCTTTGTCGATTGTATAAAATATTTCTTTTTTCAGTAAATATAATTCTTTTATTTCCTTTTTACTATGTACATTGTATATTGTACATTGCTTAGACCAATTAAACCACTGAATTCAATCACAAAAAGAAAAAGAAAAAAGGATGAGGGAAAGAGATAGAAGCCCCTTTGGAGCTATTTTTTTTGGTATCAAGTTACTAATGCAAACTCAAGGCACACTTTAAAGTATAGTAACAAATACCCGTGTAGCACATTTCCTTGGGTAATAACTTTTATTGAACACTTGATAGGTTAATGGGAGTACAATGTCAAGAGGTATTAGATCGATCGTATTTGATAAATGGGTCTGTGACTATAATCTAAACAAAACAAGAGGATTATATTTCAATACGATTTCAAACGTAATAGAAATCAATACAGGATTCTTATTTGTGTACATTTATTTTGGTATAATTTATAGAATATGGAGTGTGGCTTTCTATCAGTAATAACAATAATAATACCTAAAAAAAAGTAAAGAGGACGAAGGAAGGGGGAGGATAGTTTAGAGATTATATAATCCAATATTAATAAGTAACCAGTTAGAAGTGTAGTTTTTGCATTCTAATTGCACAAACAGACAGATACAGAATACCAATTGATATCTAGCTATATCGGATCACTGGGCCGGTTCCGTACCGGTACTTTGTATACCCACCTCTTGAGGGACTTGTCTGTAACTCTGGTGAAGAGATGAGTAATTCAATCGTATTTGATATTGGTGCTCAACTTAATTATCTAGACCCAAAATCATGGGATTATATTCTCTTTTTATGTACTTCAAGGTCATACAGAAATACGTTGTCCTTTGTGTGCCAAGAGCGAAAACTCATTTTATCTACATTTTTCCTTTTCTTTCTTCTTGATGATGTCTGGGTTGAAAAGCAGTAGAAAATATCTTTTACTCTTTTGGATATATTGCATTTACCTATTCCTTTAATGCTTAGACTCTCAAGGACCAGTTATCTATCAATAAGTAAAGTAGTATGTTTAATTTGCTCTTGCCAATTATTTATTATTACTTGCTGAGCTAATCTAATATTCCTATTATTCTTTATTGATTGCCGCAGTAAAATAATTTCTTTCAAATTAAAAGAAAAAAGAGAAAATGATTAGATGAATGTCCTTGTATTTTCCATAGTGCTTACACCCAAATAGATAAATTTATTGGCTAACATATATGTTATGTAATAGAATGCTGATGTAAAATCAGATTATTATTATTAGTAAATAAAAAGTATTAACAGCAGTGAGAAGAGAGAACGAGAAGAATTGAGGAGAAAAGACGAAGGCAGTCCTTACAACACACGTGTGTATACACAAAGAAAAAGTAACACCAACAAGACTTGTCATTTATTTTGCTATAGTACCTGGACACACATCTATTCAAAAGGAGGTCCTCTTTTACTTAATGTATGTAGACTGCCTAAAACTGATGCCCTCCCTTGGTTACCTAGCTTAGCAATTTGTATGAGCCAGCAGTCCCGCCACCTGACTCATCCTCACTTGGAAGCCAAGTACTTTGTCGGTATTACTAATATTAATATTCTTGACCACGTATTACCTGCAATGAGTATAACATTACTAGTAATTCCTATTTGAGAATAATCTTGCTGGTTAGACCATTTTTCCCATGATTCCATTCTAATGTAGTCATTTCCACGAGAATTGACACCACTTTTATGACTGACTAATGCGAGATTCACCCTTGTTGTTCATGGCTGAAGTTTTGACAGCTACTGACTTGTAACTAGATTCATTCATAATCCAGGAACATAAACACACTCAGAAGTATAAATATAAATACGCCTACATTGGTCAGTTGAAAAAAAAATACAATAAAAGTATGAAGATCAACATGGCACCGATGAATTCTTGCACTCCTGACGCAACCGCTAAAGATTATAATAAATTCTTAAGATGTTAACATCGTTATAAACGATAACGAGGGCAATATACAAGTTTATTAAATTAGTTAAGCACAGAGAAGGCAAGTTTAGCCAGGATAAGTATACTGGATGGACAGTAAATAAATAAGGGAATCCACCGATAAATTCTTTTTTGCTCTATAGCAATTAATACTGAAGTGCCATGATTTTAGTTTCACAACTTGCTTCATTTTTGTTCTTTTTTAAAAAAAAAAACATAGGAAAGTTTGTGTGAAACTAATTGGCACTAATATGTAGTGAATATATATATATATAAAATCCTAATATGTATAAATTGTTGTATTCTGCTTTATTTGGAAATATTATTAACATATTAACATACGTTGTTTGTATTATTTATATTTATATTTATATTTATGCCATTCACCAGCGTACGAGGTGAATTGAGCCACGTCATATACAATTCCAATTGTTATTCAGCGTCTGTTTTTTAATTATTTACTAAAATACATTGCCAATTTTTATTTTTTTGTCAATGATTTGTTTCATTTTGGTTATATAAAATGAGCTTTTTAAAGTATGGTCGTTTAGTATATTCCTTTTTGTAACTAGAGTCCTTATTTTAGAAATTTTGTCAATTCCCTCGACAATTACATGGTCAAAAACACCATGTAATTGTCTAGGGAATTGACAAATATATCCATTCGGAATCGAATAAATTACTATGAAAAGTAATTTTTCTTTCAATTCCCTCGTACGCTGGTGAATGGCATTATTGCTATATTTTCCCATTTTGGTACTCATCCAAACGTGTGTAGAGCTGTCAAGAATCCATAGAGCTGTCAAGAATCGGCAGTGATTCTTTCTTACGTCATAATGATTTCAATAGATACGCGTTTAATGTGAACACAAAAAATAAGCATATTTAAGCATAACTTGTCGTTTTATTGGATAAAGAAAATTGTTGAGCATAAAAAAAAATATCTTGTGTTTCTATCATTGTGTATTGTTTGTTAATACAAAAAGGCATAAGTGTTACTTCGAAGGGTAAAAGAAAAATAAGAGAAAGACAGGAGGGCATATGTACTATTTTAAAAATGAAAAAAGGTGAAAAGAATTAAGGATCAAGAAGAAGGCTGTGTATACAAGAAAAATAAGAATAAAAATAAATAATGGGCATGTAGTATTAATAAACAATGTTAAAGATGTAAAGGAGATGCAATATGTTTGGTTTTGGCTTTGTTTTTTTTGGGTTTTTTTTTGGGTTTGTTTAGAATATGGCTTGTTCATTAATGGTTAGAGTCATACACATAAATGTCGATGTATAATGCTTGTCATCCTTTTCTTGCTTTTCATTGCTTGTATTGTATGAAAACGGCTGGGAAGTACCCTGATCAAACGAGTTTGGTTGCTCATACTGAGTTGGGGTAGGTGTTGCGGGAGCAGAATGGTCGCTAAAGTCCCAGTGGATTTCTTGAAAATCAGGGTTGTATTCAAGGTTGTTGTTGTTGTTAAGAATACCATCGTAGTCGGCTATTGGGCGACTATCACGATAATTGTGCGATAAATTCAATCGTAAACCACCTTGTCCCAATGGCTGCCGACACGGAGAGCGCAGAAATCGTTCATTGCACCGATGATGTGCAATTGGTGGTCCAAGACCAGCTGAATTGCTCGACCAAGTGCAAACACTTCCGGATCCACACGTAGGATCTAAATTAAACAAATCACAAATTTAAAATTAGTTAGCAAAATAAAATATTAATTTATTTTACCAAATGTATACTCACTCTCATTAGAACAGTCTTCAGAATCCTGAGTACCTCCTGCACTATTCTGTGTATTCAATCCAGAAGTCTCCTGTCCATAAATGCACGACGAGTGGCGACTGGAATCACTCTCATAAATACTTCCACCTAAGCTTCCTGAGAACCCTGTTCCACTCGAGGCAGTAGGTGAATCAAACTCTCTTTGCTGCCCTAAAACCAACAGACGTTGGCCAGGTAGCCTTGGATCACAAATGTCCTGGACAGAGAAACAGCAGACATCTTGAGGGTAGATGTTATCTGCTATGCCTATTAGCTTAGTGTACTTTTTGGACCAATGTCGATGGCGGATATCAAATATGTCGACTGAGCAAATTGAATAAGCATGGAGTACATTGGTATCCTCTCTATTCTGACGAATAGTTTGGCCTCCAAACAACATTAACTTGTTTGATATATATAATAAAGAGCACTGGAGACGTTCACGTGGAGGATTCCCTGTGGTTTCAATCACGCAATCCTTTTCGAGAGAGAAACTAATCTGTCTATCCATATTTGCAGGCAGGTAATCAGCATCAGATATATCTTGCGAGTTTCTGTACATCTTTCGTCGATAACGTTGGGCCTCTGGGTGATCAAACTTGCTCCAGATCCAGGTTTTGCAATCGAGTTTGTAGAGCATATCATACACAATATTGCCATCGGCTTCAACCTGAGTGCCACCAAAGATGTATAGTTCATCGCCAACCATCACAGACGCGTGACCGTAACGTGGAGAAGGTATTTGACTAAGAATAATTTACATCAATATTAATAAATACAATATAAAAGTTGTGTAACGGATTGTAATATTTAAACAATAAAAAGTATAGTTATTATCTTACCCTTGGCAGCCAGGCTCAATCCACATATCCGTTTTGGTATCAAAGATATAAAGATCATTTTCACCTAGTAACGCGTTTATTACAAATCTCGAATTTTAATTTTAATTTTAATAAAGGAAAATATGTATATTACCAGATGAGTCAAGACACAAACCACCAAATACAACAAGGTAACGATTGTACAAAGTATCAAAAGAGTGGTCGAATCGGGGTTGAGGTGAATTTCCACGACAATGGAGCTTTTGTAACACGAAGGTATTGGTGTCAAGAACATACATGCTGTTTGAAAGAGTGGAGCTTTGGACTTGACGGCCGCCAAACATATATATCTTGGAGCCTATTGCAGCTACAGCTGTGATAAAGGGCTGGTACTTGTCCGTAGATTGACTGCAGCAAGAGTAAACAATTTTGCGGGGTATCGGCTCCCAATTGAGTGTAATGAGATCAAATACATAGCATACAGGATCTGGTGTCATGAACGGCATAAATACTTTGGTTCCTACTCGAGCCATACATCGCATATGATAAACTGGAGGGGTCATGCTCAGACAAAGTTCTTCTGGCTCGCTACTGGATTGCGTTGATGTATTGTGATGAGATGGACTGTCGATAACAGGTTCGTTAGACGTGATTGTGAGTGAAGGCGGGTGTCTCCAAGTAACTGAACGAAGACTAAGCTCACACTGGACAAGAGCATTGAAGAATCGGTTGGTTTGAGACAGTGCTGATAGAGAGTATGGATCAATTTTACGAATAATCAATTGAAGCACGTCCAGGCCCAACCTGTGGATTGGTGGTTGATGAAGAAAGCGCATAGTACTACTACTTCTTCTTCGTTTGATGTATCTTTCCGTTTTTTTTTTTGGTTTTGTGTTGGTAGACACTAGTTGGATCAATTCTTGTGTAAAGATGGTAAAAAAAGAACAAGGCCGGCCTTTTATATAAGAAATCCAAATCCATGTCACTGGAGTATATAATATGAGCCAAAATACAAGATATATCTCAGCAGGCATCTAATATGGCCTGAAGATAAATAAAAATATGTATTTTTACTAAACGGAAAATGAATTATGTAACAATACTTAAAAGAGGCCTAAATATCTATTGTTAAACACTGTGTAAGTAACTGAATATGGAAATATGTTATACAAGGAAAATCTATTTTTTGGCTTTTAATCTTCATGCTTAATTGTGTAGCATAGTAGATACAATTTCCAAACTTTGTTGATATAGTAAGGTCAAGGTCATAATCAAATTAATATCTTGAAGTTCTATATCTAGGAACGAAATACTTTGCTTAAACTATTAACTTCTTCTTGAATTTCTGCACTGGTTATAAAAATACACCACAAAATATATACTTGTACAATTGACAAAGTGCTATTATTAAGCTTGATATATTCTGGGAATTATATTTTAATATGTATAAACTAGGAAAACCAAATTGACAGTGTAGCCTATTGGAAAGAAAATTACCACAAATATATCTTGAATATATTATATCTTTTCTTTTCTTTTCCATTTTTGCAAAACAATCATTTATTTCAATTCTTCTATATCACATAAGCACACGCTGCTTATTTCGTCTTCTTTCGGTTTGCATTGAACTGCACGCTATTAACAGCTTTACAAAAATCCAGGTACTATTTATGTAGACAAAATGTCTAACTATAATAATAACACCTTTAGAATATTTACTCCGATTAAGCAATTTTACTTGACTGTCTTAAAATTTCCTTTTTTTTTTCTATATAATTTATTTTTGGAAGGTTTCGCTTACCAACTCTTTTGTCATAACCCAAATTCTCGGGAAATGGTACACAGAACTAAGCCCTTTTGTTCCTGAGGAACAATGTAACTAAATTCAATAAGTCACAATATGCTTGCGCCCTATAGTAAAGAAAAGGCTATTAAAGCCACAGCACTTGTAACTTGGCTTAAATTTACTAAAGTTTGTAGTATACAAAATATACCTTATTTCCATGTGGTTTAACATATCAAGCCTGTTGTTGCTCTTGTTGTTTTTCTTTTTTTTTTCTTTTCTTCTTCTTATATTGTAAATAGCAATGTTGATAATCATGTTGACTGTAAAATACACACTAATAGCCAATAGATTGCTTAATACTATTGATTACTGATACAACTGACGAAAGAGAAAGTAATGGTATATTCTGTATAAACCAATAGCCGGTACGATGAATATATTTTGCCCTGTTCTCGACTCACATAGAACTTACGTGCACGGACCTTACCAATCATACAAATGAGATATAGACTACATTAGGGGAGCTTGAGAACGAAATTTTATATGTTTATTTTTGGTATTCAGAATATTTCGTTGATAAAACCCAGAGTCCCCTCGAATTTGTCAGCTATGACAACTATGCCGTATAGCTTACAAATATTTCTTTTTTTAGGAACTCTTTTCATGACCTTCTCTGTTTAAAAAGCTCGCTACTATCTCACATTTGTTTTAACGCATTTGTTCTGAGCTCAGCTTCTGTTAGTCAGTTCCGAGAGGTATCATAATCCTTCTTCATGTCAAGGATAAGTGATTTCCCAACAAACACACCACAAATTATATCAATGTCCTTTACTCCTACTTACCTATTTTGGACATTAAATACTTCCTCGTGGATATAAATGGTAAATAGTATACTATATATGGAGTATATCCTACTGTTATTATTTTTACTTACGAACCCGTCAGTCGGTTGTCCAAGAGTACAACTCATGCTGTTTGAGCCTCTTCCCCCAGCCAACCCACGTTGCTATTGTATCCGAACCGGGGTATATTATAGTTTGATCTGGTTTAAACAATAATCTGATGGAAAACACATACATATATTGTTATAATTACACCATCAATTGTATCAATAATCGACCATACCGATAAATTCATATCTCTTCTTTTTTATTTTTACTCTTCCTCTTTAATAATGACTGCATAGTACGCGAGTAGCTTTGAATTATTAGAAGACCTAATAAGATTTTAACGAGTGGGCAGAAATGCGTCAACTGCAGTACCGCATCAGTAGCTCTACCTTTACATCCTTCAATATTCTTCAGCCTCAGCAGCCATCGAATACTTTATGTCTATAATAAGGAGATCTCCTATTGCTCTACTCTCTCTCTCTCTCGCTCTCTCTCGCTCTTTTTATTCTCGTAATGTCTTGCAATTTCATGCTTTTTGCATTATCGTATGTGGTCTTATGATTCTGCAAGCCTTTTATTAGTATTTGATATTTATAATCCTGTGTTTCTTTATCTCTAGTCTCTTCGTCACCAGAATCTAGGGTTGTCAGTCTTCTAATGAACCCAAAATACTACCATTTTACAGATTGTTACACGGCTGGCACAAGTGTACCTCACGCTGACACAGTTCCAGCCAATAATTACACAATAGAAAGTATAACGAGCAAGGAAAATTCTATGGTACTTGATCTTTTCCATATTTTCTTGCGTGCACACCCCATTTTTCCTATTAAGATAATCGAATTAAAGTATGTATTATACTATAAAACAATATAGCATTTTTTTAGTATTATCTTTTGCTTAGTTTATTTATAAATAACCTTTGATATGCCCACTACTTTATTCATTATCAGATCGAATATTGTGAAATCCGATTTATCGGATGTTTCTGCCTTGAATGTAAAATGTTAAGATAAATGTTGAAATAATAATAAAACATGTTGATGAATTGATTTATTTATGTATATAAGAATAGTGAGATTCCAAATACTTCACAGTATTAAGAGTAAGGGGGTGATAATTCTCTGGTTTGCTCAAAAGCAAATATATATATATATAAAGAGTTATAGATAAAGGAGAAGGGGGGTTTATATACAAATGAATGCAAGTAACTTTTTGTAAATATATATATGCACACATAACATTTTTATGGTGATGGATACATTTTTTCGGGTTTTACTGACGAAATCTCTTCTTTGAACTCCCTCTCCATTTTTTCCATTTTCTCGGTGTTTTTGCTCTGATGTGGCCATTTGTAAAACTCGTCTTGAATCATAGCGAAACAAATAATAAGGTTGGCATGAATAGATTCAATTGTAGAGTGGTAATCGCCTGGACGCTGATAATGGAGCCTAGAAGCCCTGAAAAGAATATTGTAAGCGTTCATAGCCAACTGAATGTCAAAGAAGCATGAGAAGGATGCCGTTCGAAGAAACTGTAATAATCTGACAGTATTTATGGCGGTGTGGATAGAGATATGATAGATAGGAAAATCGAGAGATAGCGCAGATGGGCACATGGCATCATAAATTAAATTTCGATATTCTTCAGGAGTGCCATCAAATCCAATCATGTCCCGCATGTGTGCCACCTTTTGGATCCACCGGTTCATTTTGTTGTTGGCGCAATCTTCAGTGTAGTTACTTCCTCCAGTTGTTCGCCAATGCTTGAGGTGTTCAACATATCTTTTGACATCGTAAACCACCTTTGGCATATACGATTGAGAAAGAACCAAATATTCTCGATAGGCGATAAGAGTCGTGAGACATGGAATAGGAGAATGTTGACACTCGCGTTCGAGAGTGGCAAAATAAACTTCGTCTCTAATGTAGCTGTCAAATAAAGGCATACTCAGTCTGTCTTCTGCCGGAAGTGTTTTGCTGTACCACTTTCGAATGCTTGCTTCAACACGGTGCCCAAATAATTCAATAAATGTTGGTAAATCATAAGATTGGGTAATTTTGAGTGAAAAAATAATCTCTTTCTGAAGATCTTCGACAGTATTGTGCATCCTGATCGCACGTACTTCCTCAGGTGTGTCTCCTTCGGCTGGCTCCAACTTACTCTCAACCACAGTCCGATGGATGTATGGGGTATATACCCCAGAACGATAACGTTCATGGAAATTCATAGAGGAATGTTTTGCCTTTTTGAATGTAAAATATGATGCTTCGATCAAGGAAGTAATATACTCAAGAAATCGACGGAGCCGAAAATACATTGTTTTCTGACCCTTGAAAGTCTCATCTTCATTTTGCGAATCTTTGTACTCAGGTTCTAGCAAGTTAGCCATACGAGTTGCCATGGAGCAATAGTGGTTTGAATCTTCCAAATGAGATGTCTTGTACTTATATAATGAGATGAGGCAATAAGCTGCCAAGGTTTCAAGGGTGACTTCATCAAATTTGTCAGACAAGAGATCTCGGGCCTTTTCAAAGTAATATTCTCCGTAGCCACACAAATCTTCCATTGGAATAACCATCAGGATATGTTTGCAGCGAAGAGAGCATATCATAGCACATAATGCATTGACTAGTAAACAGTTTTCAGTCTCGGTGACTGTGGCAATCATTGAGATAAAGGTAGGTATATGTATAGCAAGGTGCTGTAGGTGCTGACATTGAGTGTAAATATAAAGCAACTGATGAGTGGTATTCTCCACCGTTGTCAGGGTGATATTTATATGCTGATTTGATTCCTGGGGCAGTACCCCTGCCTGAGTCAATAAGAGTATACTTGGCGACATGTTTACCATAAATGACTTGTTGTATCTCTTATTGACCATCTTCCGAAGAAGAGGTACGACTGGACTGGGAGTAGTGTGACTATTCCATGTACTAGGAACAATTGATTGGTACTGGATCGTAGATGCAATATTCTGTATCTGATTTTGCAAGTCTTTGTGGGTTTTGATAAATGTACTAATTTCGAATTGGCCCTTTGTGACTGTAAGTGTCCAAGGTGTACTTTCACAGGGTTCGTTTTTTTCGACTGCGACTTTAAAACCTAATTTCGTTTGTGTGACCTTTTTTGACCTTTTCCGAGGTGAGGTAGTTTCCAATGGCGAAGCAGGAGGACTGGCCAGCTGGGTAGGTTGGTAGTCGATACTGATACCATTATTATATCCAGTAGCAGCAACAGGGGTAGTAGTTACAGAAATCGGTGAATGGGCTTTTTGTTTAATGGATCGTAGTTGCTGTAGTTCGTTTTCCATTTCCGTCAGACTATCTTGAAGGACCTCTACTTCCTGTAGCATGGCAAGCTCCTTGATGTATTCCTGGTCATTCGGTGTCATTGTTTCATGGTAGATGCATTCCAGATTAAACTTGTCGCACCTATGAATAGTAATGAGTACAGTTTTATGAAAATAATCTATTACCTTGTGCATGGTTGATCATAACTACATCTACGCTTGTGCCGGCGGCATTCTGCAATAAAAAGAAAGTGCGATTTAGAAACAGAGTTAGGGAATGGTACTAGAATATTATGTTTATAGTAACTTGCGTTCGCATGGAAACTGCTTCGAGCCTTGAGGATTTTTTTGCATCGCAGCAGGTAGAGTTGTAAAGAAACGTGGGGTGATTTTGATAGGAGGATCTTTCGCTCTTTTTTTTTAAAAAATAAAATAAATAAAATGAGATAAATGTCTGGGATTGAATGTCTGATAACCTGGTTGCCAAGACATGCCCGGGTGCGTGCACTTTATTTTGATTTAATTTGGTTACTTTATTTCTTTTATTCTTTAATTGTTAAGGGTAAAAAAGATATGAAGGGTGTTTATACATACATAATGAAATCAAATATATTCAAGGATATTGCTTACTAATGACCTAAATGAGAGTGTTGTGTAGTGTGTTGCGTTATGCTATGTTATGCACGCTTTCGTTTTGAGACAATATCTTCAGTCTCATCAGAGGAAGAGAGTGTGGACCCATTACTACCATCGTCATCGTCATTGTTTAACAGACTCTGGAGCATTAGCCTTCTTCTCCGTTTAGCTGTCTGGTTTGTATCGATCATGTTACGCAAAAGATTGCCTTGTAACCCCAAGTTGTGTGGTCCAATGATGGAATGGTGCACATGTTCAATTGACTTGAAGTATTTGACAGTCTAATGATAAAGTAGTCGTCCGGGTCAATATAATAATCAATTGACTGCAAACTAAAGCAATTGAGCAAACCTTGACATGAAGCTCCAGTGTTGCATCTTCATCACAGACAATCAGACCTTTTGGGTGCATTTGAATAGAAGAAACAGTCCACATATGATTTACGCCCTCTTCAATACACTTTGCTAATGCAAGACTTTTGTGTGCACCAGTGATTACGATAACAACCTCTCTTGCATCCATAACCGTCCTGTGTATTAAGGCCTTTAGTACAGAAATGCCTTGTTCATGCCATTCTGGATTTGTGACACAACTTACGCTACACCAACCGTTAATGCAAGTTTAGGGACGCGAGACACATCTCCACCAAAGAATCGTGCATTGGCCATAATTGTTTCGTAGGCAAGGGTCTTTACACGTGTCCTTGATGTGAGAGAAGAGCCAGGCTCGTTAAAGGCAATGTGTCCATCTGGGCCAATGCCTATTAATTCTCTAATTTAGGCTACACGTGCACATCTACGCCTTGATTTCATTCCATTTATTACGGATTTCCCTTTTGGCTTCACTCCTTGTCATACCTCCCAAGAAGAGTTCTATGCCACCAAGTTTAGCGATCTCTGCTTCGAATTTACGACATTCTTCGTCAAGATTCTCGGCATTTCCGTCTAGAATATGGACATTCTCTAGTTTAATGTCGACATGTTTAAAGAGGTGATTCCACATGAATGTACGGTAAGATTGCGGGTGGTTCCTGAATAGAGAGGAAAATTAGTGAATTGAAATAAGGTGTTTGGTTATTTGAATACCTTGGCAAACCAACATATTCATCCATATTAAATGTAACGACGTGTTCAAAGCTAACTTCTCCAGCAGCATAAAATTCGACAAGTTTGTGGTAGACGCCAATAGGTGATGACCCAGTTGGAAGACCAAGAACGAACGGTCTTTCTTTGGTAGGCTCGAATTGGTTTATACGCTCTTTAACATAGTATGCTGGTGAAATACAAGTAAGCAAAGGCGATATTTTCTTTAATAATAAAAAATCTACCAGAATAAGAAGATACTTCGTCGTAGTCTTGGCGGACGATGAGACGCATGATGAGTATGGGAAAAAGAAGATCGAGATGAATACAATAAAGAAAAAAAATCAAAAAGGGACGGGCGGGACTTTTCTTTTTCTTCGTTTCTTTTACTTCCCTGTAGGGCTATAAACACCCAGGGCGGAGATCACAGGAATAAAATAATATAAAATAATATATAAGGGTGATTGACAATATGAGGAAAGATATAAATGCAAAGCGGGTGAAATGTACAAGACTACAACTGAATCTTGTTTAAGCAAGGATGGTGTATTGTTGGGTTTGCGTGTGCGGGTGGCAAGCAAAAAAAAAGAGAGAGAGAGAGAGAAAAAAGGGGTGGGAGATGGGAGGTAGGAGGTGGGAGGTGGGAGATAGTTTAGACTGGGTTATCAAGCGCTGCTTATGTAACCAGTGCAGGGACCGGGGTGTTAACAAGGGTTTAAGTATAAAGAGGGAATTTGTATTTGATGAGGCTCATATGAATTTTTTTTAAAAAAAGCTCATAATTATGGACGACCTTTCTTTATCTCATCATAATTCCTCACATGGCGAGATCTACGTTGACGGATACGCTCATATTTGTACACCAGATTGGCAATATCCTAAAATATGCAAGAAGCAATTAAATATAGAATTAGCAATCTCATCCAACAAGGCTTAGTCAATTGAAACGCTGAGCACTCCTTGGTCACCACACCATCTATAATAAGGCAGAATGGTACAAGACAATGTGAAAAAATTTAATCCTACCTTGGCCACAACGAACAAACAGCCACCAAGTATGTTTCTATGAAACGGGTCAGGAAAATACTTTTGCACAGGCTTAAATCGGGATAAACAACTAGTCACAACAAAATATAAGTTTATGTCGCATATTTTATCATAATTAACCCCCTACCTTCCAATAATGCTACTAATGGTAGGCCACAGCAGAGCACCAATTATTGTGACACTCAGACCAGGGCCATCGTCGTTAAATATATCATCTTCTCTGTTGTTGTTTTGATATTGATTCCGTACTTCGTTTACATCATGCTCCACCAAATCACTGGTTTGCCCACGGCCTGTACCTGTTCTTGTGGCCGCCCTTCCCGCCTGTCCTTGGACCAATGCCACGAATGATGACGACGTTGTTTGATGTGATTGTTGCTGCTGCTGTCGGTACGTTGTGTCGGATAATCTGAAAGAAAGTCTTCGCTGAACCAAGGCCTGTATTCCGTTATAAACCAGTCTAACCCAGGGTAGTAATCCCAGCATTACAGCGGGGGAAGGAGGCCATCGTAAACGAGTACGGGAAGAACTTCCTGTTGCTCTTAAAAGCAGTGTTGCTGCCGCCGGAAGAATTGCGTCAGCCCAACGTGAGCGGGATGCTACCAAAGATACCGGGATCATGGGTAATCCCACCCAGGTACGCCATGACCAAGTTGACGGATGACCCATTAAATTCCCACCTTCTTTTTCTCCCATGAGTGTCAAGACTGTGTGTGCTCCGTATGTTGTGGATACAACGAGCATAGAGCACCCCAAACCGAGCACTGCAAGGTAGGGGGCTGCAGTGTGAACCCATTGATCTACAAGCCCAAGGAGAGCTAAAGGGATATTTCGTGCCTCGGACAGGTAATAGGGCGCGGCACATTGAGGGCAATGAACTTTCTTGGTAGGAGAATCCTTTTGATTCTCAGTGATCCAGTCTAGTAAACATTCTTCGTGGGAGACCAGAGAACATCGACAAGGTCTTACCCACCTACCCTCAGAATCACTGTCTTCTCCAAAGCATATCCAGCATCGTTGCTGGCCTTCATTGTCTTCTGTAGTATTGATGGGGGGATTTCGGGGATGCTGTGAATGGGGATTTGGATGTTGGAGAGAAATTGTAGGTTTTGATGCAAGTATTGTTGAAGAGGAAGAGGAAGAGGAAGAATAAGAAGAGTATGAGAGAGTTGATCCTGCTCCATCGTTGTCGTCGTCTGTCTTGTCCAGGGAACCCATTGCTGTGCTGCTGATCGTGTACGGAGAGTCAAATACACCGCGGTTTGTGTGTGGAAGGTCAGCAGTGCTAGAAGGACGCTGATAGGCATAATAGCCAGCAGCACCCACCAAAGAAGAGCTTGGGCAACGGAAATGAGACATGAGGAAAATAAAGAAGAAAGAAAGAAGAAATAAGTGGGGACATTTCTGCATAGACAAAGGGTTAATATGACGTCAATATCAGCGCCATGTGGATAGTAAGCTAAAAAAAATTGAAACACCAGGATCATTCTTTAGAGTATAAAGGGTATTTTATTGATTGATTGGAATTGCTGTAGATTTATGGTTGGGTTGTGGTTTTGTTGGGTTCCAGAAGACTTAATGATTTTCATTCGCTTGGTCAATTACTCTAAGACGTCGCATAATTCTATCCATTTCGGCTTTGACAGTGAGCATAACTTGCTCGTACGAAGCTGTAGTTTGGTCAGACTGTTCCAATGCTTTTTGGAGTACAGCTACCTCTGCTTGGACTGCTTTGATAGTCACCATCTGGCGCCGCTCCATTGCCTCGTGTTCTCCTGCTAGTTCCTCTACCCCCTGTTTCGGTAGCTCGGCCTTGATCCGTGCCTGCACTTCTTCTTGTATCTTTAATGCACGGCCAGATGTCTCTGCCAGATCCTCATATGCCTTGAGAACTACTTGACGAAGTTCCTCTTTCTCGTTCTTATATTTCTCTTGTGTTTGGCGGATCTGTTCTCTGACTTGACCATACTCCTCCTGAGCACATCTTTCCAAAGCCTCCTGCTCTTGTTTTGCCTTTTGAAGTTCATCATCTAGTTCTTTCAGGTGACCCATTCCCTGGCGTGCTGTTTCGATTTCATCTGTATATTTCTTGACCTGTCCCTCAAAGAAAAATGCTGTTGCTTTAGCGTTCTCGGCTTGCCTGTCTTTACGATTGGACATATCTGTAAGAGTCTGAATCTCTGTCTTTAGTTTACGGTTGGTTCTTCCACTCTCCTGAGCATGAAGCTCAGCCGCCTTAGCTTGTTGTCGCGTCTGGTCCAACTCAAGACGCAATTGTCCCAACTCTCGTTCCGCCTTTGATATTTTTTGTTGCAGTTCGCCAATGTCAGTACCAGTCGAGCGACCTACCCGGCCAACATCTGAGCCACCAATGAATCGGATTAGCATAAATTAATTAAAAATGAGGTGCTTCTTACTGTCTCTCCCAAGTTCTTCATCTGTCATTGTGTAAAAGTGAAAGAAAGATGATGACCCTCATTGTCCGACTCAGCTACCAATACAGTATACAGACCTTGAGGTCCCCGCATGTCTCAAGCTGTCCAATTTTTTTCATATCGGAGATTTAAAAAAGTGAGTAATACATCGTTTTTTTTTGGGAGACACTACGGACAGCCTGGAAGGACAGCCTGGACAGCCTGAAAGTATGCGATATCACCCATAATAAGGAGTTTATTGGCTATACATATATTTTTGGGTCGGGGTCATACTTTGCAGCAACCTTACGGAAACCACGTTCCTGGTGGGGTACGATATTTCTATCTAGCCGGACTAATCAATTCTGGCTACATGTCCGGAGACCGGCGTCTATCTAATTCTTTAGGGAAAAATGGTGTGTCCTCAAAGAAATACAATATATTCATTGTACGCATTAGCTTTACTACTTTGTCCCTACACTTAGTGTTCATTAATCTCTCACCAGGCACCTAACTTTCATTATTTTAAGAACCACAGCCTGTATTTGAGCAACTTAATATAAGATGCTGTCTCATACGAAAAAAAAATTCTGTATATTCAATTAGTAACCCTAAATATAGACTTGACAACAAAGAAATAATCATTAATCGCAAATACCCTATATCAATAGCCATTTATGCAAAGGACTATAAGGAGTTGTTGTCATTAGATTGTGGCGCTATCCTGTTTGATATCTTACTATTTATTAACCTGCTTACGCGTATCATGTCTTTTTCTTTCTTTCACCTACATATTCCCAAAGTTCAAAAGCACCAGCTGGTAAGTAACCCCCACCCGCCTCTTTTTTTTTGAAAAGCACAAAAAAGTCTATACGAATATTATGTATTCTTAGGAACCAGATGGACTTATTCTGTGCCGGAAAAAAGGCTACGATTTGTGGTCCGGCAGAATAAAAATGTCGCCCCTCACCAAGAAATACCGTCCCCCTAAACTAAGGGTACACGCTGTCCAGGCTGTTTTGCCAGGCTGTCCGTAAGGTTCCCCAAAATGAAACTTCAGAAAATTGGTAAGACACTTCTGTCCATATCAGTACATTGGAAAAGATATTAGTAAAACAAAATTGCACAAACCTCCCTATTATGAACATGATTTCAAAAGAAGAAGCAAGCTGCATTTTTTTCTGCAAAAAGTACTCTGAAGAAAATTCAATGTCATGTCTAAATAAAATTGAGAGAATGGAAGACATTGAGTTGTGTTACTCCACCAATTCACGTCGCCCATCAGTTCAAAGTGAAGCAACAATTTATGGAAACCCGGAAGAGTACCATACCTATTCAACCAAAGAAGAACTGAAACGAAAAAACGCAATTAGTGATTATGAAAAAGAAGGAGGAATCACATTTGGTAATTGGTTTTGAACTGTAAAAACCTAATAACTGTTTATTAATCAAAATAAGAAAACCAGAAACGAAAGCTCAACTACTTGAGTTTGTTAATTATGTTTACCAACCCAATGATGAAAGTGACCCAAAAAAACCGGATTATATCCAGAAGAATATTTTGATAAAGGATATATTTAGAGTGATAATTAGATATTCAGAAGAATTTAAAAGTGTGGATTCATTTACTACTTGGTGCAGTAAAAGCAAATCAAATTTCATATCTGTTGAACCATTCAGAAAAGTAGTAAAAATTGAAAAAGGTAGCCAAAAGGTTAGATTTCGTGCACTAAATGTCTTGAATGATAAATGCCATGATAAAAAAAGCTTAACGTAGGAAATAAACGGAATTAAATTAATCGATTATTTATTTTAGATCAAATTGCCAAGAAGATATCAAGTACCTTAGAAGACCATAAAACGTACATGATGTTGAAGAATGAAGGATTCCACATTATTGGATATTGTCGAAAGTCGGACTTGAAAAAGGAAGAAAAAAATCTTGGAAATTTACTACAACAAATGGTTGAAAATCTTTATAAGTGCTCTCTCGTCGACTCTGTGTTTGTGTCCCCATATTGCAATGCCAATGTACCTTTTTCGAAAAGAGATTTGAACGGTAAAACAATGATTTTTTCTACACTTCAAAATATCCATGGTGATCCAAAAGGTAAATCAATAACAGCCATTGTGAAACAAAATAAAATATGCTTGTAATAATATACTTATCCTTAGATAAAAAGAAAATCTGTATCGTATGTTTGGATTATGCCGGCCTAACCACAAATATCCTCGACCTCAAACATGTACTTCAGTAATGAAAAGTAAATAAATTTAAAATAAAATGATTAATAATATTTTGTATAGAAACAATGAAAACATCAAAAAAATCGTAGTTGACATGTATTTTTCAGAAAATCATTTCCATAAATTAGATGCAAACGATTTATTAGATGACAAAGAACTTATCAATGTGTTTGACTGTCGAACATATTGTAAGCAACGAGTGAAATAAACAATTTATGTTACGTTTTCATTGATTTAATTTTGCTTGTAGAAAAGCTGTGATATACAGTATCAAATTGATCACTCAAAAAAAATGTAAAAACAAAGGAATACAAATAAAAGTGTCCTCTGATTTAATAGGATAAAAGAATGTATTCTTTCTAGATTTAATTGATACCTTCTTTTAAGATACCTAATGTCAATTCTGGGAGAACTGAAGGTATTAAAAAGCGTCCTTTGAGACTTAAACCGCCCTATAGCTTAAAAAACCGCATTTGGGATAGATGATCCAAATAATAGCCTGTCTATTTAAGGATAATGACGCAATGAAGTAATCATTGTATTCATACCACATAAAATTCTGTTTGTTTTATGATAATCAGCTAATGAAAGAACAATGATATTCATATTATACATGTAATAAATTAACGCACCAAATACTGTATTTAAATATCGACATTCTGTTGTCCTCATCTCATCTCGCCCCCCCTTTTTTTAAGTTGTTTGAAAGGCGAATGTCCCTTAAGTTTGTGGTAAGTAATACTTCAGCTTACTAAAAATTCAGAATTAACATTCTATTAGTTGACATTATCTCAATTGCATCGCATCCTCTTCATCTTATGACATCTTGTCTCTGGATGTCATTGGTTTTTAATCTCAGCAAGGAAGGAAAGAACGAGGAGAGGGTGGCTTGGTTGATCTTTAATTTTCATTTTATTGTTTGCTCCAACCCTTCTTTAACGTATTTTTCTGTGAACACAACCATGAGCAACGCTCCAAAGTCTCAAGCCCTCCCATTGAACCTGAAGATCATTGAATCTCAAACCATTTCTATCGAATCGGCCAACTCATTTCTCGACAAATTTCTACACGATGGTGTAGCTATTCATGCCGCAAACAACACTGTGGCTGCCCAACTTCACCAACTCCATCAAGGACTGAAGGAAGAAAAGAAGCGCCTTCGAAACACTCATGGTCATGTTGATTCTGATGAACTCTAATCAAAACAAACAAAAATAGCAACTCTTTTTTACTCCTACCATCTTCAATTCCCCTTCACGCACATGTACAGCTCATCCCTTGCCTCACTCTTTTTTTCTTTTCTTTAATTGTTGAATCATAAATAACAGCGTGACTCGTATTTTTTGACTCTGAGAGGTAGTTAAATATGTTTGGTGTATGTATATGTGTATGGTTGGGTGTGTATTATGCGTGGTGGAATAGAACTGTCTTTAGATCGACATACATCGCGCTCGTTGGCCGATTGGAGTGACTGTTGCATTATGCTTCTTATTCGTTGCTTTTTCGATGTCTATTTGAGAAAGGTAATGGTGGAGCGAAGACGTTGAACCGAAAGGAAGTAATCGTAAGGTCGGTGCGTCGGTGTGGTTGTGAGAAATAGAATTCAGCAAATAAACTCCAGAGAATATTATGAGAAACCCACAAATAAGGCTCATGGTATTTATTGGACTTGCGCTGTTCCATCCTTGATACATTATTGCGGATGCGCCAATAGTTGCAGTTGTAAAGCACACATAGTATATAGGATTTACACTACAGATTATGTCAATATTATGCTTACATTGGCGAGAAACACTTACACATTAGTTGAAAATGCATCGAGAGCCTTGTTAAAATAATTGACTTGGGTGAGAATGAATATGATGCACATGAATGCGAAAAAATATGTCGAAGGCTGCGTGAATTGGTTATTTCCTCCAATCGTCAGTCGAACAGCGATACCAAAGGCCTTTATAGCCATCACTGACAATGACCCCACCAAAGAACAGATCGTTACATACACAATGACCTTGGTCTTTCCCCACCGAGGTACAGCCTTCCATATAAGCGCGATGGTTATCAGAGACGCAAACACAGCATATACAATGAAACCTTTTTTTTCATTTTGCTGTTATGCACAAAGATTTTAAATGACATATATACAGTCAACATATCTTACCTGGCCGTAGCATAAATGTCAGTAGTTCATGGACACTCTGAACATCAGGATCTTCAGGTGCATGTAAAACAATAATTACTGCACCTATGACTGATAATAAACACCCAATGACTCCTGTAGGACCAAGGCGTTCTTTGAGGAATATTGACGCAAGAATGGCACTGTGGTATTATATAGACTGAACCATTAATTAACAGCATGATTCGAACTGGTGATTTTATCCAAGGGCTGTCACTTTATTATTTACCCAATAATAACACTCAGGGCACCCAACGGGGTAATGAGAATCGCGGGCGCAAATGTATAACCTAGCCAACAAGTGTTATGTCAACAACAGTATCTACGATGCATGCATATATATTATTTACCAACAAAGTTTAATATCTCTCCACTAACCATCGTGAGTAATCCTATCCACCACACAGGATTCTTAAGGTAGCGATGAGAGTCTGAAGCGCACCCTTTTTAAATAGGAGATTGGTGTTAAATAAGATCAACAAATATGTGTATACGTAAAGAGAAAAAGAAAGATAAATAGAGATAGGACTTTTTTATTCTTACCATTTCCATTTGATGCTTTCTGAAGGCCCTTCTTTGTTATTACAAATGAGACGCCAATCAACATACTTGAACATATAGCAAGGATCAAGCCAATGTATTTCGCTTCTAATGACATTAATCTGCTTCAATATAAAATAGGCAAGAGAAAGAAAGAAAGAGAGAAGAAAGGCAGGAACGTGTGGTTATGAGCCAGTGAAGGGTAGGCGAAAAACAAACGCAGGGGATATAATTCTTGGAAATGCAACGGTTCAAAAAAGATAAATAGGGGTCAGTTGCATGGATTATATATTTGTATAAATGTGTATAAAGAAGGGGGAGGTAGACTATCAGCTCTAAACTACTATCAGTGATGACCTTTTCTGGCACCATGACAATAGTATTGTGATATTCTTATCTACAGGAGAGAACCTGATCCTTGTTAAAAAATAAGTTTAAAATAAACAGGCTTTATTTATTTTTTTGAGTTGATGGTATTTGAACAAAAGCCCAAATTATGAAAGGGTTGTTTCCTTTATCTTTTTGCTTGTTTAGTTCTGGGGGATCGATAATCCATAACATAATAACTCTTTGGATAAGAACAGCGACAGAAACTGTATATATATTCTTTTTTAGATTCTCCAGTACATGCCAGTTCACTGTCTGTGTATTTCCCCCTAAAAGAGCAACTGTATCTACTGCAAACTCGAAGCATTGTTTGAAGTTCATGACACAAAGTAAAAGGGGTTTGTCTTACAGCAAACGAAGGTCTCAATAAACTCACATATCAGCAGCTCTGTTTACTTTTATCCTACAGTAAGTAGTACTATAGATAGTTATGTATCAATGTATAATATATCTATATTTGCATTTGCATTTGCATTTGCGTTGTAAAATTCATTGCTATTTACAGACCTAGTAGGACTCTTTGTTGGTATGTACCTATTTTTATTATATGTTTTCAAAAATAAAATAAAATATTAAATATTAAACACCATGTAAAAAAAGGGATACAAAGCAGTCCTTGTGAGTCTTAGATGATTAAGCCGATCCATCTTAAATAATGAGATTTTTTCTTTTATTTACTCTATCTTTCAATATAACGTTTGAAGTCTAGAAAAACTCTTATAGTATCACGTTCTCAGCACCGTATGTCTACATAGAATAATGATAAAGGTCAATCCTACACTATGATAAAAAAAAGATGACTTTATTAAAACTTTCTGAAAGCTTTTTCGAGGTTTTAAGGTCTGTTTTGAGATTGGATCTTAAGTAAACCCTAAGTTTTCTCTTCTTTTTTTATATGTTTCAATTTCAATGTCTCGCATTTCTTTGATATTGAGATTCAAAAGTAAAGGTATTTTTTTTTGAATATCTCATTTTTATCTCATCATATTTTTACAGTCGATGCAAGGCTCCCTCATCTTCTCCCGACTCCAATAGATATCAAAAATATTAATGAAATAGCTCACCAAATTATTTAAAGAAAATGTATCTTCTTCTTGTCAGTGGAGCTATTCTAGATTTTTTTGTTATTTTACACTTGTCAGTATTTATCTCACAAGGTGATCTTTCAAATCATTTTCTTTTGGCCTCCCAGTACTTCCAACTTGAAGAATACGGGTGATCTTCTCCAGAATTGTGCTATTACGTCGCAATATGTGGTAACTATATCGAAAGTCTAAGGCGGGATCAATATGTCTATTCTACAAATGATGCTCAAATGGTAGCGAAGTCATGTTATTCAGACAATTTTAATTAGTGCATCTAGAATTGTTTATAAGAATATAAATATTAGAATAATGAAGGCTGGTTGGAATATTATCTTAGAGGACTAGGACAGGTTACATTTGTCGTTTGAAAGAGGCGATATAGGCAAGTCTCTTGGACTTCCTTGAGCGTTTTAAGAAATGCCTGGAAACACAAATGAAGTTGCCTTTGGGAAGATTTTTCAAATCACCCTAAAGGTCGTTGTCTTCTCCCCTTAGTACTAGCTAAAGGGAGAAATATTTAAATGCATACTCCTTATATAAAAACGTATCAAATTTGACAATATTAGTTATTTACAGCCAATATGCTCGAAAGCAACTACGTATCGGCGTGTCCGAAAAGCTGTTCACAGACCCAAATTAAAAAGTATGTGGAATATTTTTCTTTTGAATGAATAAAATAAGATAAGAGCCAATATTAACTTTTAATATTATTGTGGGAAGGTATTTTGCCCTTTTAGACCTTACTATGTCCCTTAATACAGTGGTCCCTCGATAATTTCAAGGCCAAGGCGGGAACTAAGTACCTTGAAATTATCGAGGGACCACTGTACTCATTTTTGGCAGAATGTTTTCATTTGTGTGATTATTTTGAAACGTTTAAAAATCCTATGTCCTACTCCTCCAGATAGAAATATTATAATCGCTTATTATTCCTATATTTCAAGCTATTTATTTGTTAATGGATCCCGGTGAATCGCTCTATTGTAGACCTGACAAAACTGGTGTTACGAAAGATTGGGGAGGGAAACAGTGTACTGATATAAGTTTAATGTAAATAAGTGTTGAATATCAAATGGTTTTTATTATACTGGATTTTGAAGCAAAGAAGGTTGATTTGTAATACTATAAAATGTTCATAGATATAACATCAAGGACTACTCCATAAATATTCATTGTAATAGCAATTAATATTTTATCTGGGTATCAGCCTGATTTTATTTTCTTTAGACTGCGAAGAGGTCATTACTTTTGAACTACAATTACATCAAAAACAATAAGAAAAATTGAAAGGGAAAAGTATGTATTAAAAAGATAGAGAGAGAAAAATCAGCAATCTTACGGGGACGACATTTTCAGGATGGGGTACTACCTTTTTTTTGCCGGACTAATTTTTTGTGACTACTCGTCCGAAGTCCGATGTCTTTTCTCCAATCCTTCCGAACAAAACGATGTGTCCTAAAATCACCATACAAATCTGGATAACAATTTATCAAAGTGCAAATTTTCCCCGCAAAATTATTTGTCACATTTGCTAACTGCATAGTGTTATCTAGTTATCTAGTTATCTAGTGTAAGGCTGATAATTTTACCACTTGTTACTAGTTTTTCTAAATTAGTCAATTTCGTGCTACCATATGGTTTTCTACAGCCCTTGAGCTTTACAAAGCGGCCCACTTTAGTGACACAATCAGTTACCAATACCAGAACTCATTTGGAGTATCATAATCCTTTACTTTTTATTTTTTTATTGAATTTAACAAGCAAATTAAACATGTACAACCCAAGCAAGCGTACTATCAAAAGAAGACAGAGAACAGCTGTACCTCAGTTCTTACTGGATTACTTTTCTGAAGACGTTCCAATAAGTGGTTTGAATTATATTCCCACTGAAAACCCATCTGTTTCTGAGGCGGAATTTAGTAGTCCTCGCCTAAAGTATACATATACGCGCAAGAAGAGAGCAAGAACCATGGCTGTAGCCCCCGTAGAAACGCCTTCCGAGAACATTGCTGCTTCTCAGACTGACTTGGACGTCGAAATTGATTTCGATACATATGAAGCCAGTCAGACCCAGAAAAGAAGCCTCTACAACAAGTGGGTAGATTTGCTTCCCCAGTTAGCCGATTCCTTCCTGCGTTACCTTGGAAGATGCAAGGATGGCTGTCTGGATAAGAAGGTTATTGCTCCTTTGTCTCATTTCCTTTGTTCTTGCACAAAGTTCTCTAAGAAAAACATCTACATGTTTTTTTTGCATTGTAAGCAATCGTTATTAATTTTTCAAGAAAAACTGCCCTTAGATTAATATATTAACATCCTATATGTGTACACAGCCTCAGGAACATTTGAGGTTGTTTTTTGCGGATGCAAGTCCATTCCCGAGCAGTTGGTTGAGATGGGTATGCTCCCTGCTTCCCTCAACAATGTCCAATATGCAATTCATTTCGGACTTCTTGAGTTTATGAGAGACATGCGAGATGTTCTTGCCACCTCTGGCCAGGGCTTGGCCGATCTGTACAATAAGATCAATCTGGGTGCTGAGGTAAGAAAAAAAATTATACATCAGTATGTGTTACTAATCGATTTTAAATATTGTGTTAAAATAAAATAAATAGAGACAGATCTCAAAGGCATATTGCCAAAATCTTCTGCATGTCTTCATCAGGCTTACGATGATTGTTGAGGCCAAGGTAGAGAAGCTTTCGCCTGGATTCCGGGAATCCAACTGTTGCCCTGCTTGTCCAGATGTAAGTGAATAATATGTCATATTTTACTTGCAACAAAGTATTGAAGTTGTACTTTTATATCAGGTTGACAGCAATGTGGCCGTTGACGACTGTCGATATGTTGCTATGGATGGCAATTTTAGCCTGAAGTGTGAGAGGAGGAAAGATGGTGAGGGTGATGTTGGCGAAGAGTTGGAGCAAGTAGAGGCTCAACTCAAGCAGGTGTGGATTGGTGACGACGTGGTGAAGACGTATGAGAAGGAGAGGGCTGAAGAAGGCGTAAGTAATAAAAAGTGACAAGATATTAAATACATACTAAGCCTTTTCTATACTTATAGGTAGGTCGGTTCGACAGCAACTTCCATGCTGGCTCTGGCAGTTTGGCAAAGTCCATAAAGTACCCTATTAAGGGTCTTTTTGCGGCGAGCTGTGCACGCCATGAGTCAGTCATTAAGTTGGTAGACATGGAAACTGGTGAAGGGTTTAAGTACCCTCTCTCCATAATTAATCAACTACTTGGTGATTCAGGTAGTGATGGCCAGTCTGCTGATAACTCTCCCAACATCAATGTGATGTATGATGTTGTCTGTAAGCTGGCAAAGTCACTGAAGGTAAATACAGAGTTATTTTTAACGTACATGTTAAATATATAAGCATATAGTAACAATACTTAACATAGGCTAACTTTCCCGGACTGATGGAGAAATCAAAACTAGCAGTTCCGATTTTCCATGCGTATGCTCATGTTCAACACTGCCAGGTTAAGCTCAACCCTAAATATAGAGATGGGTTTGGCTTGACAGATGGTGAATGTTTGGAACGCCTCTGGTCATATCTTAACCGCTTTGTGACGATGACCAGAAAGATGGGACAAGCAAACCGGAAGTTGGTCTTGTACAGAGCCATCAAGTTCCGCAATGAGACGAAGAAGGTTGAGTTGGGCTTGATGTTGGAGAGTAAGTATGTCAAAGCAAAGCGCATCATAGAAGAATCCAGGAAGGCGTTGGAGGGATTCGACTGTGTTGTGATTGAGCGAGAATGGAAGCAGCATGTTAACAAGGTAGAGAAGTCGGAGAACTACGTTGACATTGCTGATTTGATGGAGTCCGGCCGTAAGGTTCAAGGCAATATTGCTTTGTTCCTTGTAAATTTTACAATTTTGCGCCGACTAAGAGAGTAAGTGTATTTAGAGCTTTTTTCTTATGTTTTTTGTCATTAAAAAATCAATTTTATTGTAGGCTCGCTAATGATGCCAACGGAAATCATGTGAAAGATGAGATCAATAGGCTGAAGCACGAAATGGAGAAGTTGAAGGCGAAGATCCAGGAGGAAGTTGAGGGCTTCCAAGAACCTGATGAAGAAAATACAAACCTCATAAAATATATAGAAGAAAATGCCCAGCTAGGGTACAACGAGTTCCTAGCTTACAAAAAAACATATTCAAAGATGCGATTAGAGCCAATGTTCGAGCGTATCATGATACCTCGACATTGCTTTACAAATCTGGCCATATCGGTAAGAAGGGGAAAAAGTGATTGCGATTATTTCATGAATTAATGCTTTTAAATATATATATAGGCACAAAAAAAGCAAAACAACACCAAACCAGCCTGAATAAACAGGCCAAACAAATTACCTACCTCGTCCAAGCATTCAACCTTGAATTCAATGGTAACAGTGATTTTTAGACTTTTCACAATGGAAATATTAAACTGTTATTCTTACTTTTATACTTGTTTTTTTAAAAGAGTCTTTGACCTTTGATTCAATAATCAATAAAAAAAGTATTTTCTGGGATGCGGAAATCCGTCCCGAAGTCCATCTCTTTTTGGCAAAGAAAAGAGCAGAAGAAGAAGTTGCACTTCTGAAGGTAATAATCAATATAAAGATGCTAAAGGTTTTAAAAATAAATCAACTAATATATAAAATTTCAAGCATGATGCCTTCTGGCTCCAACACCGTGCCACAAAAGAAAGGACTTTAAGAGAGCAAGGGCTAAAAGCCCTTGACAATGCTGTAGGTACTCTGGACAAAGAGGTTCTTTGCGGGATGCAGTTCCTTTTGGCTAGAAAGCTTCGGCTTTCTATGTCTTGGGAGCGAGCAGTCTTTGCTCAGACCAGTTTCCTTCTGGGAACTTCGTCTTCTCCCTCCTCCATTCCTTCCACCTCCTCCTCCGTTCCTTTTGAGCCCTCATCTGTCTCTTCCTATTCATTCACCGTTGAAGACATAAACTCCCCCGATGATGGAGAAGCCACCATCGCTTTTGTTGTGGAAGGTGATGACGACAATGCCGATGCCGATGAAGGCGAAGAATACAATAATATATTTGAGTCTGAGACTATATATGGTATGTTACTCTATACTCTATTATTGTTAAAAGTTTGCTCATTTTTGGAAAGTCATTCATGATTTTTTGGTGTATAGCTACCATATTTAGATAAACCTTTTTTATCACATAATTTTGAATTATACCGAGATCGCTAAAGAGCACCTCAATGCAAGACATCTCTCATCCATCTCAATCTAATTTTCTTTTCTTCAATACAGTATTCAAAGCTTACATATAACAGATATAGTGTTTCATATCTTGTACTTTCTTTAATGTATGTCAAAGCAAGCTCTTAAGCATTAATCGAGATTAAAACAATGCCTTGCAAGGGAGTGTTATAATGATACGCATGCATCATAAAGATAGTGTATATAACTACTGCTACGCATTTTTTTTAAAACTACGAGTGCTTGTAAGTTTTTGGGTTACATTATTATCTTGATGGTGTACTATATGTGATCGAATCCAAATGATTGAGAGTGTCAGCGTTCATGCTACTCATCTTTATAAATGCTTTGACAGAAATCAAGACTATTTAATTGTTAGAGCCATTGCTATCATTATTATTATTTGGTGTGAATTTTTTCCCTTTCTCTTTCTTCCTCTTTCTCTGTGTGTTTTCTATTTGAATTCTGAACAGAGGATATTTCTTCTATCATATACTTTATGTTCTTAAAGGTTCCATAAGACGGAGACAATCTTTGTTTGGATTACGTGTGTAAAAACACTCAAGCATAGCCAAGACGTTTTTGTTTGTATTCGTGTATCGGTTTAGTTTTAGTGATTGGTTTACAGGTGCATATTTCAAAAGTACGACTACTTATTAACATCAATAAATAAATATAAAGATGCATACAATAAACACTATGCAAACAATAATAGATATATTAAAACAACGTATTGTGCAAACGACACTATACTTGCGTGGTTTTAGCATCAATATATTCATAAGGACTCGAATTTAACAGTAAATATAAACGATCTTACAAAATAATATGCTTCAGCATAACGATACTAGAAATGAATTTAATATATACTTTCTAAGCTGGTAACCTGCTTTAGACTAATGAGTTTTTTTTTTCTAGTTTACAATAATGCCCTCTTAAACGGGCTCTACAGTGCAGGAACTTCTTTTTTGTTTGGCTTTTACTGGGTCAATATAGTCTATGTAAACTGTAAAAATAAACAATATCATGTAGGCTGGGTCCCTTTTTAAGACTTTTGTTTCAGAGGCCAGTCTAGAAAGGTTGTCTTAAAGTGCTAGCAATTAGATACACATCGTACAATATCTTATCTGATTAATTATGTCTAGTAGGTATATATAGCTTATTAAACTTGGTGTACCACTTGTATACCTTCCATCAAGGGTCTTCTCTTTATTTTTATCTTTATCTAAATCTCAATTATTTTAGAAATGGTAGCAGGAAACAAAAATAGACTCATTAGTATTACTTTTCAGTTGCAGAATAGAGACAGCTCTATTAACATTCAACTGTTTTAATCTACATATTGATTGATCATGTACAAAATCATTGATTGTGGGAATTCAAGCTAAGCTGTTTCTTTGACATTAGAATACATATACAATACTGTGGACTTTAGAGTGAAGTATTTGCATAAAATCCTAGATCATGCACAGAGACTTGCAGTAGGCACTAAGCCAATACGGATTATGTTTATTATGATGATCAAATTGTATGGCGTAGCTACATAGATTTAAACTTTCTGAGATGAAATATACTTCTAGTGTCTAAGTGTTTCTCACGTTTGAGCCATTTAACCTTTTCTGTCCTAGAATCCAAAAATAATACTTTTGAAGATCTAATAAGCTTACCAGGCATTTTTTGCGTTTCCCCTAATAAAACCTATTCTTTAAATATAATATACAACAATTGTCATGTGTACAGTAGTATGCAAATAATATGTACAAATGCTTTGAGGAAAGCACAAGGTCAAAGGCATGCTTCAATATTTTGGTAGTCAATTTATAGTATTTCTAAATATAAATAAATAAAAGCTATACACAGTAGCTTGTAAAGATATTTATAAAACTACACTACAGATGCTCACGGGATTCTTTCTCGATAAAGAATTCTTTATCGAAAAGCATTAATCTTCCTATTTTAGAAGTATTTTTTTTCAAAAAAGGAACAATATGTTTAAAGTCTGTACATTCTACCCTGCTAGAGACCATCTATAAAATATTTCTAATGTCCAAATATAGAACTATTTTTTTTACTACTATCAACACAGTAAGATAAAAACGATTCCCAAAGGCTATTATATTTTATTTTCAGGATCTTATTTGCTAAACAAGCCGGTTATCTTCTGCTCAAGATAATTTATGGTATGATATCGTATACCAAGAGCTTTGCTTGGTTGAATATTATATGTTCCTCTTAGTGATAAATCCACAAGAAAAAAAAACATGCATTTAATATGTTTTCAAATAAGATTTTACCTTTGGAGTATAGTACTGATGATAACACTAAAGTATTATTCATTACACAACACTTATACTTGGCAATCTCACTCTTCCAAAAAAGGAACATTATTGTTTTCGATAAAGAATTCTTTTTCGATAAATAATTTTGGGAGCACCTTACGTAATCATATTCACGTAGAAATTAAAGTACTGATACACGGTATACAGCTCATTCGAATTTGTATTTAAAGGGCAAAACTGGTCTACGTTTATATGCTTTAAATTCATCTTGATAAAAGCAAAATATATTCTTCAACAAATATGGATAAGCTAGAAAAATCATCTCACAACCTTATTTTCTATATTCAGCATAATGTGCCTATTATACAGCTTGGAAAAGCGGCAATTTCACTGTTAGCGATGTACTATATGTCTAATGTAATAATAACTAGGCATTAATATTTTTCAACAGCTAATTGGTATCTCTATAGAAAATAAAATGTGCGTTATTTGACCCTCTTAACAATATCCCAGGTCCATTCTACCGAAGATTCTTTCCCCACTTTGGGAACATTGGTCTAAAGTCAGGAGAAAGGTAAGATATAGTAAAAGATTGTGTATAGTATCACTCAAACATAAATATAATCTTTATATCTATTTAGATTTAGATTGACCGAGTATTATCACCGCAAATATGGCCACGTAGTTCGAGTTGGCCCTGATGCACTTTCTGTGTCTGACAAAGACATTATTAAGCAGATATTAGTTATTGATGACTTTGAGAAAGGACCGGCTTATAGTCGACTTCAAAGTGAGTTCAATATTATCCATATTACTTGCTATAAGCAATTCGGTCCAGTTATTATTGTTATTAACTCATAATCAAGACGGCGGAGAAGCGAGTATGCTGGACCTAATAAGCAAAGACCTTCATAGACGAAGGGTAAGTAATAAATGAATTCATAAATGTGAAAAGATGCTTTAGCTCACGTTGAATTTTTATATTTGCAGAGACGTGCTATTTCGCCTGCATTTTCGACTAAATATATAAAATCACTCGAGCCCTTTTTTGCATCTTCCGTGGAGTCTCTCATTAAGAAGATTGATAGTGAAATTGAAAAAACCAAAGGGAATGAAGAATTTGGTACCATTGACATTTGGCATATAACAAAATGTATGGCGCTTGATGTTATTGGCGAGACAGCATTTGGTGGAACGTTCAATATGATTGATAACGATGATCATATTGTACCATCCACAATCCTAAAACTCATGAAAATATTAGAGTTTGTAAGTGTGACTTTGAAGCGAATATAATGAGTTGCTTTCTAATATCCATCTAGGTCATTTCTTACCCATGGGTCACAAAAATTCCGTTCTTGAAGAGAAATAAAAGGATCCCTCAGTTAAGCAATGTAAGTGATACTTAGCAATATTTGAATAGTATTTTGGTATCAATTATAGTTTTCTAATTACTGTATTATATCCAGTTTGTAAAGAATCTTATTAAGTCTCGATTAGAGAGCAATGTAAAACGAGATGATATCCTTCAGATTTTGGTTGACACTATGGAAGCTGAGGACAAAAGGGATCGTCTAACTGAATATGAAATTATTACAGAAACAATTTTGTTTCTTGTTGCCGGGTCAGAGACCACAAGCAATACTATTGGATTTGCCTTAATTGAGATGTGCCGTAACCCTGATTCTTTGGAAAAGCTTTTTATCGAGATTGATGGAGTTGATTTGGATGGAGGAAGCAATGTATTCAACCAAAACCAGCTCAAGAATCTTCCTTATCTCAATGCCATAATAAAAGAGACAATGAGGCTGAACACCATGCCAGCCAATGGTCTTGAGCGAATGGTTACACGTGATATAATTCTGAAAGGGGATATATTTGTACCAAAGGGAGTAAGTGTCTCATTCAAAACGAAAAAAAAATAGAGATAAATACTAACATTCATATTCATATGGATAGACAAAAGTTAGGTGCAACATATCAGTAGCTCAAGTGCACCCAGAATACTGGTCCAACCCTTCTGCCTTTAAACCGGAACGTTGGCTCGAAGATTCTAATGAAAAGGCAAGCCCAAGCGCTTATTTTCCGTTCAGCGCAGGGTATTGTATTATGTAGTTTTATTTTATTTTTTACAATATTTAATTCAATTACTTTGATAGATCACGTAACTGTATTGGAAAAGATTTTGCTTTGAACGAAATGCGACTTGTTTTAGCTACTCTTATAAAGCACTACTATATTGAACCAATACCTGAACAGATGGTGGCAGCCATGGAAAAGCGACATTACTTAACTCTTACCATTGCATCTAGTAGCTTTAAAATTCGTATGAAGCGTAGATTCTCTTAAATATATTATTTAGCTAGTGTATGTACTAACTCTCAAGCAAATACCTCAATAAAATATAATATATCTGGAGCTCAGAAGTTAAAGGCAAAACCATACTTTAAATTGAGGACTTTGTGTTTTCAAAAAGAAGAATGTAGATAGGTACAATAATAGCAATATCTGGCTAGTGTATGTAACATACAATGGTAGTTATATTTTGTTCATTTCCAATAAGATATACAAAAAGAAACTATTGATTGCAAATTGGAAAAAATGCATCATAATAATAGTCTAGGTAGCTCTAGGCTTCATCCGAACTTTAAAGCTTCCGGATTCGATGGTCAGTGTCAAAAAGTGGTGTTTTTCTTCGGAGGCTTTCATTTGTTCAGAAATTGGCTTGATCTCGTAATTTTTTATAAGTGTAGCTAGAACAAGACGCATCTCGTTCATGGAAAAATCTTTTCCAATGCAGTTACGTGATCTATTTATCAATCATTAGTTACCATAGCCATTTTATTTTGGCTGATATGGCTTTACCCCAAGCTAAACGGGAAGAAAGCATCAGTACACGGTTCTGGATCAGCATTTTTGAGCCAACGATTAGGATTGAAGGTCAGAGGCTCAGGCCAGTAATCAGGGTGTATCTGAGCAACATGTAAACAGCATCTTACGTGTGTCTATTTATATAAGCTTAAGTAAAAGAAGAAAATGTAGTGTATAATAGTTACTTACTCCCTTTGGTACAACTATATTCTCTTTTATAATTATATCATGAGTAACCATCCTCTCAAGCCCCATGGATGCAACATGATTTAATCGCATTGTCTCTTTTATTACAGCATTGAGATAAGGAAGGTTTTTGATCTGCTCTTGATGGAATAAGATTCTTCCTTCATCCAGGTCAACTTTATCAATTTCAGCATAAAGTTCTGTCAAGACATCGGTGTTACGGCACATCTCAATCAAGGCAAATCCAATCGTATTACTTGTGGTCTCTGACCCGGCAATAAGAAACAACCCCGTTTCTGAGGCAATCTGCCGTGAATTCATACGATCTTTAGTGTTCTTTGCGTGCTGGGTATCGACTAAAATCTGAAGAATGTCATTTCGTTTTTCTTTGCTGTGTGTGCGTTCAGATATAATATTCGATACAAACTATAAAAAAAAAGAATATTAAAATATGGGATGGACCGTATAGTTTCTACAACCGGTAAGTTATTCTGATACTTGCATTATTAAGCAGAGGCTGTCCTTCCGGCCTTATCATTAAAATTAACTTTGTCAGCCAAGGGTGAAGTATAGACTACAAATTATTAAAAGTGAGTAATGGTCTATTTAATGTAAGTAATACATACAAACTCAACCCCTCTAGTTAGTTTAACGATTGCTCTGGATACAGCATGATCGTCATTTTCGAGCATATTGAATGTGCCACCAAAGGCCGTTTCACCGATAACATCAAGAGTCAAGCATCTTAGTAGCTGCCAAATATCAATTACGCCAAATTCATCGCCTTCTTTTGTGCGTTCCGTATCAAGGTTTATTCTTTTGACAAAAGATTCGGTGACGCTCTCAAAAAGTGGCTCAAGAGACTTTATGTACTTGATAGAAAAGGCAGAAGACACAAGACGTCGCTATGTAATAATAGTTGATTTATATATAATCACGCATGTTTATTTAGGAGAATTACTTACTCGTTGCTTGTGGGTATCTTTATCAATCATGTTAAATGTATTCCATTCATCTTTGCCTGTGAGTTTATGGAATACATAATAATTGTTAGTGTAGGTTCATTATACGTTTTGTTTCTTCTTCTTCTATGTTAACAGCTCTATTTACTTACCTTTCATTTTGGAATAAATGGAGCTTTTTTCAAAGTCTTCAGTTACCATTATTTGCTTTATTATATCTTTATCAGACACGGATATTTTGCTAGGACCTATACGCACTAAGTGTCCATATTTATTGTGGTAATCTCTATATATTTCGAATCTACGGGGGTGCGTTAATTCCATCATCGTTGATGTATAGTCAAAATTCAAACTTTTACCTTTTCCCTGGCTTCTTTTTAGAAAAGTATGAACCTTCAAAGAACCGTTTAGAAAAGGGCCCGGGAATATCTCCAAGAGGACTAAAAAAAGCACTTTGTATTTTCTATTGTTATTATATAAAGTAGTATTAGCTCATCAAGTTTGTTATAATATAGAAATTCGATTATATAACCATTACATATAACAGACAGTAAATGACCAGTCCCGTAGCTGCGATTTTTCCAACTTGTGTAAAATTTATGTTCTCAGGAAATGTGAAGATAAAATATTTTGAAAAGGCTTCTATGTGATTCATTGTTGAATAATACGTTCGAATAAGTTGTGAGCAAATACATTTGCTCCTTTATATATGTGCGCTACTTTTCTCTTAAGCTTCTAAAAATACATAGTCCTAAGAAAATATTTCCATAACTTACATATAATAACTCGGGTGAAACTTCACCCTTCTTGGCGTTTGATATGTTTAACTGTGCTTAGCAATATCTGCTGTAATTCTTCCGCCTTTGAGAGCTCAGCATTATTCAAGGAATAAAATAGAGAACATGGTAGAAAATGACTTCATCAAAAATATTAATTCTCGCTTGTACATAATATATTTAGAAAGAGACATAATAACCCAAAACATTATTGCTAAGTACTTGCCCCGATACATGCATTTTATCTTCTGAACATTTCTTTATCATGCTATTATTGTCAGCCATTTGATCTTGGGAGTTAACTTTAATAATATCTTTGCTTTTTGTACTAATGTTTCATCCAAATTCGGAAAGAATGATATATAAAAAGTAAAATAAATGTTAATCACTAAGAACTAAACAGTTTATTGCTAATGACATACATAAACTGTCCTTTTTAGTATTTTTTTACTAGGTTGGGTTAAATGTAAATAAAGTACTCATTTATGTTAATTGAGTAATATATTGTATTACTTAAAGCTTATTCTTATGCTTTTAGTGGTATTTATATATCGTTTTTGGATAATTTATATTAACCCACCAAGCAAATGTCGTATTTTAAGATATGTATATGTATATACTGAATAGCTAAGTATAAGATAATACAATTTCATAATTTAATGATTCTAATAAATGTTCTTTACATGTAATATAGATGAATCTAGTGCCTTTTATTTTGGTATTTTTCATTAATAGACGAACTGTTTTATTTTAGTACTGGTATGGTATTCTGTAAAAAATATCAAGCTTCTTTTCCAGAAGATTCTTTAATATCTTGTAGAAATTAATTTGATCAGATCTTATTTTATGTATTATTTTCTTTGGTCTACTAGTAACTGTATAATAAATTCATGCGTTATCACAGAATTTTTCAAGTCAGATATTTTTATTTGCCCTTTTGGCTCATTTGTAACTATCTCTTATATTTATTTCTAATAAACCTGTGCCCAAAAATCAACTTGACACTTACTATAATTATAAATGTTTATTGGTTTGAGTATTTAGAAAAATATTAACAAAACACTTGGAGCATCTTCAGCACTCGGCTAACTTTTATTTTATCTAAAATTAAATACTGCTGAAGATGTTCTAAGGATTCTTTATTTAAATAAAATTACTGAAATAGAAATATTTATATCTTATAATATAAGTTAGAAAAATCATACAATCTCTTGATAAATTCAAAATAATATCATTTCAAATAGTTTATATAAAAACTTCATTTTTTATTTACATTTATTGTAAATAAGTATGGATTATTGCTGAATCTGAGAGTAAGATTGAAGGATAAAATAATATTCTCAGCTATTCCAGTCAAATGGATTTGCTTTTATCATATTACTTAATATATAGATCATAATATACATAATTGACTTTATTTATTATTACTATAAGATGGGATATATAAATATACATATATTATATCTACAGTATCACCATTGTAGTATACATACCACAATTGAGTGAAGAACAGACTCCACAACGAAACATTAGTTCCTTCTTACTAATAAATCTGGTAAGTTAACAATCTATGGAACTGTTACGCTCCAGGCACACGTATGCTACACCGCTAATATTAGGGGGACGACATTTTCAAGATGGGGCACTATCTTTTTGACGGGAAATGTTATTTTGGTTTTACCAGACCACAAATTGTAACTTGCTGTTCGGTATCAGATAATTATATCTGGTCCGTAAGGATTCATACTTATCATAATAATACTTTAATATAAGGCAGGATAATAGCTTTGGCTAAGTGTAAAAGTATCCCCTTAAATATATAATGATATACTTAAAGCCTTATACTACCTGCAATGTATTAACGGATATATCGAGAATAATAAAATAGTTACCTAACATGCTACTTCAAGACATAATATCATAACAAGAAACGACGTGCCCTTCCCTTATGACATATTTCAAGTACTCTCGAGTTGGTTTACTCTATCTAGTTACAGATACAAACTATTGCATCTTTGAAATTACTAGTGTCGTACCACTGTAACTTTCAACTGGTGAGACAGGAAGAGGTTTTTGGGCAAAAAAAATACTCCTCTCAATAGAAAAAATGGGTATTCTTATTGATAGGATTCATATTGATATAATTTCTAGAAAGTACTTATTAACACCATAATTTTTAATTGCTAATCTACAATGAGCAAAGTAGTCTCTTTGCTATCTCCGAGACTTTTTTTTCAATACAATTAATCAATAGCTTTTATGAGATGAGTATACAATAGAAAAGAAGGTTTTATATTTAAATGAATTAGGAATTTTAGGACACATCGTTTTGTTCGGAAGGATTGGAGAAAAGACGTCGGACTTCGGGCAAGTAGCCACAAAAAATTAGTCTGGCAAAAAAAGGTAGTGCCCCATCCTGAAAATGTCGTCCCCGTAAGATTGCTGATATTTATAGGCAAAAGTAGAAAATCTAAATTTGTTTTTTATAAACAACTAAGCACTATTTTTAGCTGTTTATAAATTGAAAATATTTCAAATTTATATTAGTAAAAGTCTATCATTTAAGAAATTAAGTAACTGCAAAAGTAAAGTCTAAATATATAAAACTGCTGAAATATTTTAATAGTAGAATCTTATATAAAAAATAAACAGATAAGAAACTATAATAAAAAATAAAAAACAGCTTTTAATTCTTAATTTTTTTTTGAACATTTTGAGTTAGTAGATAGTGTTGTTAAATATTCTCAACTATTGCTCCAAAAAAAAAATAAGGACAAATCATGTCTTACATAGTTTTCCTGGCATATTATATTCATATTTCCTCCATGATACATTGAATAAATAAGCTGTATCTCCATGAAAATGTATTTACAGTAGCTATGAATTATGCACGATATAGATAAGACACACATACATGTATTCCCTATAAGTTTTGTCTTATTTAATATGAAAAAATACCATCTTGCAAATTGAAATTTGGACAAATTTTCCAAATTTTGATAAAATCCTGGTTCTGAAAAAGGTAGTTTTGAGCCTGCTTCAGATGTCAATTGTCAAATATATCAACTTATAAATGTCTCTACTTTTCTGACGAGTTCAGAACATTTAACAGCACTATCTATCATCTCAATAATAGAAAAGGTAAATACTGAACTACTACTGCCATTTATATTATTTTGGATTAGGAAAATTATATGACTGAGATCAGATAATCGATCCTATCTGAGCCTTAATCAAAGCAACGTGATCTTGGGATAATTAATGTATGATTAATTATATAAATGTGTGTAGTCCCAATGAAGTATTAACATCGAAAGTAAATGTGTTTATGAGTTATAATAATGCTTATAATAATCCACTGATGTATCCCATATTATGGTGATATCATCATATGAAATATAATCACTATCATGCATGCTAAACCTGTGTGTTAAATAATAAAGTAATTGGTAGATACCTTTGACTGGAATAGCTGAGGCCTTATATTATTTCCTTCAGACTTATTCTCAATTACAGTAGTAGTCAATACTCATTTACAACAATGGGGAAGGCCATATGTTGCAAATGATCACCAAAGATATTTGACAAACAATTACATCGAATCGTGGCACAACCAATTGAAAACAATATACTTTGGCTGTACTCGCATAAGACGATTGGACCGTCTTGTCTTTATTTTGACAAACGATGTGGAGTTCTTTTACGACGAAGAAGTGGAACGAATCCATATACAAAATGGACAAATGGATCCGATTGAAAATGAACTTGCTCGACACTCTTTTTCTGCCAATACCATACAAGATGACATGCTCCCTTTCATGATCATTAATCCTCTTAATAAGATTGGCAATAGCATGGAGGACTCTAACAGCAAGTAGACAGTAAAGTTATTTACAGGTGAAGCACAATGGTATCAGGTTAATGTATCAAACAATTTGATACAAAATTGCACTTGTCCCAATTTTGCTTCACGTCAAATTCCCTGTAAACACGCATATCTCCTAAAGAGATTTATTGGTCTAGACTTTGCGTATATAGTTCAAAGGGAAAGCAACCACCTCCAACTGCAAAGATCGCTTGCATCTGAGCATGAAGTGGCAGTTGTTAATGAGGAAGTTGAAAATGAAACAAACATAGTTGTTGTAAGTGGTAGAAACAATTCTGTTTGGTTGCAAAGAATCATGGCCCAGAATACAACACTTTATAATCAAAGAGAAGACTTAGAGCAGTTGATGGAGATTCCAGGAATTGATGAAGCCAAATTACAAGTGATTAGTGGTTTACTTGAGGAAGCAATGAATCTTATAGACACTCTTAGAAATGCAAACTCTTCCCGCTTTAGAAATCTTAATACACAAAGATAATAAAAAATTACAATTATGTTCTATAATAATATGTTTTGATAAAGAGAAAAAAATGTAAAAAAAAAAAACATTAAGATTCCAAAAGAAACAACAAAAGTAAAAGCTGTCATTGCTTCTACACATTCTTATAATTTAAAGCCCCTTGCGACATAAAAAAGTAGACCCCCCAAGTAATTTAAACTTGGCGCGCAAGGAAATAAGTAGGTACTGCCATTAATCTTGCTGATCTCATCATCTACTGAGACATTGTCAGCCATTGTGGCGGCATTCGAATCAAGTGAGTTGGCCTGATCATCTATTTTTTTGATGGATTCAGATTGACAGGTTGGGATATATACAAATATAGATTAGTTTAGCTTATTGTCTCTACTGGTTTTCAAACATATTTTTTTCTTTTTTTTTCTTACATTGGGTATCAATGTCTATCATTTGTTCTTCTTGCATAGCTGTGTTTCATTAAAATTAAAAAAATAAAGAAGTTATTACTCAGTAATCAAAAAATAAATCCTGAATATAACATACTATTTGTCAATCTTTCAGCCGTATCCAGTCTCTCAATTCTCTCAAGCTCATCTTTTCTAATATGGCATGTGGTGATCCAGACACTCGGATGTTGGATTTATCACATATAAGAACATATTCATATTGGGATAGCGTAGTAGCTATCATCTTGTCAGTATAAAATATATATAAACGATTAAGTAATCAGCCCAATAATTATTACAGTTAGTACTGTAGATAATATCTTAAAGATTGTTAAGATAATTATATCATACTGCCGGGTAAACTGTGTCAGATCGATATGGAGCTAATTTAGTAGGAAGTCCTAAAGCTCTAGTATAAAAGAGAAAAGAATAGCTAAGAGCTAAAGAAGTACGATTTATGACTTGATGTCATAATTGTAACACCGACACGAGTTAAGCAGTAAATACACTCTAATAACCAAATATAGTAAAGGAAGAAAGCCTTAAGAAACTAAGACGTAATGACAAGAGCAGATTGTGTTTTCTTATAAAAACGGACACTTTTTATTTATGAATAAAAATGGACATACAGTCTCAAAGTATTTCTATACGTCTCTATTATCAAATATTTTATTTTTCTATTGTTTTGTACCTGAAATACCACACTGGCCACATTATTAATGAGAGTAGTTTTTCTAGTGTATATATATATATTTATATATCTTATATTATAATAATAATAATAAATAATCAATTATGTATATGATGATCTGTATATTGAATAGTATTATAAAGACAGATTTATTTGACTAGAATAGCCAAGGATATTATTTTATCATTTAGTCTTACTCTCAGATTCAGCAGTAATTAATACTTATTTACAATACTTCTCATAATAAGTAAGAAGAAATTAGTATTTAGTTGTCGAGTTTGTCTTTTATTTCATTGTTATATATATATACTACAGTAGTAGTAATTGACTTTAGATAAAAAAAGTTAGACAACTGCTAAAGGTACTCTAAAATTAACAGTATTTTATATAATATTAAAATACTACAAAAAAGTAGACAAACTGAAAACAATATATTCTATAGCCACCTATTTTAGGCTAATACTTATTATTATAATATTACACAATTTCAATTACCGGCTCTGTAGCGAAATGGATTATCGCGTTAGACTTCGAATCTAAAGGTTGTGGGTTCGAGTCCCATCAGAGTCGCACCTTTTACTTATTTTGGTACTTTTGTCATGTCCAAATTCTTGTCAGCCAATCAGGATGACGATTACACAGAATTCTCTTTTGTGAACAACGACCGAAGTGCTTCCCTTTTACTCACAAACGAATTACAAAACACATAGCTTAACAAAAGTATAATAGAAACCGAGGCAGACATGAGAGGACAATATTTCATTCTGACACATGGTGAGTTGGTTATGCGGTCCAAATGTCCAACTCAGTGACAAGAAAAGGAATTGGGTAGAAAGAAAATTTTATTAATAAACAAATAAAGAGCTATTTAACTACTTCAGGCTATTTCTACAGCTATGTCACTACTTCGAAGTTAACTGCGATGAGTGATACAAGAAACACCATTGGATAAGATCCACCATGTCAATTCAATAAAAGTTATCTATCTTTCTATTGTTTTGACTTGTATGTCAAATCTCAATATGGTATTTCTTTTCTTGTACTTGTAACTAAGTTGCAGAGTCAATACCACTGGGGATTGTCAAGTTTATAAATAGCTTTTAAATAAGAGTAAAGACACTTTTTATTAATTATATTTCTTGACCAGTTATACAAAATGACACTTGATTTCTATCTAAAAGAATAACTATGGCAATATATCTTAAATTTTAGCTGTCCAATAATATCTCTATAAGTGTATTCACTGTCTTGAACATCAAAAACATATACAAAAGACCGGTCAGTAATTTTAAGATATTTTATCCTAAAACGTCAACCCTTATTGGTTGCTTGTCAATTCTGATTTCGGTTATCAATGTCAACTCTGACATGTACACGATTTATAATATCTCACTGCCAGCTAAAAGATTGTGAATAAATAGAAATATCTAGATATATAAAGAATTAGATACTTTTTTATTTGTACAAACTTCTTTCATATTTATACAGACTTTTAAAGTAGAACCATCTAAAATCATCCTGTTGTGGTGGTTGAAGTTTAAGAAGTTTTTAAGAGGAAGAATTGAAGATTTGAAATTAGGAACGAAGATTCGTGAGAACTTGTGTAGGTTTTGTTTATTGAGAAAGATTTTGTATCAAAGTTTGACCCGGTTCCTACACTGAACTACTACTGCTATTTATATTATTTTGGATCGGGAAAATTATATGACTGGGGTCAGGTAATCGATCCTATCTGAGCCTTAATCAGAGCAACGTGATCTTGGGATAATTAATGTATGATTAATTATATAAATGTGTGTAGTCCCAATGAAGTATTAACATCGAAAGTAAATGTGTTTATGAGTTATAATTATGCTTATAATAATCCACTGATGTATCCCATATTATGGTGATATCATCATATGAAATATAATCACTATCATGCATGCTAAACCTGTGTGTTAAATAATAAAGTAATCGGTAGACACCTTTGACTGGAATAGCTGAGGCCTTATATTATTTCCTTCAGACTTATTCTCAATTACAGCAGTAGTCAATACTCATTTACAACATTATCCTCCACCAGATTCAACAATACCTTTTGTTGATTCGGCAAAACATCTCATCTTAACTATTTATTAATTTGTCGAATTGCTCAATTTCATTTGGGTCAATTACGCTCATAATTTTTTTTTATACTTCAAGAGATCTGCACTGTAAACTCAGCTCCGTGGATTACGTGTTTATTTTATCAAATTTTTTGTTGCTCTTCTTTTGGACATTCTTTCTTCTCTACTCAGTGCGGTAGGAAGCTTACTTCCATTGTGCTCTTCGATGCGATTCCTTTTTATTTTACCATCATGTCTTGGAATTTGAACTGTTTTCTTTAATGAGGCTGCACTCTTATTCACTAATTCCGTGGCTCTCTCATTCTCTAAACGTTCGATTTCTCTGACCTTCTTCCAATACTTTTGTATTATTGTGGGATTGGTAAAATCGTTAGCCATTTGCCATGTGTTTGCCCGTTCACCATAACCAACCCATTTTACCAGATATTCTCTATCACCAGCAGCACCACGATGATCGCGAATGTCTTCAACTTCATAGAGCTCATTCTCAATTGTAGATTCATCGATGGTAACCATCTTGAGTTCTGAGGGTGTGTAATTTCGGTGCAACAATTCTCCTTGCTCATCCTTTAGTTCATACGATCCTCCTTTATTTCTTCGAACCACTGTATAAGGACCTTCATAGATTGGTGCCAATTTATTTGGACGATGTGGTAATCTGACCATTACGTGTGTTCCTTTGGGGATGTCTATTAAGATGTTCTTGTGATCGTATTTCTTTTTTAACTCTTCGTTGATCCGCAAGACTCTTTCGTTTATGGCAGGGAATATTATTTTATCCATATATTCAATCTGCTTCTCCAATTCATCAATTGTTACCGTGTTTTTGGGAAGAGAGAATTTTGCTTTATCACCATACTCATCAGGTACATTAACTCTGCGAGCATACATTAGTGAAAAGGGTGCACTCAGTGTCTTTTGAGGAATATGTCTGTTTATGCATAGCTGAACAATTGGTAAATAGTGACACCAGTCATTGCTGTTCGCTCTCATCATTTTCCGTACAGTATTCTCTGCAACTTTCACACTGGCTTCAGCAATACCATTTCCTTGTGGATGATATGCCGTTGAATATCTTCGATCAATACCAAGCTCTTTCGATAGGCTTGCCATTAAAGAATTTCTAAATTCCAACCCATTGTCACTTTGCATTACTTTGGGAAAACCATAATCTCCAAATATTTTTATCAATGCCTTAGCTATTGTTGTCGAGTTTTTGTTTGGTAATGGTCTCAAGATGATATACTTGGAACAAACATCAACTAACACTAGCATATACGTGTGACCATCCTCTGATACTGGGAATTCACCGCATAAGTCAATTGCAACATGATCAAATGGTCGGAAAGCTACAACATTGGTCAATGGGTGATATCCTCTTTTGCTGATGTTGTGCTTCTGACATTCAGAGCAAGAACGAATAATCTCCTTTGCTTCTTCATATATATTAGTCCAATGTAATCCTTGAGAGTGAAGATCATTCACCATAGCTTGACTACCAAAGTGACCAAACGAATGTGCTTCTTTTAACAAGCCATTTCGCTTTTCTTCAGGAGGCGACATATAGTCGGAAGTCTCTGATACATTTTCGATGAGTTGTGTAGCAAGTACATTTAGCACTTTGTCCTTACTGTACTTTTTCTTACGAATAATAACTTTATCTTTAGATTGCAAGTGTTTTGTTCTGATTTTTCTCAATCCATCATCCTCCACCAGCTTGTAACTATCCTCTGGAGGATACAAGCGACTCAACAAGTCTGGTAGTTTATTCAACAAACCAGGAATATGGACCACCTTAAAATCAAAGTCAAGAAGTGTCTCAATCCAGCCAATTATCATGGGATTAGCAATTTTTTGTGTGTGAAGATAAGTGAGTGCTTTATGATCAGTAAAAATGGTGAACTGTCGGCCCCATAGAAATGGACGGAATTTATCAAGCGCCAAAACGACTGCATACAATTCTCTTTTGGTGGTACTCCATCGCCGTTGGGATGGGCTCAGGGAAGTTGACACAAAACTAATATACTTATCACGCCCTTGATCGTCGCGCTGAAAAAGCAGGCAGGCTACTCCATAAAGGGAAGCATCTGTGGCCACATACATTTCACGTGACATATCTGCGTAATGAAGAATTAAATCCTGATGCAGTATGTCCTTTAATGCTTTAAAGCTTCTTGTCTGCTCATCTGTCCATAGCTCAGCTACATTGTTGGCATGACTTAATCGTGAAATAGGTTCAGCCACCTTCGAGATCATGGGAATATAGTCTCTGAAGTAATTAATCAAACCCATAAATTGCTGAATTTGTTTCGCAGTTTTAGGAATAGGCCATTTATCAACGTTTGTCAACTTTCGCTTATCAACCTTGGTGCCTGTCTCATTGACGACAAAACCAAGCAATCGCACTGAATGTTGAAACCAGACACATTTATCAGAGTTTAGAATCAACTTCGCCGATGTCAATCTATCAATCACTATTTTTACATCCTTAACATGCTGCTCAAATGTTTCGCTAGCCACAATACAATCATCAACAAAATTCTGCACACAGTCAATTTTATCAAACAAAGTTGCCATGACATGTTGAAATTGTGATGTAAGCATCTTCAAGCCAAAGCAGCCTTTAATGAAGCTATATTGTTGCCCATCTAAATGAGTGAATGTTAATTTATGAACATCTTCAGGTGCAACTTTGAAACGATGGTAGGCATTCGATAAATCCAATGTGGTGAAAAATTTCTTTCCACTCAAATTCTGGAATATCGTTTGGATTTTAGGAATTGGATAGTTGAATGTGGGAGGTAGGATCTGATTCAATAATCGCACATCTAGACAAACTCGGTGACTCACAATCTCTCCAGCTTTGTTTCTTTTAGGCACAAGCAACATAGGACTGTTGAAGGAAGTATTGGTCTTGGACTTGACAATCGTGCCTGTCTCAAGCCATTCTTTTACTTGTTTATCAAGTGTTGGTCGTAGAGCATGGGGAATAGGATATTGACGTCTATAAGCTGTGGCGCCTTCTTTTGTGGGTAATCTAATTAGAGATTCTGATAAAGGACAAGAGGACTCGACTGGGATTTTCTTATTTTCATCCAGTGAGGCCTGAATTGACTGAATAAATTCTGCTCGCTGTATTTCCGTACCAGCTGGCGAATTATCCGGTTCAAACTTTTTCTCTTTATCGATATTTAGATTCTCATACACAGCGGCATAGTCTTTAGCGTTATCTGAATGAATATATTCTCCTTCGATATCGTATGCAACATTAATCAATCCGATGTTCATTTTTGTTAAGATATCTCTTCCAAGAAGAATATCAAAATTAAATCCTGTATTAAACTCTAACACCTCGGGTGCATGCTTAAACGTAATTCCATTCACATATTTAAAATTTAAAGGATCAGTTTTTCCCAATCGCTTAGTACCACTATTCTTTGACAAGAAAGTGAAGGAACCATTTGATGAATTTATTTTATTTATATTTAAATTTTCATTCAAACATTGTAAACTAATGAAAGTGCGTGCACTGCCAGTGTCAATCATTCCAAGTAGTTTGTGGTTCTCTACAATAATAGGAGTGGTTAGATTAAATGCATCATTGGCTTTAACCCTTCTCTCAATTTTGTCAAGTAGGTACTTACAGTCGAAAGACATGTCTTCGAGTTCCAAGTCGACACTGTCTTGGATCGCCTTGAGCACTTGCTCAGACTTCTCCTTGGCAGGGACCTGCGAGACCATCAGGACTGGCTCACTGTCCTTACAGACGTGGCCACGGAAGTAGTTTTCTCCACACCGCCTGCAGGGGTTGCGCTTGGTGGGGGCAGCTACTTTGGCCTTGTTGTTGGCCAGGGTGAAGCATTTGCTCGACTCATGTGTAGTATTCTTACCATGGTGCGAGCAGAAGAAGGAACGCTCCGGCTTACTGATTCGGTGCTGCTGGTTGTTGCTGGAGTGCACCTTCTTGCGAGGGTACGCCTCCATTCTCTTCTTCTCCATTCTCTTCTCAGTGTGCATGTTGGCACCAGGAATGAGCTGGGTAGCTTCGGCATACATGCGATTGTCGTCGCCAAGGATGTCTCTGCCAATCTGCGTCAACTGCTCCACAGTCCAATCTCTTTTGGTCTCGCCATTGAAGTCCAATCTGGTCATGGTGAGCCGCAAGAGTGTCTGTACTTGCCTAGTCAAGGAAGCGAGGAAGCGGTCGGCAACACGAGCATCGTTTTTGGGGAGGCCGGCATCATACACAGCCTGAAGGAACTTCTTGGAGTAATCTCCAATCGACTCAGAAGGAAGCATTACCATGGTAAATACCTCTTTTACCGAACGGGATGTCACCAAGCGCGATCCATGTCTTGCTGTAAAGCAGATCTTGGCCGCATTCCAATCTACACACTTCTTCAAATCCATCTCTACCCATCCATCGTCACTATGAGGCAAGCAGAGCGGTAAAAATCTCTTCCAAACTAGTTCAATGTCCTGAAGGGACGACTCAATAACCTTTTGGAAGGTGCGAAGGAAGTGGTCTACTGAGTGAAAGACCTCTTCATTCGGGAAGGATCTAATCACATCGTCTGCCAACTGGAACTTAGGAAGATCTCTTCTATTAAGAGTCAACCCTCCAGTGCGACTGCTCTTCTCTACAACTTTCACAGAAGGCGAAAGGTACTGACTGCATGCTATTTCTATATCTATCATTTCTTTGACGCGTCTGACCTTATTAAGGGCTAATTCAGCTGCTTGCTCATCGTTCATAGCGTGAGCAGCGCTGACAGCCTCTACATGCTGTTGAAGTTCTAGTCTAAGTTTCTCTGACAAAGACAAGACTGTTGTAGCAGCATTCGCTACCAAGGGACGAAGGGGAGAGGGAGCAACAAATTGTCCAGGGGTGGAGCTGGCAAAGGAGATGTTGTCACTCAGACTGGCGATGAGGTCCTCCTCAGTCATGACGGACATGGCATCCTCATCATGAGCAGGGATGATGGCGGCGGGATAGTTCTCAGCAGAGGGGTTCATGGTAGTTCACGAAAAAAAATGTTGTGGTGGTTGAAGTTTAAGAAGTTTTTAAGAGGAAGAATTGAAGATTTGAAATTAGGAACGAAGATTCGTGAGAACTTGTGTAGGTTTTGTTTATTGAGAAAGATTTTGTATCAAAGTTTGACCCGGTTCCTACACTGAACTACTACTGCTATTTATATTATTTTGGATCGGGAAAATTATATGACTGGGGTCAGGTAATCGATCCTATCTGAGCCTTAATCAGAGCAACGTGATCTTGGGATAATTAATGTATGATTAATTATATAAATGTGTGTAGTCCCAATGAAGTATTAACATCGAAAGTAAATGTGTTTATGAGTTATAATTATGCTTATAATAATCCACTGATGTATCCCATATTATGGTGATATCATCATATGAAATATAATCACTATCATGCATGCTAAACCTGTGTGTTAAATAATAAAGTAATCGGTAGACACCTTTGACTGGAATAGCTGAGGCCTTATATTATTTCCTTCAGACTTATTCTCAATTACAGCAGTAGTCAATACTCATTTACAACACATCCTTTTAGCTAAGACACATTGGTTTTATATTTATGGAAGGCAATATAACATGTTTTTGTTATCAAAAAAAACGAGAGCTCAATTTGTATACCATTGAGAACATATGTTAAAAAGAATTACCAATTGGATATCCGGTTTACGCATTTGGATCTATGATTTCAACTTTGAAAATATCATATATTTTTCATATATTTCTTTTCGATAAAAAGTATAGCTTTTATTAATGTATATTCTTCTTATCTTACATTATGTGTGTCTTTATCTAGCACGAGCTAAATAAATGTTTATAAATGCAGACTTTTGTATTGCATTTGCTTTTATTATCTTTTAATTCTGTAAGATATTTATACATATAACAATATATAAGTATAATGCAGGAAAAAGTGGTGCTTCTGTTAGTAATTTTGGAAAATACCTATAGTATTTTACAAAATCACCATCAAAATCATCACTTATTTCCCATAGTATTCTATCGCCTATCTCAAGTACTAAATATAACTTGCAATTGTCTTCTAAGATAATATTACAATTAGTCATTACTATTCTAGTATTAATATTCTTATAAATGATTTTAGATGTATCAGATTAAATTGGTTGGATATTATGCCTTTGTCCCCATTTGAGCCTTAGTTATAGAATAAACATATTGATACTGCCTTAAACTTTCGGTAGAACCATCACAAGTTGCGACTTAATAGCACAATCGCGGAGATATTTACCCGTGTTCTTCAATTAAAATAATTGGGAGGCCAAAAGAAGATGCTCTGAAAGGTCGCCATATGAGACTGATACTGACAAGTATAATATAACAAATAAATTTCTGAAGAGCTCCACTGACAAGAGATATATATATTTTCTAACTTCGTTGTTGCTAGGTATCTCAAAGATATATGACTTTGGTGAATTACCACATTCTGTAAATAATCTAATGAATAATTTCATTATAATTTTGGATATTTCTTGGAGTGAAAAGAATGCGAAGATACTTTGCATCGACCGTAAGAACATGGGGAGATGAAAGCGGGATGTTCAAAAGATGCTTTTACTTTTGAACTACAATAGTAAAGAAATGCGAGACATTGAAATTGAAACATATAAAAAAAAGGAGAGTAAAAGTAGTGTTTACTCAAGATTCAATCTCAAACAGCATATAACCTCCAGAAAAAGTGTAAAAAAGCTTAATAAAGTCACCATATCTTACCGTGATATATTGAGGTACACCCCATGACTTGCTACCTTTCTAATACTTACACATCATTGTTTTTATGTGATATTCATGCTTTTCTAGATTTAAGCTTGTTAATTTTCTGAATTTATTGTCTACCTTTAAAGTTTAGAAAGTGTACTTATTTAGATACTTCTACGAAAGTTGAGAAATAATTTTAGCAACTAATCACTTAACTGAGAACAATAGTGCTTTATAAATATATATACTGTAAGTGGTACGGTATTTTAGTTTGTGTGATAAGCGCGCCAAACACCTAAAATCATTACTCAACCTTGGCTATCACCTTAAATCCTATAACCATTAAATACCAAAATATGCCTTCATAAAGAATAATTTTAATCGCCACATTTATGCTTTCATTTGATAGTATCTACAAATCGACAAATTAATATAGTTGCCTTCAACAAAGTTGATGGATCTATTATAATAATAACCTATGCTGTAATTCTTCTATGTTTATTTACATATATTTTAAAAAGAGTATTATGAGATACATTGCTCGCAGTAATAATACTATAAACATAACCGCGGCGAACACATATAGCTTAAAAAAGGCAATACCTTCACAAAGTCGAGATTAAAAAAGAGCGGCGTGTACCAAATATATCAAACAAATATAGCCTTTTATATACAGGTGGTCGTAAAACTTCTATTGAATAGTTGTAAGCTGTGGAAGGCTATGTACTATTCATTGTTCGAGGATAAATGGTATGGTTTTACAAGATTTTTTTAAGAAAGGTATTTAAAGTTCAAAATATAAATAAATCAGACACAATATACATAATGAAATAATATATTTGGGAAGTGTATATCAATGACAAAAAAGAAAGGGGTTCTTTCTGAATAAATACATTATACTGTTGTACAATATGGCTAACACAAATATTCCAGTAGCTAATTCTTCTCTTTTTATTGTATATTCTTATTATATAACTTATGGGATATCTATAGATTTTGTAATGATATAAGAAAAATGTATCGATCCAGTGCGTATAGTATCAGAGCACAAGCAGAAGCATGAGAACAATGTTATAAACAGACACGTATGATAGATAATTAAATACATACTATGAACCATAAGTATTTTATCCCAAGATATTCCGACTTAAAATAAGCTCAAAATTAGGTGAGCCCAGTTTTCAAGATGCCTATGTCTTTTTAATATCCTACAAGAAATGTTCATTTTATCAACGTTTATTACAGATATTGTAAAGCTTTAATCAATTAAAATCATAGACCTTAAAAATGTTAAGAAACGCAGGTGTTTAAATCCACTATACTTTCAAGTTATTTATTACTATTAGTAAAGCAGCTGTGTTCAATTAATTAATATTGTATACGTATCTTATTCTGACAGAACCTAAACTGGATATTCTGTTTTGTTCATCGACCCCTTGGATTTGTGTTTAAATATCTATTTGTTGAGAGAAATCGCCTGTTGCTCTTACTAATCTCATTTAGCCAACAGTCTCTTTATCCTTGTCTACAATGGACATACTCACTTATTCATCTAGTGCATTCATAATAGTTACTGTTTTATATCGTCCTTTCATTACAAAATTGGATCGAGTGAAATATTTCATGTTCACCGCAACATCGTTTTGTGTAACTCTTTTGTATATCATCTTGTCTTATTCAACAGGGAATGATAGTGGATCAGCAAAAGTAAATCTAACGTTCCCATTAGTCGATGCAACTACTATTGGTGCCATTACTGCACTATCAGTATCGATAAGTGGACTTTTTACGCGCTGGGACCTTCCTATTCTTTTTATACGACCAGGAGTCAGTTCTTGTTTGTACAACATGATCAGCCGCCGTGGATTGTTTTTTATTGCCTTGTCCAGGTACTTTAATTCGATTAATTCCGTTTGACCAACTCTAGTAGAATGACTAATAATTTTCACTCCTTAATTTCTATACTTGATCTTGTTGCGAAACAGCCAGATGAATTATTTTGCACAATGGTCTGTCCTTTGGTTCGCATCTTTTCTTTGCATATGGTCGGTATCTGGTGGATATCTTCTGCGCCGGCGACAATCTTTAATTTGTTCGTCCTCAGTAGCAGCAGTTTTGGGGATGTCATGCACTCACTTGTCTTCAAGTATGTCAATTATGAACAACTGGAAATTTGTCAACTGGTTTGCGTTTACTAGCCTCGTGGTGGCGGGATGTTGCGTCTTGGATCATCTTGACGCACTCCTCAATACGTTCCCACACCTTGTTTTGACCAACCCACGCGACCATTACATTATACAAAACCCCCTTGGAGGCGATTATTGGCGGTGTTTTGTGTGGCTTCTATTCCACATGCCTTCCGAGAATAATATACCCTCAGGCCCTATCGATGATCTTCGGGTGGTTATACGACTACTAGGACCAGTTTCGCGATCCTGGAAGGCCATGTCAGCACTTTTCCCAACAAACCTCCGACACGAACTTTGCCTTCTTTACGCATTTTTTCGTACTGCCGATGATTTGATTGATAATGCATCTAGCAAGAAACAAGGGATAAAACATCTTGAGATGCTCAAATGTTTTCTTGAAGAAGTATTCAGTTGCAACAAACAGTATTCTCCTTTGGCCAATGATCCTAGCTTATCATCGCACATCCACTGGAGCTTTTATGCCGGTCTATTATCTCCAGACGCATTATCTGTTTTTCGATCCTTTGCAAGAGTTTCTGTGTGCCTTGATCAGACAGTTGTAAATGAGTTGGTGAACGCATGGAAGCTTGACCTCAAAGGCGAATCTCTCAAACACGAAGAAGATTTACTAAACTACGCAGATCTGATATCGGGCACTTTTGGTGAAATGTGTGCTCATGTCATAATGTATAAAGGTGGTCATGGCAATTGGAACCTCAATCGACAGGTGCGTAAGGAGAATATTCTCAAACAAGCACGAGCGGTTGGACAGGTACCTACTAGATATATATATATATAAATTAAAACCACAGTACTAATGAATGTTTGCCCAGCAGTGTCTTCAATTGGTCAACATTTCTAGAGATATTCTCTCTGACAGCTTAGACGGAAAATGCTACGTGCCTTTACAATACATGCTAAATCCTCTTCAGGAGTACAGGTCACTGACTGTGTGCCGCGCACCATTTAAACTTGGGAGACAGACATTGAAAGCGTATGCACTGAAAATGTTAGAGTTGGCAGATCAACAAACGGATCTAGCTTACAAAGGAATCGAAGGCCTTCCATATGAAGTACGCGACGGTTTTAGGGGCGCGTTTGAAGTTTACATGGCCATATCAAGCGAACTTCGACAGAATTCCAGCTTCCCTTTGAGGGCAAAAGTACCCGTTTGGAGACAAAGACTTATTGGCATTGGTCACCTTTATGGCTTATTTAGACTTTTAGATAATTTACAAAATACATATGAGCGTCTAGTCCACTTGTCAATTCACTTTCGTTTTTGAAAGACAAAAGATAAAGTAATAATCCTATTAAACGTTTTATTTTGATTTTTAAAATGTTATAAGTTTTGCATTTTTATTTAAACAAAAAAAAGAAGGGATTCTTTTTTTTAAAAGGCTCTTTGGGTTTTGATGTGAAGAGAGTGGAAAAAGAACTGCTATATGTGTCAAAAGACAAAGAACGATGAAAGAGAGGTCAAGAGATTTATTTCTTGCCAGCCTTGGCAGCAGCCTTGGTGACCTTGGAGGCCTTGTCGACCTTCTCGACGGCCTTGATGACACCGACGGCAACGGTCTGACGCATATCACGGACGGCGAAACGACCGAGAGGGGGGTAGTCAGTGTAGGCCTCGACGCACATGGGCTTGGAGGGAACCATCTTGACGATGGCGGAGTCACCGGACTTGATGAACTTGGGGGCATCTTCCATCTTCTTACCGGAACGACGGTCGATCTTCTCGAGGAGCTCAGCGAACTTGCAGGCAATGTGAGCAGTGTGGCAATCGAGAACGGGGGAGTAACCAGCACCGATCTGACCGGGGTGGTTGAGGACAATAACCTGGGCAGTGAAGGAACCGGACTCCTTGGCGGGGTCGTTCTTGGAGTCAGAGCAGACGTTACCACGACGGATATCCTTGACGGAAACGTTCTTGACGTTGAAACCGACGTTGTCTCCGGGGAGACCCTCAACGAGCTGTTCGTGGTGCATTTCGACGGACTTGACTTCAGTGACAACACCAGCGGGGGCGAAGTTTACGATCATACCAGCCTTGATGACACCAGTCTCGACACGACCGACGGGAACAGTACCGATACCACCGATCTTGTAGACATCCTGGAGGGGAAGACGGAGGGGCTTGTCGGAAGGACGGACGGGAGGGTCGATGTTGTCGATGGCCTCGAGAAGGGTCTTTCCGGACTTGACACCAGCCTTGGTCTCCTTGGTCCATCCCTTGAACCAACCCATGTTGACGGACTCCTCCAACATGTTGTCTCCGTGCCATCCGGAGATGGGGACGAAGGGAACGGACTTGGGGTTGAAACCGATCTTCTTGATGAAGGAGGAAACTTCCTTGACGATTTCGTTGTAACGGGCCTCGGACCACTTGGTGGTGTCCATCTTGTTGATGGCGACGATCAACTGGCGGACACCGAGGGTGAAGGCAAGAAGAGCGTGCTCACGGGTCTGACCATCCTTGGAGATACCAGCTTCGAACTCACCGGTACCGGCAGCAATGATGAGGACACCGCAATCGGCCTGGGAGGTACCAGTGATCATGTTCTTGATGAAATCACGATGACCGGGGGCATCAATGACGGTGACCATGAACTTGGGGGTCTCGAACTTCCAGAGAGCAATATCGATGGTGATACCACGTTCACGTTCGGCCTTGAGCTTGTCAAGAACCCAGGCGTACTTGAAGGAACCCTTACCGAGTTCAGCAGCTTCCTTCTCGAACTTCTCGATGGTACGCTTGTCAATACCTCCGCACTTGTAGATCAAGTGACCGGTGGTGGTGGACTTGCCCTGAAGAATTGAAAGATGTTTTAGAATTTTTGTTTATATTTCATAAAAAGAAAAGTCAGCGAATACTTACGGAATCGACGTGGCCAATAACGACGACGTTAACGTGAGTCTTTTCCTTACCCATGGCTACAAAAAAGAAGTTTTAGAATACGCGTTGGATGGATATGGTTTGGTGACAGATGGACGCCTAAAATTGACGGATGGAGCGACCTTTTACCTTATAAAAATGGATGTGAAAATAGGGAAGGAAACACGCTCTCCCAAAGAATCCGCAATATTTATACCACTCCAGTTCCCGGGCCAGCGGTTTTTTTTTATTCAAAAATTTTCATCCAATCATTTTTTGAAAACCCAAAACCAAATCCAAAAAAAAACAAAAAAAATGAGCGCTTCAATGGACTGCGCGACAATTTTTTTTAATATTTTTTTATGAGACAAATGTATTGAACATAACCAATACCATAATACAAAGTTGCCTCATAATTAATTGATACAAAACTTATTGTGCGTGTCTTGTATTAAATGTTTCAATTTAGTAACAGAGATCTGGTTGACACACGCAAGCCACACAATGGCTTCCTGACAGTGGCTTGGCATAAAACCATTCAGAATCGTATTAAAAAATATAAGGGTCTTCTTCCTTTTAAACAGTCACGATGACAGCCAAGTTTGGATTTTCAAAAGGACATCTTCCCCAAACCAGTCAAGAGTGTAGACCATGACGTACACTCTCAAGCCGCCGTAAGCAGCCCTTAACCTGTGGTAGAAACATGTTATTTATCATGTTTATTTTAGAGGGAGTTTCCCAACCATTGTCCAACCAAACACACGCGTCTCAAACCGGTCAGACATTTATGACAGGCAAGAAGAGAACGACACCAGTGATGCAGACACACAACGTATGGACGCATTGATGCAACATTTGATGGGCAATTCTATCGAAATGGAGGAAGATGAAGATGAGGATGAGGCTGAAGATAAAGAGGATGTAGAGGAGAGTGAAAAAGTGGAAGAGCCCATGTCTGAGACTGAGGCTGCCGAGGCTGCCAAACCAGAGGAAGAAGAAAACGAACTAGAGGCGTTTTCATTTAAGCTGTTTTCGAGCAAACAAGTGACAAAGATTAGTCTTCAGGGTGTGGACAGAGGAGATGAGATGGCTGCAGAGGTGGCACGGCAGCAGGTAGTGGATCATGATGAAGACGACCCTGAATTCGCAGCTCTTATAGCTGCTTCTGCTGTAAGCTACGATCAAATCATGGAACAATCAAAGCAATCGTATGGATTGGCCCAGTCAACGCATGTGGTGAATGTACCGCTTGTAGGAGAACCCAAGCAAAAGCACAAAAAACGAAAGAGTAAAGAATGTAGGGCATTCAATCGAGCAGTCAAGGCAGGTACGATCAAGCCAGAGCCTCGGATGAGAAATCCCCAGATTCCAAATGGATGGCCAGGGTGGCCGGGTATCAGAACTTGCTTTGCCATTATTACCAAGATTAACAAAGACCTCAAGCGCAACCAAAGAGTAGTGAAACCATACGTTCCCAGAGGAGGTGCTGCTCGGGGAAGAGGAAGCACAAGAGGAAGCACACGAGGTAGTGGGCGTGGGCGAGGAGGAGTAACTGCACAAGGTATTGGTCGAGTAAGCTCTTCCACATCCGATGCTGCCGTTGCTACTGCTACTGCTACTGCTGCCGCTACTACTACTGCTACCACCTCTAATCCCACCCCTAGTGCAGCACTATCAACTTCTACAACTTAGTACGTATACTCCTTGTATATATATAATCACATGCATTCCACTTTAGATACACATATTTTCTTAATTCTGTTTTCAATAAAATGAATATTCTATTTTCATTTTTCATTTTCTGTGTGTATAATGTATAATGTATAGTGTACAGTGTATAGTGTATAGTGTGTGTGAGTGTGACGTATTACAGACAACGCAGTAAGGGAAGGCCCGTTCCTTACAACTAACTCGTCCCTTTTATCCAAACTAAATAACGCACCTTTCCTCTTTCTGTTACTCATGTCGTTCCAAAGGCTCATTCGCCATGTACCCTCCCTAGTTGCTTCAGGGTTGGTCTTGGCCAGATGGTCTCACAGACCTTTAGTAAAGCGTCTATACACAACAAAATCAACACCAAGGTTTATTTCAGTCCAGTCTAGTCGTAAGCATGCTATAAAGCTCCCAGGGCAAGCCGATAGACTTGTTCCCGGAAGCGTTTAGTATCTCGAGAAATAAAACTCCTTTATGTTATATTGTGTACAGGAGCAGCTGTATCTTCTCAAGGTGCTTCTAGCCATGATAGCTCGACACAAGACTCTAGGTAATCTGTACGACGACATAAAGAAAAGGGAGAAAGAAAAAATGAAGAACACGTTTTGTTGTAGTGGGGTAAAGCTCAAACAGGGGTTATTGATAGCACCTATCGATACATTTTCTTTCTTCCTTTCCAAGTAGAGCTTCTGAGATCAAGGATGCAAAGTTGATTTTTAACCAGGCATGGAAACATATCGAAGACCATTATGGAAGAGAGAACATTCACCTTCCACGTGAGTTCATATTTTTGATGGGTGCACCTGGGTAAGTTATATTGAGTAATATACTGTCGGTTTCTGTGGAAGGAGAGGTTTTTTTTTCGTATGAAAAGTAAAGCTGAAAATAAAACAATCCTTATAATTTGAATTCTTTGTACTAGTTCTGGCAAAGGTACCCACACACCTTCCCTCTTACGTGCACGCGGTATTACCAACTCTCCAATTTCCATATCTCAGTTACTTCAAACACCCGAGTGCAAAGAGCTCATAAACCAGGGACAGATGATATCCGATCGTTATGTGATCGAGTTACTTTTGCACGCTTTGCTAAACTGTGACCCAACTGTCGGTATTCTTGTTGATGGGTTTCCACGAACTGATGTTCAAGTGGAGGCTCTCAAGATGCTTCATGAAAAGATGACCGAATTAAGATCTGAGTTTTACAATACGGATCGGCGTGACCAATTCCCGTAAGGTTTAATATATATATATTTGCCGTGCTTTGATACCAATCTCATCTTTTAATCTACACCCTTTGGCTTAGTCGACCCGTGTTTCGTATTGCAGTATTGTATGTGGATGAAGAGATATCTCTCCAGAGACAACTGGCGCGCGGAAAGATGATTCGAGAACATAACGCGCAGATAAAAAAGACAGGACAAGGCGAATTGTGGGAAGAGAGAGTAACAGACAACGACGAGACCGTAAGTATCTTAGCTATATAGCATATTTAAACGAAGCATAAAATGAACACCTGAGTACTAGGTTATTCGTGAGCGTTATTCTATCTTTAAAGCACATTATGGCTCTCTTTTGAAACTTTCCAAGATGTTTCCTTTTCGTAAGTTACGACAAGTACAAAATAACACCAAGTCTAATATATACATACATAATTTACGTAGATCTCATTAATGCTACCGGATCTATCAAAGAAGTTTTGGATATTATCATGAAAGAATTCGAGTATCAATCTTCTCTTGAATTGGACTCTGATACATATGATGCGATATCTCACATCCCACTGGCATCCAAGATTGGTATTCATGCGCGACTGGTAAATTAAATATTTCAAAAAGCGAGTGCTTTGAAACATATTAATCGAGTATATCACACACATACATACATACATATATATATATATATATATTCAGGATCTAATAAGTCGCTTGGAACATTACCAAGATACTGAACCTAGCACGATGAAACAAGCAATCGAGTATATTGATGAGCACGTTACTCCTCACATTGTTCGCCACTCGATCAGTGGCCACGCTATGATTAGAACGTAAGATTTACATGCAAATATATTATTGTTTTGCGTAGTGTACTAACGATGAAAAATTAAAGGGAGAATCAATTATTGGATGATTCTCATTTTGTAAACATCGTAATGGATGTTTTGTCAGAGCGTGGCTATCACGTATCATTTGATAGCCGCGAGCGCTATGTACCCACCGCTGTTGATCTCAAGACAGGAAAAATAAATCTAGAAACGTAAGTGCACGCACAAGGGTATTGTACCTGTACTTTTTTTCTTTTCTTTTCATGACACTAACCTGAAAATACCGGAATTGTGACATTTTAGCCACCATATTCATGTCTTGACTATCGATTTCCCAAAGCATTATATCCGTGCATTAGAGCAAAAGTTTAGCTAAACTTCATTTTGTTTGTTTGTTTAAAAGTAGAAACTAGATAGTTTTGGAATAGACCAAAGAATTTTTTTTTAAAAAAAAAGAAGTGTAATACAAAGTGATTTATTACTCCAACTACACAAGCTTCAAGAGATAAATATTTATTTATTCATCTATAATACACTATAGGGGAAAAAGAAGGCGATTTTAGTGAGATTGTCGCAAATTTTCTAGGGTTTACAGTGTGTTTCAGAGGGATTTTAATTAAGCACCAATTTTTCTCTTTCTTTTATATATATCCCACTTTTTTATCCCACCATATTTTTGCAGTCAACGCAAAACACCTTTTCCCTAACTTCTTCAACCCAGTACAAGAAGTAAAGATAAAATCTAATAGTTTACCATTCGGTATCTTGGGTGTATCCTAGTGATAAAAGTATGTCTAAGATGTTAAAGACCTCTAAAAGAAACACGCTTACTAGCTATCAAGGCTAGTATTGATAAAATATAAATCAGTAAAGTTGACAATCAAGAGTAATTTGAGAAGAAGTGACAGGGAAATATTTGTATCATGTACAGCTTGGTTGTCAAGACTACTCGCATGCTCATTAAAAATATCTGATTTAGATAATTGCATGGAATCTGTCTTTTGGTTTTTCTTTTTCAAAAATAGGAATCAGGCATAGCAACATTTGTGTTGGAATTAAAGTATAAGACCATATAAAATGATATATTTGGTCAAATGCTTCAAAAGAAAAAAACAAGTTATGATGTTATCCAAGGTCCCTCCCTATTAAATTACTGAGTGGCTAAATTGTCCTTGTACCATTCAGACCAAATTTTCTTCAAATTCTGCTTGATGGTCTCATCCTCAAATATGGCATCAATTGTGCGATACGATGCTTCATAAAGTTCATTCTTACTCAAACCAAAAGTCTTTGCAGCAATTGTGTACTCATCCGAGAGCTGAGAGAAGAACACACCCTTATCGTCAGTCTGCAAACCGAAAGTAAGAAATAAAATAAGATAAGATAAATATGTTACAAGGCCAGACTTTGCTGTACAATACCCTTAATGCCATGAATAAGCAATATTGTACTATGTTACTTATAAGATACTTGCGCAGATAATAAAGGGGTGTTTCTCAACAAGAAGATCTTTGATGTGATGCTCTTCATACGTGGATGTGGTCTTACACAATATATTGGAAGTCATGCAGATTTCAACCGGGATGTTGCCGGCATAAATATTCTCTCGCCTCTCGGGCGTCAAGAAGGTAGCATGACCCAGACGGTTGGGCTGGATGCTTAATAGCTCAAGCGACTCGGCCATGTTCTCCTTGACCTTTTTGGATCATACCATTTAACCGTATGTTCTGAACATTACATTGCATTATATAGTATTATTTACTTGGATATATATTCAAAACTTACTTCACCAAAATGCAAGGTCAGGGGGAATCCATGCTGTTTGGCTCTATCAAATGCTGGCCGAAGCGCAACAAAGGAGCCTTCCATAACATGGCCACACAGATCAATACCAACAACACCTTGCGATCTAAAGTGAAGAGCAAGGTCAACAGCTTCTTGAGCCTTTTCGAGTGTATCGCGGCGATCGATAGATACGATCAGTCGCACAACAATTGATTTCCGAACTTCGTTGATAGCCGAGAGAACCGCAGCAAGGTACGACTTTTTGGTCATTCCAGTAGCAGGGTTCTCTCTAGGTGTGGTACGTAGTTCGAGATAGCGTACGCCATCTCTTTCAAAGTCACTAATGACATTACGAGTGGCAATGACTACTGATGGCTCATCATCAGTGAGTTGGTAGATGAATCTGAACAGAGGAAAAAAACTAGACCAAAGAATTTATCATAACCAATAAATAAATAAATAAATAAATAAATAAATAAATAGAAGCGAAACATGGATTTTATGATATAAATATACTCATTCTTACTCATCAATACGCTCAAGAGAATCAGGGATACGAAAATCGGCAAGACTTGGGTTGCTATCCTTCTTGCGTTCAACCAAGACACGCATGGTATCTGGACTGAGACTACCATTTATATGGGCATGTAGCTCAACCTTTGGAAGTTGTACACAAAATTCGTTCATTTCCTTTTTATAGCAAGAAAGGAAAGTAGAATGAAAGAAAAGAACAAGATTTAAATTCGAGAAATACAGTTTGTATAGTTTAAGCAGTCATCCAGATCTGACACATCAAACTTTAATTATTTTTAGCAAGATTTTTAAATTTTGGACCAGCATTTTATTTATTTGGTTTACCTTATTTTGACTACTCGACCCTTCCATTTTACTGAGAAATCCTTTATTTCTAGAAAAGGAGTCAATTTATAGTGTAGAGTCAAAGTACCTGTTAGACATATTTTCATAGCATATTATTCTATGCCTTTTTATAATTTACTTTTATATATATATATATAGCTTTCAATAAACTTAACCATTATTCTTCTTATTTATACAAAGGCGAAAACGGCTCGACCTCTGAGCCCCAAAAGATTCATGAGAGAAATCATGGAATACATTCAACATATAACTGCTCATCAGTAATAGTAGCTAAAGCCTTTCAAACTTCAATAAAAGATGATATGCATGTATATTATGTATCTGTATTTGTAGGGATCACTTTCCTCATATGAATTATGGGTGCTTTCTGATGAATTTGTGTCTTGTATGTTGGATTCAATTAATAAAATTCGAAGAAAACAATATTTCTTTTTTTACCGTGAGTGTGTAGATATATATATATATTCTTTATTTTCGCCAATACTGTGTGTTTACCCATAAGACTGGTTTTACGAGATAATAAATTTACTCAAATTACTACTTGTAAGACTAAATTTTGACTTTGACTTTTCAACAGTTTTACAAGAGCATGGAATGCCAGACAAAGTCTTTTTTATTTATTTATTTTATAAATAGATGCATGCATACATGTATACACGCACATACACACTGCAGTGTTTTGAATTCTGCGAAACATGGTTCAAAATAATGTGCAAGAAAAAGAATAATGATAATTTAGTACACCTTTTCAAGATTCTACCTCCCTTCTTTTTTCTTTGGTTATATTTCTTCTGTTATTACAGGCAAAACCACCTTGCATTGAGATACCTGTAATTTACTGTTGACAGTCAAGGCATTTTATAAACATAAAAGCTAAAATAATAATACGACAAAGAAAATATTATATATAGAAAAAAAATACAATTTCCCCTCCTCTTATTCATTATTCTCTTCTCCCTTTATTCTTCTTCTTTCCGCCTATTATTTCCCTTTTATATATATATATATATATGTATGGCTGAATAATATTAAAAGAAACTGCTTTAAAAGAATAGTTGGCCTTTGTTGTTGTTACTGCTACTGTTGTTATTGATCTAGAATTAGGTGTCCAATATTTATTCAGGAATTGAATACATGGTATTCTCTGTAAATGTGTATACGTATACATAGTGGATATTAAATATTCTAGGCCTTAATGCAAACCATCGAAATATATATTATATTTTAAAGTCAAGTTGCTATGTTGGTTTTGCAAATAATAGAAGAATGTTTTTATATAAACCGATTTTCTTGGTTTTGTTTTGTTTTGTTAAAATAAAATATATATATATAAAAAGAGACCACTTATTCAAAATCAAGTGTAGATACACAGATATTAATATGTGTGTGCTTGTATTAAAAGGTTAGATATTGGCATAAGAGTAAATGTAGATGATCTTTTAATCAGAGAACCCAAAAGAATGATGTATCAAACAAGTGCCTGAGAGCTCTGTATTCATATATTTACTATTGTTATTGTTGTGGAGATCTCAGAATTAAGTATCTTTATCTATTCCCCTGTGTTCTCCTTATTCTTAATTGTACGAGTCGATAAGAAAAGAAGGGACTTTTATATATAATTCGGCACCTTGATTAGATAGTAAAGCAAGTCCATAAGAAAGATTGAGATGTTGATAATGATAATGAGGTCGGTAATAGGGCTTGCTTTTTTAGTCTTATTTTATTTTCTGGGATTTTTGCTCTAAATAAAACAATTCATATATATATATATATATATATGCAAACGGAAAGACAATCGGTTTGGGGCAGATTTGGTTTAGTTGTGCTATTATCTAAAGTATCGGATATACTCTTGGCATATCCATCGATTTAATCAAATCTGGAAATTAAAATGATGATGCTGATGATTGTATTGGTAGTGATGAGTTACTTGGTTCATTTATTATCAATATCTGCAGAATGTATACAATCAGATCCTGTCAGTCCAGCTCAATTCCTCATTCTACATTTATACTCTTGAAACCTATTGATCAATACTCCAAACAAATGTATCTAATAACGTCCCGTGTGTCTTATCTTGCCTTGTCCTAGCATATTGAAGCTAGAAACACAGCAGTTGATTCCAGTCAATAGAGAGTCCCCAAAAGAGGGATATAAGAGATAGAAAATGAGGCCATTATACACACTCTGCTTTAATGTGTGGTGATAAATTTTATTTATTTTGGCTGAATTAAAATAACAATTAATTATTATAGTTGAAAAGAAACCAAGAGAAAGAAGAAAAAAAACAGCGTGATTTATTATTATTTACTACGATTTGCTTATTTTTTTTTTGTTGGGAAATTTAAATACAAGATGTGATCCCACTCAATAAATAATACATACATACTTGAATTCATACATAAATCGTACCATACCATATCATACCATATCATATAAAATTTACACTATAGTACAGTACATTATATATTGCAGCTGTTCAATAACTTCTTTAAATTATATTTAGATACATATATACTTCCCCTAATGATTTGTATCCAAAAATGATAAAAAAGAAGAAGAAGATTTCTTGCTTTACATGATTCATATTAAAGTTTGTAATACCAACGGGAGTTTATTATTTATTTATTTATTTATTTTGGTTTCAATTTGGTAGACAAGGCCTGAATTATACAAAATATATATATACACTGTACAGAGAATGATAAGAAAAAGAGTGAAAATGGAAATGGAAATGGAAATGGAAATGTGTATGGGTATAGATGAATGATGTTTTGCAAGTTTCTTTGATTGGACCAGCCAAAGCAAAGAATAGATAATATACGTTTAGCAGACGGTGGCAAGAGTTGAGAGAGGAAGACGCATTTGAGTGACTTGGAGGGCATATGTTAATGGAGCAGGAGCAAGGATGAGCTTCTTATTCTTATCGTCCTGGCCTTCTTGGGAAGGTGTTACGAGACGGGTGATTGAGGCTTGAACCTGGCATAGTTTGCCCTGAATGTCAAGTTGTTCGGTGTGACCCTCGGCCATTCCCTTCTGGATGGTGATTACAAATGGTTCAGAGAGGTTGTAGTTTGGTGTGGATGGAATGCGTCGAAGAAGAGAACAGTGAATCTGACGTCGGTGGTCGAACATGGTGTTGATGTTTACAGGGTCCATCGGAACGGAGTAAGCGATAGTTTTTGTCTTTGGGTCGAATTGGGAAGGCGATGCGATTGTCTGTCCGAGATGAATCTGTTAAATAAAACAATATTTTTTGGAATGAGTATAAATACATAGATAGGTATATATTATTATTATTATTATTGCAAAGTGAAATATAAGTATATATGAATCAATACACACCATAAGACCCCATTCTTGGGCTGCAGATCCGGATGACATCCGGTGCTCGATTTCTTCGAGACAAAAGTCCTGAATAAGCTTAGAAGTACGCTCGATACGGACAAGATCCTTCAAAGGTAGGTGGTTCATGACAATGCTGATGATTTCGTGGGGAAGGCGGTTGAAGTTGAATTGGGCGCTCATTGTAGTTTGTTTGTTGTATTGCAGTATGATGAATATTAGAGATGAGTATGATGAAAAAGAGGAGGAAGAAGTATATTGGAGAGTAAGAGGAAAGGGAAGTCTGCGTGATTGAAGTTTGGGGGGAAGTCTAAAGATATAGGGTATATATACCCCAGGAGAGTCAAATCAGCGCATTGAACATCCGATCCATGCCTTTCCATTTTCAGCTGGAGAGAGAGAGAGAGAGAGAAAGAGTTTTCTTTTTTCTTTTTTTTTGTGTGTGTGTTATCGATATACCTCACCTCCCCTAAACCCTTCATCAGGTAAGCCAAAAATACACATAAAAAATACAATACAATATATACTACTGGTATATACTATAAGTTCAGCGGGCTGATAGCAATCGTAGCCACATCGCTTGATGAAAAACACATGTTATTTTAATTCCTATTAATTCATTATAATTTTTATTACTGTTACTATGATACTAAATATCTACCTAGCAACCTAATTGTCTAGTTACTTAGCAACCTATCTATATATCTATATATTTATAAACAGTCAGGTAGTCAGTCAGTCAATAGATCAATAGATCAATCAATTAATCAGTAGATCAATACATTATTCAAATATTTCTACGTTATTATTTGGTTCAATTTATTAACTACATATACATATTTAATCATAATAATAAGACAATCATTTTAGAGATTGTGCGATTATCTAAAAAGGAAGAAAATAAGCAAGCAAGAAAGAATAAATACACTGAAGAAAGTTTTTTTTTTAATTTGGGGGGAGAAGGGAGGAGAAAGAAAGATATAAAGAAGAAGTAGGAAAGAAGGGGGGGGGGGGGGGAGTAGGTGGTGGTAGCAGCAGTTTCTGGTGGTGTGGTATTGGTAGTGGTAGTAGTGCAAAAAAAGGGGGAGCAGACCATTACTGACGTAGCTAGTCGACACAATCGATAAAAGAAAACTTGCAGGGCCTTGACAATAAAGCACGTTTGAAACATTAAAAAGAGTTCCCCCCGTCGCCGGGTCCTGAGCAGCTTATACTGATTGGCTTGATCGTGGCTGATCTTCAATGAAGCAATGAGCAGATGCCAACTTGTATCTATGTTATTGAAGTTTATTTAGCAACCGCCATTTTTCTTACTCTGATGAACTGTGATAAGTCTGACTTTCAACTATTTTTTTAAGCAGTGAATTATTTTATCGCGGGGCACCCTTTTCGTATTGATTGCTATCATTTGTTTTTATAACACCATCATTAGACGCTAAGCTATTCTGCACGCTTGCAGAAAATGAGCTTGAAAATGAAAGTAAAATAAGCACATATATATATATATATATTTATTTTTATTAGGGATAGATAGAGATAAAATGTAGATTTATACAATAGATACATACAGTATATTTATTTTTACTTGCCTACTTGCTTAACACTCTTTTTTATTTATTTATTTATTTAACTACTTCCGTTATTTTATTTTACTCTTTTGGAATCCATGCCCGCATCAATACTTGAGGTTTAGATTGACCATTTCAACAACTAACTCGTCCAATCAATACCCAAATCTAACGTTTAGTACAAGTCACCATGACAACCAACCCAACACACCATCGATGAACCTCTTTCCCCGCATCTTGTATGACGGATATTAATAATAATCGCTTTTTTTTAAAGTATATATATAAAATAATAATATCAAGAACAAGTCCAAGAACATGAATATACTTCTTTTTTTTCTTCTTCTTTTAATAATACTGAGTTTGTATAATTATATACACCAAAAAAAATTGTAATAAAGATAGCTATTCGGGATTACGATTGGTCAGATTGTAGATTGTTCATTAGTGTTATTAAAGGAAATAGATATATCAATACCAATACCAACATCAATATAATATGTTTCACTCTATTCCACTATAGAGAATAATTTAAAAAAGAAATAGTGTAAAGCAGTAAGATTCTAATAAGCCATAATACAATGCAACACAATAAATTAGAGTACATTTGTACTGTACTGTACTGTACTGTACTGTACTGTATTGAATTGAATTGAATTGAATTCTATTGAATTTTATAGTATAGTAGATCCTTTCTCTCTATCTTTCTTTATGCGTGTGTGTGTGTACGCCAATTTATATCAAATACGTTTTCTTTATTGAAATAAAGATATATAATTAAAGCAAACCTTTGACAAAAAGAGGTTCAATAGCTACATATCTAAACCTGGCCAAATAAGCCTACAAGAACAGGGCTTTCAAAAGAATCGAAACTTTTCGACATCTAAAATTGCACAATACAAAATCATAATCATAATTGTTTTACAGTCCATAGCAGATGAACACACATCTTGTGTAAGTACTCCTTTGACCACCAATTTACAAACTTTGTTACCTATCTTGAACATTGTTTCCTCATTAAACACAAGAAAAAAAAATCGATTTTTTTTTTCTTCTTCTTTATTATTATTTTTAAAACACCTATCCACACATCCTCTTTATTGTGGGACAGACTTCTTTTATTCCCAATAATACCAACGTAAATGAATGGGATATAATGGGATGGGATATAATGGGATCGGGTAGGTTTTTGCTACATTGTTACTAGCAGGTCTCAACATATTTTGGTTGTCTACCGATTTATTTATATATCTACACACATCTAAACACCCTTATGGTCAATGTGATTTCTATACTTTACTTTAAATACTAAGAAAAAAAATTGCTTCATTTTTCTTTTATAGATATATATGATATGAAAACAAACAGCTTTGGTCGTGTATGTCTAACAAAGCTATGTTCTAGCCCCTCCCCCAATCACAGTACAAATGTGCAGCCAACCTAACTTAAGACATTCTCGGGACTACTTGTATTTTTTTTTGGGTTACTCTGTGAACCAAATATTAACTTGCAAAACTTTGATTCAATTGAATTGAATTATAATCTTGGGCGATTTACAAAAAATGAATGTATACATATTCTTGAGTCTACTCGTTGTATCTGTTCTTATTTTTTTCTTGTCTTTTCTTTTTCAATATTAGAATTGATTCATTCCCCCCTTGAAACTCTTGGAACTCTCTTAAACTATATATATATAAATCATATAAGCTCTATACCCCACAATGACTTTAATATTAGCGTGGTATATTGAAGTCTTGCTTAATTGCTTGATTACTTAATTACGTATGTATGTAAGTATAATTATATGATGCCATTGTGCTTAATATATTCAACTCTATTACAAGACCCACAACTTGGTTTTTTTTATGGGGGTGTGTTTAATGTGTTTGATGTTCTTAAATCATTAAAAGAGTATATATATATATATATATATATATATATATTAAGTTTTAGTGTTAGTATTGGCTGTTCAAATGCACGAGTTTATTTTCTCTCACAGAAAAATAAAATACAGTTGTGAAGCAGAAACTTAAAGATCGACACTCTTTGTGCATGCGATCTATTAATACCTACTCGTCCTTATTCTCATTAGATATATTTATCTGCATTTTATGTATCGTAAGCATCGTCAAAGATTCTTCAAATAGCCAACTGTCTATAGATCTAAGAAAGAGATATATATGAAAATAAAGGGGTACTTGTGTGATTAATAATATACTTCTCTATTGACACTTGCACAGACTCTTTGTTTTACACAAGCTATCTCCTCCTCATTCAGTATAGAAACGTGAGAGGCTTTAATGGTACTATATACACTACCACCAGTATTAATGATCACTTTTCTCTTATTGGATATTATTGTCAATAAGAGCCTCACCCAATGTTCACACCCACTAAAAAAAAATAAAGAAAAAGAAACATGCATATCCGTATGTATACACAAGTCTTGTATTACTATTGCTTCTTATTTTAAGAAAAAACATACAATTCTAACGATAGTCTGACTTCCTGCGCACGATAAACTCTCAAACTATTTACCCACAAGATTGGTTTAATTGTATAAGCCAACAAAACAAAACAAAGCAAAACAAGCTAGAAATTGATTTATATTGTTAAGAGCTCATATAGTTCTCAAGGTAAGGGGTGAATGTAAGGGGGGTATTGAAAGGGGAAGACGTGTTTAATGGTTCCTTAATATTATTCTGGAGTTTGGTGGCGTCTGGGCAAATATAAGCCAGTAGGGTGGATCCAATTCAACCTTGCTTTCTTGTTTTTCGGAGGGGTTCCGGACTCATTTCGCATGACAGATGTCACTGCCATGATCCCTACTCTCCTTTTACCTCCCCCCCTTTTTTTGTTATTTCTATCTTCTACTAGATTACAATGCCAATGTTTCTTATTATTCTTTGTCCAATTCAAATAATGAAACATTTTGGCTCATCATAACATTTTTTTTCTTTAAAAAAAAAGAAATAAAAAAGAATAGCAGTAAAATATATACAAATTATTATACTAGGTTCTAGAGAAGAACGGAAGAGTTAAACCTTGAAGTTCCAAAAAAAAAAGAACGTTTCAAAATTGATGCCACTACATTGGTATAATTATAATTATATACGTGAGTTTGGATAATATTCCCGACTATTTCTTGGACAAAGCTTTGTGCAGCAGCTAATAGCTTCTTTCTATTATGAAATAGTCAAGTAGTCAAGTAAGTTATGCTGATAGAAATCGAAATGGTATATCTCTCTGGACAGTTTGTTTCTTCACCTGTCAGCAAGTGACATAAAGGTAGTCTGTTGGTACTCATTTTGTCTAATCAATTGGGTCAATTGATACTGGACCTTATTGCATTTCCTGTGTGTGTAATTTGGTATCCATTGAGTTGGGCTGTCAAGGTTAAATAATAGTAATAATAATAATAATGCAAACCCCGCACAAGCCATTGAAAGACATGTGATAATCTTGTTTTAATGGACTTGCACGATAAACCCAGATACCAATACATAAAGAAAGGTACTACAGGAGTATTGTAAATAGAAGATAGTAGATAGTAGATATTCAATATACATATTACATTCAACCTATTCGCTTATAGTACAGTGTGAGAATTAATCAAGAACCAAGAAAAAAGAATGCTTTGAACGTCAGCTGATAGTATATATTCCATGTAAATGTAAAGACAAGCGCGCATATACAAATATGTGCTTTAAGATATATATATATATATAAAGAAGACTCAGTGTCCGACACAAGGTACACACTACCACGGGAAAGAAGACTACACAAGTCCGCCCTACACAAACCCTTTTCAGACAGCAGCAGTAAGAGCTGGATCTGTGACTTGTGTGAACAACCAAGGTATTTGTGTCTGTGGGGGTTGATTTCCTCCTTTCCCGGCATGTCTTACATTTGTCTATCTATATATCTATATATTTAATATGATCGTGATCCAAGGTCATTTTCGAGTCGAATTCTTCTTTAATTTTCCTTCTTACTTTGTTGGATCTTAGCCCAGGAAAAAATGCATCGGTTAAATTACAATATACAGACAGATGGTTGGCATGCCGATCTAATAGATAAATCCGGGGGAACCTGTATCTTCCAATCTCCTCCGGCCTTGTGAATTTCTTTTTTGTTTTAGACTGTGGCGGAGGCAACGCTCCTAGTTCTTTATTTTATATTTTTATTTGATTTAAATTGGCCAGTTTCCCGTATAGTTTCAATTTTCTTGCTTTTATCAATAAAATCTTGAGCATGTTTCAATCTCTACTATTCTACCTATTTTTTCTATATAGAACATTGTTATCTGAAAATCTACTAGACGATATTCAGTGATCATTAAGTCATAAGCAAATACTTCGTCTGATTTGAAAAAAAAAAGAAAGAAAGAAAATTAGGAACACAAAATTAACCATAATTCACCGTATCCCATTTTGCGGGGAAGTCGGCAACCAAAAATAATAATAACAATAAAGAAATGGACACACGAACACAGGTAGCAGGAGAGAATTAAAAGGAGATTGTAACCAATTATTGTGCTTATGTTCTCACCGACTTCTTTGTTGCTTCTCTCCTGTCCCATTTTCTCTCCATATCTTCAACTTCAGAATTGGTCTATTTTTTTTCTTTCTCTTTTCATTCATTCACTAATGTACTAATGCAAGTGATCAATCTCGTCATTACGTTTTTTTTTTAAAAATAATAATTCTTATTTGGTTTGTCTGGTTTACTTTAAGGCTTGCTATTTTTTTCTACTAAATTTATTAGGACCAGTGTTTAGTTGAATATGTTTTCTGTGGGCAGATAGATAGTGTTTAACGTGTGGGTCACATGACTACAATCCTTTTGTTGATGTCACATCTCTAGCATTAGATTCATGCTGTTTATATATTTAAAGAAATCTACAAGGACAACAGCTACAGTATTTGATTATGTATGTAGCTATGTATACAAACAGAGGGGAAGAATAAGAATAGGAAAAAGTGGGGGGGTCAGAGGGAACTATTTGAGAAATACTGGGTAAAAATTGGATACACAGAATCTGGTAATCTTTTACAAGATCAGACTAACCCATCGATAATGAAGTCTATTTAGTGCGTTGGTGATTTAATTGAACCACAAAATATATATATAAATAAAGAGTCCCTGTGGTCAATTTGTTAAGAGCAAGTATGATGATCATAATGATGAAAGTTATATATGTAAGAGAGAAATAGATAAACTTTGATCCAATCAACAATACCTTTTATGTACATATTAAATTCATTAAAATAAATTAGAAATATTAGAAAGTTTAAGTCGAATAAGAAAGCCTGAGTTATGGCATGTACGTCATTTGAGATATAAAGAGTAAAACGAAAGAAAGAGATTTGTTCTGCTCTTGTGAGATTTGAATTATACTATGCCATATTGTACTATATAGTAATAATAATACAGGAACAAAGAAGTGTGTGTATGTGTTTTTAAAAGAAATGACGTCCACCTACATAATCAGTGACCTAGTCAATCGATAACACTTTTTTTATTGTATGTATTTATTGTAAAGGTCGCATGTTCAACAGCAACTGAATACAAAGCACAAACAATTATAGATATACAAATTGTGTTACTTGAGAAGGAAAGTAACGTCAGTGATATATATATGTATTATATAAAGAGAGAAATAAAAAGGGGGGAGTGAAGTATAAATGATTTTGTTAATCGATTAAAGAAAGTTTATATTTAAAGATTCCTTATTGTTTGATCCACATTTCATTTCAATTTCATATTGACATCTTTAAACCTCTTTATCTTCGTAGATATCTTACTCTCTATTTTGCTTTAAATCATTTGTCGTCCAATAAATAGCCTTTTTTTTTGGTTTCCTTTATATATATATATATATATATATATTTATCATGATAATTTAGTATATATTTTGCTTATTCTTTTCTTTCTTCTTATTCATTTTTATATATATACAAAAAATAAAATAAAATAGAAAATAAAAAGAGAGAAACTTATGAGCAGGTGTAGGGCATAGCCTTGCGCAACATCTTCTTTTGGGTGTTGGTAGCAAGAACAACTCTACTAAGACGATTGACACGTTCGGCACTGAAGGAAGAGTTCAAATGGCCAAGACCCACCTGCCAGCGCTTGTAGTTACCAGTACCAGTAGGCATGAATCTACACACCAATAATACCAATAATACCACATATATAGAGATACATATTTATAAATGTTTATTCATACACAGAAAAGTAATACATGTATACACATTTAAATAAAGTCTTCCTTTGCTCTTTTCCTCTCTTTTTTTTTCAATTCCTATATCCTTGTTCTATATTCCAAAGCAGAAATTCACTCGTATTTCAACTTTTTTTTTTACCTCTTCTTGGCACCAGAGTGAGTCTTGAGTTTATAAGCCATATGTCTAGCAGACTGACCAAGAGGAGACAATGTCTGGCTGATGAGCTGGGTGGTTGATGTAGCTAGACGTAAGAATCGATCAATTTTTTTTTGTTTTATTTAATAACATTAATATACATTGTAAATGCAAATTAATCCAAATGTAATAATGTATTGCATTGCATTAAAGTCAAATACATAAAACATGCACTTAATAAAAATAAAATAAAAAGAAGAAGAGATTCTTACTCAATGCACGGAACATGATTGCCTGATTTGTGTGGGATTTAATTTTTTGCTTTAAAAGACTTTACACACTATATATTTATATCTTTCTATAACACACAGAAAGGACCCCAAATTTATCTTTTCCTTTTTTTAAAGAAGAAGAATTATAGTGGGGGTATGAGGGAAGAGGAAGGGGAGAAGAGGTGAAGTGAAGGGCCCATGGACAAGAAAGCCACGAGCAGTCACATATTGGATTTTTGACATTTTTACTCAGCCATGAAGTCTATGTAGAAAAGGAAAAAAAAAAAAGTTCAAATCAGGATTAGAGAGAGAGAGATAGATAGATAGACATTATATATTTATAGTAGATATTTCAAATATATATATATATATATAATTGTTCTTCCTTTCTTTTATATATATTATTATTTCTTTATTCTTTTCTTTATTTATATAGATATTGCATTTCTACATTGACAATGAGTTTGATTAATGAGAGGTGAGCCTCATTACATCAATTACTCATTATCATTATCATTATATTTTAAAACACTCATTAATCAAATAGTACCTGTGTACGAATATACAAATGTACAAATTGAATGTACCAATTGAATGTGCAATTGTGTGAATGTATAGTGAATTGCGTGTAAATCCCATAGAACAGCAACAGGAGCAATTAGGAACTCTCAAGAGTCTTCGGTAAGAAGCAAAAGAAGAAGAAGAATTCAAGACAATTAATAAATGATTATAAAAGTGAGACAAATAAGCGATATAGACTGACTTTTATCCTTCTTTTTTTCTTTGCTATACATCTACCTCTTTAATAAAAATCAAAATAATATATATATAAAAAAGTCAAAAGACACAACTTTTGGTTGATTGCAAAGCTAGTCTCACACAGCATACTGAAGCATTGGATATCAAACAGGGATTATTAGAAGAAGCAACTTCTGAAAGACAGCGTCTGCAGAAGGAGAAAAAGGTGCTACTGGAAATGATCCACAGTGTACAAAGAGATATGGAGGCCGTAAGTGAATTTGAATTATCTATGTACTTTTTTCTTTTCTTTATGAGACGTTTAATTGAATACACACTCATATGTATAACATACACAAATAAAATAAAACAATATAAAAAAAAGGTGACAGAAATTGAGAAATCTCTTGGAAAAGAACGAGATAATTTGAAACAGACAGTTCAACGGATACGTGATCAAGAATATGAACCACTTCATGGTGAGAGATCTCTTACTTTTGCTCTTAAACCAAAGTATTAAACCTTCTTATTTTATTTCTTTTCTATGTGTGCATTAGAACAAGTCAATGTATTAAGGGCAGAGAATGGGTTACAGAAATTGCCAAGTGTAGAGCAAGAGATAGAAGCTCAGATGGCAAAGTAAGTTTACATTTTTAATATCAAAATAAAAATAAATTATTCAAACATCGACTTTTTAACACCTCTGTCTCTTTGATTTTTTTATATATTATTATTATTATTTTCAGACACTTGGAAGATCGTCGTGAGAAATGGCAACAGACTCCTCCTGTAGAACCTACAAACCGCAGTCGATCTGGTAGATGGCGTGCTTGAAAGGATCAATAACAATTGTCCTATAAATGGCCCCCTCCTCTTTATATATATATATATTGCTTGTTTGAATAAATGAATAGTAATCCTAAATATTCACAAGATTTCAAAGCCAATGAAAATAATGTATATTGAATACTGAATGATTCTACAGAAAGTTACAAAAGAAGTAAGAAATATCAAAATTATTCAAGATTTTGTTCAAATTATTTCCGATTTTCAAATGAGCAAAATTTAAATAATAATAATAAAAACAGTAAGCAATTGTGTAAGTGAATAAGTAAGTGAGTGAGTAAAGGAGTATGAAAAATAAAAATTAAAAAAAAAATAAGAGAAAAAAGAGCCACTCATTTTTTTTCCCTTTTTTGTGTTTTCCATTCCGCTTTCCCTTTCTTTTTTTTTCATTTCTCTTTTCTTCTTCTTTCCCATTTCTTTCCTTTCCTTTCCTTCTTCTTTCCTTCTCAACCTTATTGTTCTTTTTCTTTTTCTTCTAAATTTTCCTATTTTGTACATAGTATGCAACCAACCTCTTTAACCTTGAATACCTATATTACTTGTTAACAAACAATACCAAAAATAGTATTAATATTAACATAATATATTATATATTATATATTATATATCATTTTCTCCAATTCAATCTTATTATGGGTTCTACTTTAAGTAAAAGGAAAGACAAGTGTACTCTGTCTGACGCCAGGCGCGCCAGTCGATTCTCCGCTCGTACCTCCCAGACCTCTAGACGCGATCACCACTCACAGAATGAGACTCATTCACAACCTGTGATCCAACGAATCAAAAACGCTTCGTCATTCAATCGTCGGCACAGCATTGAGGCACCCAGACTGAAGAACAGCACCGACTACCCAAACGACGACACCCAGATATCTCAGGGCAGTTCAATAGTAGCCGCGGCTATCTACACCGCCATTGGTCTCACGTCAATCGACAGCGAGTGCCAAAACACCCAAACCTCGTCTCTTCCTCGCACACTCTCAGAATGGTCACCCGAAAGAAACAAGTACGACATCGTACCGGATATCTTTGTGTCTGACTCAGACCGATGGGCAACAGACGAGCCCAACCCATCCAGTCTTATCTATCCTGACACCCAAGATAAGGAATCAAGACCAACAAGACAAACAAAGGCAATATTAGCAAGAGGAGCACCAGGAGGAGCAGCAGGTTCTGAAATTCCCAAATTCCCTAGCGAGCGTATTCTTGTCGACTTGTTTCTTTCTGACGATCATGAAAAGGCAATGCGCAAAGAACGAGACAGGTAAAGAATAACAGTATATCAAACACAAGCAAATAGCATGGCATTATATAGCTTTATGATACAAATACTTATCTATTTCATACATCTATTCATCTATTCATTCTAGACAGCAAAGACAGGCAAGCCATTATTTATATTATACTATTTTATTAAAATTAAAATTAAAATTAAAATTAAAATTAAAATTAAAATTAAAATCCGTTCTTTTTTTAAAAAAAAAAAAATGACAGTAATCATAATCATAATCTAAACACAGATATCTATCGTCTTTCTTTATCTCTTTATCTATTCCTCTGCTAACCCTAATTCTAACCTTTTTGGTGAACGATTTAGCATTATCTTCTGAAGCATGTGTGGGGTCGAAACTACAATGTACCCCTAAAATCACCTTCTCTCATCATTCACTGGTGCTGTGGCACAGGTAAGAAAGTCAAAGACAGATACAAATTCTTATTCAATACAATACGATAAGCAGTAAATGATAGCCATAAAGTGGCAAGAGAAAATAATAGTAATAATAATAATACAATAAGATAAGATATATATATATAAAAGGGAAGAATATGAAAGAATAAACTTGTTAAATGAAACACAGACCTCTTTGACAGGCCGTGTAACAACCCCCCTCTCTCTCTCTCCAAATTTTAATTTTAATTTTAATTTTTTAATTTTAATTTCTTTGATATTATTATATATATATATGTATATAATAAGGAATCTGGTGTCTTGAGCTGGCCGAAGAATTCCCAGATGCTAAAGTTATCGGTATCGACTTCAAAACTGCCCCTCTCCAAAACATTGCCGAAACCCGTACGAACCTTACATTCCAGGATATTACCATTTGTGAGGGCCACACAGGTCTCGAAGGTTATCCTGATAATGCTGTGGACTATGTGATGATGCGAGATGTCTGGATTGTCAATTCCCCGATACACAAGTGGCACAATATTCTCAAACAGGTCTTGCGAATATTAAAGCCAGGTGGTTGGATTGAGATAATCGAACAAGGTAAATTTTTTTTCTCTATTATTAGTTATATATTTAATTATTAAATCTTATTGGTTGGCTTCTTGTAAGATATTCGAGTAAGCAAGCCAGGACCTAGTTTTGTCATCCTGAACAAATATGGTAATATGTTTCTTGAAAATATCCAGGCCAGACCAGGCATCTTGGAAGAACTCGAGGATATGCTCAAAGATACTGGCTACACGAACATCAATTCAACAATTGTCGAATTGCCATTAGGTGAATGGGCGTCTATACCAAGCAAGTATTATTATTTTTCTATATCACAAATCATTAATTCTTATGCTTATTTGTTTTATTTAAAAAATAATAAATAAATAAATATCCCAAACAGCAATGAGAGAATCTGGATACCTCTTTAAAGATCTCAGTGAAAGACGATTCCGAGTATTTGCACCTTGGATATGTGAATACAACCAACTCCCAGCATCAGTATTTGCTGAAACCTTGTCAAAGGCTATGGATGAGTGCGAGACATCCAAGTCCCGGATTTCATGGCATTGCTTCTTAGGTCAAAAACCTCTCTAAGAAACCAGCAAAGAAGAGAGAAGAAAGAAGAAAGGAAATGAAAGAAGAACAAAAAAAAAGTGCTATTCCTTACTCTTACATATATACATATACACATATCTTATACTATCTTGTTCATACATTACTACACAATACAATACAATACAACACCCACCCATCTACCCATCTACCCACCTATCAATCCATACTCACTCACTCACTCATATATATTATATATAAATTTTCTTTCTCTATTATTTTTATATTAAATTATATTATATTGCATACTTGCTCACTATAGACTATCCATTCCTTGCTCTTCTACACCATTCATTCCTTGTTCTGCCTCTAGATCATTCATTTGTTTTGCAATCTATGGATAGACATGTTATTATACAATCCAATACACATATAATACTCATAATACTCATAAAAATAAAAATAAAAACATAAAGCATTTGTTTGATCTGTTCATTATACCTCTTCAAGTTCGCTCAGATCCCAGCCAAGCTCTTCTTTAGGGACCTTAAAATGATGAAGCTCATGGGCCAATGTACGAATGACATGGTCACTACAACACCACAATAAAGAAAGAAAAACAAATATTAATCAAAGATGTGTGCAGAATTATTTATTATACAGATAAATATTTACCTTGCGTGTTGGATCCACACGCAATAATCATCCAGCCATATCTTGCTGTACACATAGTAAACATCGTGGTGATCAAACAAATCCTTCATATCCAAAAGAGCCTTGAGAATAGCCCGCTTTCCAAGACGGAAGAGAACGTAGACATCTTGCAAAACCTTTTCGCACAGAGCCAGATTGCGGTAAAGAGGGTAAGACAGAACACGTCTACAGCATGCGATAATTGTGTCTTTCAAGGTAGTAAATTGCTAAAAACAATATATATATATACATGGGGATATGTACTTGTCAGTAATAAGGTACAGATAAAGGTGAATGTGCATGTAATGGTTTTATATCTTATTCTTTTAATACACAGCTTTCGAGTACAAGCCATTTCACCCGCACCCACACAAAAGATATATATATATACAAACATTACCTCTAAGCAGGATATAGTAGGACTAAGCTTTCCAACACACCACACAGACTCGACAGTGTTGTCGCCTTCGGACACGCGGTGGTTGTAGCTGTAAGCAAATAAAAGGTCGACCAAGCCAAGATAGGTTACTTTCTCGTTTGATAATAAATCTGAATATACACCAGCATACACATACACACATAAATAGCATTGATTATTAGCAATTGTATGAACTAAATCATTACTTAATTTATTGCTTACATTCTTTGTTTGGTAGACTACGCATCAGGGCTTCTTCCTTTGGTGTGAATTTGATCAACGACTCATTCTGATCGCCAATTGACAGACCATTCATATCAATATCTACATTGGACTGAGTTAAATCAGGGGTGATTTCCTGAATCAAAGACTCTGATTTTTTGTATAAAATATATTAAAAAAAAAAGACAATGATTAATATACATATATATAATATGTGTGTGTATGTGATTACTTTTTTCGTTCTGCTTCTTTTGTTGTTCTTCTTCTTTGGCCTGTTTCTGGATTCTCTTGAGCTCTTTTGACCAGATTGTCTTATACTTGATGGCATTTTGGATTTCTTCATCGTTTACGAAATCCATAGCATAGTAGTCCTCGTCAAATTTCAATTCTTCTTGTTCCAATCGATCCTGACGACGTGATTCAATAGTTGACTTTTCGGGCTCTCTGATGTCAATGATTTCATTCATTGTTTCTTGGACATGAGTAAAATATCCACTGTACTGGTTGTTGAAGCCATAAACACTGTGGATCATCAAATCATCTGCTGGTAATTCCTGTGGTAATTCCCAGTTGAAATCAGCAGCTAAATAAATCAAATCAAACCAAATCAATAAATTAAACATATCTATATATATATATATATATATTTGATGAATTTTACCTTTTTGAAATTCATTTTCTATTTGGTCAGTGCTTTCTTCCATCGATACATCTTCTTTATTGTCTTGGCTTCCAATGACTTCAATCAATGGTTTCTTTGGCTGTGCTTGATCTACACTGACATCGGCAGCCTCGCCACGTCTGGCCAGCAGCTTGGTGAGGAGGTCAAGGTCAGGAAAGTGTTCTCCTTTGTTTTCTTTGGAGACCTTGACAGTAAATTGACCCAAAGAAGGGTCATAGACTGCCTTTGAATCATCATCTTCGACTACATTTGCTGGAAGATATAATCTATGTAATTATATTTTTACATATATAAAGTATACATGTATACAATTGATTGGATAAATAAACAATTAATTTATCGTATCGTATCGTATCTTATTTTTACTTTATTTTATTCAAGAATTGTGTATGTTGTTGTTGTACCTCAAAAAATATGGGCGCAAAAAGAAGCGAAATTCTGTGCCCGAGACATGGAGATCTACATCTTGTGCCTAAAAATATTTAATTCATGTCTTGATCGTGTAAAGGACATGTGTAAATGTCTGTGCGTTTATTTATTAACAAATACACATGTACAATTGTACATGCACGTTGTTTTAATAATGATCTCAACTCACTCTAACATATGGTGTATTGATGATAATGGTGATTGAATTGTCATCCTGTTCGACTTTAAAGGTAGGTGTGATCATTTATAGAATTACGATTGATAAGTTTTTTTTCTTAAAAAAAATTGAGGGTATTCAATATCACTCAAACTAATAGAAAAAAAAATATATATAGATATATATATATAAAAAAATTGCAATTACTATAAGATTATTTTTCTTTCTTTTTTTGGTAATTTACATTTATTTATTTTTTTTGTCGAGGAAAAGGCAAGTCACAAAAATTCATGCGAGAATTAATGTGGGGTCCAATTTTTTTTTTTTTGGGTGATGAACTTTGGACGTGATTTTGCTGTATTGTTCTGTTTTGATATTTATTATTGTGTCCTAATATGTACTATTATGTATTATTCTGTACTGTACTGTGATATGATGTGCTTTATCATAAACATATATATATATATAATCCAAACTTGTTTGAATTTGACGTTTTATTAATTTCTGGGATTTTTGATGACCTAATGTGACGTTAGGCTTGATCATTCTAGCCCTACATGCTCCTAATTCTTGGCTCTGCTTGAATATTATAATTTATAATTTATATAATATATATTATTGCCATTGATTTATTACTATTATTACTATTATAAATTATTTTTATTTATATATATATATATATCTAATAAAATAATAATAATAATCATAATTAGTCAATATATATATTATTATTATTATTTCTGTTGCATATTATTCCCGCCTTTTCTCCCCTTCTTTCTTTCTGTCTCCTTTTCTTCCTTTATTTTTATTTTTATTTTTTCATATATCTGTAAATAATGCAATATATTGGTGCAATCGATCAAGGCACAACCAGTACACGATTTTTGATCTTTGACCAGCAAGGGAAACTTGTCACGTCGCACCAAGTCGAATTCGAACAATCATGCCAGAAACCAGGGTAAAGAAAGAAATAAAAGAAACACCCCCCCCCCCTACCCTACTCTACTATCGTCCTCGCCCTTCTTTATAGATGTCTATATCTCCTCTTTATTCTCCTTCTCTCCCTTCCCAAAGCTCTTACAATGAATAAATAACTATAACTTTGATATAATCTAATTAGTTGGATTGAACACGATCCCTATGATCTTCTCGACTCTGCTATAAAATGTGCCGATGAAGCAATGCGCAAGTTTGAATGGATGGGAAATGATCCCCGAGATGTCAAAGGTGAAATGAGAGAATAATCTCAAAAAAATAAATTAATATTATTATTATTATTATTTTGTTTGTTTGTTTATATTTATATTTATATTTATATTTATATTTCTATACAAAAAAAAACAGCTATTGGTATCGCAAATCAAAGAGAAACTACCCTTGTGTGGGACAATCGTACAGGAGAGCCTCTTCATAACGCAATCGTCTGGGGAGACACTCGGACCAACAAACTCGTCAAACGATTTGCAAAGAAACCAGACGCCGAAATCATCCAAAGACTTTGTGGTCTCCCTCTTCACAATTACTTCTCGGCACTAAAGATACGATGGCTGATGGACAATGTAGAAAAGGTCAAGACGGCATTTGATAAGGAAAAGGCCATGTTTGGCACAGTCGACAGCTGGCTTGTGTGGGTGAGTGAGTAAATAAATCTGTTCGTTAGTCGCTTGCTTGCTTGGTTGGCTGGTTGGTTATTAAACAAAAACAACAACAGAAACAGTACAATAAGCCTTTATTGTAGGTTTGTCTTTTAGCTTGTTTGCTTGTTTGAAACCACAAGAATATATACACCTATATATATGTGTGTGTGGGTGGGTGTGGGTGTGATTATCATGATATTAGTCAGCTAATATGCTTATCTATGTGTGCACTAATCTATTTTACTTTCTTCTTTTGTTTCAGAATTTGACAGGAGGTGTACAGAGCGGTGTGCATGTGACCGATGTGACTAATGCAAGTCGGACAATGCTAATGAATATCGAAACTAGACAGTGGGACCCTCAATTACTAGAGTAAGTATATATATAGTATCGTTATCTATTTTCTTATTCATTAATTGACTGGTTGATTGTGTAACTGGCTCTAGTTTCTTTGATATACCAGCATCAATCTTGCCAAGAATTGTGTCTTCTTCAGAAGTCTATGGAAAAGTAAAATGGGGTCCACTCGAAGGACTACCAATCAGTGGGTGTTTAGGAGACCAGCAGGCAGCCTTGGTCGGCCAGAAATGCTTCTCTGTCGGAGAGGTCAAGAACACATACGGTACTGGTGCATTCTTACTTTTCAATGTCGGTCATAAACCTGTCTTTTCTACCCATGGCCTTTTGTCCACAGTCGCATATCAGTTCGGCCCTGACAAGTCTCCGGTCTATGCTCTTGAAGGGTCCGTGAGCGTAGCTGGTGGTGCTGTCAGATGGTTAAAAGATAATATGGGTATAATCGAAGAATCTAGTGATATTAATGTTCTAGCCTCCAAAGGTAACCCATACTTATATATATATATATATGTATACCGAATAAATTAACATGATCACTTAACCTTTTTCTCCCTATTGGAAATCAGTTGAAGACACTGGAGGAGTACAGTTTATCCCAGCATTCTCAGGACTTTTTGCTCCTTATTGGCGAGACGATGCTCGTGGAGTGTTGGTGGGTCTGACACAGTACACCAACAAATACCACTTGAGTCGCGCGGTACTAGAAGCTGCATGCTTTTCGACTCGTGCTATTCTTGACGCAATGAAAAACGATGGGAACCTGCCACTCAAAGTGCTCAAGGCAGATGGAGGAATGTCAAATTCTGATGTGTGTATGCAAATACAAGCAGATGTGTTGGGTATCACAGTAGGTAAGGTTTTTGAATATTAAATAAACAATCAATTGTATATATATCTAATTATATTTATACAATTGTGTGCATGTGTGTGTGTATGTGTTTATAGAGAGACCTGCTATGAATGAAACTACGGCACTCGGAGCTGCATATGCTGCAGGATTAGCAATTGGTGTTTGGAAGGATACAGATGCTATACAGAAACTGACCGTGGATACAAAAGATACCTTCCAGCCAAAATGGAAGACAGATGGTAAGATGACCATTTTATTCTGCTTCTAACTTTAACATATTGTTAATATATTCTCCTTTTGAATCGTGTATGTATAGAACGGGAAAAACGTTATGCGATGTGGGAAGCAGCAATTGAACGGAGCTATGGGTGGACAGATATTTATGATTCTTCAGATGAGAGTTAGGACAAGCTTGACTCGGTTAGTCTCTGTATATAAGCATTATAGCTGAATATTACCTATGCTTCATGTACGAATCTCAATAATATGTATACATATAGGTAGGTAGTTGCAGATAGAAAACACAGATAGGAAGATCCGTTGTTTATAATACAGCTTAAACATTTAATACATATATTACGATCACTACTTTTATTTTGTAGCATGAAAATACTCCAGTATATAATTGATTTAATAACTATATAATATGTACTGTTATATTACAACAAACATTCTCCACCGATTTACTACACATGAAAGCACAGTCGCCTATTTATTCTCTCTCTCAATAGTGGTTATTTATTATAAAAAAAAACCGGGTATACTTCTTTTTACAAAAAGGTGTATATGAATGAAAAATAAAAATACAAGGGAAGATATGATTTTACTTTGGCAAATATCCAATAATAGTAGCAGCGATTAAACATACAATTGGAATAGACGATATAGCATATACTAAAGAATTACTACCATCAAACGTGCAATGAAATAATATCTCTACAAGTTTAACTGCAATGGATAATATAACAGGACTTAGAATCCAGGAGATTACAAGCCATTCTGTTGTGCTGTGAATACTATAATCTGCCCATATTCCGATAAGTAGAAATATTATAATCCCTAGAATATTAGATAAACCCACAACAATTTCTGCCCCATGATTCCTAAAGTCCTCAGTTTCACTTGGGAGCCTATGGTCTGTCTCAGTTGAAATTTTGCTGTCTTCTGCACATGATTTTTCTTCAACCTCATCCACTTTGATACTAAAGGCCATTGTTTGCTTGTGTAAGGCAAGGAGCGAAACTGACTGAAGAACCGACATTGTTGTGTATATGATAATAATCACCTTGGCCCATCTGTCTCCGTCTATGTCCATGCATTCAACTGTGGTAAAGAATAGCTGGCCGATAGTAACAAATATTTCAATATATGAGGTGTCATCAACATTGTAGGCTCCTTCAAGTTGATCTATCATATTGGTTGTCATGTAACGAATGTCACTTGGGTATACTCTTCTTTGTTTATCACAACCTAGTCCTGGGCCAGTAATAGTTATTTCCTCGGTGTCACAATCGTAACCATTATTCCCAGGCCTGTTTGTATCATTAAATCCGATGGTTATAGAGTCATTCAAGATGCAGTGTTTTATTTTTCTTGCTTTTTCAGGGCCCATTACGTGTAAGAACGCTGCCAGGTAGGGTGCATTATTGCCTTTTTTAATATCAATATCAATATCTTCTGTCTTTGCATCCTTGACTAGTCTATCTCTTAGCCGGACAACTTTTATACGGCGTTTTTCGGATAACGTCTTTTTGGTAGCGTCGTATTTTTCTTCTTCGCTGTCTAGCGTATACACTTTGGTTAAAATTAACGAATCTTGCGAAATTGTCTTGACTTGGTCTTGATGATGGGATTCTTTTTTGTTTGCGTCGCTCACGTTGTCTTCTTTTTCGTACTCTTTCAAGATAGACATATATTGAGTAATTCCGAGTATCTCATCTCCATAAAATGCACTATGAATGGACCCTACTGCTGTGCCAATTCCAGAGGAAGGATATGCAAGTGCAAAAAATAGTCTGGTAGGTGTAGTGGCAATAGTAATTCCTGCTACGTGCCTGATAGTTGCAATATGTGTCATATAACCGAGCAAGATAGTTCGGAGGATAGAAACCACTGCTAATTTACTGGTGTATATATTATTATCTTGTGAAACTGGTGGAGCATAGCACTTGGGTAAAAGTGTTAATATTATAATACATAGAATGAACTGTACTCTCTGTAGAGGCATTTATAAGCACAAAGAGTTCAAAGTTGTGTAGATAGATAGATAGATGGGTATGTAGTAGTTATATCTATTCGCTACCTTGACTAGACGAGAATTGGCCTTAATGAGAAAGATAATGTGGTTTTATACAATATGTAGAGGCTTGAAATTAAAGTTAAAGGCTTTGGAGTCAAATAGTGAAAATGTCATCAATTCAAAATGTACTCGATATTATTAGACGGCTTATACCAGCTTAAATATAATTATAAAGTTGTGGGCCGCCTTTTATATTGCGTCGTATTGAGATGCTTGATATCAACTATCTATACATGCTTATTTATTTTTGTACACACTAGAGTTTGTTTTTCAATTGAGCTTTTGGGTTCATAGTAATGAAGGCTTTTGTTTGACATAGCTTTAATTAATTGAGCCAGAAATTGGCTATAAGGCGCAGTAATTATGGTTCAATTAATGTGTGCTCATCCAAGGAATCATAACGAGATGTTCTGCAAATCTTATCAGTAAATATGCAGCATCCAATGGACTATATTCTTAAAAAGAAGGGAAAATTAGATTTATCAGCTTATTATTGAACTTGGCTAAAATTACAAGTCATTAGAAATATTTATATATTTTACTCCAGGAAACTCGACAACAAGGCTGTCAGTCTATCTTTGTGCTTCAAATGGTTAATATTTTGCTGTCATTTGCAGCTGTTTACCTCGACCAAAAATATGTGCAGCAAATACATGTTTATATCCTTTCATAGTCTTTAACATATATCCTATATTATTTTGGAAAGAAAAGGTGGAACTGGGAAAGCTAACATTGTCTAGGAGTAGTAATATAATTAAATAATTTACTTGTGGAAATTAGAAGAATGATTGAATTTATCAAAGGCTACATACATAAAGAGATATAATGTTATTATGTTCAAATGCTCTTCTTGTCTTTAAATGATTTATGCCTTTTGATATGTAACGTTAGGTACTTTGGAAATTCTAGGGCTTCCGTTAACCAAATAAACGTAGATACTGCCTTTCATACTAAGAGTTCCAAAGATATGTTTCAAAGTTACAATGAGTATGTCATTGTGAAAGGATTGTAAGCAAGTTGGACTATCTACACCCTCCCAGTAGATACATACATAATTTTTGTCTATGATTGGTTGTTTGTTTTGTCAAATTACACGGGTTATCAAAACAAATACTCATGGTCTATAAAAACAATAGAAATTGTCTTTAATACATTGATACGTATATGAGACTTGAAAGCAAAATTACAGCACCTCATGTAGGTTTTAGCAGATATGCCCTATATTCGACTAATAAATACAATAAATACAATAAAATAAACTAGGCTAAGCTAAGCTAGATTTTCTCTCTATAATCATCCAAGCCAAGAACGTGTATCAATACACTAATGCCATGTAGTGTGTGGATCATTTTATCATCTTACTTTAGTCTCCGGCATTATTTATATTGATGTTGAAGATCCACATCAGATACTTGATGTCTCTAGAATATTATGTGTACCTCTTTATTGTTATTAGATCTATAGACCTTTACACTTCTCTCTCTCTCTCTCTCTCTTTAACTTGTTTGTAACCAGTCAATACAGTATTATGGTGGGTATATCCGAGTCATCTTTAATTATTCTATACATATCTCTATGGGTCAATTTGATGACATTTTTTTTATTTTATTAAAGTGGCTCTCTTAGATTTCATTCGCTTTGATGAATAAGATTGTGCGACAACTCATCAGTCTGTGGTCACAAAGAAAAATAACGTTCTCTCTTCCTCCTCTCATTGAAATTTGGGAAACCTAAATTCACTTCCTTGATTACCTCCACTCACCAATTAATTTACAAAGTTAAACGTATCAATTTTCTCTATACCTTTCTTCCAAAGAGAGTGACAGTGGACGCTATTTTATATATGTTTTCAACACACTACAAAGAATGACATTGATATATACATATATAAAAAACAAGAAAAGGAAACAAAGCCTAAATCTCGGGTAAAGAATAAAACCAATATTAATAATAATATTATTAGATCACAGCAATTTGCCTATTTGCTTTTATTTTTAATATTTCTGGTATTGTATCTCCTTGTTATATATATTTATAGACGACGCCCGACCATACAAAATGTACAAGGCTAATTAAACCAAGCCAAATATATATACACACACACACACATATATATATATATATATGTCTATATATGTATATATTTATATTTGCCAAGAATATAAATCTTTAGTTAGTTTGATACCTTGATACTTTGAATACACGCATGTACTTGCGGGTGTGTTGTCCAAAAGAGTACTTGCCTCTTTCTCGTGCTTCATATATATATAGGTATTTACATAAATAATAACAATAGCTGTAGTAGCAGTATTAGAAGAAGGAAAATGACATATATATATATATCATTGATGGTTTTGTGATCGACAAGGGATCTCGTCTTGTTTTTCAATCACTTCATTTCGTCAATACTCGTAATCTTGGGTTCATTGGGAGCCAATTTTGCTTCTATTGTTCTGTTAATATACCAATGATTTTATACTATTTTGTTTTTGGGTGCATGCATGTGTGTAGTGTAGTGTAGTATGATGTGTACAAAATATGAGAAAATGTAATATATTTTAGTGCGGTGCGGTGGAGTGCGGTGTAGTGCAGTGGAATGCAGTGGAGTGCGGTGTAGTGCAGTGGAATGCAGTGGAGTGCAGTAGAGTGCAGTAGAGTGCAGTAGAGTGCAATGTGGTGTTGTGCGTAGGATGTATGTGTGTAAATAAATCAAGACAAATAAATTAGAAGATTATGAGATATGTGCGAGAGAGGAGAACTTGAATTATAGAGTATATGTGTATATATTTAAAGCCCCAATCACACCAATTTTACATTCGGACTCGGCGGTTTTGTCCAGGTGTGGCCAAACATGATCACAAAAGAGAGACCAAGTAGACCAAACATATCGACAAATGCAAACTCGACTGTTCGATAGGTCTGTTGAAAAGTTGCCAGACTGAGCATTTTGATAGTGCGGCCAATGATGACAAGAAATAAGAAGAATTGGTAGCTGAGAAACGATGAAATAAACGGACGGATGTGGCGTGACGAAATCTTTGCCTGGATGATTGAAAGCACTGGAAGTACCCACAGACCAAAAGAAGTGAACAGGAACAGTTTTGCTGATGTGACGAGTTGCTGATACACGCGTGTTTCAGGAGATCCAGCAGGGAGCTGGGACAAGCTCACCAGGGCCACAATTTCGCAGATGAGTAGCATGACAATCCACAAGTATCCAAAATAGGTATTGATCACACTCCAGAGAGGTCGTTTTTTTGCACTGTTATTGTTGTCGTTTGCTAATACAGGTGAATCTGTGCTGAATGGCTTTACGATCAGACGGTATGTTTCAAATACGATCAACCAGGAAATCGGTGCAAAAGCATCACTGAAAAAATCACGTAAGAGTTCTCGGGTGGTTAGATCTTGAAAGGTCCACGGAATTTCGTCGTTGACTGTGGTAGTAATTATTCGGCCGACGGCTGCTGCGAGACATCCATTGATGAAGTAGCAAGCGCCGGCTGCAATGGTGGGGATGTAGAGGTGTCTGTGACCATGATTCCTGAGCTGGACAGAAGCGCCGATTATTACGAGTGCGCTCAAGAAAGCGGTGGTTATTCCAAATCCAAAGTAGGTTGATCCGGCAGCTACAAAGTCTCTGTCTGTCTGGAATTCTGAACTCATTACTGTGATATTTTAGCTGAATTCTTAGAAATAAAATAATAATAATAATAATAATAATAAGAGTAAGAATAAGAATAAGAATAAGAATAATAAACAGCAGAAAGTAAAATAAGTAAAAGAAGAAAAGTAAGATAAGAGGAAAATCTCTGTAGGACATGTTTAATGAATCTCTGGTCAAATGCTATAGCACTATGTCTTATGTGTATAAATTATCAGCGTCATGTTGTAATACGTTACCTGAGGCTAAGCTGTGGAACCTCTTCCATGTATAAATTTCTTATTTTAGATTATTCTATATGTTATTCTACAAGTAGACAGATATATTAACAAAATGGAACCCTTTATATAAATATGTCTATATGTCTATATGTCTATATGTTTATTTATATGTGTTTTATTAACCATTTGAGACATAATCCACGCCTAGTTCAAAATACTGTATACAATATATACATAAATATATCAAAATGATATTCAATAACCAGGTCTTTGGGTTTCTTTTACTTGATTCTTCTTTTTGCCCAAAAGCATCCACAGGCTGTGGAACACTGCGGATATATACATATACGTATAATTAAACTTACATACACACAGACACACAGGCACACAGGCACACATACTAACATATATATAAGATGCAGCTCATCTTGATTCGTTTGAACAAATAAATTATTGGTACTGTTTTCAAGTTAAAGGTTTGGGTTAATTTTTTAAAAAAAAACCCCCCCGCCTGTTCTTATACGTACATATAATATCTTATATATATATATATATTATTTAATATAAAATGCATCTGATAATTTGGAAAATTGAAACAAAAACCAAAGAAAAAAGGATAGGGAATGTACAATGATGTATAGCATATAATATAATAAATAAATGATTGAAGTCCTTAAATTCTGTATATTGTTTTGATACAAGTTGGTAGAATCTCAAGTAGTAAATACACAATGTAATATAATGCAAATAATATGATTCTTAACAAATACAAGAAAGACATTAATATTCAATATAAATTACACACTTATGTATAAGTATATTTTAGCTAAATAACTCTTGCTTTATTTATTAAAGTGGGGTATTTTACAAGGGCTTTATTAACACAGATAGCCTTTAAAAAAACGTAAAAGTACGTACATTTTTATATATAAGAAACAGATGGTAGATATTATAAGCTTGATTTTTTTCGAAGCTGGAATCAGTCATGCATTTACCGTACTTTCATGATTTGTTTTAGAATTGCACAGTTTATTGTTATTTTATTATTATTATTATTATTTCAGATACACCTTTTACTCGAGCTTGATGAGATCACTGAAAGTTTGTTTATGAAAATTGAATACGCCTACAGAGAAAGAAAAGTGCCAAAAAAAGTGAGCAGTTCAGGTATAGACTTTATACTCCAAGCATTGAGAGATTGCTTGCTTTGCTGGAAGAAACAACTGCTGCTTCTCAATAGGAATATAAAAACGAAAGCAATAAAAAGATATTTTATCAATCTTCTTTTATAAATTTATCTATAAAAACATAGTAATAACTAAGATAATTGGCCAATTTTTTTGTAGAATTTTTTAAAAAAAAAACAATAGAGTTATTTGTGATTTTTTTTAATATATGCTGGGGCAAGATCCAATGAAGCTTGGCTGTATATTTGTCTATTTTCAGTTTTAAGAAATCAAAGATTCTTCTAGTATTAGCGTTTTAGTTTAAAACATTCTGTTGGTTAATGTTTGGCTGTCCCAAAAGTAGCTTAAAGTGTAAAAACTACCTATGTGTTCAGTTCCTGTGATGCAACCCTGATATTCTTGTTAGCAACAATAAAATCTACTCTGGATTATAAAGTATGTATTATGGAGAGAGAAACATAATAAAAACATTTAAATAAGGGGGAAATTTGGAATGGCTTATTAAGCGACTGATTGATTTAAGTGGAAAAAAAGACTCATAAGATAGAGAGTGGTATAATGTGAGAATATTTTTATTTCTCTACTAAAATATTTAAAAGATGCTTTTATAGCAGTTTATTTACTTAGTGCGCCTTTTTAATATGTAATGGGGCCCTTTTACTGAGTTCATAAGAGATGCATGTGTACTTGGTATATCTAACGACGAGAAGGGGGTTTTTTTTCTGGAGATTAGGCAAGTACTATCTGTACATTTGAAGAAAAGTATTTATGACAGAGTGCTGTGCTGTTTGGTGCCTGTTAGGCTTTAGAAGTAGCTATCTAAACATATACTTTCTATTGTCAAGAAAACAAAATAAAACAATTGTTTAAAAATTGTTGGCCGGTAATAGGCTATTATTCATTCCTCTCCATTTCATATTCTTACTTGGCTGTTAATAGTCTACAGCATTTACTTTTATTGCAAGTAACATTTGGACAATTTGTTATATTTGAAATGGTTTCTTTCCCAAAAAAAAAACATTTAAATACTATGTGCTCTAAGAATACATAAAGTTTTGTTTGTGCCCACAAATTTATACTTGCACTGGAAAAATAAGGTATTAATTGAAGAAAAATAAAACAAAATCAGGGTTGTTAAGCGTGGCAGATGGTATAATTGTTTTGCCTATGAAAAGAATTAAGAAAGAATGAATTTAGTTATATTGAGAGACAAAATAATTGATTTTGTATATCAGAAACAAAAATCAAATAAAAAATTGTGGGGCAATACGGTGCTTGTAGAACATCGCTGTATCTCTAGCTAAATAGAATAAAGAAATAAAGAAATATAAAGTCTTTTCATGGAGCTGGTGGTCCTATTTTATTGTAGTGTCTCTGACCGTAAAGTATATAAATAAATAATCAGAATAGGTTTTTTTAGTATGACAATGATGTGAAGTATTCCTAACCTTAGTTAATAGGAAGTGACACGCTTAAGAATATACATTTAAATGAGAGAAATCGTGTGTATGTCTGTGTGTCCATGACAACAGAATATATGATCAGTTTTTGGTGTATTAAAAAAGAGTATTTCTGCATCAACTAAAAAGAAGGTACCCCCTAAAAGGGGCTATACGGCTTCAAAGATTGAAGAGAGAAGCGCGAAGGAAATAAAAGACTGGAATGATTTGATGAATTGAGTCCAAAAGCAATGTCAAAACCAGCTGGCATCCCGTCGATTCCAAAAAGTATTTATTGTGATTTATGTATTAAAGACATCCTGTATATCATATATATATATAATTTTAGGTTTGATATAACGGATTTGCTTTCGTTTTTATCCTTACTGCACATAAAGTCTCACTTACAGTCTCTCTCTTTCTCTCTCTCTCTTTCCCATATTTTAATTTTTTTTGTATGCAATTTTAAGATAATGTGTTTTTTATTCAATTCAATTCAATTCAATTCGACTGTAAGCTAATATTAACTTCAGATTTACCTTTTAATATGTTTTGTAAATAACGACCATTTAAAGACGTGCGCTTGCTCATCGTCATATTGAGGTTAGCAACAAGCAGCTGTTGGAAAATTGATTATACTATGTAAGACAATAAGACAGCCATGGGTGGAAATCTGATGACAGTGCTAGGACATATTGTTTTTCTCAATGAATAACTCACAGCTAAGAACAGCATTATTGTCGTTCTTACCACCAACAGCCCTGACACCGTTAGTGCAGCCAGCATCTCGGTTAGACCTTTCCCTCGTTGCTCTTATGAGTACCGTACTTGCCACTGCTACTCATATTGTCCGTACGCAAACCAGACCTAGCCAACAAACTTATAACGATGTTTATGTAAGTGCAAAGGTGTATGCTGTTTTATCGATTTATGATCTCGTATATTTTTACCAGGTATACATACGCAACCTCATGTAGAAGCCAAATCCTAGATCAACATTACCAACTGGTATAACGATAAACAACAACACCAGCAACAGCAAAGCCAGATGTAATACGGATGTCGCTTTTGATATGTCCCCAAACCCGGAGAGTAGTATTGGCAATGGTGGCCATAAATAGAGCGGCTTGAAAAAAAAAGTTTCACAAGTGCTTTACCAGCCTGTGCCGTCAAGGGAGAGTGTCTTCTGCTGAGAGAGCATCGGTGAACATTCGTTCAATAAGGATGGACCTTTTAATTGAAGTAAGTATTATTTTATTATATAGAACATATAGAAATAATATTATAGTTTATTATAGAAAAATAATAATGAAGGAAAACATATTGCTAGAGCCACTCTCCGTGTCTACTCGCATACCTTGACAACCAGGATGACACTAGCTTAGGAGATCAAAAAGGACTATGCCGGTACAATCCAAGGCATAAGAATTTCTGATTGAGAATCTGCGACTAATGTTCCCGAGCATGGAAAAAGACGTGTCATCTGGATTGCCTAGCCTGGTTGGAGAAGCAACAATATATATCATTATTCTTAGCAATAGTCGAGTATTGTCGTAAAATTATATTGAATGGAAAACTGATACACAAGTTTTAGCTCAACATCTTCCTCAGAATCATTGACTCGTATACTGCCAAGGGTAGAAGGGTAAAGCGTTCACCAATTGATTACTAGGATTATTAGTAGTGTGTCCAACACGGGAATCCCGGTGGCTTTAACTCGGATTTTTATCAGTGAGTTCTCAGGCTTCGTCAATTCACAAAAAAAAACACAAAAACAAAAAAACCCTATACAATTCACAAATGTGTCCTACTAATTTAGCGGAGGAATTTCACATTTTGTGAAAATTAATTGTTTTCTAGATTTGTAGTGCTTTTTGTCTACTTCTTACTTTTCCGGTATGTAACGGTATAAAATCTACATGTAAGCAGTAAAAGTTATTTTCTTTTTTGACTTGAAAAACGAAAGTCAAAAGTTTATTTTTATATTTATTTTAAACATGATGCTTCTTTTAGAACGGGATCACTAGCATCTCTGGCTTTTCAACTTGCTGTATATTCTGCTGTGTCAACCTTTAATAAGACGTGATGCACAGATGCAATGGCGTGATACTTATCTGAAGAATACTTGAAGAAAAAAGATCGACAGTATCAGTCTGACGAAATCTATCAGTAGCTGTGCAATAACCACTTCATAACTGAATGTAATTGCTGATCATGAACTATACGAGTTAAGTAGAGATTGTGTGTGGCTGGAAGTAGGAATAAATGTGTAAAAATATATTAGATTTGAATAGCATAAGCGAGCTCGGTGTCGCAATTGGGGCCAACAATTATGACTTGAAAAATATTCACCACTAGCAGAACCATTTTTATAACGATATTTTTGACTAGGGAATTGACAAACTTCAGCTTGTCGACTGTATTGTAAACAAAAAAGTGTAAAAAAGGGAGACATGCTGGTAAATTACGAGATTTTTAAATTGGTAAGCGACTTTGTAGTATTTAAGTGGATGAAGATACTCGGTATCATCCGCTACGGGTAATTCCTTGACAAGAGGAGTAAAAACAGAAGGAGAAGGAGACTCATTCTCCTTGATTAGGACTTGTGGGCTCGAAAAAGCTTGAGTTTAATGGTTACAACATGAGTGGGCGATGAGTAGTGATTGTGGCTATAATGATGGAAATTACGGGGCTGGAGCTGCCAATAATATTAGCTAGTAGAAAAAATAATTGCACATGACTCGAGGACCAGAAAACAATATTAACAAAACCGCGTATATATGTCTCTTCGAATTCATTCTCTTTATTTGTACTTACATTCTTTAACAGCTCATACACTGGACTGAGATTCCAAATTATGCCACGAATATGAACATGCAGGTGAATGTTACAGAGGAGAATACTAGTAGGATAAAGACGCTTAAAGTGGTGACAGAAATTATTCAAGCTGATTTTGGTATTATTGGGATCTTTATGTAATATGGCAGTCTTTACAAGATTTTTACGCACATTCTCAAAGTCGATTCAAATCTTCAGAGGATTCAAACCAGCTTTCAACAAGGGGTAAGCAATCCCTAGAACTTTTATTTGTCAGCTTTTATGTACGAAAATCCTTTTATACTTTTACTTGACATGCTATTATATGCACGCGCTGGCCAGCGCCATTGTTTCTACTGGCAAGATCTCCACTTTTTACTAATTCTTCTGCCGTCCTCTTCGCCGTTCCAAAGGAGAAATTCTGTATAATATCAATAATAGTTTCGCACACTATTTTAAAGTATCCAACCTATTTTCAATGCCACTTCAAAGAGATACAATTGCGAATAAAGTACTCACAAAAATTATCATTGACGCTACCTTCTGGACGAAAAAGTAAAGCAACAATTGGACTTCCACCACTATGTACATCTGCCCCAAGTCAACAAACAAGGGCTGTAATTAGTTTGTACTCAGTGTTAATATCAATCAATGAGTCCCGGAAACAAAAGGATAAATCGCACATGCCCATCAACGTATTCCACATTGATCCGTTATATTCATCATATATCACACTTACTATATTGAGCTCCCTATTCAATTGACAAACCTTGACCTCCAAACCAGAACGAACGAAGAAAACCAGCAAAGTATCTGTATTGGATTGAGAAAAATAAGGTGTAACAGCTGAGACATCAGAGTATAAGAGCTGTTCCTCAGTTTACAAATTCAAGCAGATTGCGCCCCAATCTTCGAAAAAAATGTCAAGGAAGAACAGATACAGCTTCTTGGTAGGATATGATTATGGTAACCCCCGTCATTGTTTGGCATCAAGAAAGACTTTCTGGTAGTTGGAAATATTGCATATATAATTTCAAGAGGGGATTGACAAATACAACCAAAATAACTTGACTTTCGTAGACAATATAGTGTGAAGCAAATAGGACAGTAAAAGTGGCAATGTGCTGGAGGACTAAATTGTTATACATGTCAGGAACAGTCGGTGGATATATTTTGAGATTTAGCAAAAAAAAATAACTAACTAACTTAACTGTTATTTTTTTTTAGTTTTCGTCTGTGTATTCAACACTGACCTTCACCGTTAAACCCCTTAACTCTAACACCATAAACGTTGTATTCATTATTGACATAGTCATACATGGTATCTGAATAATCACCACTGACCTCAATGCCAACACTAAGATGGAGTCCCGAAAAGGTGAGTTCACCCGAATGTCCGTTGCTGTCCCAGAATCCGATTAAGAGGCTGAAGTTACTGCAAGAAAGAAATATAGTGATTTATTAGTTTTAATATGCTTTCTTTAAAGAATAAATAAAATAAAATAAAAGCCGGTTACTTTCAGTACTTACCACTGTGGTTCTCTTTGTGGTTGTGTTTTATTCACAGCTATATATACATATAAATGATTATTAGACAGCAAATAAAAGAAATGTCGGTGGTAAATACAGTATACTATTTTTATATATCTCAATAGCTTCAAATTCAACTTTATTATTATGATGATGGATAATATGTTTTGCTATTCTAGAAGCACCTTGCTTGTCGCTATTATATTTACTTCAATAGGAGTACGGGATGCGGGTTTTGAGACGGGAGAAGGAATATGCTAAATACAATTTAAGTAATGACTTATCATTATTATTTTTAAAAGAAAAACATCGATTGCTACAGATATTTTTTCTAGTGAGATTTTAAAGCATATTGAATTTAGAGTATTTTGCGTTGTATCTTTATTATTTTATTTTTAAATAAATATGGTTAAATTATCAAAGCAAAATCACTGTCCAGAAAACATGTAACCGCAGCAAATTGGCACTCATGCCAGATCGCTTGGCACCACGACTCTTATTACCCACCATCACCTTTGTCTCCGTGGCCGCGTGTAGTAACATGATTATGTTGATGTGTATATGTAAAATTTGAGCATGCCTACTTGAACTACATCAAAGTAAAACAAAGACAATGATCCCGCAAATATTTAACAATTGATTTTTCTTTTCTACAGTATTTACAGACCATATGCATATGCCACTATCGTGGCTCAAAATGTTGCTGTTTTTGGCAAATTATGTAAGAATAAACTAAATGTCTGCTTCTTTCACCAACCACTATCTGATGAGATGTCTTATGTTCAGAGTGACATATATTTTTACAATCTTACACTGCTCTTGACTTCTTTGTTTCTTGGATACACTGGACTTTCTCTGGTAAATGTTTTTCATAAAAATATGTTTGCAAAGAATATGATTAGTATTTTCTGTTATTAAATATGGTTTTTATAATTATTCAACCATCATAATATTATAAAAAATATAATCTTTCTGTTGTCCCTATCATTATTATCATTAAATATCAATATACCACATAGAGCCTAAAAAACAACTAAGAAAAGTAGTAATGCAGCTCTATCATATAAGATCGAATGCAGACGATTTATTTTTAGAATGCAGACATCAAACCAGGTCTGCGCTTTTAGTGTACGCTTGCGCTTGTAATAAATATTATGTGTTTAGCCATGTTCTCCGTAGTATATAGATGCAGGTGTGTAAATGAGTAGTCATAGTAATTCCAACTGTACATGTCAAAAGATATTGCTCTAAATATATAAATATATACATAAGAAAAAAACAAATTAATAAAAAATACGAATAGTGTTTGTTTATTTTGCTCACCCAAAAAAAAACACCTCATTTTTTGGTACAAGGTGATACACAAATAACTATAAATATTTCTTTTATACACAAATTTTATTTTTTGATATAACATACACAAAGAATACAATTACATACAAACACATAAACACACATACTTCTTCTAATTCACATTATTTAAAAAATCTATCGCCTTGGTGAAAAGGCAAGTAAGATATTAAAAAATAAATAAAAATATAAAAAATATCAGTTTCAGTCGGCATTTATAATATTATTTTTTTTTATTTTTTTTTGAGAAATCAATATTTTATCAAAAAATAAAATTGATATAATTCTACTTTTCTCGACTTCTACTGATTGTATTTATATGCTTCTTGGCTCTATCGATAGCTAATAAAGAAGAGTAACAGAAAAGTGGCATTAGAGGCGCATTGTCGGCCTTTAGAATTTTTTCGGAGTTTGAAGCAAGCTACGATTAGATGGCCGCCGGGATTTGGTATAGTGCGCAGGTGGGTAAAAATTAAAATAAATCAAATATTTCCGCCCTAGCCGAATATCATATATATATATATATATATATTAAAAAAAAATAGAATTTATCTAAAAAAAATTAATATGTTTATTCACAATTTTTTTGAAATGCTAATTTATTATAAATATAATAAAAGCATTAAAATAAAATATAAATAAATAAAAAACAAAAAAATAAAAATAATAAAAAAATAATAAAAACAAAATAATAAAAAATAAAATAAAAAACAAAATAAAAAAAAATAACAATAAAAAATAAGAAAAAAATATAAAAACCAAAATATAAAAAAAACAAAAATAATAATAATAAAAAAAAATAAGAAAAAACTAAATGTTGATTTTATACTTCAGCTAAATAGTTTATTTTATATTAATTTTTTTGTTTGCTATACTATAATATCTCTATTTATATTTCATTTCTTGAGATTTTAACTTTTATAATAGTCTTATTATAACAAGCAATCACAAACCTTCCCTTAATATGTAAACAGACTTTTTCTTTACACCTCTTCAATTTAATAAACAAATTATTAAAAGACGAAAACTCATAGCAGTAGTATTATACTGTTGTTTTATTACAAAAAAAAACTGTCAGACATTATTTTGATGAATCCGTAAAATCTGAAAGTAATTAACCAGAATACCTCTTTATGCGCAGTAATATCTTCTTGAGCATTAACTAAAGTATAATGACTTTCCTTTTATTTAAATATAATATAATAGCTAATGCAGATAATGCGCAGTATTAGTCTAGAACACTATATATGACAATTCAATTCATATTCATAAAAAGTATCTTTTATCCTATCTTTGATTTTACATATACTTCTTGATCCCCAGTTGGTTTGCCCTTTTGACTTTACTATAGTAAAAGGAAGACCAACCCAGATCGGGAACAACAAAACGAGACAAAAAAATCGAAATAAAATAATGCTACCGCGTAGGGTCGAACAGGGGTGCTCAGAACCAAAACACACGCGATAACACTTGAGCTACGCAGCAACATTTACATTTTTTAATATAATCAAAATTTCTCCGTTGCCATAAAACATAAATATATATATAAAGATTATAAAAGAGTTGTGAATATATATAAAATTAAACATTAAATATGATTAGAGTATGTAACTTATATTTGACAAGATGATTGGATATGACTTGGATATTGACAAGTGTGAATATATATAATGTGATAGATTCAATGGTATTGACTAATATCAGAGATAGATAAGATGTTATAGGCTAATATTAGTAATAAATCAAATATTATTGGCTAATATTGATTATATATTATATTTTATTAACTTATATAAGTAGTAAATTGGATGTGATAAATATATATATATAATATAAATTGACTGTTATTGATTTATATATATATCAGATCAGATATCATCTATTTATATATATACTAGATCAGCAGTGTTCAGCTTATATATGTATGAGATTGACTGTTATCTACTTATATATATATCAGATTGGATATCATATGTTTATATATAGTGCAGATCACTTGTTATCAGCTTATATATATACCTAATTGGTAGTCAACAACTTATATATATACCCAATTGGCAGTCAACAGCTTGTATATATACTAGATTGGCCAATATCAGCTTATATACGTATGAGATAGGCTGTTAATAGTTTATATATATATAGCTAATTGGTGGTCAACAATTTATATATATACCAGATCAGCTATCATCAGCTTATATATATATCAGATTGAGTATCATATGTTTATATATAGTGTGGATCACCTGTTATCAGCTTATATATATACCCAATTGGTAGTCAACAGCTTATATATATATCAGATCAACTATCATCAGCTTATATATATACCTGATTAGTGGTTAACAACTTATATATATACCAGATTGACTGTTATCCACTTATACATATATAAAATTGATTGTTATCTACTTGTATATATATGAGATTAACTGTAATTAGATTATATATATATTAGATTGATGATTATTGGCTTATATATATACCAGATTGATGATTATTGTTGTGGTGGTTGAAGTTGAAGAAGTT